TTTTTTGCTACCAACGCCATGTCGTCCGCGTACATGACATTGTTGATGATGAGGTTCCCTATTCTGGGTGATGTGACTGCTCGTAGGTTCTGTGCGAGGTCATCCATGAAGAGGCTGTAGAGGGTGGGTGAGAGAACCGACCCTTGCAGCAGCCCGATCTCCAGCCAGTACGGCCGGGATTTGGTGCCGCTCACGAGAACAGCGGTGGTCACGTTGTCGAAGAGCGCGCGTAGGATGCGGATGGTATGCGGGGGGATGTCTCGTTGCTCGAGTTTGTGCCAGAGCCGATCCCGGTCAACTGAGTCGTACGCGGCTTTGATGTCCATGAACGCGATCCACGGGGTGTGGCCGTCGTTCTGTAGGAACTTGACGATTGAATCGAGTGCGAATACCTGGTCCAGGGTTCCCCTGTTGCTGCGGAAGCCTCCTTGGGAGATGTCGATGGGGCCCATCTCCTGGAGGAGTCGGCTATGTAAGATCCTTTCGAATACCTTTCGGACAACTTGTAGCAGAGAGATCGGGCGATAGTTCTTGATGTCCTCTTCTTCGCCCTTCTTCTTCCAGATGGGGTGGTTGATGGCGACATTCCATTCTTGAGGGACGATGCCGGTCCACATGCACCAGTTGAAGAGCTGACGCAGCCAATCCGAGACTTGGTCGGTTACTGGGTGTAGGAGCTCGGCACTGATCCCGTCGGACCCAGGGGCCTTGTGTTTCCCCATGCGTCGGATGGCTGTTTTTACTTCTTCTGCTGTGATTTCGCGGCCCAAGAGGCGACTGAATAGTATTTCCTGAGGACGCGGTGTATCGTTGGCTTCTTGAACACCGAGACGACTTGAGATGTTCCCAAAGTGGGCCCGGTACTGGTCCATGCTGTCTTGGTCGTTCGGAAGAATCGACCGGTTGAAGAAGCCGCTTTTGACCTTGTCTCGCTTGCTGATTTCCTTGAGGAGCTCAGAGTCCGATTTGGTGGAGAGAGACTGGGCCCAGGTGTTGTAGAAGGCGCGTTTCTGTCGTCGTATGAGGTCCTTGAGTTTGTTGTTCATGTTTTCGTAGTCGGCCATGGCCTGCAGTTGGATTCTCGAGCCTTGTGGCGACTGGTTCACGATTCGATAAGCCGTGTTTCGTCGTTTCTTGATGTCAGCCATTTCCGGGGTCCAAAAGCCGTTGTGGGGAGCCGGGCCATCCTTCTTTCGCTTCCCAATGACGATTTGTGCCACCGCTGTGACGTGGTTCTTGATGATATTCCACCCAGATTCAACGAGGGCTTCGGCGTCTTCGCGTGCCATAGGTCCATCCTCTTGTGGTAGCCGGGTTCCCAGCTGTGTGATCTGCTCTACGACTACTGGGTGGTGGACTCTAAAGGCTTCCGTGTATTGCTGGAGGGTTTCGGGATCTTCGAGCTTGTTGGTTCGCCACACGAGGATTGGTGGGCGGGCAGGCTCTCTGGCGGCGTTCCATTCAAGTTCCATCGACACCATGCGGTGGTCTGAGTTACAGGTGTCGTTGGAGTGGACCGTCACCGTCTTGGCGTTGTGTCTCAGTGCCGTCGAGACAAAGAAGAGGTCCAGTACTGAGTGTTGTGGTTTCTTCCCGTTGACGACGTGGGTCCAGTGTTGCCCTGTGGGGTTGGTCGAATCCACGAATTCCAGGAAGCCGCCCGCTACAGCTGTCCGCAGTGGTTGCAAACGGTTGGCGGTTTCATGGGTGTCTCTGCTTGTCTGGCCCATGCGGGTGTTGAAGTCGCCCATGATCACAGATGGGATAGGATTGTTCATTTCTGTGGTGTTGGTCTTGATGGCCGACAGGGCTTCTCGGAACTTTTGCAGGGCTGCCGCATTGGCTGATAGAGCAGGCTTGAGGTAGAAAGATCCAAAGACGATGCCTCGGAACTTGAACCAGATGCTCGTGTGATGAGGTCCAACGCGGAAGTTGCTAAAGTCTTCGAGGTTGGTGGTTTTCGGGTTCCGAATGAGGGCGATTCCTCCGGTGCCTCTTGCGAGGCCGTCGACAGAGACATATGGCTCTCGGGTTTCGAAAACTATGAGGTTCTTGTAAGGTCCGATGGATTGCTGTGGTTTGAGCCACGTTTCTTGGACTGTTATAAAGTCGAGGTCTTTTGCTTTTACCATTTCGATAACCTCGTGTATAGAGGTTTCAAGTCCGCAGACATTCAGGGTCGCGAACCTAATAGTGGGCGTAGGTTGGGGCTGCATCATTTGCGGGGAGGAGTGGTTCCTTCGCGTCCGCCTTTTTCTTGGCGGCCTGGTTTGTTGCGAGCCAGTTCCTTCGCCTTAGCAGTGATCTGCTCGGCGACGGCTGGGTCGTTCATCTTCCGTTGGTACAAGGTCGCCGTGAGGAGGTCATTGGATTCCGCACATATCCTGGCAGCGCGTTCAATGAAGCTCTTGATTTGGAGCTTCTTGGACTCCTTCTCGGCCTCGGTGATCTTCGACACGTCCATGTGTGCGACTTCAGTGAATTTCATGTCCGTAATGTGCTTCAAGAATTCTTCTCTCGAGCTCTTGTCTCTGAGAACAAACTCACAGACGCTGTTGTTGACAAAGCTGATATTGAGAATCTGGTTGGTGGCAAAGCCCTTCTCCTTGAAAGCTTGTCTGATCGTGCGGTAGCTACCCCGAGGGATACCCTTGACGTAAACCCAAGCGGCGTTGTCCATCCTATCCTTTAAGGGTCCTTCCTCGACAGGGACCGAGGATCTGATCATCCTGAATGGCGTGGCAGTCTTGGGCACCAGCCACTTGCCGTCGGTGGGGTCACGGCCGCGGAGGATGGCGCCGATGGCCTCGTTCTTCTTGCCGGCATCGGCCTCCTGGTGGACTTTTTCGAGGGCCGCCAGCTTGCGCGCGTCGATTGTCTTGTTGTCGGGCTGCTTCTTAGCACCCCGCTGGGCGGCTGCCTGCAGTAGGATGTCGGAGCTGGGCGTTCCGAGATGGCCCGGGACGCATGCTCCAGCTCGGAGGCGAGCGTCTGCATGCACTCGGTGGCGCTCTGGGTCAGGGCCTTGAGTCTAGCAGCTTCCTCGGGCTTGCTGAGGTCCAGCTTGGCGAGTTCTTCGTTAATCTTCTGAGCTTTCTTGAGAAGCTCACTCTGGATGTGCTGAAGCTGCTGTTGGGGACTCTGCTTCTTGCGCATGTCGGTGGCGCAGACGCGCTTCCCGACAGCCCTGGCATCGGCGAGGGAGGCCCGTTGTTCGAAAAGCTTCCATCCTGCTTCGTCATGGCGGGTCATCAGGCCCCAGAATACGAGGATGGAAAAATGCTTCCCGCATTCTTCCACCTTGGTGGCGGCGTCCGGGCTCATCAGCATGTTCTTGCAGACGACCGAGTGCTGGGCGTCGTCGATACGCCAGGCGGGGGGCTTGCTCCCTCTGCAACGGGAGCATTGAACTTGGATCTGCCTTCAGAGCGAAGACAAACCTAAAGCGGCGGTAGGTGATGTCTTTGAAATCGACCGGGATGAAGTCCTGGTCGGTGAGAGTGTTGTTCTTGGCCTTCTCGAGGATCGAGAGGGCCCACTTCTTTTCTTCAACCACGTCGGGCGGGTTGGGAAAGATTGCCGAATCTGCATAGAGCTCTTCGATAATTTCTTCGACGGTCTTCTTGCGACCGACGTGCAGCTGGATGGGCTCACCATCCCTGCGGTGCTTTTTGGTGGGTGCTGATTCGGTGGCCTCGGTGATATTGGCGCTACTGACCTGATGGCCGTTGCTTTCTAGGCTGCGATTTTCGTCCGGTTGGCCTGGTTCTTGGGCAGCAGGGCTGCCCGAGGTGTCTATGGCCATCTCGTTGATGGCCGTTTGGGTCGGGGGCATGTGTAGGGGTCGTTGGTTGAGAGTGTTGAGCGGTTTGTTAATAAAAGAGCGACGGAGAGCCTGTGCCTGTGGATCCAAAAGTTGAGATCAAGGTCAAGCTCTCCGCATTGGTCCAGTGGCTAGGATTTCTCGCTCTCACCGAGACGGCCGGGGTTCGATTCCCCGATGCGGAATATCGGTTCCATAGTGTAGCGGTTAGCACTCAGGATTCTGACTCCTGCAACCCGAGTTCAAATCTCGGTGGGACCTTTTATTATCATTCTCAATTTTGTTCCGTTGCTGTATGTGTTTGTGTCGCTATTGCCACTGATTAACCTCCCCTCAGTGCTTTCGAAATCGACATATCGTATGCAGATGTTGGTGCAAACCTCAGGTCAGATTCTAAAGTCATACGGAGTCAATGCTGTGTTTCTTGAGCCGAGCGGGTGGTGGGATCGCGAACTTTTGCAACTTGCCGATATCTTCGTTTTCCGCCCTCCATATCCTTCGACCTCCGAGGAATCCTCAGACCGAGATTTTGAAGTCCACGTTATCGCCAACGCATCAGACAACGTTGTTCCTCGGATGACATACGAACTTGGTGCTGCCGGCACTAAACGGTTCAAGAGATAATCTGAGCACGAGCGAATATCGCAGAGTATTGTCAAGGTTGGTACGATGTTGGATTTAGATCCACTTCCACCACTAAAAATAATCCCCGGCGGTATCTTTGCTTCCCTTGGACACTGCCTCTCCGGCTTCGGTCTGTTGTTGCTGGCCACTTCCCTCTGAATGTCGAGAGCCTCATGGCTGATTCATTTTAGGTTGTATACCTCGTGCAGTCATAGCTGGAATATCTAACCAATTTGGAATAATGATGATGATAATGATGATGATAATGATGATGATAATGATGATAATGATGATGATGATGATAATGATAATGATAATGATAATGGTAATGATAATAAATAGATCAACGCCGTTTCGAGATATTTACCTCATCTGTCTTCACCGTCTACCAGTCATCGTAACATGGTGGCGGTGATTTGTCAACTGGGAAACTTCGAGTCAATCTGTTTGTTGTTGCCCATCAGCGTGAGAGTCACCTGAGATTGGGATAGACGATCGACACTCTTCATCTTTTCCTTGAGTGGCCTGTGGGTCCAAGCATACATCTCTCTGCGCACATGGGTTGTGCACAACAAGCTGTATTATGCTTCCAATCCATATCCATTACATCCATGGGCGGCACTATTGCCAAGCAACTCTCGCTGACTCATTCTGTGCTCTGATCCCTCCCTTGCGCTGCTCTGATTCAAATCATATAATGTATCGCTCGACCGCCTCGGCTGTCTTGGCTCCCTTGGGCTTGCCGTTCTCGCGGATAAAGAACACACGCAAGAATACCGTCGATAGGATAGAGAGCCACATCAGCCCTGCGACGACCACACACGAATACTCATAGTTCCTCTGTGCATCGGCTGCCCAGGCCGAAAAGATCGTAAAGCTCGTCACGATGTTGCCGATGTTGCCCAGCGTGGTGACTGCTGCGATCGCACCGGGAGCGAACTGGGCGACAAAATTGTTGCTTGTCCACTGAGTCGCGAGAGAACATGGGAGGAACATGGAGAGAGTCAGTCGAGGCCACTCGGTCGGAACCTGCTGAGAGCAGGTTTGCAACGTCTCTCAAGACAGCGGCCATCGGCCTTTTGACGTGCACATCAAGATGTCGGTTGGTGGCAAAATGCCGGGGACCACGGGGTCCTGATGGCTAGTGCGCCGCCACGGCGGCGCACAATAAAGAAAGGGGGGGGGATCAAGATGTCGGTGCTTACCGGCATGCAGATCGCCGTGACGCTCTTGGTGCCGCCAAGGGCCAGGAATGCTGCCACATAGCGCAGAACCCACAGATTGCCGCCAAGCCCCATTCCGAGAAAGCCAATGCTGGCCAGGATCATGTTCACGACCAGGGGTAGACTGCGGCTGCCAAACTTGTCGGATATGCGACCGGCGATGACCATGTGGATGGCAGCGTAGATCCAGCCGGCCGCTGCCATGATCTGGCTTAACACAGAGCTGAAGCCGAGGCCGCTGACAAACAGAGGCAGGTAGTACGCCAGGCTTGTCGATGCGACGAGCCCAGGGAGATAGACAATCGCAAAGAAAATCACCTGCCGAGTGAACCACCATCGACATATCAGACAATCATGTTCCTTGCCATGCTGGCCCGGCGAGACTGGCAACAGATCTGTCAGGAATCGAGCTGAGGGCTCACCTTCCAATCCGAGATCGATCTCCACAGCGTCCTGAGACTGTGCGCATTGTGGGTCGCCGACAGCAGCTGGGCCTTGCGGGTAGCCATCCGGGACTCGGCCATCTTGTGCTCCTCCGTCGACAAAAATCGGTAGCGCAGGCTGCTTGATGTTGGACTGGGCTCGTCGGGCTGGTAAACGAGAGCGAAGCGTCAGCCAAACAAGATTCGAGTGTGGGTCTGCATCGTTCCGAGCGGTCCATGCGACCTTCTCCGAGGCTGCCGTCAAACAGCACCCACCCGCCAGTGAATGCCAAACCAAAGACAGTAGTCGATGTGCTTGGTAACGAACAGGCCACCTATCAAGTCTAGGCTGCTCGCTCGATATATCGCAACAAGCTAGCGACTGCGAAAACTCACCAAGATAAAGTACGCAGCAATGCCGATGAGAATGGTCGGGATAGCCGGCAGAAGAAAGTTCCACTGCCATCCGCGCAGATTGCCGATCCCATCCATATTGCCGATCACGGCGCCCAGGATGCCCGAGACCATTCCGGCGAGCGGGAGGCCAATGTACCAGCCCGAATAGGCGGTGGACGTCTCGCGCCGCTTGAACCAGAGGGTCATGTAGTATGACATGCCAGGGAAGAGACTGCGAGGGCCAGCAGTTAGACTCGGATGCAGTCGCCACGATGCAGCAGAGGCATTGGCGGCCATCGCATTGCGTCGCTGCAGGTACACCTACCCAGCTTCAGTGGCCCCAAGCAGAAACCGCAGGAGGAAAAAGTGCCAACTCTTGGAGATCAGGGCAAAGCAGCCAAGGACAATGCCCCAGCTGACCATGATCCGCGCGAACCAGAGACTGGGGCGGACCTTGGTGAGGACCCAGTTCGAGGGGATCTCAAAGATGACGTAGCCTGTGTGCGGTTGGATGTGCGGTTGGTTGGATGTGCGGTGGGAGAGTGAGCCACAGAGAAAGATCACCCCAGCACCCGCCAGCGGCTTCGGACAGCCGGTATGCCAATCGAAACCTCGGCCGCCGTCATCATGACAGCACCCGGCCTGTTTCCTCAGACCATATGCCCCCATGCTCACAGATGCGGGATAACATACCCAGGTAAAAGAGTCCGAGACCGATCGAGACATCCTGGTCGGAGAGGACCATCTGTTTGAGGGAGTGACCGGTCTCCTTGTTCATCACCAGCGCGCTCGCTATGCCGAGGAGGAGATGGGGAGACCATGATCAGAGCACGATCCGCCAGCAAGCAGCGGATTTGATCGTTGCCGAAAGCTGCGCGATCCGCTTCTGGCAACGACAGCGATCAAGCAAAGCTAATCCTCCCATCCACCAATCGTCCTGCCGCGAGAACCAGCAGCACTTACACAGATTTGCGCGATCAATGTAGCAGAAAAAGTACATGACGAACATCCACGGGACAAGATATCGGGTCAGCTTCAGAAAGAGATGGCGCTCCTCCAAGGAGTAGCTGGAAATATCCTCGTCCCGGTCGATATAGTCGTTCTGGTTGTCGAGCTCGACAGTGGTGTCGGCCGACTCGGAGTGAACGAGCTTGTCGGGGTGGGTTGGAGTCGCGGCTTCCATTGCAGTAGAGGCAGTGGACTCGAGATGGGCCGGGATCAAGCGGACAGGGAAAGGTCCGACAAAACGAGCACGATGGATGAGGTGAAAGAGCAAGAAGACGAACTCGCTGCCAAGATGGCCGTCGGGCTGCTGTCGCGGAGCTGGGCTGGAGGTGAGGGCGAATGGGTGGGAACAGCCGAGGGACATATATAGCCGTTCCAGGGCCGGCTTGTGGCGCCATGTTCATGACAACAAGAACGGGTGCAGCGAAAGCGATGGCGGGAGCCGGTGCCGGGCGGACACAGACTGATTCTGCTGGGGGCGGTGCTGTCTGGTGCGAATCGGTAGATTGATGGATGGGTTGACGGATTGATGGATGAGTTGACGGATTGATGGATGGGTTGACGGAAAAGCTCTGCCGCAAGGAGGCCATGCGCAAACATCACCTCGGGGGAATCGCGTGGATGTTGCGATGGAGCGCTGTTGGAGGTGTCGTTGTGTGCGCATGCCGGAACCGAGCCGCCGCCCAAGTCGAAACGAAACCATAGGAGCAGCTCGGAAAAATGGCAAAGCGGGGGGGGGGACAGATAGCCCGGCCACCCAACGGACGATGCATCCAAAGCAAGCAGCCAAAGCAAGCATCCAGTAAGTGGGCCGCTCAGCCCCAGCGCCGCCACAAACAAAAACCAACCGAGCCGATCACAGGGCGTTGGTCCATCGCACAACGGCCCTGGAGCTGTTGGGTGAATGGGCGAATGAGAGGCAGCCACGGCGACGACTGAGACGGCGGTGGACGGGTTGCACGAGGCAAAGCTAGGCGGATGCCTTGAAGCAATCAATGGATCAATCCAGGATGGCAAAGTCGTTGGCGCATGCCGGGTGGGAAGGGGGCCAACCGGAGAAGCCGGCGCGATTGAGCTATCGATACAGACCGGACTCGGAAGATTGAAAGACTTGATCAGCAGCAATGCTCCCTCACGCCAACAGGGTAAAAAGTTGTCCTGGATTGTTGTGGGACAGCGCAGTCATTCACACTGGGATATGATGGATATATCGGATGTATTCGGATGTATTCGGATCCATTGGAATGTGATAGGTGCCATGGACAGATTGGATAACACGCAGCACTCCTCGACCCTTGTCGCTTCATCGATACATTTGCTGTTCCGCGGGGTTTGCCGCAGCTTCAAGGCGCTTCTGGTTGCTTGCTCGAGGCTCAGGGCTACAATCCGAGTGACTTGAGCTCGTTGGTGGCCCGTTGGCTACCTTGTTCTGCGGACTTGCGATACCAGAATACGGCAGCTTCAGTGTTCTTGTCGACGCCAGAAGCATCCTTGTAGCAGTCGCCAAGATTGACTTGCCCGTACTGATTGCCTCGCTCGGCCGACTTGCGGAACCACTCAAAAGCATCAGCATGGTTCACGTCGACTCCGAGTCCTATCTTGGAGCACACACCAGCCATGAACTGTCCGTACGAGTTGTCTTGGTTTGCAGACTTGATGAACCACTCGTATGCCTTCGTGTGGTTCCAGGATGTACCCCAGCCATGGAAGCAGCACGATCCGATCCAGTACTGGCAATCACTGTGGCCGTCGTTGGCAAGCTGCTCGAATATTTCAGCCGCCTTTGCGTCTCTTGGAGCTCCGAATCCATGGAACAAGCATATGGCCATCAGGTGTCGGCACAACCAGTCTTGGTCGGATCCCAGCTGGCACAGCCCAAAGAACGTGCGAGCTGCGGTCGAGTTGGATGAAATCGCTTCGCCGCGAGCCAAGCATTCATCCTCCCCGAAATGGAACTCAAGAGATTTGCTGTCTCGGATCGTTTTGATTCCCTTCTGTTCGTCTCGCACGGTACCCCTGCCAAGGTAGTGCATCCATCCGACCATGTGCGTGGCGATGGGTTTCATGACTGGATCGGTGGAGTTGGTGCTGACTTCCTGCCAGCGGTTGAAGGCAGCGACATCGCTCTGCTCGACACCACGGCCGATGAACGAGAACCAGGCTTGCAGGAACACGATGTGGAGTCGACCGTCTTCGCTGCCTTGGGCGGCAGCCTTGGAATACCACTCGATGGCTGTGTTGAAGTCTTGATCGATACCTTCGCCATCTGCATAGTATCGACCAACGGCAACTTGGGCCCGGTGGATCCCGTCGTTTGCGAGCTTGCGGTAGCTTTCAAAGGCTTTGGCACGGTCTCGGTCGACCCCGATGCCATTATAATAGCAGTCGGCCAACTGGAGTTGTGCCATGGGATGGCCTTGGTCAAGCGCAGGCTGGAAGCTGTCATTGGAACGCACAGTGATGATGTCTGGTGCAGGATGCGAGCCGACGCCGTGCTGCTCAAGAGCAGCACCCGAGGCGGACTGATCGACGGGGTTGTTGGCCATACTGCAGGAGATGGGAGAACAGGCGACTGGTGATGGGGAAGAGGGGGGCGGTGAGGCGAATGGCGAGAAGATATGGGGCAAGAGGCAAAGCCAGCGAAGCCATTCCCAAGCCACAGCGCGTGCCACAACCATGTGATGGGCTGGTTCGGGGCTGCGATTCGGTTCAGCATCGCCACTCTCGATGACCCTCGATTGACGAGAACATCCTCCGTTGTGGTCGTCGTAGAGCCCCTATATTCATTCCCCAATGTTATCGCGCGCTGGCCATGACCATTCGCCACACATCCGACTTTCGCACCGCCGCATTGCGATGCTACGCCCTCATCCATAGCCTGCGTAAGGTCGCCTCCATATTCAGTGTATCCAAGAGCACCATCCATCGATGGCACCGAGGACACAAGCCAACCGAGTCACCCCGAGTCCCAGCTCGCAGATCCACTTTCTTCGAGCAGGCATGTCCAGTCATTCGCACCCTGATTGAACAGGACCCGTTCCAGACTGGTCCCGTGCTGCGGTGCAAGCTCGAGTCCATCCTCCAGAGGAAAGTATCACTCTCACTCTGCCACACTGCCATCCACCGAGCAGGTCTCTCACACAAGAGGGCAACACACCTCTACAAGTCCAAGCGACTGGATGAGCGAGTGGCACAGTTCAGGGACCAGGTCCGCTCCATTGACCCGCGGCGATTCGTTTTTGTCGATGAGACAGGGATCAGGAAATCCATTTTCCCTCTCTACGGATACTCACCGAAGGGTGCTCCGCTTCGCCAGCGCAATCACATGAAACACAAGTCTGTCTCGGCTGCATTTGCCATCAACCACTCTGGTGTGCTGCATCGCATGTACATCCCCACATCATTCAAGACACACTCGATGGTCGAGTTCTTTGAGCGAGCGAGCTTCCCAGACGACTCTGTGATTGTGATGGACAATGTCAGCATGCACAAGACAATGCCTGTCCTGGACTGCATCGAGCACCGAGGATGGTCAGTGATCTTCACCCCACCTGCCTCACTCGACTTCAATCCCATCGAGAACTTCTTTGGGATTGAGTCCCCACTGATTTGGGGTTGAGTTCCTCCAATTTGGGGTTTAGTCCCCCAATCACGCCGCCATTTTCACGCTCAAATCCCTGGCTTGAACCTCTCGGCGATTTTTGAACAGGGTCACTTCCCCAACCAGCCCGCGCAGACGGGCTCCTGCTCTCGGGTATAAATGCCACACCTTCGTCCTGCTGCTTTCTTCCCTCATCTCGCCTTGATCTGATCATCGCGCTATTGTACGATAAAAAAAAGTCTCTGCTCTGACCAGTACCACTGGCAGGCATCCAGCATCCTCTGCCCCCATGCCTCCGAAGCGCAAGGGTGCCGGTGATGGCCAGCCTCGGCCACCCAGGCCCAAGAAAGCCAAGTCACAGTCGGAGCCTGTCTCTGGTTCGTATTCTGATCCCACGCATGCTTGTTCGTCTGTTGCTCCGTCGCTCACCACCACTGCTTCTGCAGATCCAATGGATGTCGATCCCACCGAGCCTGGTCCATCTACTTCCTCGAGTACCGGCAAGCGATGTCGCCAGTGCGATGGCACCGATCACGAACGTTGCAACACCAACAAGTGTCCCAAATACCGGCCCCTCAAGAGTTCTGTCGTCCCACTCGTGGATGGAAGGTCATCCGCCCCTCAGTTCAGCTGCTTCAAGCAGACGATGGATGGCTGTTGTCTCAATCCCGCTCTCCGCGACAAGACCCAGGCCACCGTCGAGGCCATGACCCAGATCCAGTTCGAGGCATCCAGGCTGCTCAACCTGCATATCCTGAGGTGCATCGAGCAGGATATTCCCGTCCCCGTCATCTCCAAGTCCACCCCTGCTTTCGTTCGCCAATGCTTCAAGATCGTCCAGGCCGGTGCCCTCTCCCCGACAGGGGACAATGAGAAATACAACGAGCATCTGGTCGCTTCCTTTCGCGACTACCAGACCACTCGGCACGCAGACCTGCCTCCGGCCCCTCGTCTGCCTGATGGTGCTCACAGTCAGCTTCTCACTCTCGCTGTCAATGCCTATGCCACCAACTGCACCACCCACCTCAACCTGGCTTATTGGAGACTCCTTCGCCGCTTCTGTGCTGCCGTCTTCCCAGCCAACAAGCACAAGCACGAAGCCATCGAGGCTTGTCTTGAGCTCTTCGAGAAACCAGGGCAGACTCCACCCAAGGCCGATCTCGAGTTCCTCTATCCCGAGTTTGGCCACGTCCTGGACGAGTTTCGGTACAGCAACGACCAGGACCGCTTCCGGGCCCTCCACCGCCTCTCACACCATGTGGGAATCCTCGCCCGAGACAAGATGGTCGACAATGTCCACAAGTGGATCGACTGTGACATGCCCGCCCTCCGAGTCACCGAGCTGCAGCGCCAGGCCAAGCTGGACGAGCTCACTGCCCAAGGCATTCCCTCCGACGACAAGAGGTTCACCAACGCCAAGTCGGAGCTCGGCACCACCAAGGCCAAGATCAACCAGCTGGCATCCAGGCTCAAGTGGGCACTCAAGCAGCTCGCTCTGGACACTCCTCCGGCCGTGTGCACGATGGTTCCTCTGTGCACCACCAAGGCCAAGTATGTCAAGATTGATACGGTCACTCTCCGGCAACTCCTTGACACCGATCATCGTCTTGGACTCACCCGGGACATGCTCAAGGAACAAGGCGAGGACGGCATCAACAACCAGGATCGACTCTGGCGCAGTTGCTTCAAGCTGCGTAGTTCCCTCTTCCAAGAGCGGGTCAGGGACAAGAAGCTGATCAACTACGAGATCAGCACCGATGGAATTGGATGCACCATCGGCCTCGTCAAGTTTCTGCCTCGAACCGATCGCACCGAGACCATCGAGCCTCCTCCGACTGCCGAACAGCGTATCCAGGCCCACATCGGCGACCCAGACCCCGACAAGACCACTTGGATTGGCATCGATCCTGGAGTCGGCTCCATCTTCACGGCGGTCATCCAAGCACCGGGCCACCAAGACGAGGTGGTCTCATTCTCCAATGGCCACTACCAGCACATGTGTGGCCATACGTCCAACACCAAGTGGCACAATATCATGAAGTATCGACTCAGCATCGAGACCTGGATGTCGACCACCCCCTCGCCCAAGGTGTCGTCCTCGGAGGCCTTCAAGGTCCATCTCACCCATGTCCTGCGACCGGAGCTGCGAGTGCAGCTCGACTTCCACCTTGGCAAGAAGGCCCGTCACCATCGCTTCACGGACCACAGGAGACGCCAAGTGGCCGTCGACAGGATGTGCAAGGCCGTCCTGAAGCACGCCCCGATACGGACCGATGTGGTGATCGCCTTTGGCAATGCATCATGGCGACAGGGCAAGGGCTATGCATCCAGCCCTCGGAGGCAGCGATTTGCTCGGTACTTTGAGCAATTCGAGCACCACCGACGCCGTCCCAATCACCATCATGGAAGCGTCAAGGTGGCCTCGACGAACGAGTTCAACACCTCGCAAGTGTGCTCCAAGTGCCTGGAGCCCTCTCGGCTGAGGGATCTGGAAGCGCCCAGTGTTGCGAATTCCCACTTTGTCAGGAGCTGCAAGAATCCCAGCTGCCTGACAGTGTGGAATCGCGACGTCAATGCGTCGCGCAACATGATCATAGTGTGCAGGTCGATTGTGGAGATCGGAGAGCGACCGGCGGTCTTCACTCGGAGGCTGCCAAAGTGATCTGTTTTATTTCTTGTGGCTTTGCTTGACGCAAGCACAGCACATACTACATGTTCATGGAAACGGCTATATTGTCCCGTTTTTTTCTGAATAAAGTGTACAACACCCCATAGGGTTATCCAAGCGCACCAAATCAGTTCGCTGGGAAGGACTCGATGACTGGAGAGTGAACAGCAGGGCCAGTCTTCACTTGGATGTTCAAAGTGACCCTTCTTTTTGAATTTGGGTTTTCTGGACTCGATCCATCTCATACTACACGATAGATTGAGATGAGACAATGTTCTACACTATGAAAAAATTTCTTGTTAAAAAAATGAGCGAGAACGACAAAACGCGCTCTCGGAGCCACCACGGTCGGCGAGAAGAGCAATCTCTGGCGAGAGACCCCCGAGGGAAGGCGAGAAGCCTCTCGCCGTCACACACACACACTTTGCACACACACACACTTTGCACAAGGGAGTCAAACACCTCCCATCGACCATCCCAAGAGGGATGGCAACCCCGAAGTGGACTGCCCAGAATATGGGCGACCCGGCATCCACTGTCGAAATACTCAAGGAACAGTGCAAGATACTTACAGTCGGTCCAGAAAGAAACGGGACAGTCACTTTCTGACTTCAGATGTCTGAAGCCCGCTGACTGACTTGTAGGCCCAGTGAGCAAGCCGTGAGATTGTTTCCCGTCCTGGTTGGCAATCGAGTGGTTTTGGTTGGTTTGGGAAGCATGGTCTTGAATACACTCGGTCGATCTCCTGTGGCGATGATCGACTGGCATACCGAGATCATGTTCCTGGCTGCATTGATGTCTCGATCCCACAGCGTATGGCAGCTTGCACAGCTCCGGACAAAGTGTGGGTTCTCGATATCAAGATGCTCGACCTTCTCGAGTCGCTTGGCTTCCCGACAATGTGAGCACACCTGGAGATCGAGTCGCTTGAACCGCCGTCGCTGGGTCAGGCTGAAGTACAGCTGTTTCTCCAACATGCCTCCATCGAACACATGGCGAATGTATTGCAGGAATGAAGCCAACCCAGGGATCTTGGGACTTGGTGTGGTGCTCATCCATTCCCATCGGTGGTGATCTTGCAACCAAAGCGCTGCTTCAACCCTCCGGCATCCTGGCCAATAGGCGATGACTGCGCATTGTGCGCAGCACTGCTTCCATCCCGGCAAATGCCAGACAGCTCGCGCTTCCTCCTTGGATTTGTGATTTTTCGCTGGATTTGTCCTCCAGCCGGGTCGTCGCTGTATCATCCTCCAGCTTCCTTGCAATGAGCGACATCCCCTCTCGATTGTCTCCTCCTCTTCGCGGTGAAGCATTGGCAACCCTGTTCCAGTCTCCGCCCAACAACAAAACCATCTGTCAATGCATGAAGTGCAGAACGGGCGAACAAGCCTACAACATCGTCTCGACAACAACATACTACAATCACTACTATATCTACGGGTTTCCTCCCGAGGTTCCCCAAGTCCGTAATTACAGCACCTCCACCACAACAAGTCAGCCCTCCAACACTTCTGTCAATCCCCTCTGGCCCCGGGCTCCAGTTCGCCGTTCCCAAGTCGTCATCCGGGAGATATCTTCGCCGCTCCCTCAGCCGAACCAATCGATGAAAAAATGGACCCATCCTCATCCAAGCACACTGTTCTTACACCCCTTTGCCGAAAAATGATAGATCCTGATCATTTTGGTTTCTCTCGAAAATGGTATCGAAGAAATCGACCCGTTTTGCCTGGGAATCGTCGAGGTCATGACTGACTGCAACACGTCCGATAGAGCGATCAAGGAGATTCTCAAATATATTGGCATATATACTGGAAACCCCGTGCCCACCATCCCGAGTCTTTACAAAATCCGAAAACGCATGGACCAATTATCAACAGAGAGCGCAGTTTCTCTTCCTTGTTGCCGAAACAGCTGTATTGCCTTTGATGTCGATCATCAATCGGAGAGAACATGCCCGCATTGTGGAGAAAATCGGGGTTTAAGCTTTCGAAAGGTTCTCTCGAATGGCGAGATTCAACTTTCTGAAAAGAACGCCCAGACTTATACGTACTATGAGTTTATACCCAAGCTCCAAAGCCTTTATCAGAACCAGGAGTGGTTCGATTTGATTTGATGATGCACCGAGCCACTCGTGCCCCCGAACCAGGTGAGACATTCTCCAGATTTCCCATCAACAATCGTCCATCATCAATACCCCATCAGTGAGCCCATACTACATATCGGTCTACGCTCGAGCGTTCTGGTCTTGTTCTCGTCTGCTGAATATTCACCATCTTCTGCGGATATACCACTCCATTCCCTCATTACTCCACAGGAATAGTGATGGATTTCGACAATCTCCCAAACTGGGCAAGGAGTACTGCCAGAACTGCACCGCACCTTCGTTTATGATTGCATAACTGCCTCGTAACTGACTGCCAATTGCACTTTGATTCTCAGTGTATCCATGGCTGGATACCGGTAAGTAATTTTCCAATTCTATTCAATTATTATGACTGCTGCAAATCAGCTTGGACAGCTGAATATAAGAAATTGTTCGCTATTTACAGCCATTTCCGTCGCCTGGGGAGCGGTCCGTGGGAGCGGTTCTGTCCAAGAGGCGAAGCAGTCGGGAGGCGAAGCAGGGCAGGGAGAGCCGCACGGGAATGGGTTTGTGCAACCGCGCTAACCCTAAGAAATTCTGTGCGGAGCCGACACGGAAATTCGAGCCGGATGCATGGCTCGAGCCAGGACGTGCCAATGGTCTGGGTCGCAGGATGAGTCGTTATGACTCACTTTGAGCCTGCTGACTTGGTCCCGAGTTACTCATCTTGGGCAGCACAGGTGGTCCCAAATTTTTCATCATCCTATCTTTCTCAAGTCAAGGTTTAGGGGGTCCACAGAAGCCTGCGCATTACTGGAGAGGGAATTGGGAGAGGAACAAGCCAGCTCCGAAGATCCAGAGGATAAGGAACTGGGGGGGGGGAAGAATTGTGCTCGAACAATACAACCGCACAGCGGGCGCCGGCACATTTATTTGGCCTCACAGGAGAAATAACGACAGAAGAAGCAAGGGTGGCTTTGATAAACCATCACCGAGGCTCAATTCGGAGCCAGGACAAGGATATCGGCAACTCTGTTACATCGGAGTGTCAAGTATAGAACCGATTTCAAGGAACCACATAGGTGGGCAAGGGGGGAGAGACAGACATTGATAGGGCGAACCTGGATTTCGGGCAAGCTCAGGCGCAGTAGTAAAAGTCGTCGATGCAGCTCGTGTCAGCCGAGCAGACCTCCAGCTGAACCCATTTGCCGTGGAAGCAGTGAAGAATGTCGTTTTGGTTACCGCACGAGAACTTGGGGCCGCCCGAGCAAGAGCTGCCGCTGCTGGGCTGGCTGCCCCAGTCAGGAGTGGTGGTGGGGAAGGGAGCGGGATCCGTGGTAGTGGCGACGGGACCAGGACCGGTAGTGGTGACAATAGGACCAGGACCGGTAGTGGTGACAACGGGAGCGGTTGTGGTGACAACGGGAACGGTGGTGGTGGCCACAGGGACGGTGGTGGTTGTAGTGGTGGTGGTTTTGGTGGTCTTGGAAGGACCGCCGGTAGTCTTGGAGGGCTGGACACCAGTGGGCGCATAGCAGCCGTTGTGGGAGTTGGACCATTGCTTCTGGACGACATAGCTCTTGCCATCGGTGCCGTAGACGGTGGCCTGCTGGGCATTGCAGAGATCACCGATCTCGCCGTTGGCCTCATTGTACCAGGCGATGGGAGCAGCGATGGTACTGCCGGTGGCGACACCGACAGCGGCATCGGTCAGAGCCTCGACGAGCTCGTGGGACGAGACGGACTGGAGGTTGTTGAGGGTCGAGGGATCGCTGCCACAGCCGCCAGCGCAGGAACCACCCTGGTCGGGCATGATGCCGTAGTAGAGGTACTTGGTCGAGCTGATGTCGGAGACATCGATGGTGCTGTGGTAGGCGCAGAAAGTGGAGCAAGAGGCATCGCCGCCCATGGTGATGGTGTATCCAGGGGCAAAGTGGATGGGGTAGTAGGTGTTGGTGGTGGGCTTGAGGGTACCGCTCTGGACAAGGCCGCGGAGCCAGGTCTGCAATGAACAGGGGTATATGCAAGCCAGTTAGTAACAGCGTGTGAGATGTCGCTGGAACAGACACGGGCAGAGCAAGCAGTTCGGATCGAGTAATGTAGTGAATCGAGGGTGCCCGGGCGAGTGGGAATCATCGCTCAATTGGGTGCAATACAAGCCAACACAGCGCGAACAGGAAGCATACCTTGATGTTGTCATCGGTGGTGGAGGTGCTGAGGCCAGAGTTCTGGGTGATCGAGCCCGAGAAGGTACCGGTGCCGATGTTCTGGGTGGGGGTGTTGTACTCGGAGAGCCAGCTGATGTAGGGAGAGCCAACGATGGCACCGTAGAAGGTATCCATCTCGTTCTGGTAGTTGACGTTGCCGCCGTAGTAGATGGGATGGACGTCGATGTTGGCGATGACCGGGCCGCCGTAGTAGGTCAGGCCGTTGGACGAGGCAGCGGCAATCTCCTCGACCTTGGGAGCAGGGAAGATGCCGTCCTTGTAGTGGATACCCTTCTGGCGAATGGCAGGCTTGGTGGGAGCAACGACGGGCTTGTGGGGCTTATGGGGCTTGTGTGTAGTGGTCTTGCGCTTGGGAGCAGCCGAGGCAGCTCCGGCGAGGGCAAGGAGCAGGACAACAGAGGACTTGATCGACAGCATGGCTGGGGAAGGGTTGGTGAGAGTAGTGGAGAGGCGGGTGTTGCTCCAAGAGGCGACTGGTCGAGCTCGGCGGCGGATGTGGTGCTGGTCGAAGGAGGCTGGGAACTGCACCGGTATTTATGGCCCTCGAAACCCCATGCGGCACGCAGGATGCGAGGTGGATCCAGTTGGTCATGCGGGAGTGCAGCGGAGTGGAGGGATCACGCCCCAAATGGAGATGGTGCCGCCGAGGAAGCATCCGAATGAAAGAACGCAAAGGACGGGACCCGGCGCGAGAAGCAGCAAAGTGTTTTGCCGACGGGGAAGATGCAGGCAAACGGCAGTGTGCACTTCAGTTGATGAATGGCGCTGGGTGTATTCTGTGCTGGATGCAACCAAATGGACTGCTGTGGCGGTGGTCATGAGGACAGCTGGCAATCTGCCGGCGCAGCGTCCATGGCTGGCGAGTGCTGGGCCAGAGCAGCGATGCCAGACACAGAGGGGCGGACGGTCTGCCAGTGCGCATTGTGGAAAGCGACCGAAGGCTCGGAGGCGAGTATGCGCATGTTGGCGGACGATGCAATACGCCCCCAATGGAAAGCATCGATGGTGCAGGAGTCCAGCTGTTCTGTGATGCACGAGCATATATGCACTCGACTCTCGACGACAACGCATGCAAGACAGCAACCTCGCTGTATGGTGTGCTGACAAACGTCGGGTGTGGGTTCGCTTACGATCAATGTACCAGCCCCGCAAAGATGCTTACAGCTGGGGATGGAATGCTGACTGGGCTGGTGAGGGTGGGGGCGGTGGAAGTGCCGCATCGATCATGTGCCAGCGTGAGAACGCGGGTGCATCTGTTCTGTCAGGCAAATGCTTCTTGGACCCGCATCCTTGAGCCGACCGAACATGGGCACACACGCCGCCGAGCACCAGCAGCTGACGCAGGTGCCTCCCGCAAAATACGAGCGTCCTTGACAATTTCGTTGACGGTCTGCGCTCTGTTCCGGGCGCTTTGGTGGTGCCTCCGAGACGAAAACGCAAGACGCTGGTCATATGAGAACGCAATGCAGTGGACAAGGGAAGCCGTCGAACCACCCACCGACGCTGGAGAGGGGGGGGGCACCGAGCACAGGCCGCGGATCTCGGCGTAGGTCGTCAGTCGTCGGAGCACGACATTGATTGCTACAGTCAATCCAGAAAGAAATGGGACAGTCATAGGCACCAGTGGGCAAGCCATGCGATTGTTTCCCGCCCTGGTTGGCAATCTCTCTGTGTGGTGCATCCACTCGACCACCTGGACAGTTCCATGGTGTGTCGATATCAAGATACTCGGCCTTCTCGAGTCGCTTGGCTTCCCGGTATGTGAGCACACTTGGAGATCGAGTCGCTTGAATGCCGTCGCCGAGTCAGGCTGAAGTACAGCTGTTTGTCCAGCATGCCTCCATCGAACACATGGCGAATGTATTGCAAGAAGGAAGCCACCCCGGGGATCTTGGGACCTGGTGTGGGACTTGGTGTGGTGCTCATTCATTCCTGCAGACCAAGGATCTTGTGGGTGCTCTGGATCTACTTGGTCGCCTGGGTGGTGCCTTTCGCTTGCGGGGAGCCATCTGAGCGAGAAAGCGTCCTTGATTCAGATCCAGAAACGCATCCCTGAATGGCCATGGCCAGCGCGCGATGTGTCGAGTGATAGCATATTTGTCCAACGACCAAAACCCGGGGGGCCCGTTTTTCATTGGATTGACGACCATTCGCTGAAGCGGCGATGGGCGACCATGAAGCGATTTTTGCACCGTGATCAAGCGTCGGGCTCGGTCATGGACGGCGCTGGGGCCTCGTCGTGCCCAAAGCAAACTGTGCGAGCAACCTCATCATCGATCGATCGGTGCGGATGCAAGACCTTGTCCATCCAGGGCGGACTCACCGCCAACGACCAAGGTTAGCGATCAAGGTCAACGACAATGGCCCATCAGTTGGTATTCAGCAAGCAACCCACTCGCGTGGGTACGATATATTTTGACACAGAAGCGTCCTGTTCTTCGGGGGAGGAATTGTAACAGGGTAACGGTACTGCAGACACAATCGGACGGGGCTCAGTCGTATAAATTTGAGTCAAGAAGATTGACACCAGCTGGTAGAAGCGACACCGAACAACAAAACGAGAAGGGTGATTACGCTTGTCAAGGGACTCTGCACAGCCTTATGTTCAACCTTCTGTTCAGCCTTGGAGAAACGTTACTCGTTTAAAGCATGGCAAGAGCAGCACACGCACACGCAAACGCAAAGGCAGGGAATAGGGTCAGTGCAGCGGATCGATGGGCGCCAGAGGGAACATTGGAAGTCGTGGGCGAGGCCGTGGCGGAGGCGCTGGTTGTGGTGGCGTTGATGGTGGTCGGGGACGGCAGGAGAGTGGTTGTGTTGGTGGCGGCGGCGGTTTTGGAGGTGGTGGTGATGGCTGAGCCATCGACATACCAGGGCATGTTCATGCAGGTTCCAATGGGAACGATGTTCAGGCTGATGTTGGCACGGTTCTGCTGGACATACTGGAGGATGCTGAGGATCACGCCGCTGGTGAAGGGGCTGATGTCGTGGCTGAGCGAGATGAAGCCCGGTCGGTTCGGGGCGAACCAGGATGAGATGACGGTGTTTTCGAGCGAAGCAGCGATGCTCGGGCTGGTTGTGGTCTGATCAGCAGCAAAGTCGTCCTTGGACCAGATGGTGACCGAGTAGCCGAGGGCATTGACGATGGAGCGAACACGATCGTCGACGTCACCGTAAGGTGGGCGGAAAAACTTGGGAACATGGCCGGTAGCATTGTAGATCAGGGCTTCGGAATACTTGATTTCGGCGACGATCTGCTCGTTGGTGCAGGTAGTGAGCGGGTGATGGGTCCAGGTGTGGACGCCGATCTGCTGGCCGTCATTGTACTCGTCCAAGACAATCTGAGGGTTCTGGATGACGTTCGATCCAACCACAAAGAAGGTTCCCTTGATCTTCATCTTGTCGAGCTGCTGGCGGATGGCAAGGGAGTCTTGGTGGTTGACGAGATCGACCGTGGGTCCGTCGTCAAAGGAAATGCCCCAGGTAGATGTTTGGGGGCATGCGTAGACATCGGCCTGATAGCCGTTGCCGGGTGCGGAGCGAACACAGGCAGTTCCGGGCCAGTAGCAGTTCTTTGCGACTGCAGCGGCGTTCGAGATATAGTGAGGACGGCGGAGGTGATGAAGAGGGATGGACATCAGCAGTGACGAAAGAGAGAGATGGACACCAGCGGCGATGAGTGCACATATACGGGGTGCTCGGCTGTGGAGCCGGCGGTTCTGCCAAGCATTTCAGGCGATCGTCTGCCTGTTGGGTGGTTGTATCGAAGCTTGGTGTGGGTGGTTGTATCGAAGCTTGGTGTGGGTGGTCATCCGCAAAGGCAGCGAACACAAACACAATCACTGTCGCGGCTGTTTTCGGACATGGAGAGGGGAGTATTGGTGCTCACCATCAGAGTTGTACTTGACAGTCGAGAGGGAAATGTAGGTTGAGGTGGGGATGCTTAGGAGATCGGCTGGGACAACCGACTGGACATATGCTAGGGCACTGGCGGAAACCAAGCGATAGGATCGGTCAGCACAGTGTTCCATAAAACGAAAGCTCGACGCAATGCCGCGGGACCAGGGTCAGTGTGTGTGAGCGGGTGGCAACGAGAACAAACAGACACCGAGGGGTGCTTGGAGACGGAGTCTGCCCCGAGCTTACTCTTGCACCAGCGGATCAGCGAGGAGGTTGCCTGTGATGAACTTGGATTGGTCGGTCGAGGGCCACTCTGGAAGAAGGCAACAGCATCGAGCTCGTTAGCATCGATCAAGGGATGTGCTTGGTGGCCAAAGACGACGAGGGCTTCGAGTCCAGGGATGACTGGAGCCGGAGCAGACGGCGAGCCGCCCGGCCAAAGACAGCAGCAAGCGCCTCCAGCAAAGACTTACGAGCGGGCATGGGCGGGGGATACTGCAGCGACGGGGCTCTGGCATGCACGCGGGGCTGGCCGATGCTGAGGGCACCAGCGGCCTGGAGCAGCGGGAGAGCGAGCAGGAGAGCCAGCGACGAGGGCATCTGTGGGAGCAGGGCTGGGCAGCGAGCAGAGACGATGGGCAGCGAGCAGAGGCAGCACCGATAGGTTTATAGAACGACGGAGCGCTCGCAGAGCATCGGGCTCGAGCGCCAGGATATCGCACCGGAACTCGGCAGAACCCAGCAACAAGCCGAATCCTGGAGCAGGGGGAGGTGGGAAACGGGCCGAGAACACACGCGGCGCGTGGCACAAGCGTGATACGGCCCAGGGGGACGCGGCCTGGGCGCGCGCTGGTTGGCCACGATAAGCGCACGTGCGCGGCGGAAAGCGTGGCGGCGCGCGACGCAAGCGGCCTGTGCGAGGGCGGGCTGTGTCGAGCGAGGCGCGTGGTGTGGTGTGATGCGATTACCAGAGCAGCGATGCTCGCGATCGGTCCGTCCGCTTCTCTGGCTCGACGTCGGCTTATTCGTTGTCCTCGTTCGACATTGGCTTATTCGTTGTTCTGGATCGGTGGCAGTCCATACCCGACTGAGTCTATATCACACCGTGCGACGCAGGGTGGGACATGTGCGCGCCAAACGCGGGTACCCCAAACCAACAACCGCCAAGACCGAGGAGCGGCGAGGGGAGACCGCGCAGCGAGATCGAGCGAGAGCCAGTACAGCGGGCCGAGTCAGACAGCGCGACTCGAGCACCGAGAGCGCACCGAGAGCGTGTGCCCAGAATATCAACTCTGTGTCCAACTCCATTTCCAACCAACTCCAACCGCAGCATCACCTTCAACTTCAACTTCAACTTCACCACCAACGTCAATCCCATCCCATTCCATTCCCATTCCCATCGCCCGTCCTCTCAACCCCCGGATCCGGCCATCCGGACCGCTCCTCCGCTTCCCAACCACCGTCCCCCGACTGTCCGCCTTTCCGCCCCCGTCTTCGGCTCTCTTGGTCTCTGCACGAGGCCTCGCCGTCTGGGCCCAGCGCTCGCTTCGCTCACAGCCACCCAGTCACCACACCCCCATCCACCGGCCTCCCTCGGTGGCTTTCCCCCGCCTGGCTCGCCGCCTCAACCGTCTTGTCAATTCATCTGATACTCCGTCTCTCCCAAGCCCATCATCTATCTGTGTGTCTGCATCGACATTCTCTGGTCCACCGTCTTCCCAGCTCCCAATAGATATCCCCCCAGCGTCCGCATCCTCGTCCCGCCTACCTGCATTCCAACCATGGCCGCCCCAAAGAAAAGCAAGGGCGTCAAGAGCTTTCTCGAGAAGAGGAAAAACTCCTTCCTGTCGAGCGTCCGTGCCGAGCCCGACGACTCCCTGTCCAACTCCGAGCCCTCCCGGAGCTCCTCGCTGAACAAGACCTTCGAACTCGATGTGGCGATCCCGTCCGGCTCCTTGCTCTTTGATGGATCCAACGGCAACGCCGAGTGCAGCTCGCCCACCGAGCTGCGACCTGCCGATATCCGACCCGCCGACATGCGACCCGCCGAGCCGCGACCCGCCGAACTGCGATCCACCGAGCTGCGGCCATCGCTGGAGGTGCCCGAGAAAAAGTTTACCAAATTCAACCTTGCCCTGATCAACAACCAGGTCGACAGCTTTCTGCACACCGGCCGCATCTCCATGGACGGGCTGAAGGGCAAGCGCAAGAAGCGCACTCGCGACCGCGAGTCCGTCCGTTCCTCCACCTCGAGAGACTCGACCGATCAGCTCTCCGATGTCCAGGTCGCTGTCCAGGTCGCTGTCCCGGCCGAGGCTGCGTCGCCCAAGACCGAGCAACTCGTCCCGGCCCTCGCCCTGCCGCCCACCGACCCGTCGTACATCCAGCTCGACGAATACATGGTTTGTATTTTGATCTTGCACTTGCGTTCTGCACTCGACGCTGGCCATTGCATTTCGCCGGCACCTGCTGTATTTGCCATTTGGCTTTGCTCTTGATGCTTGCAGGCATAGTCCGGCGGCGCAATGGCGCTTGAGGAATGGCGGGTGCATTGGACGGCGGTGGCCTGTTGGTGTCGAGTGGGGCGGGCGGCAACTTGCCTGCGGGATCGGGGGGCGACTCTTGGTGGCGGTGAGCGGTCCGTCGAGCGGGTCATACGTGGAGGTGATTTGCTCTTTATCGCCCCATTGCCACTCTTGACTAACCCAGCCTTGATCCCTTCGTTTATGCGGCAGGGTTGGCGCGGTCGCTACACTCCACGATACCTGTCGCCTCATAAGTACTTGAAGTCCAAGCGTCTATCGGACAGCAGCTTGTACAGCGACCACGAAAGCGACAGCGACGAGGACGTCGATACCGTTCCCGGTGCCGCCGCCACCACCACCGCCACCAACACTGCTGGGACCGACACCAGCGCCGAGGGTGACGTCAGCCCAAGCTCCTCGGTAAAAGTCAGTGTCTATGCCGAGAATCTGGCCGAGGGAGTCTCCAAGCCGAAGCATGTCGACGGATCCCGTGCCGATGTTCCAAACCCGTATAGCGACTCGCTGCCCACAATAGAGAGCGACGAGGAAAGCGATGACGAGGACGATGGGCCTCACGGAAGGGTAAGTCGCTAACGGATGCATACTGCCTGGCTGATGCTGACTGATCGATACATCTCGAATATTGCGTGGTGCTCTGTGCGAGATGCAGTCTGTACCGACACGCAGCTTGGCGTATTCGCTCCGTCCTGGTGGCGGTTGTCCCCTCTTCCTCCTCCACTGCGACGCATCCACCAACCTGTAATACGACCACACCCAAGACAATCCCCGCGGTGGCTGCTCCTTCTAACGCCCTCGTCTTCGCCTACCACCCAGCATGTGTCTCTGCTCAACCCCGTCATGGAAATCGAGATCCCGCAGATCGCGGAGCAAGTCCTGCCCAAGCGCATCATTCGCCCGCGTCTGCGCGACATTGCCGAAATGAGTGTCATCATCCGGCGCACCCAGTTTGGATCTGACCTCGAGCTCTCGCCCGTGATCCCCACGCCCTTCAACATCACCAAGCACCATAGCATCTCAAACCTGCGTCAGCTCGCCCCCGAGCTACCACGGATCCACAAGCATCAGAGTCTCGGCAATCTCCACGTTCCTCCGAGCCCCCGTCGCTCACAGGACGATGCCGCTAGCATCCACTCGAATCAATCGGACGTGTCACCGTCAAAGGCCATGATTGCCAGCTTCAAGCAACGCCTGGCCGAGAACCGGCAGCTGGCCACCCAGCCCAAGCCGAGGACGGTGTGGCATCTGTCCAAGCCTGCAGACCAGAACGACGACTGGAACACTGGCATCGAGAACTGCATCCGTCGGGCCAACGAAATTCGCCAGCGCGAAACCCTGCAGATGGGCAAGCGCGTGCTCTCGGTTGACCCCAGCGCCGAAATCGAGGGTCTCGATGAGGCCATGCGCAACTCGCTCGAGATGTGAGGGCGGTGTGAGACTTGTCAATATCCATTTGGTAACTCTCTCGCTCGCCATCGCCCTCGCCATCGCCATCGCCCTCGCCTTCAACCCTCTCCCCCCCCTCCTCGTCTACCCCGCCCTCCAGCCGCCACCCTCCTGCATCTTTCCTCCCTCTCTTCCCTCCAGCCTTAGAGTTCTTCCTTCTCCCACCGTGCCGTCGTGCGTGGGTTTCTGCAGTATGATTGCCGTCGATGCTCAATGAAGCCCTCAGTCACCCGGTGGATCCGCATCGGCAGCCACCGGCTGTCGTGCATTTCTTTATCGTGCATTTGCGATGGTGCTGCCAGTGGGCGCAGACATTTTCTCTGGGGGGTTTTGGGCTGCTGCCCTTCCGATCTCCCCCCCCCCAGAATTAGTTTTGCCACGACTCTTTGCTCCGCTAATTACTTGAGCAGAAACACTCCGTTGGCAGGGCCATTCATCTCTCTCCGATTCGGGGGGCATTTCGGATCGCCCGCTCATTTACCATTTCATTTGCCCATTTGTTCATTTGCTCATTCGACTTCACCGCACCCTTTTCAATCCCTTGTACTCGCACCGTGTTTTCCTTTCGCATCAATCGATTCCAACATTTTCCTTGTATTCCTCCCTGTTCTTTTTTGCAACTTGCCATGGCTTCCTTTCGCCATTTTCGGAACATCGAGAGCATCGATCCCCCTCCTATCCATGCCCCAGTCATCCTCAAATACATTCCATTCTATTTTTCTTTCTTTCTTGCTTGCCTGTCTGGCTGCTTGCTTGTTTGCTTGTTTGCTTGTTTGGGTGAACAACCTCCCCCCCCCACACACACACAATCACCGCTCGGAGCAGTCGTGGCTATGAATGTGTGTATTGTCAAGACCAGCATCCAACCGCAGCGGGATCTTCCTTTCTCTCTTTCTCACGCATTCTCACTTCCAAGCTCTCGGGTCCCTGGGCCGCAGCTTCACGCACGGCTGGATTGCAGGCGAGAGCCCGCAAACAACAATAAAATAAAAAAAATGACAATAGTGATAATGAAAAGTAACTCACGGCGGTTAGGGCACGATAACACAAGCACCCGCCGCCAAAAGCCGAGCATGTAAATGCTTGATCGGTGTTTGCTGTTAATGTGAGAGACTCTGTTGAATCTTCAGAAACGCGTTACACCGATATCCGCCTGGCAAAAGGGCATTGGCCGTTGAAATCCAGACACACGTTCGCGTCCACAACAACATGGGCTGGGGATCGGAGGGGGGGGGCAAACAGAATGGCCAAAACGACGCATGAGAACAAGAGACAAAATCGCAAGAGGGATAAGAGTGTCATTGTGGCAATGACAGTATATGATCAAGCAATGAGAATGAAAGGGCTGGGATGACGATGGCGTGTTTGTCATTATTTTTTTGATGGATCCCGAAAGTCACCGGCTGGGAAAGGAGAGGAGGGTTCTATATGGATGTCTTGAGAGAGAGAGGAGCGGGGAGGCGCGGCTGGCTTAGTAGATATCATTCTCGCCATTGCCGTCCCAGACGCTGCTCTTTCCGGTGACAGAGAACTCCAAGTCTTCCTTGGTGATCGAGTCCCAGAACTTGTAGACCATCATGACACCAAGGAGAGTACAGATGACGCCAAAGAACATGCCGTCGATGTAGTGCTGGGCCAGGTTGCAGATCTGGATCGAGAAGATATACTGGCAGACCTGGCCAGCGGCAAAGAACAGGAATCCAACAGTGATGTCACCTGCAAGTCATGAGCGAAGCAATACAGCACAATGGTTAGAATCGGTCCATGATGCAAAGACGTGGCAGGTTGCGCAAGCTACGCGATCGACCGGAGCGAGGTAAGGTGCCTGGTGGTAAAGAGGGCCCGGTTGTGTTCGATCCCACCAAGAGAAGCACGCCGTCTTGACAACCTCGATTCTGGACCGTAGCCATGGCAGCCCAGCCCAGCCCAGCCCAGCCATCGGATCCGGATCGAAGCTTGTGGTGTGGCCTAGTGGCAAGCCGCACGTTGACCGAGCCAACATACAATTGGATCCAGTCCACAGCCGGATCCAGGACCAGCCCGCCTCCCACATCCTTGCGAGCGTGTACTCACCAATGGGCCACTTGTCTTCCAGAGTCTTGACGACCAGGATGATCTGGAGCACGTAGTAGATAAAGACGCAAGCGACGGAAAACACAAAGTAGACGATGAAGAGACCGATGGGGCTGGCCGAGTTGAAGGGGCCGATGCCGAGGAAGGTGGCCAATGCCACAAACATGGTGATGGCAAAGACGACAAAAGTGGCGATGCGGATCGACTGGATGCAGTAGCGACAGAGCAGACAGGGACGAGTCAGTCGGTTGAGTCGAGCGGTTGCCGTGTGGGCCCTGAGTGCAGTAGGAGCTGGCGCTGGGTCCGAAGCCGACTTGGCCGCAGAATGATGCTGGACATCCATGTGCCAGCCAGGCCACAGGGCCGGAGGACCGGACGAGTCTGCCTTACCCAGAGCGATTGAGGGGTACCATCCTCAGCCCACTGGAAGCCGACGAAACCGTTGCAGAGCAGACAGAACATGGTGGCGACGCCGAGGCCGATGTAGCCGGCAACAAAGTACTGGAGAGAAAAGTAAGGCAGAGACACGGTAAGTGAGTGGGGGGGGGAGACATGGTGGACAGGCAAACCAGTGGGGGAGGCTCGTCGAGGACACCGATGGCAAAGCAGCAATCTCAAAGACAATCCTGGACAGACGCAGCGGGACAGCTGTGCCAGAGGGCAGCGCACGCAGGTATCCCAGTCTGATAGATCCAGCTCCGACCATCCAGACATCCAGACATCCAGACATGCACTGCGCAATACCGAGTCTGCGCCTCCCTCGACAGCCACAGCAAGCAGCGACGGCGACAGAGTGCCAACGAGTGATGCTTCTGCACACTTACTTGGTAGAGGAAAGACGACGAGGCAATGATGCCCGAGACCAGCAGGAACTCAAAGATGGTGGTGAAGGCGTACATGTAGAAGAACATGACGATTTCCTTCCGGCCGACGGCGGTGTATTTCGAGCGGATGTGGTAGATCATGATTCCGGTCATGATCAGGGCCACGAGGTGGATGATCAGGACGGCGGGCTCGAAGATGAGGATGCCGGGGTCGCCGCCGAGCTGGATGTTTCGGGAGTAGCAAGAAGCCTCGACGCCTCCACCGAGGGTGTTGGTGCTGACGAGCGGACACAGGGTCAGCGAGAGCTGGGAGCAGAAATAGTCGAAGCTCCCGAAGGAGAAGGGGTACTGGGTGGACGACATGGCGTTGGAGGCAAGCGTATGTGTGGGAGGTGCAGGGTCTCGCCGGTGCTCTGGGTGGGAGTTGCCTGGAAGAGGCTTGAGAAGATGGGCGGAAGGGCAAGATGGGGGCAAGCGAGGAGAAAAGACGACCAAAGGACGACGAGACGGGCGGGGAGGGGCGAGGCCGGGGGACGAGGCGGCGCCGGGTGGCAGCGAGCACCGCAGTGTGAATGGGACGACAAGCTGCGGCGCGGCGCCCTCGCCTGCCCTCGCCCGCTCTCGGTGCCGATCTCGCTGGCGGTCTTGGTCACGGTCCTTCTCGCGGTCCTGCTGTGGGGGGGGTGCATTGCGACTGTGGGCCGTTCTGTCCAGAACGCGCGGCCGCTGCAGTCGCAGTTTAATGCCGCGGGCAGTGGCGGTGGGGGGGAGCAAGGCCCCGCCGCGCTGCGCAAACACAAAACAGAGGCGGCGGTGGCGGGTCGGCTGTGCAGAGAGCGTCGATGGCACGGCAGCACACACTGTGGGCACACATTGCAGAGACAGTGTGCGCAGCCACAGTAGCAACAGCTGTGTGTCTGTCTGGCGGACAAGAGGACAAGAGGACAAGGGGACAAGAGGTCGCTGTCCGAGTGCGGCTGTCCGGCCCCCCACCGAGAGGGGCGGTGCCCAGATCCGTACATGCACTGCCACATCCATCGCTCCCGGCATCTGCCGTCCACGTGTCGCCGAAGATTCCATTTTGGCCAGAGGCTTCCCACGATCGGGTTCTCACCGAGGGTTTCCGACAGACGGCCTCTCGCCCACACGCTGTCCTGCACTCTCCTATTGCCACAACTGCCCGAATCGCCGAATCCTCCTCCAGGATCTTCCATTGCAAACTCTGTCTCGTGCGCCAAAACCTTTTCATTTTGGCACTACACCAGCATCCGACCAGAGCGAAAAATGCCGTGTTCACCCGCTCGCCACTTGCCACTTGCCACTAGCTACTCGCCACTTGCCACTTGCCACTAGCTACTCGCCACTTGCCACTCGCCACCAACTCAGAGCGTCGTTGACTTCCATTGCACCGTCAAGCATTCCGTGGATCTGCAGTCCTTGCTTTGTTCTTTTGTGTCCCACCCCGCTTCTGGATCCTCTCTCGATGAGCTGCCAGAAGCAGTTCATCCGACCTCCATCTTCGCCCTGGGAGCATCCCACCCAAGTCCGAGGCCGCACAGACCGCCGTCAAGATCACCAAGCGCGAGTTAGTGTCGGCACCAACTGGACCAAGAACAAGCCTTCGCTGGCTCTGCTGCTGCAATGGAACAACCCTCCGCCCTCGCCGTATCGCTCTATGAAATCGTATCGGGCATCCTTGGATACGTCGACTCCAGGCGGGATCTGCTGTCCGCCATTCAGTGCTGCCGACTCTGGAGAGACATCGGCACCAGCATTCTTTGGAGCCACTTGGATCTCGATACAGCGATCCCGGGTATGTCAGCGACGCTCTGCACCATCCCCACTGGATATACCATCCGCATGACGACCTTCAGCTCATCCAGTTCCATCGTTCGAGCTCGATCACTCTTGTCCTCTCCGACAATGGTCTCCCCTCAGCTTCCCCCACTCCTCCTGTCGATCGATTCATCCACCGTAATCCATGCTCAAGTGCTCTGATGTACATGTTTCCACACTCACATCGTTCGTTCGACTCTCCTTTCACTATGCGCTCAACTCTTACTCACCTGTCGCAGCCAAAACGATCCCCATCCGCCGATCCCAATACTTCATGAACGAGCCCGTTCCCGACAGCACCTACCTCGCCAGTCTCTGCGACCCGGCCGACACTCGTCGCCTACAGCGCCTCATTCTCACCATCCAAGCCAATCCTGGCTATCTCAACCATGTGTCTCGCCTGACCGTGCGCTTCAACTACCAACTCTCGCTATCGATACCCACTCCCATGCGCTCCAACGACCACTATCTTGAGTTTGAAGAAGAAGACCTGCCCGAGTCTGTCAAGCAGTTGTGTTGGTCATGCTGCTGGCAGCGGATCGCCATGATCATCCAGATCTGTGACTTGCTCACTTCTCGGGCTTGGAAGTCCAAGTGCTCCACCACCGGCCCAAACCGCCTCACCATCGTCCTCAACATCGATCTGCCTCGCCGCTCGTACGATGAGCGCCTGGCCATCTACACCGTCTTCCAGACCCTCTCAGAGTCCTTCCAATTCGGCCCCTTTGCTCGGAGACCGAGTCCAAGCCTGCCAGATTCGTCAGCGATCCCCATGGCCTTGACAAAGGGGTCATTGGTCTTGTCAGAGTCCATGGCCCTGCACGATCCTCGCTTTCTCATTCCGTTCTTCACATTCGACGATACTCCGGCTCCAGGAGGCGCACTCGTGGACACAGACGAATCATCCCTCGTCCACAGTCGCACCTGCTGCTTTGACGAGCTGCATCTCTGGAACGGCACCCTCTTTGCTCCAACAACCCTGGCCTACATTCTCAAGGGCCTTGGACCACTGTCGGTCCTGAGACTCGAGCGATGTACTTTGACCCCAGAGGCGCTCGATCTGCTGCTCCAGCGTTCCCACACCATCACCTCGCTGTTCTGGAGCCACACAGTCTTCCCACCCGATACCCCGATGTTCTCGTCCGTCCTCAGCCGATTCACTCGCCTCTCGGCTCTGTCGCTGCGATCGTGTGTCCGAACATGGTCGCCGCCTATCACGGATGTCTGCACCCTTGTTCCTGCAGTGGGGAAGGGCTTGGTCGTGCTGGACGTCTCGCAATGCTTCCGCCTCGGCAGCGAGTTCTTCTTGTCTGTCTCAGATGTCTGCCCAAACCTGCAAGATCTGAACCTCAAGGGCAACATGATCAAACCTGACGAAATCACACGGATACTCGAGCACTGCCCGAGACTGCGCCGACTCGATCTGGCCGACTGCCCGTATGTTTCCATCACGATCCTCGAAAGCCTCGTTCGTTTGCGCCCGCGCTCGCTTCAGCATCTCGATCTTAGCGGCTGCAGCAAGGTCGTCGAGAATGGCTCCAGAGCCTGCGTCCTCATCTCGGTCGCCACTCACTGCCTGCCCCTCAGAACGCTCCAGGTGGGCCCGATCCGCACCGTCGATTCTCTGCGGGACTGGCGGGTCCTGGCCAGTCTCAACGGCATCCTCACCGATCGGTTCAGTCAGGGACGCTCCTGCCTGTCTCGAGACGAAGCATCGGATCTTTCCCGCATCAACCCCGCCGAGCACCTCCAGCCTCCATCAGAGGACGACCCGCAGCGCTATGTCCATTACCTTCTTGCCTTGACCATGGACCGCTACGTCTCCTTCGACATGGACATCCTCCGCAACCTCACCAGTCACATCGAGAACCTCAAGCACTCTGCCTTGGAACACAATGTGCTCAACGAACGGGTTGCGACCCTCGAAGACCTTTACCAGCGCAGCCTGGATCTTCGCCCACCCGAGCCAGCACCGGTCGACAGATACATGGCCACTGACGTCGCTGCCACTGGCTGCCCAGTTAAACTCTTGGCACAGCAATCTTGAATATACGTGGCTGATCGTTACAGTCGACTTGCACACAACTCAAATGGAGCGCCGCCTACGCCGCCGTTCGTTCATCGGTCTCGGAATGTAGTCTCGCTTCATTTTCACACGGATGGCGAGTGATCGGCATGAAGGGAGGTGCCTTGGCATCGGCAAGATCTGGCCCTCTCTATCCCAATCTATAAGCTCGGTAATGACGATGGATGTACTTGACGGTGGCACCCTCACAGTGTGTCATCCAGAGACGCAGTCTTGCGGCTCGACCGCGACGGATGTCGAACAAACCAGTGGTGGAGAACAACAATCCCGAGATCGAGCATAATCACACCCAAGTACGAGCTGTGGCGGCGACAACGATAAAGCCCCCCCCCCAAAGTGAAGAAAGTCAGAAGCTGCTGATGCTACCAACCAACCAACCAACCAACCTGAGGTGTCGCAGCTACCAGTGGTGCGATGTGCCGGATGTGCCCTCTCCCACATTTGCTCGTGTCCTTACCCGGCACTGATGTAATCGAATGGACCGTCATGGAAATAGAGCGACACCAGCGAAAATATGCCTCCGAGGATGTCGCAGGCGAGGAACAGGAAGCTGATACCATCGACCTGTCGCTGGGCTGTAGGTGGTTGGCAAGATGCAGGGACAAGAGTCAGAGATGCGAGTAAAATGGAACGGAATCACAATTGGCCATAGTCATCAATATAGAGAGTCGTCCATAACCGGGGGAGGGGCAGCATTGCGATTGTCCTCATGAGCATTCAAGAGCACTCACCACAGATCGTTATGTACTGGGGGATGAATCCACCAATGATCAAGACCGTCGGCACCAGCCCCAAGGCGCTGAGCACCCCTGATTCTGGATTCTGGATGCCTACCCACTGGTAGCGAGCACGAACGGCATCGATTGTCAGTTGGTTGCAGTGCCCACTCTCGCAGCGGAATCACGATGGCCATGTGGTTGTCCATGTGGTTGTCCATGCGGTTGTCCACACAGTCGTTCCGTCGATACAAGAATAGAAAGCCGCAGATTCGCCTCCTTACGTTGACAATCAGGTACATTCCGAATTCTAGGCAGCCGAAAACCACGCAGAGCAATGCGAGTAGGACGGTCGCTCGCTGGGTCGTAATAACTCTTGCTTGTCTGCAAAGAAACGACAGAGTGAGTGTAAGCCCACAAGGGTCCACCCATGTCACCAAGAGCAACAACGACCAGGGTCGCAGCGGCATTCGCTGGATCGGTATCAGCGAAACTAGTAATCGTAATAATTCACAAGCACAGCGTCATTGGTGATCCCCCCCCCGAAAGCCATCGCCGATTACAATGTCGTATTTCTTCCCTCCCACCCTTTTCCCGGCCGCGAACCTTCGATAAAGCAGACACTGGACAAAGCAAACGAGGGCAAAGAAACAAAACAGGTTCGGCTGCACGATCAGTCCGACGGTGAACCGGCCCTCGGGCTTGCCCATGCCGTAGCCGGCAAAGAACGGCGCCCAGATTGCCCAGCAGAACATCATCGGCGAGGACAGGACCCCGACGGCTCCGTGTCTATAGTTGGACCATGCTGTGCAAGGAGGAGAAGCAGGAGCCATGGCCGAGTCGCAACCATTGGAGCAGATTCGTCAGCGAACCGTTGCCGATACGTGGGGGGGGGGCACAGTGGATGCGAGATCGCTGTCGATGCGCATGGAGTCGATGAGAGCTGCTGCTGCGACAAAACCAAAACCAAACTGCCTCACCCTGTGGGCACAGTTGGAAGCTCCAGAAGACCAACCCCAGGTAGGCAAAGACCTGCTTGACAATCGCTTTGGTTGCCGGATCGATGTCGCCCATCGCAGCCGAGAGGACCACGGCCAAGATCACGACGAAGCCCGCGGATCGCTCGTCTTTCGGTTGCGGGGGCGAACAATGCGCAAACAAGCAACGGAATTTGAGTTTTGGCCCGCTCTTCACACCTCGGTCCGCCGCCAACACACCCGCCATACGGACAGAGGCCATCGAGGGGCCGCCTGTCGATGCTGCCAGGAAGCTCAAGATGCTTGCGGTATACTACAGTATATATTGGACATGAGATTGAGGAAGTGGAGACACAGCATATCGAAGAGGACATCACCAAAATGAGAAGACCGAACTACCTCCCGCTTCCTGTTCTACTGGGGGTCGGTCGGAATCACCCAGCAAGCACTGTTGGGCCAGCGAGGGGTTGGGGAGGGGTTGCAACGGATGAGGGGTTTGGGATAGCAAAGGACGAGTGAGAGGGGAGCAGCGGGACCGGGGAAGAGGTGGGTTTAGTCTTGATATTGGGCCAGCTTGTCCGAGAACTCGACCGAGACACCGCCCATGATGGCGACACCTCGGATGACGACCTTGGAGGTGGGCAAGCCCGAGTAGTACGGGTTCTTATGGATGCCAATGCTATTGAGCGCAGAGGTGGAAGCAAACAGCAAGAGTCAGCCGTGATCAAGATAGGGTTCGTCGAATTCCTGTTGTGCATCGAATGGCCATGCGGGGCTCACGGATGCCGATCCAAACGATCGCTGTGGCCGCATTGGCTCTCATTCGCGTCAGATCAAAGGACTGGGTGGTGGCCCACTTACCCGCCCAGAATTGCAACGCCTTGGTTGACGACCTCAACGTCAGCAGGCACCCGGATGGTGATTCCTCCCAGAAGCGAGGCTGCATTGATGGTATAGGTTCCTCCACGAACCAGCTTCGTGTTGATCAGGTCCAGATCGGTGCCTCCCATGATGGCAAACGAGGTTTGGGCTGATTTCGAGGAGCTGCCGTGGCAGCTGGATTGGACGACGGGCGGGGCGCTGTACTGGGCGACGGGTACGGGAGGCAGAGTTTGGTCCTTGTTCAGGGTAGACGGGGCGCCGTTCGGGTAGACTTGGTAGGTCACCGGCAGGGTCGAGTCTTGCTGCTGGTACTCGGGAAGGCCATCGTGCTGTTCGGGCGGGGGCATGGGCAGGCCCTTTTCGTTCTTGATATCCTGGATGTTCTGCATATTGTCGGTGAGTGGAAGACGGCTTGGGTGTCTGGATGAGGGCTGTTGCGAGCGGATGCTGGGATGGCGAGATGAGACGAAACAGGGCGGAGAGGACGGGCCTCCTGGATTTATACCCCCGGAGGACGGTTCTTGGCACGTCTTGGCAGCCAGGTGGTGGTCGGCTGCCAAGAGCGGATCGCCCGCCGCGCCACATTGGGATTGGTCGGAATCGCTGTGCTCGTGCACAACCGCAGTCGGCGTGCGAATGTGATTGTTTTCGATGTGGCGCGGCGGGGAGGGCAGCACGGCGTCGCCATTGGTCGACGACTGGACTCCTGGGTCTTGGCATTCCCAAGGCGGACAGAGCGTCTGCAGCGTGTCGCCGCCGCACGATCTTCGAGCACGGATCAGCCTCATACCCACACGGATCAGCGTCGTATTGGATGCAAGTGCAAATTGTATTGACGGAAGCGAGGGACGCTCAAATACAGCGACAAGGATTCGATTGTCAAGAGAGATGCCGAGGGGGGGGGAGAGAGCGAATGCCTCTAATCGTACTGGGCCATCTGGTTGGCAAATACGACCCGAACGCCGCTGAGAACAGCCACGCCGCGGATCAAGACTCGCGAAGTTGGCTCTCCGGAAAAGTATGGATTCTTGTGGGTGATTACTCTGCCCGAGGGTGTCCAGTGCAGCAAGCAGCAGCAAGCAGGAGAGGGGAAACAGAAGAATAGAAATGTGTGATTAGATCCAACATGGCGTTGCCATCGGAGCCAGATCGACATACATATCCTGGATCGAGGCTCTGGCTGCTGCATACATTAACACCGCTCACAGAGTCTGCCACAAATGCTTACCCGCCCAGCACCAACACATTTTCGTTGACAACTTCGACATCGGCCGGGACAGTGATCCTCACGCCGCCCATGATCGTGGCGGCATTGACAACAAACGTCTGTCCACGAATGAGCTTTGTCCGAGTCAAATCCACCTCAGTGGTGCTCAGGAAGGACACAGACGAGGTGTCTGTACGGGCCAGAGCCGAGTCGGCTCCAACGACATGAGCGTCCTCCGCAGAGCCTTGCCCTCGAATGCGAGCTCGCAGCCGAGTCCGAAGCCGAGACAACCGCGGAGACACCGATTGCAGCGGATCGTCGTGGTGGTGGCGAAGGCGATTCTCGGCAGTCGGAGCAAGTTCCTGTGGTTGAGCTGCCGCAGTAACTCCTGGGGCTTGAGTCGTCGCAAGCAGCTGTTCGGGCTGCGGAATGGTTTGGGTATGGGTTTGGACAGCCGAGTTCGACTGGAGCTCGCGTTGGGCTGAAGTCGAGCTATCGTAGCGCTCGTATTGAGGCGGCGGATCATGCCAAGGAGGCAGCGAGTGCGGATGCGGATGCGACTGTGGCTGTGGCTGTGGTGTGATCTGGGCCGGGACGAGGCGTTCAGTCGGGAACGGGTTGGTTGGTTGGTGGATCGACTTGAGGTCGTAGCCGCCGTCGTCGTCGAATTTTTTCAGGTTGGTTCCAGAGTTCATGTGGTGCGATAGATGGGAGAGAGTGAGAGAGTGAGAGAGTGCAGCGGTATCGCAGCGGTATCGCAGTGCCAAGAGTTGCGAGGGACAGGCAGATATTCTGCGCGGATCCTTGGCGTTGAGTCTTGGCACGGTCTCTTGGCGAGTGACATGACGCCACCACGTTGTATTGGCGGGGCGGGGATGGGTGTTGGCGATGGTTGCATCCGTTGCGGTTGCATCGGCTGCGGTTGCATCGGCTGCGGTTGCCCATCCGAGGCTTCGGTCGATGATTGCCATCGATGGTTGTCATCCTCCATCGCTATCCCCACCAAGAGAGATTCATATCAATCGCTTGTCTCCCTGGTCGTGGGCTGCTGTCCCCATGTCCTCGTCTCATGGCTGCTTCCGCTGTCCAGCAGCCCGGGCCATCGGGCCGTTGATCAGGGCATTGCAACACTTGCTTGCGGACCATCTCCAGCCCTCGCCCTGGTCCTTCCGCGGCCACCTCTGTGAAGGTTGGGCGGCTGCTGGCTCTGGCTCGCACTTGTCCCGTTCTTCCGGCTGTTTGTTGTCCTTTGCTGCGTGCGCCTGTGGCTCCTGTCTCCTGCTCGATGCCACATCGGATAGGACCACTTGTCACTCGCTCGCCCTTTGCCTCTCTCGCTCCTCGACGGCTGCGACAGCTACCCGCCATCGAGCCTGGGGTCTGAAATCGCAGATCCTGCTGTCCTCGGCTCGATACGCTCCATCACTGCCACAATCGACCAGCTGTCGCTTTGGATCTGCATCATGTCAGCCATCGCCCGAATCGAGCAGTTCCGGTCGAGCACCACGGCCGCCTTCATCGTCGTCTTCGTAGCCTTCTTGGTTGATGCGGTAATGATACAGAATCCTGCCTACGCTCAGCTCTTCATCGGCGGTGCTTCGGGGCGTGCTGCAGGGTTCTCGACCCGGTGCTGGTTTACAGCTGCTGCCGCCCTCGGTTCCTCGCTGTATGATCTGGATGCACCGACCCAGGACACTTCAGCCAAAGATTTGCAGCTCACCAGTTCGCCATTATCCATTCTCTCGGTTGCCCCCCCACCTCCAACTGCTCGTGTGCCGACGGACTGGTCTACAACTGCGGTATCGTCGCCTTTATGGCAGGTTGTCTATGGAGTCGTTATCCCAATCCTGCCGAAATTTGTGACCCAAAAGATGGGCATCGAGGAGAAATATGTCGGGCTCTTGTTTGCCTGCTATTCGGCCGGCCTGCTTGCCACCACCCCGGTGGTCGGTGTCCTCTCGGACCGGTATCGAAACAGACAGATCCCGATGCTCGTCGGGCTGTTGGCACTGTTGCTGACGACCCTAGCCTTTGGCTATGGCGAAACATTTGGGTGAGTGCTCTGTGGGCGGCCCCCTGTCATCTGGGACGGGCCCCGGTCGGCTACTCACCACCACGACCGACATATCTTCCAGCGTTCTCGTTGCCGCCCGTATCGGACAAGGCATTGCCGGCGGAATCAGTTGGACAATAGGGGTGAGCCAACCAGTCTACGGGAGCGCTTGATGCAGCAACGGCTGACATGATAGATGCCATGTCCGCGCAGTGCGGACGGCTGCCGATTCGACTCCTGTCCATGCTACATCGTTGGGCTCTGTGGCGGATCCAGGATCTGAATCGCCATCTTACCCTTGTTGGCATCGTGTGCCGCTATGCATTCCTCAACCGACTGGACGTTGCGATTGTGCATATCCCTCGGCAGCTCTGCATGTTTGCGGATATATACCCTCCATCCAAGCTCGGGATTGCCATGTCCAATCTCCTGGCTGCCAATACCATCGGCGTCACCGGTATGCTCCTGCTGACAAGTTCGTCGAGTTGAAGTGGGCCGGAGTTGGAGTCGGCCATTGGGAGGAAGAGTATTCGCACATGTGCCGTCTTGGTTTGCTACTCTCCAGCGGCGCTGTCGATGCATTTTCAGCGCTGCACCGTCCGCAACTGTTTCCGATCCATGCCTGATCCATGCCTTGATCCTGCTCCCATTGCCTTCCTGCGCATGTCAACTCCGGACTGCCGGGCGTTCACATCGATTGTCAATCTGCACCCTCTTGCTTCAGTCGGACCTCCCATCGGTGGTATTCTCTATGACAACCTTGGCCAGCACGCGCCCTTCATCTTCTGTGCCGGTCTTGCCGGGATCGACTTTCTGGGCCGGCTGATGCTCAAGACCAAAGTGGCCGACGCAGCCACGGATTCATCGACTGGAGACGAGACGAGTCGGGATGCTGAAGCGACGGCCCCAAAACGCAAGGTCTCGATGATCTCGCTGCTCAAGAATCCACAGGTTCTATGTACCTGTGGCTCCGTTCTCTTTGGCACGATCGCGTTCACTGGCATTGAGCCGACGGTGCCGATCTATGCAGCCCAGCAGTTTGGGTTCAACCCGACCAACATCGGCCTGCTCTTCCTGGCGATCGTCCTGCCCAACATTGTCGCCTCGTACTTTGCCGGCTGGATCAGCGACCGATACGGCCGCAAGAACGTCCAGGCAGCCGGGATGCTGGTGGTGTCGCTCTCGTGCGTCTTTGTCGGGCTGGCACCCACCCTGAGCCTCTTCATCGTGGCCTTTGCCCTCATGGGCATCGGTGTCGGCTTCAACGTCTCGCCAACGCTGCCAGAGATGGCCGAGTTTGTGGAAGAAAGGTTTGTGTCGCAGTGTTGGAACAGCAACATTGCAATGTTGCTCGCTGGCAGGACAAGAGCCTAAAAACCATTGCGACGGGGATGCGGCGGGCTGCAAGACATGTGGCTGTGGCTGAACGCTGCTAACCCGAGCACCGCCGATGACCACTACCATGCCAACAACGCCAACAATATCGACAACACCCACAACACCGATGCCATCGTTTGATCGCTGAATCGCTTGTCTCAGCGGCGGAGGCGCCTATGCTCAAAGCTACGCCCTGTTCAACATGTCCTATGCCAGCGGCATGCTCTTTGGCCCCATCATCGGCTCGGCACTGGTTGATCGCTGGGGCTTTGCTGCCCAGATGTACTTTTTGGCGATTGCATTGTTCTTGTACACACCAATCTTGGTGTATTTCCACCTCAAGCGGGTCAAGGCCGGGCATCCAACGTCGGCAGCAGCCCCTGTCCAGGAAGAGCCCGTTGACCACAGCGTACCCAAAGCGAAACAGGACATCCTGTTCTGAGCCAGAGCCATTGTTGCTTTCTGGGTCCTGAATACACGCCACATTCATCGCCTGCCATGACCAAAGAGCGTGTCCCGTTCACTTGGGGTACGCTATAATTGACATACCCTGGTCTGCTGCATGTACCACTCCATGTACCAAGCTGCTCTATCCCAAGCCCACCGCAAGCGCATCGCCCAGGACGATCGTCTTTGCGCCCCAGGCTCCCGGTCGGGGCTCGTCCTTTGCACATGTTCCGCCCATCCAGCCAGCCAGCAACGTGGTGGTTGACGGTTGGTGGTTCGTGGTTGATGGGAGGGACATCGGGGCGGCCTTGGCTTGCACATCATTTCCGTGGGTCTCGTCGCGAGCCCAATCGGGATGAAAGATCTCGGCTATCGAGAGCCCGGTCAAGAGCCCACCCGGCCCAGATGCACAGACCCGCCGTGGGCTCGCGATGGACATGCCGCCGCGGAGATCGCTGCGAGGACCGCGAGCAAATCGAATGCCGCGGCAGCCGCACATGGGGTCGTTCCCACGGTGCGGCTGCAGAATGGCTGGCGGCCAATGGCGGAATTGTCTCGACACAACGTTTTTCAGGTCCTTGCCGTCGTCAGGGCCGACCAGAACAGAGCCAGAGCAGAGCCAGAACAGAGCCAGGGTCGGAGTCAGGGTTGCACTGTTTGGGATCGGATTGGATTGGGCCGTTGGTTGGGCTGTTGGTTGGGTGGACTCGCCTGTGCGACGGCTCAAGCTCGTGCTCGAGACAGAAGGCCGTCGCCCCGTGAGATGGCGAGGGCAGTCTTGCGGTTGGACACCCCAGGCCGCTGCCGCGACGAGGGCATGCATCGCCGATGCCCGCTGTCTCCTTGGGAATGCGGCTGCCGTACTCCTCGGGTGGCACCCGTTTTGGTTCCATTCTGGCACGGCAGCAAAGGCGTTGAGAGTACTCTGACGACAGCAACAACGAACACATCGCAGCAACGAACACATCGCAGCAACGAACACATCGCAGCAACGAACACATCGCAGCAACGAACACATCGCAGCAACGAACACATCGCATCCACCACCACCATCACAAAGCCCCCAACCACACCACTCCACCACCGCTGCGCCCACGTTTTGTCCACCGTGAAACACCCCGCGTCAGTGGTCGCTCCCACACCCGCCCCTGTCCATGCCCCACATCGCCTTGTCTGCGGCCATCCCGCGCCTCTGGCCCCCTCGCCAGGCCATCCAGTTTGCGTGCCCAGTATCCGCTGTTGCAGTCCGGGGGCCGCGGCTGTGGGCTGCTTGCTGTGGTGGCTTGGCCCCCGAATAGCACGCGGCCGGCAGCGAGCGCGTGGGTTGGCCTTGCACGATGTCTGGGAAGAAGCCCGCTTGGAACGTGCGGGCGAGCCTTCATGGCCGGGCGCGTGCATCTGGGCAAGATCGCTTCTGGCCGCGCTCCTTCCCGCGGAAACCCAAGGGCCAACGTCGATGGGAAAGCACGACGCTTGCCGGTCAGGTCCTGCCCGCCCTGGCCTCTGCCGCCCGCGCTTGTTGGTCCGGGAGTTAAAAAGCGCCCGCCAGCGCCATGCCGCTCAGGCCAGGTACAGAATCGAGAGGGTTCCTCACGCAGCCAACCCCGCAAGCACCCAAGCTCTCGTTTCCCTGTGGCCATCTGGAGAACTCGCCATGTTCGCCGCCCGCTTCTCTGTCGCCCTCCTCCTGGGTGCTTCCGCCGCCCTGGCCATGCCCGTCTGCAAGCCCCTCAACCAGACCCAGACCTCGGTCCCTGGCTACACCATCGCCTCGCCCACCGCCTCGGCCACCGGCTACTCGACCTCCGCCTCTGCCTCTGTCACTCCCTCGTCCACCGTCTCGACTCCCGGCTATCCCACCGCCACCCCCACCCCTGCCAAGCAGTGCCAGGATCTCCAGTTCATGATCATTGGTGACTGGGGTAACGCCGGTGCCGGCCAGAACAACACCGCCGCTCTCATGAAGACCGTTGCCGGCCAGAACAACATCTCCATGGTCCTGTCTCTCGGTGACAACTTCTACAGCAACAGCCTCGACTCTGCCGAGTCCTACGAAGGTGTCAAGAGCTCCACCGACCCCAAGTGGACCGATCTCTGGCAGAACATGTACCTCAGCGGCCCTCTCTCCACCGTCCCCTGGTGGTCCGTTGCCGGTAACCACGACTGGTACGGTGCTCTCGGTGCCAACCCTGATGCTGATGTCCAGCACTCCCAGGTCGACTCCCGCTGGATCATGCCCGACTTCTTCTGGGACAAGACCGTCACCGTCAACGGCTTCACTGTCGGCTTCGTCTTTGTCGACACCGATCTCCTCTTCTACGGCTACCAGGATGTCAACTCCAAGAAGTTCGGCGCCAACTTTGTCAACCACGGCTGGACTGCTGCCAACAACAGCATCCAGCAGCACCTCGACACCATCGAGGGTTACCTCAAGGCTCACCAGAACGACGACTACCTTATCGTCATTGGTCACCACCCTCTCGGCACCTGCTCTCCCACCGGCAACATGACTCTCCTCGAGAACCTGCTCGCCACTTACCAGCCCAGCGCTTACATGTTCGGCCACACCCACGCCATGCAGTTCAACCGCCACCACAACACCATGTACATCCAGTCCGGCACCGGTGGCAACGCCGAGGCTGCCTGCAACATGACCGGTGTTGAGCAGTGGGCCATTGGAAGCAACTACGGCTTTGCTCTTGGCACCATTGACTGTGATGACGAGCGTGAGTTCCGTGTCCAGTACTACATCACCGGCAACTCCAGCATCGATGCCACTGTCGACCCCGTCTACGCCAACGGCGGTCTCGTCAACGAAGTTAGCGCCCCTCCCCGCCACGGCTACATCCAGCCTGATGCCCGCGATCTCGAGTTCCTGATCATTGGTGACTGGGGTAACGCCGGTGCCGGCCAGAACAACACCGCCGCTCTCATGAAGACCGTTGCCGGCCAGAACAACATCTCCATGGTCCTGTCTCTCGGTGACAACTTCTACAGCAACAGCCTCGACTCTGCCGAGTCCTACGAAGGTGTCAAGAGCTCCACCGACCCCAAGTGGACCGATCTCTGGCAGAACATGTACCTCAGCGGCCCTCTCTCCACCGTCCCCTGGTGGTCCGTTGCCGGTAACCACGACTGGTACGGTGCTCTCGGTGCCAACCCTGATGCTGATGTCCAGCACTCCCAGGTCGATTCCCGCTGGATCATGCCCGATTTCTTCTGGGACAAGACCGTCAATGTCGCCGGTCTGGTTGTTGGCTTCGTCTTCATCGAGACCGATCTCCTCAACTATGGCTACCAAGATGTCAACTCCAAGAAGTTCGGCGCCAACTTTGTCAACCACGGCTGGACTGCTGCCAACAACAGCATCCAGCAGCACCTCGACATCATTGAGGGTTACCTCAAGGCTCACCAGAACGATGATTTCCTCATCGTTGTTGGCCACCACCCTCTCGGCACCTGCGCTCCCACCGGCAACATGACTCTCCTCGAGAACCTGCTCGCCACTTACCAGCCCAGCGCTTACATGTTCGGCCACACCCACGCCATGCAGTTCGATCGCCACCACAACACCATGTACATCCAGTCCGGCACCGGTGGCAACGCCGAGGCTGCCTGCAGCATGGTTGGTGTTGAGCAGTGGGCCATTGGAAACAACTACGGTTTCGCCAAGGGTACCATCGATGTCAGCGACCAGGTCTTCCGTGTCCAGTACTACATCACCGGCAACTCCAGCATCGATGCCACTGTCGACCCCGTCTACGCCAACGGCGGTCTCGTCAAGGAGGTTAGCGCCCCCATCCGCCCCAAGCAGCCCTAAGCTTAACGAGCTTGTCTCTTGTCCACTGTATCCTTCGCCCACGCACCCACTCCCCCCACCTCCCTGTGTCTCTGGAGCTCACGTAGAAACCACCAGCTCTTGTCGTTGTCCATCCATCCCATGAGCGCATAGAGAAAACACATCACCCACCACCAAACTGGCATCCTCCTCTGTTCATAGACTTTGCTCTCCCCTCCTCCCCCCGTCCCAGTGGCGATCTCCATCTTCAATTCTCTCGTCCTGTAATTGTCTTTTTTGTCCTCCCTTGAATGCCAAATATGAATACAATCGCACTTGTTTGAGTTTACAGCGAGCTAGTTTTGAAACGGGGACGTCTTCACACGCGGATGACCTGCGCGGCTCTGTGCATGGCTTGCGTGAATCAGACGACTTTGATCGGCATCAGAACTCCTCCACGCATCCCCTGCTCACACAGGGACACCCAGGAAATGACTTGACCTACTTGACCGGGTGTGTGATATGATCATGATCCGACTGTGCTGTGTTTGTCCGAATGAGACGATGGGTCCCATTTTTTTTCTTCAACACGCTGTGACTGAGCTAGGTCGCGGGGTGAGGTCTCAATACACTATACACATAGCAAACGGGACACCTGCCCATAACCCGTGTGTCAGCGTAGTGTGGGATGACATGCGTCTAGCTATGCCACAAGAAATGGAACAGATCACTTTGGCAGCCTCCGAGTGAAGACCACCGGTCGCAGTGCAGCGATGCGGAAATCGAGGGTGCTGTGTTTGGCCATGAATGCGATGGGTGGGTGGGTATTCAGGTTCCAGAAAAAAACCTGTCATGGCTCAAAACGGTGTGTCCCGTTTCATTTTGGAAACGCTGTACTGCCAGCTGGCCCGCTGTGCTCCTCAACGGCGATTCCAAACGCCATCGTGGAATGCCAGGCGACCGTCGGTCTGCAGATGCGCTGCGGCCGCTGCAATCCAAACGGACGAAGCTCCGACGAGGTCCCAGCGAGCCCAGCCGCGTTGCCTCGCCTTGCCTGCTTCCTCTGCCTGCCCCGGCCTCTCCATCCTGCACTCGCCGCATCACCCGCATCTACCCGCATCTGCCCGCATCTGCCCGCCTGCATCTCGGTATCGACCGGCCCATCTGGTGTCCAAGCTCTTGCTGCTCCTGTCCTGTGTTCATCGCCCCAGCAAAAAAGTCGTACCTGTGTCCGTTCCCTGTCAGTCTTGCTGCCCGTTTCGCCGTCGTCGACCGGGGTCTCAATCCATCATCACATCCAACCGCCCATCACTGTTCGGCAGCAGCGGCGATCTCAACCGGCTTGCTGAACTTGGTATCCTCCCGACTCTAACATCCAGAGCGTCCCCGCCGACAAGTGAAGGCTATGGGTCTTCCACAGATCGCAAAGGTTCGGAGCTGTGAGCAGGATCGGTGGGACACTCTCGGGGATGCTCTCGAGGCGGTCCGTGCAGCATCCATGACGGCCGCTGTATTGGCAGTCGCATCCTGTCGCTGTGGCCTGGGGCTTCTGCCGGGCCGGCGTATCCAGTGCATTCATCTGTCTGGATGCTGACGCCTTGATCCTGATTGAGCAAAGGTCTGATCATCCCTTTTCACAACTTTGGTGGCGGCATCGACGCCAAATATCCAACAATCGCCACGGCTATGCTGCCGATGGTGATGGCAACGACCAACGCAACGACAACGCAACGTAACGACCAACGCAACGACCAACACATCGTCCAGGCCAGTCCCGCATCAGCCGGCAGCACCCCGATTCCGAGCAAACAACTCAAGATCCTCTCCGACACCGCCTTCAAAAGGAGCTGCGTGGCTCATCGAGACCGCATCGCTGGCCTCCGTCGGGCGTTCCGAGCTCAGTCCAAGGCCCGGGATCTGCCACCGTCGCGCTTGGCTCTCGAATCCTGCTCGAGCACCAGCTCGGCACATCTTTCCAACATCCCGTTCGAGGCGACTGCAAATGACGTCGTCGCCTTCATCAACTCCAAGATCAAGCTGATCCCCGAAGCCGGCCCAGCACCCCCGGTCACGCAGTGCCGCCTGGGCAAGGCCAACAAGCACTCGGGCGGCGAGCACGGAGGCTGGGGCATCATCACTTTCTCGGATCCCCGGTATTTCGACAGCTTCCTGGCTCGCCAGGAGCCGTCGTCGCCCAATCCACTGGTCATGGACAACCGTGTCCTGCGAATCAAAGCCTATCGCTTCAGCCCACAGTCCTCGGAGGCCCAGCACGAAAACCTGATGGTGCCGGTTGCCGAGCTGCTTGTGGGGCTGCCGGGCTCCTCGCCCATGTCGATCGAGACTCGATGGCGAACCGGTAATCGCGTGTCGCTTGGGCTCGATACCCGTGAAGGCCATGGAATCACAATCTACTATGCAGCCGTCATCAAGCTGACTGTTCCGTCAAACACCGTTCTCGAATCCCATACCTTTGTCGACTCGACGGGCTCCCGCGTCTTGCGGTTTCGCCTCAGCTCCCCGCCCTTTTGCTATTACCGCCCGGCCTCAGCCTCGAATGAGTCGAGCGTCAGCGATCGTTCCCAGCCTGACACGGTCGATATGCATCTTCCTCAGACCTTCGCCACCCAGGCCAATCAACCCGAGGACAACACTTGGGAGCGGTGCCCCGATCCGCGCGGTGCCGAGTCGATTTTTGGCTACCACTTGACCTATTGCTTGATACTTCCGGCGCGGCGCCAGCACACCGACCTAGAGCTTCTCCACTTTCTGCAGATGCGGCTAGCGTTGCGGCTGATCGACCTGGGCGACTGCCCCGAGTCGCTTTCATCGAGCGAGGTGCAGCCGCTGCCCTCGGATCCGCACGAGTGGTGTGCTGGAGCCCAGTGGATTTTTCGCAGCTTGGAGCACAGCCGGGTGGTCGGATCCATGATCCATGCGCTCATGGCCACACACAAGCTCTTTTTCCGGTCGTACCCCGAGGCTTATGCCATCCGCAAGTTGCTGATGCAGTGCACCGAGGTCCAGGCCACCGAGGCGCTCAAGAAGATGTTTTGGATGCCCTTCATGAACGACCCGGTGCAGCGACTGACCTCGCTGCTCAACGATGCGCTGTCACTGATCCGTCCCGAGGCTGCCGGGGCCAAGACCGTGGAGGTGAACGAGGACTTGGCCTTTGTTCAGCGGGTGCTGGTGACGCCGCTACGGATCTGCCCGCGACCCCCGGACCTGGACACATCCAACCGCATCACCCGCCACTACAGCGCACACCGACACCGGTTCCTCCGAGTCGTCTTTGTGGACGAGGACTTTGGCCCCATCAACCAGACCGACTCGGAGATCATATACGACAAGCGCATCCGGCACTTGGTCTGCAACGGCATCCAGGTGGGTGGGTACACGTACCAGTTCCTGGCATACTCCAACAGCCAGCTGCGTGAGCAGGGTTGCTGGTTTTACGACGAAACCCCCGTTGGCAACGACGTCCCGCCCACATGCGACATGATCCGACAGTCCATCGGCGATCTGTCCCATATCAAAACGGTCGGCAAGCACGCCTCGCGGCTGGCCCAGGGCTTCAGCAGCTCGACCAGCACGGCCGGGGTTGAGCCGGCTCGTCGGGTGTGCATCCCGGATGTGCTCCGCAATGGCTACTGCTTTTCGGACGGCGTGGGGCTGATCTCGCAGGACAAGGCAGAAGAAATCGCGCACATCCTCCGCCTCGAGACCACCCCGTCGGCCTTTCAGATCCGATATGGCGGTGCCAAAGGCATGGTCACGGTCTGGCCAGCCGAGGTGATGGGCGAATACGACATCAAGCTTCGGCCGAGCATGGTCAAGTTCGAGGCCAACTATGAGACGATCGAGGTCGTGAATGTGTCCAAGCCGATCCCGTGCTATCTGAACCGACAGCTGATCGTGCTGCTCTCGGCCCTGGGCATCCCGGACGGGCCATTGATCAAGCTGTTCAACGACATGATTGTTGGGATCAAGAATGCCTTTGAAAGCGACGTGGACGCCTACAACCTGGTGCTCAACCATGCACCAAATCTCACCATGGCGCGGCACATGCTGGCAGCAGGAATGTCGGTCAAGATGGATCCGTTTCTGCGAGGCATGATCCACGCCGTCTGCCAGAGGCTGTTCTTGGATCTGGAGCTCAAGGCGCGTATCTTTGTGCCAATGGGTCTCTGTCTCATCGGCGTGATGGACGAGACCGAGACTCTGCCAGAGGGATGCATCTTTTTCCAGTACACCAACGATATCGGCGATGTGATCCAACTGCGGCCCGGGACCTCTGTGGCGGTAGGGCGGAGCCCGTCGCTGCATCCGGGCGACATTCGCACCCTCCGAACGATCGACTGTGAGCCGCTCAGGCATCTAGTCAACGTGGTGGTGTTTTCGTCGCGCGGACAGCGCCCGCAGGCCAACAAGATGTCTGGTGGCGATCTGGACGGCGACATCTTCTTCATCATATGGGACCCGTCGCTGGTGCCCCGGCCGGACAAGAACATCCCGCCGATGAACTATACCTCGTCAGAGCCGCCACAGGTGGCGCGGGTGACAGCCAAAGACATCAAGAACTTTTTCGTCGACTACATCCGCAACGACAATCTTGGGCGCATCGCGAATGCGCATGTGGCCGTAGCGGACCAGAATCCGGTTGGGGCGCTTTGCCAGGACTGCATCGAACTGGCCGAGTTGCATTCGACGGCAGTTGACTTTGGCAAGACGGGCGTACCGGCCATCGTGCGCAAGTCGCTGTTGCCGCAGAAATACCCCGATTTCATGAGCAAGCCGGCGTCCAAGTCGTACGTATCGAATCGATTCCTTGGGCGAGCCTACCGGCGGGTCAAGGAGATCCAGTCCGAGACGCTGGCACGGCACCCAGATCCAGATCCAGACCCAGACCACGAAGCCGATCACGATCATGACCAAAGCCAAAGCCAAAGCCAAAGCCCCGGGCACTCTGCCAACCCAGCGAGATCGAACGCAAGCAAGTGCGACACTCGGTTCCTGTATCCTGGATACGAAGCCTATGTGGACGAAGCTCGCGAGACCTTGATCCTGTACGGCCAGGATCTTTGGGAAATCATGTGTGAGTACGAGGTCTGGAACGAAGCCGAGCTGTTTACGGGATTTGTTTATCGGCTGTCCAGCCAGGTGTCCAAGAACAGGCAGAAGGCCACGGGCGACGTTCTTGCGCGACTGGTTCGGCAGGTCAAGATCCTCAAGAATATGTACCACGACGTATTCTGGAAGGGGCTTGGGCTATCACCGGATCAAGTCCTGGAGCCACAGGACGAGGTGCGAGTGCTGGCCAAGGCCTCGGCTTGGTACTATTGCGCCTACACGTACGTAGATCTGGAGGGCGTCGGCCCCTTCCTGAGCTTTTGCTGGGTCGTCTACGAGCCGATGGGGCGGGTGATTATCGAATCGAATCTGCAGCAGGCAGCTGTAGCGCCCTCGGCCGGCTGAAGCTATGGCTGATGTGTTGGGTACTGGGGGTAGAGTTTCGCACGGCAAAGCCCGGGAGCGACCACGGCTGCATCATGGCGACAAAGCATGGACATGGTCATAGACATGGGTATGAACATGAGCACGAATCCGAATGCGTAGCCGAGTCCAGTGATTACCAATGCAAACAGCCCATGTGCAAGGCGATCGGTGCAATCGGAGGAACGGGCAGAAAGAGAAAAGGACCACCGATCGGCCGCCGGCCGGCTTGCATGGGAGACAGATCGGCGGCCGGAATGGTTCCCTGCCTTTGTATCAGCAGGGCGGAATGGTGAAATGTGGGTTCGCCCATGGCAACCCGGGGGAACCCCGATGTAGACCTCGGCGGGTGTATCTTTGGGGAGGAGACTGTTGGATCGCACACCGATGGCAGATCAATTGTGTTTTGACATAACGTGGACGGCATCGTCAGCCCACGGGAATTGCCGCTGTCGATAGGAGTTATCCAACGAACGCGATGTTCTCCCGCATTGGCAATGATGTTATCCAACGATCGCAATGCACTCCAATTGCAGTCGACACTGTTTGCAAATGCACACCGTCAGTGTTGTTATCCCTCGCAATCTCCTCGGAATGTCTCCGTAATCTCCTCGTAATCTCCTCGTAATCTCCTCGTAATCCCCTCCGTTGCCGCACGACCCCCCCCGTCTCCCGTCTCATATCCCCCCCCCGCGGCCCCCATCGCCGTCGACTCCCATCCCGTCTCTTCTGCAGCCATCCCACCCTGCTCTTACCATCTTCTTGCCTCCATCTTGCCCTCCTCTTGTCGCCTGGCTCTGTCTTTGCCGTCGTCCTTTGCACTTGCAGCCCTTGCCTTTGCTCTGGCTGTCCTCCGCCTCGGCTCCCACAGCCTCCGCACTCCTCAACTGCTGTCTGACTCTGCGATCGACCGGCTCTTATCCATTTAGGCTTCTCCCTCTTGTCCGCCCGGTCTCTCATTCCTTGGAGCCGGCCGCCTTCCATCTGTATCCGGAACGCTTGGTCATTTTGCTTTTTGCCTTCCGCACTTTGCCCTGTCCGTTGGTCGGTCCGGACGGCCTCTACTTCTACTTCCGAACCTGCCTCTGTCTCCATCGGATCTTCATTATCATCCTCTGAACGCCATCGACCTATTTGCCCATCTCTCGTGCCAGGCGCTCGCATTCTCCCTTCCGTCGCTCTCCGCTCTCGTCATCCGATCATTGTCGACCCTCCTTGCCACTGCCAACCTGAAAGCATGAGTCCACAGAACATTGCCCTGGCCGTCATCGCCGTGCTCGCCTCCTTTCTCGTCTTTTACATTCACTATCCCAGCCGCAACCTCGCCCTCTTGATGCTGGCTTCAATCACGGGCCTGCTGTCGCTCCTCCTGGTGATCGGGGCCGCGGTCTTTCCTTCCTCCATGACCGTCGCCGCGTCCTTCCCGCCATGGAGCGCATTGCAGATCTTTTGCGAAATCCAGGCCTTCCTCCTCAACGTCCTGGGTATCTCCATCTACGGCTCCTGTCTGTGCCTGTCGATCGAGCTGAATCTGCGCACCAGCGCCAAGCGAGTCTTGCGAAGCGACGACTCAGACACCCGCCCCAAGCTGTTTCTGTATCTGGTTCTGTCTCTGGGTGTTCCCGTCGTCTTTATCGTCGCCGTGCTCTGGCTGCGATCCAAGCCGTAAGCAATCATCCTGATCCATATGGACTGCCCTTCTAGCAGAAATCGCTCGATTCCTCCTTTCGATGGCCATTCACATCGCTCAACTGGATGTCCCGCACCTTCGGCCCTCCCAACTATGGCGCTAGTTAACTTACTCGCTCCTTCACACCCAACCACACAGTGCATACTACATCCCGCAGGCTTTCTGCGACAACCAGGCTGGAAAGTACATCTTTCTGATTGTTTTCGTCATCTCACTCATCATCTACACCATCATGGGATCTATTTTTACGAGTATGTTCGCCGCAGCCTGCATCGGTCTATTGCTATGTCTGGCTCCTCACGGCCATCGGTTGGCATCGGTTGGCATCGGTTGGCATCGATTGGCATCGGTTGGCATCGATTGAACTCACCCCTCTGTCGCCTCGTCTCGGCCGCAGTGATTGCTATTCGCAACTATATTCGCAAGCGCTCGGAGATCCTGCAGTCGCTCAACGACGGCGTCGGCTCTTCCGAAAGCTACGACTTCCAGCGGCAGCAGGCCCAGTCGTCCCGCACAGCGCTTCTCCAGATCCTGCATCGCATGGTGGTTTGGAGTGCCGGATACCATCTGCTTGCCATCGTCTACGTCATCCAGACCACCTACGCGGCTGTTTCCAACCTCATCACCAACGACCCCAACTACGAGCCCATGGACTCGGTCAACAACGAGTCCGCTTTCGACCGTGCCCTCACCGTCATGTATGCCACGAGCGCCCTGTCGATTCTGCTTCTGGCCTGCTTTGGATCCGGCAAGAGCGCCATCGAGCGCTATCGAACCTTGATTTGTTTCGGCCCGAGAACGGTACGTCGCGCCGTCAAGGCGAGGGGCCATGCTCTGAGGCATCTCGGCCAGAGCCAGGGCCAAGATGCAGGTCGCTCTGCCGCCCCCTCTGAGTATATCTGATGCCCCGCCCCTTCGACCAGCCTCTATCGTTTCACTCTCGGTGCACTGTTCTATCTTGGGCGACATGTGTCTACTGGCCTTTTGTTTGTTCCTTCCTTGCTCTCTTTCTTCTCGACCGTTTTGCCTTGGTTTCTTGTGAGTGCAGCCGAGGGTCTGCTCTTATCGTGGCTGCGAGAACTGCTTGTGGCCCGCCTCCAAAAGTACATGTGCCCCCTCCCCGGTTCGTCATATCCTGGCTTGCTACTGCGGTCGAATATTGCGGTTCGGTATTGCGGTTCAATATCGTGGCTCAATATCCAAGAGAAAGAAGCTGATATAATATCATAACCACTCTTCCTTTGACAACTCCATTCACGGCCCGTGTTCGTTCTCGCTGGCTGCATGCATCGGAACCTGACACACGCTTCATTCTCGCCTCATTCCGCATCGCCATTCCTATTCGCTTCTATCCCGATGCCATCTAAATCCATTCTGGCGATTTCGACCCTAACGGACACACTGCTGCCTCCGCTGCGCGGCCAATCGACTCTACAACCTCACGGATCGACTCCAATGTCATGATCCCCAGTCCTTTCAGAGTGCGAATGGACCTGGCTTGCCAAAGTGATGCTGGACCAAGATCCAACCTTGGCTCTTGATAGAAGAAGACCTCTAGGGACTGCCGAGCCAAGTCCTCCGTAATCGACGCAACACCAGCAAAACTGGCATCCCACAATGCCAACGCCAGTTTGGCAGCAATGCAATCGCCTCGTGTCGCTCTTGCAATTCCGCAACCATCAATGATTCAATGATCGCTGTTGCAATTCCAACCTGATACTGCCAACCATTCTCCAGATTCAAACTCGCCCAGTGGGCCGAACGCCATGCACATACCAAAGGGAGAAGAAGAAAGGGGCCCATGTATTACCGTCAATCCAATAAAAAAACGGGCTTTGGTCGTTGAACAAATACGTTGTTGCCTCAAAACATCGCCCGCTGGCCATGACCATTCTGTGATGTGTTTCTGGATCTGAATCAATGCCGCTTTCTCGCCAGATGGCTCCCCGCAAGCGAAAGGCACCAGCCAGGCGACCAAGTGGATCCAGAGCACCCACAAGATCCTTGGTCTGCAGGAATGGATGAGCATCACACCAAGTCCCACACCAAGTCCCACACCAAGTCCCAAGATCCCCGGGATGGCTTCCTTCCTGCAATACATTCGCCATGTGTTCGATGGAGACATGCTGGGCAAACAGCTGTACTTCAGCCTGACTCGGCGACGGCATTCAAGCGACTCGATCTCCAAGTGTGCTCACATACCGGGAAGCCAAGCGACTCGAGAAGGCCGAGTATCTTGATATCGATACACCATGGAACTGTCCAGGTGGTCGAATGGATGCACCACACAGAGAGATTGCCAACCAGGGCGGGAAATAATCGCATGGCTTGCCCACTGGTGCCTATGACTGTCCCGTTTCTTTTGGATTGACTGTATTCACTTCTGTTGATTAGGAAGTGTGGGGCGTCAAAGGGGTCCCCAATATACAACTGTCGTTGTGGACATGCAAAATGAGTTCAAAGCTGCCAGATCCGATCGTAAGCCTTCCGGACGCTCGCTGACTGACCCGTCGTTGACCCACCATTAACATGAGTCACGATACTCCCAAAGGCGTCTCTTGGACAGCTATTCCTTCAGTGCGGCTCATGGCACGATGCGAGCAATAGATCGCGGCGCTGCCCACCGCTAATGCATGTGAGTCCTGTGGGTCCTGTGGGTACTCCAGCTGGCATATATTCATATATTCAATACCCATGCAAGAGAAAGCATTGGTTGCTATCGTTGTGTCGCGCTCTCTTTGAGCAAGCCATGGGGTTGTCTGTTGTTTGGCCGTGGTATAGAGTATGCTGCAATAAGCATGCTTAAAAATATGTCAAAGGAGGCGCCGGTTCTGTCGAGAATGCATCAAAGTGTAAATACGACAACGAGGGTGGTTCGAAAGCGCTTGTGGCTCCATGCCGGAGATTGTCGGGGTGACGGCCGACAGTGGTCCCGCCGACAATTCCAGTGACAAAGCGCTCAATTGGACCATAGGAACAAATCAAATTGATCCACTTTGCTGGCGTCGTAATGGAATTTGATCGAGAACACGGCAAGCAGGAGCACCAGATGGACCGCCGTGAAGAGCGACATCACCACAATCTCGAGCGCCAAGGATCTGTGGCGCCTGCGGGCGATATGTGCGACTGGCTGCCCGGATTTCTGGCTCGTACGGACTTTGGCGTACTGCTTGAGCTTACGGTAGCACTGGGCGGATTGCTTGGAGCTCTCGGTTCTTGAGCGAGTTTGGGCTGGGGCCGCGACTGTGGCCAGCAAAGGGGCCGGCGACGGAGCAGGCGAAAGAGCAGGCGAAGGGCGACGTGCCGCTCCCACCGACAGAGAACGGGTGGGACGGATAGGCACAAGCATCTTGCTGATCATCCCGAGGAGGCTGTTTTCCTGCATGCGTCGTCTGGCCTCCTGCTGGGTGACTGGGCCCATGGGAAGCAGCACTGGATCCGACATGTCTCGCGGCAGGGCAGCTGGGGGCAGCGGCAGCGGGGTCCTTTGGCGCACAAGCAGATGAGACATGCGAGATATCTTGGAGAGTCGGTCCATCAGCCGGACAACCAGTTGGAAGGCTGGGCGGGGCTTGGGCCGGTTGGTGAGCTGGGTCGAATTGCTGGAAACGTAGATGTTGGTGGCCACGTCGTTAATGTACTGCTGGAAGGGAGGCTGGTGCTGAGCAAGATGTGCGAGCATACGCTTCAGGGGAGCGATTCGCTTCTGCCAGTAGTATCCTCCGAGCGTATTCCAGCCAGCCTTTCTCTTGAAATGCCCGACGCCCTTGGCCGTGTGTTTGGATCGACAGAGCCGACGGAGTCGACGGAAACGGAGGATCGAATTGAACTGGGCTCGCTCTACCGCCCGGTGTCGAGCGGTTGCTGCGGAGCCGGGACGGTTCACTTTGAGCGGGTAGTTGCAGTTGAGGATGCTGAGGGCAACTCGGTCGATCCGACGAGCCAAGCCGGACGCCTTACCAGGGTTGCGAGCCAGGAGCACCGCAATCTTGAGAGTTGGTCCATACAGGCGCTGGATGAATCGAGCATGGCGGACTCGTCTTGCTAGGCGATGACGATTCGTGGTCTGGGGGGTGCTGACAGGAGGCTGCTGGTGGCTGGTATTTTGTCCAAGAGAGATGCCGGCGAGCATTTTGGAGCCAGCGCGGCTCGGGTCGGGCTGGGTTTGGTGGGGTTTGTCGACAGCCGGATCTTGCTGGACTGATGGTGATCGCTGGTTGCTCTGCGAGCGGGGACGGGGCGCCTCGATTTTGGCTTCTGGACCGGGCAAGACAAAACCAAAGTACTTGGTCGACTGCGAGTGGCGTTGGGCCGGGCTCATCGCTTTCGGGTTGGGTCCGGGTGCCAGCTTCGGGCCCAAATACGCAGCCTCGATAGTGCTGGCATGCGGGGCAGCTCCCATAGAATGGACTGACGCTGATTTTGCTGGGGTTCTCATCCGGAGCAGCCAAAGATTCAGTTGAATGGGACAACGGAAGCGATAGAGCAGTGTGCTGGTGCCAAGAAGAGCAGATGCGAGGAGTGGGCGGACGAAAAAAAAAATGGTCGAGGTGGTCTTTTTTAACGGGGTCGACCGTGGATACCAAACAGATGCTTGTTATGTTTGCGGCTCGTGCTTCTTCTTTGCCGCTATCGGAGCTGTGGCGGGGGAACGCGACAACAACCCCTGCTGGGATTGTTTCAGGGGCAGTGCGCACCGTGCGACCTGGGCAGCGACCCATGTTTGTGTCAGGGGACAGGATGTGCAAGGCCGTCCTGGAGCACGACCCGAGGGAAACCGAGGTCGCTATCGCCTTTGGCAACGCTTCATGGCGGCAAGGCAAGGGCTATGCATCCAGCCCCAGTAGGCAGCGGTTTGCTCGGTACTTTGAGCAATTCGAGCACCACCGTTGTCAATGCGACACGCAACATGATCACAGTGTACAAATCGATTGTGGAGACCGGGGATGTCCACTCGGAGGTCTCCACTCTCAGATCTTTGCTCGGAGGCGCCGAGGTGATCTGTTAAGGTGCATATTGTTGGACGCACGCCATCTCGTGCATGTTCATTTCGAATGCAAGAGCGTCTCGTTTGCTCATGTGTCAAGTGTCAAGTGTACATTAGCTATATTTCAGTCAGTTGGCGGGATATTTGACGAGGCTCGGCTGGAGCACGCACAGCTCTAGCAAGCACGCCGACTCTAATACGCTCTGTCTCAGCCACATATGCTCGAGCATCGACATTTATCGGTTCCCACGCAGGGTCGGCTGTTTCCGTGAAGACTTGGCTGAGTCGACAGATGCCCCATCCGACGGCTTGGGGAGTGGAGGTGGTGTTGGGCACCCACTCTTATCGCCCACCTGCTCCAGTCGCGAGATTCGCTCACGTACGCTGGGCGATCGAGACATGCCGCTCATGCGCTTGAGCCGGCGCTTGTTCTGCTCCTCGTCAATTGGCGTGCCCTCGGCACTGGAGCCGCTGTCTGGGATCCCAGTTTCTGCCTCGTCCTTGCTCATCAAACACTCAAGGGACTTTGTCGTGGCAGGGCTCGAGACCGAGGGGTTCCTCAGCCAAGTAAAGTCTCCAGAAACAGTTTCGCCAACGCCGTATCCTCCCGAGGTGCGTCGTTTCGATCGCGGTCCATACGTGCCCTTGGGATTGGGGGTGCCTGAAGTATCCGCTGCGGGCGACGGCGGAGCGTCGTTGGATCGTGCAAGTGGCTCGGGAGCCCGCCCTCCGTCCCGCCGGTGAACGGTAGCACCTCCAATAACTGGCGATCCACATAGCTGGGTCTCTGTACTGCTTGGTGGTTGGCTGGTGGTCGAGATCTGCAGATTCTCTTTCGAGCCACTTTTGTCGCGGCTCAAAAACGGCTTGACGCTGGAAGCAATGGAGCCAAATCCCTTGGCAAGCGATTTCAAGACCGGTTTACCTGGCCGCGAGGTATTGGGCGACGGCGCCTCCCCTGAGCCTCGGATCTTGGACTCGACATGAGCAATTTTGTCTCGGATGCCAGAGTTGTCGGAGGGGCTCGAGGCAGCAGAGTCGGTCGGGCTCTCGGAACCAATGGCTGCGAGCTGTGGGTTGGGCTCAAAGGTTCGCGAAAGCGGTCGCTGTCTCACGGCCTTGCGCACGGATGCCCGGGGAGAATGGGGAGCCTGTCCTGAGTCGTTGAGGGTGGGCTGCGAGCCCATGCTAGACACAGTTGTGTCGATCGATTGCGGTGCGACCATTTTTGCCGGCCCGTCCTGACCGTGGCTGGGCTCTGTGCTGGCTGGGCTCCATGTGCTGGGGGTGGTCGGCTCGCCTCGGAGGGACATGCTGCCCTGAGAAGAGAAGCGCTTTGTGTTTGGTTGCGGGTTGCGAGCTGCCTGTGCTGGAGATACGGGCTTGGCTTGTCGTTCCTTTGAGTCGATTTGTTCGGACACAACCGCAAGTGCACCTACGACCAACGCCGCCTCTGTCGCTTGGGCAATGCTTGGATGCACTGGTTCTTGGACTTGAGCTGAACCCGAGGCTGGATGCTCCTGTCTTGGAAACGAAAGGATGCTGGATTCGGGAGGATGTGCAATTTGTTTCGCAGCCGCCGTGGAATTGACGGCAGATGAAACGGGTTCCAATTTTGGTGATTGATCGAGCCGAGGCTTGCTCAATGAGCTTGGTCCAACGCTTGACTCTTTGATACTAGAGGCCCCAAAGATCTCCTCGACCTTGTTTGGATACGCTCGGTGTTCGACTGAGACCGGGTCCTGGCTTGATCCGGAGCATTCCACAGGATTTGGGCCGTATGACCTCTCTCGGAGCGCTTCGCTGGAAGACAGCGTCGCCGGGAGTACGCTTTGATATAAGACCTGGCCATCCGTTGGGAGTCCAATCCTGCGAGTGTTTTTTGAATCAATTGGCGGGTTTGACGTGTTGGGCAGCTGCCCTACAGACTCCGGGTGCATTTGCTGCAGGGGCTGAGATGCAGCTGATTCGCTCGCGCTGGTTGTCGGCTCTGCCTTTATCTGGGGCTTTGCTTCAGCGATCGGCGATGTTGGTCGAGTAGGGTCGCGCGCGACGGGAAGCACAGAGGCCGCATTGGGTGAAGACGACTTGATAGTAGCGGAGGTTGTAGGGACAGTGTGCTTGGTTGTGTCCGGATATTTGGCACTTGCATCAGAGGAAAGACCGGGCGCTGATGCCGCGGCGGCCGTCAAAGTTGCAATTATTGGCATCTTTGAGGCGGCATTGGTCGCTGAGGTTGAGTTGATCGCTGAGGTAGCATTGAGTGCGATATTTGCAGCAGGAGCCGGTATTTCAGAGGGCGCTGACTTGGCGGATGGTTTGCGCGGAGACTCATTATTCGCTCGGCTTACGGAAGGCAAAGACTTGGGCTCTGACTCTGGCTCTAGTCGGTATTTGTTGTGGTCTGCGCTCCACTCTTCAGACCTCGCAAGGCTATCCCGCGATCCCTTCATCGCCGAGCGGACCGGCTGTGTATCAGGCTTTGGGAGCGATCGCAGGGTAATGTTGACGTAGTAGTCACTGATGCTCCAGGTATCGTCGTCGTCGTCTCCATCGGGCACCAGCTGATCGTCGCCGAGTTGATCCGGAGGATCCTTGAGACTCATAGCTGCGTGTCTCTCCTTGATATCTGTGGAACACTGTTCGGATTAGCGCTTGTCGATGCCATTGCTGTGGCAGGAAGGTCGCCTTTCAAGCCCGAGCCCATTGGATACTGGCTGTGTTGGTGTACATACGAGGTGTCGACAACATCAAGGTATCGCACCCAAAGCTGCACAAGGAAGCACCCACAGCACCATCGAGATCATCTAGTTTGGGTCGTGCAAGAGTGGCCATAGACACTCTATCGGCACCTACCCTTCAGGACATCCAGGACTTCCTTCCTCCTGGTTACGTCCTCAATGTCTCGTGCCAAGCCTTCGGGCGTGTCGCCGTCGTCATTCACAGCCTCGAGATCGATCGGACCGTCCGGGCAGCAGTAGATTGCGCCAAAGGCATCCGTGCCAGATGCACTCAGTGCCAGTCCAATGGAATGCGGGCCTCGACACTGGCCCAGAATGCGGACGACTTCAACGTGCCCCTCAGCACAGGCACAATGGAGGGGAGTCCAGCCCTCCTTGTCTCGAGCATTGACGAGTGCCTTTGATTGCAGGAGCTGCTTGACGACGCTGCTGTGCCCGTGGCTACAAGCTTGGTGCAGCGGTGACAGCCACTGATACGGCGTGAATATGGTGTTGATGATGGGCTGCTGCGACTGCTGCGACTGCTCGACGGTATCATCGGAAGGGCTGCTCTCGCTCGAAGCCCGATCGGTGGTTTCGAGTTGGTGGAGGATCTCGGCCAGGGACGGGATGTCCGGATCGATGCTTTTGTCGCTCTCGCCGTTCTGGCAGATCTGAAAGAGAAACGTTTTGGGATTGAAGTGAACCTTTTTTGAGGCCTTATGCTCCTGCTGCTGGTGCTGTGGTTTTGAGTCGGCAGAGTCCGTGAGCTTGGTGTGAGATCTGGACTTGCGAATTGTGCCCACGGAACGACGAATGGCTCCAACAGTTCCCGATGCGGTCGATGCTATTGGGGTGGCCGTGGTGTCGTTGAGGCCGCGGGAGTTGGCGGAGCCGCTGCGGCACAGATTGGTCAGAGACGGTGACTTTTCATCCGGGTAGTCCTCTGACGATGCGCATAGCTTTTCCGAAGACGACCGTTTGAGATTCTGGAGCGGACGAGATATAGAAATCACACCCTGCTGGAGACTACGATTTGGAGCAGCAAGCAGCTCGTCGACGGACTGAACAGACGACGCCCGGGGCCGAAAGTCTTCGTGGTTGGATGAGCCAGCGGGCGGACGGGGTGCTAATATCGGATAAGCACACCGTGAGCGCGGGTGCAGCCACGAGCAACGGGCAGAGAATCGCACATTGATGATTCAGTGGTTGGCGAGTTGATAGATTGAAGGTTAACAGGTCGATTGCCAAAAGAGATAAGCATCCGGAATCACAAGCGAGCCCCATCAGACATTGGCGCCCGTGCCGAGCCCTGCACCGGCAAGTTCACCCAATAGTCCTCAAGCCTGTGGAGAAGCAGCAGCAAGCCAGACCGGCAATGCTCACCCTCGGTCACGTTGTTGAAGGCCAGGAGTGTCTCGTTGTCGTTTGTGCAGTCGACCGGCTTGTATTGGCGCTCGTTCTTCTTGTTTGGGTTTGCACCAAGTTCCAAGAGCCGAGCAACGAGCTCACACATGCCCAGGAACGAGGCCAGATGCAGGACGGTGTTGCCGTTGCCCCAGACGCGGCCCATGAACTCATAGAGAACCTTTCGAGCCTCGATCTCCTCGGTGATCCGGACGACAAACTCGAGGATATCGGAGGCGATTTCTTCATCGCCAAGGATGCATGCGATTTGAATGGCGTTGAGATTCTCGACACTGCGCCAGAGGACAAAGCAGAGGAAGAATAAATGTACTGAATGTACGAATGGAAAGCGCAGAGAGAGGGGCCCAACCATGAAATCCGGCTGCTCCCGCGACCAAATGGGCTCAATAGGCTCAGCGGGCCGCGAAGCAACGCAAGGACATTCATCGGATGTGACCTGAGAGAGGAAAACGCGACGGAATCTGGTCTCCTTCCAGGAAGCAGGGCGACCCAGGACGAGGACAGACGATGGCTTCTGGGCCTCTGATGCGGCAAGCTACCTCTGTCCCAACAGCTCGTCGGCATCTTGCTGGACCTCGGGGTCGTGCTTGTAGAAATGGTCCGCGTTCGGATAGCTGGTTGTGAGCATTAGTTGCAGAATCGCGGTCGAGGAGGAGGGGTTCTCGAGGATCTCGATCAGGCCGTCTCGATCGCCATCGTTGATGGCCGAAAAGATGAGTCGCTCCAGCTCGGCCGGGTCGTCCGTTGCATTGGATGACGCCGAGTTGATGGAAGCGTCGGACGACGAGTGATCCATTTGGGACGCCATCGCGACGAGTCTGCAGAGCTGTGGGACTGAGAGGATCAAGGCGCTGACTGGAGGTAAATGAGACCGCTGTGGATGCGGCAAGTAGCAGAGACGGCTATCGAAACGACAGCAGAGCGATGGGCAAAAGGCAGTGCCGATTCAAAGCTGATGAAATGAAGCCCGAGTGGTTGATGTCGAGTCGAGCACACAATGGCGGCAGGGCGACTGCACGGCCGATGCAGCGATTGCGGCGATGGCGGTGGAATCGAGCTCCTGCGCGGGCTCGGGTTCGATTCGCTGGACTCGGGTTGCTCGACTCGGGTAACTCGCGGGGCAAGTCGAATATATACAGAGCGGATGTCCAACGAGGGTTATCGCGGCAGCAGCGGATGCAAAATAGAGTGATGATCTTGATGAAGATTCGATATTGAGCAATCGGCTTGCTGCACCCTCAAAGCCGCCCGCAGCAGTATGGAGTCGAGGCGAGGCAATGGCAAGAACTCTTGGCGGGGTGATGAGGGACGGTTTGATTGCCGCTGAAAGGCAGCGGATTGTTGGTGCAAGAGCGTCTGGAACTTGGATCACGGCGATCCGAAGGGCCACAGATCGTCAGCGGCAGCGACGGTGCACATTCCAGGGACAGAGGACAAGCTACTCGATCCGATATCTCGGATGTTGTCCGCTGACGGTAGTGAGAAGCCGATGCGACGCAGGAATGACTGGATGCCGACAGCGCAATCCACCACCACCTTCATCACCACACTCCACACAACACACACAACTCCATGTTGGATCAATCGTGTTCAGTGTCTGGCAGTCCAACAAGACTCGGCCGCAGGACGGAAGGGCAACGAGACGACACTGATCGATCGGTCAGCCCAGCCAGCACAACATCAGTGGCGGCCGGTGCGGGTGAAGGGACGGACATCGGGATACTCCTCGTCCTTGAGCTCGGTCTCCGCCGCCGTGGGCTGGTCGAGATAGGACACCCGATCCAAGTGGAAGAGACTCTTCCTGACGACCAGCTCGGGCGAGGGACACGGCGTCGGGTAGATCGAGCGAGTGTTGGTGTTGTCGACCCTGAAGGACAGGTCCATCAGCATCCGCATGAACGCAAGCAGGGCGTGGTTATCGGGCGATGGATTGCGCCAGATGACCGTCCTGAACTTTTCGCGAGTGTCCTGCAGGACGGTCCAGCCAACGGAATCGGCAATCTCAAAGACACGCTTCTCGGTGATGACACTGCGAGTGAGTGAGTGAGTGAGTGAGTGAGTGAGTGAGTGAGTGAGTGAGTGAGTGAGTGAGTGAGGGGTGATTGCGATGGCCAACGATGTCCGCCATCAAACATGTCAATATGCGACCCTCAATGCCAAGCACAACATCGACTGGCACCCACACTCACACTCACACATCACACTCCACTCCACACACTCCTCACCTGTGCTCCGAGTCGCTGATGTGGAACACAAACTTGGACAGCGCCTCCTCCGAGCTGACAATCTCGGCAATCACCTTGGCAACATGGTCGACGGGATCCATGGTCCAAGTGACGGGACTGGCGTTTGCCGGGCAAATGCCGAGCTTGATGCATCCCTCGACGTATCGCCAGATATAGTCGTCTGTGTTGCACACTGGAGGATGGAGTGAACAGGGTGAGAAACAGTGTCAGTCGATGGATGGGTGCCACTCAACAAACAAGATCATCGGCTCATGGCCAAGTCGAGGGAACGAAGGAGGGAATCTCCACCACATCACCACATCACCACACCACCACATCACCACATCACCACATCACACATCACCATACCACCGCGGCTCACCTCCGTATCCGCTGTCGCCAGCAATCATCGCTGGCCGAATGATGGTTGCAGGCACGCCCCTCGATCGTGCCTTGTTGATCAGCTGCTCAGAGACCCACTTGGTCTGCGAGTAGCCGCCCGACAGGTTCCAGTTGGAGTACATTTTCTCCTCGAGCGGCTTGTCGGAGCCCTTGGCCATGGCAATCGTCCCGATGGTCGAGATGTAGTGCACCACCTTGAGATGGTGCGTCGTGGCCAGCTGCAGCACCGTCACCGTGCTGAGGACGTTTGTTGCCTTGAGCTCGTTGTAGTTGTAGAGCCAGTGCACCTCGGCGGCGTTGTGCACAATCATGTCGGTCTCTTCGCAAATCTCCTTCCATCGCTCGTCCGAGAGTGCCCATCGCTCCTTGGAAACGTCGCCGCGCAGACCAACCCACCGGTCTCGCACGTCATACCACGGATCGTTCTTATTCCGCGATGCAATCACCAGCCTCGAGGCGTTGGAGTAGGTGCGGAGGAAGGCCAGTTTCTCGGTCTCGGTTCGTGCCAGACAGTAGATCTTGGCTCGAGGGAACTTGTGTGCCAGCTCAAAGATCAGGAATGCTCCGAGGAAGCTGGTTGCACCCGTCAGGACGATGCCGCGGACCTCCTTGGGATAGACAAACGGAGGGAAACCCTCGGCCGTCACACTCGCATCGTCGAGCTTGGCAGCCTCGGCAGCCAGATCGATTGTCGGCGGAATCACCAGCTTGTCGTCGAGAATGTCGACGACCAGCTGGGCGACATCCTTGGGACTCATGCTGTTCGACAGCAGGATCATTGGCGAGATCTCGACACCGTACTCCTCCCTGAGGGCGAGGGCCAGGCGGCCGATGCTCAGCGAGTCAAAGCCGACGCCGCCAATGTAAAAGTTGCGGCCGTAGAGACCGGGGTTGTCCAGGATCTGACTACTGAACTCGGAGATCTTGAAGGCAATCTTGGTCAAGAACGTTCTGGTGACCATGAGAGCCGGGTACTGGACCGCCTGGCCGTACTGCTCGACGTTCTCGGCGATGCGCTTGAGCTTCTTGAGATCGACCTTGCCCGAGTCGTTGAAGGGGAATGCGTCGAGCTTGAGGCAGTTGTGGACGGGGACCTTGGAGACGTTCAACAGCAAAAACATGTCCTCGACGACTCGGATGATATCGGCCGAGGTCAGGTTGGGGTTGTATCCTTCCTGAAGGATGTAGAGCAAGATGATCTTCCTCTCGGAGGTGTGGATGAAGTAGCAGTCGGCAATGACCTGGGACAGGTGCTTGTGGACAAGCTCCTTGAGGTAGTTCAGGTCGACATAGACACCGTTGACCTTGATCTTCTGGTCGAATCTAGAGTGTGAGGTGTGAGGTGCGAGGTGTGAGGTGTGAGGTGTGAGGTGTGAGGTGTGAGGTGTGAGGTGTGAGGTGTGAGGTGTGAGGTGTGAGGTGTGAGGTGTGAGGTGTGAGGTGTGAGGTGTGAGGTGTGAGGTGTGAGGTGTGAGGTGTGAGGTGTGAGGTGTGAGGTGTGAGGTGTGAGGTGTGAGGTGTGAGGTGTGAGGTGTGAGGTGTGAGGTGTGAGGTGTGAGGTGTGAGGTGTGAGGTGTGAGGTGTGAGGTGTGAGAATGAAAGTGATCAGTATCCAGCGAGCAAATGGATCGGTGTCCCAGATTGTGGATGGCAGTTCTCATGGATCAAGCACACAATAGTCTCCAGACTCACCTTCCAACAACACTGAACTCGTTCTCACCAACCATCTCGACCCAGTCCATGGTGCAGACTCGGGGCGAGCCATCCACGAGGAAACCAAAAGTCGACAGCTTGTCGTTGGGATCGGCGTTGACAAAGCTCGGATGGTCCTTGGCAGGATGGTCGAGATCGACGGCAAAGACCAGGATTCCGCTGTTGGAGTACCGTGGATCGATGATTTCGCCTTTCTCGTCAAACAAGAGGCAGCGCACCCCAGGCTTGGTCAGCTTGTAGACCAGCTTCTCTGGGATGGGGCTGTTGACTGCTATACGCATATATGAATAGGCCCCAATAACTCCTGTCTGGTGAGGTGTTGTGATTAGTCATAGTCCAATGTTATGACAATACAATCCATCAAGCATGATATGTACCTCGCTTGATCCATAACCCGACTGAATTTCGGCATTTGGGAATCTCTCCCTCGTCATGTGGATGACACTCATTGGTATGTGCTCAGAGCCCAGACCGATAACTTTCGTGGCCGTCCACTTGACATTCGGGCTCCGGGAAGTTGCGGTGGTGATGATCAACTTCATGAACGAGGGAGTCTGCGGGAGGATAAGTGATATGAGCATGTGAACTGTGTTGATTCCAGTGTTTCAGTTGATCATACTCACCAAGCCCAAAAATGCAACTCCTTCATCCAAAATTTGAGCAGCGTTGATTGCTTGCTCGACAGTATTGTATGTAGACTCCGGAATCCACACTGATCCTCCAAGGTTGAGGGTGTTGAGGAAGAGACTCGATGTCGCCACAAAGGATGGAGGCTGAGAGTCATTAATGTCCGCTTTATAAATTCGGCCACGTTTCAATTCGATATTTGATGTCAAGCACTCATACCTGCAAGAGCCCGACGCTGATTCTCAATATTCCGATCGCGGCTCGGCCAGTCATCACTCCAGTGTGTGCAAACTGGAACCTGCAACAACCAACATCAAACACAGAAGGATTCAGTCAGCGAGTGGTGATGTGATCACTTTGGGAATGTGAGAAAGCATCAGGTGCGACACAGGATCAGAATCCACAGGATCAGAAGCCACAGGATCAGAAGCCACAGGAGAACTCACGACTTGGGGATGCCTGTGGGAGCGACGAGGAACCAGGATGCAGGACGAAGGAGTCGGGTTGTGGGTTGGATATGCATCGTCAGCGCATCACTTTCCACATTCACCGCATTCACCATCTTACTCTATCCACCACTGCACCATCTGCTTTGCTGCTGGACCATCACGCTCAACCATTCCACATACCGGTTGTTCCAGAGGTGCACTGGATGGTGACATAATCATCAAGGGGTTCACAGACTTCGAGAGACGGGGGTGGGACGTTGTCCAGCACAGGGAACGTGGTGGCATCGACTAGTGTCACTCCAATGGTGCGGCCAGGCTTGTTGTGGTGGTAGAGGATGTACTTGATGGAGTATCTGTTTCGATTGGAGTCAAGGTCGAGTCAGGTTGAGCACAGAGGTCTCTGGGATGTCAATCTCCTGAGACACATGTGAGACGAGCACAAGGACAAACCTCTCGCACAGAGCCTTGCGAACAGCGGCAGGGAAATTGAGAGCGAGGTTGAGTGTTTTCCTGGATGGCAACAAGGGACAGATGAGACTCGATCCTGGTCATGGCAGGGACAAAGACCGGTCATATCATGCACAGGCAGACTGACCAGACCAGACCAGACCAGACCAGAGATACTCACTTGCCAAGCATCCACACAGCAAACGAGAGGATCACCCAGCCAGCGTTCGTCTCGCAGAAGGTGCCGATGACCTCGTGGTCGTCGTCGTTCCAGCCAGGGAGAGCCTTGAGAGCCTGGGCGACCGAATACGCCTGCTTCCACACACGGAGATAGCTGAGTCGCTCCGAGGCGCCGCTCTCATATGTGTTGATCAGGAGGGCATCGGGCTCGTCGCGGGCAATGTTGATGAGACACTCGACAGGATGGAGCCAGGGGCCAAAGGGATCGAGCGGAGAAGGGAATGTTGGCTGTTGGGAGACAGGGGTCTGCGAGGAGACATCTCGGTCGTCGACCGGGTCTGCGGACCCTCCAAAACAACAGGAGATGGCCCTGAGCATGCCGGGGTTGGGATGGAAGCGACAAAGGTGCCGATGCCAAAGCCAGATGAGGGCAGGAGAGCGAGGAGGGAGCCGAAAGGGCGAAACGAGACAACGACGGCGAGGGGAAAGGGCGAGGGGAGCGCCTTTTGTCGGTCTGGGCAGCCAGGAGATGGCGACTTGGTCTGGCTGCTTGCCAGATTGCATTGAGCGAATGCTCTTGCTTCCTCTCAGGGTGCTGAGTCTGCCAGCGTGACCGGCTCTGTGCTTGGGCGGTGGGTCTGGCTGTTGCCCCTCGATGCTGTGCTGTTGCCTCGCGCAGCAAGCTGCTTGCAAATCCACTGTTCAGCCAGCGAACAGTTCACTCGGTGGGAACACATGGGCAAGTTTGACACTCGTATGTCTTTGTTTGTGTCTGGCTGGGGGATATTCATTGTGGCCACCAACAGCACAAATCACACCACGGCACACAACGCACCACAGCACAAATCGCCCCCTCACCCAGAGGAAGAATAGTCTGTCCGCAGTTCAGGGACAGGCTCGATTTGGTCTCTTGGACAGAGGTTGATGATGATCCTGGTATGAGGACACCAACTCTGACCAGGATGGTCGGGCCGGGCGATTTGCTCGTCTGGTTCTGGGCTTCTGTGTGCTCAATCCCCCTCCCTCGCGTCCACTGGACATTCCCAAATACAACCCAATGGCTGTCTCTTTGGACACTGCTTGTTCATGGCGGATGGCCGCGGAATCGACATCAGTGCGGCCCTTGCCAACGTCCCTGCTGGATGTCGGCGTTCTGCAAACTCGCTCCTGCCTCGTTCCCAGGCCACATCCACGTGATATCAATCACGTGTCAATAATCACGTGTCGTCGCCTCGCTCAACAGAAAAATTTTCGCGGTCTGATCGCATCCGTAATGACTATGAGCCCGATCGACTCTGCCAAAGTCAGGCTCTGCATCAACCGCTCGCGGCAGGCCCGATCGTCCCTCGAGAAGCTCAGTCAATCGACAGTCTCTCCAACCGCATTACCGCGCGATATTACGGCATCTCTACAAATATCGCCATGTCTCTGCTGAGATTGAAGCCTCACGCCGCTCTCAAGGTACGACTGCGAGTCCAAGCTCAGTGCCGATATGCAGCAGGTGGCCGGCCTCGAGGAACGGGAGGGTCTTCAAAGGGGATTTCCCAGTGAACCAGGCCACTCAAGCTACGGCGATAGATTATTTGGTATCGGCGCTCAGCTCAGCGCTTGTTTGCCCACCCACCAAGTCGATCGGATCTAGACTCAGCATCGGCTTCGACTTTGGATCGCGGTGGCATTGGCGATTGGGAAAATGAGCCATATACCTCGGTTTGACGCCGGTCCACTGATCTTTTGCTGCATCCGACATCTGTATTTCATTCGCTCCCTTGTGCAGCGATCGGTGGCCACCATTGCGTCGCGCCAGCCCACCAAGATTGCCGCATCAGCGGCCGAGCAGTTCCAAACACCACCTGTTGGCGTGAATGCCGCCTATGACCAGGCCGTCAAGGTTTTGGAGAAGCACAGAGAGGTGCTCAAAGCACAGATCGAGGATCTCAAGGTGAAGCAGGGATCTAGCGATGCCAAAGCCACGGCCCACCTCGACAAGCTCATTGTGTCCAAGGAGACCGAGCTCGAGTACACTTTTCCCGAGAACCACTGGCAGTTCTACAACAACCGCTGTAAGCACGCATGCCACATCCCCATACTCGTTTCGAATATGGCTGGTGCATAGGCTATAAGCCGGAAGTCAGCTGTCGCACCGCCATTCCGTTCGTGCTGGTCACGCATGCGGCCGTTGTCTTGGCCTTGGAGGGCGATGTGCCAAGCACCCTGCGTATTTCGCCATATATGGGCCGTTTCACGGATCCATGCCAGCACACTCACATATCGACCAACAACTGTGAACACCGACGCAGACGACATCAACAAGGACATCTTCCGATCGCTCCATGCCAAGCGGTACAAGTCCTATGTTATCCCGCGGCTGCTCCGACAGTCCGAAGCCCTCGGCATCGTCGGTGACGCCCTGGTGGCCCCGCTCAGCCCCCCGATCTATCTGGAGGTCAACTTTCCCAGCACCAAGTGGTTCGGCGCCTACGGACACCCGATTCCTCCCAACTGGGCCTTGTACTCGCCCGAGGTCACAATCACCGTGCCCGACGACTCCGAGGGCTTCTACACTCTTATGATGGTGGATCTGGGTAGGCTTCGTGTAGATACGCATATAGATCCCCGCATCATGAATCTGCAAAGTGGCGGTTCGGTCGACAGTGTGGCTGGACGTCCTGCCTCGTGTTCTGATAGCGTGTACTGATCGTCTCCATTTCTGCGGCTGTGTGATCTCCTCAGATCGAGTCAACGTTGAGTCAGGAACGTTTGAAGAGTGGTGCCACTGGCTCGTGTGAGTACCGCCATAGCGATCTGTCGTGAAATGTCTCGGTGTGGGACTCAGCGTGGAGTGGTGCGCATCCTTGCTCCCGCTTCATGCGCTTGATCGACTTGCGTCTGCACGCGAGCACAACTGAACGGCAGATCGTGCTCTAATCAAATTTATCCATTCCCGCATCGATGGCCCTCCCGATGACAGCACCGACATTCCTGTCAAGTCTCGGCTGGTGATTCCTGGTGGATCATCGCCTTTCCTTGGCCCTCCCACCGACGATACTCGTGTTGCTATTGAATCGGCAAAGAACAACATGGCCACTCATCCCACTGCGCCCGAGACTCCCGTCACGATTCCCGGAAATGTCATCTTTGACTACGTGCCCCTGCACCCCCCTCACCAGAACCCCGCACGCCACAGCCGGTACTTCATCGGTGCCTACCGACAGCCGCAAGGCCAGGGCCAGATCGACGTTGCAGCCCTCAAAAAGTCAATCCAGGAGAAGATTGCATCCGCGGATGCGACCGAGACTCGGGGCACTTTTGAGCAAATGTACATTGGCGAAGCAGAGAAAAAGATCCAAACCCAGGAGCGGTAAGACTGGTTCATAGTGGCGGCGGAGTGATATGCATCCACGACCGCGACAGCGTATTTGCAAACTTGCTGACCGCTCGCGTTTCCTCCACTACGACAGTGCCGCCGTTACTCCGTCGTGGGGCTTTGCCAAGACCCATGGCCTGGAGCTCCAGGGCTACGGATTCTTCACCTCCATGTGGAACCTGTACACACCTGACATTTTCACCCGACTTGGTATGTCGTACTGTTCTGCTTGGCGCGCGGCTCCGTTGCTCCGGATGCCCATCCCTTTGGACGTTGTGACTTTGAATGTTGTAGAGATAGATGCCTCAGAAACCCCAAGCCCCTGCGACTCTATAGAATCAGTTGCGCTCATCGGGCTGGATATTCATGTCTCTGACGCCTGCTCGGCTGCTTCACCGCATTCCCAACAGGCATCCACGAGCCTGTCTACGGCGAGCTGCCCAAGAACCCGAAGCAGTTCATCAAGCAGGTCCAGACGGCCTCCGAGATGTTTGCCAAGCTGCCCGGTCCGTTGACTACTCTGGAGGTCTCTGAGCTCCAGCACATCAACAAGGGCACCAAGGCCACGCCGCACAAGCCTCGCGTGACTATGAAGACCCTCGAGGTCGAGAAGCTGAAGCAGGACGATCAGGCACAGCTCCGCGCCAGGGCGCAAAAGATTGCTGAGAAGGAGAAGAGCTCGGTTGACGACGTCCTCAAGACTATTGCTGCCAAGGAGGCCGAGTGGCAGCAATCTGCGAAGCTGCCAAGACTGACAACCATTGGTGCCGTCTCTGTTGTGAAAAACAAAGTTAACGATGTCGCCACTGCCGATGGCGAAAAGACGGCCCAGGCCAAGACCCGTCGCTACAAGTATTTGAACGTCTAAGGACAATTCCCCTCCCATCGCAATACACGCTGCACTTGACATCTATATCCGTGACTGCCTTCGTTGCCAGTCACCGTCGCCGGCTGCCGCACTCGTGGTTTGTCCCTCAGCGTCGTGGCTCGAGGTGCTGGTCAGAGACGATACACCGTGGGGCGACGACTGGGCCTGTGTTGGGCGTCCAAGATTACGTTGATGTTGCACTGTTGTGCTGTCGGAGACATGCGGGGCATTGATAGCAGATGGTACGACAGCGGCGATGACGGATCAATAGCACACCATTCGCCCGTGTCATTTGATAGCCACAGATGTCTTTGATCTTGAGCTTCGGTTGTGTCTTGGACTGATCGTCATGTGTAACACGACCCAATCGGCGGGAGCGGGGTGGCAAACAATGTCAAGCGTCCTTCCGTTGCCTGTCTGCAGAATGAGACGACATATCGCTCGGATGCTTCTGGGAATCGGAGGGAGCTCCTCCTTGCCGAATGCCCCTCGGCTTGATCACCGCCTACGCCTCTCAGATGTCGTGGAGCTAGTTGGGATACGATACCTATCTGTCTTTGCCTCCAACGACACTCCGGAAGCGGTGAATATCGAATCTCTGGCGCCTCGGTGCTTATTGCCAACAGCCCCCTTCCACGCATCTGGCCAGCCTACCGACACGCTTCATCGTCGGAGGTCAAGCAGCCCGACGCCAACCGGATGGCGATGCCATCAAGTCCCAGCGGAGATATCGATGAGCAAATGTCGATCATCCTGCAATTTTGTGTGTTGACCCTGTCGGGCTTTATCCAGCTTGGGGTCGTCGTCATGGCCGTGCACAAGCTCTACAACCACTACTCAAGCACATGCATATACTCCCTGTGCGTGGCTCTTGTAAGTGCGCCTCTCAAGCGACGACGTTGCCTGGAAGTCGACGCTGTCGGCACTTTGGGGGGGGGTCGATCCCGTACTATGGCTATGCTGGTGCGAGCTCACCAGCGGAGCTCTGTAACTTGCCTTTGGGATGACTGACTCCGCGACCCTGTCCGGATAGCTCTTCCTGGTGTTCATCATCTCCCAATATTTTACCGTCGTTCCCGAAGCGCGACAAGCCAACAATGAGTCGGTGACGGCATCGATGGTGAGGTGCTCTGCGGAACAGGTGCATCTTCGGGGGCCGCGTTCACTCGGAACCCACGATGCTCTCATGCTGACTCTGTTCTTTGGGGCTTTCATCCTTTCCCCACCAGATTGCTATTGATTTTTGGGCCAACCAGGTTGGAATTGTGACGGTGCCCTTTGCGGGCGGGCTCCAGCTCATCTTGATTTACCGCAAGTTTTCCGAATTCCAGCCGATCTTTGGGCATAGCACCGTTTGGGTAATCACATCCTTGAGTCGTTGGGATGACGCCGTGCTTGGCCAGGGAACGACTGCCGGATCAAAGCATTCCCCGGCGACGAGATGACCTCGAACTCTGAGGGCTCATCTACATCGCCGTTCGCATCCATGCTCACACCCACGTGTCTTTCTTTCATTCTTGGTATCGTCCGCAAACAGCAAGACAGGTTGTTTTGGACGACCCTCCTACTTGTCGTCATCGCCAACATTGTCCTGGCCGAGATTCCGTCGATTATCGCGCTAGGCATTGCCAATATCGGGCTGTTCTTCTATCTTACAATCTGCACGTTGGTGATGTGCATCGTATTCCTTCGCAACATCGAAAGAGTGTCTCGTCTCGACGATAGCACCGCGTCTCGGAAAAAGTCACGGCACTCCTCGCGAGCGTACCTGGAGCCATGGGTCAAGAACCTGCTCTGGTTTAACTTTGGAAACTGGTTTGTAAAGCTGAGAGGCAGCGAAGCAGAAATGGCTGTGGTTGTGGCCGGTGATGCACATGCTCCCCCCCCCCATGTATCTTTGACGGACGGTGGTTGTTGGCCTGCGATCCTCGACACTCACGCAGTACTTCCCCCCGTTTATACAGCCTTGTGACCACAGCGGTGTTCATCGCCGGATCCTTGCTATACCAATCCTATCCAAACCTCAGCAACGTCTTTATTGACGCACTCATTCTGGGAGCAATCTCATACCAGATCTCCTGCCTGGTATTCATCTACAATGTGCTGCCGTCCAAGCTGGTGTCGACCGCCAATAAGCTCTCTCAGCCAAACTTGAAGGAGATGGGAATATCTTAGTGTGTCCTGGTTGGCCCAATATACCAAGGCACACGCCATCTGTTCGTCGTCGTTGATTCTGCATTGCATTTCCTCAGCGCGGCATGCAGAGATCGAGTCAGTTGCCGCTCTTGCCCCTCTTGCCCTTCGTGCCGCTCGCCGTTGCATTTCGTGTGGGAGGTTCGAACAATGACAACTCGGGGCTGCTCCTTGGTTCATCATCATAGCTGCTACGCATATTTTATACAGTACCTAGCGCCCTTTGCCACAATCAAACTGCCCCGTGCATATCTCCGAGCTGAGTCAGCGGTCTATGAGTGCGATCCGTCTATCAGCCCTCTGAGCAGTCGCCTCAGAATGATCCGATCCGCTTCCTGTGAGCAGAGTGTCTGCGTCTCAACGATCTCACTATGTGACGATGACTGCCCTTGCACAAGGCGAGCAAGCGCATAGCGGAGCGACATCTGCCCGAGAAGAAAGCCCATGGCTGTGTTGACCTGGAGAGACTTTGGCCTGTGCGGCCGTCGGATGTAAAACTTGACGGGCAGCTGGAGAGACGGCAGACGCTGGGAGTGAGCTCAGCCTCCGCACATCTCCCTCACAATCCTTGTGTATTCGCAACGACAGAGCAGGCGACACTCACCTCGTTCTGCAGATCCAGGGCAATGCGTCGAGTCGAGCGTTGGATCTCCTCGTCAACCATCTCAAAGAATATCGAGATGGAGATCTCTTCCGAGAGGACAGATTGCGCCTGTATTTTTTCGTCGCGGATACATGTTCAGTCGTGTGCTATGGACATGGACAGACGGACGGAGGCTGTCCTCTCCTTCCTTCTGCAAACAAGCACGGGTCGAGTGTGCCTCGGCTGTCTCTCGAGCTCCTCGACAAGGCGAAATACCGAGACCACGTACAATTTCCATGTCATTGTAGACTTCGTTCAGGACATGGCTGAAAATGCGTTCAGAAGCCTCCTGCAGGATGTGCTCGTTGACGATGGTCTTGACGAGCTCCCGGACGACTTCACAGCACTCTTCTCGGACAACCGGGTCAACGATGCTCTCGAGGATTGCTAGTGGTAGAGGTGGCTCAGGAACGTATCTGCGCTGGATGGCAGTAAAATGGTGTCAGCCATAGCCGGTGACATTCGTAACTGGTTCCGCTTGGACCAGATGCCGAGGCCGAGACACACCAGCTGTACGACTGCCGGCTGTTGGGTGGCTCATGAATGGCTCCAACGGCACGAACATACTCGGCTGCGAGCTCCTCGATAGCCTCGGACACAATGAGGGGGATCTCATCACACAGGGCCTCTTCGATGATGTGATATTTGATGTAGAGGCAGCGAAAGGCTTTGGTCCGGAACACCTGGGCGATGTATGGATACTGGATCATGAGAACGGAGGAACCGGACTGCCATCGGCTTTCTTTGCCACACTCGTTGACGCTATCCGGCAGGATGTTGAAGCAGGGTGTGCATGTGCATGCGTGGATGAATGCATGAGTGTACTTACTGGGGCATAAGACTCTTCAGAAACTTCGACGATAATGTCCGGAATGACTTCCTGTTCAGCCAGACACGACGTTTGCAAGTTGGGTAAGGACGAGCAGTCTCGTCAAAACGACTCGGCTTCAGCCATGGGTGACCACCGACCTCGTGCAGAGCACAAGAGCAAAGGATACAGAGCCGGGAGCTTTGGGACACTTACGCTCTTGAGCACTTGGTCTATCAGTCTCTCCACGAAATACTGAAGCGGGTTGCGCTCGCGTGCGATCGGATTGAGCTTGGTATCGATGAAGTCGCGCTTCACAAGCCATCGCCGGATGTACTTTTGTAGCACAATAGCAGCCTGTATCGCGACGGCCAGCAGAATAGGTGATAGACGCAAATTGGATATTATTTTAATAAATATCAATATTCACCTTGGCTGCTCGAGATATACTGGCGTGCATCCTTGCTCACGCAGACGACGGCGACGAGTAGCGCTATCGATCAGCCATGGGCAGCAGAGCCGTTTGCATATGCGCATACTTACGCTGTGGCGTCTCAGTCTCCATTGCCTCTCTTTTTCTTCGCGCCGATGAGATTCATCCTGGCCCCGTCCGTGGATGAGCGATGTCGATGATAGCGTCTGGGACAGTTCGGGTTGCAGTGACGGGGCACATATCGGCAGCATCGGGAAGAAGGTGGGAGCAAAGGCCAGCGACGGAACGGGGTAGTACGGCAGCACCGGCAAAGCGTTCGGGTTTGGGACATTCGAGAGGTTTCCGAGCGGGAAGAATGAAATCCCCATGGACGGTGCTGCGGCTGGCTCGGCTGCAGGAGAGGCCTGGGTCTCTGCGTTGACGAGGTCTGGTTTGGTGGGCTCAGGAAGATGGACTCGCGGCAGGGGCTCGAGCACCACGCGCTTGCCAGGGGGATTCCTGGGAAAGCATTGTGACGATGGCCGGTTCATGATGAGATGCCGCGACGGACAGAGTGCAGCAGTCGAAGCAACCGTCTCGACGGTCGTTGGTGTGGGCGGATCGTCGGGCCGTGGGAAGCGCCGTCATCCAGCAAAACCAGGAGCGGGGTGGCAGTGCACTCGGGTGGTACACGCCAAATGTCGCTTGATTGGTCGGTTTGGCTGTTTCGTTGTTTGGCTGTTTCGTTGTTTCGTTGTTTCGTTGTTTGTCAGCCGCGCCGTGCCTGCGACATCTGCCAGCTCGATCGTCTGGGCCGATCCAGATCCGACATCGACCCAATATGATGATGATGCAGTCGCTGCTGCGATGGCGAACGGGCCCAAGGCCGCCCAAGGCCGTTACTGTTGTACGCCAGCCACTACAATTCGCTGCCCGCCGATACCACAGAGCGGCACCGGCAGCCGACCATGCTGGCAGCGTCCTCGATTTGGCCTTTGAGCGACACACTCCGGACTCATTCCTGGGCGATGCGGCCGAGCCGCTTCCGCTGGTGGTTGTGCATGGTCTGTTTGGCAGTGCCCAGAACTGGCGGCGAGTTGCCAGGAATCTTGCCAACAGCCTTGGCACAACAGTCTTCGCGCTGGTGAGTTCTGGCCGAGACCCGATGCTGCAATCGGGCCTCACATCTCTGTCGCCGCAATGGTCGGAGATGACGAGGACGACTTGTCGATAGGTTCCGTGCACGATGGACGACTCGCTTCCAGTGCAGTGGAAGCCTTCACTCCGGGCTCGCCCTGGCCTGTCCATGCACCGATATCGTCGTTCCGGCCTGCCTAACTCGAATCTGGCTGTCACAGGACCATCGCAACCATGGCTCGTCGCCGTTCTCCCACGGGCACCAGCACACCTTCCATCACATGTCCAAGGACGTATCCCGATTCCTCGACACCCAGGGTATCAAGAAATGCACGCTTGTCGGCCACAGCATGGGCGGCAAAGTCGCCATGACGACGGCGCTGCTGGATAGCCGGGTCGCTCGCCTAGTGGTTGTGGACTCGTCCCCGGTCAAGGTGCAAGAGTTCCGGGATGTGCGTGCCCAACTCGAGGGCATGATGCACGTAAACCGGTCCAAGCCTGCGTCGCTGCAGGAGGCCGATGCGATCCTGAGGCAGTACGTGGAGGTATGCGGGACATGTGCTGGCATTCATCGATGCGAGACGACTACGACTTGTCACTGGCTTCCGGCAGCATGAAAGCGCACTGATCCCGGCAGCGTGAAAGCGCACTGATTCCGGTGGAACGGTCGCTGTTGGGATGAATGCTGCTTCCTGCTCACATTCTCTACTCAACGATCCCACAGGAAAAGATCGTTCGCCAGTTCCTGTTCACCAACTTTAAGCCCCAGTCCGAGACCGGGCTGTACGAGTGCCGACTGAACCTCGAGGAACTCCATCCGTACATCATCCGCGAAGTGAATCAGTTCCCGATTCCGATCGACGGCCAGGCTCAGTTTGAGGGCCCCACCCTGGCAGTGCTGGGGTCTCGATCTCACTACGTGCCCGAGAGTGTCCGGCCGAGCCTGCGGATGCTGTTTCCGAATATCGAGTACGTCGAACTTGATGCCGGCCATTGGGGTAGGTGCACGGCTGGTGCTGTTGCTCTGCACTGGCAAGATCGCGACCCGGAGCTTGCACATGGCGATGGGCGACGCTGAGCTGATGGATTCTATACTGCTGCAGTGCAAGCCGAACGACCGACTGAGTTTGTCGACACGGTCTGCCGATTCGTGCGCCAGCACCCGAATGTTTGAGGAAGCAAGTGACTCCAGACTCATGGCCCATGACCCTGTTTGTGGAGCTCTGCCTTGACCATGCCCAGGGCCAACACTGAAGGTGGCGGGCTCAGCGGGGTACCCTCGTCTTCGATAGAAGCGATATCGACAGAAACCTGTGGCCATCTGTCTCTCGAGAGAGGGCAATTGCGCGATTTCGGACCAGGTGTATTGTCGAGGATGGTGTGCTCGATGCTTCCAGCGTTTCCAAAATGAAATGGGACACCCCGTTTTGAGCCATGACATATATTTTGTTTCTAGAACCTGAATACACCCACCCATCCACTCATCGCAATCATGGCCAAACACAGCACCCTCGCTTTCCGCATCGCTGCACTGCGACCGGTGGTCTTCACTCGGAGGCTGCCAAAGTGATCTGTTATATTTCCTATGGCTTTGCTTGACGCATGCCATCGCATACTACGCTGACAAATGGGTTGTGGGCAGGTGTCCCATTTCCCCCTGAATGCAGTGTAATACAGAAACGAGCATCACACACAGGCTCGACAGTTGCATGCGGATGGGGCGAGCGGCTGGGGGGGGGGCTTGTAGCCACTCGCAGTATGTCGGATGGGTTCAAGTGGAGGATGTCAATGGATAGGCCCAGAGTGCAGCTGGGAGGGAAACGGGTGAACATGTGTACAATAGGAACCGGGCACGGTTAGTTGGTCTTCAACGGACGTTCAAAAAATCGGTCGACCATCGCAGGGACTAGGGGCTGGAGGGCGAGGCCGAGGCGATTGCCGGAGCGGGAGCGGGAGCAGGCGAGTTGGCTGCGGTGGTGATGATGTGCAGGATGCCGGTCTGGTTGAGAATGATCAGGATAACGATGATGAGGATGACGGTGATCAAAGCGATCATGGCGATCCGCCACTTGAGGGCCTTCCACCAGGTCTTTGACTGGATCTTGGTGGCGGTATTGTCAAAGGACCTGGCGCCACGCTCCAAGTCATCGGTCTTGTCCTCCAGGCTATCGAGCCTGTACTTTCGCTGCTCGGCCAGCTCGATGTTTTCACGCATCTGGTCGACGGTTTGATCGATCTGGTTCCGGATCTGGGTAGGGCAAATGGACGGTTGGGTCGCCAAGAGTGAGTGTGGTTGGGCACGTTGGCGCAGGCGGCGGCGGTGGCCTTGGGCTTGGCCGGCTGCCAGAATGCAGAAGCGGCAACGATGCAGGACATGCGTCGGATGGAGAGGGATGGAGAGGGATGGAGAGGCGAGGACCCGAGAGGATGCAGCTGGAACCAGTGGCGAGGACATACCCCCTGGATCCTGTTCACTTGATGATACTCGGGGTTAACCGAGGGAGTGGAAGTGTTTTGCATGGCGGGGCCGTTGTGCAGTTGTGCAGTTGTGCAGTTGTGCGGTTGGTTGGTGAGTCGGGGAAGGCAGCGGATATGAAGTGGCCGGTATCAAGCAGACGATACGAAGCGGCTGGTCGGAGAGACTGGCGGCAAGCAGCAGCAGCAAGCAGCGCCAGAAAGAGGGAGCCCGGTGGTGCCAAGAAGGACAGATGCAGACAGAGGATGGAGGGAAGGAGGATGGACAGATGGACGGAGGATGTATGGAGGACGGGGGCGGTGGGTGGCGGTGAAGTCACGTGTGTCTCTGTGTGTGTGTGTGTGTGTCTGTGTGTGTCCTTCTCGATCCCGGTCTCTCTCGCTGGCTCTCGGCGTCTCTCTGTCCCGCTCTGTCTCTCTCCGCCAGCCACACACACACGGCGCACATGATACACAGGACCACACACACACACACGTGACGCGGTGCATGCCGCTGGTTCGATCCGCGGCGCCCACCGCGTCGGCCCTTTGGGCTCCTTCGCAAACAATCCATCTCTGGCGCCGTCAAGCGACCAGGTCCTGCGACCCATCCTGTCTTTGCTGCTGCTGCTGCTGCTGCTGCTGCTGCTGTTACTGCTGCTACCGCCTTCGCCGCTTGGCTCTCGCCTGGCTCGCCAACCATTCTGCCGCCTTCCTCCCGTACTCGTCGCCATCCGCTGTCCCGCTCGCCTCCCCTGCCGCTTATCCGAGGCTGCCTCCGTCTTCATCCTGCAGCTTGCCCTCTGTGGCCCGGCCCGCTCCCATCCCCCCGGGCTGGTCTTCTTGAGCTGACTCATCCTCACCGCATCGCCTCGGCCACCCTTCCAAGCTGCCCGTCATGTCTTCGGGCCAAATCCCTACGAGCTCGCCCAAGCGTGCCTCTTCCGCCTCGCTCCGGACCATCGGCACTGCAAGCTCCTTCACCAGCCGCTTCCAGAGCGATATTTTCCTCGTCCAGTCTCCCACGCCCTCCCAGGGCTCGCTCGAGTCGGACGAGCTCGGTTCGTCTACCTCGCCTCGTGCAGGCGCCTTCTGGAGACGCAGCATCGCCTCCACCATCATCCCGGAATTGTACATGTACGAAGAAGGCGGTGAGGTCGACATTGACGAGCCCATCATCGAGGTCGACGAGCCCGAGTCGCCCTATGTCTCCGAGTCCACCGACCCACCCTCGGCCCTGAGCCCGGCCTCTGTCACCCACCCTCAGCCTCCGGCCCCCGCCAGTCGTCTCGATCCAGGCCACCCGCATCCAGCCCACCGCATCATCGCCGACTTCCAGTCCATGCGCTCCTCGCCACCAGTCTCGCCCTCGGTCGAGCAAGCCCCGGTGCGGCTTGGCCATCCGGTGCGGGACGTTGGTCCGTCGGGCTTGCATACTCTCACCGTCCCATCCGGCCCGGAGCTCGAGGACGAGTTCTCGGTCATGGAGGCTTACGGCTACGTCTCAAGCCCTCTGCCACCATCGACACTCTCGCCCAACAGTCCTCTTGGCTCTGCCCACGATCTTCAGCCACCAGCGACTGCTGCCCCGCCCACCAAGACGCTCAAGTCCCATTCGGCCCCGCCTCCCTCCCAGACGAGCTCTGTCGTGCCCTCACATCCTCCCGTTCCGCACTCAGCTTCCGCCGACATTCCTGCAGCACCTCATAGTTCTCCAAGCATCAAGCCCTTTGTCGTCTCCTCGTCTCCCTCGCGCCATTCCTTCACGTACATGGCCGCCACCTCGTCTGGTCCCATGTACGGCTCGGTGGACGACTCCCGCAGTTCCAGCGCTCCAAGCAGCCGTGTGACGACCCTGCGGATTGCACCCCATTCGACCTTTGCTCCCTCAAAGTCGTCCATTCTCTCCAAGCTTGGCGATCAGGACGACGAGGCAGCCCGCTCAGCCGCGCGGGATCCTCATGGCATGGGCTCGCTCAAATCTCCAAAGGACCCAAGCCGCTCGCCATTTGCGCGTCCTCTGGCCTATGGTACCGGTGCGCCCGCTGGCTCCACCGGCCCGGCCAGCAGCGGCCATCGCCGGGACGATTCCTTTGGCCACCCTGTTCTGACCGAACCCACCATCAACTCCATCATTGACTCGACCCGCAATTCCTCGCCCGCTCCCAGTGAGGCGACCATGATTTCGTTCAGCAAGCACCGCGGACCCCCATTTCACGCTGGCGAGATCAACTACTCGCTCGTCAATGACAACGATCCCTACGGCGAAAACGACGACGACGACGATATGGACCGTGAGGACGAGGATGACGACGAGGACGGACCTGCCAGCGGCCGAAGCACCCAGGGCCCCAATTCGCGACTCACCGGCGGCCCCGTGTCCGAGTATGTCTTCTCCTGGAATGAGTCGACGGTCAAGCGCAATGTCCTCTACAGCCTGTCGTGTCCCTTGGTGGTGCTGTCATGGGTTGTCATCCCCGTGCCCCAAGCCCTTGTCTTTGACTCGACGCTCAAATCTCCAGGTACATTCGATCAACTCGAGCGACAGCTGCTGAGGGTGCTGATCCATGACAGTGTGCATGCCTTGCTGCTACCGTGGTTTCTGCGTGACTCGACAGCGGCGTTGCCGTAGATGCGGCATGTATCTTACCGCTGACTCGATTCTGTTTTTGCACCAGCCTTTCTGTTCTTCTACATCTTTGGCGCCTTCAACTTCGTCCTCCTCACCTATCTGCAGTCCGTCTATCAAATCTACCAGCTGGATTGGCGGCGAAAGTACTTGTATCTACCCAGGCTCGGCCAGAGCGGCATCGTGTGGTTCCTGCCCCTGCTAGGCGTTTATATCCTTCATCTTACCACGCATCTGGATGATGGAGTCTGCGGGGCCATGGCGGTCTTTGGCACAGTGATGGGTCCGTGTCTCGGTGGATGGCTCAAGACTCGATATAGGAAGGCGCCCCAGAGCAGCGGACTGCTCTCGCACCAGAACAGCGTCCAATCCAGCACAAGCGATCTGGCTGGCTCACACAGCTCGGAGTTCCATGTCAATCGCTTCCACTCGCCTACCCCTGGATATGACAACCGAAAGCTGATCCTGGCTCGCCGATACCAATGGTTCCTGGCTTTGATTCGTAAGTGCTGTCGACTGAGACAACGGCAATAGTTGCTGACTGCGATGGCCACGACAGCGGCTCGAGGACGTTGCCAGGAGAGATCCGGGTCTGACTCCGAACAGCTTGGCCATCCGGCTGTCGCTGGGATCTGATATGCTTGCCGCCAGCACCTGCGCTATGAGAGCACAAATTAATCCATCGCTCGTGCTCTCCGTGCCTTGCCTTGAAACACACTGGTCATGTTCAGTTCTGTCGGTGATTGGATCAATTGTGACCAAGCTCACTATCGACCAGTTTATCCACGGAGCAGATGGCAAAGAGCACGGCATCGTCATCGTATCGGTGTATACCACCGGCATGCTGATTTTCGTGTCACTACTGGACTATCTTGTGAGCATCGCGACTAGCCAAGCCTCCCTGGGATATGTTCATTGCATGAGCCGAGAGCGTTGCCTCGATGTCTTTGCGGAGAGTCTGTACCCCTCTGATTGCGCATCCAACGGCATCTAGTCGACTGCTCACCGAACCTCGCCGGTCCATCCACAGGCAACCTGGATATCCGACGATCAGATCAAATGCTGGCCCCTGAATTTCGTGTCGCGCATGTTCTTTTACATGCTCTATTTTGTATTCTGTAAGCGCTCCTCGACGACTGGCATCGCAGCACTTTGTCGCAGCGCGTACTCGTCCCCTACGTCCTCCGGATCTCAACCCACTAACAAGGCTGTGGGCCGCATGCGGCACCATGAGTCTTGCGTTGCTGACCCTGTCTTCGTCGCCGCTGGCATTTGCTATTGCGCCATCTTTTCATCTATCCGATCATAGATCGGACAATCTTGCTCTTCTTGACCATAGAAGAGATTGCCGTTGTCCAGCTCACGTCCGTCGTCTGGATCGTATTTGTTTATCCGGTAGGTTTGGTTCCGGCAGAATTGCCATCGTGGTGCGCTCTGAAGTGCATGTCCGCTGACTCGCCTCTGTTGCGGATGCCTTTCCACTCACCCATGCATTTTGCCCTGCTTGTGTGCGTCCTAGATACTGATGACCTCCCAAGCACACGCTTTTCTGATCGAATATGTCGGACTGAATCGGTCCTATCACGTAAGCCGCTTGATGCTTCTGACAGAGACGCGCACCGCAAGCACCGACACGCTGGTCAAGGAGGGAGACTCACGAATGCCTCTGGTCTCCATGCACAGGATCACATCCGCCACGTCACGCGGTCATTCTTCCTGCGAACGATCGCCGAGTCGACCACGGTCATCTTTTCCCTTCTCTTCAGCTTGACCCTGTACATCTTTCCCAGCAAGGTGTATCCCATCTACAACTTTGGTCCGGACGACCACGGCAGACAGACACAGCAGCATCCGTACAGCTTCCCAGTGACCTTTGCCATCATCTTTGCCGTCAACCTGATCGAGCTCCTGGTGGCCAATACGGCTCGCCAGACTTTCCAGAAGAGCTTCCGACTGCTGGTTGCGCGCGAAACTGTCAGCGAATTTGCAAAGTATCCGGGCCTGTTCACGATCTGCTGGATCACGGTGGTCGTGGGCCTGATGGGCATGGTCATCTGCGCCCTGGACTACCAGAGTTTTGCTTAGAATTATCTGTACATTGCATTTGGTTCCCTATCCCCTTCCGGTCCTTGATCCTTTCTTGGTATTGTGTCGTTTCCATCTTCATCGGGACTCAACTCCCCTCTTCCCCCCCCCACTTCGACATATGCTTGCCCTTGGACGTCGCTGCTACTGGCCCTATCAGTACATATCTCATGGGCACGGCCGCCTCGGGATCTGCTCGTGCATGTGCACGACCGTCTCTCGTCTGTTTGCTTGCTTTGCTCTGCCTTTCCATGATTTGCTCTGCCTTGCCTTGCTTTGCTCTGCCTTTCCATGATTTGCTTTGCTTGTTTCGTCTCCCTCGCCAGCCACTCTGGCATATGGCCTGTGCCCTTCTGGCATCGTGTCGTCAGCATCACGTCATTTTCCACGCCAATGATACTTTTGGTCCCAATCCTCTGAACTCATCCTCTTGCTGCAGAAAGACTCTGCTCGAGATGCTCTCTCGACTTTTTTGTTCTGGCCAGACGAGATTGAATCTAAACCAGTTTTGGATGCTGCGTACACATCCCTGTATTGCCCACAGCAGTAGTGTACTGGCCGGCGGTGCTGCCCCCATCCCAGTTGTTTTCTTGCGCCTGTCGGATTGCCAGCCGTCACGTGGCAAGTCCGTCCCTCCCGGATATCCCGCGCACACAAACCCACCGCCGCCGTTCCATCCAGCCCGCTCGATCCTGTCCCTCTGTCATCCTCCAAGCCCAAGGAGAGCCCCACCGAGAATCCCGGCACAAGCACCGGCAGCGGAAGTGGCACTGATCATAGCAACAAGCACAACATCTCCAAGACGAAATCCCATCCGACGACGATCACTCACGCACGGATATCCATCCGCCCAATCCACTCAATCCGCCGACAGAACCGCCCACAGCCACCGCCGAATCCATGCTCTCATCGCCAAGAGGCTTCATCAGCGTGCCCAAGTTCACCCTGATCCCGAGCACGCCCGTGCCAGATGCCGAAGATGCTTCGGTGAGAATGACGAAGCACCACAGAGTGCAGCAGCATGTATGATGAGCGGGCGCTCTGTTGTCTCTGCTTTGGGCTTGCTTTGCTGCGGATGCCATGGCGCAACTGTCCGTCGCTCGATCGGCTGTGCCAGCCGCCGGCAAGCTTCGCTGTCATCTTAGATTCGGTGTCGATCTGCCCAGCCTCCATCTGGTTACATCTCTCTAACGAACCACTCGCCGCCCTCGATTTTTTTGTTTGATTTTCTGTTTTTGGCGCCATGATACCAACCCGCTTCCCCGCCTCTCTTTCCTCTCGCTCTGGCTCGCTCGACCAACTCTTGCGGATCGAACGACCGGACGCCATGGTACGAACGGGTGCACTATCGGCAACACCATCCCTGCTGGACCTTGTTGGGCATTGCCGAATATCGCTGCCGTTCGGGCTGCAGCGCACCATCCGGGGGAAGAGAACGTTCTCGCAATGGCTCTTGAACATGGACGACGACGAAGAATGGACCCATGTCCAATACGGCAGTCGTGCGGGCTCGTGCGCCAGCTTCATCGTTCGCCGCATCAACTTTTGTGTACTTGCCAAGGTAGGGCGTGTATGTCCAAGAGCATGTCCAAGAGCAGGTCGTGGATGTGGTGTGGCTGCGGTGCCAAACAACGACTGGCCAAAGTGCACCGGTACTGACCGTTTCTTGCGACGGGTGGATGTCTTTCAGACAATCATCTTCATCGTCATCGCATCATGGATGGTCCTGCTGATATGGCAGCTCTCGTACCTGCACGCCGGTGCATACCCTGACTCGGATTCGTCGTGAGCAGCGACCGCATCCCAAGTAACCCTGTCGAGACCAACGGACGGATCCGATATCCACCCCCACGCTCTTGCCCACACCTTGGTCCTGTCCGCCGACTTGGTGCCGCTCCCACCGCATTCCCGCCCGCCCGCACCGGCCAAGACCCAGACCCAGACACAGCGGTTCACTTTGCATTCATACCTAGGCTGGCCCAACGTGCATCTTTACAATCCCCCTCCCTCTGTATCATACTCTCCATAGTTCAAAATAAGCTCATCCGCGGTGCGGGTCTCTCCCTGTTGTACTGGTGTTGCTACGGAATGGCTCGGCTCGGCTCGGCTCGGCTGCCCATTCAAGACGGTCGATTTGCGCGATCCACACTGCCCCGTCTTCCGCCTGGGCATCTCGGCCCTCCCTTGAGTACCCCTATATCGAAACAGCGGCAGTTGGTCTCGGCCCGCCTGTGGTGGCTCTACCCCCATATCTAGAAAGGCAGCATCGTGCTGCCGATTCATTGGAGCGCAACTGCATCAGTCTCCGGCGATTCATGGAGACTGTCCCTGGTGCCGTGCTGCATCGTGCTCCGAGCGGCATGCCCAAACTCGCCTGTCGATCTTGGTCCCTGTGCTTCGTCTTCCTCCGTCCCCGCATCTCCCAGCAGCCGATCGGCGTCCTCGGGCGCTCGCTCATGCCCATCGCACGTGGCCCATGTCTTGTCGCTTGCCCGCGCTCAAATGCGCTCTCGCCCGTTCGCTCCGTTCCGTCGCTGGTTTTGTCCCATCTTCCCATCAACGCAAAAGATCCTCATACCGTCGTGCTTCGCGGCCCGTGCCCTCTTTCCCTGCCTCTCATTGAAGCCCGTCCCGCTCTTTCCAGATCCTAGAGTTCCCTCTCGTTCGTTCTCCGATCCTGCCCCCGTTTTTCTTTCAAGAGCCCGTGGTCCTTCTCCCAAACAGTCTTCCAGATCGCCCGCCCCTCCGCTTCAGACCCGGCAACATCCTCGATCAGGCTCGTTTACTTCCCCCCTCCTTTGTTCGTTCAGTCGTCAAACTCGATCGCACCAACCGTAAATGGCAGACATCCTTCCCCACCAAGTCCTTCCTGTTTTCGAAAGTGCTCACACCGAGCCCAGAGCGGACCCTGCCCAGTTCGTTTCGATTGCAACGCCCCCTGTTGTTGACCTCGAGCTCGCGGACGTGGTCTTGGATCCTTTAATCGAGACCTCGCATCCTCTCCAGCTGGATTTGTTGGAGAAGGAAGAGCAGCCGCTCGTCCTGCAAGAGTTGTCGGCCCTTGACGCTGATGGCGAGATCCAACACGAGCTCCAAGATCACTCGCCTGAAGACCCTCCGCAGCCCGTTGACGAGACTCCGTTCGAGTCCGGAATCGCGACCCAGTCGCAGACAGCTCTTGAGATCCGCGCCGACATCTCTGCTCTCTCCGAGGCGCCTGTCGAAGCTCACGAGCCAGCGGTGCTGCCCGAGCATCACGTCCCTGCTGCTGCCGAAGAGTCTACGTCTGCCCCGCTGTCGGACCCAGAGCCAAAGCCAACGTCGGTGGAGTCTCTGGCCAGCAGCACCGCCGAGACGGCGAAGCCGGCCAAGCGTCCCTCGGTTGTCGTGCCGCTGCATGCGGCCGACGAGCCCGCCCGTAATGGTGTCAAGACACCCACCCACATGATGCCGACTCTGAAGAGCCCCAAGAAGGCCCTGACCAGCAAGTCTTCGCCCAGCAAGTCTTCGCCCGGCAAGTCTTCGCCCGGCAAGTCTTCGCCCGGCAAGTCTTCGAATGCCGCAAAACTCACCAATGGCGACAAGGCCGTTCCCCAGGCTGCCAAGCCCAGGTCTCACGACTTGGTCGTTGCCCGGCTCTCGGTCGCCCGAAAGTCTGTGGCTGCTGGCGAGACCCCAAAGCCAAAGGAGGAAGCCAGACCCAAGACGCTCAAAGCTGCGACTCCAAAGCCAGTGTCGAGTCCGGCCAAGCCGACGTCGTCGTCTTCGTTAGGCAGTCCGGCTGCAGCCAAGCCCCGGAGCCCTGCCTCCCGAGTCAAGGCGACTCCCGAGAGCAAGCCCAAGGCGACTCCCGAAACCAAGCCCAAGTCGACTCTGGAAACCAAGCCCAAGTCGACTCTGGAGAGCAAGCCCAAAACGAGAAGCCCAGCCTCTTCGAGCCCTGCCACCCCCAAGAAGACCATCGCTTCGTCGGTCTCAGCCCCGGCCAAGAAGCCCACCGTCTCGACTCCTCCCTCTGCTCCCAAGACTCTTGCCAAACCCACCCGACCGCCGGTCTCGAGCCCCGCCCGAGGCTCCACCTTCGGAGGGTCTAAAAAACCCGTCAAGTCCAGCGCCCCTCCCGCCCCGGTTGTTGACCATGAGCGTGAGAACTCTCTGCTCAAAATTCAAATCGAAAAGCTCAAGCTGGAGGTGGGTATCGACGGAGCTGTGCTGATGGCGCAAAAGAGTCTGTGCGCTGGGTGCAGACCCATCACATGTATCGGACAGGCGGGATGGTGAAGCTCAGCGCACGGTTGTTGTTCCCGGACGGTGCTTTTGGGGTTTGAAACGCAATGCGAGGGGAGGCTGTTATCAGAGTGAGCAGTGAATGCAGGTGTCTGTTGATGCATACTGATGCGGATTGCCGCGCATTTGTTTCATCAGAATGCCGCGCTGTTGAAGAAAATCGAGGTCAGTGCGTGGTGGTGGAGAGGGATCGCGCGCCTCCACGGCTTGCTGCACGGAGCAACAGCGAGTCGATGGGTGCGCCGAACAAAGCGGTGCCAATACGAGGCTGTTGTCGGAAATAAGGGTGGTTTGGCGTCTGGGATGATAGTGATGCTGCTGAGGGCCCCATTTTGCAGCTGGGAGCGATTGCGACAGTGACAACAGCGATGATGACCGGGCGAGCGCGGCTGTGTGCATGGGGGGGGGAGTTCACACGGCCCGGATCGCTTTGATGGATGCCAGATGGGTCCCAGCGCCGATATCTTCGTCGCCAACTAACCAACTCCCCGTTGCGGACAAACCCTCTTGACCAAACACGACGATACATGGCATGGACGCAGGCTCTGACACTCGCACAGACAAGCAGCAAGGACGCCGCGCCGGAAGAAACTCCTGACCAAGTGCACGAAGGTGCGGCTGTGGCCGCCGAGTCTCAGGAACCAACCCCAGCCGACGACAACGCCAGCATTTCCTCGGTCGTCGCTGTCGAGTCTGTGGTCGCGGCCGCCAGCTCTTGATCAGCCTGGCCTCTTGTGCCACCGCCTTCTTCAATCCCTGTCTTGGGGTCCAGCATTCATTGAATGCCTCTCTGTCGGTTTCCTACAACAATCATCTGCCTCAAACAACGACGGAGAGATCCCAAGCACTGTGGCGAGCTCACCCTTATATTTCATCCAGAGAAAGCGGGTGCGGGTGCGGGTGCGGGTGCGGGAGCGGGGGGGTGGCGGAAGAGCAACGGCCGTGCCCGCTTACAGTCAATCCAATAAAAATGGGACACCCGTGATTTTGACGATTGATCAACTATTTTGCTACCCAATACAATCGCGCGCTGGCCATGACCATTCTGTGATTTGAATCAAGGACGCCATTGTGGGAATCGCTTCCAGCTCAAGACGCGCTGGATGAGCACCACACCAAGTCCCAAGATCCCTGGGTTGGCTTCATTCCTGCAATACATTCGCCATGTGTTCGATGGAGACATGTTGGAGAAACAGCTGTACTTCAGCCTGACCCAGCGACGGCGGTTCAAGCGACTCGATCTCCAGGTGTGCTCACATTGTCGGGAAGCCAAGCGACTCGAGAAGGTCGAGCATCTTGATATCGAGAACCCACACTTTGTCCGGAGCTGTGCAAACTGCCATACGCTGTGGGATCGAGACATCAATGCCTTACGGAACATGATCTCGGTATGCGAGTCGATCATCGCCCATGGAGATCGACCGGGTGTATTCAAGACTGCGCTTCCCGAACCAACCAAAACCACTCGATTGCCAACGAAGACAGGAGTGCAATGCCATGGCCTACCCGCTGGGCCTACAAGTCAGTCAGCGGGTTCAGACATCTGAAGCCAGAAAGTGACTGTCCCGTTTCTTTCTGGACCGACCGTATGTTTCTGATAACAAACGGGTGTCCCCTCTCCTTTCCCTGACAACAAAAAATGCAACACCAATAAAAAAAAAAAGAGAGTATGCGAGGGGACCACAAAAAGAAAGTGAATTGTACCGGAGCAAGAATAAAAGAAAAGGACACGTCCGAATGCACACGATAGATTCCTTCCCGATCCGTTGGCGATGGTTCTCTCACCAAGATCCCTCCAATGTTGGACGACTCCCCTGAGGCCCTCAACGCTCGAGGGACTCGCGGTGTCTGCTGATGGGGATTATGTTTTGTTGAGGCTGGCATGCCACAAACTTCATCGTGTACATATAGACAGAAAAAAAGGAGGAAGGGAACGAACAGCACAGCAGCGGCGGAGAGGCGAGGGAGGGCAAGTGCCGGGGCCATGTACATTCGGTAGTTGGCCATAGTGGCGGTGGTGGTGGTGGTGGTTGGGGTGGAGACGATGCCTGGGCCAGCCTCAGCATCCACAACCATAAAGACGACTCTGACGAGTCGTTCGAGAGAAGCAGGAGGAGAATCCAAGGAGTCTGCATACACGACAGGACAGACACTCATCGCAACTTTATGATATATGCATTTTGAGGGGAGAGGAGAGAAACGAAAGGACGGAAATGCAAACGGACGAACAGAGAGAGAGAGAGAAAGAGAGAGAGAAAGAAAGAGAAAGAGAGCGCAAAGAAAGCGAGCGGAGGGAGGGCGAGGGAAAGAATGATGGAGGCTGCTGTAACTGCGAGGGTCACGGCCAGAGTCCTCTGTTGCTGATCGAGTCCGCGGCTCGAATTAGTTGGTGACTATTGACGCGTGGTTGGCATTCTCGCCAAGGCTGCCTGGTGCTGGGGCCGGGCTCGGCACGGGGCTCTCGGTCCTTCTCCTTCGCACCAGGACTGGGTCAGGCAGTCTGCAGGCAATCACCGATCTGGTGCAAATGGCGTGGGAGGGAATCAGTCGATGCAATCGCAACCGTACATGGGACACATCGATATCGTCGCTCGCTCGCATCGGCCGGAGGGAGAGGATCGATGTGCAGTCGAGCAGCCACATGGCACAGCGAGACATGACACAGCGAGACATGGCACAGCGAGACATGGCAGAACAAGAATGGCTGCACAACATGCCCAGGGCCTTACCGATCATCGCGCAGCCACTTCATGTATTCCTTCAGTTCATCGACGACCTTGGCGGCGCTCTCCTGGTTGCGGATGATGATCGACTGGAAGTCATCCTTGCACTTGGAGTAGTAGCGGATGACGCCATCGGAGGCCAGGACCACCATCTTGAGATGGGCCGTGGGAATGCGGGTCGTTTCCGGGGTCCGCAGGAGACCGGCAACGCCGTTCATCTTGTTGCTGGCTCCCAGGCTGCGGATGGATGCCAGCAGAATCTGAGACACCGATTCCTTCTGCAAGGTTCGGGATGACGCAGGGTAGCAAGTCGTTAGATGATCTGTGGTAACGAGACTCGCACGGCCATGCCGGATGAGGGGTATCGGCTGGGCATGTGATGCGTCACAGCCATACAAGCACCGGTGCAAGCACTTACGCTCTGGAGAAGGGACACGTGCTTGCACAGGAACTTCCAGTTCGGTCGGCCGCGGATAAATCCCCTCAACTCATCATAGGTAAAGTCCTCGACGTTGACGTGGTGCAGCTCCTCGAGGTTCTCGATGCTCTCGAACCAGTACTTGGCCTCCTCCTTGTTGCCGTTCGACACGCAGCTGCTGTTGCTGTAGCTGAAGTTGCTCGCGTTGGGGTCCATTGCAACGGCATCTGAGGATTCCTGCGTGGGGCTGCCCTGTGACTTGAGCGAATAGCCCGACTGGCGGCGGATGCGATCAATGGTGGGTTGGGCAGCGTTTTCAGAGCTGTTGCGGCGGAACGTGATGTCGCGGTCGTCCTCGGTGTTGAACGAAGGGTTCTGGCTTTCAGAGATCCTGCGCTGTTTGCTGCGGCGCAACTCTCTCTCCTGGAGATAGGCCATTCTCAAGAGGTAGCGGCGGTTGAGTTCCTCCCGGAAGGCAATCAGCTCGTCAATGAAGGCGTTGTAGACCTGAAGAGAAGGGATGGAAGAAGCATGTTTAGCGAGCAGACCGAACACGGCAGCAAACCTCGAACCGGCAGCAGGAGTCGCCGAGCCAATGGACAGCAACTCAAGCGGGCAGCCAAAGCAAGGAGCCGGGCAACGGATGATGGGGATACAGCAGATCAATGTGGCGGCGACAGAGACACTGACCTCTGCGTCATACATGGAGTCACCCAGCGTTCCGAACACATTCAATGCAGACATGCCCAGACGAATGTCGTCAAATTCTAATGGCGGGTCCACACGCTGGTTCTGTGGCTGAGGCTCGTCTTCCATCAAAAGCTCACTCTTGGACTCGTCCGACTCGACGACTTCACCATTGGCATCGGGCGAAAACGACGCCGACAGAGGCGAGGGCTTTGTTGTGGCCGAGGTCGATGGAGCCGGGACAGGGTGAGGAACGGGGGCGTGAGTCTGCACCGACGAAGAAGCCGGGGCCTGAGCGGGTGCGGTAGCATCGGCAGGGATTGGGAGCGAAGCCGGAGCTGGAGCTGGAGCCGGGGCTGGAGCTGAAGCCGGAGCTTGGGGAGGCACCTCCTGTTCGAGAATAGTCGGAAGCGACTGAGGCGATGATGACAGCGGCGTCTCGTTGGAAGACGACGCATCCGGGACGGAAACGGCGGCTTGGGGAGCCGACAGACTGAGGCGGCGACTCTCGACCTCAGACTCGAGCTCGATGGTTCCGCTAGTTTCATGGTGTGTCGAGTGGGTATTTGCGTCTTCGCTCTGCTCAGGGATGGGTTGGTTGGCTGTGGGATGGACATATACAATGTTGCTGTCGTTGGCCCGCTGGGCAACGGTTCGGAGACACTGCTCCTTGATCTCGGGCCGGGTGACCAAGTAGTAAATGTTGGCTTCTGGGTTGTCCTTCACCAAGACAAAGAAGATGTTGCTCCGAATCAGATAGTCGTGGATCTGAGGGTTCTCGGCATCGTGCTCCTTGAAGAGAATGTCCGGACGATCCTCATGGCGCTTCCAGGTCAGGATGGGCGAGTCGCCAAGCATGGCAAAATAGGTGTAGGTCGGGGTGAACAGAACGACCGAGGCGGTTGCGCCCGAAGCAAAGTCGTTCTGCGGACGGCATGGAATCAGAAAGATAGCTCGGTCAGCAAGCATAGTTAGATGGGCACAGCGATAGGACAAAGTCAGGGGCGATCTAGACTTGGGGTTTTAGAGCAGCCTTGCAGCTGGACAAGAATGTGTGGGTGGGGGCGCCATACCGATGGGGGCTCGGGCTCGTATTTATCACAGAGCAGCAGCTCACGATGGACGCTGTGGTAGGTCTCGATCAAAGCTCGCTGATAATCGCCCTTCTTGAAGCTCTCGTTGCCACAGAGCTCAAAGGGGAATCGGTACTGCAGGAAGGAGGACGCCGTTTTACCACAGTGGCCGTCGAACACTGGATGAAAATCAGACCAAACAAAGCACGGTGATAAGCAAACGGCAGAGCGACGAGACTCGGGGTGGATGGCTAATGCTGCAGCAGACACAGCAACCGAGCGGTGGAGAGCCGAATGAAACAGGGCGCAGCACAGCAAAGCGAATGTGGTGCTGGGAGTCGATCGACAGCTCCATAACATCCCCGAGCAATGTGGGAGGGGCCGCTCCACAGGAGAATCGTCCACACACAGGCCCGAGAGCCACTCCCAACAGCAGCGATCGCGAGTGAGCAGCAACATGCCCGCAAAGCGAGAGGCGAGCAGTTGCACCACATGTAACCATCACACCCATACATCCCACGCACACATTCACACGTGTATCAAACGGAAATGGCACATCCGCGGGCACTCGGGGACAGGGGACAGGGGACAGCAGACAGGAGACAGGGGATTTGGCTCCAGGCCCTGAACATACCACAGTAGAGTTTGAACTTGTCCAGCTCCGGCGGTTGGAAGTAGGTTGAATCCGATGGGGAATGGGAGAGGTCGAGATCGCCCATGGTGCGGATGGACGAGGCGCTGGACTTGTTGCGAGTCATGAAGATCGAGTGCTTGGAGCCGGCGCCCCGCAGGAAGCTGAATCGCGAGCTGACCGACGCCGCGGTCGACGGAGGGCGGATGGACTCGGCGTCGGCCAAGGTGCTGGCGGCCGACTGCTGTGCGTTGGCCCTCTGGGAGAAAGTGGGGTCGAAGGCAATGTGGGTGTTGAAGGGCTTGAGGTCCAGCTCGTCCTCCTTGGCCAGCGGCGGGATGATGAAGGGATGGTCCGAAGGAGGACTGGGTTTGGAGCGGTCGCCGAACTGGGTGAGGTCGTACTCGTCGTAGTGCTCTCGGACAAAGGTCTCCAGGTCCTCGATGTTGACAATGCGGTCCTCCTTGGAGGGCGACATGAAGGCCCCCGAGCCCTGACAAAAGACATGCGACTGGAAGTTGGCCAGCTTGGACTTGAGGTTGATGGACGAGCGCCGGCCCTGCAGCTTCTCCCACAGGGTTTTGGCGTTGTCGCTCACGTTCCGGGAGGCTTCCGAGAGCGACCGGGTGATTCTCTTCATGTTGGAGGACAGGGCGGCGGATGGAACGGGGGCCCACGGATGGGCGAGATAAGCGGGAGGCGGGTTTGGGTCAGAGAGACCAGGGCGCTGCTGGCGAGCAAGCGAGCGGTCGATATCCGGATGACGGAGGAGGGGGATGGAAGGCAAACGAGGCGAGATTGGGAGAGCGTTTTCTTTTCGGCGACGAGGCGGCCCAGAGAAGCGGGAGCGTGTGTGTGTGCGCTGTGTGTGTGTGGCTGTGGCCGGCTGCTGGAGACGGTGGGGACAGTGGCGACTGTGGCGGCGAACGGGGGGCGGCGGCCATGGGGCGGCGGTGGAGCGACTGTGAAGCGACTGTTGGGGCTGTGTGGGGACTGTGGCGGGCGGACAGAGCAAAAAAGGCAAGATGAAGGCGCCGCGAACAACGGCGCAAGTAGCCCCGACAGGAGACGCGCGTCGCTGCACGACTTGTGCCACTCTTCCATGTCGCACCAACGCGCACGCACTCTGTGGCAACAACGGCGCTGTTCCTGGCAGGGGCTATTATTGGCTGCTTGCTGGCCACTTGCTGGCTGCTTGCTGCGCGAACACTGCAGCGCGCCGCGCCGCCCACGTCGCACACGGTCGCACGCCATGATGCGCGGTCTCCTGCTGGCAGCCGTCCTTTGTGGCGCCTATATGTGCTGCGCATAGCACCGCCACGGCACCGCCACCACCACGGATACATGCCGATGTGCTTTCGCGTTATTGATCAATTGCAACCACCTCCACATTCACGTCCACCTCCACACCCACCCCCACCCCACATTCACATTCTCAGCACGGACTTGAGGGTATCGGCTGCGTGCTCGCGCATTTCGAGCAGGTACTTTTCGTGGCCGTTTGAGAGAGACCAGAGCGTGTGTCCGTCCGCTGCCCTGTACTTGACGCCTGTCGACTGCACAGAGCTCATATGCACGTCGGGCACGATCATGCTGGATGCCACATCGATGGCCAAGTCGAAGCTGTCGACAATCCCCCGGGTGCTTGTCTGTCGAAGGAGACGGCCGCATGAGTACCAGGGATAGATAACAGCAGGACTCCCCCGCATATCGACGCACTCTCAAGTTGCTTACGTTCGTAAACACCAAATGCTCGCCCTCGACAACGTAGAGATCGCAGCGCTTGGCGGAACCGTGCTGCTTATACCGGGTCGCCTCGTAAACCGTCACCGAGAAGAAGGCCAGGGAATGCACCGTCGAATCCTCGCCCTTTGTGGCCGCCTGCAGCGCTGCCTTGCGGAACACTGGCGCCGACTGGGCAAACTTCTTCTTGATATCGACATCTTCGCTTTCATTCTTCTTTCTCCCCAGTATGGCCACCAGCACAAACGGGCCGACGAGTGGAGTTCCAGCGAGAGCCATCATCAAGTTGAAGATCACATACACCGTCACGTACGGCAGCATCCCCATGAAGATGCTAAACACCAGATACACCAGTAGCAGGTTGCTGATCCCATGAGCGTATTGCGTCGCGCGTCGAAGCATGGGAAGTGGATTGATAATCAGTGCCAGTTGGAAGTTTCCGGCGTGCCAGTGACTCACCGATGAGCGTCCGATCCGATGAAACGCACTGGCCATAGCCAACGGCAAAGATACTGTGGCTGTCACTCACATCGCAGCGAAGAACACAAACTTTCCCTCGTTGCTGAAAACGTGTCACAAAGACCTGGTCAGCGCAGCTGTCAAACTGCCAAAGCCCGTTTCCGTGGCATCAATCGCCATACATCCGGGTGATGGATCCCCTCGCATCACAAACGTGCGCGCGCACATCCATAGCACCATACCAGTACGATCGACTGTTGCGATATTTGAATGCATAGTACGTCTCGATCGCCAGAGCCAAGACATTCGCGACCATCAACACCGTCGTAATGGCCATTTGAACCGGCCTGTGGGAACCACAGACGATCAGGACGTCAAACTCGGTGGCATAGATGTGGTACAGCGCCGGCATCATCGGCTCCACAAACTCCTGGCTGATTGATATGATCTAGATCAAGAGGTTGAGAAAAAAAAAACCCGGGCAAGAAGTAAAGCGCCAAGTCAGTGCTCAAGCGGACGCTTGGTCATCCAGCGCCAGCCAAAGCGCATCGATGAGAAATGGGCCCTGGCTTACAAAGTTGGCGATGAATGCAATGGCGAATATCGCTACAGGAAGGCCGGAAACAATCCTTGTCTCGCTCATCCGTTTGCTTTTCTTTGTCTGATGGCAACCTGAGACGATCGGTGAGCATCAACACGTTAGCGATCGCAGTAACCATCAACGATTCCGTCAGCGGCGATCAATGACGGCGGACTGCCACATCTACAGCCGATTCTCGGTCCCCATGGCGGTTGGTTTGCGCACATTTATCCAGCACTCTTTACTTACGCCAGACCCACGAAAGTACAGAACTGCACAAGCGAAAGCGAGATCCAAGGTCGCTGTTAGTGGCGCTGCCGGTGACAAATGCTCCGTGGTGATCATCACAGAGTATCAAAGGCAGACGGTATACCTGTGCATGAACGCAAGCTGGACATTGTTCAGTATATACGTGTAGAAGATGCACTGAGGCCGATCGGGAATCAGCAGCTCGCACAACGAGCCTATCCCGCAAGTGATCAGGAACCCACTCACTGATGTCGGAGGAAAGAGGAAAGAGGAAGGAGAAAACGATATTCAGTTCGACACACGATGTTGTTGCACACGAATGAGTTGGGTGGTTGAGTATGGACCGATGCATAGCCGATCGATGGTCACCGATCACGGTGGAGTCAATCGTCCCTGGTTGTGTCTGTTCACATGCCATCCTCCGTATCCATCCTGCGTGCTTACCGCTGGTCAAGTGCATCAGATTGAAGTGCCCGAGATTTGGGCTCTGGATAATCGACAGGTATATGGCATATGCCAATACCCCCACGCCAACGAACAGAGCAATGAACGAGAAAAATGCCACCCAGCCGGCGAGCTGAGTGCCCCAGACAACATTCAGGATGTTCAAAGGTGGATAGTCCGTTGGCATGACCAGGAGCGGGCTGCTTTTGTTGTTCACCGAGGCGCCAAACGTTGTCGTGTTGTAAAAGTTGACATAGGTGCGAGAAGGGTCGGTTTTGTGCACCTTGACCAAAGCTTCAAGACTCAAGCTATTGTTGGACTGGTCGCATCGATTGAATGTTAGCGGGCCGTATGTCCTGCCTTCTCCAATCTCCTTTCGTCGTGCGCGGGTGCTTACCTTGCTGTAAACGTTGTACAGACTTCACGACGAGATGATTGTGGAGTGAGACATTGGTCCGATGGGAAGAGGTATATCATTGAATTGAATCGTTTTGGCTCAAGGCTTACCCGGACGTGCGGCTTCCATCAGCTTTGGTTCATATGATGTTCGAGATGCAGCGCCGGGGTGGTGAGCCAAATGGATGCTCGTATCGCGTCGTCAAAACAGCAGTACCGCTTCTGCACACGCCAGCCGCTTCTGGAACAGCAACACATTTTCCACCACCTACCGTCAAAGGTGATTGTGCCTGTCGCGCCAGGCACGGTAAAGTTCAAAAAGTACCCAGGAGCCAGTACATTGGTGCTGATGCGATTGGCCAAGATATCATCCAGGCTGTATCCGATGCTAAGCAACTTCAGCCACACGCAAACGAATACGGGTGAGCAGACACACAAAGCTGCGATCGACGGCACCGATTGACCAAGCATCTCAAGCGGACACGATACGTTACTCTGTCCAACGCAAGCGCGATCGAAAGGACGCAGTCGAATGTTCGTCTGCATGCGATAGTTGTGGATGACCAGATGAGATTCGATAGTCGCCAGGAGAAAGTGGCTCCGCTTCTTCAATGACTGCAGGGGCGACGACTCGCTTACATGGCCACAGGAAGCAGGTTGGGCTCGGGGTATCCAAACTTGGCAATTGTGTTGTTGTATGTCTGATACAGGGGCGACGTTTGATCGACGGTCTCCGCGCTAATGCCAAGGCATATTTGTGTCAATCAACGATGGGATTGGCAGGGACTTGATTCTCACAAGCCAACCTACAAGAAAAAGTTCCTGGAAGAGACGGAGAAACGGCCAGAGTGTATGTGAGCGACCAGGACTCGCAGAACTCCATGCCAATGCGAATCGCGATATCTGTACTCACAGGCCGATTCCGCTGTGAACAAGTGTGGATGAGTTGCAGTGTCAGCCAAGATGAAAACGTCCACAGCACAGCAGGCATGTCGGCGTCACTCGACACAGCGCTGGCACTTACAAGTCTCGAGTATACTCTCCGTTGACCTCGCCGCCGACCATAGGATCGAGTGTGTAGTCAAAGTTGTTGTACAGCATGTACTTGTTGATGAGCTGCGGGACCTCGGCGCCCATGATACCCTCATAGGTAATCCAGGTATACTCTGGGCCTGTCAAGCCCAGCCTGCAATAGAGTGTTAGTGCTGACCCATGATGTGATATTGTGGTGTGTTATGGGACAAAACGGTTGCTTACTTCTTGCCCTGCAACAGTCAGGCACCAACACAGTGTTAGCTATGCAGGTAAGCAATAAGGAATTCGAGAACCGTATCCCGCCCTCATCGGATTTGGCTTCGCTGCTGACACTACTCACATAGAGGTATGCGAGCGTGGCAATGTACGTTGTGCAGGCACAAACGATAACCCGAGAGTTCGACGCACGGATGTATCGCAACTGCGTCGTATAGTCAAAGTTTTCGATACTTCCGCTGGCGACCATCAACTGCGGATACACAAACATGTCCAGCGATGCAGCTTCGCTCAGCAGCCCGGGCATAACCGAGGACCCAACGCTGTCTATGGTAGGATCCTGGTTGCGCATTTGCAGAGTATCGGATCAAACAATGTGAGTCATCATGAATGCGCTTTTGCACCATTGGAGTGCGATTTGTCGAGCGGGATTGCGACTGGATCGGACTGGACGTGCAACTCAACTGAGACCATAACAGCCATCCTGTGGAGACCCATCTTGTAGATCCACAGGGCCATCGCTGAGGAAACGGCCATACACATGAGAGTCCTCGAGATCAGCAAGCCCGTCCAACATATTCTGGCGCAAACGTGGCTTTCCCCACGGCTCTGACCGTTCCCATACTCACCTCGGCCTTTGAGCTCGGCCGGAGGTACGGTTCGAAACAAGGTGGTATAGAGTCCCCTGTTGATAAACTGGAATAGGGCAGGCGCCATTAGCACAAGTAATGCTTCGATGAGCCTCATCTACCATGAGATATCCATAGCCCGGGCTCCCTTTGATCCGACTTTTGGTTCATACACTGTTGTCGCTGATGGTGGGCGAGCATATCTGCAATCCAAGGGTCAGAATAATTAAATTACGGTTGCTTCGTCGACCTGGGGGAGATCGCCGTGCTAAAGAGAGACGGTGGGATGTCTTGCTGGCTCTGTGAAGTGGGTGCATGCTCTCCATCGATTCTGAGCCGGATGCATCGCTCGCTCTGTTATGTTTCTTCATCTCTACTCACACTGGTGTTCTCGCGGGCGGCCCACATCGACTCCAGACGCAGCGATCCTGCAGCGGTGATGGAGTCACCGACAAAGGCGTTGGCTTTCATATTCGTGAGCGCCATCGCGGCCAAAAGCTGTGAGAATGGTTGTTGCGTCAGCTACCAAGGCAGGAATCGTTCATGTGCCGGATCATTTCCGCGAAGAACATGGCAGTAGACACAAAGCATGCTATAGAGCCGTAAAATGTGGTACATACCCCCTGTCCGGCGCTCCCAAATGAATCAACCGCCGTGGAAACAATGTACTTTTCCACATCTCGAGTGTCAGTGATACATCCTCTTGCTTTAGAGAGTGAGGACCCCGTGCGTCGAAGCCATCGCGGAACCGCACTTGGCCCGGAGCATCAACTTACTGCTCCAGAGAGTATATCGGTTCTAGTGTGTCCGTTGGTTGTTGGGGTCAGTACGAAGCGTTCGACCGTTCGGCGGTGGCAGCAGATGGTGGTGTTCAACGTACCTGGAGTTGACATAGTTGACCGCGGCGGCCATCCCTGCCTCCCTGTGACAGTTCGTCAGTTGATAATCCGACCGTTAGAGGAGCATCAAAGCTGGATCTGCCGTTCGACAACCAATCGGTGCTCCACCTACATCAGAGCCACTTCCAACCCCACATAGCCCACGTAATAGGCGGTGAGCGAGGTTGCATTTATGGTGTTGATCGCAAGTGGAGCCAACAGCCCAAATCGCAGGAGCGGAAGCGACTGGTTTGTTTGTGCGAATGCTGCAGCCACCAGAGCATGCAGCCAGAATAGAGCCCGACAGTGCATTCCTGGAGGACCCTCGACAGACGGAGCGGCTTGATGTTGGTGGGTCGGTGTCGAGGGAGCGTTTGCCGAACGAGGGTGGACGCTTCTCCGATGCAGCTCGTTGCGCCAGCGATGCATATATGCTATGTGGATGTGCATTGCTGACGTATGTCGGATTTGATCCTCTGGTGATTGGGTGTGCGCCATCCATCTTCCGAGCACTCTGTTTGAGCACATATGGTTCTCGACGGACCAGAGCTGCTCGTGCCCACAAGACAAAGACCCCGTTGGCGATTCTGGCCGGCCTGGTGCGTTTGGTGATGGGCCCATCGGACCGCCAGCAGCGCTCATCTCGGACAGCATGGCCTTGGATGCATGTCCCCTGATGCATGTCCCCTGATGCATGTCCCCTGATGCATGTCCCCCCTCCCGGATTCATCATGAGCAGTGGCCAGCCGGCTCCTGCGACCATGAAACCCGCTGCCCCCCCAGCAACAAGGCGCTCGGTTCGTTCGGTTCGTTTGTGGGGGAGCGCAGAGCACTTTGCGGCACCACCATTTTTCTTTCCTTCTGCTGCCACCGCCGTGCCCCCCTCGTCCTCTGTCCCGAGTTTGCCGCTGATCGCTGCCGACCGCCGTCGTGGACGCAGCTACCAACTGAGCGTTTCCCTGCAGCCTGATTCTGCCTTCTTTCCTGCCGCTGTCTGATCCCGACCTGCAGCGTCTGCCTTTTGACTCGAGTCTCCATTCCTTGTTGGCTATCTGCAACGCCCCCGACCCAAATGATCTCGCACTTTATCGCCCTCAAGAGCGCCGTCGACGAGCAGGTCGCTGGGCTGGCTGCTCTCACGGGTCTCTCGGATGAGAACCTGCGTCCCGGCCTCGTCCTATTCGGCGTCATTCCTCTGTCGCTGGTCTTCCTCTGCATCCCTCGGTCCCTCACCACCGCTCGCCATCTCTTTTCGTTTGTGCTGTCGACTCTGGTTTTTTCGCTCCTGTTTTCCTTCGAAGGCTTCCTGCATCTCTTCACCAGCGCCCTCTTGACCTATGTCATTGTCGCCCTCGGCAAATCGCACAAGTACACCCCCGTGGCCGTTATTCTCCTCACCATGGGCCATCTCTCGTTCTGGTATGTCCTTGCTGCTACTGCTGTTGCTGTGGTTCCTGGCGAGGGCGGTGCGGTGCGGACATGGCCATGCACCGGTGCTCATGTCTGCCTCTCTGCCCAGCTTCCTCAAGGCCCAGATCTTTGACAAGTCCAGCGCCCGCTTCGATCACACCGCCCCCATGATGGTTCTGGTCCAGAAGCTGTCGTCCTTTGCCTGGGCAGCATACGACGGCACCTTGCCTGTCGAGGTACCGTATCGTCGGTCGTTGATCCGAGATGATTTTGTCCTGCCTCTGTCGTGCCTTGCTCTGCTCTGTCACGGTCCTGCTGTGCCCGTGCGGCTTGCTGATGCCGTCCGGGCGCTGTATCAGAGACCCCCGCCGGCGAGTCTTCTGTAGAGCATTCCCGAGCCCTGACTTTGGCCTTCTCCCGTCGCCCGCCCCTTCATCCTACATCCTGCTCGTGGCTGGTACTGTCTAGAAACTCACCAACGACCAAAAAGTTCGAGCCATCCACAAGTTTCCCGGGCTGGTCGGCTTCTTCGGATACACGTTCTTCTATGGAAGCTTCCTGGTCGGACCGGCATTCGAGTTCAGAGATTACCAACGATTCATTGACAACGAGGTGAGGCGAAAGTGACACTCGGAAGCGTAAACGCCGTGTTGAAGCACAAGACTGGTGTGGCAGTATGCGACTCTCGTTGCTGGAACGGCATTGACCTTGGCTATGCGGTGCACTGCAAGCTGAGTATCTAACGCCGATCGGCTTCGATGGTCTCAGACGAGCTATCCCAGCCTACCCAGTCGGTCCTGGGCCTCCGTCAAGCGCATCGGCATTGCTGTGATCTTCCTGGTTGGACAGACACTCTATGGTGAATATTTCACCTTCAACCTTTGTTTGACGGACGAGTACTTGCTCTGGCCCGCATATAAGAGGTAGGCTGGCTTTGCACAACAGATACCCAGAGTGAGCAACCGGCGTTTGCAGGCTCTGTCCAGGATACGTCTATTCTGCTGGCTTTACTCGGAATATGGAGGATATACATGGCATTCCTCTCGAATCGACAACAAACGGCACCGGACCATCATCTATCATGCTGCATTGATGTTGTCGTAAATCGCTCGCGGACGCCCAGTCCACACTGTCGCAGCCATTGATCGCTCCTTTGCTCCTCCTCGCCCTCGTCGCCATCCTCTTGTCTGCATCTCAGAATCGGATATGTTTTCGTGGCTGGATTTGTCGCTCGCTTCAAGTTCTACACAGCCTGGAAGCTCGCAGAGGCCACATGCATCTTGATCGGCCTCGGATACTCGAATGGCGGCTGGAGAGCTGTCGAGAACGTCAACTTCTTTGGCCTCGAGTTTGCCCAGTCTCCAAAGGTCTTTGTCGACAACTGGAACCAACAGACGACGCTGTGGCTGCGCAACTCGGTGTACACCCGCATCGCTCCTCCTGGCTCCAAGTCGACTGGCCTGGCCACCTTCTTCACCTACCTCACAAGTGCCTTCTGGCACGGCTTCCATCCGGGCTACTATGTCACCTTTGTCTTTGGCGGCATCGTCACCATGATGGGCCGCTCGCTTCGCAGAACCGTGCGCCCGCTCTTTGCTGACCCGAACTCAAAGCTGGCCAGGTGGAAGTTTGTCTATGATGTGCTGGGATGCATCGGAACCCAGTTCATCTTCAACAGCGTCGTGTCCTCCTTCCAACTGCTCCGACTCGACTGGACCGTGCAGTTCTACCGCAACAACTACTATCTCGTCCCGGCCATGATCCTGGGCTGGTTTGTGCTCTTTGACGTTCTCAAGTTCACCCGGCTGATCAAGCGCTTCGGACGCTGGCTCGGCGTCCGATACGAGAACGAAGTCGTCGTGCAGCGGGAGCGCAAGTCCGCCACGGCGGCTGCGAAGAAGGCTTCGGGCGAAACTCGCAAGACCCAGTGAAGATCGCCGCCGCAAAGCGCTGTGAATGCGGCACAGTCGTGATGCAGATGCCGGTGCTGGTGCTGGTGCCAATTAGCCTTGCATGTGATATGAGTATGGCGACGAATACGATGTGGGCTCGATATCAGGCCAGAACGGACGGCTTCTGGGTGGAGAGGGTATATGGCGCGTGGGTGTGGTTTGGATCAAGTGCGGACCCAGCTATGGATCCCTTGACGCTGTGGCAAGGTCGAACACAAACCCCCACAGCAGCAACGGCATGATGCCCACACTCTTCATGCGCCCCAAGCTGGTTGCCTGTCCATGTTCTATCCACATCTTGACCTGAGTCGCGCCCCGTCCCTTCCTTTGGTCTTTCGAAGGGTCGCCGTCCTTTGGTGCTCTCGTCCCTTGCTATGTCAATTTGATGTAGTGGCAGCTGTCTTGAGCTGTTGCTGTTTGAGCGAGCCAATAAACGCTATGGCACACACCCCTCCCTCGGCACAGCCGCCATCCACCGCTCGGTATGAGAGATCAGGTTGATGTAATGCCCCTCCCTTCTTCTCTTTCTGTCTCTTGATTGCACTTTATTCCGTTAACGACGGGCTGACGGCGAGCTGGTGTTGGTCAGGCCATAGTAGGTCATCGTGACGTCCGCCACACGCTTGCCCCGGGCCAAGGCAATGTCGTCGGGTGTTCTTTGCGCGGCCAGAGCCTCGAAGGCACCCTTGACGATATTCATTTGGTTGGTAGAGCCTTGGATCTTGGAAGCAACATCGTGAATTCCAAAGCATCGGAAGACCTCGTGGAGGGTGTCATGGGCCACGATGCCGTAGCCTGTGCCACAGACAGCGATCGGACAAAAGCTCGATGAGGACGGCGAGAACAGTGATCGCAGCCATCCAGAAATCCCATTGGCTGGGGGCCGTTGGCGATTGTCGCTCAAGGCAGGCGCTTACCTGGCGCGGCAGTGTACATGTTGAGATTGACCCGCTTGAACTTGTAGTTGATATCCTGGAAGAGCGTGCGGTTGTGGAAGCGCTCGATGCGGATCATGTTCTTCTCCGCCAGCAGGGTGGCTTTGCGGACAGCAGACGAGATATCCTGGGCTCGGCCCTCGCCATAGCCCGCGCTGCCGTTCTGGTCGCCGACAACGACCATGGCATAGCTCTGACGAACCTTGCCGTTGCGAGTTGTGCGCGAGACCTGGCGAACGCACAACACCCTCTTGAGCAGAGGGGCGCGGGGCCGGATCGCGGGCTTGGAGAAACTGTCGGCCGAGCCAGAATCGGGCAGGTCTGTCGGCTGCGGTGCGGCAGTTGTGGTGCGGGCCGTTTGCTGAGCAGTGTTATGGGCGGCGGCTGTGATCGAGTAGCTTCGTAGCGGCATGGGCGTGACGGTGGGGATCCGTGTCACAGATCCGAACAGTTGCTTGGCTAGTTTGGAGTAAAGTGTTTGTTGGGAGGAGAGATGGGCAAAGCAACATGAGATTTTCAGCCAGTTTCACGGGGTGCAAGCAGAATCTATGGGATGCGAGCAGAATGCGTGGGCAAACTGCCATCGTCCAGTTGAAGCCGAGCCAAATTCCGCGTGGTTGCCCAGGAAACTCCATCCGCGTCGCTGCCGGTCGTATTCTGGCCAATCGATTCGTATCGTGGTTGGAGGATGCACTCGCTCGGCGGTGCGTGGTGGGATGAGCAAGCCCAGATCGGCGATCATCCAAGCCCACGACATCGTCGGTGCTGGCAAGGGCATCCCGATCCGTCTGCCATGAGTTGATCCTGGGAGCACATGCATGGCGCCATCCTCAGCAGCCATATGAGATGCATTCGGTCCGAGGTCATCCAGATTGCGTTCTCATCGGGTCTTCTTTGTCTGGCGCGATATCATGATCGTGCTGCAATCGAAGGGCGGGATGCGATCCGATCTGTCCAGAACGATGTGCTGTTTCCTTCCCCCCCTTCCTTGACTTGATCGTGAATCCGAACAATAAGCTAGACACACACTCCTTCGCTGCCTCCGTTTTCCTGGAACGCTATTAACACTGGTCTCGTGAAGGAAATCGCCTCGGGCCTCGGCTCACTGGATCTTACCAGGAGAAACAGCCACGGACTGAAGTCGGAGTAGCCCCGACTGGAACATCTTTCCTCGAAACGCCATCGGAAGGTGAGGGTTGAAAAAAAAAGTCGATTTGCGCGATCGCCGTCTCCGATATTGAGATGCGGTGTGGTGTGGTCAACAAGCAGGACGGGAGCTTTCGTGCGTCCGTCAGCCAGCCAGATGCAGAGCAGCGTGTGGTGCGATGTGGTGTATCGGACTCTGGCCTCTTGGGCCAATGTCGCCTTTTTTTTGCACCTTTTTTTCAGGCCGCGCTCTGTGGCGCCAGCACAGACAGGAGGGGAGGGGCCCGAAGACATGCTGCGCCACAGACGTCCCCTAGGGCAACGCCCCGCCGCGTTCACACACAATACGACGGCACACTCGACGGCGGATAGATCGGCAGCGGATGGGTGCTGTCGAGGGAAAAGAGTGCGATGGAGCTGTTGCATGTTGCTGCGTGGGAGAGCAGGTCGTACCAGGCAACCCCTGTGTGTTGATGACGGCGCGGGAGGTGAAAGGTGGAAGGTGAAGGGCAGTCAGGACACACGCAGGACACAGCCGGTTCTCACGACGATCTTGCGACGGCTGACCTCCTGCCGACGACCCGTCCGTCACTTGGATGGCTGCACAGTTCGATGTCTGATAGCGCCGCAAGAACATCCGAATGTGTTAATAGATATACGAAGCACGAACGCCGTCGGGCTGTCAACAGAAATGCGCCAGAGCAAACGTGTGCCGCCCATCGTCCGGAACCCTCACCACTTGGATGACCTGGCCGTTCCAAATCAGGGTCCCATCCGACTCTGTGTACTTGAACGCATCGTTTCTGATGGGGCCGCAAGGATGAGGCCGATAGCCGTCAGTTTGAGCCCTTCAAGCCAGGTCTCGATGATGTCGATGAGCCCTCGTCTCTGTCGTGCTGTCGCATGCTCCCATGATCCGGCACGCCCTCTCGTCCATCCGCTGGCGTCCAAGAGTGCTTAGGATGCCGGCCCTGCTCTCGGACCCAGTCATTTGCAGCTAAACAGTTGCGTGTCCTTACACTCGTATTGCTGAGCAGAAATCGGTTGCCTGAGCCATAGCCAAGACACCCACTGAAATCGTTGTCAGTCAGCATAAGGGCGTGAGAATCGCGCAACGTATGATCATGGATTGTAATCCTATCCCCCAGCCGCGTCGAGTTTGCTCCGCCGAACACGCAGCCGCTGGTGGGCTCATGAAGCGCACCGAACGAGTACATACGATGCAGGAGGAGAGCAACGGTGCCGAGGGTCCGGGCAATCATCGCGAGAATCAAAACTGTATTGCTGAGAGCGCGGGTGCGGGGAGCAGTTGTGGATGGCAAGATGTGCTTTGCCGTTTGCGAGGGGAAGATGGAGAACTGCTCGTTACCGACACGTCCGTTTGCCGACCGGTGGTTTTCGAGCCCGAAATCAATCAGGTGGACAGGGATTTCCAAGCACCCTGGCTCCGCAAGTATCCCCCGCCAAAAAAAAAAGCGCCTGCCGTCCGTGGCCCATCCAGGCATAACTCGAGATGGCTGTGGTTTCAACGAAGCTGCACGCCTCATGCACACACGATCGGGCTGGCAAGCCGAGTGGACCGTGAGCAGGCATCGGATGATCGAGATTGACGAGCGGTGTAGGCTAGGATATCACTCTTGGGTGAGGATCTCCGTGATGTCTGGCAGCACAACGAACTCGTCAATGATTTTCTGGCAGCGACAAATCATAGGCGCAACATAACCAGAGGGTTAGCCGTCGACCGCCACCGTGCTGTGTTCAACATGCTCATTGGTGGTGCCCGTGGTGCTCGCAGTGACAATCGAGCGCTCCGCATCAAAAGTGGCCTCCAGTTGGACTTACACTTTGCTCCTCAACTGCGGCCTGTTTCGCCGACCGCGACTCTACCAGCACCTGCAGTGCCTTTGACTCAGCGACAATCTCTTCGTGAATCTGATGTTGCGAATGAATGGACGCAGAGGCGAGCAGGAGAAGCAAGCAGAAAAGATGAGCAATTTGCTCGGTTGTCGGGATGTTCGTGGCCGCGCTCTTCGTCGCCGCGACAGATTCGAAGCCAATGTATCGAAAGGTAACGAAGGGAAACGCTCAGAACTCACACGCTCGTTTTCCAACTGGAGCTTCTCGAGATACCTCCTCTTGGCGCGCATCGAAACAGCCGCGATTCTTTGATGGGATGTCAGGCTAAGACGATACATAGGCGGCGAGGGATAGCGGCGTTGTCAGCGTATGCGCTCGGGGGACGAGCCGACCAATGTTGCATCATCATCATCTTTTGGCGACCTGGAGCGCAACCCCCGCGGGAATTCGAATGCCATAGCCGGTCACCAAACAGACAAGGGAGCATACCCGGACGGATGTGTGATAGTCTGGCCCTTCTGAACCGCCGCATATGTGGCCTCGACAAGCTTCTCCCAGTCCAGAGTGGTCCGTGGGATGTCATAGGCAATCAGGATGGCCTCAAAACGGTCCTGTATGCAGGGGAGCCCATATGTCAGCCATTGAACCTGCGTCCATGTCAGTCATTGAATCTGCGTCCATGCGCTGCGCTGGGTTGCTTGTGCCTATGACTCCGCAGAGTCGACCGCTTCGGCATCCAACGGTCTGGGTGGGTAAAAGGCCTGCGCACTTGGGCTACTGCAACGGCGATGCGCTCGGAGGACAAGCGAACCTTCAGATCTGCCTCGAGCTTCAGCGAAAGCTGCTCGCGATAGTGCTCCATGATTTCCGGATAGGAGTAATAGAGCGAGGGCCAGACGTTTGTCGAAAGGTCCTCTGAGCTAATGGCAAATGGATGGGGGACAGGACGGACAGTCCAGAAGCGTGAGCGAAGGGGCACCCGAATCGGTGGAGACGGCGCATCCTTCTCGATTCTAAACGGTGCATCCAAAGCGGTGATGCTAAACGGCGAGCCAGCGTTCCAAAATCCAAGCATGGCGTCTCAGCAATGTCGCTGTCTGTTTGGCCGTCGTGGTCGGCTGCTCCGGGACGTGAGCGGCGAGGAACGGGGAGATCGAGCGCTACCTCAGTTTGGATCGCAGGGTCTCGATGATGAACTGGAAGGATGCCCGGATCTGCTCGAGGGCGACCGGCTCGGCGGTGGTGGGAAGCGGGCTGGGCTGGGTCATGGCTTCAGGAAGCTGGCACTGCTGATGCAGAGGGACGGGGGTTGGATGATGGCAAACAGCGATGCGGTGAGGTCGTTTGCAGGAATCGATCGCCCAAAACCGGGGCACGCGGTGAGTCCAATATGACCTGATTTGGCAACCGCGACTTGGTATCTCAGGCCGGCACCGAAGAATCCACAAAATGTAGTCAGGGGGGAAATGGGACACCACAGCCGCTTCCGTGAACATAAAGTCTGTGATGAGCTTGCGTCCAACTGAGCCACATGCAATTCAGCAGATCACCTCCGAGCGAAGACCACCGGCCGCAGTGCAGCGATGCGGAAATCGAGGGTGCTGTGTTTGGCCATGATTGCAATGAGTGGGTGGGTGTATTCAGGTTCCAGAAAAACCCACTGTCATGGCTCAAAATGGGGGTGTCCCATTTCACTTTGGAAACGCTGGAAGCATCTCCGCCAGCACCGACATGAATGGCCCGGCATGTGCTTCAGCAAGAGGACTCGGCATCACACCGGGAGCCCTTTGGGCTTGAGATGCTTACGAACAAATTATGTGTGTGTATTGAGCAGCAGCCCGAGGGCTTCAAAGTACAGAAAGCCGGTCGCCGCGGTGCTCATTGGTTTCACTTGTATGTACAAACATGATTTAGAAGCGAATGGAAATTGCCCTCCGTTCGCCCGCATGAGGAGGGACGATATCGCTCGCTCAGCGCAAGGCACACCAGACCTCGAGGCGGTCGCTGCCCTGGCCATCCGGATAGACGCCCGAGACCTCCATGGCAGTATCCAGGTCGTCTTGGTCGGTCATGAGCACAAACTCGCCGTCGTTATCACGGTACTTGAGCTTGATGGCTCCAGTAATTTCGTGCTTTGCCTTGATCTTGCCGACCATTTCCTCGTATGTGGCATCAAAGGCTATCTGGATGATCTTGATTCCTTCATTGAAATGGCACTTGACCTTGAGCTGCGAAGCGGTATGAAACCACGTGGTAGCCAGTGTTAGTTGCGGCTCAGTGTGATGCGTGGAAATCAGGCGAGCGAGGACGGGGGGGCAGATGGATGGTGGCAAGCGAGTCTTTCCAAGCCCATACGAGCGAGTGGCATGCCAGGATAGACGCACCATTCCTGTCTTTGGAGCGTCTGAGAAGCTTGTGCTGGTTTGGGTTCTGAAGATGCCCCCGTTTTGTGCGGAAGACTCAGCGAGCGGATGGGTGGTCATTTGGCGCGTTGGCCGAGGCATGGATATGGCTCCTGAGGGCGGTACCGAGTCCGAGCGCATGGTGGCGCCGCGGGCAAGCGATGCCTGGCGAGGGAGAGTGACGGTCCTTGACGGAGGTACATTCTCGGTCACAGTTCGTGCGATTGGCCTTGCGGTGGGTGTTCGGCCCAGAGTTGCAGCCTGTCAGCACCGGATCAGCAACGGTGCAAGAACGAATGGTTAAAGCGTATTCGGAGGTGCATCAGGGCCATGGTGCGTGATTGCCGGCGCCGAGAGTGCCAACGTTCCTCCGGCTCTGACTCGGCCCGAGGCTCAAGATATACCTGCTGGCGGCCACTGAATCCCACAAAACCGTCGCTGTTCTCAGAGGCAGCGACCACTTTGGAGGAGCCGAGGTAGTCGACCTTGTCAGAGTTCTTGACTTTGTTTTCGTCCGGCCGGTAGATGGCATTCGCAGGAACGTAGAACGGCGAGAGCACTCTGTGGGCATCGGCGCCAAGACTCACCGCCTCGTCCAGGATGTCAAAGTCTGATGAGTGAGCGGGGTCGATTGGCGTCAGCGAGTTGCGCCAATTCAAGACAGGTTGCTGACTACGGGTCATTGTGCTCCTCTTCGCAACGCCCAGACCGAGTGCTCCACCCTTCGCTGGAACAAACCCACAGAGACATGCCCCCCCTCCTCCTCGCGTAGCGCACTGGCAGAGTTATCCCCAGACGCAATGGATGTGGTCAGTACCTCGGTCTGCCGATCGATTTCGCAGCGCCTCGTTAAAATCTGCGATGCCCTTGTCGGTCTGCTGGAGGCCAACATAGGCCAGTCCTCGGTTGAAGAGAATGTGGGCCGCGTAGAGCTTGAAGCCGAGGCCAAGCTGGGTATAATCAATGTCCTGATTGCCTCGCATGTTCTGTGGACGGAGGGAGATGGGGTATTAGTTCGTGAGTTCACGGCCATGCGGCTGGCGCTTGCGGATCCCGGTGACATTGTGTGATTGTAGCCAAGGCCGCCTACCGAGTAGGCCGCAGTGAAATCCTGGACGGCATCCCGGAAGAGGCCCTGGTTGTAGAAGCAAGTTCCCCGCTGAAAGAGCGAGACGGCGAGATACGGGTCGCATGCAACGGAGCGGGTGAGGGCATCGATCTGTGCGAAGGCAGCGAGAGTTTTGCAGCCGGAAGGTGAGCACAGATGGCCAGAGTGCAGCAGCGGCCGGAATGGCGGCGACTGGAAGATTGCATGCTGGTGTTGCTGTGAGGACCACCAGCCGGTGGCTACGCACCGCCATGTCGACCTTCTTGGCAATCAAATAGAGGGTGGCGATGTTGAAGTGGATCTTGGATGTATCCGCGATGGACTCGTACTTTTTCAGGGCGGTGAGATAGTCGCCCTTGTCGAAAGCCTTGGTGGCAGCATCCCAGGCGATCAGTTGATCCTGCAGCGACGGGTGGGGTTGCAGATTGGTCAGTCTTCCAGGAAGCGATGGCCGGGCAGCTACGTCAAGAAGCGCAGCTGTGAGAGGAGGGGACCCACCTTGAACGACATGGTGGAATCAGCCAAATGAGCGGATCGACGACAACGAGAGAGGGACACACGGGGCTTGCGAGGGAGGGGTATGAGGCAGAGGCGGCTGAGGATGTTATGGCCAGGGAGGACGACGATGGTTTGCCGCCGGGTCTGCCAAAGCACAGCTGGCAGATGGTCGATTGATGCAGCACGGGGACGGCGCGCAAGTCGGCTGCTGCAGACGGCCGCCAGGCAGTGGATGCAGGTGGCGATTGCAGGTGGCGATTGCAGGCGAGATGGAACCTTGGGATGGTCAAAGTCGGGCTGCGAGCCCTGGAAATATATCGGGGACCGAGCGTCGGGGACCAATCGCAGCGGCCGAGTGCGCCGCGAGCCCAAAAATAGCGCGCAGCCGACAGGGACAAGGGCGTGGTTGGCGTGGGAGACAGCGGCGCGCCGGATTGGTCGTGGCGAACACATGGCACTTGCTGGCGTTGTTGGTGTTGGTGTTGGTGTTGGTGCTGGTGGTGTTGGTGTGGAATGGCAAGCACCGACAGAGTCGACTGTGGCGGTTGATATGCCAGCAGTGTTAGCCGGCCGCCCAGGGCCCGGCAGGCCCATCCAAGCCTCGGCCGAGGGCTTGTTGTGCATGTCCGGATCTGCTCGCCCACGCGGCGCCAACGAGCGCCGAGAGGGTCCATGGCGGAGCGACGCGCGCAGACTGAGTCATCGCGCGTCGGCCGTGCGTGTTTGTGTGCGGCTGTGGCTGTGCAGCTGTCCACGTGCAATGTGTGTGTGTGACCATGGCTGCAACCAGACAACACCGGATCCAGCCATCGCCACACACACACAGCCACGCATTCCAGCCATGCATTCCAGCCACGCACTCCAGCCATCCTGCAGCGCCACTCGCTTTTTTTCTCGCCCTTTGCGTCGGTGCGCGCACACACGCACGCCTGGCCTATCGCGCCGCTGCCCACCCAGCCGATCGGCCGTTGTCTGGGCGCTTCTGGCTTTCTCTTCTCTCTCACTCTCTCTCTCTCGCTCTTCTTCCGAACCGACGCTCAGCCATCGTTTCGAGAGCCCACCTCGGACCCACCACCTTTCACATCGCTCCCTCGGACGGACTCCAGCACACCTTCGGCTATCCCGCAAAACGTTACAGAGCGAATCACCCTCTACTCTCGCCCAACTCCCCGTCAGCACAGGTTCGTCGTCCAGCCCGCTCGCCATCGGACTCGGCCTCTGATCGTGTCGTCCACCCAGCACCATCAAGGTCTCGGGTGTTGCGGACTGCATCGGCGCTGATCAGGGCAGCTTTTTCGCACGGCGTACTTATCCAGCGCTGCCCGATCTCTTCCCAGTTTAATGAGTTCCTCGACCAAGAACCCTCCGCCACCACAGTTCAAGCTAAAGCAACGAAAGGTGACGGATCGTGCAGACACTGGGGCCTGCTCCGCATCTGCGGTCATGGCAACTTGCACGGCACTCGGCATCGATGCGGGTCGCTTTACCCACCTCCTGTCCGTAGCTGGATTCCCCAATTCAGAACTGACGTGTGTCCGAACCGTCTTGGACCCTTGCTCCCCACAACAGAGAGAAGCCAACGCTAAGTATGAACCTGAAGTCTTCCGTGACTCACTACTGGCGCTGATCCCCGAAGACCTGAACGATATCTCCCAATTCGCCGTCATTTTGGAAAACAATGCCGAGAAGCTGGACTACAAGCGCTACGGCGAGCCGTTCTTTGAAATCGTCATCTGCGGCGGTCTCATCGGTAAGGCGCCGCATCCCGTCCCCATCCATACCATGGACTCTCGCGTCGATGATGCTGGCTTCGTCAGCGCCGCGAGGAGAGGAGGGGGGTCATTGCCCCGGGGTGCAAAGCCCGCATGTCTGTGTCGGTAGCGCCGATGCCGTGTCATGCACGCTTCATTGCACATGGACTCATTCTGGCGATCGTCTCGTCCTCCCTCAGCTCCCGGAGGCATCATCGAAGAAGATGGCGCCCGACTCAATCCCTTCAGTATCTTTGCTGCCGAGGACTCTAGAGAGAGCATCTTTGCTGTGGTAGATGTGATCAAGTGAGTCTCGGCCCGGCTGTTGTGTGTTTGCGACTTTGCAGCAGCAGCAGCAGCAGTAGCAGTAGCAGCGGCAGCCTGTGCAGTCCGGTCCCACTGTTTGTCTGTCGCGCTTCATCGGCATTGATCCTGACCACGTCTGTCGCCGTCGACCCAGCAAACTCGTCCGCCGCTTGAAGTACCTGCAGCGCAAGTTGGAAGATACCCTCTCCCATCTCCTTCAGTATATCAACAAGTTTGGCGAGGCCGGTCCCAAGCTCAGCCGCGCCGTGGGCATGATGGCTGCCCATCAGCTCATCTCGCTTGCCGTCCTCTCCAACACCACCAAGGAACATCTCGTCAAAGAAGGCAAGTCTAGCTCGTCCATCGTCATCCGCTGCGTGTACCAGCTGTAGCCTTGCTGTGTCAGCTCCGTGGATCCTCATCCATCGGCTACGTTGTATGCTGATACCCAGCGTTCCAACACAACAGGTAGTGCCCTCGAGTTTGTCACCGGTGTCTTTAAGGCTTACTTGGAGGAGCAGTCGATGGAGAACCTGAGCCAAAACATGAAGAAGATTGGCCTGGATGACAAACTCATGGAGTTCTTCCCGCTCAACAAGCGCGGTGGAGAGTACCTGGCCCGCCACTTTGAGGCCGAGGGTCTGAAGGCTCTCGTCGAGTACGACAAGAAGCGACAGCAGCAGGCCCTCAAGGAGGAGCTTGGCCAGAAGCTGACTCTGATGTTCCAAGAGAACAAGACCCAGGTCGAAGTATGTGCGCCGGCCAACTCTGAGCAACCCGGATAGAGCAACTGATCTGCAGTAGGAACCGTCTGTACTCACCACTAACTCTCTCGCATTGCTGCCAGATCGCCACGTTCCTGAAGCAGCAGGTCGCCGCCCACTCCTGGACCGAGGCCGATGTCACCCCACTTCTTTGGCAGTCCCTGATTGCTGCCATCGACTGGAGCGGCCGTGCCGAGCAGATGGAGCCCCAGCTTGTCAAGGTCCTTGGCGTAAGTACAGGCCCCATGACTCTGTGCACACATGTTTTGTGCATTGCCCACCGTATTGGTGTCGAGTGGCCCGCGATAGCCCTTGTCCGATGCATATTTCTGATTCTTTCCCTCCCCCTCAACCACTTCTCGTTTTGCAGACCTGGCCCAAGGTCTTTGCCATGTACTGCCAGTCTGCCAAGACTGAGCTCTTGCTGCTGACGACCGTCCAAAAGGTCTGCTACGAGGATGCGCGATTCCTCAAGCACTTCAAGGCCATTGTTGCGAATCTCTACGAGCACGACGTTGTCTCGGAGGGTGCCATCCTCTACTGGTTCGAGAGAGGCGCCACCTCACATGGCAAGACCGTCTTCCTCAAGCAGCTCGAGCCTTTTGTCCAGTGGCTCAAGGAGCAGGAAGACGACGATGAAGAGGACGATGAGTAAAGCGAGTCAGCACGGTTGTCCAAAACAGGAACCACCCTGGCTCGAACAGCAACGGCCACGTTTGATGGAGGCTGTGTCCGGAATTTGCCGAACCTATTACGGTGAATGCGCCAGTGGCAGACGCCGCTCTTGGCACATCCAGACTACGGCTGCCACGGGCTCTCTATCAATACATGCTGTTTACAGCTTTTTTTTTCGAAACGAAGCGACACAGTGTTCCCGGGTGCCTCTGGTACCAGTGATTGTTTGTTGGTTTCGAGAGCCCAGTCCCGAAAACATCTGATCGGTTGGCATTGACGGAGCAGTGCAGGAGTGCGGTGCAGGCTTTTGTTCCTCTGCCATTGCTCATGTGTTCCTTCCACGAAGCACCTGGTCATGGTGGAAGTGTATTCATGACGCAGATTGTAGCTGTGATCTCATTGGGGGTCTGGATGGGCTGGAGTTTGCAACGGTCACCACCACTCACAGAGATCCACCAGCGACAATTTGGGAGAAGGCAGTGCCTCAGGATGTCCACGACAACTGGTGTCTGCTCTCGATTGAGTCCATGGCCAAGTGCGGTGTGTGGACTGTCATAGATTGTTAGAGATTTGGATTCGCTTCGGGTTTGACAGCAACAAAGCAGGATCGTCTCACACCACAGCACCAGAGCCGTCCTCCAGTACGAATATCACACAATCTGATCGGATGAAGTGAGATGTCGGAAGTAGGAGATAGGAAACTGGATTGGAAGAAAACTAACCGAAACGGAGTGGAATGAATGGAAAATATAGAGAATAAAACCTGGAGAAAGAAACACATGACATTGAGCAACTCCATGCCGAGCTACCTTAGGGATACTCGAACGAATCGTTGAACACAACTCGACATCCCTTCGGTAGTCCTGATATTATCTTTTTAAGTCTGAAAGAGCCAGCATATCGGTCAAACATGTCAACCAACAAAGAACGATGTGATGGCTTTATACTTGAATCCAAGTGCAGTGTCTTGAGAGAGGGAAGCTTGTCGACGAGTCCACTGACTCTCTTTATCGATCGAGGGGCGTAAAGAATCTCGAGCTTGGGATACGGGGGAATGTCATCCAACGACTTCAATTCGCAGCAAGCTTGCAAGTCGAGGACTTTGAGGGAGCTTTGACTGACACGCAGATCGGCCAGGCTCACAAATTGGCTTGAGAGGACGAGATGATTGAGCTTTGACATTGTTGGGAGCTGGCTCAAGAGGGTGTGGGGTTTGGGCGAGGAGATCGTGAGCTTGGTGAGGGACGGGAACTCCTCAGGAATGTCTAAGAGCGATTCGACACTGGATGGAATGTCGAGTTCGAGAAGCATCGGCATCTCGGGCATTCCCTTGAGCGACTTCAGTTGACTACATCCACTCAGACCAAGTGTTGTAAGCATGGGCAGCACTTTCTGGATGCCTTCCAGGGACTCAATGGACGGTGGGGGAAGAAAGGTTTCCAACTTTGGCAGCTCAGGCATTCCCTTGAGTGACTTGAGTTCAGTGCATCCACTCAGGTCGAGTGTTGTAAGCATGGGAAATACTTTCTGGATACCTTCCAGGGACTCGACGGACTTGGGGAGTTGAAGTGTCTCCAACTTTGGCATCTCAGGCATTCCCTTGAGCGACTTGAGTTCAGTGCATCCATTCAGGTCGAGCCTTGTAAGCATGGGCAGCACTTTCTGGATGCCTTCCAGGGACTCGATGAACTTGGGGAGCTGGAGTTTCTCCAACTTTGGCATCTCGGGCATTCCCTTGAGGGACTTGAGTTCAGTGCATCCACTCAGGTCGAGTGTTGTAAGCATGGGAAATACTTTCTGGATGCCTTCCAGGGACTCGATGAACTTGGGGAGCTGGAGTTTCTCCAACTTTGGCATCTCAGGCATTCCCTTGAGCGACTTGAGTTCAGTGCATCCATTCAGGTCGAGCCTTGTAAGCATGGGCAGCACTTTCTGGATACCTTCCAGGGACTCGACGGACTTGGGGAGCCAAAAGTTCTCCAAACTTGGCATCTCCGGCATTCCATTGAGCGACTTGAGTTGAGAACATTTCCTCATGTCGAGCCATTCCAGGCGAGGCAGTTCCCTCGGCAAGCCACCAAGGGATTCGATGGACTTGGGGAGATAAAGTATGTCCAACTTTGGCATCTCAGGCATTCCCTTGAGTGACTTGAGTTCAGTGCATCCACTCAGGTCGAGTGTTGTAAGCATGGGAAATACTTTCTGGATACCTTCCAGGGACTCAATGGATGGTGGGAGAAGGAAGGTTTCCAACTTTGGCAGCTCAGGCATTCCTTTGAGGGACTTGAGTTCAGTGCATCCATTCAGATTGAGCCCTGTAAGCATGGGAAATGCTTTCTGGATACCTTCCAGGGACTCGACGGACTTGGGGAGTTGAAGTGTCTCCAACTTTGGCATCTCAGGCATTCCCTTGAGCGACTTGAGTTCAGTGCATCCATTCAGGTCGAGCCTTGTAAGCATGGGCAGCACTTTCTGGATACCTTCCAGGGACTCAATGGATGGTGGGAGAAGGAAGGTTTCCAACTTTGGCATCTCAGGCATTCCCTTGAGGGACTTGAGTTCAGTGCATCCATTCAGATTGAGCCTTGTAAGCATGGGAAATACTTTCTGGACGCCTTCCAGGGACTCGACGGACTTGGGGAGTTGAAGTGTCTCCAACTTTGACATCTCGGGCATTCCCTTGAGGGACTTGAGTTCAGTGCATCCACTCAGGTCGAGTGTTGTAAGCATGGGAAATACTTTCTGGATACCTTCCAGGGACTCAATGGACTTGGGGAGTTGAAGTGTCTCCAACTTTGACATCTCGGGCATTCCCTTGAGGGACTTGAGTTCAGTGCATCCATTCAGGTCGAGCCTTGTAAGCATGGGCAGCACTTTCTGGATGCCTTCCAGGGACTCGATGAACTTGGGGAGTTGAAGTGTCACCAACTTTGGCATCTCGGGCATTCCCTTGAGGGACTTGAGTTCAGTGCATTCACTCAGATCGAGCCTTGTTAGCATGGGCAGCTCCTCCGGCATGCCTTCCAAGCTGATCAGCGAACCAGCCACTTGATTCCAGTCTCTATGCTCGATCGCCAGATTTGAAATATTGGAGAGTGTCTTGGGCCATCCGGACACTTGCAGAAACGACACATTCTCGAGTGTCAGTTTCCGTTCCCTTGCGCCGTCGATCTCTGGGGTGTCGAATGGCAAAAGCCTGGAAACATAGGTGTTTCTGTCGATATTCTGGTTGGGTCGAATAGTGACCCTGTACGTTCCTCCGATCGTTATCGGCCACTCGAAGCGAAAGTTTTGCCTTTCAGCGATGGTTATCATCTCCTCGACGGATGGCTGCTTGTATCTGTTTGGTCTTGCGTCCTTGGGGAAGTGAAACTCTGGATCGGTCACTTGGCAGTATCGTTGCACTCGATTGAACAACCGTCTGTCTCGATAGACTTCAGACCAGAGCTCATTCTCCTTCTCCAGCATCGATGAGTTGGTTGGCTTGTGCTGATTCTGGCGAAGTGCATAGCAGAGGAGCCCTTGGGCCACTTTTAACCGATCGATGGAGGGATCGACACCGTCGAACAGGAATTCAGGTGTGATTTGCAAGTCGGCAAGCGATACCTGCACCCATATTTTGTCGGTATCGAGGATGGCCCGAGTCTGCTTCGAGACTCTCAGAAGCTTGGTGAGCAAGGGTGGACTCGCAGTGTGAATGAAGGCGTCATTTGTGATCAGGATGGTGAGCAGGTCGAAGCGAGCGAGGTCCTCCTGGATCAGGGTTGATTCTGCCATCGTTTCGGTTGAAGCAGGCGTGGCAGAAAGGAGCGATGGAGACAGGCCGCAGATGGGAGACAGCCGAGGCAGATCGGAGAGGCGGGATGATGATGAAGAAGCAGGAGCAACGACGAACAAGCAGAGGCGACAGCGGGGTGTATGAGGGGCGATGTGCTGATTTCTCGTTGATACCGTCCACATGGTGTGGCTTGGTGATACCGTCGTCACACAGACCTGCTGTTTCGGGACAGGTGTCACCCAGCCAGAACAATATTCCTGTGCAGCAAGATTCCATCCGATTCGGCCTGCAGCGACAGATGTGTGCTGGGCAGCACAAATCGACAGATGAATGGGATGACATGGACGGCGGAGCATTGATGGGCAGTCCCAAGCCGGTGGACATGGGAGTGCGGTCTGGGACAGTTGTCTGAATCCACTCCACTCCACTCCAATCCACTCCAATCCATGAATGGCATCAACGAGGTGAAGTGCCATGTGGGAGGTGGAGGGCTCGACAGTGTCCAACTTCTCCCGAGACTTGTCAGTGCTTGCTGATCGACTCAGTTTATTGGTATGGAACTGGACAGAGTGTTCCTGGGTGTCTCTCACGTCAATCCTTGCCTGTTGGTTTTGGAAGTACATCCTCGAACACACCCGGTCGACTGGCATTGATGCTGCGATGTGAGAGTGTGACTGTATGCATCCGGCATTTGGACAGCTTCGTACAAACTATTCTTGATATCAAGACACTCGACCTTCTCCGGTCGCTCCGTCTCCCATTTCTTTGGCATCGGATGGGGGGTATTCACGATCCAGAAAACAACGACAACCCAGAACAGGGCATCCTGGTTCGCTTAAGGAGCGCTGTTGTCAGCCAAGGAGGTTGCGCACATCAGATTCCAGCGAAACGCAATGTCAGGTCTCTCTGGAGCAGCGGCTGTCCCGTCAGGCCCGTGGTTGTGTCGTATCCGCCCAATGTTTTGCGCCAGGGTCTCTCATGGGGCTGGACATGACACCACGGTTCCTGGCCGGATCCTTGCTCCACCTCTGCATTGATCTCGTCCGTGCCGGACCCTCCATCTTTGACATTCACCCTCAGCACCCACCCTCGATACTGTCGAGCCTATCCGCTTCATCATGGAGCATCCAGCCGACGATCCACTCAACGGCGACGAGCCCGCCGCTTCCGGCTTCCGACCCAGCTCGCTTTTTCCGTCCTTCTGGCAAGCGCCATCCGACGACGAAGACGTCCCCGACGACAGCGGTTCTGGTGCCCATCCATCTGCAACCCGCCCAAGCCGCGCCCCCGAGCATGCAGCTGGATCGCTCTCGACCGCTGTATTTCCCAAGTTCGATTCCTTTTCGTTCTCGTCGGCGCCAAGGATCTCGACTTCGGCCCTGACTCTCGCCAAAACGCCTGCCGAAGCTGTCCCCAGCACACGGCTCTCCCAGATCTTGCTGAGGGCCGAGCGACAGTTGAGAGAGACCAGCGCCTCGACCCGCCGAGATCCAGCAAGCTTGGAAGAGGCCCGACGGTATGCAGAGTATGAGCAGTCGCTGTCGACTGATTCCCGGGCCCACAAGCGACGCCGACGTTCCCTCGATTCAGATCGCGAGCTTTGGTCCTCCGACAGCGACTCAGACCACAATTCCGGTCGAGACAGGGGACACAATCGAGATCAAGACAGGGCTCGGGATCGAGATCGTGGACATGGTCGCAATCAAACCCACAAGGACAGAGCCAATGATCAAGATCGAAGCGAATCCCGAGATCGAGACAGAAGCCGACACCGGCACCGGCACCGATCCGAAAAGACCAAGAAGGAGAAGCGCTCGAGCCACAAGGGCCGGGATGTGTCCAGCACCGCTCGCGAGGAATATGATGGCTTCTACATCGACAAAAAGGGCAACCAGGGCAACTTTCAGATCGACGGCACCAGCAAGTACGATCTGCCCGACTATTACCGACAAAGCGGTGTGTATCTCTGGTATCGTCGTGCAGGAGCGATGAGCTCATGCCGAATCTATCGGTCCGAGGGGGCATCGCTTGAGCAGTGCCACGGACCTCGACTCGCAACGGATGGTCACCAGCTCGCTACTCACCTCGCACTGGCCGCTCGCTTGATCTCCAGACCGTATCTATGGCTGTCCCGGCTGGAAGATCGATTTCAAAGCCTCACACAGAGGAAAGGGGATTGTGCTCATCAACAAGCGTCGTGCCGGACATGATAGCGACACCTATGTATGTAGTATGTGGGCCCTGAGGGGGTTTCGTCTCTGCACGAAGCGGCGATGCAGGGGCCATCAGCGCCCCAACCTCAACGAAATTACTATCTGATTCTGTCAATAGAAAACCAGATACAATGACTTCCGCGCGGCGCTCCAGACGGATCCTATTCCAGTCAAAAAGTATGGGCTGGCATTCTCGTTGCGCCCACGCCATGTTCTGCAGCAAAGCTTTCTGGTGCCTGCTGGACTCGTCACTCCGGAGATTCTGACGCATATGGTTTGCCAGGATAATAGAACGTGCGGCTACTGCCGCTGCATCAGGCACTATCGAGCAGGATGAAGCAGCCGATTTCTTGCAGTTTGAACCCGCGCCCGTGGATGACGATGAGGACGAGACTCAGATAAGGGCGTCTGAGATCGCTCCGGTCGATGCAGCCAGTCAGGAGTATCTCAAGCGAAACCAAGAGTTCAGCCAGAAGCTCAGCGAGGTATGAGAGTGCGCTGTATTGGCACAGATGCGACGAGCCATGTGGGATTGTAACCCGATCTCCCTTAGCGCCTGGCTACTGACATCGCTGTATTGCAAAGAGAGTAGTGGCAGTCATCTCTCTGGCAGCCTAGAGTCTGACCATTCTCTTTCAACCCACCACCGCCCGAGTAGGATCCGACGAATCTCCAGATTTGGTTGGACTATGTCCGGCTACAAGACACCACCAGTAAGCTATCCAAGCGTGGCAAGCCCGCAGAAGCCAACCGATCTGTCGTCGAGAAGAAGCTTAGCATCCTCGAGCGAGCCCTTAAATCGATTCCCAAGAACGAGCAGCTCCTGGACGTGTACATGGACTGCTTTGCGCGCATCTTTGAGTAAGCAAGGGAGTGCTGTCTTTGGCGAGTCGCTGTACGCCCGTGCACTGAAATGAACGTGGATAGGCTGAGAGGAAGGAGGGGATATCCCGCACGCTCATCGTAAACAACTGTCTATCCCGACTGCGACGACAAAATACACTTACTCAGGACGACCGCTGTCCTGGACAAGTGGGACTCGATCCTCAAAGACTTACCGCACAGCCCACGGCTGTGGAGACGCTACCTCGAGTTCCGTCAGACAAACTACGCCTCTTTCACGGCCAGCAGTTGTCTCGACATGTACGCCGAAGCCATACAGATCTTTTCCAGACGGGGCCAGCGATACCAAGGTTTGTGAAGCACCAGATGCGTGTGATCTTCATTTTGCTCCAGCTATTGACACCGTACGTGAGTAATGAGCTGAACTCTTTCAAATGGAATCGCGCGTGTCCCCAAGATCAAGACAACGAGCATATCCTGATCGATCTCTTTACGCGCGCATGCGTTTTGATGAACGAGTCTGGTAAGTTGTAATCGAAGAGGGAGCGCCAGGGCCAGATTTGTCCGTCGCTGCTAGGACAATTCCTCCCCCTAATGCCCAGCTGCCACGTCGATGGCTGTTTCTCCAGGTTATGTCGAGCAGTCGATTGCGTGCTTCCAAGCTCTGGTGGAGCTGAACTGCTTTTGCCCCGAGAAGCTGGCTGCTTTGTCGCTTGACCAGAGACTCCACGCACTGGAAGAGTTTTGGGAAGCAGGCGCTCCGCGCTTTGGAGAAGAGGTCTGTTGCCCCTGCCCCACTTTGCTCAAGAATACGACTGTTTGGTTGATGCACAAAAGCGGACCGATATTTTTCCTGACAAACACACCATCCTTCTCCGAAAACGCCATCACATCCAGGGAGCCAAAGGATGGGCCGCATTCCATGATGCTGGTACGTTGCCGTCTACTTGATATCGGTGGCTGGAACGGGCTGCGCCACTATGAAGGACATCCTGCTCATTGCTCAAACGCGTTTTGTCAGCAATCCCCCACGATGTGTCATCGTTGCCTCCCGCTGCGAGCACCAGCGAAAGCGACGTCGATCCCTCAGGTTGGTGGTGTCCAGTCCAATTTCATGCAGCCATACATTGCCATCTTCCCGCACCGACCGCTGCGCCAGTGCTGTTTGCGCCGTTGCTGATTCCGTACTTCTGAAAGCAGATATCTACAACTGGTGGCTTTCCGAGGATCGGGATGGATACCGCCTATGGATGCCAGAGCGCAACACCGACGACAGTAAGCCCAGTCTATGCCGATGAGCGCCGGTGCGCTTGTCTGTGGCTGACCACTCTTCTTTGACGGGCCTAGACGATTACATCGATCCCTTCCGACCCGTTGTCTTTCAAGACGTCATGCCGTTCTTGTTCCAGGTGCGATCGGCGTCCGGCCGATCGCACATTGTGGCGTCGCTTCTGAGACTCTTGCGCCTCGACATCCACTGGCGCCCAGTTCCGACTCTCAAGCATGCGCCCGACGAATCCGCAAGCATCGGAGAACCGCTGTTGTTGGTGCCGAGCCACTTCTGGAAGCCGTCGAGTGAACACGTTGATATAATCCGCTGTCGAGACGTGGCGCTGGATCGCAGTGAAGCTGCGCCGTCCTGGCCGTCCCAGCCCAGTCTGACCGACTTTCCGATGCACAACTTTCCGTGCGGCATCGCGGAGATGTTTTCATTCGGAGAGTGGTTTGGAATCTTCCAGCGCGAGGTCATGGCCGATCTCGTCAAGGGCGGACTCGGGATGAAGACCTTTGTCTCGTGAGTCTGTGCGCAAATCTTCCTTTGGTCTGGATCGTGCCGCCAGGCGCCCAAGGCCCAGGCAGCATCGCAGCGACCACCCTTTGCACTGGATCGATAAAATTTGACAAGATCTGATTGTGTCTCCCGTCTCTCGATCGACAGAAACGTCCTGCAGCAAAGCCGCCAGCTGGCGCTTGAGTTTGATCCGACAGTACTGCACCTTGCCTTTGAATGCGCCGAGAGTCCCAAGCGGTAGCGATCGTTTCCTCTTCCTACCACCCTTTCGAGTCGCGTCTGACACAATATCAGTCATTTGGATGCAGAAATGCTGACGCGACAATCGATTGAATCCATTGCAGGGCGGCAAAGCTCGCCAAGGGCCTGCTCAAGACCGAACGGATGAACCTCATGATTTGGAACGCGTATGCTCAGATCGAGAAGAGCAGAGGCAACTTTGACGAGGTATGTTGTGGGATGCAGCGTTGGTGACACTGTTACGATTTGTACGGTCTTTCTCGGATACAACTTTCGAGAGGCATCAACGAGGCCAGCGTGGAACGGCCTTTCCGGCTGCTCTGCCGTTTGAATCCTCTCGATATCGCCCATCAACCTTGAGCCACTCTATCTTACTGATTTTTACGAACTGCGCAGGCTCGGAAGGTGTATGAGACGGCCTTGATGTCGTATGGCACATTTCCAATCGAGTACCAAGTCGATGCCCCCATTTTGCTGTGCATGTTTGGACTGATGGAGGTCGAAGGCGGCAACCACGATGCAGCACTAGGTACGGACATGGATATCGCGGGCGTGGGTAGGCCACCTTTCATTCAGGAAGCAGTTTCACCGATCCAACATCCGTGATGCAACTGACTCGTACGGCTGCTTGTGGGTCGTCAAGATGTGTTTTGCTCGTTTATGGACGGAAAAGTCAACTACGGTAAGTCCATGCCTTCTATCAGAGCTCGCGACTAGCGGCACAGCTGTCGGTCTGATGCGTTCTTGCTTCTGACAAATCCCGGATAACTGTTTCTTGTTTGGCTGGGCGCTTGGGTGCTTGGGCTGCCGACACGCCAGATCCCTCCCAACGGACCCGAGCCGCCCCAACGCGTGTCCTCAGAGCCAAGAAGGTAAGATGGACACATTGATGGGGTGTGTTTGGCCAGAGTCCTGTCGGCTGGGTGAATCTGACTGGCCTTGCTATTGCGCTCGCGTGGTGGTCGATGGTCACGGTCACCGATGCGAGGACCATTTGCAAAGTGTTGCTGATCATCATGGCATTGCGTATCATCAACTCCTCTCACACAGAGCTACCAGAGCTTCTGGGAAAGCACCAGGATCAGTGAGCCCATGTCCTCTCAGACGTTGGCCAATACCCATGCGCTTCTGACGAGCTACATCTACCTCGAGTACCTCTCTGTCAACGCCGACCATGCCCTCGATATCCTCAATCGGAGCGTCCTAGCGTCGTTCGAGGGATACACGCCTGAAGGAAGCGAGCCCTCCTCCATCTCCGAAACTCGCAGGCTCCAGTGTCCGCGGCTTCTCGAGCTCTTGCTCATGACCCGAGCCCGGATTTTGGTGCTTCACAGCCAACAGGGTGCATACAAACCGGGGACCTTGCGCGAAGCCTGTGAAAGGGCCCTCCAGATTATGCCCCACAATACCCTGATCTGGAGTGTCTACGGATGGAACGAAAAGCGCATGGGTTTTGAGGGCAAAGTCCGGCTCGCCTTGGACATGGCGGTGCAAAAGTAAGCATGACACTTCACATTGCATCAATGGCGTCTCGTTGGAGAGAATCACCCCGCTGTATGTGTCGCAGTAGTCGTAGTAGCAGTAGTGTGATCCACATAGCTTGGCCATTGACCATATTCTGCTTGAACCGGTCTGAAAATGCACCACAGGAGCCCGTCGTGCACCTTGGTTCTCTTCCACATCTGGTCCGAAATCCACCAGCGACACCAACACAACAGCAACATCATCCGGTCGGTCTTTGAAGTAGCCACACAGGAGCCAAGGTGCGTACATTCACACGACATCACCACGGAACAGGCAGATGGAGCAGCCGCATGAATGGGGGGGGGGAGTCCATACTAACGACAGGTATTTGCTTGACAAGCAGAATTTCGGCCTGTCCGGCGATTTGGGTGCTGTACATTGAATTTGAGGTGCTTGAGGACAATCCCAAACGAGCCAAACTCGTCTTTTTCCGAGCCATCCGAAATTGTCCGTGGTCAAAGGGTAAGCCGGACGCACACAATACTTGCTCATTTTCTGCTCATGTTCCTGCTCCTGCTCATGTTCATTTGCTTGCTACTGTTCGTCTCATTTGTTCTGACATTATCTGGCGTGCTTGGATTGTTGGCGTCTGGCTCGCCGCTGCATCCAGATCTCTACGGACTGGCTTTCCGGTTGCTATACCCAACCTTTGACCGTGACGAACTGGAGGAGGTTCAGAAGCTCATGGAAGAAAAAGAGCTCCGGATACGAAACCTACTGACGAGATAGTGCCCTCTCTCCTGGGAACACGTCGGGGATGAGATGCACACTCCCACAGGCATCTGAGTGCTGTTGTATATTGCCATGCTCACAATCCAAGCAAAGAAGCAGGCGCCAAGCTATCGAATGTATTGAGTCGTCACAACGATCAATAGATTGGTCGTGAATGCTCGATTGGCACGCCTCTGATGACAGCTGCCTCCACCCTCCCCACTCGGTGAACAATGCTGGCATGGTGATGATGCTGATGAATGGGTATTTGTTCTTGTCGCAAGCACCGCTCTCGCTACTACCGAATGTGCCTGCTGCTCTCGTAGACAGTGGGATTCACATTCCTTCCACCCCATGGGGACACGGATCGACATCTGGGTGCGCTCCGGCTTCCGCCGAGACAATTTTATGGCATAGAAATCGCATCGATAGTATTGAGACATTAGAGAGAGATACAAGAGCCGATCGAAAAGATGGTGGAGGAGAGAGAAGAGAGCTGGCTCGCTCCCTCCACCCGCCGTCAATCCGGACAAATATAAGACGAGGAAAGAGGGGGAGGAGGGAAGCTGGCCGGAGACAATCAAACTCAACAAACATCCGTCGAACCAACAGGATTATTACACTAAAATGTCTTTCCTCCACCTCAAAAGCAAGTCCAGATTGCCGCCGCATTCTGAGGTAGAGGGATAAAGTAAAGGGAGGGCAGCGGAGTGGAAGAACAGAGAAAGAAAGAGACACTGGAATGAGGAGAGGAGGAGAGGGAGAGAGGTGGAGGAGAGGGAGAGCATGAGGAACTGTAAGCGGATTACCAATCGCCGTTGCTCACTACCATCACACATCCCTGCCCTCTCCAGCCCGACAATTCAGGACGACTTCCTTTTCTGAATCGAAGGAAGAGAGAGAGAGAGGTACGAAAGGGTGGAGGAGGAAGGGGAGAGCATTTGAAAAGGACAGTGGTGAGGATCTACTATCGGATTTGGAGAGAGGGATGGGCGAGTCATTTAAGGACCGCAGACAAAGACGTTGGGGTAGCAGTGGGTGCCAGTGCCGCAAACGCCGATCTGGATCCAGACACCGCCGCCGCAGACGAGGACGTCGTTCTGATCACCGCAAGCATAGCCAGAGGTACAGGCGTTGCCAGCGTGGGGAGCGTTGGAGGTGGGGGTAGGGGAGGAAGTGGTGGTGGTGGTGGTGGTGGGCTTAGTGGTGGTGGTGGTAGACTTAGTGGTGGTAGAAGTCTTGGTGGACTTTGTGGTGGAGGTGGGCTTGGTGGTGGTGGTAGTGGTAGTGGTGGGCTTGGTGGTAGTGGTGGTGGTGGTGGTAGGCTTGACGGTAGTGGTGGTGCTGGTGGGGCCGGTGGTGGTGGTGGTGCTATGGGTAGAAGCAAGAACAGGTGATATCGAGTTAATGCTAGGCGAATACTTGCAGAGCAAACAGCATCGATGCAAACATGGACAGATCCAGCCAAAGAGTCCGACAGACGTTTACCTGGAGCCGACGGGAGGAATAACACCAGAGCAACGAGCAGTGCCGGAACCGAGAACAGCCTTGCAGATCTGCTGGGCAGCGGTGCTAGCATCGAGGTTGCCAGAGCTGCCCTGGGGCTTGAAGAGCTCCCAGAAGAAACCACCCTGGTGCTTGGGCTGGGTGTTCTGGAGGATGGTGGTGAGGGCGGTCTGGGTCAGGGGGATCTGGTGGGTAGGGTCCTCGGTGGGATCGGGGTAGGCGGGGGTGCCGATCTCGTAGCCGACGTAGGCAGCCATGCCGGCGGTGTCAAAGGTGCCCATGTAGAAGGCAACCTGGCCGGGGAGATCACAGTCGCTGGTGGTGTCGGGGCACTCGTAGTACTGGTTGTTGTCGGAGAGATCGTAGGTCATGACGTTGAGGCCACCGGCGTTGGCACCGCTGAACAGGAACTTGAGGGCATCGGGGTACTGCTGGTACGACTTGAGCCAGACACCCTTGAGGTTACCACCCCACCAGTTGCCGGACCAGGCACCGGCGGCACCGGCGGCAGTGGAGACCTTGAGGGTAGGGTAGATGTTCTGGACGTTGATGATGACGTCCTTGAGGATGGCGGTGTACTTGTAGACGGTCTGGGAGTTGTCGTAGCTGCCGCTGGAGAGCTTGGTCTCGAAGGTGTCGGCGTGCCACATCTCCTCGTAGTCAACATCGACACCGTCGAGGCCGAGGTCCTTGGCGAGGTAGACGAGATCCTGGTAGGGATCGCGGTTCTGGGTCTGCCAGTAGTTGCTGCCGGGAACAGTGACGACGGTGGAGCCATCGCGGGGATCGGTGAACTGAGCGCCACCGACGAGCTGGGGGTGCCAGGTGGGAGTGTAGCCCGCGAAGGGGTTGGCGGCGACGTAGGCCTGGGCGGACTTCCAGGTGGCCGAGTTGGCGGGCTCGGGGAAGATGGTGAAGTCGGCAAGGGTGGTGCCCTGGGACTGGGGCTCGCAGACGTAGCACCACATGTTGGACTCGTTGCAGCCGGCAACGCTGCCGCCACCGTACTGGGTGATCTTCCAGTAGTTGGGGCCAGATCCGTAGAAGGCGATACTGTACTTGGCGTAGAAGTAGGGGTAGCAGTTGTAGTTCCAGCCACCCATGGAGATGAAGACCTCGACACCTCCAGCCTGGAGCTGGGCAACATACTGCTTGATCTCGGCGAAACCCCAGTCGTTGTTGGCACCGGCACTGGCGTAGTAGCCGAGACCGGTGTACTGGAGGGTGTTGCTACCCTGGACGTAGACCCTGGGTGGCACAAAGACAGCGGGCGACAGAGCGGGCGGTGAGATAGATGAGCGGGCGGTGAGATAGATGAGCGACGACAGCGAGAGGACGCCGTGACGGCCAGAGCCGGCCGATTCAGGACAGCGAGGTGAATGCGAGAGCTAGAACACCAGCATGCACCGCGATGGACGCATATGCACGACATGGATGGGTACTCACATGTCGGGGCGGAGGAACGAGAGGATGACACGGTTGACGGGGAGAGTAGCGGCGTTGGCAGCAAGAGCCTGGAGCTTGGCCGGGCCCATAGTGGGATCGATCAGGAAGTAGCCACCAACAACCTTCTCCTGGGCCATAGCGGCAGGGATGACGGCGGCCAGGAAGCCGAGGGCAAGGGAGAGAGCCTTCATCTTGGACAGAGTCGGGTGGAGGAGAGGGGAGAGAGCGGCGGGGGTGTGCGGGACGAAGAACCAAGAAGGGCGGGTGGGCGACGACCCGGCTTTATAGGGAAACCAGAGGGCCGGAGGGAGGTGTGGGGACGGCAGCCCGACGGCGGCAGACGAACGGACGCGATCAGCCAGGGCCCATGTTCGTCGGCCCCCCCCCCACCAGGCATTCCTGCTCTTTGCAGCCCAAGGAACAGAACACGATCCTTCGCAATAGCAAGGACAACGGCGAAAGGGGAAGAGAAAGGTCAGGCGGACGGGGAGCAAGCGCGCGGACGACATGGAACGGCCGTCACGCGCCGAGGCGGGTGACAAAAGCGTGAGAAAGAGGCCACATGGGCAGCACGGCACCGGGCGAGCCGTGGCCACAGCCGAGCCACCGACCTGTCTGTGGTCGGGGGCCAGCCCCACTGGAGCTCACGCGGGCGTGGTGGTCGGTGTGGGCAGACGAGATGGGGACGGGGACGGGAAAGCGCTGAGCAGCGCAAGTGAGGTCGTGTGGGATGGCGGGTCGCGGGAGCGCGGCGGGACTGAGCTGCGCTGGGGAGAGACAAGATGCGCTTGGACGAAGCAATTACATTTGGACGAAGCAACTGCGTTTGAACGAAGCAACTGCGTTTGGACGAAGCAAGTGTGGGCCTGCGACGATTCAGTACCCAGCAGCTCGATGGGCGCAAGCCAACACACACCGTTCCTGTCCGCGGACGGCACCCGGACTCCAGCAACGCCAGACCCGGCGGATGCACCCCGGGATCCTCCTGTTCGAAGCCCAAACTCACCGGGCCGCCACCATTGAGACCCCCCCCCATCGAGATCCCCCATCGAGTCTTTCTAATCAGGCCGTGTGTACAATCGCTGGAAGACTGACAACACAAACGAGAAAGGCAAGAGCCCCCAGGCGCCTCAGTCTCATGACTGGGTCACGTTCCCGCAGAGTTGACCCGCCTGTGACCGAGGCCCGATTTTTTGTATCTGCTTCGGCACAGCTTGCAGTCGCTGCTGAGCGGCGGCAACGGCCATAGCACCAGCAGACGACCAGCCCGACGCGCCTGGGAAAGGGCAGTCGGGCAGCGCAGAGCACGAGAGCGTCGGCTGCTGCTGCCGCTCAGGCGCATGGGGGCGACTCGGCTGGTCAGCCGACGAGCCGACCTGCATGAGCGCAGCGGCCAGAGAAAGGTGTGTGCCAGTACCAGCGCCAGTGTCTGGAGAACAGGCAAGGCAGCGAGAAAGGGCAGGCAGCTGATAGAACGGAGGTGGGGGAGGGAGGCAAAGGACACTGCATGGCAACGATACGGCAATGCAACGACACGGCAACGCAAGGATACGGCAAGGCAGCGGCGTCAAGGACGTGACCGGAGCCACCACCCGCGGGGGCAATGGGCATGGGGGGGAAACAGGCGGCGGTCGGCCCGGCGGACAGAGCGGCCACAACATCGAAGATCGACCACAAAAACGAAAGGCGACGGACCAACAAGGAGGAGTAACACCACAAGGTTCATTGCCCAGCGCGGCCGGGACAGCAAGGGCGGCGCTGTGATGGAACGATCCAAGGGCCGCCCGCACAACCACCTCGACATGCGATGAATGTGACGGATGCGACAGGTGCGGTCGATGCATATCGCGGCACCGACATCGGCATCGGCATCGCGGCATCGGCATCGCGGCATCGGCATCGCGGCATCGGCATCGACATTGCTTGCTATGAATGTCTTCTGCCAACGTCGGTCGCGGTCTATGCTAAAATCCTGAAAAAGTATTGGATCTGAGTGGGGTGGGCAGTGGTGGGCAGTGGGTCAGTGTCTCGGCTTATCTCGGGCTCAGCAGCCGGGCACTATCGCCACTATGGGCACTACTATCGCCACTATGGATGCTGCTATGGACAATATGGTTCGCTATGAACGCTCGGAATGGAAACAGCGCAACCAACAGGGCAAACATGGCTGGCACAAACGGCCTTCCGCGTGGGCCGCAGAGCCCGCATCCCCACCTCAAGTGACCCGTCCTCGGGCAAGTCCGTGCAGTGGATCGCGTTCTTGACCTTGTCGATGCCGAACTTGGCTCGCAGGGTGTGCGGACGAATCTGCCGGCCAAGGGCGGGATCGGCAGGCCCCACGAGCTCCCTGAAGTGGCTGACGATGCCAGAGTCGGGCCCGACGATTTCGCTGTGTCGTGGCGAACGGGTGGGCCAGACAGACCCAGCGAGAGAACGGAAAGATTGTGCCATGTCAGAGGTGGTCCTGTCAGTCCAGGTTCGCCGGGGACATGTCGGTACATTGCCCATGCAGCGCAGGACATGGCCAAGCAAGCTCAGCGGGTCGCGTGCCGACTCAGGCACCACATCCATGGCCATGTTCGCCATGCAGCGCGACCAGCCCAGCCGGCTCTGCCTCGGGCTCTGCCTCGGGCTTCAGTACGCCCTTGCGAGACGCAGCAGGCAGCTCGGGTGCTTGCCTCGAGGGGCGCACAGATTGCCCAGCAGACTCACATGGCGATGCAGGATCCTGAGATAAGCTGGTCGAGCATCAGCTAAATCCACAAAAGGCGAAGGCAAAACAGAAAGCGTTGAGTCCACGGCCAAGACGCCGTCTGCCCGCACCCCCAGGAAACAAAAGTCTTGGTTGCTGCACCGATCACAGACATGGTATTCGCTGACGACCCCCTTGTAAACTTCCAGAAACTCCTCGGCGTTGGCCTTTTCGAGATGATACAGCTCCATGTCGTTGATCTCAAAGCCTTCCTTTTGGATGGAGCTGACGATTTGGCCCGACAGGCCTGTGGACGATACTCTTGGTGAGGGCCGCGAGCCAGGGTAAATTCCACCAGCCATAGACTTACCGGAGTTGACGGCATGTGGCTTTATGATTGCCAGAGTGCAGTTGTGAAAACGAGTGAGTCGGCGAAACTTGAGCGGCGATGTAGGGCCAAAGAAGTATGCGATTTCCTGTTCGTCGATGCATCGGGAGCAGGGTGAGCCAAGCACTCAGGATACATTGGGCACCGATGCATGATACCACCGAATGAACCCGCGATGCCGCCAACACAAAACGACATGTGCTCGAGTCTGCCTGGAGGAGGGCCCGAGAAAGAGCTTGCGCTCCAGACGCACCGCTTTGGCATTGTTCGCCGAGCTCGACGAGAACACGGCGTTGAAGAGTCCCGACTTGCCGTATCGAGCATGGAGTGAAAGCGGTGCCTCGGCCTTGGCTTGCTCCACTCGGTCGGGCCCGCATACCACCTTCAGCTCAGCACAGGCCCCGAGACGCATGAGCTCCATCACAACGAGCTTTTTGCCTTCGAAGGAGCTTTCAAATTCGCTGCGGCCACCAACAGCGCCAGCGAGGCATGCATCAGCGAGCAGCTTTGCGAATGAGTGCTCATGCGTTCCGTCGAGAAGGCCGTAACGCTTGAGGTCGTCAGAGCACTCGCGATACACACGGGTGGTATTGGGAGCGCAGCAGCAGAAAGATGGCGCTCCGGTAATCAGCTGTTGCTGCGTTGGGACCGATCCGGAGTTTACCTGTAGTTGTCGAGCTTCTCGTACTCGGGCCCAAACACCTCGCCAATGTGCTTGGTGGTCATGTCCACCATCTTGAGTTGGCAGATCGTGAACTGGTGTGCAAGGATGTCATCAAGGATCTCACCGAGTCGCTCGAAGGCGTGGGGCTTGACGGCGACCAAGACGCTGGCGATCCCAAGTATCGTCACACGGAAATATACAGTGCCGTCAGTGTCCCAACTACAAATCGCCGTGGCAATCGAGATTAAAGCGCCACCGGCAACTCACCGCTCCATCTGCCGACTCAGTCGGTTGATGGTAAAGTCGTCCCCGTAGTCTCGGACGGTCAACTGCCGCGCAAACACGTTGACGGATGCACCGATGTAGAGATCCTCCAGATTCATGGGCGCATTCGTTCTCTTGAGGAAGGTTCGGCGCTGCTTGATGTCATACTGCCGCAGAGAAGAGCGCGTCGAGGAAGGGGCAAAGACCCCTGGGTAGATGAGTGCGCGCAAATCGCCCATCGGCATCGAGTTCACATGGCAGACAAGCGCGACGGTGCAGGACCCTTACCATCTCCATGGTGTTGTCGCAGGGATAGAAGAATAGCTGGTACTTGCGCGTCAGCTGGGCATGGACGTCAAACCAGTCCACGATGAAGCAGAAGCGCTCGAGGGCCGACATGACTGCTAGAATGGGGCTGTATTCGGAGTGCGCACTTGGATGCTCGCTGTGATGCGGCGATGGCGACAGCGACAGCAACGGCGATGGCGATGGCGATGGCGATGGCGATGGCAACGGCGATGGCGATGGTGGGGATGAGGGGTTGTGTCGGAGCTTTGGCTGGATGCCGGGACGAGTTGCGGATCGATCCGGCTGCATCCAGGCCACACACACACACGGTCGCCACCAAACCGGCGAGAAAAAAAGTTCCTGCGGAAATCGCCTCTGATCTGCATCTTGCCAATTGCCAGAGCCAACCGCCAGAGCCAACCGCCAGAGCCAATCGCCGCCGACAGCAGCCGGACTTTGCGCACATCTGCCTTCCCGCCCTCCCGCTCACCTCGACAACAATGTTTGGATTCCCCGGTGCCCCCACTGTCACCGCCGAAGAGGCCAAGGTCAACAAGAGAAAGTGCCGCCAGCAGTTTGTGCGCTTTGCCGTGGCCTGTCTAATTGTCCGCGCCGGTGAGTGGCCGCTTTGGATACAGCCATGCAATGCGATCGGCCGACCGCAGAGGGGAAAGAAGGGATATGTGTCATGCGCAGAGAGAGAGCAAGTGCACTATCGGTCATCGTTCTCGATGACAGATTACATTGGGCCCGGATCGATCGAGCAGCACAAGGGCGGCAATGGCCAAGCGGGTTGGATCGCCTCCACCCCAGCCGGTCCGGATCACCCTCTGCCTGCGATGTATGCTGATATGTCTGTCTCTGCAATCTAGTTCCCTTCGCGGTCGAAGTCGCCACCGGAAGCCTCTAAACTCTCGAGACAAACTTCTGCAGTCTGATCAGGTCTTTGGATCGAGACAGGGCCGATTCCACAACCCTGAGTGCTCGCGTGCGAGGCTGCAGTCCAAAGGTCCAAAGATACAAATCTCACAATCAATAATCCATAACCAATGGCACGTCTGTCTTGCAAGCTCAGCCGTCCCTGTCGGTCAACACAGCTCCGGCCGCACTCCGCTCACATAGACACAAGTGATGGCTCTGCCCACATATTGCACGCAGCGGCCGTGTTCCGTTCTGTAATCCATTCTTCCCGCCCCTTCAATAAACCCCTGGAGACTCTTGCTCCTTCATCAACGAAATGGTTTTCCAGTTGCATGGCGACGGGGCGGTGGGACGACAGCGAGCCGCAAGGCACATGTGATCGGGTTTGGCGCACAGCTGTCCGAGCCGGCGATTTAGGGACTGACGGCTTTGCAGCGGAGAATGGTGATGTCATCCCTCGGTCGATCGTTTCCGTCAGTAGGCACCTTGAGCGCACGATGATCCATCCGGCGATGTTGTTGGGTCCGCGTATTGTGAGGCCACGAAGCACAAGCGTCGCTGTTAGTGATCGGCACGACGACGATATCCGAGAGCCAGCAGATGCAGATGCAGATGCAGACGCAGACGCAGACGGAATCACCGGAACCGCAGCAGATCCGAATCGATCGAGGCTCCGTACCAATCCAATTCGCTTGACGACACTGATTCCAGCGGAGACTCGCCCGAATATCGAGTGCTTGCCATCCAGATGCGGCGTCGGCGCCAGAGTGATGAAAAACTGGCTGCCGTTGGTGTTGGGTCCGCTGCGGCATCGATGTGGTAGCAGTGCAAAGTTGAATATACTGTCGATTAAACAATCTGCGTTGCAGCACTGAGCAAGGTCTATGAATCCCCTGATCGAATCTGCGCTGCGTCATCGCTGTCTGGAAGTTGAATGGGGGGGGGAGGAGCATCTTGCCTGTTTGCCATCGATAGGATGCCGGCACCCGTGTGCTTGAGCTCCGGATGAAGCTCGTCGGCGAACTTGGCGCCGTAGATGCTCGAGCCTCCTCGGCCGGTGCCCGTTGGATCGCCTCGAGGATGCAAAAGCCAGAGCCATTCGTCCGTTTGTCATTTGTCCATCATCAGTTGGCTGGTGACTTGATCGAGCCTGGATGCGATAGACTGCTGCAGAGAGCACTTACCTCCTTGGATCATAAAGTCCTACCGAACGAGAATCACCATACATTGCCAGATCGAGAGGGCCATCAGTGAGAGAAGCTGGCATTTGAAGCCTCAGCGCACATGGTTTGAGAGAGAGGCTCGACAGCCAAACGTTGCAGCTATATGGGAGAGCAAAAATCGATGGAGCGCCACCATGACTTACAGCGATCACTCGGTGGAACTGCGAGCCAATTGTAAAAGTCGACGGTGCGTTGCGTCCAAAGATGGGTGTTGCCGAAATATCGCAAGCAGATTGGCTGGATTAGCAGCGAATCCATCTGCTTGGAGCACGAACTGGCGGACCCATGATCTGGGCCCAGATCGATTCTCATGCGGGCACCATGCTTGTGCGGCTCCGCCTGCCTCAAGGGTGTTGATCCAAATCAATGGACTGGTCAAAGTCCTTGGCCTGACGGGACGTCGCCTCGGCATATATCTGGGTGCAGTGCATCCGGTACAACATCCCAACTAGCGCCGCCGATCCCACCTTAGTGGAGTTGTAGTAGCCTCGCTTGGCGAGCTGGAAAAAGTTCTCGCACGTCTTTGGGGCATGGTCCCAGTACAGCTCGACGGTGATGGCGCCGACTGTTGCCATCGACGATAACGGAAGCCGAAATGGAGGTGGAAACGAAGACGGAAACAGGTGCGGCGATCAGCGGACAAGCTTGGATCGCTGCTGGACAGCGCGGGGAGTGCGCATGCCAGGACGGAGCCAGGTGTGCGTGTGGCAGGCTCGGACCTGAGGTCTCCAGAACAACGTATGGTCGAGCTGCCATTCTGATGGATGTGGTGGATGGATGGATGCAATGGATGCAATGGATGCAATGGATGCGATGGATGATGCGATGGATACGATGGATGTCGCGGGCTTCTCGCCGCAGCCGAGAGCGCATCGCTCTTCTCGCCGAGAGACCTCCTGGTGCGCAGCAAGCTTCCTTCCTTTTCGGGAGAGGCAGCCACCCAGCAGCCACCAAGTGGCCAGTTCGCCCACAAGCCATCTCCATCGCCTGTTCGACATCCTCAAGCACACTGCCATGAAATGCGTATTACCATGAGAGCCACTCTGCCACGGGTCTCGTTTTGTATGAGTTACTCGCGTGAGAGACAGATGTGAAACACGCAGCCGAGCGAGAGCAACACCATCCGCATGCTGCAGATCCATCTGCTTGCACAGGAGCCGCCCATCCAAGCAGCGGGAGGCAAGACGACGGCGCCCGGCCACCGAGGCGGTTCACATCTTCGCAGACTTGCTCGATTATCTCCGAGTCGGCATTGCATCGCCTTGCCCAGCGAATGGCGGATTCTCTCGTTGGGACGCTTGTGCTGGCCACCTCAGCCAGTCATTGCAGGCGAGAGCGGCGCACCTCGTGGGCATCTCGCCGCGCTCTCGCTCCACACCTCCGCCGCTCTCGCTCATTATTTTGCGATCCGTGTTGATTTGGCTGCTCGTCGCGGGTCCTCTGCTTCCCTCCTGTCCACCCGCAGACAAACGCACATCTGTCCCTCGATACCATCACCGCGACCTGCAGAGCGACATCCCCCCCCCATGACGATGGCCGACTCTCCGTTGTTCCAGCACTCTCCCTCCGCCAAGCGATCTGGGTGGGACGAGCACCCATCGGCCAACGCATCCACATCCGACATCTCGTCGCCGTCCGCCTCCATGGCCACTCCAGTCTCCGATGCGACAGCAACCTCGCCGGCGGCAAAGAAGGCTCGCTATGATCTCCCTGCTGCTGCAGGCACGTCTCCATCGAGCTCCAGACAGCCTCCGAGTGCTGGCCATCCGCTGCCGGTCCGTGCCTCGCCGGCGGCCCTTCTCCCACTCACATCTGATCAGAAGGAGCGGCTGGAGAAGGCCAAGCTGTTTGCCCGAGAGCAGACCATCAAGGTATTGCTGCTTGCTCGCATGACAGTCCCACGCCGTGGCTCTCTTTAGTTTATCCCGATCGAAACCGGCCGTGTAGCCAACCGGGAAGATCACTCACTTGGCCCATACTCACCTTCCCTCCTCCATCTCCTCCCGAGCAGATCATGACCGGCCGCTCTGGTCCGCTACCAGCACTTGCCGCGCTGATTCCCACACTTGAGAGCAAAGAGGCTCGCGCCCTTTCTATCCTCTCCCGAATCTATGTCGGATCGATCAACTTTGAACTGAACGAATCGCACATCCGGGCCCTATTCCAACAGTTTGGCGGCATCAAGACCCTGAGCATGAACATGGATCCGGCCACCGGACGGCACAAGGGCTTCTGTTTTATTGAATACGAAACTGTCGAGGCAGCCATGATGGCTCTCGACGTCATGAAGGGCTCCGAAATCGGCGGACGGTAAATATCGCTGGCGCTGAACCGATCAAGCATTTGGAGGCTGGGAGGCGTCGGGTGCCTCATGCGAGACTGGAGGATCAGCATCATTTTGTGTCCATTTGCCGTCGCGAGCATGCATGATACTGTGGCCCTCTGATGCCTTGAATAGCGATGGCCATCTGGCGGACTTGAGATGCTGTCTATTTGGAGCGATTGGACCCGAGAACCCACAAAGATCAGATCAGATCAGATCAGATCAGATTCGTGAGGCACTTGTGGAACTTGTCGACACGAGCACCACCGACGCAGCTGGCTTGCATGAGAACACCGATGACATGCAGATGCTGTGAATGCCTCCCAAGCAGCAGAGGAACGAAAGCGAGTGTGCTGATACTGGTCCGTTTTCTCCCGCAGGCAACTGAAGGTTGGCCGACCGAACAACTTCAACCCCAACGCCATTGAGCTGCTGCCTCCCGCGGTACCATCTCGTTTATACCTCGCCAACATTAATGAGCACGTCACCGAGAAAAACATCACGGACATCTTCCAGGCATTTGGCCAGGTTAAAGCCTGTGCGCTCACGGTGAGTGGCGGCAGCATCTCGTTGCCATAGAATATGAGTTTGCTTTCTCTCCCTCGGCAAAGAGCGCACGCCGAGCCTTGACCGGTCTCTTGTCACCCGATCAGCCGGATGTCATCAACAAGCGTCACAGGGGCTGTGGGTAAGTGAGCACATTGTGTCGGTGGTATATGGGTGTATCGGTCGTACATGAGGGAAGATCAACTGGGACAAATATTGCCAGTGAGACAGAGCCCAGTTAAAGCCGCTGGTGCGAGCCACTTGCCTATCGATCATTCTGCCCTTAATTTGCCGTGTTGCTCCGATCATGACATGCGCCTACATCTGTCTCTGTCTATCTATCTCTATCCCTATCTCTGTCTATCTATCTCTGTCTATCTATCTCTATCTATCTATCTGTCTATCTCTATCTCTATCTCTATCTCTATCTCTATCTCTATCTCTCTATCCCTATATCGCATCATCCATCACCCCACTCATATCCTTCCCAATACCACTTGCACCAGTCCCTGACTCGCTGCGCTGACTGCATGCTAGCTCGGTGCTGATAGCCAGACTGCTGCTCTGACTGTCCGAGACAGTGGCAGAGTTGTGCTGCCACATTGCTTGGACAGTCTTTCGAGCTCTGTTTTGTGCGTTTGATTCTTCGATAGGCAGTGATGCTCGGCACCGTTCTGGACACTGATGCTGACGAGCACATTCTAACGACTCGTTCGATCCCGTTGCTCGCAGCTTTATCGAGTTTGAAAGTGAAGATGCTGCTGTAGCAGCGATGGCCAGTATGAACAACTTTGAGCTCGGTGGACTCAGCCTGCGAGTATCCAAATCGATTGTTGGTGGGCCAATGGCACCCGGTATGGCCTCGCTCGAAAACCTGCCTCAGTCGAGCGACACACCAACTGCACGTCCTGCAAACCCTGCGATTCCATCGAGTGTTCTGGATGTTGCCAGCACAATCAACAGCAATATCGGTAAGTTCGTTCCGCACAGTGAGATCTCGGGGTCCGTGATTCTATTCGTTGTGCTTTGCGATCGATTTTGCTAATATGCGTCGTCCCGCAGCGCAAAGAGCGGGTCCAAGTGGTCCGACTGGACTCGGTGGTGTCCAAACAGCCTCGAATGGAGTTACTGCGGCCGCGCTGGCAGCTGCCAAGCTATCCCAAGAGGAGCTGGTGAGCCTAAGTGCGGAAGAAAATGTCACGATTTCGTCAAGCCAGCGATCGCTGCTTATGCAGAAGCTGTCGCGAACCGAAAGTCAGGTGAGCCGCGCACATGGATCCGTGGAAACCGCGGGGACCTGGTCGGTCAACCCCGAATATCTGAATGGATGTGTGGTCGTTGCTAAGCATGGCCCACGGGTCATCGGTCGACATGGGTGTAGTGGAGCAGAGGAAGCGATAACTGACAGCATCCACAATCCATGACCCGCTCGATCGTCGTGCGACAGATATCAGGTGCAAGTACAGTAATTGTGCTGGAGAACATGGTGACCGCCGAGGAGGTTGATGATGTGCTCGAGGAGGAGATCCGAGATGAGGCTGGTCGATATGGCAGCATCAAACGTGTGGTGATCAAGGTGCAGCCCAATGATGCCGATGTAGCGATCTATGTCGCTTTTGAGACGATCGACGGTAAGCGTTGGCGTCCCTGTGCTGTATAGATCCTCCTTGCGATGGCAGACAATGCACCAATGTGAGCCGGCTGGTCCGCTGCGATGCACGATCATTGCCTTTGTCGCACGATCCGACAAGCGACCGCATTTGTTGTGCGGGTAGCGATATCAAGAGTGGATGATCTGCCTTGACCAGGCCTGCCTGCTGGATCGGTTGACGCCCACTCCCTCAAGATCGCTTATGTATGCTCTATCGCTGTTCCCGCTGACAGGTGCCCAGAAGGCTCGCCAGGCACTTGACAAGCGATTCTTCGGTGGCAGACAGGTGCATGCCTCCTTTTTCGACGCCGCTGCCTTTGCAGCACTCTAATTCTCATAGACACGACTGCTCGAACGATGACATCCTTCGGCGGCACCATCCAACCCAACTTCTCCCTTCCCAACACCACCGTCGAAGATAAAGCGCCGGGCCTTTTGGCCTTGCTCCAATCGGTCGCCATATTATGGAGCTACATAAAAATATCCATCACGATGGCAACCACGAAGCTCGCCTAGATCGCGGAGCGCTCTTTCGGATCTGGTGCGCTGGATATGCGAATGGAGTGGAGATGGTCAGAGAATCTGCACAGCAAAGCGTCCCAGCACTTGAGCACCAAATGCTTACAGCGATTCCAAAATGAAATGGGACACCCCCGTTTTTAACCAGGACTGTGCTTTTCTGGAACCTGAATACACCCACCCACTCATCGCATTCATGGCCAAGCAAGTATGTCCAAGGAGACCGAAGTGGTGATTGCCTTTGGGAATGCCTCCTGGAAGCAAGGGAAGGGATATGCATCCAGTCCCAGGAGACTCAGGTTTGCCAAGTACTTTGAGCAGTTCCACCACCACCAGAGACGACCACCAGACTCATCCGTCTCCAAGATCCATGTGTGCTCGGTGAACGAGTTCAACACATCCCAGGTGTGCTCACACTGTCGGGAAGCCAAGCGACTCGAGAAGGTCGAGCATCTTGCTATCGAGAACCCACACTTTGTCCGGAGCTGTGCAAGCTGCCATACGCTGTGGGATCGAGACGTCAATGCAGCCAGGAACATGATCTCGGTATGCCAGTCGATCATCGCTCATGGAGATCGACCGGGCGAATTCAAGACCGTGCTCCCAACCAACGACGAACAACGATTGCAAGATTGCACTTGAGCAAGCGGCTTGTCTCACTTGTGTGTTCGATGATGCCCACAAGATGTGCTGTTGCGGGACGACCCAGTCAGAGTTGGTGTCCTCATACCAGGATCATCATCAACCTCTGTCCAAGAGACCAAATCGAGCCTGTCCCTGGTCTGCGGACGGATTATTCTTCGTCTGGGTGAGGGGGCGATTTGTGCTGTGGTGCGTTGTGTGCCGTGGTGCGATTTGTGCTGTGGTGGCCACAATGAATATCCCCCAGCCAGACACAAACAAAGATATACGAGTGTCAAACTTGCCCATGTGTTCCCACCGAGTGAACTGTTCGCTGGCTGAACAGTGGATTTGCAAGCAGCTTGCTGGGCGAGGCAACAGCACAGCATCGAGGGGCAACAGCCAGACCCACCGCCCAAGCACAGAGCTGGTCACGCTGGCAGACTCAGCACCCCGAGAGGAAGCAAGGGCATTCGCTCAATGCAATCCGGCAAGCAGCCAGACCAAGCCGCCATCTCCTGGCTGCCCAGACCGACAAAAGGCACTCCCCTCACCCTTTCCCCTCGTCGTCGTTGTCTCGTTTCGCCCTTTCGGCTCCCTCCTCGCTCTCCTGCCCTCATCTGGCTTTGGTATCGGCACCTTCGTCGCTTCCATCCCAACCCCGGCATGCTCAGGGCCATCTCCTGTTGTTTTGGAGGGTCCGCAGACCCGGTCGACGACCGAGATGTCTCCTCGCAGACCCCTGTCTCCCAACAACCAACATTCCCTTCTCCGCCCGATCCCTTGGGTCCCTGGCTCCATCCTGTCGAGTGCCTCGTCAACATTGCCCGCGACGAGCCCGATGCCCTCCTGATCAACACATATGAGAGCGGCGCCTCGGAGCGACTCAGCTATCTCCGTGTGTGGAAGCAGGCGTATTCGGTCGCCCAGGCTCTCAAGGCTCTCCCTGGCTGGAACGACGACGGCCACGAGGTCATCGGCACCTTCTGCGAGGCCGAAGCCAGCTGGGTGATCTACTCGTTTGCTGTGTGGATGCTGGGCAAGTGAGTATCTCTGGTCTGGTCTGGTCTGGTCTGGTCAGTCTGCCTGTGCATGACATAATCGGTCTTTGTCCCTGCCATGACATGACTGGGAATTGTCCCTGCCATGACCAGGATCGAGTCTCATCTGTCCCTTGTTGCCATCCAGGAAAACACTCAACCTCGCTCTCAATTTCCCTGCCGCTGTTCGCAAGGCTCTGTGCGAGAGGTTTGTACTTGTGCTTGTCTCGCATGTGTCTCAGGAGATTGACATCCCAGAGACCTCTGTGCTCAACCTGACTCGACCTTGACTCCAATCGAAACAGACACTCCATCAAGTACATCCTCTACCACCACACCAAGCCTGGCCGCACCATTGGAGTGACGCTGATTGATGCCACCACGTTCCCTGTGCTGGACAGCATCCCACCCCCGTCTCTCGAAGTCTGTGAACCCCTTGATGATTATGTCACCATCCAGTGCACCTCTGGAACAACGGGTATGTGGGGTGGTCGAGCGTGATGGTCCAGCAGCAAAGCAGATGGTGCAGTGGTGGATAGAGTAAGATGGTGAATGCGGTGAATGTGGAAAGTGATGCGCTGACGATGCATATCCAACCCACAACCCGACTCCTTCGTCCTGCATCCTGGCTCCTCGTCGCTCCCACAGGCATCCCCAAGTCGTGAGTTCTCCTGTGGCTTCTGATCCTGTGGATTCTGTTTCTGTCGCACTTGATGCTTGTCCACAGTCACAAAAGTGATCGCATCACCACTCGTTGACTGAATCCTTCTGTGCCTGATGTTGATTGTTGCAGGTTCAAGTTTGCACACACTGGAGTGATGACTGGCCGAGCCGCGATTGGGATATTGAGAATCAGCGTCGGGCTCTTGCAAGTAAGAATACTAAACGCCATATATCGGACCTGTGAACAGGAGGAATTTGATAAACTGACAATTGATAATTCATAGGCCCCATCGTTTGCGGCCACATTGAGTCTTTTCCTAAATGCCCTTAATCTTGGAGGATCTGTGTGGACTCCAGAGCCCAAATTTAACGCTGTCGAGAAAGTATATGATATTGTTCAAATCCTGGATCATGGCCTCGTATACGTGTTTATGGTAAGTTGCCGATTGATAGGCGATAAGAGGCTCCTTGATTCACATCATAACAGTATCCATCCCATACAGACTCCCTCCTTCATGAAGTTGATCATCAGCACCGCCGCCTCCCGGAATCCGAGCTTCAAATGGACGAAGACGAAAGTTATCGCTCTGAGTTCTGAGCACATACCAATGAGTGTCATCCACATGACACGGGAGAGATTCCCAAATGCCGAGATTCAGTTGGGCTACGGATCAAGTGAGGTACGTTTGAAGGTGGGAGCTCTGCATGGTCGCCAAGCTCAACCATGACCTAACATAAAGCTTGTACAAGACCGCGGTTGTTGGAGCCCTTTCATTTTTACGGATCCCATCCGACAGTCCCATCCCAGAGAAGCTGGTCTACAAGCTGACCAAGCCTGGGGTGCGCTGCCTCTTGTTTGACGAGAAAGGCGAAATCATCGATCCACGGTACTCCAACAGCGGAATCCTGGTCTTTGCCGTCGATCTCGACCATCCTGCCAAGGACCATCCGAGCTTTGTCAACGCCGATCCCAACGACAAGCTGGCCTCCTTTGGCTTCCTCGTGGATGGCTCGCCCCGAGTCTGCACCATGGACTGGGTCGAGATGGTCAGCGACAAGGAGTTCAGTGTTGTTGGAAGGTGAGTCTGGAGACTATTGTGTGCCTGATCCATGAGAACTGCCATCCACAATCTGGGACACCGATCCATTTGCTCGCTGGATACTGATCACTTTCATTCTCACACCTCACACCTCACACCTCACACCTCACACCTCACACCTCACACCTCACACCTCACACCTCACACCTCACACCTCACACCTCACACCTCACACCTCACACCTCACACCTCACCCTCCAGATTCGACCAGAAGATCAAGATCAACGGTGTCTATGTCGACCTCAACGGCCTCAGGGAGCTTGTCCACAAGCACCTGTCCCAGGTCATTGCCGACTGCTACTTCATCCACACCTCCGAGAGAAAGATAATCTTGCTCTACGTCCTTCAGAAAGGATCCAATCCCGACTTGATCTCGGCCGATATCATCCGAGTCGTCGAGGACATGTTTTTGCTGTTGAACGTCTCCAAGGTCCCCGTCCACAACTGCCTCAAGCTCGACGCATTCCCCTTCAACGACTCGGGCAAGGTCGATCTCAAGAAGCTCAAGCGCATCGCCGAGAACGTCGAGCAGTACGGCCAGGCGGTCCAGTACCCGGCTCTCATCGTCACCAGAACGTTCTTGACCAAGATTGCCTTCAAGATCTCCGAGTTCAGCAGCCAGATCCTGGACAACCCTGGTCTCTACGGCCGCAACTTTTACATTGGCGGCGTCGGCTTTGACTCGCTGAGCATCGGCCGCCTGGCCCTCGCCATCAGGGAGGAGTACGGTGTCGAGATCTCGCCAATGATCCTGCTGTCGAACAGCATGAGTCCCAAGGATGTCGCCCAGCTGGTCGTCGACATTCTCGACGACAAGCTGGTGATTCCGCCGACAATCGATCTGGCTGCCGAGGCTGCCAAGCTCGACGATGCGAGTGTGACGGCCGAGGGTTTCCCTCCGTTTGTCTATCCCAAGGAAGTCCGAGGCATCGTCCTGACGGGTGCAACCAGCTTCCTCGGAGCATTCCTGATCTTTGAGCTGGCACACAAGTTCCCTCGAGCCAAGATCTACTGTCCTGGCACGAACCGAGACCGAGAAACTGGCCTTCCTCCGCACCTACTCCAACGCCTCGAGGCTGGTGATTGCATCGCGGAACAAGAACGATCCGTGGTATGACGTGCGAGACCGGTGGGTTGGTCTGCGCGGCGACGTTTCCAAGGAGCGATGGGCACTCTCGGACGAGCGATGGAAGGAGATTTGCGAAGAGACCGACATGATTGTGCACAACGCCGCCGAGGTGCACTGGCTCTACAACTACAACGAGCTCAAGGCAACAAACGTCCTCAGCACGGTGACGGTGCTGCAGCTGGCCACGACGCACCATCTCAAGGTGGTGCACTACATCTCGACCATCGGGACGATTGCCATGGCCAAGGGCTCCGACAAGCCGCTCGAGGAGAAAATGTACTCCAACTGGAACCTGTCGGGCGGCTACTCGCAGACCAAGTGGGTCTCTGAGCAGCTGATCAACAAGGCACGATCGAGGGGAGTGCCTGCAACCATCATTCGGCCAGCGATGATTGCTGGCGACAGCGGATACGGAGGTGAGCCGCGGTGGTATGGTGATGTGTGATGTGGTGATGTGGTGATGTGGTGGTGTGGTGATGTGGTGATGTGGTGGAGATTCCCTCCTTCGTTCCCTCGACTTGGCCATGAGCCGATGATCTTGTTTGTCGAGTGGCACCCATCCATCGACCGACACTGTTTCTCACCCTGTTCACTCCATCCTCCAGTGTGCAACACAGACGACTATATCTGGCGATACGTCGAGGGATGCATCAAGCTCGGCATTTGCCCGGCAAACGCCAGTCCCGTCACTTGGACCATGGATCCCGTCGACCATGTTGCCAAGGTGATTGCCGAGATTGTCAGCTCGGAGGAGGCGCTGTCCAAGTTTGTGTTCCACATCAGCGACTCGGAGCACAGGTGAGGATTGTGTGGAGTGGAGTGGAGGGTGAGTGTGAGTGTGGGTGTCAGTCGATGTTGTGCTTGGCATTGAGTGGGTCGCAGATTGATATGTTTGATGGCGGACATCGTGGGCCATCGCAACCACCCCTCACTCACTCACTCACTCACTCACTCACTCACTCACTCACTCACTCACTCACTCACTCACTCACTCACTCACAGTGTCATCACCGAGAAGCGTGTCTTCGAGATCGCCAATTCCGTTGGCTGGATCATCATGTTGGATACCCGTGAAAAGTTCAGGACGGTCATCTGGCGCAACCCATCGCCCGATAACCACGCCCTGCTTGCGTTCATGCGGATGCTGATGGACCTGTTCTTCAGGGTCGACAACACCAACACTCGCTCGATCTACCCGACGCCGTGTCCCTCGCCCGAGCTGGTCGTCAGGAAGAGTCTCTTCCACTTGGATCGGGTGTCCTATCTCGACCAGCCCACGGCGGCGGAGACCGAGCTCAAGGACGAGGAGTATCCCGATGTTCGCATCTTCACCCGCACCGGCCGCCACTGATGTTGTGCTGGCTGGGCAGACCGATCGATCAGTGTCGTCTCGTTGCCATTCCGTTCTGCGGTCGAGTCTTGTTGGACTGCCAGACACTGAACACGATTGATCCAACATGGAGATGTGTGTGGTGTGTGGTGTGTGGTGGATGGTGATGAAGATGGTGGTTGATTGCGCTGTCGACATCCAGTCATTCCTGCGTCGCATGACTTCTCTGGTGAACAATCTGCGGGATTTCAGTCGTCTCGAGTGACTCCACATCCAGAGCGTGCCAGTCCAGAGTGGCTATCAAGTTCAGGTGATCTACACTCCAATTCGATCACTCTGTTGCATCAGCAGTCCTGTCTCTGTCCACAAGTACTCGCACCAGACGGAGGAGTCGCATGGAGAATCCAAGAGAGCTGTGATATTGACCAGGACAGACAGCCAATTGCCGACAGGGCGACTGGGGCGACATCGGGGTATGTGGACGGGGTGAGAGTGGGACACATCGGCAAGCACTGGATATCGTGCACTGACTCCGAAGCGATAGATCAGGAGTGTGTGTCAGGGAGATGTGAAGCACCGTGCAAGTGGAGGACCATGGCTGTGCATGGGATGCACCATGAATGGCACTGCCAAACATGCAGTGACCTCCACCACCGAGCTAGTTGTGGGTGTCGGGACGGAAGATGTTGGGCCGCGGGTGCTCCTCGGGTCTCAGCGGCGACGGAGGGTTCGGAGGAGGTGGCAGATACCCGATATGGGTCAGGTACAAGCAGCCCTCGCCCGGCGATCCTCCCGGCCTGGGGAACCGAGGGCCGGATAGATCGACCGGGTGTTGGTGTTGTCGACCAGGAAGGACATGCTCAGGATCAGATGCATGAGCGTCAGCATCGACGAGCCGTTGGGCAGCGACGGTCGGTAAAGCAGGGCCTTGAATCGCTCGCGGGTCTCGAACATGACGGGCCAGCCATAGGCATTGACGATCTCGAACAGTTTGGTCTCGGTGACGACGCTGCGAGGTGGGCCGAGGGACAGGATGTGTGGGATGGTGGTGTGGGTGAGTGAGTGACTGCCGAGGAATGGCACTCATCCTGCCCTCCCTGACTGCTTGCCACTCGGCTCGCTCATCTCACCTGCGCTCTGGGTCGCTGATGTGGAACACAAACTTGGGCAGGGCCACCTCGGAGGCTGCGATCGCAGCGACCACCTTGGCGACATGGTCGACTGGATTCATGGTGATGGTCACGGGAGTGGCATTGGAGGGAGCGATTCCGATGCGGATGCATCCCTTGATATACTGCCAGATGTAGTCGTCCGAGTGGCACACTGAGAGAGTGAGAGTGAGAGTGAGAGTGAGAGTGAGAGTGAGAGTGAGAGTGAGAGTGAGAGTGAGAGTGAGAGTGAGAGTGAGCTGAGATGAGCTGCTGCACCACCACACCACCACACCACCACACCACCACACCACCACACCACCACACCACCACACCACCACACCACATTGCCATATCACATCCAGTGACTCACCTCCATAGACACTGTCGCTTGCAATCAGCGATGGTCGGATGATCGTCGCAGGCACTCCCCTCGATCGTGCCTTGTTGATCAGCTGCTCAGAGACCCACTTGGTCTGTGCATACCCGCCAGAGACGTTCCAGTTGGAATACACCCTCTCCTCGAGCGGCGTCCTTGCACCCCGTGCCATGGGAATCGCCCCGACCGCCGAGATGAAGTGCAGCGGCTTCAGGTGGTGGGTCGTGGCCAGCCGCAGGGCCGTCGCCGTACCCAGGACATTCGGCCCCTTGAGCGCCTCATAGTCGTCGAGCCAGTGCACCTCGGCGCCGCAGTGCACAACCATGTCGGTCTCCTTGCCGATCTTCTTCCATCGCTTGTTGGTCAGTCCCCACTGGTCGAGCGACAGATCGCCGCAGACACCAACGAGTCGCGGCTTGACATTGTTCACGAGGTAGTGCGTCTGCTGCGGGTTGAGGATCAGCTTTCTGGCTGTATCAAAGATGCGGTCGATGGCAGCCTGGTCGCTCGCGGCTCGGACCAGACAGTAGATCCTGGCAGCAGGGAACTTGGCAGCCAGCTCGTACAGCAGGAACGATCCGAGGAAGCCAGTGGCCCCCGTCAGGACGATGCCGCGAGGCGACTCGGGAAAGACAAGTGGAGGGAGACCCTCGGCCGTCACACTCGCATCGTCGAGCCGGGCGGCCTCCTGGTCGAGGTCGACTGTCGGTGGCATCAGCGGGTGGTTGCCTTGGAGATCAATCACCAGCTGGGCGACATCGAGGGGCGTCAGGCCGTTCGAGAGCAGCATCATCGGCGAGATCTCGACATCGTACTCTTCCTTGATTGCGAGCGCCAGGCGGCCGACACTCAGCGAGTCAAACCCAGCCCCGCTGATGCTGTAGTTGCGGCCGTCGAGAGAGGGAATCCCGAGGAGCTGGCTGCCGAGGCTGGAGATTGCAGCCGCGATGCGAAACAGCGGGGCATCGCTGGGGGCGAGACGAGGATACACAACGGATCCTTGGTGCAGATCGTTGTTCTCGGCGATCCACTTGATCTTCTTGAGGTCGCGCTTGCCACTCTCGATCATGGGGATCTCGTCGAGCTGGAAACAGTTGTGGATCGGCACCTTGGAGACGTTGACGAGTGCAAGCAGATCCTGGGTCATCCGGATGATGTCGCTGGGCTCGGTGCGGGTCGTGGGACGGGCCTGGAGAACATACAGCATCACGATCTTCTTCTCGGAGGTCTGGACAAACGCACAGTCGGCGATGGTGTGGCTCAGGTGCTGGACGACCAGGGCCTCGAGATGGTTCAGGTCGACATAGACACCGTTGACCTTGATCTTCTGGTCGAATCTGGGTGTGTGAGGTGTGAGGTGTGAGAATGAAGAGTGTGGGATGGATTGGTGGAGGACTAGTGGAAGGAGGGCACAGACCACTCGGTGGACACAGGGATATCGCACTCACCTTCCAACGACCGTAAACTCGTTCTCGCTGACCATCTCGACCCAGTCCATGGTGCAGACACGAGGCGAGCCGTCGCTGAGGAAGCCAAAGGAGGCCAGTCTGTCGTTGGGATCGGCGTTGACAAAGTCGGGGTGGTTGCGGACGGGATGGTCGGGGTCGACGGCAAAGACCAGGATCCCGCTGTTGGAGACATTTTGATCAACGATATTGCCCTCCTCGTCAAAGAGAAGGCATCGCACCCCAGGCTTGGCCAGCTTGTAGACCAACTTCTCTGGGATGGGGCTGTTGTTCGGGATCCGCATATATGAAATTGCACCAACAACTGCTGTCTGGTGAGGACAATATGGTCAGCGATCACGACTGTGGTGAGCATGTAACGTGATAGAATGAACTCTACCTCGCTTGAGGCGTAGCCCGACTGAATCTGGGCATTAGGGAATCTCCCTCTCGTCATGTGGACGACACTCATAGGGATGTACTCGGAGCCCAGACCGATAACTCTTGTCTTCGTCCACTTGGCATTCTGGTTCCGGGAGGCAGCGATGCTGATGACAAGCTTGATGAAAGAGGGAGTCTGTAGGGACATAGTGGCTGTTATGATGTGAATTAAGGGGCCTCTAATCGCCTATCAATTTGCGACGTACCATAAAAATATATGAAACGCCATCGTCGAAGATTTGAACAACGTCCATTGCTTTCTCGACGGCGTTGAAAGTTGACTTTGGAATCCACACAGATCCTCCGAGGTTCAAAGAACTGAGGAAAAGACTCAATGTGGCCGCAAAGGATGGAGGCTGAGAATAGTCCATTTTCAGTATATCCATCACTAAATGCTCGTCGATGTGTTTCATCGCGACCTCCATTCTTACTTGCAGGAGCCCGACACTACACTTGCTGATCCCGATGGATGTTCGAATAGTGATAGCTCCAGTGTGTGCAAACCTGAACCTGTAACAATTAACATCAAACACAGAAGGATTCAGTCAGCGAGTGGTGATGCGATCACTTGTGACTGTGAACAAGTATCAGGTAGACACAGGATCAGAATCCACAGGATCAGAAGCCACAGGAGAACTCACGACTTGGGGATGCCTGTGGGAGCGACGAGGAGCCAGGATGCAGGACGAAGGAGTCGGGTTGTGGGTTGGATATGCATCGTCAGCGCATCACTTTCCACATTCACCGCATTCACCATCTTACTCTATCCACCACTGCACCATCTGCTTTGCTGCTGGACCATCACGCTCGACCACCCCACATACCCGTTGTTCCAGAGGTGCACTGGATGGTGACATAATCATCAAGGGGTTCACAGACTTCGAGAGACGGGGGTGGGATGCTGTCCAGCACAGGGAACGTGGTGGCATCAATCAGCGTCACTCCAATGGTGCGGCCAGGCTTGGTGTGGTGGTAGAGGATGTACTTGATGGAGTGTCTGTTTCGATTGGAGTCAAGGTCGAGTCAGGTTGAGCACAGAGGTCTCTGGGATGTCAATCTCCTGAGACACATGCGAGACAAGCACAAGTACAAACCTCTCGCACAGAGCCTTGCGAACAGCGGCAGGGAAATTGAGAGCGAGGTTGAGTGTTTTCCTGGATGGCAACAAGGGACAGATGAGACTCGATCCTGGTCATGGCAGGGACAATTCCCAGTCATGTCATGGCAGGGACAAAGACCGATTATGTCATGCACAGGCAGACTGACCAGACCAGACCAGACCAGACCAGAGATACTCACTTGCCCAGCATCCACACAGCAAACGAGTAGATCACCCAGCTGGCTTCGGCCTCGCAGAAGGTGCCGATGACCTCGTGGCCGTCGTCGTTCCAGCCAGGGAGAGCCTTGAGAGCCTGGGCGACCGAGTATGCCTGCTTCCACACACGGAGATAGCTGAGTCGCTCCGAGATGCCGCTCTCATATGTGTTGATCAGGAGGGCATCGGGCTCGTCGCGGGCAATGTTGACGAGGCACTCGACGGGATGGAGCCAGGGGCCAAAGGGATCGGGCTGAGAAGGGAAGGTTGGTTGTTGGGAGACAGGGGTTTGGGCTTGTTGGGGAACAAGAGGCTCGATATCCTCAGAGACATCTTGGTCGTTTGCCATGACGGTGTGGTATCTGGTTCCGCTGACGGGGCTGGATTTGTCGCCTGTGGCCTGACAACACCAAGACGGCGATATCGACGGATGGAGCGAGGGGAGGCGGCATCGGCGAGGGGAAGGAAGAGGGGGCCGCTCTTGGGCTGTCTCGATAATCTGCCTCGGTGCTCTCTCTTGTGCGTCCTGCCAGCCCAGACGGAAACGCGTTCCAACGCCACCAAGCCGGCTCCTTTGCTCTTCCCAAGACATCGGCAGCGAGCTCGTTTCAGTCTGGACGCCGAAGGATCTCGCATCCTCGGATCCTGCATGGTTGTGAATCCAGCGAGTCGATATGCGTCAGCCATCATCAACTTGCCTTCGTACTGTGATGCTAAACGGGTTGATTTCGGTGTGCTTCATTGCTGTGCATCAGAGCACCCTTGCGGCACAGCATGTTGATGGAACAAGTCATTGGACCCAAAGAACCTCGAACGACGAGGACTTGAGGAATATCCATATCCTGACTTGACGATCTATTCCTCAAAACCTATGCAATGTCAATGCCGACAGCTTCCTTTCCTGTCAAAGTCCTGGCACATGTTGCAGGCGGCCAGTTGGAGGTTCGGTTATCCCTTGTGTTGTTGGCTCAGCTGTATTCTGAGAAAAATCTTGAGCTCGCCATCGGCAAAGACTCGGCTGCGATAGCCGAGGGAGCCATACAAACGGGTCGTCCTGGATTCGGTATGGAGTGCATATACTCCTAGAGCCCATGCCTCTCGATCCCGAACTTGTGTGGCAGTTTCGAACTTGACACTTGACGGTAGCGATCGGTGTGTCCTCAACGAGCCCGCAGTGTATCCTTGGACTCCTCTTGACAATTGAAGACATTTGTGGATGAGTTGCGGTCAGCCTTCGGAATAACGGACAGCCAAGGCCCGCAGTCCCAGAGAACTTTCGATTGTCCCTCCCCAAGCCAAACGCCAGTGGTTTCTGGGCTGTGGCTTTTGCCAGGTCCTGCAAGGCGCACCACCAGCATCCTCCTGCTCCTCCTCCATCCTCCTGCTCCTCCCTCCTCCTGCTGCTCCATCCTCCTGGGCCAGCGGCATTTCCGACAGCATCTTGCCCACTCCAGCCAGCAGGTCCCCCCACCCACTTCGCCCCTCTCTTGCCGTCGGCAGTGCCAACTGCTCCTGCCGTTGATGGACAGACTCAGGCCCCTCGCCCCCATCCCGACAATGCGTCGATCTGGCCGTCTGCCCGATGCCACCTCGCTGTTGGGCTCTTCATCGCCAAGATTCTCAAGGCGCAGGAGGCGGAGTCTCCTTTGGCTACTAATCGCAGCCCTGCTCATTTCGCTCGCTGTGCCGTGGGTCCTGTATGTCGGCCTGGCTCGATCGTGGTTTGCATCATCGAAGGGGCCCACTTGGCGGGTTGGCGGGCATCCTCGTTTGCATCCGGAGGTATGGCCACTGCTTGACCCGAGTCTGCTCGGCTCTGGATCTGATTTCGACCACCATGCCATCTTGCCATTGACGAGCGTCGTTCTGTTTCTCTTGTGCCCCAATCTCATTGTGCTCGATTCCATCGCCATCTCTTGCCTCCCCGCCATGCTCTGTGTCTCACTTCGAGCTAATAATGCCATCGATTCTGCGTCCTTCACCAGCTCAAGGGGGCCTATGACGTCGCCTCCACCATTGTCGGTGAAACTCCTCAGTTCTACACCCACACAAACGCAAAGTTGCCAGCAGCGGGAGCCGTTCTCGAGCTCACCCTCCAGGATTTCCGGCCAGCACCCATCAACCGGAGCCTCCTGCTCGACACTTCGTATCTGCTGATGCCCGATGCGCCTTCATTTTTCAACGAGAGAAATGCACCTGTCCTCGATCGCTCCTACCTGGAGAGCGGCGCCGCCCATCCGGTGGAGTACCCCAGGAAGATGTATGACGTCCTCTATCGAGATCTCTTTCGGGCATGGGCTGCCTTTGCCGACCAGCACCGGATTCCCTACTGGCTCTCGCACGGAACACTGCTCGGATGGTACTGGAACAAGCGTCGGCTGCCCTGGGACACCGATATCGACGTCCAAATCTCTTGTCGGATTCTTCCATTTCTGATCCCTTTCAACAACACCAAGCTGGGCGACGGCCGATACCACATTGTCGTCAGCCCACTCGCTTGGTATCGGCTCCCAGACACCGCAAATACGGTTGACATCCGAGTCATCGACACCCGCTCCGGCGTCTTTCTGGATATCATGGCGCTGTCGATGGTCGTCTGGAGCCCTGGCACTCTCGAGGACAAATCTGGTCACTCGATCAACTCGGCGCTGGTGCAGCATATTGTCCGGGATGAGTTCGAGGGTATCCCGGCATGGGTCCCGCGAGATCACCAGCAAGTCCTGGACTACGAGTATGGTGTCATGGCGAGCCACCGGGCCGTCTACCGCAACTACATCTTTGTCTCGCCAACTTCCCATCTGCGGTCACCCTTCATCCCGAATCGGAATGTGGAGGGTGAGTGGGTCGAACTCGATTGCACTGGTCTCTACGAAACCTATATCCTCGACTCTGGCTGGTTCCTCTCCCGGGCGATGCATGTTAGCTGGGAGAAGAATGACACTGCCTGTGAGGTGAATGTGACCGAGTCCGATCTCACACCCCGGATCGACTATGGTGATCGCGGTAACTACTTCAATCTACCTCAGAGCTTTGTGCTGCGTGGCTTTTGGATCCCCGGCCGGATGGTTTACTGAGAAGGTTCGTCTTGTGGATAATGCCAATTATCATTTTCGGCTCTGAGATCCTCAACGAGCCAGTAAGGTCCTCAAGGCCTCCCACCCGATTCTGTTTCGCGAGGTGATAGTCGGATGGCTGCGACCACCATGGACATGAAATAGGCACCGCTCTTGCAGCTCAGCGATCCAAAGCTAGTGATTGTGCATGGTCTGGTCGACTCCACAGATCACGTCGACCGGCCGAATGACTCTGAACTCTCGTGGGACACATGTATTTGCTCTGGCTCTTGAATACACACACACCATGTTCAACGACCATCTACGTGCTGGAAAGAGATCGATGGAGATGCCTCGGGCAACCCTGTCTGAAGTCCCTCGGGCACTCGGGTTTCGTTCGACGGTGCGGCTTAGAGTTTGTAACAATCGATGTGAATGCACCAGAATCCGGTCTGCATTCAAGGTCAAGATGCACCGCTGTCGGGCATCAAGCCAAGTCGCCTCCGATGTTGATCCACTGAATCCATGCGTTTGAGCGGGAGGGCCCTCCCATTTTCTCCGATCGGCTCGCCCTGCTCGGACCAAGTACCCAAGCGATGTCTCTGCATGGATATTGCGCATCCTGGCGAGGCCCCTTCGCCAACCCAACTCGCGATCGCGGCGTCCATCCGATCGCCAGCTCGAATCCCTCATTGTGTTCGCCCAACCGCGCTGCAACCTGTGCGAAATGGCAACGGCTCAGAGCTCATCCAAGAGCGGCACCCCCCGCAGAGTCGGTCTGAACGTCCCGTCGTTGTCGATGCTTTCCCCAAAGGCGCCACCACGACGTTGGCGAGAATCGATTGGTATGTGCTTGTCGCCATGTTTCCTCACCGCATCTCGATGGATTGTAACAGCGCATGCAATGCTGCCAGATGGATGGCTGTGCGATCTTTCGCGAGCGCCTGCGGGATATCTCGAGATTATCGGGGAAAGAGAATAGCTGCCAGTCATGGTCGCGCTGGTAACAGAACTCCTCCTTGGTCGGCCGATAGCCTTCCGTCAGCCAGAGCTTTACGGCACGGACCCGCTGTGGTTTGCTGTTCGCAGTGGCAATCTCTTTAAGCTCGAGCAGGCCCTGCATGGATACAAAGCGCCGAGCATGCCTGGCAGCGACATCAAGTCTCTCCTGCTGCAGCGAGGCCCCGAAGGCGAAACCATTCTACATACCGCCATTCTCTTCATCGACGATGGTGCCGGAAATGTGCCTGACGACGCCGACGCCATCGACTCGACTGATCAACTGCACTTCCACCAGGACACCATCAAGGACGAGTCTGGGAATCATCGCGCCGTCGCTCGATACATTGTTCGCCACTACGGAGGCGATCTGATCAACCAGCCGTACTTGGGGTTCCGATACTACGGCGAGATGCCACTCCATCTAGCTGTGGTCAAGAACGACCTGAACATGACTCGGTTCCTGGTCCGGCACGGCGCCAACATCAACTGTGATCCCGTGAGCGGCTACGAGTTTGACGCCGACGATGCCAAGAGCCGCAAATGCTCAAGAGAGTACAAATCAGGATACATGTACTATGGGTAAGCCCTATTTGAGTGCGCTGTTCCCAACTGGGCGCTGATGGCTTTATACTTTGAATGCAGCTTCACGTGGGTAAAGATGGGGGGGGGAGGCGGCTCGCGCTGGCGATTCCGATAGGAATGCAGTATAGATTCGCGGGCTCGTACTGACTGAGTTCGTGGTTGCTTGCTCTGAATATCTGCTCGTGGCCGCCCTGAATAGTGGGACTGTACTGTAAGTATGCAGCGATGAATCGAATCGACACGATGTTTTCTGCCGATGCAGATGCAGATGCAGATGCCGAGTCCGCGACATGCTATGCAACCCAACGAATCTCATCACCCTTGCTCTGGCCTCCTCCTCGATCCCCGAAAGTAGTTGCTATGCTGATTCGTTGTAATACACAATCTCTCCCACCCCCACCGCCAGATCATTTGCTGCTGTATCTGGCCATTCCAAGATTGTTCAATTTCTCCTGGATAATGGCGCCGATCCGTGCAAACAGGACTATCTTGGTGAGGATTTGTGAAGCGAATGCTTGGCGATGAATTTGCTGGCCTACCGGCGGTGGAGCAGTGGCAAGGGCAGCTTTTGCTGCACTGAGTCTCCGGGCGAAGAGCGGATGTAATCTGCATGGCACATTCAACAGCCACTCACCCAGTCTCATCGATACAGGAAACACCGTCATGCACGTACGGATTCAATCTCGTGCTCTGCAACCCGAACCTTATGCCTTCGCAACGCTGTGTGCGGTCGAGGAGGTGAAGGGATCGATCAAGCCGCTAACCAGTGCTTCTCTCTTGTCCAGGTCTTGGCCTATTGGGGCCTCTTTACTGGATCCCAAGATGGGTCTTCGGAGAGCTGTTGGAGCATCATCGATAAGCACTGCGCCAAGGCGATTGATCCCAGCCACCATCCCAACAAGATTCGAAACCACTTTGGCCAGACGCCATTTCTGGTCGGCATCGACCGCGGACACAAAGCTGTCCTAGACTTGATCAAAGTTCCGCTCTGGAAGGTAAGACTCGACGATGGGCTCTTGCGGACCCTGTCGATTCCACGGACTTTATCCATCCGCATAGACTCCATGGATATTGCCCCGCCCATCTTGATGGAAGAGCGGATGCACCCATTTCTGTGCTGCAGCCCACGTATCGTCGTATCGCAGCGGCTCTGATGCTCTGCTCTTTGGCGCCATTCAGTTTGGCATGTGCTCGTCGTACATGTTCCCTGTCGATGAAATCGACACCTGGCGCGATCCCATGGAGCCATCGTCGCACTTCCACACTTATGTCACGCACTGCAACTCGCACAAGATCACCCACACGGTGCGGATCAAGTCCGCCCTCGAGATTGCGATCGAGAACGAGGACACCGAGCTTCTGATGCATCCCGCTCTGAACCTGGTGCTCAGGGTCAAATGGGAAAAGTTTGTCAAGCGCTACTTTTTGGCCGATCTGATCTTGTACCTCGTGACGATCGTGTGCATCACCCTGTCGATCGCCTTTCTGCCGTCGGACCACAGCCAGTGGACAAACTACTCGATCAATCCGTATCCGCGGCTGATACTTGAGTGCGGCGCGCTCGCCGGGGCCACGATTATGGTCCTCAAGGAGCTTGCCGAGATGTACATTGAATCGTTTGGGGTACTGTACTCGTCGGCGACACTGCTGTGAGTTGTTGGCTCTTGGAGTACTTGCAACTCGGCACGCCTCGTGCGCTCTTGCTTGTTAACGAAGCTGACCGTGGTTTCACTCCGGGGGGCAACTGGGCATCCCCTCTGCACCAACTCGAATGGTATCGACTCCGCCGAACCCACGCACCTTGTCGGCCCCACCACTATGAAACTCAGCCATACTGGTCGTTCACTGGCTGGACCGAGAACCTCTCGACTTGGGTCTTTGTGGCGAGCACGGCCGTGGTCGGGGCCCTTCGATATGCACCAATCAGCGACCCCATCTTGCACGCCAAGATCGACACCATCGCGATCGGGATCCTGGCCTTTCTGGGGTGGATGCTGCTGCTGTACTTTGCCAAGGGGTTCCCCAAGATCGGAACGCTGGCGATCATCTTCTTCCGCAACATCTTCCACGATGTGCTCTCGTGGCTGTGCATCTACTCTATATTTCTGCTGGCCTTTGCCCAGACGTTCTATTTGCAGATGAGGAACTCGGGCATGGCCAAGTGGAATGACTATTTGACAGCCCATCTGTCCCTGTTCGAGTAAGCAGCAGCCTTGATTATCGCTGGCGATCGCTCTGTTGGGTTTTGTTAGCAGCCGCAGTGGTCTCACCCAAAAACTTTGACGAACTACCGCTCACACTCCTCTGCTTGGCTGTCTCCTCGGCTTGATCGCCTCCTCTGCTTGGCTGTCTTCTCTGCTTGATCGTTTCTTCTGATTGATTGGCTGTCTCCTCTGCCCTGTCGCTCTGCCGGGGCCAGGTTCCTCTTTGGTCTCGCCAACTTTGACGACTTTCAGCAGAGCGATACAAGCTCATACACGATATTCGTGTATTTTATGTACCAGCTGTCTATCGGTAGGTTATTGGTGCGGAGACTTGTTCCCGTTGGCGCTGTCGATGCATCTCTCGTTTTGCCATATCAACCGTACTCTGTCGGGATCGAGTACACTCATTGTCATTGTAGGCACCGATGCATAAAATATATACGCCGGGAACAGGAGTGCGGATTTCAGAGAGATTCGACTAACACTTTCGCCCAAACTATTGCTCCCTGCTGCTGCGCTGCGCTGCCTTTGGGGGGAATCAGCCATCATGCTCATGAACTCGCTGTACGCCATGGTCAACAGCACCTTCTCCCAGATTTACGACGATGCTGCCAAGCAGTGGCATTACCAGTGGTCCACGTAAGTTTGGCAACAAGCCCGGCCGTTGGCCGTTCATCATTACAGTTTTTCTTCCATCAAATCATCGTCGGATCAGCAGTGGTGAGAGTATGCGTTTGCTATCGGCCCTCACACGCCGCCCCTCAACACGTCGCCGTATCCACAGCCTGATTGTCCAGCAAGATCGCCGCATCCCCAACCTCAGCGACCAGGGTGAGAGCAAGCAGCGATTCTTTCTGCTTGGATACATCTTTCCGGGCAAGCATCGTCTCGGGACTACCATCCCTTCGACACAGGCCGATGGGTCCATGATCCACAACGACACAAGACAGTGCTTCATTGTGCGTGAGCGCTTGTCACCCGTGCTCGACAGCCAAGGCAAGGCCGACGAGTCCAAGCCGCCGGTGCTGACCCCGGTAAAGGTCATTGTCAGCGAAGACGAGTACCGAATTCCAGCGAGGCCGATCGAAGTTTGGAACAAGTGGGTTTTGTCGGACGCCGAGACGGGCGACGAGCTCAATGCCTCAAAGTTCACGCTGCATGCGAACGAGCACCACCGCCAGCACAACAGCGGGCACTGCTCTTCCTCCAATCGCCTCTCTATCCGAAACAACCCCGTCATGAAGATCATGAGTACGTTCGAGGAGACGGACGATATCTCGTCAAAGTCACCCGTTTGAAGCAGCCTGCAAAATCGATGAGAAGTGTCGTGACTCTTGTGGGGGGAAGTGAGGAGGAGACAAGAGGGGTGGAGGAAGTTATCAAATCAATATTCCAGCACACACACAAACACAAAAACAACGAAACTGGAGACCGAGCTGCTACAGTTGAATAATGAAGGAGAGGGAGAGGGGGGGGGCGACTACACATATTCACATCCATCATTCAAAAATGCGCATCCGAAAGTAGGCAGGGACACGAATATGGTCTGCACGCTGGTCATTTGCCGGAGCAGATCGTGCTGCGTGATCCAAGGATATGTACATGCCACGATGAGTGCCGTTCATGGGTGACGAGTCTCTTGCTCGAGCGTGGTGCATTACTGGCTATCCCATTTTACAGCGTTTCCACAATGAAATGGGACACCTCGTTGAGCCATGACAGGGGTTGTTTCTATGACCTGAATACACCCACCCATCCACTCATCGCAATCATGGCCAAACACAGCACCCTCGATTTCCGCATCGCTGCACTGCGACCGGTGGTCTTCACTCGGAGGCTGCCAAAGTGATCTGTTTTATTTCTTGTGGCTTTGCTTGACGCAAGCACAGCACATACTACATGTTCATGGAAACGGCTATATTGTCCCGTTTTTTTCTGAATAAAGTGTAATGAATGATAAATCAAGCCATGCACACAACTGTGGCACCTCAAATTGCTCTCCCACTAACTGGTTCACACTGCTCACCAACCCGCTCGGCTCAGCCCGGCACTGTTCGGCGCTGCGCTGATACCGACCTGAATGTGCAGCGGTAACAGCGACCCACACACATGCTCCTTCCAGTATACTTCTAAAGGCTAGTTTTTTCCATTATAAAGATCGATTCAGAAGCGCGACCGAGCCAGTGGTGTCTGTCTGTCTGTATGTATGTATGTATGTATGTGGGGGGGGGACATGGGCCACAGCAGCAACAAAGGCATGGAAGGCCAGGAGGGAGAGACGCCTGGGCTGGTGCAAAAAGACACAAAGGACATGAAGAACGATGAGCGGATTGCGAAGATGGGAAACAACGGGTGGGAGGGGGATGCGGAAAGATGGTGGGTGCAAGCGCCAGGGACAAGGTGGAAGAGAGAGGGGGAGAAGGGCAGAATCGGGTTGAGCACGCTTGTGGTCTGGACCTGGGTCGTTGCGACCCGCAGCGGTGCTGGGCTATGGGGCCAGTGTGGCATGTACTACGACCGGGTCCTCTTCTTTTGCATACCCAAGCAGAGGTGCCAGAGTGCGCCATCGCAACATCTTCAACTTAGAGAATCAAATTGACGTATTCGGTATCCTTATCCCGCAGCCACTCGAGGCCAGCGGGCTTTCGGCGCTGATTGCTTTGCTCTGACCGGACAGAGACGGACTCTCGGCTTTGCTTGGTGTGAATCGAGCGCGGTTTCGAGCTGGACGGGGAGATGGGTGAGACGGGGCTGGACCCACACGGGTCGATATCGACGGCGCTGTCGACTTTGCGAACGAGCGAGGTGGTGGTGGTGGTGGTGGTGGTGGGAGTGGTATCGACGGGCTCCACGGGGCTTGGCAGCTTCGCTGCTGCGACAGCAGAGGGATGGGTATCGATCTTGGCAAGGCGAGAATCTGTAGCCGGTGCACCGCTTGTGTCGGCAGACGTGTCCTGTTCGGCTGGGGCTGCCGTGAGGTCGGCCGCTTCGTCACCGAGGGCATCTTGGGCCTGCAGGGTGCTTGTCTCGACGGTAGGCGAAAACGGCAGCGGCAGCGGCAAGTGGTGATCCAATTCTTTGACTTCGTCAAACAGCGACTTGGTGGCAGGATCGAGGTCGTTGATGGTGTTGTCGATCTCGTCGATGTCGCTTTCAAGCAGTTCATCCTCATCCTCCTCGTCGTCAGACTCGAGAACAATCTCTTCGTCTTCGGCACATTCGTGACCGGCAGTCAGAATGAAGACCGAGTCGCACTCGTGGCATTTGAGCTCGATCTCGTGCACCTTGCGATCATTGACCATGAATGTTTTGACGCCGCAGACTGTTCGCCAAGTGCATCAGGGTCCGGCACGACATGAGCAGCGGGAGAAGCACAGAAGTGTTAGACTGAGTGCTCACACAGAGGCCCGGCGCATGGTTGGTCGTGAGCCCATACGTCACCTCACCACGCGCCACCTCCTGTAACGACGCCCAGTTGCCAAGAGATTGGGAACACACCGATCATGTCGCAGTTCGTATGCTCCGACGATTCCTTTCGCGGCGGCGCAATCTCAAAGTTGCTGGCTGTGACGATTTCTCGCCTGGCGACAGGACTTCTATTCTCAGCGGCGTCGCCGGCGGACGTCGCAGGCGTGTCCTGCACCGACGGCTCGGGCACCTTTGAGGCTGCCTCTCCTTGGATGGCTGTCGAAGAGCCGTCGCCAGCGAGGTCGGCCTGTGCTCTGGCATGAACATCCCGGATTTCAACTACCGTCGGGGCCACCAGGCCCTTGGGAATCTCTTCCTTGATGTCGTCATGGAAGACGGCCTTTCCGATGCCCACGCCAACGAGGCCGCCACCGCCACGGATCTTGACCTCGGTGGTGCGTGACGCGGCTCCAGAGTCAAAGAGGCCGTTCTGGATCTCACCAACGAGATTCATGACCTTGGACCCTGGTCCTGAACCTGATGCAGACCCGCGGCTAATGCTGGTCTGCAGGGCCTTTGCCCAGGAGTTGAAGGATGCGTGGGCATTTCGGTTGCGCTTGCCACTCTGCAGATGCCAGCCATTTTCGATCGAGAGCTTTTCCCAAATATCGCGCAGGCCCTTTGCGGTTGAAAAGGCGGTGGATGGAATACGGTACCAGGGGGGGGGTTGTTAGATGAAACCGTCAAAGCGATTGGCAAGATACTGTTGCGCGGTTGTTCGTCGCCCTCTGGGTTGCTGTGAGAAGGACTCCAAATCATCTTCCGATGGATGCGTCGTTATATCATGAACCGTATCACCCAAGCGGAATGGGCACTGTTGCTCATCATATTTGCCCTCAGCGCCATTGCTCTGCCGCATCGATCACCGAGGGTGACTGCGTGCTGCATCTACTGGCCTGTGCTCGATCAAGCAACTAGCTGCTGTTTGTGATTCTCACCTTGACAGAGATGCCCGAATCGTCTTCGAGATCAAGGGTCACGGTATTTGCGTGGCTCCGACGATGGACTCGAGGCGAGCTCTTGACGGCATGCACCCCCGAATGGACGGGCTTGTTGGCTGGCGGTGTGCGGAACGAGGGCGTGCGAGCAGGCGGGGCAGGAGGCGGGGCAGGCTGTTTCGGCCGGGGGAGCTGCTCTGCGGGTTTGGTCTGGGTTGGGGAGGTGACGGTGACGACGTTGAAGAGCTTGGGCGGCACATAGCTGGTTCGGGTGGGGGTTGCCGGATCGCTCGTGGAGAAAATCTCGCGCAGCGAGTGGACCGTGGGGCTGGATGTGTGGTCTTCGAGATTGGAGCCAAGCGACATGATGCTGAGGCGATTTCTGGACTTGACGTCGTGTCCGTCATGGGCCGGCCTGTGGGGATGGTCAGCGTCGCCAGAAAAGGTGCTGACGGTGTGTCGCTTGGAGAGCGAGCGACTCAGGGAAGTCTCGGAGCGGCTGGAGCCGCCGGGGCTGTCGTGGTGCGGGGTGCGGATCTGCAGGTTGGCGGGCTTGGAGGGAATGGGAGGGCCGACGACGGTTGGAGGCGTCGAGGACCAGGAGACAATCGACGAGCAGGTCGAGGCATCGGAAGGGGTCCGTCTGTGCCGGGAAAGCGACGGGGGTTTGGAGGGGATGGGAGGGCCAGTGGAGGCGCTCGAGCCCGGACGAGGTGGATGGGGGTCTGCGGAGGAGTACGGGGGAGGCGACGAGAGTTTGCGATTGAGCGACAGCGACGGGTGGGAGGACGACGAATACGAGGACGAGGGGACCTGGGAGTCCTCGAATCGCGCACGCAGGGACGAGATGGAGGATTGACCCGAGAGAGAAGCCGTTTCGTTGACCATGGGTTGGTTAGGGTGGTGGGGGGTTGTGCGGGTATATGCCTGTTCGTCGAAGTGGAGCGATGGAGAGCAGACGCGGGGAATGCAAGGCACGGTTAGTTGGACGGTGGAATACGAAGATGAATGTGGAATAAGTGGATGGTGGAATAAGTGGATGGACGGTGAAATAAGTGGATGGATGTTGGAATAAGTGGACGGTGGAATAAGTGCGATAGGCCAAATAAGTTGCCAGGCATGCAGTCAATGAAGCCAGCGCGGGTGGATGGTACTTGTAGTCGACGCTACACGGCGACAGAAGAGCGAGACAGCAACGAACGCAGCGAACGATACTATCTCGTGAATGGGCAGGACGCGGAGAGGATACGCACGACGATGTTGGCCAAAAGACGGCGAGACTTGCCAAGGAAACGGCAGCAGAGAACGCAACAGCGACGAATGGGGGAAGGAACCCGCGGATGCAGACACTAATGGAATGGCTGATGGCCCAGAGACAGCAGTGGTGAGAAAGAAAGAGAGCAGGCAGGACCGATACGCGAGCAGGCAGGAGCAGGCAGGAGTAGACGGGAGCAAGCAGGAGCAGGCACGAGCAGGCAGGAGCAGGAGGGAGGGAGAGAGCGAAAGAGCGTTTGGTCGCGAGCAGAAGACGAGTATCGGCCGGGGCAAAGGCTGTGTCTGCAGAAACGCGCACTGCCATTTGGGCGAGTCTGTCCGCGGACATGCGCGGACACTTCTGTGCTCGGCGCGCCCATTGCACAGTGCTGCTGCTGCTGCTGCTGCTGTCACACAGAGCCCGCTGCTGTCCACTGCCGCCCACTGTCTCTGCTGCATGCGCGGTCGCACAGCGTCGCACGTGCGAGCCGCCATTGTCGCTGCAGTGCACACAATGGCCCTCGCCAGCGAGACAGCCACGCAGATCGCCCAATGCTTTCCGTATACATCTGCAACAGACACTTTCGGCAATCGCTTTGGCCATTTGCCGTTGCAGGACCACATCCACCTTCGTTGCTGTTCACGTCGTTGCCATTCGCGTCTGCTGCGTCTGGATCTGTGCTCGGCTTTGCCCATTCAGGTTCTGCGTCGGCTCCCGCCCGATCTTGGTCGCCGTTCTCCACCCGGCCTTCTGCCTCGTCTGGCCCTGGTTTCCCGGCAAGACCATCACCGCCTTATTCTCGGCCGCTGTCGCTCGCTGTTCGGTCTGGTCCCCTCCCCCGACCTGCAGGTCCATCCAAGCCGCCTCGCTGCCTGAGGGCCGCTCCCCCCCCCCGTCGCAGGATTGCAACCCTCCCGCTGCCTCTTGCCCGGCCACAAGCCACCTTTACATCGACCTTCTGGCCACCGTTTTGTTCTTGCTCCAACTGCAAGTTGCGCCAACCAGCACACCAGCGTGCCCCCTCTGCAAGCTCGTCAAGCTCTGCTTCCCACACCGCCCAGCCACAACATCATGTCGCTATCCGACAAATACCCGGCTGCTGCCGTTGCTGCCGCCGCCGCCTCGACCCTGGTGGTTGCTGCTGCCCTGGCCTACTACCTCCTCGCTCCCGCCAAACCCGTTCTGCGTCCACGATCGCTCAAACTGCCGGCGCCGCCCCATCTGCAGCCCGATCCGTCGCTGGACTCGCCGTCGCTGGCATCGCCGGGGGCCGCTGCGGCGTCCTTTCCCGATCCCATCCAAGGCCAATCGCAGATCCCCGTCTCCATCATCGACAAGCATCTGACCGACTTTACCGTCCGCGACAAGGTTCTCCGAGGTGTTTTCATCTCGCATAAATTCAAGAGCGATGTCCCAGCGGTATGCCATGTCCCGCATTCCCTGCACATCTCTGTGCATCGACAACGACGGGTGCTGCAAAGCCAGTGGAGCAGTGGCAGTATACACCTCACCATCATGCGTCGTCGTCGAATGGCCGAGACGAACTGACGGCTAACCTCACGCTCGCCGTTTGTCTCCGTCACTCGCGCCTTGCAGATCATCTTTGTGCATGGGATGGGCGGACAAATGGAGCAGTTTGTCTTCCAGATGTAAGTTGGACTGCGGTCCCAGGTTTTGTGCCCCCCCCTCCAGGTGGACCCGGGGGTCTGGACCCAGGATCTCAAACTCGAACTCGAACTCGAACTTGAGCTTGAGCTTGAGCGACCGACCGGGTCCTGGCTTGAGCACCGAGCTCAGATCCACTGTCGCTCTCTGTCCAACTTTGGGCTGCCACGATAGATCGCCCGCGTCCGGCCATTCGCCGCGATGACGGAGTGGCAAACTACTGAGCCATCCGTTCTGCTGACGCTGCTCGTCCCCTGGTTTCCAGCGAACACTTTTCGACTGTGGCCAATGTAGCCGCATACGATATGGTCGGCAACGGACAAAGTGCAGCCACGCTCAGGTGAGTCGCATTGCACAAGTGCGGGTTATGCGACAACGTTCTCGCACCAGCTCGTGATATCACCTCATGGCACTGACCCACAGTATTGACTCATGACTCGGACTCATAACCCTGGTGCATGGTATCGATAAATCGGATCTTACCACGCGGATCGATTGCGGCAACGAACGGACCTGATATCCCAGAGACGAGGACTACACGACCGACTCCCTGGTCGACGACCTGGTTGCCCTTGTGCAGCTCATCCAGACCCAACACAGCATCGGCTCGTTTGTTGTATGTTTTTCGATCGAGAGCAGTTGCTGGATGAACACGAGCCGCCCAAAGTCGCCGTGGCAGTACCGGTGATCATGCACCCTCAAAGAATCGGCGTCACCATGACAGCGTTGCCACACTTGTCTTGCAGCGGCAGCCGCTGTATCCGCGATGCAGCTCCAGAAATGCCTCTGACTCTGTCGTCTATCTTGCTTCCCCTCCAGCTGGTGTGTCACTCGTACGGATGCGCCATCGCCACAAAGGCCTCTCAGCGGCTCGAGTCGCTGCTGAAGGCCATCGTCTTCATAGCCCCCAAGGCTTTGCACACCGAGCACGATCAGGCACGAGTCAACAGCTTTGTGTCAACCTCGACCCCGCTGATCGAGGTCTTCCGCTGGCGCGATCGGTACGGAGGCATCAACTCGCAATCTGTCAACCGTTACGTCGCTCCCTCTGCGCCGACGGTCGTGCGTGAGTTCCAGCTCAAATGGAACGCCTCGGTCAAAACAACCACGGCAAAGCGGTACTACAAGGGCATCAACTGGGTGACGCCCAATGACTATGGAGAGATCAAGGCCCCCCTGTTGCTGGTACGCACCGCATGCGCTCGGTCTATGCTGAGGCGAAGCTGAGTGGCCGAGCGACCCGCCATCGCTGCGGCTGTTACCGGCGTCGTCGTGCTCACCGCTGCTTTGAATTCATCAGATTTCGGGCCAGCACGACAAGGCCGTCCCCGCCAACTCGGCAGCCGTGATCAAAGAGCATGCAACGGGCTCTTCCTGCGTCTCGGATCTGTTTGTCGTCCCGAACGTGGGTCATTCGGTAAGCTGTTGAGCAGCACTGCCGCTTTCTAGGGCAGGAGAATGCCACTCCCATGCGGGTGTGCGCGTTGACTGAAGAAACTGTCGTCCTCAGGTCATGTTTGAGAGCCCCAACATTGTCAATGCAATCGTCTACAAGTTCCTGACGGACGTGGGTCTCAAAGAGGCAAGTTATCCGACAGCACCGCGTTGATTTGGCCCGGTGGTCTTGCACCGAATACTGCTCTTGTCATTGGATGCTGTAACTACGCGATGGTATCCTGGGTATTGAGTGACAAGAGTGTGCCAAGCCCATGGTGGTCGGCTCTATTTTGCCGAGCATGATAGAGAAAGAGGGAAAGGAACGATCGATCGGCGCTGATACCTCCAAATGCTCTCCTTTGGTCCCGTATATCCTGTCCCTCAGATCTCACTGCGCGATCAGATTCTGAAGGAAACGGAGGGTGTGCCGAAATGGGGGCTGAAAAAGTAGGTCGTCTTCTCGACTGGTCGGCGACATCGTGTCGTCCGTCCAGACTGATCGCTGTGCACTATCCATCCAGACTTGTTTCTGTGGACTATCCATCAAATCCACAACCCTGTTCGCCGGCATAGCATATCAGGATACATACCCTCTTGCACCACCATCTCGCTCCGCTCCCTCCCAGATTGCTCCCAGACTGCTCCCTGTCCTTCTCCCCTCTCCCTTTCCATCACACCGCCCTCCACCCACCCACCTCCATGCCTCCCAATACATTCCTGCTTACCGGCCGCTTTCACGCTCCACCCCTCGGTCCCACATATGCACAAAACTCCAACTTGGCCAGCTATCAAAAGTGGAAGCGCATCACGCCCGTGGCGACGACTGCGGTCCGCGGATCGTTCTTCCGCCCGATGAAGGTTCTCAAGGAAGACGACGACGAACACACGCCCGTGGCTTTTGCAACCAGCAATCCCGAGATCGGCCTGGTAGGTTATGCGGTGGATATTTTTGCCTATGTTACTGGAAGCGACAGGAATAATTGCTCTGTATTTGTCGTGAGACAGTTCCCCCCCTCTTGGCTACCCTCACTCACACACTCACACATTCACACACTCACCCCTACATAACACCACGGCTCCTAGGTGATCGATATCTCGTTGGATCATCCGCCGTACGAGCCCGAGAATCTCGTCAAGTCAGGTTGTCAGTACCACAAACTCTCAACTGTTTCCAAGATTCCTCCCAGCCAGGGCAACGTGAACGACTTCAAAGCTGTTGTTGACGGCTTCTGGGCCGAGAATCCGGATCGCCACATTGCCGTGTAAGAGGCGTGGTCTGTGTGATAGGCGGGAGAGAGAGGGGGGGTGGGAAGTCAGATCTGGGGATGCTTGGCAAGGACCCCGCTCTACCGACAGGCATTCGCTGACCCCGCTCGGCCCAACAGACACTGCCACTATGGATTTAATCGAACTGGATTCTTGATCTGTAAGTATTGTGACCATCTCAACGAGCCCTCCGTTCTTTGGAGTCGATCCTCGAGCAGAGCACGCCTGTCGGCGGACTTGGCGTTGACCATGCTTACTCGGTCGATCGTATTCCGTTCGTCGGCCCTGACACTTCTCTTCGGGATACTCCTGGTCCTTACAGGTTGCTATTTGATCGAGTGCAAGGGATTCTCGGTTGCCGATGCCATACAAGCGTTTGCAGATGCCCGGCCGCCGGGAATTCGGTGCGTTTGTGAGATCGCGTCTGGCCGCGACATGATCGCAGCTTGATTCGATTTGCATGACGATGACATCCTGGATGTATAGGCCAATCAAACGTGTGGATGCATGGGGATCTAGCTGGTTGATTGAGAAGCGACGCACTCGCTAGATTACTCGATAGACCGGAATCGCCCCCCCCCACGATAACCCCCACGATAACCCCTGCTGGCCTGATTTGACTGACGCGATATCTCTGGCTTGCTTCTGGGTGGCATGGCGCGACCGAAACTCATGAAATGGCTCGAACACATGTATCCATCCAGCCACATGCACTTCAAGGACGAGCTCTTCTATAGATATGTCGTCAGCGACTCGCTTCGGCAAGCCCAAGGCGACCCAAAATCCAACTGAACAAACCCGCCTGGCCCGGAAACAAGCAACAGTCGACAGGCCTGGTATCTCGCCTGTCGTCGGGGCCATTGATCCGACGGAGCCGGTCAAGAGTGCAAACACCACACTTTGCATGCACTGTTCTTCTTACTTTCTTTATCTCTTTCCTTCTCTCTGTCCTCTCGACATATTTTCCACCGCCATTTCCCCCTCATTTCTCACTTTTCACTGTCAACGACTCTTTTGTCTCTCATTTCTCTTCAACATCTCGCCTTTACGATTGTGTCCTTTCTACACTCCACACTTCCCATGGTTGTCCTCCCAGCTCTATTCGCTCGCTGCCTCTGACGCCGCCGCTCTGTCTTGGATTGCTCACGCCCTCCAATAATGCTGTCCCTCCTCCCTCCTCCCTTCTCCTTCCTCCTTCATCTCCCACGCTCATTCGTTTCCTCCTTCACTCTAATGTGTAATGACAATACGATTATTCAAGAAACTCCCGGGCTCACGTCGCGGCTGCCTTCTGCAACTGAACGGTGGTGGTTCTCGTCGCTTTGGACTGAATGCCATTCAGTTATTGTTCTTCATCTCCCCAGCGGAGCGTCCAGCAAACGCCCCCGTTGCCGCGGACCATCTCGCCGCGCTGGACATGCCGCTGTCCGGATGCGCCTTTGGCAATGCAATATCCTGGCTCAGTCTCGGTGGCTCGTCCCAGCCAGCATGATTGCCCGGCATGACCGACCAACATCGTCGTCCCGCACGAATCGCCCGACTGCATTGATATTCCTCCCTCCGACAGAATCGCGAGGCCAACCAGAGCCATCCGCCGCAACCCTTGCCCCTGACCGCGACCAGGATCTGCCAGAACATCCGCCGTCGACCCGCAGTCATGACCCGCAGCCATGACCCGCAGCCCTGCTTTGGCCGCAGATGCAGAGCTGCGACAGCCCCCCCCCAAAGCAGCGGCTGCGGCGGGACCCTGTGTACGACATGCCCTCCCAAAAGCGGCTGAAATGGATTTGTCAGCATGGGAGCCAACATACCCAGCGAGAGCCGAGCGAGAGCCGCGCCGTCTCGCTGCAGGTGTGCCGGCAACTGCTGCTGTGCCCTCGCTGCAGGCCCTCGCAGCCCGCCGCGGCCTCGCTCGTCCTCTCACCCTTTTTTTGCCCATTAGTCTCTGCGCCTTTGCTGCTCTGCCTTCTCGCCCCATCGACATCGCACTGCCTTCATCCCTGCGACCCCCCCCTCCAGCCCCCGAGCCCAGACCACGGCGCCGTCGGCTTCTCTTCTTCGCCTCTCGACCTCCATCTGCCGTTCGGTCTTCCTCCCCGTCACGTTCGCCCACCGGCACAGGAGCACCGAACGCCAGGACTGCCCCTTTTCCTTCCTTCCCCTGCTCGTCTCTTGTGCTGCCATCAACGCTCTTGTCGGATTTGCCTCTCGACCCGCCGGACACGCCATCGATACATACACCTGCGAAATCACCTCCGATACGCCTGCGATACGTCATCGGCAGATCTGTGCTACTGCATCGAAGCGCTTCTATCGAGAAAGCAACACTGCGAGTGCGCTGCCAGTGCTTGCTCCTGCTCACACATTGATTGTGGACAACAGCTCCCCCTCGTTTCTGGTCTGCTTCGTAGCTTCCTCGGCTCTGCCTTGCCCTTCGTCGCCCTTCTTGCCGTTGCCTTCGAGGTGTTTCCCTGTCGACCCTCGCCCTCGTCAGCCAGAGTACCACGCATCCGTCATCGCTCCCCTGTCATCCCCGCTCCACCCTGCCTTTGCCCTTGCCAGCGAACGCAGCCATGTCCAAACCCGCCGCCTCGGCATCGTCTGCGATGCCATCGCCCACGCCGCATGTCTTCTCGACACCGCAGGCGCCTCGGCCAGTAAAGCCGGATCGAGCCGCATTCAGCCTCACGAGCACGCTCACGAAGAAATCGCGGGCTCCGCAGAAGAATGCCGTGCAGCCGACCCCGGATACCCCCATCAAGAAGCAGTACGACTTTGTGCTGTCGCACCCCTTTATATCGTCGCTCAACGATCCTTTACACTCGCCCAGCAACAATCAATCGGTTATGCGGCCGGGCAAGCAGGGTCTCCTTAAAGGCGGTGCCGGTCTGCCGCCATCCACACCCACCCGGCCAAGCGCAAGTACGCCCCTGACGAAACGCCTGAAGCGGCCTTATCCCGCCTACGACACCTCGCCTGCAAACTCGCCGCGGCCCTCGACTCGGCCCAAGCATGTCCATTTCTCGTCAGAGAATGCCTCGGACGAGTCTCCGGAAGCCAGCGGTCCGGCCAAGCTGGGCCTGCCGTCGTTCCGGAGCGACTCTACAACGCCAAGTCCGCCGCTGTGTCATCCGATGCGTCTCTTTGGTAAGTCGGCCGATCCCCCCCCCCAGACCGCCCTGGGCGACTGCTGCCCGAATGCCTTTGCCCCTCGACGGGATATCCCTGGCGGCGGCGAAATCACTGTGCAGTTCAGATCGTCCTGGCGCGCGCGCCGCTCGTGGAGCATGCCGCCCAATGAGTCTGTCGGCCTATCCATGCCTCGAGCCGACGATGCCCGCTTTGGATTCGGCTCACTCACTCACTCATTCATTCATTCATTCATTCATTCATTCATTCACTCACTCACTCGCCTCCAGCACCAAGCACACCGGCCCCTGCGCCTCTATTCCTCTCGCCCTCCGAGTCACCGGATAATCCGTTTACTCAGCCTCTCGGATCGCCTGCATCCGCCGACGTCGAAAACCAACCCTCTCCGCTTGGTGCCAGATCTACCCTGTCCAGCGACAGCGACCATACCCAGCTGTCGTCCAAATACCCCAGCCGCACTCAGCATCAGAGCACGCCCTCCAAGACCATCCCCGATACCCCTGCCAAACCCAACCCCTCCGATCCCGGTACCACCAGCCGGATTCGAGATACCACCAAGACTCCGGCCGCCAAGCCGCGGTGGCTTCGCAATTCCAAAGTCCAGGCTTCGCGCACTCCTTATGCCCAGCGGCTGTCCACACCCGCCAGGGCTTCCACAAGCCCAATGGAGGGTGACGATAGCCAGCATGAACGCCCCCCGCAGGCCAAGCCTCATGCGTGCTTTAGCAGCGACGATGACGACGGCGCTCCTGAATTCTCTCTTCCACCGGTTCCCATCATCGCCCCTTTTACCACTCCGTTCACGCCCCGGAATCTGTTTGCCCCGACACCCACGCCGAGCAACGTCATCCAGCTGACGCCGCAATCGATTGCGCAAGGGCATCTGAGCACCCACAAGTCACAGTTTCTGCGCCCCGACTACTTCAAGGCGGTGGATGCGATTGAGCGCAAGGCGCAGCAAGTTCCCTCTCTGAGTCTGTCACGGTCCATGTCGACATCGTCGACCACGTCGTCGATATCGTCCTCGCCGCAACACCCGCCGACCTCGCCGCTCTCCAAGAGCTCGGCTCAGTCGAGCAAGTTGGCCAGTAGCAGCTCGCTCCTTGATGCCGACCGACCCGGCTCTCTTGATCCCCAAGAGTCGCAAGAGTTGCCGGAGATGCCAGTGCTGCCAGCGTTGCCCCCAAAATACTTTGACTCGAACTTTATCATTGTCTCCAAGCTGGGAACGGGCTCGTTTGCGGATGCCTTCAAGGTCCGCAGCAAAGAAGATGAGAAGATGTATGCCATCAAACGATCCCGCAAGCCCTATGGAGGCGTGAAGGACAGGTACGGCGTCGATCTGTCGGTTCCCCGTGCTGGCCGTTTGGAAAGGTCGCGAGCACGGACTTTTGCTGTGTTTCGCTGTCTCCTTGCTCCCTGGATATTGTGGAAATCGACCGCTGGCTCACACTGACCACATAAATTAGATCGGCCCAACTCAACGAAGTGCGCATCATGTACGACCTTGCTGGATGCGACCAGATTGTCAAGCTTGTTGATGCGTGGGAAGAGGACGGCCATCTGTACATGCAGCTTGAGCTTTGCGCCAACGGGAGGTAAGTGTCTTGCTTTGGACAATGTGCATTTCCAGATGGCAAGTGTTCTTGCCTAGCTTTACCTGATACCCTCAAACGTTGGCACAGTCTTGAGAGCTACATGTCCAAGGTGATTCCTGTCGAGGAGGAGATCTGGATGATCCTTAGGGATATTGCCACGGTATGCAAACGGCCGACTGTGTTTGGTCATCGGCGCTATATTGTCGTGGGGGGAGGGAGGTCATGCCTATTTCTGGGCGCGCAGCTCTGCCTGCATTTGTGCTCTGACATTGCTCGGCAGTAACTAAGCATATCAAACCGGTTCTATCCACTGCCGCTACTGCGACCACACCGCCTGCCCTACTCCAATTGCGCCGTGTGTGCATCGACATCTGGTGCATCGACACATGCTTGTACCAATAGGGACTGTGCTTTATGCACACCCAGGACATTATTCATCTGGATCTCAAGCCTGCAAACATCTTCTTGACGGACGAGAATACCCTCAAGCTGGGCGATTTCGGTATGGCCATGCGGATGCCTATCACCCGCGGCATGGAGCGCGAAGGCGATCGGAACTATCTCGCTGGCGAGGTCCTGAAGGGAAAGTACGGCAAGCCTGCGGATATCTTCAGGTAACTGCGCCCCCCCCCTCCGACTATAGCTGCCGTTCCCGTTCTAGAACTACTCACGCCTTGGTTCTCATTTTGAAATGCTCCCCGCTGACACGTACACTCACACCTGCAATAGTCTGGGAATGATTCTGCTCGAGCTGTGCACGAGCATCAACCTGCCTGGGAACGGCGAAGTCTGGACCAAGCTCAGGTCTGGCGACCTCAGCGACTTTGACTTGAGCAGCACAGCCTCCCAGATCATGATCGATCTGATCGAAAGTATGCTCAATCCTGACCCAAGCCTGCGGCCGACTGCCGAGCAAATCCTGGAACACCCGATGCTGGCCAGCCCTCATGGTGCCAGCCTGACCCCTGTTGACACCATCATGGCCGAGGAAGATGCTGCGAGCACTTTGTCGGCTCAGACTGCGACCTTGGTGGTCAACAGTGCCCAGCCGAGCGCCATCGCAACCGCAATCGCAACCGCAATCGCAACCGAGCCTGCCAAGTCGGTCTTGGGGGTTCGCCCGGCCGAGTCTGAAGATCGCCGTGTATCGAAACGGATCAAAACCCTCCGCGGCCAGAGCGGGCTCATGTCCAGGGACACTTATCACATTCGCTAAGTGCTTAGCATCCGCAGGTGTCCAGCTGCCTCTCTGGCCCTGGTGTATTTGATGCACAACCCTGGACCTGGCACCGATCGTTCTCCTCCACCTTCGTCAGCACTTCCGCTTAGCCTCCTATGCGCGTCACACACCTCCGCTCAGCATATGCTCTCATTCTTACTCCATCATTATCACCAGTCCCTGCTTTTTTTGGAACCTTCCCTGTCTTTGGTGGATCCAGCACGATTCGGCAGCAGCGTCTCTGGTGGACTGTTCTCGCTCGTGTTGCCCTTCAATGACGCACCCGCCCTCCGCAATCCAGCCACCGCCTCCAACTCCACCACCGTCGACCTCCATTTGTTCATAGTTTTGCTGTGTTTCTATTTTCTATTTTCTTTTTTTCTCTGTTTGAATTTTGACTTGCAGTTGTGGCATTCACCGGCCTCCCCCTCCCTTTCTTGACCTGTTGTTCTTCTCCCTCTTTCCCCTCTCATGGTCTCTGCCTTTCTGAAGGCAGTCGCTATGTTCGTTTGCGAACTTGCTTGTCTCGGTCCTCTCTATCTCCTCCAACATGTCCGATGGGCCCCTCGCCCTGGCGTTTCGTGGGCACAATCCCTCGCACTGCCATCAACAATGTCGCTTTTTTCGTTCTTCCCATGCGCCGTCCAAATGACGCTCTCCCCTTCATGCAGCCCACCCCTTCTCTGGTTTTGTTACCTGCCCTTGTTTCCCCCATGATTCTGCTCATGGCGCCCCTTGGCTCCATCCTTCTTGGCTTTCATGACCAAACTCCAGCTCTCAAAGCCCTCGCTCCGAGTCCCAGATCGGATACTTGACCAGATTCTTCGCTGCCCCTCCCCTCTCCCTTCCTATCTCGCCCTGCTCGAACCTGTCCGCTGCCCCCCCCCCAATACAATGCAATGCGCTCAACGGCAACCGCTGCCACCCAGACGCCGCGCTGCTCCTCGGGTGCATTTGACGCTGTGCGATGAGAGCACCACCCGCGCATATCGCTCACGGCGTATTGCATGTCCCCAACTTCCGTATCGCCCGTCTGTCCGAACATGGCCTGCGCCCCCGCTGTTGCTGTCGGTCCCATGGACACATGGCTCCATCGACACATGTCTGCCGATCGCCATTGCCCCCCCCCCAGAATCATGCGTGGTCGTCATTCCAGAGCCACTATCCGCATGCGGGAGCGCGGGCGGACATCTCCCTCCCTCTCCCTCTTGTCCAGCAAGTCCTGCCGTCTTGGCGGCCGTCATCGTTCTCCTTTCAGACCCAGCATCGCCGATTGCAGCCACGAGCCCACGGCCGTATATCACCCCGCATTCGTATCCATACCGTTCGCCGCTGCCGTCTGCTTCTGAGTTCCCGCCCCCACAAACCTCATTCTGCTGCAAGCCCTCTCTCTGGGCTGCTGGCTCGCCCGCTCCACTCTCGTTCCAGTCGACCCTTCTTTTCTTGTTCGTCAAAGACGCAGCTCTTGCGCCTCGTCTTGGCAGCCGCCTGTCCTCGACCCGAGCCAAACAGCCCTCTTCTCGAGTCGACGTTCCTGCGCTCCTGCTCGCCCTGGACAGACGAATCGCATTGCCCGTACGTGCCCAATACCTCCGGTTCCCGCGCAACCACATCTTTTCATTTTGTTCTTCCATTTCCTTTTGGATTCTATCGAGGCACTGCTGCTGTGCATCATGCTCGTCGAGGGCAAAGTATGGAGTGCGAACAGGAGGAGGCATGGAGTGCGAACGGGAGGAAGCATGGGCCTACTTGCCCTCCCTTTCGGAAGCAGAGCCGAAGGGGCCGCAGCGATTGTCGGATTCATGCAGCGCCATTTTCTCATACGTTGGCTCTGTGACTCTGTTGCTGCTGGTTTGTGTGCATGCCAAACGACATTTTGAATCAGAGAGACTTTCTTGGAGCGCCAACCCACTCTTCCTCGCTTGCGCTCGGCACCTCGAACAGCCCGGCTCCGATTCTGCTCCCTCCAGCTCCATCAAGCGAATCAGCTCTCTCAGCCCCTGCAAGCGAATCAGCCCCCCGTCATCTCCAGGGCTAAACTCTCTTGGTCGCCTCCCCAACAGGGCATTTCGAATCACCCGGCTCGGCCCTTCATCGCCCTTTCGTTCACGGCCGTGATGAGTGTCACTGAATCCTATTCTGAGGTCGCTCTGACGACCGATACCGACGACGACTTTGAAAGCGTCCATTACGACACCGATGCGTCGTCGGCCAATCGATCTGCTGCCAAGTTCAACGATCGAAATGGCCCCTCCGCCTCATATTGCGACTCGTTCGTCATTGTCGAATGCCCGTCCGTCCAGGACTTTGAAGTCGATGGCAATGACGAAGCAGTTAAACAAGGCTCCATCGGCGACATTGACCATATCGACAGCCCCAGTGACTACGAGCATCACCCGCAACCCCGCCGCCCCAATCGCCACAGGCAGCAGGCTCGTCGTGCCGGTCGTCGTGCCGACGACGGATACACCGACGATGACGATGACGGCGACAGCGACGGTGATGGTGGCGGCGTCGACCTGATGGATGACATCGACTCGCTACGTGAGAGTGAGTTACTATCGCATTCCCAGAGCATTCATCGCTGCTTCCCAGAGCTCGTTGAGCAGCGGCCCATGAGGGAAGGATGGCCGCGGGCTCGCTCAAGAACCCGCCGCATCTTCGTGGGTACGCTTTTGCCCTCAGAGCCGATGGTCTCGGCGCTGCTGCTCGCGACGTGAGAGAAGGACTTCAATGCTTTACCCTCTCTCGAGTCAATCCTATCTGCATATCCGAGTGCGAGCAATCTGTTCTTCGGTGCTCCAGCAATGCTACCTGGCCGGCCGTGTTGACTCATCATGCTCAATCGGCGGTAGTTGACGATGCTGTCTTTGCCAATACCTTCACAGCGGCTTTCCCGCGAGACTTTACTCCAAACCGGCTTCTTGGGCCGGCTGCCGTTTCGCCATATGCATATCTTCACCAGCGACTCCTGAAGCGACCAGACTCACGTAAGTGTGCTCGCTGCATGATCGCGTTCGCTGAGCTTGCAGACCGACTTTCATGAGCATGTCATATGTTGAGTGGCATTGCTTCAGAGAATGGGCGACCAACTGCATGCCCATTCTTCCGACAGCGACTACCGAGAGGGTCTGGCTCGACACCTTCATGAAGACGCCCGAGAACGCCTGGAGCCACACCAAGGAGATGCAGACGAGTCTGGGCACATTTCAGCTCCTATGTGTAAGGCCTGTGGGGCAGTCGGTGCTTATTGCGGTCCTGCTCGGCGGTTCTGCTCGGCGGTCCTGCTCGGCGGCCCGTCGGTGCTATCGTCATGGTAATCGCCTCACGCTCTCACCCCATCCCTCCAGACAAAGTCCGGCCAGCCGTCCGATTCATCGTCCCGGCTCTCGACCGTCACTCGAATGGAGTGGGGCACATTCTTCCTGACCCACAGCCCACAGGAGCGATACAGCCATATACCCGCTCTCCGCACCCGCATCTTTTCAGGGGTAGGTTTGTCCTGCACGTCTCGTTCTCGACAGTCGACATTCGCTTATGTGCACGAGGCCTTGTGCTCATCGTCAGTCTGGTGGTTACTGCCAGGGCATCGAGAGCTCCATCCGTCCTGAAGTATGGATGCTCTTGCTCGGCGTTCACTCCTGGGCGTCCAACTCAATGAGCCGATCCCAGGTCGAGCTCCAGAAAAGGTACAGCACCAACGTCGAGCTGATAATCTTGCGCGCTGTAACTTGGTACCTTGTCGTATGCGGACTTCGATGCACCGCAGCCATGCCTCGCCGTACACTCCCCCAATGATTCCTCGGCATCTCAATCGACATCACCAAACTCTTCTGCTGCCTATACAGATCCGAGTACGAGCGCATGAAGTCCAAGTGGAGACAGAGTATCCACAGGCTCCAGGACGCACCTCCAGAACTGGCCCAGCCAACGCCGGATTTTGTGATGCCGAATGTGCTGGCATTCTGGAAAGAGAATCTCTACCGCATCGGTATGACACCGGCGATGTGACCTCGGATTTGGAGCGTTTTGAAGTGCTCTCTGTCGTGTCCGGGAAGCGCTTGATTCTTCAGTCCTGCAGCTGCTCGATCATGGCACGATCGAAGCGCCCATTAGATAGCCCTCAGAGCTGCGACTAACTGCGCTGTCTCAATCGTCGACAGACAAGGATGTCGTCAGGACAGGTACGACGCGAGACGTCGCATACGAGAACTAGACTCTGTTGTCGCTCCTCGTCTGGCCTGCTCACTAACTGTCTCCCAACCCGCGTTGCGTCAGATCGCGAAGTATATTTCTATCAGTCGACTCCCAGCTTTGAGCTATTGGCGTATCAGCCCGGGGCATACATCGATGCCTGTCCAAATCGCAACCTCGAAAAGCTCCGTAATGTCTTGATGACGTACTCGGTGCGCTCGACTCTCAAGCCCTACACTCTGTACCAAAAGACCGAGGAAGATCTCCAGGCAGAAGGCTATGTGCAAGGCATGGCTGAGCTGGCCAGCTCCATCCTCATGGTCATGGATGGCGACGAGTCCAATGCATTTTGGACATTCTACGCCCTGATGGAGCGGATGGTAAGGTGGATCGTGACTCACAAGCACTAGCACCCATACTGAGATGCACCCGATGCGACTCGAGATTGCGCTGTCTTGCTCAATTGTCTCTGGACCGTCTGTTCTCTAGAAAAAGCACTACCGGTCCGATGGCAGCGGCATGCGAACGACACTCATCACTATGGGCAAGCTGATCCGGATCCTCGATCCGGAGCTGCACCTCCATCTGCTCGAAAGCGAGGCTCTCGACCTGTTCTGCTGCTTCCGCTGGTTTCTGGTGCTCTTCAAGCGCGAGTTCCGTCATGTCGCGCTGGTTCGGCTCTGGGATGCCATCTTTGCCAAAGAAGATGAGACCCAGGACTACGCCATGTTTGTTGCCATGGCAATTCTGGAAGAGCACCGCGATGAAATCATGCAGCGCCAGTCGTCCGACGAAATCTGGAAGGTACGCACCAGCGATTGCGCCTCCGTACCCTCATGGCGATTCCCTTGCATGAGCACTACTGGCACTGATGCACAGGGTCTCGGTCTCTGTGTTTGTGGGGACTGTTGAGCTAACTCTCTCCACTCGTCGTGCGTCGGAATGGGTGCCTTGCTGGGGCGGGGATATCCATCATCCCCATGGACGCTGCATTTACCCCTCGGTCGTAGTATATCAACGATATGGCCTTTTCAATCTCTCTCGAGCGCACGCTGGTCGATGCCGAGTTCCTTTACCATCATTTCCGCGACAATCTCGTCACCAGTCGGCTCTATCAGCTTGCCGCCCTGGCCGATGCCAAGGATGCCGAGTCCATCCCCACACCGAGAACCTCGCCCACGACCCCGAGCCGACCTGTTGGGGTCTCGGGCATGATCGGCAAGACCTACCCGATGGACCTCGCACACGCCGTCGACCTTGTCCTGGCACTGGACGACAAGTCGATCGAGGCCTATGCCCTTGCATTTGGCTAGCGCCGCAGCCCGTCACTTGCTGGTTCTCTGCGGACCATGCGACCGAACCGACCCAGTCTCTACCTCCTCGCACAAGTTTTCAATTGCGGCGGCTGTCATTGTCGGGACGGGCTTTCCGTATTCCATTTGGTGGCGTTCGCCTCTGTGCTTGGCAAACATCCAGCCGTCGCCTGCGTCCGTACCCATGGATATTCACGTTGTTCCGCGCACCGTTACATGAGTTTGCAATCATGATTTTTCGTAGCAGTGTGGGGTAAGTCAAGATAGCGTGTGGGCAATTCAAGGCAGTACTGTATTATGCCGTTCATGTCCACAAGATGCTATCCCCAAAACTGGTTGCAGTCCAAATATGTCTTTAGGATCACAAAACACTCGCTCTCCCTGGACGAGGCTCGGGCACCCATTTTCTTGAGAATGCCCACCATCATCCGCATTCGGGTCTGGAACTCGTCGTGCCAGTTCTGGATCTGGTTGTGCGTTGTCTGAGCTTCGCACTCGCGCGCGAGGGCATGCACACAGTCCAGCAGCGACTCGATCAGGGTCAAGATCGGCTTCTGTCGCTCTGCCAGGAACAGTCTCCAGTGGATATCCGCGATATAGTCTTCGTGAAGCTGATACAGGTCGCGCAGTCCTTGGACAGCTTTGGCCGCAGGGCTGTCGGGATGGGACTTGCCCTGGGCCGCTGCCATCGAGCTCATCTTGATCGCTCCAAGCTTGCTTGCAAACTGCGCCCATGGTACTTCCACACCAACTTCCATGACATATCGCAGCAGACCGTTGGAAAACACCATGGCCTCGTGTCGCAGCCGCAGCAATTTGGTCGTCAGATCACGGGCAGCAGGATCGGCTCGATGGCGCAGATCGCGAACACGGTGGAGGAGATTGTCGACTTCGTGCTTGCATCGTAGGACTTTCATGATGAAGCTGAAGGCGCGCTGATACTGGCTCATCATGGCGCGGGTGAGAATCAAATCCAGTGGCGGTGGTGCTGCGTAGTGAATTTTGATCCATTCGATGGGATCTTGGTCGCCTGGTCAGGGGGGCAGGGCAAATGTAAGCATTGGCAGTTGCCACCCATGAAAATCGATCGCAGTCTGTGGCTATAGGACAGGAATCAATCCCCTCCCGCCTTCACCAAGCTTACCGGTCAGAAAATCCCCGTCTGCCTCATAGACGAGCTCGATACGTTCATCGAGCTCGATCTCACGCATCCTCGGAGTCCGTGGGCCATTTCGAGCAGCATCCCGCAGACCTTCTCTCACCCTCTTCCAGTGGGTCGTGAGTGGTCCGTACGGTTCACTCGCTCGTCGCTCGGCCGAGAAGCAGATGGCCTTTGCGCGCTCAAGGACTTCTTCGTCGCCGCCAAGGAACCATTTCTTGAGAACTCGGCAGTGGGTCTCCAAATCACATTCAAACATGAGAAAGGAAAGCAGCGATCGATTCGCCATTCGGGCTTGTCGCGCGATTGAGTAGTGAATCAAGCTCCTCGAGTAAGTGTCCAAGTAGCCGATCTCGGGATTCGAGAGTACGCGCTCCATCATCACCAGCGGATCGCGGTGCGGTACTTCGGTGAGCGATACAAAGAGATTATCCGTTGATTGCGAAACCGGAGAATCGGTTTTGCGTTCGTCTTCAGCTTGCCGGCCGAGGAGCAGCTGCCGCGTCATACTTGTCGGAATGCGCTGCTCTGTCAAGTACCAGGGCAACGTGGTGTCGAATGGACCCAGAGGATTGAGTTCATTCGAGGATTGATCGGCAGGATTTTGAGGGAGATCACCGCTAGCGAGCACCAAGTCGGATATCGCGCTCAAGTCGATGCTCATGGGATCGTCAATGAGAAGGCTTGTACTGCTGGCGGAGGCTTCCAGCCGTTCGGTACATGCAGCCGATTGAGGCTGGAACGATTCGACTATCAGAGCATGTGACTGCCCTGGCGAGGTATGGCTTGCGGGTGCACTTTGCGGTGCAACAGTGCCAGCCTGCGGTGCTTCGATTGGAGGAAGGGCTGTCGTTTGCGTCCCTTTCGAGAGTCCTGCATCGAGGACAGCAGCACGGGTGACGCCCTCAAGGGACAAAGTAGCTCCTTCAACTGGCTCGATGCTGCTCATCGTTCGATCGGCCATCGAGATGTCTTGGTCGTCCGTGCTTTGACTATTGTCTACGGACATGGGCTCTGCTGCTGCCTGTGTCTCTGACTGACCATTAACCGCGCTCGGCTCGGCTTCAGCATCCGCGGATGAGAGTTCCTCCAGCTTGCTGGGTCCAAGGTCATCGTTTGAGGAAGTCTCGCGCGTCTGCCGCACAGACTCGATCTGGGCGGTGAGCTGCTTCATCTTTTCCTCGTATTCTTGAAGCATGGCTGCCCGCTCGGCTTCTTCAAGCCGCCGCCATTCATCTTCCTGCTTCATACGGCGGAGCATCGACTCGGCCTCCTTCTGGGCTTGCGCCTTTTCTTGTTGTTGACGATATTCTTGTCGCTCGCGCAAATAGCCCTGTGTGAAGAGCGACATGCAGGTGAACAAGTTGTGTATGGATGATCGATGGAGTTTGCTCATTTGAGAGGCGACCTACCTCGATAGTCTGTTGAAGAGCCCGCTTTTTCCTCCGGAGCTCAGCGGATTCCGCACTTTGACGATCGGCTTGGGCTTGAAGACGACGCCGTGCCTGCCAACAAATACATCGGTGTCAAGGGTCCGTAGCCAAACACCCAGAAGCAACAATTGCCGCCTCTGCTTATGCCGGATTTCGCCAGCCAGTCAGGCAGATGGAGGGGCCGTACCTGATCCTTCAGGCGCTCACGTCGCGCAGAGTCTTCACGATCGATGAGCTCAAGTTCCCTTATCGCCTTGCTCTCCCAGATCGCGATCTCGGATTCGACGGCTTGGACGAATTGATCCACCTGATGTTGCGCACTGGGATGCACAGAAGCGAGATATACCAGCGCACGATACGCGAATATGTAAAAATAGAGCCTCGACCGAGTGCTCGTCTCCGCCGCCCAGCGACACAGTGTGCAAGCGGATACTCACAGCTGAATCTGGCTGTCATCTAATATCCAGCTGAGTGTAGACTCGAGCCGTACCTGCTCGTACACAGAAAACAGGGGATGTCCAGGACAGTGCCGCCTGAGAATCAGGCTGCTCTTTCCAGCTTCATAAACCAGCTGCTTCAAATCATCGTCCAGGAAGGATATAGGCTCGTGATCGGGATTTATTTGGTATTCGTATGTCCAAAACATTCGTCCGCCGTCGGTGAAGGCTGCGTCGGGCTCGTGCTCCTCGGGGTTGATAAATCTGATGTAAAACTCGCCAAAGGGGTCCGTGAGCGTTATCGGATCCAGGTTGTGGAGCCACTTCTGGAGCCACGAGAAATACGGCTGGCTCGAGCGTTCCAGCAGAGTGAGGAACAACGCGCGCACAACCATGCGCGGTACGTTATCGCCAGCCAGCTTGGGGCCGAAAGGCATCATCATCTCAAGCTCGCTGACGGCGTTGTAGAGGACTGACAGAAGCCCACTCCCGCGCGGCAAGTGGAATCCCAGACTATGTCGAGCGTCCCAGATCTAGGCCAGTCCATCGAAACCAAGGGTCAAGCGCATGAGGAGCGTGTGCTTGTCGTGAGTCTATGCAACATTGTGCTGACAATTGCTCGGACCCAAATTGCTGACGCGCACCGACTTACTGAGCATTCGCACATCCGACACAGCATCTCAAGGACGTGTCCGACTATTCGAAGTCGCTGCTGGATCTCTAGCAGGCGTGGCTTTGTAGGGGGCCCGCTGGTGCCCGGCAACGCATGTGGCTCGTACAGGTCGCGCGCAAATTGGTGCAGGAACAGCAGATAGCTTTTCAAAGCCGTACCAAAGGACACGCCCGTGATGCCATGATTTCTAGGAACCATGGACGAGCCGCCATCGCGGAGTAGATTCGCGATTCGCGATTCGTGAGGGTAGTGCCAGGGTAGGGTGGATTTGGAGAGCATGTCAGTGTCTCCCAAGAGCAAAGTAGGCTCTCATCACAGCCCACTCTCCTTGCAAAACGCTCTGCCATAGTCCTACAACGCACAGCCACAGTCCTCGATATACAGCATGCCATAATTGCTGGGGCATACCCGGTATTGTTGACCAAGACTTCACAGACATATTCCAGACGGCAGTAATGCGTTCCAATAGTCATAAAGCCATCGATGAGACTGTCGATTCCAAAGGGTAATGAATCAGCCTCCGGGCTCATCGAATGGATTCCTGCGGCATATGGCACGGCAAATACTCGTACCGCTCCAGACTTTTTGAGCCGCATCCCTCCACTCGAATTTTGCGCTCCTTATTGACAGCCTCGAATGCCGATGTTCGAATGTTGTACTGGAAAAACAGCGAAGGAATCCCGACAGCAGCGTTCAGGAGTGCCTTTGGATTATATCATATGAAGTGAATAGTTAAGATCGACAGGTAGGAACATTTGAAACCCGCGCTGCGGCGTCACAGATGCCGTGGAAATGCAATGGAAGCAGCGGTGCATCGACTACCTCCACCAAAGTCTCCTCGGAGACAACGAGAGAGTGTTCCCGATAGCTCCAGTCATGGTCCAGCCAGCTGCAAGAAGCAAGAAGCAAGAAGCTCTATTAGTCGCGCCGATACGGGTCCAGGTGCAGGAATCTTCTTTGACTCTCTCTGCGAAATCGGGTCGTCACAATATCAGGGCTGTCTTGTATTCTCCAGCAGTGACATCGATACCAACCTTTGGTACACTGCGTCAAAGACGGCATTGCCCGCCTCAGTCAGGAACGGAGGCTTGGGTGAATGCCGACGGATTGCATCGGCGTCGTTTTCGGGTATGCTGTCGGGCTGGCGGCACCTTGGATCGAGGCTCTCCCAGGAGAAGAGCGCCCTCTACAGAATGGCGCCAAGTCAGCGGATGCCGGGCAGAGTCCGGGCTCTTTGAACTCTGCGTCTTGTTGGCATGTCCCAATATCTGCCCAATCGAGGGGGGAAGTTGTGCAAAGTAGTCGGATTGCATTTAACCGAACCTGGTGGTATTCCGAATCCTGCACGATCCTCTGCCAGAGATTGGGTGCTTCCGCGGTCGAGTCAGTTGTGTATCCACTGTCGGGACTGGGACTAGATATCCGATCCGTGTTGGGCTTCTGTCGTTTCTTCTGGCGTCCAATATCAAAGTTGTGAAAGATATCGGTTGGCTGGATCGGCAATGATGGGATCTCCAAGCGAGTCGGAAACGGCTCTATCGATGGAAACAGAGCACTTGGATATCAGCTCAGCGAATGGGAGCCGCAGCTGTCGCTGTCACATACTGAGACGAACAAGAAACAGCTTGGCAGCTGCTGCATATTTCGTACCGTTGTGGCTTGTGCGATTCCAGATTTCATCCGAGTCTACTGGCGAGCCTGTGACATGACGGGGCAACCAATGTTCGAATGAGCCATGGATCATACCCCAGCCCCGCAGCACCGCTTGGACTTGAATCCAACTTGTACTGCCGTTTGCTGACCAGCTGCACTGGATGTCGATCCCTTCCAAAGCAATCCAGAGACTGATACCTTGATGCGCTTTGCTCGTCCCTGTCGACCCTGTGCTATGGTTGTCGATATAGACCGGCACGATCGACGCCTTGGGAAGTCCAGACTCAAACATGCTGGATGGGTAGAGCATATGGAATGGATTCTGGGCCGAAAGCCCATCGCGATGCAGAGCCGAATCTGTGAACCGAAACTCAGCAGCACATGGCAAAACGATCGCGGCGGGATGCAGCCCGTCAGCCGAGGGACCAGTGCGTAGAGCCTGCAGCGTTGGGAGCGATAGACTGATGGGCCGATATTCACAAGCACAAATACAGGGGGTGAACACCAGGTGAGTATCGGATCATATGCAGATTCACTGCCACTGCTTCAGGCTCAATCGATCCGGTTTAACGAGGGGGGGGGAGCTGGTCAGTCAAATGCAAGGAGAGATTCTGTGTTGCTTTGTTGGTCCGATGCTGACCTGGTCATATCCACACTTTCGAGCTTCGATAGCGAGAGGAGCAGCGTCCAAAAGCTGTCGTCCTCTTGCCATTTGCTGGCCAGCGGCGACTCCCACTGTTGACCGGTGCGGTCGAGCAGGATGTGTCGCTGGGGATGTGCAGATCCACCAGGGTAGAGACGGTTCAGCAGCATCTCCAAAGTATTGGCCCGGTCGAACTGCCGAGTCTGGCGCAGCTCGAAGAGCATGTCTTGCAGTCGGCTTTGTCGGTGCAGATGCCCGCTGGACACAGTCGGAACAGGCCGGGAACCAGCGTCGCGGAGACGCTCTGGCAAAAAATAGTGTATGTAGCTCTGCTTGCTCGCACCAGCGGAGTGGTGTGCCAGCAGGCTCTGCAGCAGCTGCACAAACGACAGCGACGAGTCAGCAGCCATCGGTGCTGCGATGAAGGCGGGCAAGATCCGGGATGATCAGAGACTGCTGGGAATCGATTGAGGACCGCCAAAGCGCGGTGCCTCTTCTCGCGAGAGCGGTCTCCCCCCCCTTCTCGCCGAGCTTTTACCCTCCCCTCCAGTATGCAGCCAACCAAGCAGCCCGCCAGACACTTGTCTTCCAGACGGGATCGGAGGCGACCTCAGTGCCGAGCCTGGAAGTGGGAGCCCGTGGACAAACAGCCCGTGGACAAGAACAGCCCATGCTTGCGTCTGCGGTCCATCTCGTGGCGAGGAGGTGGACGGCGGGGTGGACGGATGTGGCGCAGTGTCGTGACTTGCACGTGATCGAGAGGGTGGGCCGGTCTCTCGCCTCCTCTCGCCTCCTCTCGCCTCCCTCTCGGCCTCTGCCAATTCCGGGGACATTGGCAAGTCCCTCGTCTCGCCCTCGCCCTGGCGCAACCCTTCCAGGACGAATCTCTCTCCCCCAACAGCCCATCGACGAGCACCCGCACTCGCTCTGTGTCGGCACCAACTCATGGTCTGTGTCGTTGCCATGCCGATCCCCAGCAGAGCTGCTCTGTGTCGGCAAAATGTGATCGCCTCTGCTCTGGCCAATGCTACGACGCTGACCAGCCCGCCTTTGTGCTCCGCGGAATGCAGGCCTCCAACACCAGAAGAAAGTCACGATCAGCGACGGCCGGTACGAGAACACCCATGCACCTGACTGTATCGATAGGCGACCTATCTGTGACTCTTGAGATGAATGTTTCGTGCCCGGGCCCTTGGTCTCGAAGCTTGCTGCCACAGCTTGATAGTCGAGCTGCAGTGCAGACGAGTTCGCTTTGACTCACCACCGATCCATCCGTTCGCGGAGCATGCAGTCCATTGCATGCCAGCGCACCACCTGTAGCTTCCACGGTGCACCGCTCACTCACTCACCTTTTCCTCCCTCTGTCTCTCTTATCCATTTCTCTGCTCCAACAGCCACACCGAATCCTCGCACCGATGACGAGCACCATGATCTCAAGCGACAGAGGTCTAGGGACGCTCTCCCCGAGACCCAGCGCAAGTCCAGGAGATCGACCCTGGGCGAAAGCGCCCCCAACATCCGCTGGGACCAGGAGCCTGTCATATCGATTAGCACTACCTCTGACATTCATCCCAAACGGCTGCAGTTCAGCCATGCAGCCGTTCAAACAGCCGGCCTAACACCGACCCGCACTCCCCGGCGTGCTGCTGTCACCCCTGTTGCTGCAACCGAACGCACTCCTGGAATTTTGAAGTCGGCCAAGGCCGCAAAGAAGCCGAGCCAGGAGGGCAAACGCCCTGCACCTTCGTCAGCAAAGTCGCAGAAGCGGGTTTCTATTCATGTATCGCCCAAAGCTCGAGAAGATGAGGACAGCGTCAGCGACAGCGATCAGAGCAATGAGGATAGAGAAAACGACGAGACCGGGAACCTGGAGGTTTCGCTCAGCGATGGCGTGGATGGCCAGCACGATAGCCGTGATGAGAGCACTGCAGATAGCGACGAAGAGCTCTATGTGACTCGCCCCAGCACCGCTGCCTCTCTGCGCCATGTGCCTGCTCGCTCCGCAAAGGAGGAATCATCTCTGTACATCAACGAGACCCACAGACCGCAAAGCCATTCAGCCCCCTCGGACCGAAGGCTCGGTGGATCCGCTGTCAACGGTGGTGAGTGTCGCCATGTGAAGTTGCAAATGCGACCGCATTCTTCGCAGTACAAGATTGACTCACCCAGGAGATCTATGATAGATTTCCATGGCAGCTCGTTGGATGGCGACTCGTCCACTCGGGTGTTGAGTGATCTCCGTTCACAATGGGAGAGCGACGACCTGCAGCGCCTCCGGACGGATCTGAAACGGCTCAAGATCCGATTTGATGATGTGAGTGTCTCTAGTGCCCCCTGGGTCCCTCCAGATTGTCGCCGTCTATGTAGGCTGCTCTCTGGAATATCAGGGGAAACATCGAGCCAAAGCCTGACAGTCTTGGTTCGCTCCAGCTCAACTCCAAAATGCAAACAATGCAAGAGCAGCACCAACTCAAGAACGCCGAGCTTATCCACGGCGCCGAGACCCGTTTTGCCGAGTACCAAGCAGCTGTCCAAGACGAGAAGCAAGGCAAGTCGGCATTTCCTGCTGCTGGGCATGAGGATACTTGCGCTGACGACATTCGGTCCACGCTTCCAATCAGCCAACGATAGCTTGATATCACACCTGCAAGGCAAAATGATCCAAATGACTGAACTCTATGAGAAAGAGGCATCCCTGCGCCGACGGCTTCAAAAGCACATTCACGAATCTGGTGGCGATCTGAGTTCGCTCCTGACGGTCTCTGAACAAGAGCTCGTAGCACAGGCGACCACATCCTCGGAGGCAACGCATGACCAGCATGCCAGCGCAAGTGCCCACGTACCCGATGCCGATATTGCAGGTGCGCCGTCATACGAAAGAGCCAAGCTTTTATGGCAATGTCCCTGGCCCAGCTTTGAAGCAGTGCCACGGCGGAGTGAGAGACCGATATCAGCCGGCTGAGATGATAGTGAGCGCTGACACACAAGCATCACCATCACCGCACCATCACCTAGCATCAACCGAGAGGGCAGAACATCTTCAGCAGGCGCTGGAAGCTCTTCAAACAGAGAATACTCATCTCAAGGAGCTCATCAACGAGCAACAGATAGAAATTGCGGTGCTGAAGCAATCGGCTGATGCCAAAAACGAAGAAACGAAAGCAATCAAGAACTTGCAGGCTCTGGCAGCCGTTGAAGCCGAATCGCTTAAGACGCAGCTCGAGCAGAAGGACCGCGAGGTTGCAGCAATCCGTGATGAAAAGGACGCTGTCGAGCGACAGAAACAGGCCAAGATTGATGAAATCATCAGCACCCTCAACCGCGAGCGCACAGAGGTCCAGGAACGATATGGCCAGGAATTAAACCAGCTCAGACAACAGGTGTCGGATCTCACCCGCGAAGCCTCCATGAATGCGATCGAAAACGCCAGCTGGAAGTCGAAAGGTAGGTTGAGCCATAGTCAGCGCATGCATGTCATGTTGAACGTCAGTGATGCAAATGCCATCATGCAAAAAGATACTGCTCCGAATGCTGCTGCTGCTGCTGCCGTGTTTCAAACTAGATCCAGTTGGATTAGCCCAAGTCACACTCGCTGTCGTAGCTTGGTCCGTCCAAACCAGGACTAACCCGGTATTCTCCGTTTGTCGCAGCCGAGTTCTCGAGCAAGGAGCTTGAAGAGGCCAGGCTCCGAATCACCAATCTGCAGAGCGCCTTGTATGCAGAGACCGAGAAGCAAAAGAAACTCGGAAGCGAGTTGAAATCCATCTCTAACCTCACCAAGATGGCGGAGATCTACGAAGAGCTGAGTGGCGTCGTGATCCAGTCAATCCGCCAGGAACAGGTCGAAGTTCAGATTGAGAACGAAGATGCCCAGCGCGAATGCGAAGTTGGGCCCGACGGCAAGCTCGTCGATTCCCAGGTTATCACAGACTTTGAAATCGTCAATACGGTGTCATGCCTGCTCCGAGGCGCGAAGGGTGGTAGGTTCATCGCTGTGCACTCGAGCTATCTCCTGGGCTATGGATTCAATGGTCAGCGAGCGGGTCCCGTCGGGCCGTTAGTCTGCTGCAGTTAATGCGGCCGCGTCCTGGAGTCGAGTTGCCGCCACACCTGAGAATCATGCTACCACCACTCCAATGCTGATTCGGCAACGGCTTTTGTCGTGCAGCCCTCCAGTTCTCTCTCCAGATTCCTCTGGAGTCGGCGCCCATGGACAAATCACCAATCACCTATGTGCCAGAGTCATTCAAGAGCGCAAAAGGCGAAGTATACAGATCCGGTCAACTGGACCAAAAGTTCATGCGGGAGCTGGAATTTGGCCGCGACCATCTATCGACCTTTTTCATGACCGTCGCAAAGGTTGTGCACGCCATCGACGATGCCTAAAGGCAGCATACGCATCCCTCCCTAGCATCAGTGCAGTCAAATGCTCGCAACACAAAACGGTGTGCTTTGTTTTGAGATCGGTTGCCACTTTTTTTTTTTTGCTGGGCTCTGAATACATACGACGACCATCTACTACGCTCTCGACTTGTCGACTGCTGCACAGAGGATGCTACGCTCCTGCCCGGGGCTCACACAAAGGTGCCACCATCGCCAGCGTGCGTATGCGAGCAGCATGCCTCGACGGCACGGCGAAGCCTGGCGGATCACCAATGTTTAATGTGGAGATGCTATGTGATGTCCCAGCACCCGCGGCGGCGATTGCGTCCAGATCAGGTTTTGCGCCGAGTCAGATGGTCGTAGATAACGACTTGGACATACTCGCTTGTGGAGATCGACACACGCGTCGTATTGTCCCCGGGTTTGGCTTCCTATTCATCGGCAAAAGGCGCGTGCGTTGGACGTTATGGACGATACCATGATGACATGGTAGCATGGTAACCGGTGCTGTCGCTGTTACTGTCATTGGAGCCTGGCGGTGGTGCACGCCGACGAAGTGTTACACCCGAGATGGCCAGCATACCTTTGGGTCGACATTGATGATTTTTCGGTCGCGCTTGTTTTTGAAGAGGAGGCCGTTCTCGTTGTCGGCAAGGACCTGGAAGTTGGGTGTGGCATTGGAGGTGCAGGTTTGGGTCTCCCAGTTGTAGAAGCTCATGTCCGAGGGCCGCGGCATCAGGATCTTCTGGCGGTTGAAGTAGGGCTCGAAGTTTTCGGTTTTGAGACGATGCGCATAGTCGATGTAGCCGGATATCTCCTGGCCCTTGGCATTGTTGGTGCGAATGAATATGATGGACTGGGGCGGACGGGATGCCATCGATCAGAACGACAGACCAGGTTTGTCCAAGGGTCAAAACCCTACGCTGTGAAATGTAGACCAATCCTGCACGCCTCGAAGGGTCTCGGATGTTCCCACACATACCGTCAGCTTTCCGCTCCGATTCGCCTCCTCACGCTCCGCAAGCGCCTGCAGGAACGGGAACTTTGACAGATCCTTGCCCTGCGACGAGAGTACTTTGGTTTGCAGCCGCTTCGAGAGCCGAAAGTTCTCGGCCGCCTTCTTGCGGGACTCGAACTCTTCGCGCTTGAGGGGCTCGCCAGAGCCGCGATAACCCAGCTCCACCAGTTGCCGTGCGAGCTCTTTATCCTGCCGAATGGCATTCGTTGCGGAGGGAGGGAGTGCATCCGCAACACAGCGGGGTCAGTGAAGACCACGAGGACCATGCAATCATCTCTTGAGTTGCGGCGGCTGCGATTCCGCCGCTCTGGTGGAGGCTGTGCTGCTCACAGGCACTGCATTTCGCTGCGGCCATGGCCGACCTCCAAATAGTACATATCCAGCGGGGTTATCTGCGAGTCCAGGTACTCTTCATAGGTCGCAAATTCGGTGACGGTGCTGTCGCCGGGATTTGGGATGTCGCCGAGCTCGTTTGCCATTTCGAGATATACAGTTCGGTTGATCGCAGCCGTCTGAGTGAAGGAGACGAGCAGGGACAGGATCCGCCAAGAGCTGCAGGGGCTTCTGTCGTGATTGGGCTGTTCATCTTGGACTCGAACCCTTGCCCATCGCCCATCCCATCGCCCATCCCATCGCCCATCCCATCCACCGCATACAGCCAGGACTTGTTCTCTTTCTTTGATCTCCATCAGGGAGATCCCCATCTGCTCACCGAACCACTCTCCAGCCTTTGCATCTTGCCGTCGCATCTTGCCGTCGCATCCTGCCTCGCCTGGCCCGGATTCGATACTCGTTGACACAGCCAAGACAAAAACCTGCGCCCCTGCCTCTCGGCTGCCTCCACCCCGCATCCCACTTCACACCAACTGGGTTTCTGGGCCAATGGACACTTATCGAGGCGCCGGCCACCAGAGTCTTTCCGTGACCAATTTCTTTTGCTCGCACTGCCAGCAGCCCATCCGCCTGGATCCGACACTGCTGGACTCGACTGCAATCGACCATGTCCGGTTGCAGCTTGCGCACTCGCCGAATTCATCGGGCAAGTCCCCGCGGTCATCGGTGGTGATGAAGAGCGGCTCACCAGCAAAGGCCGGCTCGCAGAGGTCCGGTACCAACGCTCCCTCGACTGTGGGCCGGGCGGCGGCCCGTAATGCCCTGCCCGTCTATGACTCCTTCATCATGCTTTCCAAGTCTCAAATGTCGCCCTACGGCGTCACAGCGACGCCAGAGGTCATCGTCGACCCATCCGAACCTGCTGGCTATCCTGATGGCAGCGGGTCAGGGGGGCCGAGGCTGAGCCAGACATCGTCATCCCAGGGCTCCATCGCCGCGGGGACCCTGAGCCACCGGCTCAAGATCGCCAACCGGCTGTTCGACATCATGTCTGGTACGTCGGCCGTTGACCATCCTATGTGTCTGGATTGTACCGAGGAGCTGTCGCTATCGCTGGAACGAAGGCTTTCGGATGCCAAGAAGGAGCTGGATTCGTATCGCACCTACTACGACCAGCTGCGACAGCAGGATCCCGTTGACATCCATAGCTCACAAGACATTGAAGGAGTAGGTGTCGAGACGATCTGAGGTGTCTTTCAGCAGCCTGAATGCCGGAGGAGGAGGAGGAGGCTGTGGTGGTGGTGGTGGTGGCCGGACTTGGACCAAGGACGAGCTGTGTCGATCGATTTACGTACATTCTCTTGGCAACAGCTCCGGCAGCGAGAAAAGAATGCACTCCGTGTTCTGGACGATCTGAAGCGGGAGCAGAATCAACTCAAGGATGAGCTTGCGGTACTAGAAGCTGAACTCGATGAGCTGGATCAAGAAGAGAACCGGTGTGTACCCTCGCCCGCTCATCTGGCTCTTGATAGATGGAGTACATGCAGATTCACTGACGATCGACGATGCCCATTGGCTGGGGATGGCGGTTTGTTCGACGACCTCAAGCTTGGTTCAAGATGTCGGGATCCTGGAGGAGGAAGTCTATCAGCGCAAGGAGGAGGTGGAGAGTCTCGAGCTGAAGCGTGAGCACGCCAAGAAGCAATTCGAAGTGCTGAAGAAAACGAACGTCTACAACGACACCTTCAGAATCTGGCACGACGGGCCGTTTGGCACGATCAACGGTAGGCACATGTTCTGGGGTGTGTGAGAGCGTTGGGTCGGACAGTGGGTCAAGCAGAGAGTATTTGCGGCGTTGGTCCGAACGATACCAGCGATCGGGAGCGACATCAGGCAACTCGGCTCTCCGCATCGGCGCCCACCGAGCCAGATATTAGTGAATGCCCTGAACCCACTTGTTTCCTGCAGCCAACGGTGGCTGTGTTTGGAGCGTCGCTTGATTGTGTTCGAGGCGGCTTGCCCCGGCGGCAACAGGGCCCGACGACTGACTGCCTGTCCGCTTCCGTTATTTATTTCCACTGCAGGATTTCGTCTCGGGCGGCTGCCTAATCAACCGGTGAGTAAGCCTCTCTTATAGACGAGAGGTGTCTCAAGTCTGATGCAGCAACCGTGGACAGAATACAGCGCTCATCCGGTTTTGTATTGCTCAAAGATCGACTGGAGCGAGATCAATGCTGGGATGGGCCATATGATACTACTCCTGGACACTTTGGCGCAGCGGCTTGGCTTCGCATTCAAAACGTAAGCGCCCTGTTGGTGCATTGCCTCTTTTGTTGGGATCGGCTTGGCCGCGCTGAACAGGGAAGCCTGTTTTGAGATAACTGACCTCGGGCTTGCCTCTTCCTGTGCAGTTACCGCCTGATTCCGATGGGGAGCTTCTCAAGAATCGAAAAAATCGACGACAAAAGCAGTCTCGAGCTGTATGTAGTTGGTTGTGCAGCTGCGGCAGTACGAGGAGACTTGGGGCGATGCGCTTTGCTGATTGCCTCATCCCTGCAGCTATGGAACTGCAGATCTTCACGGCATGCTTTTCCAGAACCGGCGCTTCGACAACGCCCTGGTGGCTTTCCTGCACTGTCTTCAGCAGCTGGGAGACTATGCCACAGAGCAAGATCCTCAGTTCCATCTCCCGTACCGGTATGTCCTGTGGACACGCCCCTTCTTACACCTCTCAAAGCTCTCGAGGATGGCCACAGCCGGTGCTCACTGACTCACTCTTATCGTTCCGAAACAGCATCAATAAAGAGCGGGTGGGAGACACATCCATCCGTCTTCAGTTTAACCAGGACGAGACTTGGACCAAGGCACTCAAGTACACATTGATCAATGTCAAGTGGCTGCTCGCGTTCTGCTGCACCAAGTCGCGCGGTTCGGCATGAGTGAATCGATTTTACCATTTGATGTCCGACGGCTGATGGCCGAGATTTGCTCGGCTCGAGGGTGCGTGGATCGCTGCTCCGTCGCTCCCAGGAAACTGCATGTTTGTGGGTCCTGAAACACCCCAAGCGCTGCTCATCCATGGCACGTCGTTCATCCATGGCACGTCGCTCATCCATGGCGCAGTGCTCATCAGTGGCACAGTGTTCATATGGCATATTGTTCATTCATCACCACTTTCGTTGCTGCCTCTGGTTTCCACGAGCGTGCCGCTCTGGTCAGTACGTCCCTGGATTCCAGTGGTCTGCGCACACCAAAGCACTGATACCGCTGTGATGAATGGGCAAGTGTGTATTCAGGAGCCAGAAAACAGTTTCTGGCCATAAATATAGGGCTTTCCGTCTCATCTTGCGCACCCTCGCATCACGTACAGCGGAGTGAACAGTGCTAACGAATACTCAAGCACGGGACAGGGGCTTTTCAAATCATGCCCACGCACCGAGTCTTCCTAATTATACAGCAAAGCCGATCGCTCAACAGAGCCCTAGTACGGCTTGAAGGTCGATGATGACTGGTGTGATGACCCGCGTCCACGACTTGAGGCCCCGCGAGAGACATTGCGACTCCATCCCAGATTCATTGGCGGTCCAGGGCGAGGGGCCGCTTGTTGTGCGTGGGTCAGGCCGGGTTGGTGCGGCGGTCGCTGATGGATCGTCGATGGTGGATTACTGGTTCGGTAGGGCTGGCCGTAGCTCGAGTCGGTGCCATAGCCGTTTCGCGATGTGTCTGCGTTACCGGCATATCCACTGCTGGCGTAGCTGCTCGAGTAGTTGCTGGAATAGCCGCTGTTGGGGTATCCGCTTCCTCCGCTCGAGGGTCTGTACCCAGCATTAGATCCGTGTCGCGAGGTACTGCGGTCGAGACTCGAGGCGTAACTCTGGTGGTATGGAGAATTCGCATGTTAGGATATGACTGCACGCTCTTCACCGCGTTCCACTCAAAGAAACCCCTCAAAGAAACCCCCCCCCAAGAACCGCCACATGCGCACAAAGCGAGCGACGCCTATCAATGTATGTTTACCTGACTGCCCGCATAATGGCCATAGTTGCTGCTGCTTTGATGGTAACCGCCGCCGGACGAATGCGAGTAGTGTGACGGGGCGGTCGGATGATGCGAATCACGCGGATAGCTCGATCCTGACCGGCCGCCGTCGTAATCTTGTCGATAGCTGCCCTGATATCCTCGCTGGTCGTAGCCTGAGCTGCGATGCTGCGGCTGGCCATACGCCGACTGATGGTGAGATCCACCGGAATAGCTGTTGCCGGAATATCCACCTGGGCCGTGGTATCCACCACGGCCGCTGCCACGATAGCCTTGTGACCCGCCTGAGTGGTGGGTGTACGACGAAAATCCTGAAGTTGATCGATATCCGTTGTCATGCCGAGCCAGGCCGTCTGTTGTGTGGCTTCCGTAGCCTCCTCCACGACCGCCACCACGACCACCACGACCACCACGACCGCCGCCTCTGCCGCCTCGCTTGACGCCGGTGGTGATCCACCAGTAGTCGTCGGCATTCAGCTCGCGGGGAGGAAACAGGACGTTGGGTAGCAGTTTTGCTTCGAACTTCTTGTCAACCTTGGGCATCTCATAAACAACACTGTGGCAACAGGGTATCAGGAAACCTGGTCGGTATGTGTCTCGGATGGAGCCTTTTCGCGAAGCTATCGATCGTGGCGCGCTGATATCTAACCAAGGCAGAGGATCAAGACTCCCACCTGATTGAATGAACATCTTTGACGTCAGGGAGGCCCAACTCACTGAGTGGGCTTTCGAACGTTGAGCCAGGCAGAACCACGGATGCATCCGGAAGGATGCAGCCAGTCATGTTGGCAACGTGCGAATCGAGGGCAACGGGCTGATGAAGTGTGCACGATGCACTGCATTAGACTCACGGCTGACAGGAAAACGTAGCTCCACGGAGCTCGCGCGTTTCGAATTCAACAGTGGCACATACCTCCTTGACGACCTTCTTCCCGTACAGGATGTAGAGGGATTCAAAGGCGGGGTGGCTCTCGCCTAGAAATAGGAGCTCTTTGCCACGCGTGTTGCGTTCAACCTCATCCATGGTGAGCAAGTGATATCGCGTCTTCATGGCGGCGAGCAGGCGATCCTGGTCAATAAACGGCAGCAGTGCCACGCCTGCAGATGCGAAGATCAGTAGCGCCAAGAAGATTGGGTATCAGTTTCAAGACCCCTCCTGATTGCTCTGCTGCGGCAGCGAATGGATCCTGGAGCTCGAGTCGATATTGACTGAGCCAAATTGTCATTGAGAGTGCACCAGAGACGGAAATATGCCTAGGCATTGGGTCATCATCCAGACAGCCAGCACGCGCAACACAAACCTTGCCAGGCGAATTTCTTGCCGTTCAGATCGATGGGGAATCTTGTCGGATAAAAGTCGATAATGGGGCTGTCTTCCTCAGTCATAAGCGAATGGAACGCCTTGGGAATATGCGCTCGACTGGCGGCCGGAAGCACACCCATAAGTTGCTCGACTGGATTGAAGGGTGCACCGAGCTTGAACTCAATCTTGAGCTTGCCGATACCGAAGAAGTCCGATGCAAAGGGCGAATAGTGGTACGGGTAATACCACTCCCACGACGAGCAGCCTTGGTAATAGTACTTGAGCACCCAGCAAAACCCTTCGACATACGACTTGGCGATCCTTTGAGTGCACAAAATGGCACGGACCGATGCGGCCAATCGTTGCGGAAGGTGATGTCGGAGCAGGACCGTTGCGGGTTCAGCGTAGCCATGAATGTCAGAATGCGACCGAGACAGGGTCGATGCGATGTATGGTTTCAGAGGGACAGTAAGAGCATACCGAGTGCGCACGCGACGAAGCAGGATCACAGACATACCCCTCACGGAAAGCTTGGTCCGACAGATCGACGCCGAATTTGTTCTGGTAATATCGCTCTTTCCAGCCGCTCTCCCACAGACGAATGTTGTCCGGCGGGTCTTCAGACACCGGCTCGGCTTTGGGCTTCTTTGTGACCAAAGGAACAACGTTGACTTCGGCGGTGGTGTCATCATCATCGTCGTCGTCGGCTTCGCTCTCAGCTCCATTGACCTCGGGCTCTGCACCGTCTGTTGTTCCGGGGCCGTCTTCGGCGCCCCGCTTCAATCCTCGGGAGACAGCAAACGCACTCTGCTGGGTAGCGTCCTTATCGGTGTTCAGGTCGGTGTTCAGGTCGGTGTTCATGTCGGGCCCTGTGTTTGCTTCGGACGCAATGTCTGACGCTTCGACGGGCTCGGCATCCCCAGAATCGGGCTGAGCTGGTGCTCGGTCATCCACAGTCTCCATCAGCGAGGCTTTCAGCAGCTCGGCAGCCTTTCTATTGGCCTCGAGCTGCTGGCCCTGATCGCGTTTCTCTTGGAGATCGCGCACGACAGCTCGCTTCTTTTCAACTTGTTCCTTGTTGAGTCGCCCACGATCGGCTTGCGACATGTTGACGGGGTACGAGGCAATGTCTTGCATAGCCTCGACCACGGCCGGGACCGAAGCAGCCATGCGCGCCCTCTTTTGCCGCTGCCGCTGCTCCTCCTGTTCCTTGTCACGGCGGATTTTGGCCTCTTTCCGTCGCTCCTCGTCCTCTTTGCGCTTCCGGAAGATTTCATCCTCCATTTCTCCCAGGCTGGTCAGCAACATTTCTGCACGGGACAGGTCAATGTCGCCATGATCGGTGAGATAGCCGCCCGAAACCGGAAGGTTCTTTTTCCAGATGTCGATGAGCTTGTCGATGGCACCTTCGCGGATTTCGAGCGATGGCAGATGCGGGAGGAAATCGTTTCCGACAAAGAAACACAAAAATACCCAGTCATCGATGGCGCGCTCCAGGTCCCAGTGGAAGGGCAAATCGGTGCATTTGAGCTCGACCTCGAGATACTCGCGAAGAATGTGTACATGGAGAAACACAAACGGCTTGAGCGGAATCGGCGCTCCCTTCTCGTCGTGCTCGCCGTTCTTTTCCTTGGGTTTGCCTAGAATTGCCGCGCATTCGGAGGTGGCGGTTAGAAGAGATTTGGGCGTTAGCAAGCAGCTGAGCCACCGGATGGCGGTGCACACATGCCAGCCATCTCTTGGCTCGCCATTGCACGATCAGCATGCTCGTGCATTGTATGCAAGCGCCACATAACTTACCAGTGCAATCTGCAGCCATGTGTCCCTCTTGACCGCAGATGAAGCACCCACGTCCACCCTGTTTGAAAAAGACGTCCTCACGCAGGATCTTGAAGTGTGGCTCGTGCGTCGCGAGAGCCAGCATGATCAGATCGGCATCAAGTCCATAGAGCACATGTCGGGTGTTGGGGTCGTGCTCGGGGGTGCTTCGTTGTCGACGAATATAGTCCATAATCTTGTGTTCGCCTTCACCTGGAACACTAGCGTCAGAAAGTATGACTTTCAGCTACAGTGATCGGTAAATGGTTGGGGATGACGGATACAAGAAATAGAGCGGCAGTGCGCAATGAGGAGCTCATAGTTGTAAATGCACTGCATGCTGCATCGCATATCCGAGATGCTGCGTCCTCACATGCTGCAAGCCCGTACGACAGTGTGCAGGCCAGGATCGACAGACCGTTTTGCATGCAACAGATCGTGTGCGGTTGTGGCCCGGCGTAAAAATCCGCTCACTGACAAAAATACTCACGTTCTTCCAACCAGGATCATTGTTCAGCCTATCGGTAACATAGTACCGCAGCATGATTGCCAGGTTGCTCATGAACGGCGTGCCGGGGGTAATGCAGTTGGAGTCGAAGTGCTCAGATTCAGGTTTCTCGGGCAGGGCTTCGTTGTGGGAAATTTCCCACTCCTTTCTGAGCTTGCTCTCCTCTTCCTGTGCCTGCATGGCTTCGAGCGATGCGCGGAAGCGGCGGGATCGCTGCTGGTTCATCTTGGCTCGAGGAGCAACACCGTCTGCAGCGACGATCACGACACACAGTCAGACAACCGAGTATGTGACATGCCTCGGAAGAGTGCAACTGGCAAGGCAAGGCGCTCTGGATAATCCTCGCTTGTAACACCGGTCCGATATGACGCCGCTAGTCAGACATCGGATCAAGTATGGGCCAAAACGGGTGCGAGTCATACCAATGGCCATGTAGAGGATCTTGCGGGGCCGGATCATGGCGACGATCCGATCAATGTACTTGAAGATCTCGACATACATTTCCTCCTCGGTCTTGGGTGCTGGCTTGTCCTCGGGGTGACAGCACGGGTGGATGATGCCATTCATGTCGAGATAGAGATTGTCGAACTCGACGCCGTTGGGATTCGGTTTGGTGATGTCGACAGGCACGGCCTGTCCGTCGATCTCCTTGGCTTGCTCCTCAACCACAGCAGTGGAGATTTTGGGATACTTGGTCGAGAGCCATCGGAAGAGAGCGGGAATACTGTGAAAATGATGGATAGCCCCGAGGCAGACGTCAGTGAGTGTCGATGGCACTTTGATATGATCGGGGGGTGGTGGTGGGTGTCGAGCGAGGTGTGCCCGCGGGGAGGCCAGCTCGCCGGCCGAATGATCAAAGCGACGCATCGATACGAGTGTGTCAGGGAACACGTCTCGAGCGGCTTATTCATTCGTTCCTTAGTTCACTCATGACATCGGGGCGCAAAGACCCGAATGCATCCCAGCACGGCTGGGCCTCGTTGTGCAGATGTGCAGATGTGCAGATGTGCAGTTGTGCAGTTGTGCAGTTGTGCAGTTGTGCAGTTGTGCAGTTGTGCAGGCATCGCCCGCGTGTTTGGGAAGGCAGCGGCGGGGGGCTCGACACTCTCGACGTGATCGCTCTCGCATTGTGCTGGGGTCTGGCGGGGGGGGGCAAGGCAGAGGCATACCCCATGGCGGACTGCTGGGCTCGGGTGGACTGTTGCTGGACCGGACAGGAGAGGCAGGGGGGCCAGCGGGTTGCGGATGCAGCTCTTGCAGATGAATGTGCAGGACGAGGCAGTCTCGGCCAGCAAGGGCCCGACAACAAAAAAGCAGGCCCTAATGAACTTTTAATATGCGCGGCTCGAGTGCGGATCCAGCCGGCTGTGCCGCCGGCCAGCCAAAGCTGAGCCCTCCGGCCTGAACTGGCGAAATGCGGGTTTGCGAGCGAAGGATTCGAGATCTCGCCCCTCCAACCAGCAGCACCCCCCCTGGCGGTCTTCGGCACCAGCAGCATCCCGCGCTCGTCCATCACCCCCGTCTCCAGCCTCGATCCCAGCGTCCCCTGCCTCTCGCTGAAGGGCACTTGCTGCAGGCTGTCCACCTGTGCCTCGGTCTGTCAGCCTCCGCTGCATCCGGCTCAGTCCCAAATCCAACAACAACCCGCCTTGCTCCGGCCCTCAGCTTCAACCGATAAGAGCAGGGTCGGTATCTCAGCTGTGACTGCTTCTGGATCGACTGTATCCTGTCCCTGCTCGATCCGCCAGCCCGGATTTGTGTCAGTGAAACTGATTCATCCGCAAACAGGCCTGTCGCCCCATACCCCTCTCCGCCGAGGCCGACTCGCTGTATTTCCAGGATAGGGAATAGGTAACTCCTTGGCCCCGTCGCTGTCTCTCGGTGGTTCTGTGTGTCGGAGTTGCTCGGATGGCCCGGTGTTTGCTGGCTGCTGCTCCTGTCCAGTTACTGTCCAATACAATGGCAAGCGACGCTCTAAACCGCTTTTGTACATCCGGTGTTTGCCCCACTCTCGCCGACCTCCGAAGGTCTCTGTCGCACCTCGTCCGATTCTATTCCGAAGCCACTCTGCCACGACGGTAGCGTACGAGCAGCTCGCCAAAGTAATACACCTGCGACCGTTTGTGAGCAATGGGTGCTTGTGATAGACTGCTTTGGGGTGACTGTGGCCATCTCAGAGCTATCCGATTTCACCTGAGCAAACGGCAGCCTGCGACCGTGTGCCTATGCGGGCCATGAGCAGCTTGATTGTGACCCATGTGCTTCTTTGCAACCTATCTCGTTCACAGCACCGAACTCTCCTGCATCGATTTGAGCTCATTCAACGCAGCCACATCACAACACTATTCCAAGAGTTGGATACTGTCAGAAAATCACCAAAAAAATAATTGGATCTCGATGTTGGTATCTAGATTTGACTTGCTGCTGGGTTTGGCCCGCCGCTGGCTGTCACCACCGCACTGGCCTTGGAATTCGCTCGACAGACTGGATCTACGGCTGCGAGCTGTTTTGGACTGATAAAGCCTCACAGAAAACATCTCGCTGACACGGTTGCGTTGGTATTGCTCTGCTCCAGAATCTCCATCCGTTCTACTTTTGCCTTTGATTTTTGTCACCCAAATACCTCACCATGGTCGTTTCGGGATCTGTCAGTGCTTTTCCGTTTTCGTCGGCTCCTTTGAAGAGCGTGAAGATGGTCCAGTTTGGCATCTTGGCTCCAGACGAGATTGTAAGTTCTGCGGACGGTACATCGTCGCTGCTCGATTGCGGTGCTATGGCGCTGTCTCGATCCTAACGCACCAATACGTTTTCCCTTGGCTATGTACTTGCGTGTGCAGAAAGCCATGTCTGTCGCCAAGATCGAGACTGCCGATCTCTTTGAGGGCGATCGCCCGAAAATTGGTGGTCCACTCGACCCCAGAATGGGCACCATCGATCGCAATTTCAAGTGCTTGACTTGCGGCGAAAACATGACCGACTGTCCTGGCCACTTTGGCCACATTGAGTTGGCAAAGCCCGTCTTTCATTGCGGTAAAGGATCGTTGCTGCGAGCCTGTGGGCCAATCTGCATCAGACCCTGCCGCCAAGCTGCTGTGGTGACTGGCGGCACCCAGCACGCTTATGAGCGCTCGCAGCATTCACAAGGCCCTACTGATGAGTGATCGTCATCAACAGGCTTTATAAAAAAGATCAAAAAGGTCTTGGAGTGCGTGTGCTTCTACTGCGGCAAGCTCAAGGTCGACGACTCGAACGAAAAGTTCAAAAAGGCGCGTCTTATCAAGGACCGCAACCGCCGTTTCCAAGAGGTGTGGGAGCTGTGTCGTGCCAAGACCGTCTGTGAAGTTGGCGACCTGAACGAGGACGAGCACGGCGGCGACGATGGGCACCGTGGCGATGGCGTCAGCCAACGCGCAGACTCCAAGCCAAAGGGCAAAGCACACGGCGGCTGTGGCTCCAAGCAGCCAGCGTTCCGGAAGCTAGCACTCGATCTGAGCTACACTGTGGTGCTCAAAGATGATGTTAGTATTGCCAGATTCTGCACATTTGCCGGCCACGCTCCGTCACAAGGCACCTGGCGCTAACGGCCGCTGTTGGTGCTGTAAATAGAACGACCAAACCAAGGAAACCAAGAAGGTTGACCTGACTGCCGAGAAGGTGGTCAGTATCTTCAAGTCCATCTCCGAGGAAGACATCAACAACATGGGTCTCTCGCAGGACTGGGCTCGTCCAGAGTGGATGTGCATAACCGTCTTGGCAGTGCCGCCGATGCCGGTGCGTCCTGCCGTCAACATGAACAACGGCGGTGGTGTCAGCCAGGACGATTTGACCTACAAGATTGCCGACATTGTCAAGACCAACAACTTGCTGCGAAAGCACGAGGCTGAAGGCTCGCCCGCCCACGTCATCAATGAGTTCGAGAAGCTCCTGCAGTACCATGTGGCCACATACATGAACAATGACATCTCGGGCATCCCCAAAGCCCAGCAGAAATCTGGCCGTCCGGTAGGTATCATGGCCGGCACAAACGCGATGGCCGTCTGACGGAGCAATTCGGCGGGTTGGCCTGCGCATTCACTGACATTCTGCGCACACTGCCTCCTCGCGCTGCAGCTGAAATCGATCCGCGCCCGTCTCAAAGGCAAGGAAGGTCGTCTGCGTGGCAACCTCATGGGCAAGCGTGTCGATTTTTCGGCGCGAACTGTCATCACCGGCGATCCCAATCTATCGATCGACCAGGTCGGCGTTCCGCGCAGTATTGCTCGCAACCTGACCTTCCCCGAGAACGTGACCCCGTACAATATTGCGCGTCTGCAAAAGTACGTCCAGAACGGGCCGATGGAACATCCCGGTGCAAAGTACGTCATCCGCGACAACGGCGAACGTATCGATCTGCGCTACAGCAAGGTTGGCCGTGACATCCACCTGCAGCCAGGATACAAGGTCGAGCGGCATCTGATGGACGACGACGTCGTCATCTTCAACCGCCAGCCGAGTCTGCACAAGATGAGTATGATGGGCCATCGTGTCAAAGTCATGCCGTACTCGACCTTCCGCCTCAACCTGTCCGTCACGTCGCCCTACAATGCCGACTTTGATGGAGACGAGATGAACCTGCACGTTCCGCAGTCCTACGAGACGCGGGCCGAAATCCAGGAGCTGTGCATGGTGCCGAAGCAGATTGTGACGCCGCAGAAGAACGGGCCCTGCATGGGTATCGTGCAGGACACGCTCTGTGCGATCCGCAAGTTCACCCGGCGCGACTGCTTCCTTTCCAAAGACATGGTCATGAATCTGCTCATGTGGGTCCCTGACTGGGACGGCACCGTCCCCACACCGTGCATCATCAAGCCGATTCCGCTCTGGACGGGCAAGCAGATGATGAGCCTGATCATCCCGCGCATCAACATGGTCGGATATCACATGGCCCATCCGGACGACGAGAAGAGCGACATCAGCCCTGGCGACACCAAAGTCTACATCGAGGACGGCGAGCTCCTGACGGGCATTCTCTGCAAAAAGACCGTCGGGTCCTCGCAGAACGGCATTATCCACATCACCTTCAACGAGCATGGCCCCGAGGCCGCCAAGGGCTTCTTCAACAGCTGCCAATTGATCGTCAACTACTGGCTGCTCCACAACGGCTTCTCGATCGGTATCGGCGATACCATTGCCGACAAGCAGACCATGGAAAAGATTAACCAGAGCATCCAGTCTGCCAAGGCCGAGGTCAACAAGATCATTGCCAAGGCCCAGCGCGACGAACTCGCTGTTCTCCCAGGCATGACTATCCGACTCAGCTTCGAGGCTCTTGTCAACAAGGAGCTGAACCGCGCTCGTGATATGGCTGGCAAGAGTGCCGAGCGCTCGCTCAAGGAGCAGAACAATGTCAAGCAGATGGTCACTGCGGGTTCGAAGGGCTCCTTCATCAACATTTCGCAGATGACAGGCTGTGTCGGCCAACAAAATGTCGAGGGCAAGCGTATTCCCTTCGGCTTCAAGGACCGCTCGCTGCCGCACTTTACTAAAGACGACCACTCACCCGAGAGCCGTGGTTTTGTCGAAAACTCGTATCTCCGTGGCCTGACGCCACAGGAGTTCTTTTTCCACGCAATGGGTGGACGTGAGGGTTTGATCGACACCGCCGTCAAGACGGCCGAAACCGGCTACATCCAGCGCCGCCTGGTCAAGGCCATGGAAGATGTCATGGTGCGCTATGACGGCACCATCCGCGACTCGCTCGGCACGGTCATCCAGTTCTGCTACGGCGAAGACGGCATGGACGGAGCCAAGGTCGAGCGACAGAACCTCGAAAGTCTTGCCATGTCTGACGCCAAGTTCGAGAAAGCCTATCGCGTCGATCTGACCGGCGGACAGTACGGCCTCAAGCCTGGTGTGCTGGACTTCCGGACCCAAGAAAACCTCCTCAGCGACGGTCTGACCCAAAACCGGCTGGACCAGGAGTTTGAGCAGCTTCGCAAGGATCGTGAGACGCTGCGGTGGACCATCTTCAAGGACGGTTCGTCGAGCTGGCCGCTCCCCGTCAACCTCAAGCGACTGATCTGGAATGCCCAAAACCAGTTCGAGGTCGATCCCCGCAAGCCCACCGACCTGCACCCACTCCATATCACCGAATCGGTCGAGCAGCTGCTTGACAAGCTCGTCGTCGTTCGTGGCAACGATCCACTCTCGGTCGAGGCCCAGAAAAACGCAACTCTACTGTTCCAGATCCTGGTTCGCAGTACGCTGGCGACGAGGCGCGTGCTCGAGGAGTTCCATTTGAATTCCAAGTCATTCCAGCATCTTATTGGAGAAATCGAGATGCGCTTCAACCAAGCGATCGCCCACCCCGGCGAGATGGTTGGAACAATCGCGGCCCAGTCGATCGGTGAGCCTGCGACCCAAATGACCCTCAACACCTTCCACTACGCCGGTGTCGGCTCCAAGAACGTTACCCTCGGTGTGCCGCGCCTCAAAGAAATCATCAACGTCGCCAAGAACATCAAGACACCCTCGATTCAGGTGTTCTTGCTACCCGAGCATCGTCAGACCGTTGAGAAGGCCAAGCGCATCCAGACACGGCTGGAGCATACGACGCTGCAGAAGCTCACGGCCGCCACCGAGATCTGGTACGACCCCGACCCGCACAACCCGATCAACCAGGAAGACAAGGAAATTATGGACACATACTTCGAGCTCAGGTCGGAGAGCCGCGATTCGGCGTTCTCGCCGTGGGTCCTGCGTATCGAGCTGGACCTCAACAAGAAGCTTAGCAAGGAAATCCCGATGGAAAGCATCTGTGCGCGCCTGTCGGAAGAATACGGCGACGACCTCAAGCTCTGGCACGCTGATGATAACGCCGAGAGCCTGTTGATTCTGGCCCGCTGCACAGTCAAGGACGACGATAGCAGCGACAGCCGCCTGTCCGAGGAGTCGTTCCTGAAGCAACTCGAGTACATGATGCTCCACACCATCACCCTGTGTGGCGTACCCGACATCAAGCGCGTCTTCATTTCGGAAAGCAAGTACAAGACCATCGACGACAGCGGCGTCTTCCAGAGTCTGACGGAGCAATATCTCGAGACGGATGGAAGTAACTTCAGGGAAGTGCTTTCCTTCCCCGGTGTCGACATGTCGCGCACGTACACCAACTTTACAGTCCAGGTCATGCAAGTCCTCGGTATCGAGGCCACCCGTGCCGCTGTTCTGAAGGAGACCCGCAAAGTCATCGAGTTTGACGGCTCGTACGTCAACTACCGCCATCTTGCCCTGCTTTGCGATATCATGACTCACCGTGGCCATCTCATGGCCATCAGCCGACACGGTATCAACCGCACCGAGAAGGGCGTCCTGGCTCGCTGCTCTTTCGAAGAAACGGTGGAGCTGCTCATGGACGCTGCTGCGGCAGGCGAACTCGATACTTGCCGTGGCGTCAGTGAAAACATTGTCCTCGGCCAGCTCGCGCCACTTGGAACCGGCGGGTTCTCGGTTATCCTGAACGAAGAAATGCTCATGAATGCCTACGTTGCTCCTTCTTGGGGCTCGGCCCAGGAGCCAGGTATGATGGCCTCCATGGATGGCTCCAAGACACCGGCCCAGACGCCCTACTGGAACCACAGCCCCAGCCCGATGCCGATGACCCCTGGTGGCGGATACTCGCCTATCGCTCCCGAGTTCTCGCCCTTTGACAAGCGCGGTGGTGGATGGAGCCCGGCGGCTGGATACCTCCAGAACAGCCCCGTCTACTCGCCAACAAGCCCGCTGTACTCGCCAACGAGCCCAAGCTACTCGCCAACCAGCCCTTCGTACTCACCCACCAGCCCTAGTTACTCCCCAACGAGCCCGAGCTACTCGCCAACCAGTCCCAGCTACTCGCCAACCAGTCCCAGCTACTCGCCGACCAGTCCCAGCTACTCGCCAACGAGCCCAAGCTACTCGCCAACCAGCCCTTCGTACTCACCCACCAGCCCTAGTTACTCCCCAACGAGCCCGAGCTACTCGCCAACCAGTCCCAGCTACTCGCCAACCAGCCCATCGTACTCGCCGGCCAGCCCAAGCTACTCGCCCGCCAGCCCGAGCTATTCACCAGCATCGCCTTCATATTCACCGGCATCGCCTTCGTACTCGCCCGCCAGTCCGTCGTACTCACCTGCGTCGCCCTCGTACTCCCCCACCTCCCCATCGTACTCGCCAACAAGCCCGTCGTACTCGCCCACGTCTCCGTCGTACTCTCCAACATCACCCTCGTATTCGCCCACGTCGCCCTCCTACTCGCCTGCATCGCCTTCATACTCTCCCACATCACCCTCCTATGCCCCCGCCTCCCAGATGTACTACAACTCTGGCATCAGCCACTCAACTTCTTCGCCGGCCTACGCCCCCTCATCTTCAACTCCCAGCTATGCGGCCGGAGGCTCAGCCTACCGTCCTCCTGGCCAGCCTGGCGGCTCTGGCACGTCCCAGAGCAACGGGAACCAGAACTACAGGTAACGTGTTGGCCCGCATCAGTTCGCTTGCCATGTTGGAGCTGCTTGGATCGATGATGCTGGATGTTGTGCTGAGGCTGACCCGTCCTTGCCCTCAGCCCTTCGTACTCGCCCGCACACTAGTGCTCGGTCGCTGAGGCTCGATGTGCCCGAGTCCTGCCAAGATATGAGCGTATGCGCTCGCCCCCGAGTGTACCGGCTCGCTCTCTTTTTTGTCTGTCTGTTTGTTTTGTTTGATTGAGACCCACCACCACCGATGCCGAGGGACGAGTAAAGTGTATGGGAGCGACTCTTTCTTGCGAGCATCGACAAAGCGCAATGTATTGCAGTCTACTCGTTGCTGTTGTGCCATGTTTGATGCTCGGCGAATCCGGCGCCAGTGGACAGATTTGGCAATATCATTCCGTCCGTCCACATCCACCTCCACACCCATGTGTGCATCTTGGGCGTCTCCAGACCGACCGAGTGGTCTGCGTGTATTCGGGGCAGTGTGCTTGTTGCCTTGGTCACTTGCGCTGTGCTCGATTCGAGATCTCGCAAGATCCCTCCTCGCGCCACATCCAGCCGCCAAGTTGCCCAGCGGACAGCGGACGGATTCTCTCTCTCTTCTGATCTGCATCGACCGGCCACCGAGACCAACGACTGCTCTGCAATCGCCAGCCCACACCTTCAACTCTTTCGTCGATCGCCGAAACATCCTATTTGCCTCGGCTGGGTGTCCCTGTGCCCTGGTGCTGCCCTCCTCGCTTCCTCACTCTCCCACGCACCACCACCACCCGCTCTCACTCCCCGCACGTCCACTCGCTCCGAGTATGTCGGATAACAACAAGCGCCAAGGCGACCTCGACGGCGATCGGTCTGCCGCCAAAAAGCCCAAGCTCGACACCCTAGATCAGATCCAGCAGGCCCGAAATGAGATCCAGGCCAAGCTTGCGGCCATCAAAAAAATGGCTGGCCAGGGTGCAGCACAACCCGGCAGCGAGGCACCCTCTGCACCTCTCTTGGGGCAGACCGGCAGCGCAGCAGCAGCATTGCCGACGCCGCTGTCAGCATCAGCGCCATTGTCTACACCGTCGACATCGACATCGACATCGTCGCTGCCGGGGGGCATGACGGATGTAGCCAGGAAAATCGAGGAGGCCAAAGCTCGACTCAAAGCGACCATTGCGGCATCGTCGCAGGCCAGCGTAAGCTTGGGTGCAGGTGATGGGTCGGGTGAGGAGAGGAGAAAGACAGGAACGTATGAGGCGGGGGGGGGAGACGGAGGCAACTTCCACCAAGTGGCTCACGATCACTGCTGCCATCCAGCATTTGGAGCCGACAGCCATTCTTGACGGCCGCGAATCCGGAATAGGAACGGATGCTCTGATGGCACTAACGACCTTCTCATCTGTTCGTCTTCTCATCTCCGGATGCTGCGACTTGTGGCATCAACGGCTTAGATTCTGTCGCCGGCCCCGCCCGCCGACAAAAGCAAGAGCGGCCTGAACTTCCAGCTCCCCGACTTTAACGACCCATCGGCGATGCCCAAACCCATCTTTGCGACCACCAAGGCCAACATGCGCATGATGGAGAAGAAGGCCGAAAAGGCCGCCGCGGTGGCTGCAGAGAAAAAGGAGATCAAGCTCTTGCCCCCACCGAGCAAGGAAGAAGTGTTTGATGTATCCTATTTTGACGAGAAGCTGGCTGTGGCATCGTCGCTGGCTCCGCGACCACGACCGTCTCGATCGCTGCGGTTTGCGCAAAAGGGCAAGTTTATCGAGCAGGCCAACCAGATGCGGGCCCAGGTGAAGATCGAGCGAGAGAGAAGTGAGGGCCCCAGAGGGCTCGAGGATGTGGTTGGGTGGAGAGATGGAAGGGAGCTCATGAGGCAGCCGCTTGTCTTTGTTTCAGCGAATCGGGTTGATCGTTGGTCATTGGCCAGGACGCCGTCGGTGATTTGATTTCGATCATATCGCCCACTGCTTATGCGATGCGATCGATCCTTGTCTTGCAGGCCCAGCTCGAACAGCTCAAGAAGCAGATCGCCGAAACAGTTAAAAAGACAGGCATGGACGAGAACCTGGATCTTGTCTCTGACGCCGCGATTCGAGTAAGCACCGACATCCACTCACGCTGGGACGCTGCATTGGGGACATGAACTTTTGCAACTTGCTGCTACATTGACGAAGCCGAGCGCTTGGCATGGGAGGCGATGTCTTGCGACTACTCCGCTTCCCTCCTCGTTTCCCTTCTCCTTTCCCTCGCCGTCTCCTGTGTCCCGCTGGATCGGTTGCTGGGAATGTGCTAACGAGTTCGTCACTTGGTCCATAAATTTCAGAAAGAGCCCCCGCCGGAAGTGGAATGGTGGGATGTCCAGCTTGTCCCTAATGTCAGCTACGACGAGTTTGATCCCAGCACGGACTTTAACGATGAGGAGGATCCGCCAATTACCGAGCTTGTCCAGCATCCGATTCCCATCCCGCCTCCTGCCGAGCCGGATGCACCCGCACCGCGTCCTATGATGCTCACGGCCAAGGTATGCAGAGCGATAGGATCGATGGAAGAACTCTTAGAGAGAGAAAAGGACAGTAGCCGAGCATATCTAATCGCTGCAGGGGGGGGGGCACTTGATAACTTGGCGTATGAGGAGAGGTGGCCATGCAGCTCTGCTCTGTGCTGGGCGGGGGGGCATACTCGCTACCAACGACCGAGTTTGTGGTGCTCTATCAAGCATCATGGCAGGTTGCACATAGAGGAGCCTAGGGCCACCAGTGCTCGTGTGCGGGTTTCTGTTGAGCTAATTCGTTTGTTCGGGGGGGGGCAACTCGGATGTACAGGAAAGGAAAAAGCTGCGACGACAGCGTCGACTCGAAGCCCAGCGCGAGAAGCGCGATAAGATCCGACTCGGACTGCTGCCACCAGACCAACCCAAGGTCAAGATATCCAATTTGATGAGGGTCCTGGGCACCGAGGCCGTGCAAGACCCCACTAAAGTCGAGGCTTATGTGCGAAAGCAAGTGGCCGATCGCCAACTGGCCCACAAACAGCATAACGAGGCCACAAAACTCTCGGAGGAGGCCCGGCGCGACAAGAAGGAGAAGAAGATGGCCGAGGACACGAGCAAGTTTGTCCATGTTGCGGTGTTCAAGTAAGCTGATGTCACTGCTTCTGTTGCTTCTACTATTGCGAATTGGGATCTGCAGAGCGCTCAGCAGAAGAATGCATCGTCGCAATCAACTGGACAGCGCTGTTCTGATCGCATCTGCATCCATGCTCGCATCTGCATCCATGCTCGCATCCGCATCCTTGCTGGCGTCTGCATGCATACCCCGTGATTCCGATAGGGTCGTGGATCTGGGCTGCAAACTACATATCACCAAGATCGACAAGAATGCCGAGCAAAACAAGCTGACGGGAGTATGCATCATACATCAAGGTCTGAACCTTGTCATTGTCGAGGGCGGCCCCAAGGGAATCAAGCGATACAAGAAGCTGATGCTGCGCCGCATGGACTGGTCCGAAACCAGCCAAGACCGCGAGCGAGAAGACGACGACGACGCAGGCTCGGATGCCGAGGGCGACGACAAGCAAAACGGCTGCCAGTTGGTGTGGGAGGGGCAGGTCAAGGACAGGGTGTTCAAGGGATTCCGTATCCGGCCCTTCCCGACCGACTTTATGGTCCGGGAGTTTCTCGAACGGTTTGGAGTGGTGCACTACTGGGAGACAGCCAAGAACCTGGTCGAAGTAGGCGCTTAGATTTCTGATGGCAGCGGTCACAACATGAAATGGGATTCACTTTCCCCTCTTGCCTGTGCGGGTTCCTTTCCCCAGAGCTCGCAAAATGAGACGGGGGCCTCGCTTAGCTTCCGGCCGTTGCTGCTTTGGATGGAAATACACAAAGCCATCCCCCTCTGTCAAGCCGGGGGGGGGCAAGGAATATGGCCCGATGTGAATACTCTGCTTTCCAGTACGCAAGAATTGCGTGTGGGATTGATGATCCAGTCATTGATTTGCTCGGCCCGTCGATTTGCCAACGCGGATGCTACTCAAGGCAGGGACCATAGCGCAGGGACGCTTACCGCAGGGGCATCTACCGTCGCCAACACACGGAGGCGGGCATATGATGCAGACTTGGCGCCCAAGGCCAAGTCCCGACTGCCGCAATTGCATCCGACCTTCTGGGGCGACGGAAAAATAGCGGGAGCAGCGCCGGACGACCTCTCGAGGCAACGACATGGCTGTCGGACAAGACAGTGCCGTTGAGGCACAACCTTGCCAGGTCGGTGCTGGAGACCCAAGGGCAGATTGGGCATTTTTCCGACAGAAGGCGGCGGCAAGTAGCGGCGGCTGGGTCCGAAGCAGAAGTCGGCGGCGGTCGGTGGGAGCGACGAACAGGGCGGGAAGAATGCGGTGGCAGCAGCAGCCGGAGGCGGAGGAGGAGGATGCGGAAAGGTCAGGACGTTTGGCCAGCCGGGTCGGTGGGGGGGGGCGTTTCCGAGACAGGAACGCAACGACAGCGATAGCACGCCCAACACCCCTTTCAACCTACTGCCTGTTGGACAAGCCGGTGGCTGCCACCCATCAAGGGAGGGCGCATGGCGCGGGAACAGAGATTCGGCCATGGGCAGTCGCGCGGTCCGGTCTGGTGGGATTTCAAATGGCGGAGAAATGGCGGTTGTCGTCATGGCTCTTGCTCCAAAGACGACGCGACGGGGCTGGGGGTCACAGCCGACGAGAGTTGGGTGGGTGGAGGCGAATTGGGGGCGATGAGAGTTGGATGGGTGTGGGAGCGATGTGAACAGTGCCCATCGCAATCCAAGTGCACGCATTGAGTTGGGCCGATGGCCGCGATGCAACAGCGCTGATCGTATCGACAGCCGCTGGATCGGACAGATACATCTCCAACGGCACTCGCGCCAGCGCAGCCCCATTTGCTGGATGCCTCCACTCCCCCCTCGGCGGCCTCGCGGATCCCAATGCCGGAGCCAAGGCAATCCCGCGCTTGCCTCCCTCCTCCTGCCAAACTATGGCGTCAGCGATTGCTGCGATCTGCTGTCGACACGCTGTGCTCAGCCGGCCTGTTGATGCTCTCGATTCCCACCCAGCCACTTCCTTGATGCGACCGCCACTTCCTGTGCTTCCTCCCCCTCTTGCCACCCACCCCCTCGTCGGCGCAATTGACCCATTCGCCGCTCGTCGTCGCTGATCCGCCAGTCGTCTCGCCATCGCTGCGTCTCCCGCTGTCGTCGCTGCCCCTTGTTCGCGGCCGCTTCCCGCCATCGCAGCCGAGTCCATTTTTCCACGTCGCGCTCGAGCTCCGACATGCTGCCGCCAGACCCGCGACTATAAAACCCACCCCTTCGCCGGCCTCCTCTCCATTCCCACCATCAACATCCCAGTCTCTTCTACCAGCCTCTCGCGGCAGCCTGCACTCCTCATCTCGCTTTGATCTCTTCCCCGCTCCTGCCCTTTCCCACCTCCCAAAATGAAGTTCTCTGGACTGATCGCCCTTGCCTCGGCCGCCCTCTTCGGTGCCGCCAACGCTCAGACCACCGACATTGTGTCGGCTCTGGTTGGATACACCAAGAACAACGCCTCCATCATCACTGGCCTGGCCGCCAGCTCTCCCCTCCTCAGCACCATCAAGAGTGCCAAGAACATCACTCTGTTCATCCCCACCAATGACGCTGTGGCCAAGCTCCCCGCCAGCGTCCTGGCCCAGCTCAGTGACCAGACCGTTGTCGATACCGTCCTGAGCTACCACGCCGTCCCCGGCATCTCGTTCGTGCCCTCGGCCGACGCCGATCTGTTTGTCCCCACGGCCCTGGCCGACGCCAACCTCACCGTCTCGGGCGACGGCTACCAAGTTGTCAACGTCGTTGTCAGCGGCGGCAAGGTTGTCCTCAACCACGGTGTTGCCAACGGCCCTGCCAAGGTCATCGACTCGGTCGTTGCCACCAACGGTGTGATTCACATTGTCGACACCGTCCTGCTGCCTCCCGTCTCGGTCTCGCAGACTGCCACTGCTGCCGGACTCACCACCTTGGTTGACACCCTGGTCTCGGCCAAGCTGGCTTCCATTGACTCGCTCAAGGAGGTGGTAAGTAACTTGCCGCCCAGTCCAGTCCTCCCCAACGCCCTGCCCTGTCTGGTCCAACTGCGACACCTGTGTCCACGCGCCGCATCCCACGCTGTCCACTGACCCGCCTCGATGTCCTGCTCTTCCCTCCCAGACCATCTTTGCCCCCACCAACGCCGCCTTCAACACTACCCTGGCTGCCCTCAAGTCCGCCAACGTCTCCCTGAACCTTGCCCAGCTCCAGGCCACCCTTGGCATTCACGTTGTTCCCGGTGTCTATCACTCGACCGACCTGCTCAAGCTCGCCCCCGTTGCCCTTTCCATCGGCACCTACGGCGGCGAGAACATCACGATCGAGGTCGACACCACTGGCGTCTACGTCGCTGGTGCCGGTAACAGTGTCGCTGCTCGCGTTGTCACCGCCGATGTCCTGGTCAACAGCGGTGTCGTTCATGTCATCGACACCGTCCTGCTCCCCAGCACCAAGCTCCTGACCTCCCTGGCCTCCAACACCGACGGCCTCACCGTCTCCCAGCTGAACCCTGTGACTCCTGCCGTCCTCGGCAAGACCTTCACTGTCCCCACCCCCTCGGCTGCTGCTCCCAGCCCCAGCACCACTGGCTCTGCCCCCGCCCCCAAGAGCGCTGCGGGCCGCACTGTTACCAGCGCCTCTCTCGTTCTGGGTTTCTCGGCCATTGCCGCCGTCCTGTTTTTGTAAATTACCTTGCCGATTGAGCCCCTGATTGGGCCCGGCCTGGTTCGGCAAATACACGCAACTGCGTTCCCTCTCTCTTTCGACCGCTGCCTAATGCGCCTTCGATATCTTTGAATGTGTGTATTCCCTTCTATTTTCACGCTTGAACTCCTCTTGGTGCATGAATACAACAAATACTTTGATTTCCCAGTATTGCACCGACTCACGCTCACCAGCGACTGGACAGTACAATGCGCGGAATGAGGTTGGGCAGAAGGGGGGGGGATGGAATGACTTGATCGACAAGGCCGAAGGTGATCCAGATCAACATGCATGCGCCATCGATAGATCACTACAGAATCTCCACAATTGGGGATGGCTTGATCGTTCATCGAGCAAAATTGAGATCTGAGCAATTTGCCTGGTTGGTGACCAAAGCATGGCGACTTTGGTTTCAATCACATACGCAGAAGAGCTTCGGCGTGTTGGAACAGCACCGGAACAGCCCATTGCCATCTTCGGCATGATCAAATGGATACTCAGCAACTGCAGCATATGTCGCCAACGACCACATAACCACGTAGGTCCCAATGTGCCGGAGACAGCGCAATCAACCACCATCTTCATCACCATCCACCACACACCACACACCACACACATCTCCATGTTGGATCAATCGTGTTCAGTGTCTGGCAGTCAACAAGACTCGGCCGCAGAACGGAATGGCAACGAGACGACACTGATCGATCGGTCAGCCCAGCCAGCACAACATCAGTGGCGGCCGGTGCGGGTGAAGGGACGGACATCGGGATACTCCTCGTCCTTGAGCTCGGTCTCCGCCGCCGTGGGCTGGTCGAGATAGGACACCCGATCCAAGTGGAAGAGACTCTTCCTGACGACCAGCTCGGGCGAGGGACACGGCGTCGGGTAGATCGAGCGAGTGTTGGTGTTGTCGACCCTGAAGGACAGGTCCATCAGCATCCGCATGAACGCAAGCAGAGCGTGGTTATCGGGCGATGGGTTGCGCCAGATGACCGTCCTGAACTTTTCACGGGTATCCAACATGATGATCCAGCCAACGGAATTGGCGATCTCGAAGACACGCTTCTCGGTGATGACACTGTGAGTGAGTGTGTGAGTGAGTGAGTGAGTGAGGGGTGATTGCGATGGCCCACGATGTCCGCCATCAAACATGTCAATATGCAACCCACTCAATGCCAAGCACAACATCGACTGACACCCACACTCACACTCACCCTCCACTCCACTCCACACAATCCTCACCTGTGCTCCGAGTCGCTGATGTGGAACACAAACTTGGACAGCGCCTCCTCCGAGCTGACAATCTCGGCAATCACCTTGGCAACATGGTCGACGGGATCCATGGTCCAAGTGACGGGACTGGCGTTTGCCGGGCAAATGCCGAGCTTGATACATCCCTCGACGTATCGCCAGATATAGTCGTCTGTGTTGCACACTGGAGGATGGAGTGAACAGGGTGAGAAACAGTGTCAGTCGATGGATGGGTGCCACTCGACAAACAAGATCATCGGCTCATGGCCAAGTCGAGGGAACGAAGGAGGGAATCTCCACCACATCACCACATCACCACACCACTACACCACACATCATCACACCACCACAGCTCACCTCCGTATCCGCTGTCGCCAGCAATCATCGCTGGCCGAATGATGGTTGCAGGCACGCCCCTCGATCGTGCCTTGTTGATCAGCTGCTCAGAGACCCACTTGGTCTGCGAGTAGCCGCCCGACAGGTTCCAGTTGGAGTACATTTTCTCCTCGAGCGGCTTGTCGGAGCCCTTGGCCATGGCAATCGTCCCGATGGTCGAGATGTAGTGCACCACCTTGAGATGGTGCGTCGTGGCCAGCTGCAGCACCGTCACCGTGCTGAGGACGTTTGTTGCCTTGAGCTCGTTGTAGTTGTAGAGCCAGTGCACCTCGGCGGCGTTGTGCACAATCATGTCGGTCTCTTCGCAAATCTCCTTCCATCGCTCGTCCGAGAGTGCCCATCGCTCCTTGGAAACGTCGCCGCGCAGACCAACCCACCGGTCTCGCACGTCATACCACGGATCGTTCTTGTTCCGCGATGCAATCACCAGCCTCGAGGCGTTGGAGTAGGTGCGGAGGAAGGCCAGTTTCTCGGTCTCGGTTCGTGCCAGACAGTAGATCTTGGCCCGAGGGAACTTGTGTGCCAGCTCAAAGATCAGGAATGCTCCGAGGAAGCTGGTTGCACCCGTCAGGACGATGCCGCGGACCTCCTTGGGATAGACAAACGGAGGGAAACCCTCGGCCGTCACACTCGCATCGTCGAGCTTGGCAGCCTCGGCAGCCAGATCGATTGTCGGCGGAATCACCAGCTTGTCGTCGAGAATGTCGACGACCAGCTGGGCGACATCCTTGGGACTCATGCTGTTCGACAGCAGGATCATTGGCGAGATCTCGACACCGTACTCCTCCCTGATGGCGAGGGCCAGGCGGCCGATGCTCAGCGAGTCAAAGCCGACGCCGCCAATGTAAAAGTTGCGGCCGTAGAGACCAGGGTTGTCCAGGATCTGACTACTGAACTCGGAGATCTTGAAGGCAATCTTGGTCAAGAACGTTCTGGTGACGATGAGAGCCGGGTACTGGACCGCCTGGCCGTACTGCTCGACGTTCTCGGCGATGCGCTTGAGCTTCTTGAGATCGACCTTGCCCGAGTCGTTGAAGGGGAATGCGTCGAGCTTGAGGCAGTTGTGGACGGGGACCTTGGAGACGTTCAACAGCAAAAACATGTCCTCGACGACTCGGATGATATCGGCCGAGGTCAGGTTGGGGTTGTATCCTTCCTGAGGGATGTAGAGCAAGATGATCTTCCTCTCGGAGGTGTGGATGAAGTAGCAGTCGGCAATGACCTGGGACAGGTGCTTGTGGACAAGCTCCTTGAGGCCGTTGAGGTCGACATAGACACCGTTGACCTTGATCTTCTGGTCGAATCTGGAGGGTGAAGTGTGAGGTGAGGTGTGAGGTGTGAGGTGTGAGGTGTGAGGTGTGAGAATGAAAGTGATCAGTATCCAGCGAGCAAATGGATCGGTGTCCCAGATTGTGGATGGCAGTTCTCATGGATCAAGCACACAATAGTCTCCAGACTCACCTTCCAACAACACTGAACTCCTTGTCGCTGATCATCTCGACCCAGTCCATGGTGCAGACTCGGGGCGAGCCATCCACGAGGAAGCCGAAAGTCGACAGCTTGTCGTTGGGATCGGCGTTTACAAAGCTCGGATGGTCCTTGGCAGGATGTTCGGGATCGACGGCAAAGACCAGGATTCCGCTGTTGGAGTACCGTGGATCGATGATTTCGCCTTTCTCGTCAAACAAGAGGCAGCGCACGCCAGGTTTGGCTTGCTTGTAGACCAGCTTCTCTGGGATGCGATCGTCCGTTTGGATTCTCAAATATGATATAGCACCAATGACTGTAGACTAGTACCAATGCTATGATTAGTGATTGCTCAATGAGATGACCATTTAGAATGAATGAATGTACTTTACCTCGCTAGATCCATATATCGACTGAATTTCGGCATTTGGGAAAATATCCCTGATTTTGTGAATGATACTCATGGGAATATACTCTGAACCAGTTATAACCTTCTTCGTGATTCCCCACAGGATGTCAGGCTTCAACGACACCGCAGTGTTGATTACCAGCTTCATGAACGAGGGAGTCTGAAAGGGGTGGATGACATTAGTGGTGAACAATTGGATTCAGGAATTCAAATTCACAGCATACCGACCAAATAGACATAATTAATACCGCTATCCAAAATTTGAATGATATTGTGGACTTTCTCAATCGTATTATATGTCGGCATCGGAATCCACAGAGATCCTCCGAGATTAACAATACAGAGGAGAAGAGTAAAAATTGCCACGAAAGATGGGGCCTGAATGTAACCTATTGTTAGTATATGCAACTTTGTTAGTCCATCAGTTGAATATTCGATGATCAGAAATCTTACTTGGAAAAATCCAGCGCTACTTTTCAGCATTCCGACTGAAAGTCGACCAGTGATAGCTCCAGCATGTGCAAACTTGAACCTGCAACAATCAACACCAAACACAAAAGGATTCAGTCAACGAGTGGTGATGTGATCACTTGTGAGTGTGAACAAGTATCAGGTAGACACAGGATCAGAATCCACAGGATCAGAAGCCACAGCATCAGAAACCACAGTAGAACTCACGACTTGGGGATGCCTGTGGGAGCGACGAGGAACCAGGATGCAGGACGAAGGAGTCGGGTTGTGGGTTGGATATGCATCGTCAGCGCATCACTTTCCACATTCACCACACTCACCATCTTACTCTATCCACCACTGCACCATCTGCTTTGCTGCTGGACCATCACGCTCGACCGTCCCACATACCCGTTGTTCCAGAGGTACACTGGATGGCGACATAATCATCAAGGGGTTCACAGACTTCGAGAGACGGGGGTGGGACGTTGTCCAGCACAGGGAACGTGGTGGCATCGACCAGCGTCACTCCAATGGTGCGGCCAGGCTTGGTGTGGTGGTAGAGGATGTACTTGATGGAGTGTCTGTTTCGATTGGAGTCAAGGTCGAGTCAGGTTGAGCACAGAGGTCTCTGGGATGTCAATCTCCTGAGACACATGCGAGACAAGCACAAGTACAAACCTCTCGCACAGAGCCTTGCGAACAGCGGCAGGGAAATTGAGAGCGAGGTTGAGTGTTTTCCTGGATGGCAACAAGGGACAGATGAGACTCGATCCTGGTCATGGCAGGGACAAAGACCGGTCATGTCATGCACAGGCAGCCAGACCAGACCAGACCAGACCAGAGATACTCACTTGCCAAGCATCCACACAGCAAACGAGTAGATCACCCAGCTGGCTTCGGCCTCGCAGAAGGTGCCGATGACCTCGTGGTCGTCGTCGTTCCAGCCAGGGAGAGCCTTGAGAGCCTGGGCGACCGAATACGCCTGCTTCCACACACGGAGATAGCTGAGTCGCTCCGAGGCGCCGCTCTCGTAGGTGTTGATCAGGAGGGCATCGGGCTCGTCGCGGGCAGTGTTGATGAGACACTCGACAGGATGGAGCCAGGGGCCAAAGGGATCGAGCGGAGAAGGGAATGTTGGCTGTTGGGAGACAGGGGTCTGCGAGGAGACATCTCGGTCGTCGACCGGGTCTGCGGACCCTCCAAAACAACAGGAGATGGCCCTGAGCATGCCGGGGTTGGGATGGAAGCGACAAAGGTGCCGATGCCAAAGCCAGATGGGGGCAGGAGAGCGAGGAGGGAGCCGAAAGGGCGAAACGAGACAAATATGACGAGGGGAAAGGGTGAGGGGAGTGCCTTTTGTCGGTCTGGGCAGCCAGGAGACGGCGGCTTGGTCTGGCTGCTTGCCAGATTGCATTGAGCGAATGCTCTTGCTTCCTCTCGAGCTGCTGAGTCTGCCAGCGTGACCGGCTCTGTGCTTGGGCGGTGGGTCTGGCTGGCTGCCCCTCGATGCTGTGCTGTTGCCTCGCGCAGCAAGCTGCTTGCAAATCCACTGTTCAGCCAGCGAACAGTTCACTCGGTGGGAACACATGGGCAAGTTTGACACTCGTATATCTTTGTTTGTGTCTGGCTGGGGGATATTCATTGTGGCCACCAGCAGTACATATCACACCACGGCACACAACGCACCACAGCACAAATCGCCCCCTCACCCAGACGAAGAATAATCCGTCCGCAGACCAGGGACAGGCTCGATTTGGTCTCTTGGACAGAGGTTGATGATGATCTCGGTATGAGGACGCACTCCTACTCGGCAGGGACTCTGATTCATCATGCCCACGAATATCGGCCATGCTCGATCTTCACCCTGCTTATATCCCGCGAGTCACCGTATCTGCTTGGCACCGTCCGGAGCGATGGCTCCGCGTCATACCCGTCCGAGTTCGTGCCTCCACCCAGATTCATGCCCTGCATATTGTCATAATTGGAGAACGTGCCCTCCAGCGGCCGCATCAAATGCGGATCGCTGCTGTGGGTCCCGCCGTGGTTCCCACTGTGTGTTCCTGTTGTCATCCCTGGCTTCTGGTGCTTTTTGAGCGATTCAACCAGGGCAAGAACGGACGTGGGTAGCAGCAGCCCGCGTATCTCGAGCCGATAGTACTCCGTCAGCCCGACAGCCGCATTTTGTCCTTTCAGACCACTGGCTTGCTGCACCTTGCCGTACTTGGATACCTATTGGTAGATGGAGCGTGCGTACATGTGGGTTGCGATGATTCCAACTTCGGAGCGGAAGCATCTGCAGCCACTCGGATGCAGTCAACGAGCACCGGCCTTGCCACTGACCTGCGCGGATTTGAGACTAGCGTGAAGAAAAGGGTGGGGAGAGACAAGCATAGGGAACTGGCGCGCCTGACGCTCGAGTTGTGGGTCTCTCCAGTTGAGAAGAAAGTCAAATAGACCGTGCACTGCCTTTGGAGATGCGAAATAGAGCGGCACGCGCTTTCCAGCTCTGTCGCATGTAGTAACAGAATCAGTCCAACTGTTCCGCGACAATGGTGTGACGATCTCGATCCATCCGTGGGGATCTGCACTTACTCTTGCGACAGATCTCGAGTGGCCGGATCTGGAAGCACGGCTTCAAAGGGAACTCCTGAATCATACGCCAATGTATGGATGCGCTTGGTTAGACAAACATCACGTCAGCTCTAGTATGATATCCAGGCGCGGACACCTTTCCGTTGTTGGCTGTACTCGGACCCAGGGAAGTGGCAGCGACGCACAGTTTAGTGGCCAAGCCAGACTTGCCTTGACTTTCAAGGATGCGCCTGAGACCAGGTGTTGATGTCGACAAAACTGCTTTGGGTTTGGGTGACTCGCCTGCCACCACCTTTGGAGACAGAAACAACACCGAAAATTCCGGATTGAGGTAGTAAAAGTAGGATGACACGTCGTTCTTCATTGCAAAGTAGAGCGATCGGAAGGCCGACTTCCTGAGTTCAGTAAATGGGGTGGCCAAAGGTCCCAGATGGGGGAGGAGAAGTATGTTGGATGAGAGGACCACGAGACTACACCGCTGCCATCACAGCCTTGGAGGGTGGGGCGATGGCTGGGGGCGGCTACTTTGGAGTCGTGCACCCAACACGACCAGAGAAGTTGCATCTGGACATGATGCCGGGACCGAGTCTGCATCGTACCATTCCTCCTGTAGCGCTGCAAAATGCTTCATGTTTTCGTCGAGATGCACGGCTGATCTGCTCTCGGGCTCTCGCTTCAGATGCTGCAAGACAGCCTGGGATAATGCCGGCGCCAGTCGTTGGGAAGGATAAAGCCAGTGATACAGCGAGTGCTGAAACGCATACTTGTGATCTGTCTATCAACCCACGTGACAGTGTAAGAATCTTCAACTCGTTGGGGCTTGAAGGTGACATCATCGTGGAGATGGTGGCATGTCGCACGGCGGTCTCGCCAGGTCCGATCGAGGATGCGTTGGACAATGCAAGAGCCAGAGTCCAAACGGCGACCTACATCAATCTCGACAGTATTTCCGCGCTCAACAAAGGAGCCCAGGGCCTCGGACTCGTGGAGAGAATTGTGGACGTTGATGCTGCTGAAGGAATATGGGGAGTGGAAGACCGCAGAGAATTTGAGGTTCCAGTCGATGGGAAGCCGAGTATCGGACCCGGAGAACTCGTCGTTTGTCGCACGCTCGGTTGCACCGACACCCTGGAAGCACAGTTTATACGTCGGTCAGGGTGAGGCCAGCGTGGGGTCGAGTAAGCCGATTCCTCGGGAAGCAGGCAGATGCTCGGCTGCCAACGCCACATCGAGCCGAGACTTACTTGCTCGCTGGCCACAGTCCTGGCCACCGATGACTTGGCGAGTTCATCCGGCAGCGTCTGTCCGTCCAAATCTCCGGCAAACATGATGTCATATGTGGCACCCTCTGAGGCAGGCGTTTGGACGACAGCATCCCGATAAAAATCGCTGGTCCATTCAATCACCTCTTCGTCACTGTCGCTGCTGTCGGTGTCATGGCGAGCGGAGCTGCTGTTGATCGACAATATGCCCCCTGGTGAACAGATCTGAGCAACGATTTCCTCGGTGCTTCCTCCAGATTCGGCCGCTCGGGACTCGAAATCCTTCACCGTTTGCTGCGATGCACGAGACAGGGAATCGGTTGGGAATTACAACGTGATGGTCCGAGCCGAGGAAACGAAGGAAACAAAGGGATGGTCAGGGTGGAATAAATGAGCAAGAGAAGTGCTCACCGACTGCTTGTAGCCCCGGATTGCAGCAGCAACGAGGTGGCCGCGGTTGGACGGCACATCTTGGCTCTGGACAGAGTCCATGTCGAAGATGGACTCGATGGACTTGGACTCGCTTTCGGACGCCGATCGAATCTTCTCCAGCATCATGAACGGGTTGTGCGGCACCGCGGAGTGCCCCTGCTTCGATTTCGAGAATGGATTTCGGGTGGCCGACTTGATTCGGGGGCTTGTGGAAGCTGCGCTGGCAAGATTGCTGGACGGGCGAGCAATCGATGGCATCCTGGCCGAGGGACCTGCAGGGTTTGGTGCCCGAGACCCATCGAGGGCAACAACTGGCGGCGTCGATCGACTCGACGATGGCCGTGGCGAGGACTTTGGCGAGGACCCTGGATCAGGGCGAGTCAGGGTCGGCTGTGAAGCTGACGATGGCGATTGCAGGCTAGATGACTGCGGGGCATCCTGGTGTGCCTTCTTGGCCAGCTGCCTTTGCTGAAGTAGCCGAGCGAGCAGTAGCGATAGTTCAAGGGGTTGTCAGGGCAGCATGGAGCGGCAATAGTACGCAAGTTTGTCGACATATTGATGGGCAAGACAGTGTCGGGGATGTTGTTTGGAGCATTAGCGAAGCGACGATGCAGATGCTGAAACCCGAGCCAGCGATCGCACCCTGATCGAGAAATCGATGAGCGACACAGAGCGAGACCAAGCCCGGATAGCGTATATGGCATGCATATGGCATGCTCACTCTGATCGCCAGCAGATCGATTGGACGCTTGGTTCCCCGGGGAGCGGGCTGGGATGTCGGTGTGCTGGTGGGATGCATGGCTGAGGAGCTGTGGGGAGTAAAGCTCAAGTATCAGAATGATCGCCGATACTGGACCAACGCACGGCTCTTCTCCACTCGAAGCGGGTGTGTTGGTTGTCTCCGGGCCCCTGCTGCTGTTGCTGGCGATGCAGATCACAGCTGCGAATGCTGTGATCACCCACAAAGCCGGCCCTGGTCCTGCACTTCGAGCCGCCGCGCTCTGGCTTGATCTGTCTCCGAACCTCTCTTTCCTCCTCCCTACCGCAGCATGAGCATTGATTTCGCAAACGACCCTGTCTGGAGCGACATCACTCCAATCCCGCAGGACGACGGGCCAAACCCGGTTGTTCCGATTTCATATTATCCAAGCTGTAAGCTCTGCTTTGAAGCCGATGGCTCGTGTGCAGCGACCCAAAGACACCTTCCCCCCTTTCCGTCTCGAGAGCGGCTGGGCTTATCCACCCTGCTCTGATAGGGGCATCACACCCAACCGCTGCAGTCTTCCGCAGATACATATTCTTCACCGGTTGTCACGACACAGTCCCCGGAGCTGTGTCTCCTCAGAATGTTAACGCATCTGCGATGTTTGGCATAATCAGACAGGGTTGCCACCGGCTATTTCCGGGCGATCGTAGCCCGCAAAGAGTTCAGCCCCAGGGTGCTGGACCTGACGGATGCAATCCTGCAGGACAACCCGGCCCACTACACCGTGTGGTAAGCTAAGGGCTCCGTTGCCAAGCCTCAGCGAGGAACACTCTTGCGAGCCCTCGTCCCCCATACTCAATCCAATCAAAGAACTCAAGGAGTTTTGAGTATTTGACTCGGTTGCTGTTTGGGGCTCTAACCGGAGGATGATCGATGCGATACAGGAAGTATCGACAGGACACTCTCATGGCAATTAACCATGACCTCGAGGAAGAGCTCAAATACATTGATCAAATGGCCGAAGAAAACCCCAAGAACTACCAGATCTGGTGGGTTAGGAGATGGGCCGAGCACTCTGGCCACTGATGCGGTCGCAGTGAGCGGTCGTAGATGGGGTCCCGATCTCGCAAAGGAGCTTGTTGGTAACGACTCACCGACTCGACGAACCAATGATACTGTCCAGGCATCACCGCCAGGTTGTCATCGAAAAGCTGAACGATCCAAGCCGTGAGATTGCATTCATCAACGCATCGCTCGCTGGGGACTCCAAGAACTATCATGCGTGGACCTACAGGTACCGACGGTGACCATAGCCAAAATATCAGCAAATACCTTGGGAGCGTGATCTGGACGTGCGGTTGTTTGAATGCCTCGTTGACGGTGCAATGAGGGATTGTGGCTAGTTTGCTAGGTCGTGTAGGAGAAATGACGGGCGACACTGATGCCGATGCCGATGCCGATGCCGATGCCGATGCCGATGCCGATGCCGATGCCGATGCCGATGCCGATGCCGATGCCGATGCCGATGCCGATGCCGATGCCGATGCCGATGCCGATGCCGATGCCGATGCCGATGCCGATGCCGATGCCGATGCCGATGCCGATGCCGATGCCGATGCCGATGCCGATGCCGATGCCGATGCCGATGCCGATGCCGATGCCGATGCCGATGCCGATGCCGATGCCGATGCCGATGCCGATGCCGATGCCGATGCCGATGCCGATGCCGATGATTCTATCCATTTGTCGGTATCGCCCGTTTGCTCTACAGACAGTGGCTGGTCAAGCACTTTTCACTCTGGAATCGCGAGATCATCGACATGAACCGTTTCCTCGACGAAGACGTATTCAACAACTCGGCCTGGAATCAGCGCTACTTTGTGTATTCGCAGCGACCAGAGAAATGGGTCCCTGACGAGATCCACGATGAAGTCAAGTAAGTGACCCAAGCGCATGCATCGAGTGGTCGTGAACCGGCTTGCGCTCCAACGATATGCATTGTTGGGTTTGATGCCCGTCGCCGGTGTCATGGCTCATCTGGTGCATGGCGCTCATTCAAGCGAAATACTCTGAGGCTACCCTAGTCGCAAATCGCTAACACTTTGGCCCGCGATAGGTACACCCTAATGAAGATTGCGATTGCGCCAAACAACGAGAGTGCGTGGAGCTACTTGAAAGGGTAGGGCTACACTCCGTGCCGCACGCTCCTGTAGGGCTGCGAATACGCTGTCGACCAGTTAATTTGTGCTGGGAGGATGCGAGCTGTCTGTGTTCGTGGTGCTTACAGTGTTATCTCATGCGTATTCCCGACGGCATTCGAATGACTGGGACCGATGTGGCACAGCATTGTGGTACTTGCGGGTCAGAAGCTGTCGGATTATCCCGAGATTGTCGATGCCTCCGAGAAAGCGGCGCTTGAACTCAACTCCACATTTGGGCTCGTGGCACTTCTGGATATCCTGACAGAGCAAAACGATATCAGCAGAGCGAAGCAGGTTTGTGGCGTTGTGGGTGGCCCGGGTGCAGATTTCCCAACGAAAGCGCTTCGTCATCGAATATGCCTGACCAATGCAACTATCGCCTCTGACATCTGTGCTCGTCTGCGTGCGCACAGATCTGTCAGGTCCTGGAGCACCAAGACTCTGTCCGCCAGGCTTACTGGAAGTACCGAGCGGAGCAGCTCCCATGAGCACAGTAACCGAGAACCAAGTCTGTCCAGCGACATGAAGAAACACGATTCAAGGCAGTTGCTGCTGCGCTGCGGTGACTTGCGATCCAGGAAGTGGTCGAGTGATTACAGCGTTCCAAGCGAATATGGGACACCCCGTTTTGAGCCATGTTGCTTTTGCTGGGACCCGAATACACCCACCTAAATGGCAATCATGGCTAAACAGTGTGCTCGCAGTGCCGGGAAGCCAAGCGACTCGAGAAAGACGAGTATCTTGATATCGACACCATGGAACTGTCCAGAGGCTCAAGTGGATGCATCACACAAAGAGATTGCCAACCAGGACGGGATACAATTGCATAGCCTGCCCACTGGAGCCTACAGTCAGTCAGCGGGTTTCGGGATCCACCGTATACGAGAGTATGACGCATATACGAGACACCTCTACTCCCGGGATTGCAGCACCGCAACGCAGCGGTTGATGGGCGGGAATTCGGAACCCGGCGAATATGGCGACCCTGGCACTCGGTCACAGCGGTCCACGTGGGACTGCGCGCAGCAGCACAGTGGCTGCCACAAACGTGCGCGCCTCCGCTTTCGGGCGCGGGCGGAGGAGCGCGGCGGTGGCTCGCTGTGTGACGCCACCGCGTGGGCTGTGCGCGGGCGCGTTGCCGCTCCTGTGCCACGGCGCGCCAGAGGCGGACAGTTTGTGTGGCTGCGGGGGCGGCGCGGCGCCGTTTCGCGCTTGGTCCGCGCGCTCGACGCGTTCGACGCGGCTGTCCCACCCTGTCCGGACGTTAATGGCATCGCTCAATCCGCGCCGATGTATTAACGCTGGCGCATCCGCGGGAATATCATTGACATCGTTACGTCCGCAGGAGTGTGTGTTATCGCTTCGGGACTATTTGCACCGAGTCCCATATCGACTTTCGCTTCTTGTCCCCCGGCCTGCACTGCTCTTTCGTCCTCTCGTCGTCCCCGCCCACTGTTTGCACACCCCTTTGTCCGCAGCCGTCACCTGCCCGCTCGTTTTTGTTTCGTCGTCCATCCTTCGTCGTTTTCGTCGTCTTCGTCGCCGCTCGTCTGTCCGTGCGCTTGCGCTGCTCGATCGGCGCTTCCATCCGCTCTTCGCTATCAACCCGCAGCGTCCGCCCCGGGTCCTGCGCTCCGCCGCCGTCTTGCCGTGCATTTCCTGCGCCTGCCCTTGATTCCATCCGTATCCGCTCGCCTTCCATCGCATCCTCAGCTCCCCCCAGCATCCTCAGCATCCTCGCCATGCCTCGCGACAGACTCGCCGATATCTCCAACGACAACGTCGAAATGGGTCGCATGGGCGGCCGCGGAACCTCCCGCTATCCTGACGACTCTCGCTCTCGAGACCGCTCTCGAGACCGTCCACGAGGCCCTGCCTCTCCGCCGCAAACCTACTCGACCTCCGACCAACGGCGCTACCGCGGCGACCAACCTGCCCGGGGCCGAGACGAGCCCCGAAGCAACGGCCGCGAAACCGACTACGGCAGCCGGGACGGGCGCCGAGACTATGACTCTCGGGGCCGCGAAGATCGCCGTGATGACCGTCGTGATGATCGTCGCGATGATCGTCGGGAGCCTTCGTCGGGTCGCCGTCCCAGCGCTGCATCGAGCCAGCCAAAGTATCGAGAGAATACCCGGGACCGCAGCGACTCGCCGCGAGAGGATATGAGCGCATTCATGGAAGAGGTGAGTGCCTCTGGGCCTTTTCAGACACCGCTGCTATTGCTGCTTGACCATACCCCGCTGGATCCGGCAATCTTGGGTGCCGGTCGCTGCTGGATACGAAATATCGAGGTCATCAATCTACCTCGGCCGCATCTGCGTGGCAGTACTTTTGACCAGGAACGCCATTGATTGTCCCTCAGATCGAACGCATTACATCATCTGTCGACAAGATCCAGAGAAACCTCGGCCACATCGACAAGATGCACGCTCGTATCCTGCAGTCGACGAACCAGGACGAGACTTCAAGTAATCAGCTGCTCTAGTCCATCCCTCGTCGTTCGCTCCGCCATCCTCACAGGCCACCGATGCACACCGTCAAACTAACTCGCCTCCGCCACCGCTATCGTCCCACTAGACCTGTCGTATCGTCTGGACCAGTGCCAGGACGACACCAACCAGTTGATCCAGGAGGCTCGTGCGGCCCTCAAGAAGCTCGTCAACCAAACCAAACAGCTCGGCGGCTCGCCCAGCGTCGCTGTTCGGAAGACGCAGCAGTCAATGGTCGCCAAAAAGCTCGTGCAGGTCGCTCAGGACTACCAGGGCATCCAGCAGCGATACAAAAAAAAGTATCGTGACCGCATGGAGCGCGAGATCCGCATAGGTAACCAGTTTAGCCTACGCCAGGGAGCGGTGCCGGGTCCCAGTCGAAGGCTTCGTCGCCGTGCTGTCGCGACCGCCGCGACTGTCCTCAAGTAGAGGCAAAGGCTTGCAATCCCACCAGTTACTGACGCAGTGCTGACCGGCTTGCCGATTGGTTTGCTGTTGGTCCTCTAGTCAAGCCCAATGCAACTGACGCTGAGATCGAGAAGGCTCTCAGCAGCAGCAGTGGCCAAGTGTTTGCCCAACAGATGATGAGCTCGCGGGTGGCCGCCCAGCGCCATGTGCTTGAGGAAATGCAGGGCCGTCACGAAGATCTAAAGAAGATCGAGCGATCGATTGAAGAGCTGTTTGCGCTGTTCCAGGAGATGCAGAGCATTCTGGAGGTCAGTCCAAGGGCGCCTGCTCGCGGGTCTGGGCATCGTCGCTCAACACTGGCGACGTTGATGAGAGCGCCACCCGCCTTCTGCGTGCTGCTCTGCCTGTTGGGGCGTGGTTCTATCGCCTCTATCTGTCTGCCACTGACTACTGACTCGCTGCTGCATCTCCACCAGGCCGAACAAGAGAAGATCAATACCATCGAGACCCACGTCGAAACCGCATACCGAGAAATCGAAGAGGGCAGCAGAGAAATGACCAAAGCCATCGTGTCTCGGAAGAGCAAACGGAAGACGACATGCATCGTCACCATCGTCATACTCGTGCTCATCCTCGGAATCGGCGCCTTTGTCACCGTTCAGGTGAGGCCTGTCAGATATAACTGTGTGCATTCATGGAGCTTCGACACATATCGTCGGCCGTGCATCGTCTGGATGCCCCGCTCATCGACGTAGGCAGAATTTATTGCTGACATTATCAAATCCCACCTGCCTCGCTCCGCTCGACCCCAGTATATTCTGCCAATGATCCGACAGAACAGCGGCGACAGCAGCGGGCCCAGCACTTCTCCGTCAGGCTCATCACTGCCCGGCAACTCCACTGCGCCGACCAACAAGCTCCTTTTGGCGCTCGAGTCCGAGAAGTCGTGAAGGCGACCGGAGCCGTACCGAGCTTCGACCAAGCCGAGCCAATTCGAGCCAAACCAAGTCGAGTCAAGTCGGGCCGGGCTTCCCCAGAAAATCACCCACACATTGCCCTTTTCCCTCATTCGCCCTTCGCTCCCACTCGTTCCCGCTGACCTTCACACTCACCTCCCCTGATATGCTCCCCAACCACCTATTTATCAGGTAGCTCGTCCTGGATATGCTACTGCTGAATCAGACCCCCCCCCAACCGTCGCACTCCAGTTGTGATCTCGCAAATGAAACGTGAATCATTGTTTTGCGGCCAATGGCTGTTTTCTTTTCCTTATTTTTTGATCTTGAGTACACCCATGTCGATCCATCGCAGATGCTGTGGCCATCCGCAGACTCTGGTTTCTGTGTTGTTGCGATGGCTGTGAATCAACGGCGTCTATTCGTTTGCCTGCTCGAATGTGTTGGTGATGGCGACTAGGCACCCGGCGAGCAGTCACTGTGGGATCTTCATCAACTTTGCACAGAGCCAGATCATACAGTCGCCGTTTCTCTTCATACGTCACTTCTCTCTCGTCCGGAGCGGCGGTAGAGGGCTCACTTTCGGCCTCTGATTCCTGCCCCTGATTCCTGCTCCCGATCTTGTCCCCCTCCACACCATCGGGGCTTTGGGCTAGTCCGATGCAGCGGTACAGACGCCAAGCGAGGTGCCCACACGCACTAGGGTCTCCAGCTTCTGCTCGCTGTTGCTGACAAGGTCCGAGTCAAACTGGATGGCGCCCTTCTCGAACACGATGATCACGGTTGATCCGCCAAAGGCAAAGTAGCTGCGTGCCGGCGAAGGCCCAACCAAGCAAAAGGGTCGGGTGTGTGCCGTTTGGAAGCAATAACATCAGCGCTACGTTCCAGCACTCCGATAGGACATGCCCCAATTTGCGCGCATTCCATCACATTCCATCGCATGGCTGGAATACTTCCTCGCCGGGACTGCGACGGCCACTTACCCTAACTCGTCCAACCTCGAGACCTCTTGTCCTTCCTTGGTGGTATGAATGATCGAGCCCACAAGCATGGCTCCGACAGCCACAAAGGCCACCTTACCGAACTGGGGCGAGTCAAAGACTGTCACCGTTCGCACATTCTCGGTAAAGACATCGACGCTTGTGCTGCTAGAAGCAAGTGGCGGCACATATACAGCCACGCATTCACATCCCGTCGAGCAGGCGCGGTCAAGCAGCCGCATGAATAGAGGAGAAAAGTCAGTGACGTTGCAGTGTCCTCAGCCAACCGAGCGAGCGAGCGAGCGAGCTGACGGCTTCCAATGGAGGCGGAGTCAAGTGCTCAAGTGGGGGTGTGCAGGAAGGAAGCCATTGGCGAGCCGGGCTTTGGCTCCGAACGAGCTGCACACACCGGACAGCCATCGGGTTGACGGTAAAGTAGGTTCCTTCAATTTTTTTCGTTGGGCCCTGGAGGCCATCGATGGGGCTGGAATCGCAGAGCCCGAGCGGTCAGTGGATGGAATGCATGCGCTGTAATATACGACTGGGCAAAGCACGGTCGCCATGCCGTGGTGCACCCAGCGCAGACCATATATCGAGCCAAGTGTGAGCCCAAGTACGGCCCCATATGGCCCCAGCAACGTGACGGCCGACTCATCAGCGAGGGCCACGCTCTCGTATAGGAAACGAAGCGATCGCAAAGTCCGCCTTACCTGTGGAATCGATGGTAATCTTGAGGAGCCAGCCTGAATACGGCCGCAGAGCCATCTGACCGACCAAACAAATCATACATCCGGTCAGCTCCAGACTCGTCCACAAAACCTGAGCTTTCTGCAGATCCGTCCAAGGCATCACTCACCAGCAAAGTGCTCCTGATAAAGAGAGTCATGTTGGTACAAGTTCACAGGACATCGTCAGCAATACAGGCATTTGACGGCACAGCGTCCCATCCGATATCGGCCCAGCACACCGCCAGCCTGACGGCTGTACTGCGAGCCAAGAGCCTCTACCTACCCCGAGCCGAGCGTCACCTAGGAGGTTCGACAGAGTGAAGCTCGAGCCTTTAATCCTGATGGCATAGGTTTCATTCACGATCAGCAACAGCGACGACCGAGCCGCTATCTCGGCTTTCTCCATCATCATCCATGTGCCTTCACACATTTACTGCCGTGCATTCATACCAAAGTCGTGTGGCGTCATCGATGGTTGGGAACACCATGGTACGAGCATCGGCCGCGCAAACAGCAACATTCTGTCGGAATTGAGTGCTGTATGTCAGCGAGGTTGGTGCACATGGCCTCCTCCTGCACACTGTTCGCTGTCGACCAACCAATGCTCATTCCTGGGTCAACAAACACGGGACTCACCGAGTCTGGCGAGGCCAGAGTGCGGCTTCCGGGCTTCAGGGTACGGTAAAAGAACTCGTTGAAGTTCTTGAACTCAGACAGGGGAAGCTCGACTATGAAAGAATGATTCGTCTCAGCACTGCGTATCAAAGTGTCTCGATTACCAGGCTCTGGCACAATGTGGTGAGGTGGGAACAGCAATGGCACGGACTGTAGTGCCATTGCGCGAGTAACTCAGGCGTGCCGTAGTAGGGCATTACATACCTTCTTCGAGAGAGAGGTTGTGGAAGGAGATGAAGCGACTAATCTCCTTGACAGAGTTCGGATCATCAAACTCCTTGCCCTGCTTGACACCTGGGAGCAGCGCAGAAACAGTGAGCATGAACATACAAGCATGCCGCTGTGTTTGGCTACTGTGCATAAGGCCCTAGATCCTGCGCGTGCACATACTCAGGCTCTTAAGCAAGCTCTTGATCGATCTGGCTTCGATGGCTGTCGATGATGATATTAGCACATTTACCTGACCTCAATCCCAACAACAACCAATCTGCGCTCTGCAACGCACGACACCATTCGCTCATGTGGCTGCATATTCCATTGCCGCTCAAGCACCAGCAGCGTACCTCCCCTGGATGCCGAGGCCTGATACAACAAGCGAATGCCAAGACGGATATAGGTGGGCATTTTCTCTTCGATCAGCTGGCCAGACTGGTGGGGTGCAGAGAGACTGGATCAGTGATCCGCGATCAGCCCCATTGGCTGTTGCGGGAAAGGTCAGTCCGAGCGTGACGAACCGTGCGGTCTTGCACCAGGATATTGGCTATACGTGTCAGCGAAGCGGAGGAAATGTGGTGGATCAGAGATATGGACGCTGTACGTAGGATCAAAAGATGCTAATGAGAACGCACGAGGTGCGCGCCATTGCTTTGCAAACGCATCTCGACACCAAGTCGGCGTCTTCCCAGGCGAGCCTCGGTACCATTATTCTTGCCAACGGCGTAGCCGCCGAAAGTAACATAGGAAAAGATCTTGGTGAACCACTTCCGGGACGCATATGCCTCAGTCAAGAAGCCACTCATGAGGAAGGTTTCGACTTTGGACATGTCCTGATGGGCACAGAGCTAGCGGGGTTGTCGGTGCCGGAGAGGACATAGGGTGTGATTACAGTGCCAAGCTTTGCAGAGCCCATGCGACAGGCGATGGAGACAGGTACATCAACACCCCGGCGACTGTGCTCTCTCCGTCACTCATCAACGTACTGCCACATGGGAGATGACGTCAAAGTCGGAGCGATTGCGAATGTTCTTGTTATGGCAGACCGGACACTCCTTCATCTGGATGAGATGCTCGTCGTCGTGGAGCATTCGCTTCTTCTTGGAGTCCCCAAAGCTAGGCTTGACGCGGGCCTCGAGTGCCTTGAAGACGTCCTCGAAAGAGAGATCCTCGTCCTGGGTCTTGTTGTTTTCCAAGAACTGGCACGGAGCGCGTGAAAGATATAGCGAAGGGGTAGCGTGAGGCGCCGGCATCATCTCTGGCGACACGAGTGTCTTGGCCATGCGATCGACCGATCACACAACCGATCCGAACCTTTGATTGTATGTGTGTCGATCGGATCGATGACACAAGGTTGCGCACACTCGCTCATGCCTCAGATGGCGACGGAGATGCATTTATCCTCACCATCATGTTGATCGTATCGTCCGAGAAGGTCGATCCCAGGTTGTCAAGTAGAGTCTGCAACTCGACGTAGTTGATGCTCTTATTGCCGTCACTATCGAATGTGTTGATGTAAGTGAGCCAAAAGTTGCGTCGGATCGACTCGTATGGAATAAAGCTCACACGAAGTCGGAGGGTGGCGTCTTGGGTGGCATCCTGGGGATTGCATCGGCGTACGGTGATACGAATGCCAGCGTCAATCAGGTGCAATCCAGCACGCATGCTGCCTCAGAACGACGCCCATATTGCGCCACATGCACCCATAACAGCCACAGCAGCCTACCAAATCCGGATTTATGATGATCTTGGGCTTGAGATCGACGACACGGAACACCGTAGGGATGTTGGGCACGGGAGTGGGATGGTTGCCGCAGGTCTTGATGAGGTCAGACAGAAATAGCTCGCACGACCCCAGATGGTCGTTGCCCGAGTATGTGTCGTAGTCGTAGATACCAAAGGCAACCGAGTAGTTGTTGTTGAGGTCAACGTGCTTGATGTGCCTGAAGCATGTGGAGTACAATGGGTTTACGTCCAACTATGTCGCTATAATCATCAGCGCTCATCTCCCGAGCAACAAAAGCGAGTGCAGATGCGTATAGCTGAGCCTGTTACATACAGATAGACCTTTTCGCCCCAGGTAGGATCGCGGTTGTGTCGGACAACCCGAGTTCTGAAAGTTTTCTTGCTAGGAACAAATGCTGTAGATCAGAAATCGACTGGTGGAGCCGCGTATACAACCAGAAGCAAGGACGCGACCTTACTTGTAGCTAACTGTCACAAACGGATCACAGTCGAAGCCTCGGGTGCGGCTTGGAGTAGCAGGGAGGTTGCTGGCACTGTCAACTGGAGGTTCAGGGCCAAATGTTACCACATGCCACGATTCAACCGGGGCACACGGCACACGAAACGAGTGCAACACGGCCGAGCCGCTCACGAGCGAGTAGCCATGTCCACTGCAGCTTCGCTGTTGACAGCTAGAGCACACACACTTGTACATGCTGGATCAGGCGCGCTTACTTTCAATCGTCAGCAAGCCGAGCAGAGAGGTATGGTCGAGCGATGACTTTGTTGGTGTTCCCAGCTTGTCAAGCGAGTCGGTACTGTCACTGGGCTTGATATTGTCGCCGAGGGCATCGATGCTGTTCGACGAAAGCGTAAAGTTGAAGTAAAAGTCGTCGATCGGATCGTCCGTGGAGATGAGCTGGGCTGGAACACAAGATGGAATACCGGTCAACAACCCAACGCCCGTTACCAGATGCCATCCATTCCAGACGCAACAGACCCTCTATCTGGACAGAGCGCCTGCACATCCCGTACTTGCTCAAAGGCACTATGCAACGTGTATGTGCAAGCAACCCGCACGCAGATTCCCCCCCCCACCATGTGCTTGAATACTGCACCTCTTGTCACACCGCCGCCAGGCTTGGCAGAGAGCAGCTTCTTGAGGTCTTCCTGGATTGGTCCAACGAACCCGACCTTGAGCTGGATGTCGCCCGTGATCTCTTCCTTGGGATCCCTAGGCAACAGCGGATGCCAGACCGGGATATTCTTGGGATCGTCAAAGGGCAAGACAGGAAAGTAGGACTGGAAATCGACGATGGGTATCGTGATCTGACCCAAAAAATCTCGGCCGATAAAGTCCTTGTCCCAGACTGTGATCTGGATAGTGCTGAAGTGGAGGACCGAGGTGACGATTCTGCATGCCGCGAGCGGAGGAAAGGGATGCCAGAGATTCGGGGTCAGATCGAGCTTCCACTGCCAACCGAAGGAGGTGGTAATCGCATGGATCAACATGGACAAAGCCGTCCCTCAGGCACGATGCATCTGGCACAAGTCCCCGATCCTGGGTCCTGAGCCGACAGCACGAAGGCCTGTGTCTCGACGGACATCAGGGCCGAATGCCAGGCCATACAAGCATTCCCAGGGCTGTTTGAGCCAAGGCACACATACAAATCAAATGAGGCATTCCAAGTGGGCTGGACGGTCTTGTTAATGACTTGGGTCTTGTGGCTCTGGTCCCCGAGCTTCAGAATCGCATACGGGTCAGAGGTGCCGCCGCGGTCCTTGGCCATGAGATTCCTGCCCGAGATGACTATTGGATAGATACGATGGCCGCGTCAGCGATGCAGGCGACCCGGGGCCGTATACTCTGCGGACTCATGCCGAAGCTGGCCTATCGCGGCCGCGGGAACCATCACGCCGGGGCGGCAAGAACAACGCACTCTGAATCCGAAGGGTGGACATGGGCGAGGCAGGCTTGGGCGTTCTGGGGCGGGCAAAGTTGGAGATGTTCATGGCGGCAGCAGAGCAGAGAGAGCGGACAGAGCAGACAGAGACGCAGACGGCGCTGGGAGCCCTGCAGGAGCAGAGAAAACAAGCTGTTCGGATACACCCGTCGGGCTCCGGTCGGTGGGCAGGCCGATGGAAGCGGGCAACATCGAGGGGAACGGCAGCGACGGAATCCTTGCTTGAGGGCGGTGACACAGATGCTGGAGGCGCCGGTGCGTGATTCGACGGGCCACGGGCCAATGGGCAGCCGCTCTGTGGCGCACGGCGATTTTTTTGTTTCTGGGTTCGATGGTCGCCGCGACACCGATCGGCCCTGCGATTCAACAGCCGACGCCCAAGGGAGAGCATCCGCAGAGCAGCATCCGCAGAGCAGCATCCGCAGAGCAGCATCCGCAGAGCAGCGTCCAAGAACCAGTGCTCGAGAGCCAACCCCGAGGTCTTCCACCCAACTCGCAGCCTCTGTACTCGACGTCCTGCTGCAAACAGCGCATCACAATGGGCCGCGTGGGACGAAAGCGCCAGCACCACAGGTACTGCTCAAGGCCGGCTGCCCGGGTTGCAATATCGCTGCAGCCGACTCCAGATGCTCATCCCTCTGCTATTCTGTGCAGCATCCGTGACAACCAGCGAAGATGGAGAACACGGGCTCGCACAAAGGACCTCGACCAAATCCAGGACGACCTGGAGACCCCCGAAAAGTTCGAGAACCAGCCCGTCGACGTTGACCTGCCGGGTCTTGGACAGCACTATTGCATTGAGGTACCGGCGATCAGAGCTGCATCGGCAGAGACAAAGGAACGGCCGAGGGTGATGTGCAGCAGAGGCAGCAGAGGCAGCAGAGGCAGCAGAGGCAGCAGAGGCAGCAGAGGCAGCAGAGGCAGCAGAGGCAAGGATCGTAGAGGCAAGGATCGTACAGGCAAGGATCGTACAGGCGTCCGAGTGCTTCCACTGAGCGAGATTCTTGCACAAATCCGCAGTGCTCAAAGTATTTTGTGACGGAGAACTCGCTGGCTGCTCATATCCAGAGCAAGATTCACAAGAAACGGTGAGTGCCTCGATCGCGGGCATCATGTGGGCATCGTGTGGGCTGCAGCCAAGGGCAAGGGCTTGATACAACGGCTGGCTTTTGAGAGAGCAAGGGCACTTCTTCGAGCTCAGCATGCTGGTCTATCGGCATAGTGCATGCGGTTCATTCATCCCCGCTAGTGGCGGACTGCGTCTGCGTCGGAACTGACGTATCGCCCGCGTGAACGCATATCAACAGAGTCAAGTTGCTGAAGGAGCCAGCTTTCACCCAGAAGGAAGCCGAGGCGGCTGCCGGTCTCTTCACCGACAACGGCAAGGCCGGATCGACTGGCCCCTCGAATCCCCTGCCAGCAAAGCCGAAATCGCAGACACAGGCCATGGAAGGCATGGAGTCATAGTCATCGTCGACCGCAAATGCAACCCCCGATGTTTTGTTCCCACCACCTTCCAAACCATGCAACGTTCGCATCACGCCCAAACCCATCGACTCTCAATACACCTACAGCACTCGCCCAACGGGAGATTCCCCCTCTTTATTTCCTGAACCGTGAATACACCATGCTCATCCAGTGTATACACCATGCTCATCCAGCGTAATCGCCTTCCGCTTGGCACCGCTGCTCGATCCGCCCCTGGGCCGTTCCAGGCTTGAGCCAGGCGCGACGCACGTGACGCGCCGCTGATTGCTTGGCTGGCGCCGCTCGGCGTCGTCCTCGTTTCATTCCAAGCCGAATCCCATCTCCCCAGCACCAGCATCCAGCTGCATGTCCAGGCCGACAGAGACGATGCCACTCCGCTTCAGCACCAACCGCCTTTCCATGCTCGTGGCTGGGCTGCTTGTCTTGCTCGTCTTTCCATTCGCGCATGCCTTCACGGATTATCTGGTAACATTCTCCCCGGCGCTTTCACAGCGGCGGCAGCAGCATCCGGCAGGCTCCGCGAGCACCGGCGATTTATGCTCCTTTTCCGTCGCCTGCAGCGTCTCAAGAGAGGCAGGGCTCACAGCGCTTTTGCTTCGGAGCGCACCCAAGTCTACTGCGGCATCTGATCTGCGTGGGCAGTCACACTGGCGTGCAGGCCTTGGATGTTGTTCGCCCGTCACATATCAATGGCTGACCGAGCGACCTCACTTTCTCGACGACTTTCCCTCCCCGATTGCACCCTTCGACCCTCCAGAGTAACACCGACAACGACGTCTGCACCGGCGTCTTTGCACCTGCCGATATCCCTGGCTATACGGCTCCATCCTATATATCCATCACCCTCACCACCGTCGCCACCCCGCTCAACGTCACCCTACTTGTGTACAACTATCTCGATGGTCCTGTTCTCAAGACGGCGAGAGGCGGTGTTTTGATCTGCGGCGAAGGCAGCACCATCTCCTCGAACCAGTGCACCGAAGCGCAACGGGGAACTTTCGTCATCACCCACCCCGAAATCCCGCTGACATCCCCCATGATCAACCAGTTTTTCCAAGTTACCGGCGACTACTCGGCGCAGCCCCCGACCAAGGTCAAGTACTATGTCAACCAGACCGGATACTACTGTGCCGTAGCCTTCTCCGGCCACAACATGAACGCTGGCCCGGTGAACCCATGGCTTGCCGAAGTGCGGTTCGAGAATCCGTATGGCTCCCTCCCCGCGGTGGACTATCCCAAGCTCCCGGTGGGTCGAGTCCGACCAGAATATCTGTTGGTAGCTCGATGCGCTAGTGCAGAGCATTTGGAAGAGCATCTGGGCACTCGAGAAGCCAAACGGATGTGCCCAGAGGATCTACCACTTTGCTGCTGCTTGGCGCTTGGACAGCCACCCGATTCCGCACTGACACCGTTATGCGTGCTTGCGCCGTATGATCCTATGGTCTCGGCATCGATGCATCCGTCTCGACTGCCTTTAGTTCTTTGGTGCGCTGTCGATAGTATATTTTCTGGTTGCTGCCCTCTGGCTGTGGAAGTCGTTTTGCTATTGGCGCGATCTGCTGCCGCTGCAGCACATGATATCCGGAGTGATTATCTTCCTTATGGTCGAGATGGCGTTCAACTACGTAAGTGACACCGAGCCCCACATATATGCGTCTTATTGAGCGTCTCATCGGCTGTCACTTACACGGTCTGCATTGATCTCAACAGGGCTATTACGAAAACTACAATATCTGGGGCAAGAGCTGTAAGTCTGCCGGCCTCCCTCAATGGGCCACATCATAGCTGCGGTCGCCAAGTATCGTCCGCATTATCCGGCATATGTATATCGATCGCTGACTCTGGCAACACACCCCTGTATATCCGATGCAACGCCGCCAGCCATCGCGCTTCTTATCATCGTCGCCGTCCTCAACGCCGGCAGAAACAGCATCTCATTCTTTATGCTCTTGATCGTCTCGCTCGGATACGGTGTCGTGAGGTATGATGGTTGTCTGTCACGCAATGTGCACCCGCCTCCCGAGTCTCAGTGACAACCGCTATCAAATCTGATGCACCTGGAGTCACGAGCGAACTAAGCCGTACGTTGTATTGCCAGACCAACCCTCGGCTCCACCATGAAGAAGTGCGTTACCCTGGCCCTGGCCCACTTTGCCTTTGGTGTCCTGTACACCGCCGGATCCATGGCCATAATCGACACAGACATCACCGTCATCACCATCCTCATATTTGTATTGCCGCTGTCGATGGCAATGACGGTGTTTTACTTTTGGACTCTTGCGGGACTGCAGAGCACCATGCGCCACCTCGAAAGTCGGCGACAGATTGTCAAGCTCACCATGTATCGCCGTAAGCACCGGGTGTTCAGCTGTCCACGCACTGCTTGTGCAATCCATACCGCTGTCTCGATCGGTCACCCGGCTGACATTTACCCTTCTCCCGCCTTGACACCGGTACCTGCAGGGCTCTTCCGGATTCTTCTGTCCTCAGTCATTGTTCTCTTCGTTTTCTTTGTCGTAAATTCGGTATGTTGCCTCAAATGTGGACTTTATCGATCGCCACGTTTATTTGCTCACCTCCAGATTCAACGTCCGTCGCGATGTCAGCCACGAAGCTGCTTTAGGCGCAGCGCTGTGACTTTGGAGCCCTTCCTCACAGTAATTTCATTCCTTGCCGCAGTTGAGCTTTTCGGAACGCGACTCGGATGATTGGATCGTCAAGCAGTGGCAATACCGATGGATCCTGCTCGATGGCTGGCTCAATCTGCTGTACCTCGTCGTGTTCCTCTCGATCGCTTACCTCTGGCGCCCGACCGAGAACAACCAGAGGTACGGCCTGGACGAAGTCATGCAGGACGACTACGACGACGATCTGATCGCCTCAATGGGTGGAGCCAACGGCGGGTACAATGGCCAACAGATCAAGCTGCGGACCGTCCCGCGTGTCGGCGATCTCGAGTTCGGCCCCGACGATGATGACGACGATGACGACGACGGAGTGGGCTACGACGTTGGGGTGCGGGAGAGCATCGACGAGGTTCTCCAGTGGGCCGAGGAAAACTTTGGACAGCCTGCCACCGAAGCCGTGACTCACGGCAACTTGGTCGCTGTCGAGGACGATGAGCACGCACACGGGTAAGCCTTTGTCTGTCTCGATGGCCTGCCCAAGCGCAGACTGTGGCTCAACCAGCCGACGACGCGGGCTTCTCTCTGTCTCGCCGGCTTGGTGCCGATTGATATATCTGAACCTGACTTGCTGCTCTCCTCGCTTCTGTTGTTGACCACATTCTACCTGGTTAATACCGCACTCTCGCGTCGCCACCGTCCAACCACTGCGTGCCGAAGCAGGTCCTCGGAGATGGCCAGTCTGGTCCGTCCAGAGATCCCAAAAATGAACTAGAGCCTGCCGAAAACAACACTTGGCGCTCTGGGCAGCAAGACTGGCGATCGTTTGGCCCAAGCTATACAAGATTCGAAAGTGAAGCGGGGCACCATGTCATTCATGACAATGGCCATTTTTCTTGATCCCAATACACACACGTCCATCCATCACAACTCTAGCAGCCCGCACACCAGTTTCGATCATCGTGTCGCCGAGCTGTGGCGTTGCAAAATTGATCCGCCACCCACTCGCGGTGAACTTCATATTCAGCGTGCGAAGAGCACCAAGAGCCACGGATGTAGATCCAAAGAGCCATGCTCAATGTATTGCAAAGCTGACGGATGTCTTTGTTTGTGGAAGGCCTTCTGATGTTGATACTGGGCCCGGTACCTCAAAGCGATCTCTTTCTCAAGTAGCTGCGGAGAGCCAACAGCGCGCCTGTCCTGATACTCGGCGGACGCAGAGAGTTGGGCGCGGCGTTTCTGTGCTCGCTCTCAGGCCGAACTAATGCTCGCCGTGCGGAGTGGCATTTCACGACCACATGCGCAGGACGCCTTCGCGTCCGCCTGAGATCACCCGGCAGCCGGCGCTGCTGCAATTCACATCGAGGCTATACAGCGGCTCGATATCGATGCCAGCGTACTCTTTGGCAACGTGTACTCTGACCGGGGCATCTGCAGAGTCACGACTGCATGAAGCAGATACCTCAGCGAGCGAGCCTTCCGCTGGGCGTGGTGAAACGATGGGTTTCGAAGGAACATAATTCAGGTCAGACGGATAGGTGTGCGGGTCGAACCAGAGCTTATGCAGGAACACATGAGAATACTCTGGATGGAATCAAAGATCGCTCGCCAAATACATCGCAGCATAGTCGACGAAGACATCGACATACCCGTCGAGAACAGCAGTCGTATGGCATCGGTGGTATGAGATGGCAAGATTCTCAGTCCAAGAACAGAGGCTTGATTACGTTGCAGCACCAAGATCGGCGTGCCCATGTTTCGCACATCGTAGGCTTCGATCCATCCACTCGCCTGAAGGAGCCGGACCACGCCCGGTTGAATTGCGCATGTTAGAAAAGCTACGACAAAGAGCGGTAGGACCGGTCCCCGGTAGTTCGAAGGCTATCACCGCACGCTGGTGGCCACCGACATCACTCGCATCACTACTCGTACCGATCCAGTTGCCACGATGTTGCTGTCGGCGCTGTAGTCACAGGAGCTCAGGCCAGCACCGCACGACGAGCGGACATGGCATATTTTTGATTTGCTGCCCAAGTCGTAGCCCTGGGCGGTTGATGGGACGGGTCAGTAAGACTGGATTCGGATGTGTATACTTTACGGCCAAAGCTTACGTCGCCGAGTGTGAACTCACCACAATCGACCCGTTATCGGTTGCCATGTAAACGAGCTTGCCGATGGTTGCGACTTCTCTCGGGTCAGCTATTGGACCATGGGGGTGCAGGTCAAGAGCATCAGCATCTGCGATCGGTAGCAGCACTCGCCTCCAAATCCGATGCCCTGGCCGTCGTCGTGGCAGCGCGGCGAGATAGATACGCAAATGGCGAGCACAGGTACCCTGCTAGCGAATCTGCGCTCGGATATACAGTTACTCTGTCAGCCGACCCGGCACTCGGTAGGAGTGACGATTGCCGCCGCGACGCTGCATACCATTCAGTCCAGCTTCACCAGACACATTTCCGCCGTCTCCGAGAGAAATCGCATTGATCGAGTCGGCCTCCGGGGAGAGAGTCGTGATCGCAGAAGCCGAGGCACACTCCCAAAGTTTGACAGTCCCATCTCGGCTGCAGGCTGAGTCATTGCCCGGATGCATAAAGTCATTGTTAGTATTTGTGGATCAAGCGATGCAACGCAATAAACGGTAGTGACACACTTACACAGAACGTTTCGTCCGCGGTCGATTATGGCTGTGTCCAAGACTCCTATAGGCACATTGTGGTGTCAAGTTGGTGCGGATGTGTCTCGAGCAATGCTGCGGATGATCCATGACCTTACCGCCTCCATGGCCAGCCAAGGTCACTGGATTGCTTCCGTCGAGGCCCCAGATCTTGAGCCGCGAGTCCATCGAGCCGCTGAGAATAACTTTGGACGAGGGAAAGAATCGTACCGAGCACACATCACCCACATGGCCCTCGAGATCGAGCTGTGGCAGAGAAATGGTTAGCCGGCATATCCGGGCGGGTACTATTCCCGTGGGCTGGGGTCGCCGTGCTCACCTTGTAGGTCCCATCAGAGCTATAAAGCTTCAAGACGCCGTTGCGGCCGCCAATGGCATGATAGGCTCCATCAGGCGACTCGGAAACAGAGAGAATCTGAATGTCACGTCCAGAGAGACGATCAGCCCAAGGATCAGAGTGTTGAGACAGAAGGCCACGACCCCAGAGTGCAGCTTTGTTGCCGGTACTCAACGCACAGGCTGGCCGTCGAATGGCGTGTAGACATGCTGAGGAGCCTCGATGACGGTTTCCGGACCATCAGGATGTGTTGCAGCGAAGGCTCGCTGTTGGACGCAAGTGTGGCAAGAGAGAATGAGAAGCCTTGGAGATACCAACGTTCACGATGAACGAATGCGCACCGATCCTTCTCCTGCCCGAGCGTCACCTGGCGGAGGCAGAGTCAATGCGCCAGCAAAGCCGAGTCGTACCTCGCTCACATACTTGACATGCAAAGAGTGGTCGTTCTCGAGAACAAGTCGCTGTGCGTCCTGGGGATCGGCGGAGACCCGGATCTTGGAGTGAAGCGAGCCTCCGGCTGATGGCGGAATCGAATTGGCACGAGCGAAGGCAGAATCGATTTAGATCCGACGATTTCATCCTCGCTACGATGCATCATCCAACGGCCGACGGGGCCGCACCCTGTCTCCGACACCTCCTCCTCGTCGCAGCGAGCCGTTGCGTCACTGCTACCTTGATCCAGTCTGTATGCCGAGAACCAAAATTGGGCAGATTTGGGAGTGCCGGCGCCAGCCGAGAGCACGTCTCGAAAGTCAGTATCAAAGTCTGGCTGGACGTTGAAATGCACAATGGGCACCGGCGCCAGGCCGGCACTGCAGGACATCATCTTGCTGTCGAGGTGTTTTGGGGAGAGGGCACAGAGCACCGACCAGGACGAGGGCCTTGGAAATGAGGCTGTACACGTGACACATGAAAGCAAAGACCAGCCAGGGTGCAAGGCCGGGAAGAGGTGCAAGGCGGGGAAGTGGTGCAAGGCGGGGAAGAGGTGCTAACCCAGCGCACCCAGAACGAAATGGGGCACCCGGGTTGATCATGATGAGCGACCAAATAACATGTTGCTCCAAAACAATGCGCGTTGGCCACATTCAGTATGTCCATGACCAGATAACCAAAGAACACAGCTGTTTCGTGATGTGGAATCGAGGCAGTTGCGGAGACCGGAAGGCAATATGCTGCCGTCACTCAGAGGCTGTCGTGGTGATCGGCTGCGTTTGCAAATGACTTTGCTATCGCAAACTACATGTTCGACTGGAACGATAGCGCCGCACATTTCTCCGAGTGTCGCTCATTTGGTGGTCGTAAACTCGGGAAAGCTTTTGGCTGTCTGCTGCATGCTCGCTTTGACCCTGGCATCGTACCATTCGCCACCCTGGGTGAAATGCCAAGCATGTGGCAAAATAAGTCCATCGAAGATGTAGTGTATGCGCCCGATCGCAGACATTCGAGGCCGTTGGGAGCCGATAGCCACCACAACGGCCGTGGTCCTGAGAGTGAGTGTCCATGACCTTAGGTGCCTCTTACCTTCAGCGGAGCTGTAACGCCTGAGTTCTGGCTCACGAAGCTTCGAAGTGCCTTTTCGCAGATTTGATGGGCGCTGCTTGTGGACTTTTCCGATATAAATGGACGTGCGAGCTGGAGAAAAAAGTGCATGTCCAGTATGAACTGCTGCACGCCTCCGAATCCGAAGCGGCGTGGACCGCGGTCAGTTTCCCAACACGGCTCTGGCAAGTAAAAACATTCAAGGTACGATGTGAGGGCACCGCAGCCTATCCAATAACCAATCCTGCGAGGCCTCAGCAACCTCGAACCAGTCTCCAACAAGCCGCGATGTGCGTCTGGACATACTCTCGAGCATCAGCTCAAAGAGACCCTCGACAATGGCCTTCATGGTCTCTGACGCTTTGAAGGCTGGTGGAATGTGCTGTAGTATTTTGTGGGACTCTTCGCAGAGCTAACAGTCGATGTAGTGAGCGACCGGTCCCACGTCACCAGAGCCCGTACAACAGAAGACTACGGCGACATGGCTCTTACCTTGATCATGTCGCTGGAGGGCTTTGCTGTATCAAGAATGCCGCCTCCCTAAATCGCCAGTTTTAAAGAGAAAGTGAGCCAGACGACACCAGGCTCGGGAGCTTGAAAGCGTACTTGTCTGAGCACCCACGCTGGTGTAGTCCAAGACTTGGAACTTGAAGAACTCGCCAATGAGGCGAGCAATCATCTGCTTGATATATATTATGTTCATCTTGCGGATCACATCTGGATGTGCGGTGTAGAGTCGAATTCAGCACGACAGGCCGACAGCCCCATCCGCGTTTGCGCCTCACGCCAAGACCAACGGCATACTCTGTAGGTACTGCCGATGATTCTCGAGCTCTGGAATTGCTCGCTCAAAGCGCGCCTGAAAGGGCAGAAAGGTCAGATTAGCTTCAATCGGCTGTTGAGAGCGCTTTGGTCGGCTCGCCATATTATGGGACATTGGCACTATTTCCGCATATCTGATCACTGCCGTAAGACTAGATAGATCCATACCGCAAGTTGGGTTGACACCCGCGGGACCAGGTCATTAACGACAAAGTCGGCATTGAACACCATGGTGTTGTACTGTTGCAGTTAGGAAAGCTCTCGTAAGCAAACAGGGCAAATCGGCGGATACAGATCCCACAGTTGTATAGAGCGCAACAGGAGCAAACTGAACCTGCGATGGTGTCCACTGGTTCTGAAAGAGCTCCAAGCTTCGGTCAAGATAGCATGAGAAGAAATCGGCCAAGGAGGTCACAATCTTGTCATAGAGCTGCGCCGGTACCACAGGCCATGGGAGGGGGGAAAAGCTCAGTAAGTATCATGGGATCAGCCATGTGAGCAGCTGCAACTTGCGCGATGTCATATGGTCCCCATGCCTACCGCAATCGACATCAAAACTCCGACATTTGAGCCAAAAGTCATGAGAATCTCGTAGAAATCACAGACGCTCTGGCTGATTGGCTTGCTTAACTCGGCTATCGGACATCGACCAGATGGATAAATGCCGTCACGCAGATATGATTAGCCTATGGTCTGTTGGACCAGCTCCTGACCAGATACGGTTGGCTCTATGAGCGCGTCATGTTCGAAAACACAACCACACATCTGGTCGGGATAGCAAAGGGGTGTGTAGATCCATGTATGCACTGTGCAACGCACCATCTTCGAATAGCTTTGGATTCGAAACCTGTGAAAAGTTGTCTGTGTTGATGCACTCGATAATCTTGTCGCGACACAACTTGGAGTGGCGATTGATCGCCTCCTTTACATCATCCAGGAGAAGCTGCTCGATCAAGAAGCTGAGATCCAGGCCGGCCTCGCGAAGCTGATCCCGCCCGAAACACGCGCGTGTGGCGGTTGGACAACATCGCTGTTAGTGTTGGGTCTATCGGGCTGGTTTGGGTGGGTAATGCACAAGAACCTCCCCCCCTCCTTCCTCCCAGAAACAACAGCCGGTCACTTTGTCGATCACGACTATAGGTACTCAAAATCAAATCATCCGACATACCAGCTCGCAGTTCTCCATGGTTCTGTGCAGACAGTCAGAGATCACCGAAAACTCTTGTAACTCATAAAAGACATGTCTTCGAAAGATTTCCGAAAAGTAGATGATCTCGCCGCGCACCCATGTCATAAATCCTGGCAGAGAGATGAGGTTATCGATCGATCCAAACAAGAACCGATGGCTTTGTGGACCTGGAGTCGTCATCGCTCTGCCACCAGCATGCTCGACAGAGTCAGATGGAGCCCGATTTGCCCACACACATCCACATCGTGGCTCGTACCAGATGCCATCGTCGAGTCGTGGAAAGAGACCTTATACCAGTCACACGTGTTTCGAATCATCTGGAATACCACATCGGCGAGATCCGAGACATAGGAGGCGACCTCGCCATCCATTTTGAGTAATCTGCATAGCGGATTGAGCATCAAGTACAAAACCGAGGCGTTGCATATGCATTCAGTTCGATTGCGAATACCAAGGGCTGTTCCCGCAATCGCCGCAGAAATACGCCACCTCAAGTGCGGACTGCCCCGACGAACGCCATTCGAGATGCTTACCGGATGTGGTGATGTATAGCCTTTGTCCTGGAAGTCAAAAATATATCACGGGCCTTGTGGCCCAAACGACGAGAGCAGCCGTGGTTACCGTGGCTGGTATGTATGCCTGAATACGTTGTGCGCGACGGTCCAACAGTAGCGATGATCCCTCCCACCCCCTCCCACAGTCAAACGGTACCTCTTTGCCGAAACCAAGCTTGACAAGCAGCGCAATGTTGGCCTGGCCCTGTTTCTTTGTACAAATCGGACTCGAAAGATCGCCACAGAGTGTGCTTGCGAGTCGCGAGATACGATCTTCGAGGTTGTATTTCATGATCTGGACTCGTGGCGTTTCGACAGAGTTGGAGACAAGGATAGACCGACCTGCGTCCGTTGATCAAAGGTTAGCTTGTACTGTTTGAATGCTTGGGACACCATCGACCCACCACCGTCATTGGCATCGCGCAGCGACAGCTGTTTCTCGAAAGTGGGCTGCACATACCCCTTTCCATCAGCGCCACGGCATTATCAAACTCTCGATGGGCAATCAGGACATCGAGCTCGTCAGGCAGCTCAAACAGGAACTGTGCATCCGGCATTGATATACTATCCTTGACGACGGCGATTTTGGTGGGAGCCGCAGCGACGGTCTCAGCGATAGCCTCGCTCTGTGCAGTCAGAAGAGGAGTGGATGACCTCAACTCCTAAATGGTGACAGAGATGAGCAGCATCGGTGAGGATGTGGGGTCGAATGCATCATCGGAATGCGGTTGCCCAAAACTATCGCACGCTCTGCATATCGTACCTTGGTTTCTGTCGACTCCGCGAAAGGACACAAGCCATCGTGGCGGAGTCAGAATCGTCGGTTGTATCGCCAAGACCTCATGCACTCCAAAACTGGGCAGCTGTCGCCCCGTCGACATGTCGCCAGACTCGAGGCAGTCTCAGTCGGGGCTGAAATAAGCAGCGCACTACCTTTCTCGGGCTCCTTCTTGGGAACCAAAAACGCATCCGTCACTCGTTTTATGGCAGCCAACAGACTGCGCTTGTCTTCGGGAGACTCTGCCCGATAGACGAACGTATTTGGGTGTCGCATAATCTTGAAAGCATTCGTGATTTCTGGTGGGAAGTGTGATGGTGCCATGACGGACACATGTCTCGAGTCAGCAGCTGGCGTCGATGGCGTCATGAACCATGATCCGTTGTACTCGGAGTGGCTGGAGGGGAAGGTGCGCTCCCCTATTCGAACCACCATCTCGAGTAATCGCCTCAGGATTGCGAGTTTTCGGCCTCAAGTACGAACACTGGCCGATCACGAAGCAACAAACCTGAGTCCTTCATGTCGATAATGGCGATCTCGCTAAGCTTGAGACACTTGTCGACGGTCATCTTAGATTTGCCCGAAATGAGGCTCTTCTTCTTGGTCGTGACCAGCAGGTAGTCGCTGAGAACAAAGAAGTGGACGCATTGCTTCTTGCCGCCAATGTTGGACGGATTGACTTCCCAGTACTGAGTCTTGGACCCGTCGCGGGCGAGATAGCGGCTGCTCGACTCGGGAATCATTTTCTTGCGGGTTCATCCAGGCCGCCAGCGAGACGAGGAGAGTGAGACGATGGAGCAGATACGAGGCTGCGGGTGGCATGTCGGCTCAAGAGAGAACAATACATTGCCCAGCACATGGCCGATGAATGGCACAACGGACCAAACAACGATGGCGTTCATACCTGGACGCCTTCGATAAGGTCAAAGAGCTTCTCCATCTGCATCTTTCTGAAATCCAGCATTTCCTGCGGACGCACAAACGGCATCCCTTCTTTCTTCTCCGTCGGAGACAGCTCGGTCGCAACGGGAGAGACATCCAAAGCAATCTCTGCAGAGAAGACGGAGGATGCAAACACACTTTCATCGTCAGAACGGCGGAACACGCGCTCATCCCACGGGCAGAGCAATGGTACGGATCTCAGCTGGAAGAACCAGATCATAAGAATGAGTGACTTACGCTCGACAGGCTCATCGGGTCTCAGGATCTCGTTGACGTCGCGCAGCTCGTTGAGCAATCCGCGCAAAGTAAGCATATCGCTCTCGAGCTGTAATGGCGATGCAACAGCATTGAATCGCCCCACCCCCCAAGAAAGAGAAGCAGACGCAGCCGATCGATTTGTTAAGGATGATGCACAGACAGTCTAAAGAACCAGAGACTGAAGCTAACCAACACCAAGCACGATATCTCCTCGCCATTGTCACCGACACCAAAAGTATCAGCAACGCTCCGTGGGAACAGACACGATAGGAGTCCCTGGCCAGTCGAGTATCGAGCAAGCGACAAAGGCTGTAGAGGAGGGGAAGTGGTAGCCGACCGAGCAAAAGGGCAGCGACACGAAAACGAGAGTATCGAATCTAGACCGGGATGTTGGGCCTGCACAAAACGATGCAGCATGGAAAGGATATTGGATATCTCCTTGGATATGGTGACGAACTCGGTGTAGTTGCGATAGACGTTTTTTTGCAGGACAGAGGCGGCACTCTCGCGAGCGGCCTCGAGCAGAGTAAAGAAGTTCTTGATGTCATCCTCAGCATTGGTGGCCAGAATTCCGTAGACGTCTGCGAGAGGTCGAGTGTGTCAGTCGAATCTCAGAACCAAGGAGCGAGAGCATAGACAAGGCCCCTGGTCCTCGCATCCACGGCCGTTGGACCTACAAGAGTCTGAGTTGAACTCCTCGTCATCGAACTTGGTCATGTCCAAGGGAATTGGGGCAGCTTTAGATTTGGACATGGCGCGGATTCTGCTCACAAGTGTTTAGATTGAACAGTCTCGGGAGCGGTCAAGGGAGGGTGTGGAGTGACGGTCGGGTTGGAAAGACAAATCAGCCCGAAGGAAACGATCCGGCCATTCGAACCGAACTGGGGCATCCCACACATGAGGGGACCGATGATGATGATGGCGGTGACGACGATGGACTTGTGATTCGCAGCCGCATCCTGCAATCAGACTTGCTCGGTGGGACAGGAGCGGATCGACTGTCCGGCTCGGCTGTCCGGCTCGACTTTCTCAAGCAACACATGCGACAGCATCCACAGCGTTCAGTCGATCCGCTTGTCCTCGAGACGGTCGCACTCTATGGCAGAACGGAATGGCAATGAAGCAGCATTGGTCTGGCGCTTCCGCTCAGGATTGCAGTGCTGCTGCTTCGACCCGCACAACAGAGTCACCCATCAGCGACTGTCGATAGCGACTATCGATAGCGGCATCCTCCTGCCATCCGGGTCGCATCCCTGGCGACGCAGGTTCCAGGCCGATGATGTCGCCAGTCCGGCCACGCGCGTCATTCTGCCCCAACGCCCGTCCTCCCTTCCCCCAACGGCTGCCCCAATCTGCCGCTCGCCCAAGCCGCTGTCGCCCCGTTTTCTGGCCAGCGATCTGCCTTTTCCCACATCCCGCATCCCGCACACCACACCCCCAACGCCGCAGTACGCCGTATCCCGATCCTCCTGCTCGCCATGGCTCTCCAGGACGTCCTCGACATTGTGCAAGATACCGCCCTCACACCCCTCGTCGGTGAGGCCTGTGCCGCCTCGATCCTCAAGCTGGATCTCGCCCAGACAAAGTGCTTCAAGATCCTGCTCAGCAAGGTTCTCGGTATCGGCATCGTGGCCGGAGGAGCCATCGTCAAGATCCCCCAGCTCCTCAAGATTGTCAACGCCGGCAATGCCAAGGGAGTTAGCTTCACCAGCTATCTTCTGGAGACCCTGGCCATGGCCATCGGTCTCTCGTACAACTTCCGCGAGGGCAATCCCTTCTCGACCTATGGCGAAAGTAAGCTCGCTCGTCGCCACTGCAATGTCCTGTCCTATTTTGCACGGTTTCCTCCGGTCAAGCACATGCCGTCTCTCCGGTGTCTGTGCCGGCCCGAGAGGGAGGGAAGGGACGTTTGGGTCATCGGCCAGCCATTCGGATTGCCTCTCACCGCCAGCCATTCGGATCACCTCTCACAATATGTCCATTTTTCTGGCTTGGTCTGTCCTCAGGCGCCTTCATTGCCGTCAGCAACTTTTTCATCCTCATCCTCATCCTCACCTACTCGAAGCAGTTTGGTGGCCTTGGGCTCTTTGTCCTTGGCTCGGCTGCCCTGACCTACTCGCTTTACGAGCAGTCGGTCATCACCAACGAGATCCTCAAGACCCTGCAGTGGGGCACCATCTTCATCACCGTCGCTTCCAAGCTTCCCCAAGTGATTTCCAACTTTGCTGCGGGCTCCACCGGCCAGCTTTCGGCCGTCACCGTCTTCCTGACCTTCATCGGCAGCGCTGCGCGCATCTACACCACCCTCCAGGAGGTCGACGATCCCGTCATCCTCTACAGCATTCTGGCCGCCAGCACCCTGAACGGCATCATTGCGCTGCAGGTCGTGCTCTACTGGGGCAAGGTTGGTGTCCGAATGCGTGTTTCCCGCTGGAGAGTTGCGTTCACGTCCGCCCCCTCACCGTTCACTTGCTCAACTCACTCACTTGTATCTGTCATCCCACGCTGCCATCACAGGGCTCCCAGAAGATCAAGGCCAAGAAGGAATAAACTGCGTTTGGCGATTGTCCTCGGCTGCCGCTGTTGCCCTGGTTCCTTCACTGAATATAATGATCTTGTACCGCATGGGACGTTGTGCTGGGCAGAGATGTTGCTGATCGGTTTCACCGGAATGGTCTCTGCTGCAATCCTGTGGCCGGATTGCCAGCGACTCGGAACTTAGAGCGAAATGTTGCGTATGCCCTGGAGTCTGCCTCGCCCATTTGGCTCGGCCCCTATCCTGGGCTCGGGCGAGTGGAGAGCATGCTGGCTGCGGGTGACCGAGCTCTTGGAGAAGGACTTTTTGAGCCAGGCTGCAAACGACGGCCTCTGTCGTTGCTCATGCAAATCGACATCCGAGACCAGCGTCTCTGACGAGATCATCACGGCCAGGGCATGCGGCGGCTGGCCGACGGGCTTGACCTCGCTTTCGCCTGATGAAGCAACAGGTGCTTCGACGATGATGCGCAAATCCTTGACGACGGCGGCAAGCTCCTCGACCTGGGTGGCCACGCTGGCGCGGATGCTATCGATTTGGGCGTCCTTGGCTCGCAGCTGGTTGTGGAGAGACTTGACTGTCCTCACCAAGGCGACCTGTGTGGGAATATGGGAGCCAGAGCGCAGGTCAGCCCAAAGGCCCGGAATAGCCCGGCGGCGTGAGAACGGAAGAACCTTCGCCTTTCCTGTGGGAGGAGCTCGTGAGCGCATGTGAATCGGCCTGGAGTCTGCTCCGCCAAGTGATGGGAGTGTCTACTCATATTCTGGCACACCGGCACATCGGCACCATCAGGGCTGCAAACAGGACAAGCCAGAGCGCGAGCCTGACAACCAGACCTTGGCATCGACTTCTTCTCGCCATTTGCGCACGATCGATCGCGAGCGGATGGCCCCGCGGGTGATTTCGCGATGGTATCGCTGCAACTTTTTTTGTTCGTCTTGGAGGGTCGCCTCAAGCCGCTCGCGTTCCTGGCGCAGCTCGATGACCTGGACGGTGAGGTCGCCAAGCAGAGTAGCATGCGGGTCGGGCAGCGTTTGCTCGTCGGCGACGCCTTCCGACGACTCGGCGCCAGCCAGGGAAACCAGCGACGACGAGGGCGAGGCGGACGCTGAGGGCAGGGACGACTCGGGTGTTGGGCGGTCCATGCGCGGTGCTCGGAGAAGGAAAAAAAGCAAGGGTCGATGAGCATGTGGAAGGAAGCGACGATGGGGGTTGTGCTGGATGCCGATCGGGATAACGCCGAATGACAATGGCTCAATAGTAAGCCGGACCGAGCAGGGCCAAAACAGAGTATGATGATTGAATCGCAGCAGCAAGCGAGTCTGCATGTGCGATTGACCTCCAGGATTGCTTGCTGCTGTCACCTGCGGCCTGAATCCGTGACATTCGGCATCGCCGCGAAGAAATTTGCATGAATCCCTCCGGGGTCGAGCTGTGGTCTGCAATATCGATGCTGTGATGTGCTCGGCGCCTGGGCGGCTGGTTTCCCACGCGGGAACATCACCGATTCCTGCGGGTTGTGTCGCCGACCCAGACCCAGATCCAGCACGGGCCCACGCACGGCACCCGCACCGCCCCCATTTGGTCCACGGGGTTTGGTGAGTACATCGCCGGGCAACAGTACCAGCGATATCCGGCGGCGATGCAGCATCGGGCAACAACGGAGCGATATCGACAGGGCGATACCGACGATCGCAGTGCAGCGCCGGTCTGGGCCAGGTGGACGCGCGGGTCAGCTGCCGCGGCGCTTGTGCATCCTGCGCAACCGCGTGCCGGTGGCGGTGGTGGCGGGTCCGCCCAATAAAAGTGTAGCGTGCGCCGGCCAATCGGCGGCGGCTGCGCGCGGCTGGTCGGGCTGGCCACCGTGGGGCTCGATTGGTGCGATGGACGGTCGGACAGCGCCGCTCGGCGGCCACAGAGCGGAGCGCCGGTGGTTGCGGGGGTCCGCAAGGGCGCGGGCAGGAACCAATGGCAGACGCGGACGGCGGTGTCCCCGGAGACGCGCTGCTGGATCGGTGCGCAGCGGTGTCACGGCGGGCAGCAAACAGGCAAGCGCCGAGCCAGTGCCGTGCCGAGGGGACTCTGGCGCCTGTGCCCTTGTTGCGGGAGCGGCCTTGTGCCGGGCCGAGTGCGAGTGGTGCGCTGGCGGAGCGGCGCCTGAGCGGTGTGCCTGGCGACAGTGTGTTCTGTGTCCGGCGGGTGGCCGGCCTTGTGGTGCAGTTGTGTCTGCAGCCGCGTGCTTGCTGTTCTGCGGTGTGGTGCGCGCTGCTGTGCACCCGGCGGCTGATTGTGCGGGCCCATGCAGCCGTCTCCGCCCCTGTTCCGGGCGCCTTGCTGGCGTCTGTGTGCGCCACTTGTTTCCTGCCCGCCGCCTGTTGCTGATGTGGTGGTTGTGGTGCAGCCCTATCGATCCAATCGGGTGCGTGTGCTGGCTGCTGCCCTCATCCTCCGGCCTGTCGCGGCATTCTCCGGCGCTGTCGGCGATGGTTGCGCTGCTGCGTGCCTGTGGCCACGGGATGGATGCATCGGCCCGACGGATGTTGGCTGCCCAGCAGCAGCGCACAGCAGCAGTGCACTGTGCCAGCCAATGGCGGCAATGTATGGAGCTGATAGCGAGCCACTATCGACAGCACCAACCGACAGCATCAATCGACAGCAGCAACCGACAGCACTCTATCGACAGCAGCAATCCGCAGCTGCGCAGAGTGGTCATGCGAATGCACTGCCAAGAACAACGGCGCTGGATGGTTCCCATCCCAATCCATATTCGGTAAAGTCCATCGCCGACGATGCATCGCACTATTAATCTCATCCATCGCACCATCAGTCTCACTATCAGTCTCACTATCAGTCTCACTATCAGTCTCACTATCAGTCTCACTATCAGTCTCACTATCAGTCTCGCCCATCGCATTCACCATCACTTATCCCACTTAACTTCTTCACTTATCCACCTCACCCATCATCCACCACACCCAGCACCCCATTCTTCCCACGACTCCCCACCCCGGCGGCCCACGCACCACCCTGCCCGCCACCCAAGACCCAAGCACCGGCCTTCACCCCCCAGCAATGCCTGTGCCGCCGATTCCCACCATCTGCTCTGTTCGTCCCTCGCGCAGCGCCCCGTCGCCGCTGGCCCTTCTCTCCCCCGCCTCGTGGGCTCTCGTCTGCTCTCGCTGCCTCAGTTGCTGTGGCGCTGTGTGCTCGTCCCCTCGTCCCGCTTGCCTCGCGCCGTCTCGGTGTCGTCCGTCATTCCTTATGCCTCCCCCCCCCAGTGCTCTTGTTGTCTGTGGCTCCTTCGGATTTGGTGACTCCTTCTGCCTGCTTGCTGCCCCCCCTTTTTTTCAGGCCTTGTCGCCGGGTCGTTTCTCGCTCCCCTCTCCAAGCACTCCTCTTTCCCAGACCTCTTCTCATCTACCACCCTTGTGATTCTCGGCTCCAGCCTCCCTCACCCCCCCCTCAGCCCTTCGTACCAAGGCGGACTCCTCATAGAGATCTTTGCTGCGATCTCCTCCTCCTCCTCCACCGCCTTCTCTCTTGAGCTGATACGTGCTCGCTTCCCTCGCTCTCGCTCGCTTGCTATTTCATCGCTTCCCTTGACACCGGACACCCCACGATTCCCTCGCAACTTTCACACGCAGCTCGGCCACACCAATGTCCAGTCCGCTGCCATCGCAATTCCCGCCTCCCAACCAGGTCAGCGTCGTCTCGGAAGAAGAAACCCACACCGGATCCGAAGACGAGGCTGAATTGCACTCTGGTCCCATCTCGACCGACCCAACAAACCAGGCCGATGCCTCCGCCGCATCGACCTCACCCGCCCCGGCCGCACCCAAGAAGCGCATCCGGACAACCCCAGAGCAGCTCGCTGTCCTGGAAGAATCCTTTGCCGAGAACAGTTCTCCCGATCGGAGGGTGCGCCAAGCCCTCTCCACACAGCTCTCGATGACCGAACGGTCCATCCAGATCTGGTTCCAAAATCGAAGGGCAAAGGCCAAGCTGTGGCAGCGGCGCGCAAACGATGTCGCCATGAGGGCGGCGACGATGGGCTCTGCGGGCTCTGCAGGTTATCCTGTCGTGTCCCCGCACCCGGTCGGGACTCATCCCATGATGGCCGCCTCCATCCCACCGACTGCGTCGCTGCACAACCCATCCGAATACGGCTACTACGATCAGCGACACGTTTACTCCAGCCCTCCTTTCAAAGGCAGCCCGTACGCTGCTCCAACTCCGGCTCAAACTCCCGTGGTCCTCAGCCCGCAAATAGCCTATGGCTCGCCCTACTCTGCCTCGGCAGCAGCTCCAGGTTCGATAGCGTTTCTCTGTTTCTCTGTCTCTCTGGTCCTCGGTTCCTTTCTTGCGTCGGCGTTGCCGTTGGCACGGGCTAGTCGACCGTGACGGAAGCAGCGGCTCGGATGGGTCCGCACAGAATCAGGCCCTGCTGCCCTCCCGTACACCGCCCGGTGGATCGCCCAGCAGACCGTCCGGTGGTGGGGTGGTGGGGTGACATGTGCTTTTGGCTGCTGTTTTTCGTTAAACTTGGATGCCTTCCTCCTTGGAGCTACCCAGTCAACTAACTGCATTCTCTCGACTGGTCCACGATCTCTTACCCGCTGCTGCTCATCAATTATGCATCACTCTGGGATATCGCCATGGCTGCCAACCGGTCATGCTCAACCACGATCGGCGTGTCTCGACTACTCGCCCACACCTTCCTTGAAACGCTCGCTCGCGGTCTCGCACGGTTGCGCTGGATCCGATCTCCCTATCCGATTCCGTCGTCGGCGGTCTCCACAACCTTCGCTCAATCTACGATACCTGCGATTGCACACGACCCGCACGACTGTGCCCTTCACCTGTACACACCCACCTCCCATTGATGCCTTTACAAACACGGTGTCTGAGCAGGCAGTACGCAGGACCATCTCATCCGGTTCGCGTGCCGGACCATGTCCATCGGCTCGTGGGGTCGTCTCTTGTCGGTCAACAGCGAGCTGACCTGCAGCTTCGATCCCACCACAAAGTATCTCTCCTGGACGATCGGCGAAGGCAATCAGCGTTGGAAGATCCAGTTCTCCATTTCGCAAGTCTCGCAGATCCAGTTCGTCTCCACCGAGGACACTGTCATGGCCGACATGGTTTTCGAACTGAGCACGCCACCCTACGTAAGTCTCTGGGCCAGCACTGACACTGTCTGTCTGTTTTCCGAGCCCCTCCCCTCTCCTGCGCCAGCGCATCGGCTCAGTCGAGTACAGCCTCCATGGCGGCGCAGGACCTGCTGCACTGGTCTGCACTGGTCTGCACTGGTCTGCACTCCCTCTGTCGTGGCTGTCAACCTGACCACACCACGGAGCAGTGCTCGGCGTGGATCCAGGCGGCCGCACGAGCGTGTGTGCTACTGGAGCACACCCGGTTGCAGCACCGTGCCGCTGCCTGGTTGCCCAACAGACGCATGGGCTCTGGCCCGGCCCATATGCATCCGTGGCAGCCGGGCGGGGTGCACTGGACCCACCCGGTCGCGTCGATGCCGTTGGTCTGGCAGATGTCGTCACCGGCATTTTCCACTTTCGCTGTCGCCTGCCAACGGATTGCTGCAGCCCGTTTGTTCGTCGGAGAGGATGCTTTTGATGCAGCTGTTTGCAATGCAATGCAATGCAATGCGATGGGTTGTCCCTGCTTGCAGTCGGCTCCGCTATTGCTGGCAGTGCTTTCTTTTGCGCCGTTTCGTGCCATGGTCGGGTCTGCTGGCGGCTCTGTGCCCATCTCAAGTACCGCACAAGCCGCAACCTTGCCTGCTGCGCGTCAGGTCTCCACGGATCACTGCTGGCTCGTCCCTGACTCATCATTGCCGCATCTCTGCCTCTTCCCGCAGTTCTTCGTCGAGTCGATCCAGCCACATGGGCCCGCCTGGAATCCCTGTCACGACTTTACGGAGCATCGCCAGGCCACCAGCAATCCTCGGCACACACTTCGTGGCGAGGCACAGCTGTTGGCCACCCAGCTCGAGTGGATGATCCATCTCGACAGGCATCCCTGGACCCAGTTGGCAGGATCGCTGCCTACTCAGGGACACGGAGCGAGCGGATCTGCTGTTTTCCAGCGGCAGGTTGTGCAGTCGCCTCAACCCGGGATCTACTCTCAACAGCAGCAGCAGCAGCAGCAGCAGCAGCAGCAGCAGCAGCAGCGATCGCCTGAAGCCATCATGGCCATTCCGGCCGGACAGAGCCACCGCAGACCCTCGACGCCGGCCAACGCCGTCGAGTTTGGCTACTCAAATTCGCCTCAGATCGCCACGATGAGCAGCCCAGAGTTCTACTACCAGCAAAGTTCCACCCACGGGACGACCTCATCCTTGCCTCGCTACAACTCCCAAGCCAGCGGAAGCTTCCAGTACGACTCTGCCGGTCATGGACCTCTCAACTGAGCAGAGACTTGCGGATGGATCGGCTTCTTATGGCTCTATCCGGCGCTGTGGTCTCGTGCCCTGTTCTCGCCCATGCCTCAGCCTCGTGTCTGACGAATGGCCTCATGCTTTCCTTTACGGCCCCGCCCCTTGATACACCCCCCTTCGTCCATACTCTCTTCGCCACGCTCGCCGATGCTTTCCATCCGGCCCCACCTGTCTCCGTTTTTGGTCCAACCGCGCTTTCTTGACACATTCGACCCCCTTGCGCCTCTGCCTATGTAACAGCTGCCTGTACATTAATTGACTACCCTCCCCCTTCCTCGTTTTTGATCCATCTTCTCCTTGATCGATGTCGTCCCTGCTGTCGTCGGTCGAGCTCGCCTGTTACCCACTTACCGCTGCCCCTTCTCTCTTTCTCTCCCTTTCCGCCTCTCCATGATTCTGGATTGGTAAGAGCCAACACCTATGCCGTCGTCACGTTATCCACCAGACTAGAGCCTTCACGAACCCATTGGCCTGCTCTGATCTGAGCTCACACTATGCTTCGCCTACTCACTCGCTAACTCACTCGCTCGCTCGCTCGCTCGTCCTCAAATGCAAATCCCATCGTTTGAACGGAAATATCGATTCGTTGAACCGGTCCCATCGCTTGCTGTTCCCGGCTTCATTCACTCTTTTCTTCCCTTGCACGTTCTCTCTCTGGACTTTGCTTCCAAATGCTACTTGCCGGCCTCTCTGCTCCCAACCGTCCTCGTGCCCTCCAATACCTCCCCTTCCCTCCAATACCTCCCCTTCCCTACATTTGCCCCTCCTGCGCTTACTTGAATCGCCCCCGTGTCTCTCCCTTGCTCAACCCCAAACCCCGACTGGGCGCTGCAACGGATACCTCGTCCTCCCTCCTTACTTCAATCCCCTCCGTCTCTTTCCTTTGCATCCCCACTCCCCAACTTTCTTCTTTTGACAACGCCTCATATAACTTGCCAATTTGATAAACCAACACAGGTAATATTTATCCTTCCTTTGTTCTGACAAACATCCCTCATCCGATCCTGCGTACGCGGCCTGGCGGTCGATTTGTGGCTCTGCTTCTCGCATGGTCGCGGTCGTGGCCCGCAGTTTGGGGCTGTTGGTATGAGCCCCGTTTTCCAAATAACCGATCGGGTGGGATCAGTCGGTCAACTCACGGCTTCTTCCGTGTGTGCAAACGAGTACGATATTCTTGTTCGATCCCATCACAGGCATTGTCGCACACAGTGTGCTTGGAAAAGTTGGCAGAATCCCATGATTGAGGAAACGGAATACGATGGATAAGGGCTCGTCGCGGCAGGGAAGCGGAGGTGCTCGTCTCCCACCAACGATAAAATCCTGGCGGACGAATGCAGCATCTCACCACCGAGCATATCACACGCGAACGTCGATGCCGGAGGAAGCTGCGTGCTCCCTCCGAGTACTTTCAGGAGCACCGGATCTCAGCCGTTGGACTGATCTGTCTCCCATTGCCCGCACAGTGCGCGCGGACAGAGTTACGCTTGTGTTTTGATGTATTCGTTGTGACAAACACTGGTCAGGGACGGACCTGATGTGACGGCGACGCAGCCCTCCTCCTTCTCCTCTCTGCCCCCTCTGTCATTTGAGGGTATATGACATGGGCACTCCGCTTGCCACTGGATTCAAGCTGCTTGATCACAGGGCGCAGTCCAACACGACCTTGATGACCTTGCTTCCGTCCTGGGCGACCCGACTCTGCGCCGTCTGGAATGCCTCGGGCAACTTTGAGAGCGGGAACTGGTGCGTCACCAAGCGCTCGAGGTTGCGGGCGACTTGGATGCCGTGCTCGGAGCTTGTGAGGGCCTCAATCGCCACCCGGAATTCGCCACAGCGGGACGAGCGAATGTTCAGGCGCTTCTCAGCCAGACGCTGCAGCAAGCTCGCCTCGGACGACAGCGATGGCGACGGCTCATCAGCGGACCGGGACGCAATCAGGAAGGCGCCTCGGGTCCGCAAGAGCGAACGGTCGTGAACCGGGTTGGGCCGCATGACAGCGTCGATCTCGGCCTCGTTGGTGACGACGACCAGATCAAACCGTGGGAACGGCGAGCCCGATTGCGCGAGGCGATCCCGGCCCTCGCCGCTCTCGATCCAACGGTCGTATTGGGCGACGCTGTCGGCCGAGCCATCCGCGAGCGCAAAGCGATACACCTTGCGGCCGGTCGACTCGATCTGCGCGACGACAGCGGCATCGACGGACGACGATACAAGGACATTGGGATTGCTGGGGGCCGTGTGGGTGGTGGACGGCAGGTTGGTGGCGCTGACGGCGTCGAGACGATGGCGACGGTCACCGGCATGCCCAGACCAGGCAAACTCGAGAGCGTCCAGGTCAAAGTTGACGACGGCCATTTCGTCCACAACGAGCTCGGTCAGATGCTGCAGGCCCAGCACGGGCTGGCCATGGGTGCTCTTGAGATGGACTTCGCGGCGGGCAAGACGGAGGGCGGCATCGAAGCCATCAGGGCTGCCAGAGGTGTCAAAGACGACATCGAAGGACTCGGCGATGGGCGAAGCTGAGCTCGAGAGGACGACGCGGTCGGCGCCAAGACGAGTTGCTTCGGCAGCATGAGCCATGGTGCGCACGATGGCGGTGATGCTGAACGGCCGAGGGGAAGCCGAGCCGTATTGCTTGACCGGATCATCGCCGCCAGCCAAGGAGGACGCTGGTGATGCCTCCTGGGCAGAAGCAGAGCCCCGGAAGGCCACCAGAGCCGCGATGGTCAGCAGGCCAAGGCGGCCGGCCCCCAAGACAGCGACACTATCGCCTGCTCTGGGTTGCGAGCAGCGAACGCCATGCAGGGCGGCAGCAAAGGGCTCGATCAGGACGGCCGAAGTCACCGAAAGAGTGTCCCTTGGAATCGGAATGAGGTTGCCGAGCGGCACGATAACGTACGGGGCCATGCCGCCGGGCCACTGGTTGATGCCAAAGGTGATGCGCTCGGGGCATTGCGACGGGATGCCGGTATCCGTGCGACAGTATGCGCATCCGCTCGAGGAGCCGCAGCCATGCGAGAGATGCGAGTCGTTGATTTCGACGACACCCAAGCGGGCGGTGCGCGAGCCGTCGACTCCAACATCGGCGGCATTCTCCTCCGAAGCATCGCCGCCGACTGCAGAGTCGCTGTCGACCAGGCTCACGACGACCTCATGGCCAATGATCTGCGGCAGCGGATAGGGCAAAAAGTGCCGGGCCAGATCGGTGCTGCAAATGCCGCACCGGAGCGTCTTGACGATGGCATAGTCGCCGTCGAGGGTCAGATGCAGTTCGCTGTTGCGCAGGACCTGGATCTGCTTCTCGGCCGATCGCACGTACTCGTACTGAGCTGTTCCAAAGGTGCCATCGGACAAGAGCTCGTGAGCAGTGAATGATACAGCCTTGGACATGGCGGAAACGATGACGGCGATGACGGCGATGTGGCTGTTGAGATGGAGCTCAAGCTGGCGGCAGTGTGGCTGTTGAGATGGGTCGGGAGATGAGTCTGCAGATGGGCCTGGAGATGAGTCGAGATGTGGCGGAGCAGGCTGGCTGCGCGTTCGGATTCTGTGCTCGGCGACGGTGCACGGAACACATGTCCATTCCAGTCACGTGTAAATGTGGCCACGTGATCGTCTCGCTGGGCGACAGAGAGCAGCCCGGCGAGACCGCTTCTCGGCCGCCGATGGCTGTCGTTGCCGGCCAGGGAGAAAAAAAAAGTGGTCGGTGTGCTGGCCGAGGATCGTGTGTCCGTTCTCCGCCTATCCTGATCCTGCGTGCTGGCAGCCGGACCTCCCGATCCAGGATCGCTCGCAGCGTAAGTGACTGCAACGAACAGAGTTGGCCTACATCGAGTCTAGGGGCGAGATCGACTCGGACAATCACCTCTTGCTTGGGAGAGGCTGGGGGCAACGCCGTGCTGCAGAGCCATGGGTTCTGAGGAGTCTTGGGTGGTGGTGGTATCTGTCGCCTGGAGAGCCATGCTGACTGTCTGCCACCTTGGCTCACTTCTTGACGCAACCTGGCGAAATGCATCCGACTCGGAACCATCGATGGATCGACGGTCTGACTTGACCATTCGGCTGCACCACTTTACTGCACCACTCGACTGCATCTCTGGGACCGAACTGTGCGGCTGCGGACGACTGAAACGACCATCCTCCACGACACCGCCTGGGCAATCTGCTCAAATCATGATCCGATCGCACGCATTGCATCGCATCGCATCGTATCGCATCGCGTCACATTACATCGTACCGCATCGCATTACATCGGATCGGCCATCCCGCAACGGTCAACAGTCAAGCACCGTTCGCCGCTCCGCCATGATCTTGTCGACTCTCTCTGCCGTCGCCCAGCGCCTCGCCTCGCGCCCGCTGCTGCCGGTCTCGACCCCGATTCTCGCGCCCATCTCAAACTCACTACTGGCAGCCGGCTCAGCCGCAGCCCCGTCTATCTGGGCCGGTGCAATGGCCATGCCATCGTTGTCGGCCCTGACGGCGCCGTGCACATGCATGCAGACCCGAGGATACAAAGTCAAGACCTCGCTTAAGAAGCGATGCGAACACTGCTACTTTGCCAAGAGACGCGGACGTCTCTATGTCATTTGCAAGGAGCACCCCCGACACAAGCAGCGCTCCAAGTAATCAATAACAATCTCTCATTCTCAAATGGCGTCCCAAATAACAGCTGCATATGGCAGTGACAATGTGGGCAAGGAAAGGCAAAGTTGCTGGAAACACATGGTGGATGGTGGTGAGAATCGTGGGGAGGTGCAGGGCAAGAGACGGGGAGGCACGGCAAGGGAAATCGCACAAGTATCAATGGCACATGCGCGGTCAATCGAAACGGCATGGTCATGGTGCATAAGGGCCGCTTCATGATTCCTGTCAGAGATCGGAAGGATCTGGCTCATTGAACTCGAATCAAGCAATGCTCATCATCGCCATCGAGACCCACACGAGCCACCAGGATTCCCATCCCAAAAGAGGAGGCCACGCTCTTCATTTTTATAGGAGAGCTGTATTATTGTGTGCATCGTGGGACAAGCTGCAACGATGATGCACCCAAAGTCCACAACAGATGGGCATGTCCTGAGTGAGGCAAGGTTGTCTATGTTCCCAAAAGAAACGGTACCGCTGCCATGTGTGCAGCGTGTCTCCCATCAGAGAAAGAGAGATAGAGAGGAAAGAAAGAAAGAAAGAAAGGGATGCTTGCGAGAGAAAGCCGGGAAAGTGGAGAGAATCGAGGGGGAGGGGAGGGCAAAACCAGCCGCGGTGTAGTATAGTCGACCGATCAGTCAAGGGCGGAGCGACCAAGCGAAGTAACCAACAGATGACCTCCCCTGCCCTTGCTTCAGCGCGCTATCTGGCATATAAATTAGTGCATGCCTCGAATGAAGCATGACCCAACGAAACGTCAAGGAGGAAACTCGAAAAAAAAAGGAGAGGAGCACAAGAGGCGAGATGATGTGGGATGGAAAAGGGGGGGGAGAGGAGAGGAGAGATACACGCAGCGGCTCTGGAGTGCATCAACAACACAAATACGCAAATAGAAGACCGAGAGAACGGCTGAGACACCAAAGAGCCAAGAGATGAGCGAGAGGGAGTGTGTACGCTGCCAAGTGCACAAACAGTGAGGAGGATGCGACGAGCACAGAAACGGCTACATCAAGAACATGCCAGGAGCATCATGCGCTCTGTTACTTGAGCAACCTAGCGGCGATATGAGCGCTTTCATATGCGGCGTCAGTGAGAAGGGTAAGAGGGAGGAAGGAGAGAATGTGAATGTGCACAACCTGCAGGTTGGGACTGCACAGAGAGAGTCGGGAGGGAGGGAAAAGTCGAGCGACGCAGTGACACACACTCTGTATGTTGACTAGCGAGGGAATAGTGGTCAACGGTGGTCTATAGCTGCGACGGAGACGGAGGTGGATGCGGAAGTGGTGGGAGGCTGCAAACTTGTGCTGGTGCGCGAGACCATCCTTCGGTGCAACGACAGCACACTCGGACACGAGAGCACAGTCAGGGAGAGCTTGCTTAAGCCTGAGCGGCAAAAGAGCCCACCACCCGCTTTCGCTTGGTGCACTTGTAGATGTTGTAGCCGAGGATGCCCAGGACGATGGCGCCGCAGAAGGTTCCAAGGTAGACCCAGCGCAGGATGATTTGGTGCTCGGGGTGGGCAAGGTCGAGGGGGTCGACGGTGATGCCAAGGAAGAATCTAGCAATGTTGTAGCCGACACCGGCAAAGATGGCCAGGTTCCAGATAATCGGAAAGACGTACTGCTGCCACTTGGACATCTTGGCGCCGAAGCGGGAGGACGTTCCCCATCCGTTATCCCAGAGGAAGAGGATGGCGTGGATTTTGGCTGCCGATGCGAAACCCAAATCATGTCAGTCGCGACAGCACGACAGTGGTGCATTTGAGCAAGTGCGAATTGCGCACACGATAGCAGAGACGGGTGCGCACGTTTGTGGTGCATGGATATGGGGATGGGTATGGGAGGTCCAGCAGGTGAGGCCGCTGAGGCAGTGTTCCGCCAGAACCGAACAGCAGAAGCAAGATGCATGCATGAATGGCCTACCGAGCATGAGACCGTGCAAGTACAGGAATCCGTAAAAGGTCACCAGGAGGAACTTGACATTTTTGGTGATGACCACAGCATAGAGAGACTTGAGGAAGCCCATGAGCAGCAGGATGTTGGCCCAAGTGAGCAGCAGCCGAAGACTCGACTTGGGGTTGTAGAGGACAGTGAAGAAGGCGTACATCAGGATCCACGGGTAGATAAATTGGAAGAGCAGCTCGTATCTGGAAGGGACGGCGGATGCATTAGATTGGGAGCAAGTGGCAGAGGTGGCCCCACTTGTGTATTGGGACAGCCACTGATGGAGATGCGCTGTCACTTACGCCATCCACAAGCTATGACGGTGGAACCAGCGAGCGTTGAAGAGGGCCTCTCGGTAGAAACTCTTGCTCCAACGGGTCTGCTGGACAATCCATCGGATGAACTGGGTCGGGGTTTCGGTCAGACACCAGGCATAGTGAGTGTAGACGACCTGCTGGCCAAGCTTCAGTGTGAGGTTGGTCCTGAAGGAGGAGATCGCAGGACAGAGGGATCAGTATTCGACAGGCAGGCGACACCACACACGCCACCCAGATATCGATACATACAAGTGACGATCGTCTCCGTAGGTGCACTGAACTCCAAGGAACTTTTGGCTGACCCAGGGTTCGATGATCTCGCGGATGATCTCCGTTCGGTAGATACCGAGGGGTCCAGAGACACATCCAACACACTTGTGGAAGGACTGGCAGGCTCGCTCAACATTAAAGGCTCCCCAGTAGCGGAGTGCCGAGAGGAAGGAGATCCAGTTGTCGTCGTTCCAGATGCGGACGTCGCCGGTGGCAGCGCCGACCTTGGGGTCGTCGAGCATGAAGGCAAGCTCCTTGACGGCGTTGCAGTCCAGATAGGTGTCCGAATCGGTGACCATGATGGCGTCGGTGGGGATGCAGCTGAGGAAGACATGGAAGCCGCAGTACATGGCGTGGCGCTTGCCGCCGTGCTCTGGAGCGAGTGTGAGTGTGAGTGTGAGGATTGCACGAACGACAGTCAGTGGCCGGCAAGTTGGTTGATCACGGCGGTGGCAGCCACGGCCAGCAATCGGCAGCAGCGGATAGGGCCAGATCGCAGCACATACTCTGCAGAATGCAAATGGGGCCCTTGGCGCCACGCAGCTCGGTGTACAAGGCCTTGGCCTCTGGCGACTCTGAGCCGAGTTCAGGCATGTTGAAGCCAGGCACGATCACAGTGGCATCTGGGCCAAAGACCTCCTGGAAGATTGTGCCCATGTACTCGTCCTCCTTTTCGTCGCCGTCAACAACCATGATGATGCCTACGGGTGGCGGTAGCGCAGAAATGGGCAAGGATCAGCCGAGCGCTCGAGTGGACCAGAATTAACAAGCAGAGGATGGATGCGGGTTGAACAACTCACGGCGAAGGTTGTCATACTGCAGAGCCTTGCAACTCTCGAGACACTGGCGGTAGAGCTCGGGGTCCTCGCGGTAGCCGACAATCAGCACACCGGTTGCGAGACCTCTCCAGTTCGCAGGGCGGTTGCGGACCAGCCGGTTGACACGGACTCGGTTGGCCTGAGCAAAACAGCCCTGCACAAAGTAGTGGAGGACGACAAACAGGCCGTAGAAGCCCAGGCCGAGGGCCACAACGTTGCTGCTGATGATGGGAATGTGCAAGGCATATCCTGTGGAGCCATACAGCAAACAGCAAATCGTTCATGAGAGGGAGGACCGACAAGGATGTTGGGCAGGCGGAGCAGCGAAATAGAGTTCGTTAGTGTTTCGGCATTGGCGAGACAAAGCACAGCAGAGGCCAACGTGGCCAGTCCGCGACGGAGCGAAGAAAGTGATCGGAATGAAGAGGACGAGCCCCGCCGGCGAAACAAGGGCAGCCGCCGATAAGACAGTCCGCCCGGTACTGCCGACGGGGGAGCAAGACAGAGTCGCGAGGAGTCGGGAGGACAGGCTCGGCTGCGGAAGCGACAACACAGAGGCCAAGAGGGGCCAGCGAAAGCAGTCGGATGGTGGTCGGCGGCTGCGAATAGATGCAGGAGGGCCGTGAATGGGACACAGAGGGGAGCGGGAAAGGAATGGGAGGAGACCGAGAGCGGCGGGAATGGACGGCAATACAGGAGGGGAGGGGAAGGCCGAGGCGGCAGTGTTCGAATCCTGTCCATCGGGGGGACTCACCGATGATGACGGGCAGAATGAGAGCAAAGCCGGCCGAGAAGGTGAAGAGGATCTTGAACCACTTCTCGAGTCTGGGCTCCTTCTTTTTGTTGAACCTGCGGCTGCCGGTGCCGCCGAGCCGTGGTAGCGACAGCGTGCGGAAGCGGTGTGAGTGCTGGCGAGAGGCCGTTGGGTATTCGGTCATGTCTTTGGCGCCGTCGACGACACTGTCGGCGGCAACCATGGTCTGCTGGCTGGAGGACATGGAGCGGATGGAGGGGTCGAGAGATGGAGGAGAGTGCTTGACGTCCTTGAGCTCGACCGAGAACGGGTTCATAGCGCGGCAGGCAAAGGAGGCGAGACGGCGGCGGTGGGAGGGGGCTTTGAGGATGTGTCCCGGTGATGCGCACGACAACCCAGGGGAGGGGAGGTGATGCCGATGGACGGGTCCACGGGAGACGAGGCACTGGGCGGGAGAGAGACGGCGACGAGCAGGCAGAGCCAAGAGCAAGTGCGAGTCCAAGGGCAAGTTCAGAACCAAATCCAAGACCGAGTCCAAGACCGAATCCAAGCCAACGGCGACTTGAAAAGCGACTCCAAAAGCGACTTAAAAAGCGACTTAAAAAGCGACTCCACAGCCCCGAACTGCCGATTCTCCCCCCCACACCCGCCGCCCACTTTGCTTCCGAGAAGCAAGCGCGAGAAGGCTGTTGCCGACCCCGCCGCGCCGCGGGCCAATCGCCGTCGAGCCAGTGGCGCGTCGTGTCTTTGGATTGTTCCTGCCCGCGCTTGGCGTCACACATGTACCACCGCCCGCGCGGCACCTGAGCGCTCTGTCTGTGTGCCCCTGCCAGCCGCCGTGGCGCTGTGCGACGCGCTTCCCTGCTGCGCGCCGGCGACGCGTCGCGCAAAGACAAGCGGCATCCGCATTGGTTGCTCTTTGTCGGCCCGCTCGGCCGCCCATGGGATCCCTGGGTGGCCACAATACGGCTGGCCAGCGGCGTCGGGACTGTCGGCGAGCTGCGGTGTGCTGTACTGCGTTGCGCTGCGAGAGTGGCGGCGATGGACGGCATCGATGATGGTGCTGCTACTCGCACGATGAACATGATACTTGCAATATGGTGCTGCTACTCGCAATATGAGGATGATACTTGCAAGATGAGGCAAAGAAGCTGGTGTTTCATGTCCTGGCAGCGGATGCTTCTGTTTGTCGCAAACAGGATCGCTCGCGCGTCTGTCCTTGTGGCCTGGGCCTTTGCCTGGGCCTTTGCCTCGGCCCTTGCCTCGGCCCGTGACCCGCCGCCCTGTTCCGCACAGTCAGCCTGTGCTGCCGTCTGTCTCAGCTTCCGCGTTGCACAGCGCTTCAGACTCCCCCCCCCACCCGCCGTGCGCCTCTGCGCCGTGATTGCTCGGGGTGCCTGGTGGCGTGGGATGTGTCCACCGCGACGGCACACCGGCTGGCCCTGTGTCGACTGTGCGCCAAACCTTGGCCGTTGCACACCTTGGCTCGGCAGACACAACCTTCCCCGCACATACGACAAGGCGCGGCCTTCCCCCTTCCGTTCCTTCCGCGCACGCAAGGCTTGGGCAGGTCAGGATTGGTGTCAGCATCGCCATCAGCATCGCCATCAGCATCGCCATCAGCATCGCCATCGGCATTGCCATCTGTGTCTTCATTGCCATCAACACCGCATTGGCGTTGTCTTCATGCCCCTCCCTTCCCCTCCCCAAAAAACCATGATCGAGCTGGCTTGCAGTCCGGCGAGCACACCCGCTGGGCCGTGTTCTCGGCGCTCATGTCGCTCTGCATATCTCCGCTCCTCTAGATCTCTTGCGGCTTGTCCGCCTTGCGCCGTCAGCTTCCCCAGATCTTGCCCCCGCCGCAGCGGCCGCATCCGCCGAGCTGAGCTTGCTTCTTCCTAACCGGCATTGACCCTGCGTGCATGCAGCCAGACATGAGCAAGGATCAGCATCGATGCTTCGTGCGTCAGAGATCCGGACAGACCCAGACTCGGATCCAAACGCTGCCCGCCGAGCGCAGAGGGCCCCGACTCGCGATCGGGAGAATGCCACCGCCGCCTCGCAGCGGGATGGAAGATCGCCGCCGCGGACCGCCAGACACGCGCGTGCATCGATCGGAATCTTGGGACAATCATGCCCCGTCACCGACGGTCTGCCGTCCACATCCTTACCAGTGCTTCAGAACAGAGTCTCCGAGCTCGTCGACGGCATCCTCGATCTGGCTGGGATCGAGTGCAAGTGCCATCAGACGGAACTCTTTCGGGCATTGCCCAAGGCTCTGCGTTGGCTTGATGAGTTCAATCGACTGCAGGTTCTCGAACGACTAAAACGGGCGAGCCCGAGCCATGCGGCAGAGTGCGGTGCAGTTCGGTCAGCGCGAGTCCCGTTATATGCTCCGACAAGGTGCGCACAGGCGGCAGGGCATTTCCAAGATCTTGTCCAAGATCGGACTCTGTCCGCCGCTGCCTGCCATCGACCTCGGTAGATACCGGCCAAGTCATCCTTTCCTTGATCGTATCCCAGCCCTCACATGTCACCCGGACTTGCCTTGAGGGCCACGGGCTTCCGAAACAGCAGCTTGGACGCACCCGCCTGACTGCGGTTTCGATAGATGTAGGCTTTGAATTCGTCATACACCATCTCAAAATTGAACTTTGTCACTTCTCGGTAGACGAGCTTGCTGATCGCAACCAACAAACACAAATCCAGGGTTGATAGTCCTGTCGATGAACAGATACGATTGCCGGCGCGTCGGATCAGAATGGAGCGACTTGGTGTGGATATTGGCTGATTGGTTGCGCCCTCCCCACTTACACACACATACCTTTCATCAGCTGCTTGGGCTGGTCAGCCAGCTGTGCTCGCACAGATTCAATAAAATCGCCGTGCGAAAGATACGGTGTTGCCTTTGAGAGATGCAACACCGGCGTCATCTAGAGCGTGAATCGGATGTAGCCATGGAATCAGTATCTCGAATCGACAGAGTTCATGCGCCCGACTATCCAAACGTTGTCGTCTTTGCAAGCACCGTCAACATACACAAATCAAGTTCAAGAGCCGCGGATTGCGCGTGAACTCAAATACGCTCTTCAGCAAGCGAGTGAACTGGGTATTGGAGAATAGCGCCTGTACGAACGCACGAAGCAAGCATTTCAGTCATATCCGTCAGCCATTAGCCCTGTCCGATGGCTCAGTGATGTCGCTGCATCATGTTGGCATCGATGCAATTGTCCCGTTGTGCAGCGTAACGTACCTGAACATACGAGTTGAACGAGTCGAGATACTCAGCACTGTGGATATCTTCTTGGCGCAGTGTGAGACAGTTTTGCATGATCGAAACAAAGCCTTCGTACTTTATGGGCGAATAGAAGCGGATCTGCTGGTGCGAGAACCGCGACTTGACTCGCTTCTCCAGCATCTCAATAGCGTCCTGGAAGCCGAAACAAAAGACACCACAGTCAAGCGTCAGTACGCGATATGTAACCTGTCTCTCCTCGATCATCGAGTCCAAGACCATGGTCCATCAGCAGACCCAAAGTCACACACCACACAACCATAAACTGGCCTCGTGCTTCGACTGTGCTGACAGGGCTCTCCACAGACACGCATCCACAAACTGGGCAAAACTGAGGCGCACTCTGCTTACCACACGGCACGTTACTCCGACCACGGCGACAGAGCCAGCGCTGTTCTGGACAATGTCAAAGAGATTGTAGAGCAGCGACTGCTTCTGGTTCCTGGAGGCAAACAGATCGAACTCTTCGATGATGATCACGACAGGGATGGAGCTGCTCTTGGATTGCGGGCGTAGTGCCGTGAGGACGGTCGAAAGGCATTCGGCAAATGAACCCTGGTGGCAAACAAAACATACATAGTCGGTCGTTTGTGTCAGCCGTAAAGTCTTTCAGGCTGAGCAGTTTCCCTCCTCGGCCCGAGTGCACTTGCGCGCATCAACGCCCCTACACTACCGCTCAGTACAAGCGGCTCGCTCGAGAAGTGGCTGGCCACGCTTACAATCTTGCGATCATAAATCTGCTGCTCCAGATTCATTTGGCGAACAATGTCCTTCAGCGCGATCTTGTCCTCGGTGTGGATCAGTCCATTGAGGTGGATTTCCATGAACGACTTTGACGAGCTGTCGGCGTTGTCTCGAAACGCCTCCAGGGCCTTGCGGAGGGTCTGGGTCGAGTGAGCCAATGCCCCGCGCAGACAGGGATGATAAGCATGACAGATGCAGAGCCTGCAGAGGGAAATTGGGAGTGCATCCTGCTGCTGTCGTGCAGCAATATGGCCGGCATCGAGACCGGCTGAGTGGCCGGGAGAGCACGGGACGGTGGTGAGACTCACCATCGACTTGCCGCTTCCTCGATCGCCGACCAGGAGGATGCTGTTGCTTTCTCCATATCGGATCGTTTTTTCGAGGAAATCATGCAGCTTGCTGGTGCCCAACAGAGTAACGTCGGTGTCAGCATCTTGACGGTGTGGCGAGGATGACAGGCAGACACCACAATCCAAGCCAGAGGACTCTGACAACGAGCAATCTCCGCAGCCAGCCCAGTGATTCAGAATAGAGGTTCCGTCGGCCACTCCAGTCGGTCACTCCAGTCGGCCACTCCAGTCGGCCACTCCAGTCGGTCTCGGCCTCCTCTGTGCATCCGATTGCGATTGGTTGCTGCCTACCGGCTCTGGTCCTCGAGATCGACGAGCTTGGAAGGAGTATGGGTCTCGGATATGCGGCTCCAGATCGCCCGCTGGGCCATGTGGATGTCCTCGAGCCCAACGCCAGAGTCGGACTGCTCCAACTGAGCCTCGATCTCGCTCATCTCCTTCTCGGAGGCACTCAGCCTCGCCTTGAGCCGTGGTGCTCTGGTCGACGGCGAGCCGTGCTTTGAAGGCGAGGCGACTGCAGTACTGGCCAGTCCTCTTGGTGACGTGCGAGTACCCCGCGATCGTTCACGATCGGATGGAGGGGTGTCGCTCGATGAGTCGCCGGAAAGCGCCGCATCGTCCGATAGCACCGACGACGACGACGATGACTCGGCCAGATCCTCGGTAGCTGTCGGCATAGGCATGGTCTTTTGCCGTTTGGGTGGTGATGCTGGTGACTGGATGAGCGTCCGTGATCTTGACCGGGTGATGCGCTGCTCCATCGCCTGGGTGGTCCGGGGTGAGGCGCTGGAACGGGATCTTGTCGAGGGCGGCATGGTGGCAAACGGAGAGGGAGGCGTGGCAGATTATGGATCCTCGGCGTGCGGAGATAAGCGCAGATGCAGGGCGGGAGATAGACAGGGATATAGACAGGGAGATAGACAGACGGGGCCGGAAGGAGGATTGCACGGGCAAGTATCGGAGCATCGGAAGCAGCGGAGAGGCCATAGCATGTGTGTGGGTGCGTGGCTGCAGCCGTCCCGGATTGCTGGATCGCAATGTGTCCTTTTTTGGCAGTGCCATGCAGCCACTCTGTGGCCGGTCGCGCTGTGGCCGCTGTGGCCACGTGGACAAGGCGTGAACCCGTCAGCTGACCCCTGTCCGCACGGAAAAAATTTTCGGCGGGCTCTGGCTCGGGGGGTGGCGTGGCTGCGGACGCTGCCCTCCTCGCTCTCAAGTCTGGGATCTGGATCTGGGACGCACGCTTCCATCTGTTGATCTGCCCAGCGTCAAGCGTCAAGCCAGCGCCCACCAAGCCCCCAGGCCATCCTCCAAGCAACCTCCGTCTGCCATGGTCCAGCTTACAGAAATCCCCTCGAACGATCCCATCATCAAGGAGATCGAGGTCGAGAACGATGAAGACTACGAAGACATTGAGGACGAGGAGGAAGAGGTCCCTGCCAACCCGACCGAAGTGAACGGCAGCAACGAGCCGAGCACCAAGGCCGGCGTCGCCGCCGATATCGACGGAATCGACGACGAGGACGATGACGACGAGGACGACGACGACGACGACATGGACGAGTCGCTGATCGAGCGGCTGTCGGCCCTGACCGAGATCATTCCGTACGCAACGAGACGATCGGTCTACAATGCGGTCTCGGGCACCCTCGGTCTTGGATACGGCGTCCTGCGACTGGCCGGTGGTCTGGGATGGATCGTCGCCACTGCCTCGTTACTGGTGGCCCTGCCTGTTGCCCTCGAGGTTGAGCGCGAGACCTTTGCCCTGATGGCCGAAGCCCAGCAGCGCGGAGGTGCCCATGGACAGGCCCAGCAGGCCCAGCAAGTATGACCTTGTTTCATTCTGTTGCTCCATTCTGGCGTGGTGTCGCGATGGACAAATGCCGATCTCGCCGTGATGACCCCGACGCAATGGTGGTGCTGATGCGGTGTCCAGATGGCCTCCCTGGAGTGTACCGTCATTGAATCGATCGACTGCATCGAGGCAGTCGACTCGTCGAGGGCCCTTTGGCTAGTGCGGACCTCTGGGTGACCGGACTGCCCGATCCGGCTGCATGATTTGGCGCATCGGTTGGTCCAACATCCCAATGGCATCTCTCTGACCTCCGCTTCACCCCTCCTCTGTGCTTACTCAGGTCATCGGCGGCCCTGCTGCCTAAGCACGCATACTTTTCGGCATCGCACAGTCCTCCAAACTCCAATCAGCGTCCTTGGACATGCTTCAGGAGTCGCAACCCCTCCCTCCTCCTCCTCCTCTTTCCCTCTCCTCCCCCATCGCCACGCATCGCCACGCATGCTATTTTGTACAGGCATTCTCTACAGCGTTCACGAACGAAACGGAACGAAACGAAGCGAAACGAATCGGAGTTGCACTGGTATTTTGTGGTCCAACAGCAATCGCTCGGTTTTTGTCCTTCGGGATTCGGAATACACACCTCCCCACCCCCCGCTCGCTGCGTCAATGTCTGCCGTTGGTGGATGCTGCATGTGTCGGTGTTTGCTTTGCGTTTGTGAAGCCGCGATATATGGACAGCGGACTGCACAGTGTCGCCAGTATCGTCAGCGTCCGTTTCCGCCAACTCCCATGCTCGCTCGACGAGACTGCATGTGATGATTCAATGACACACGGCTCTCACTCTTACGCTTGGCTCAACACAATGTCTCGCTCAACGAGGGCCGTTGTCACTTGGCCCAGGTCGCTGACGGCAATCGTCGCGTGCTCCTGCAGATGCCGGTTCGCCTCGTTCATCAGCAGGACCGTAACGGCGCCGGCCTGGGTGCCGCAGGCAAGATCGTCCTTGGCATCGCCGACCATGATCAGCTCGCGAGGATCGTAGCCCCAGGCCCGGGCGATGTGCAGGAGCGGATCAGGCGCAGGCTTGGTCGGCACAAAGTCGCGGGTGATGATGGGGCTGAAGCGATACTGCGGAAGGTGGTTCTCGAGGACGTGGGCGACCGAGGGCATGGCATTGCGGGTCAGGATGGCCAGCGGGATCCGGAGCGACTGCAGCTCGCCGAGCAGCTTGTGGACATTGGGCTGGAGCTGGGTGTTGGCGAGGGCCTCTTCTACAAAAGGTGGGTCAAGCAAGCGACAATGTCAATCTCATGCACCCAACGGCTTTGGGTCAAGGCATCATTTATCCTGTCGGTCGACTTGCACGCTGGCCGGAGCAGCCGCCATCATCGTTGCACTCGTTCTACGGGTCGGTCTCTGGACATACCCTCCATCTCTCGGATGATCCGTTCGGCCGCTACCCGCCTCTCGCCCGTCCATTCGTTCAGTTTGTGCACAATATCGTCCGAGGCGTGCAGATCCAGTCGCCGCCTCATTTCCTTAAAGTTCTGTTTTGTGGAGTGCCACGTTTGTGCGATCGGGGAAGGTGGAGGTGGGAAGGAAGAAACCAGGTCGATGAAAACGTCAGTGAGGAAGCGATTCGCAGAAGCACGCAATGGTATTGCCGCCAATGTCCCTGGCCCTCGGCATTGGCAAAGGCCAAGAGTCCAGATCGGATGCGTAGTGGCGACCACCGTACCAGAAACGGGATCGTCAAGGTGCCGTCCATCTGGCATAAAGAAGACGGAGAGAGGAAATGAGGATGCCGCCAACATCGACAGCAGAGGCAGCCAAGAGAGGTTTGATCAAGTGTGTCGACCAGGGTTTCATCAAAGCACGGCCCGGACGAGGGATCAGCCTACATCGAACACCACGCCTCGGATGGTTCTGGCAGCTTTCATCATATCGGAGACACTTGAGCAGCAGATGGGAGAGAGCTGCGCCGGCTCTTTGGTGTACACACGCAAGCCCGAGAGGAGAGAGATCAGATGGGATCAAGACGGGTTGGTGCTGGCTTCAAAGCGCAGGCCATGCATGGAGGTGCCACAGCCCCGGGATTGCAGTGCATGCATTGCAGCCACCGGATTCCCCAGATGGCCAAATGGCCAAATGGCCAGAGACACACCCAGGATCCACAACCATCTCCATTCCGGATCGCATAGAAATTCACTGACACCATAGCCAAGACGTATCTCGCGTGTATTAGCCACGCCGCAGAAGCGGCACTGAGGGAGTGCGCAATACGACTCGGTCCTGGGCACTCGCCCGCATGCGTTTCAACCAGTATGGCCCTGTTTCGAGGCCAACAGAGCAAGCAGTGCAAGGGGGATGTGTCGCTCTATCCTGTTTCTGGTTCCCGGCCAGCCACAAATTGGCCCAGGATCAGCGTCGATCAGCGCTGGTGGGGCTCAGATGTGGTCGCTGCGGAACGACGCATACTGGGACTTCTTCTTCCTGCGGAAGGGCAGCTTGCCCATCACATCCACGTCCTTGAATCGCCGGGCAAACACCTTGAGCAGCTCGACAATCACGAGTTGGATGACGAGACAGATGAACACAATTCCCCATCCGATGGCACCAATGTCTTCGAGTTCCAGCACGGTGTTGAGACCTTGGGGGGGGGTATCAAGCATCCGAGTCAAGACAACAGCACCAGTCACTAACAGGGAACCCAGCACACGGTCTGAAGCTTGATGAAGGAAACATAGCTCGCTTTCGTCCGGCAGCGGCATCCCGCATCGATCGATGCTTGAGCTTCACAGATATGCCACGGCGCCGCCATCCCGCGTGAGCTTACCAGGAACATAGAGGCCCATCACCAGGAAGACGGTACTGAGCGCGACAGCGCCAATCATGAACTTGTTGCTGAAAAAGTCCACCCGGAATACCGACGAATCGATACTGCGAGCATAGAAACCCTGGATCAGCTGCATCATCGTCAGCACCGTGAAGGCCATGCTGCGGTTGAAGGACAGGTCGTTCTTGATGTGAAGCTGGTTGTTCTCGGCCATCAGGAACACGGCGAGCGTGAGCAGCGACTGCGTCAGGCCCTGGGCAATGATGATGCTGCAGGTGACAAAGTCGAGCACGCCCTTGGTGGGGTCTTTGGGCTTGCGGTTCATGATCGATCGCTCGTGGGGCTCGCCTGTGTTTGGAATAATGCCGGATGGCCCTTAAGTAAGCACCACGCATCCGTTCACTCACCACCAGAGCCGGCTGCTCTGGACCGACGATGATTCGCAGGACCCAGCGTTGGTATGACGCCAGCCGCTGCTGCGGTATGACCGGCCCAGCCATGTAACTTACCACCAAGTGCCATCGCGGGCGGGATATCCGCAATCACGTTGGCCCACAGAATCTGGATCGTCGAAAAGGGAGTTGGCACGTTGATAATGGCAGCACTGGGTGGGGGTGAACAGAGAAGCCGGCTGCAGTGAGTACGCATTATCCACGACTCGCCACCGAGCAACAATGTCGCTGCCACAACCTGTCCCAAGGAATCCTTGCCAACCCGGTCAGCAACCTTGGGAGCGCCGCCACAGAAACTATACTTACAGCAGGAAGAGGATGATCTCAGCAGAGTTGCACGAAAGCAGATAAACCACAAACTTCTGGATGTTGTCAAAGACACGTCGTCCTTCGCGGATGGCCTCCACGATGGTGGAGAAGTTGTCGTCGGCAAGGACAATGTCGGCGGCCTGCTTGGTGATCTCGGTGCCGCCAATACCCATGGCAATGCCGACATCAGCCTTCTTGATGGCAGGAGCGTCATTGACACCGTCGCCAGTCATAGCCACCTAAAGAGAAGAAAAGGATCAGCCGAGGCTTGTCCACGAACATCCTCGCCCGAGCCACCAAATTCCCGCCCACGCTGGATCTCGAGATGCCAGGCGAGACCACTCACCGATTCGCGCGCTTTCTGGAGGGCCTTGACGATCTTGAGCTTGTTGTCAGGGCTCACACGCGCAAAGACTCGTGGGAAGGGCCGCTGCTGGGCAAGCGCCTCCTCCGACAGCACATCAATCTCGTAGCCTTTCATGGCTCGGCTCTGTGCAGTGGAGGGAATCACAGTGTCAGCGCCACACATTCCCAGCCCAAGAATCACAGAGTGTTGTTTGTGGCTCAGTAAGCGAATGGATTGGATCAAAGTCTCGCTGTGCCCGTGCCGGTCAGACAAGAGTCTCCCAGATCCCGAGACCACTCACCTCGCTGGGGTTCTCGGGGTTGATGATGCCAAGCTGCTTGGCAATGGCGACGGCCGTGTTGACATGGTCACCGGTAATCATGATGACGGTGATTCCGGCACGGTGGCAGCTTGCGATACTCTCCTTGACGCCCTCCCTATTCCAGAGATTGCCACGATGAGCCAAAGGTAACGGTGAGCCAAATGCCACGGTGCGATCCACCAAACCAGAAGCAACCACGGCGACGGCACAGAGTAACAGCAGATACAGGCACAGCACAAAAGCCACAGGACGAGAAGCAAGCCGTGCATGCACACTCAAGCGAGCCGCCAGGCGATTTCTCACTTTGGGGGATCGATCAGTCCAATCAGTCCGACAAAGCCGAGGTTTGATTCGGCGAGACTCTCCTTCTTGCCAGCGATGATGTTGCTGCCCTCGGCCACCGACTGGCGCTTCATGGCAAGGGCCAGGACACGGAGACCCTTGGAGGCCATGGACGTCGCTCGCTCCGAAACGTAGGCCACATAGCGATCGTCGAGAGGCACAGGTGCGGCGTTGGCAATGTAGTCCAAGGCAGATTGGCCAGTCGTGATAGGCGGGAAGTAGTGTGTACACTTGCTCAGAACGCCCTCGGGGGCGCCTTTCACCAGGACAAAGGAGAGGTCGCTGGCCGGGAGCTCATAGATGCCGGACTTTGGAGAGCCCAAGGCAAACACGGCCGACATAAGTTTGCGGTCGCTGTCAAAGGCGTACTCGCCAAGCTTCTGCAGTCCGAGGTTGTTTTGGAACCATTCGCGCGTGAACCCGACCTTCTGGGCGGCAATGACCATGGCGATTTCGGTGGGGTCGCCGATGGGCTTCCACTTGTTGGTTTCGGGGTCCTTGTTGATGGTACCGTTGTTGCAGAGGCACGAGACCATCGTCGACAGGAGCAGCGACGGAGGGCAGCTTTCGAGCGATTTTGAAATGTTCGAGGCGCCCTGCTTGCGCTGCTCGTCTTTCTTGCCGATCTGCTCAGCCGTGTCAGCCATGGCATCTTCGAGGATTGCAGGGGCACACAGCTGGGCACACCCCTTCTCGGGATCCATCGAGGTCGAGTGTGTGTACAAATAGAGGTTGTTGTCACTCGCCCAGATCTCGGCAGTGCCCATCTTGCCCTCAGTCAGGGTTCCGGTTTTATCGGAGCAGATAACAGTGACTGAGCCAAGGGACTCCACCGAAACAAGCTTGCGCACGATGGCGTTTTCTTGGGCCATTCGGCGGACACCGAGTGCCATGGTCACTAGAGCAGACCAACAGCGAAGAGATTTCCAATTGGTGCTTGTGAGACAGAGTGCGTAGCGATAGAGCGTCGGCAGTGCCTCCGACATGTGCTGGCCGTAGCAGTGCTCGACAGACACATGCCGGATGCTCATGCGATATGGACTGGCACCCACCTGTGACGACGGCAACGAGACCTTCGGGGATAACAGAAACAGCCAAGCTGGAAGATGACCAAGAACATGAAATGAGATGTGAGTCCTCGATTCAAGGCAGAGCCGCGGGCAGTGGCGAAGGCGAAGGCCTTCCGCGCAGGAGCCACAAGCAGCACGTCCCGCACTCTGACCTGACGCCGACTCGAATCATCTCAGCAACAGGATTCTTATGGAGAAGTCCAATGCCGATAACGATGGCGCAGAGCAGGAACGCAATGATGACGAGCCAGGTGCCGAGAGACTGCAGCTTCTTTTGAATGTGGGTCATTTGGTGCGGGGTCGATGTGATGGCTTGCGAAATACGACCAATCTGATATCCACAATCACAAGATGGCAATACGCACGTTAGCGGCTGAAATATCCCGCGGGAATGACTTCATGGTACAGGCACACCAGCAATAGCAATAGCAATAGCAATAGCAATGGCAATGGCAATGGCAATGGCAATGGCAATGGCAATGGCAATGGCAATGGCAATGGCAATGGCAATGGCAATGGCAATGGCAATGGAAAACCCGACCGACGCTCGCTCCGCCGAACAAATAGCCGGTTACCTCAGACTCCAAGCCGGTTCGGACGACAATACCCTTGCCGCGACCTCGAGCGACAACAGTGCACATGAAGGCGTTGCCCTTGCATTCGGCTAGCGGAAGCTTGCGGGTCTGCGTGGATATGAAAGATGAGTGCTCGCCATCATCCAAAGCAGCGCAAGCACGCAGCACAAGTGAAGCATAGCCTGAGAGTCATCGTAGAGTAGTATCGAAGACACATACGCGTCGTCGGATGGTTCGGATGCTCTTGGGTGCGGCAACACTTTCGCCGGTCAATACACTTTCGACAATCTCGAGCTGGGCAACCTCACACAGCCGGAGATCGGCCGGGACAGCGTCACCTTCTTCGAGAACAACAAGATCGCCCGGGACAAGCTCGGCGGCATCGAGCGACTCTTGCTTGCCAGCGCGGATGACTGTGGCCTGGGAGGATGAGGGGGAGTTGCGGCGTTGGGATGGGTTATTCGTGGCTGCCAGGCGAAACAATGACAGCGAGCACGCACTGCAGGCTTCCGACTAGCATCGCTAAACGCCAAGCCCAAACGACATATGTGCGGGGACAGGAACAATGGATCGGAGTAGCCGAACTTACCTTGGGCACGCTGAGGGACATCAAGGCCTCCATGGCCTTGTTGGCCTTGTACTCCTGGCTGAAGCCAATAATGACGTTGATGACGACGACGATCAACAAGACTGCAGACGACTTGAGGTCGCCGCTGTCGGTGACGCCTTCGACGATCGCAGCAATGATCAGGATGATGACCATGAAGTCGGTAATCTGGGTGAACAGCAGTTTCCAGACCGAGGGACGGGGTGGATCTGGTAGCTTGTTGACGCCATAGTGCTCCCGATACACCTCGACTTTGTCCTGGGACAGACCAACTTGGACGTCAGAGTGGTACATCTTGGCGAGAGCCTCCGAGTTCTTGTCGAAATAGAGAGCTGCAGACAGCGGATGGTGGAGGCATTTGGTGAGCATCAGCGATGAAGTCGTAGCCGCCGTTCGTCGGGATGGGACAAAGGAATGCCCAGACACCAAAGACACGCTGTGGACAGCATTCATGCAATGCATCTACAAGGAAAAGGTCCCAGTCTGTCTCTGGCGACACAGCAACGGGCCGATCGGATGAAACCACGGGTATTTACAACGAACGATCGCGACGACAGTCATAGCAAGGGTTTCGAGCTGCCTCCGTTGCGCGCCAACGAAGGCGAATACCCGATGCATCCAGCGAGCAACAAGACGTACCCGACGGAGGGTAGAGCTGCTGAGGAGCCAAAGGCATGGCGGGGGAGGCAAACTTTTGGGGAAACTCGTCCATGAGTTTCTGGACATCGTCGTGTTCGTCGGCCTTGACGAGGTCCTTCCAGTCAAAGTGAGGGAACTGCATCAGCAGTCCAAGGATCGCGGCCGAATCTTCACGCTGCTCGAACGTGCACCACGGCTGGCATCGCCGGTGGATCATCAGGGTTTCTTTGAGATCCACCGAGTTCTTCTTGGAGACCACGTCCCGGAACTCTTCGACCTCGTCCAGGAACTCGCCAAAGAGGGTGAAGGCCATGTCGGCCTCCTTGGTGGGGATCTGCTTGATGAGCGATCCGGTCTTGTGCTTGCAGTGCTGCAGCAGGGCTTCGACGAGCCGGCGCATCAGCTCGGCGTCGAGATGGGGCATCTTCTTGCCCTTGATGCGGTACTCCATGACGTACTTGAGGCTTTCGAGGGCGGTGTCGAGCTCAATGTCCGGGTCGTTGGCATAGTCGATCAAGTCGCTGATATAGATGCCCAGCTGGTGCTCAATGCTCACTGCAGTGCCAAGGGATACAGCGTGGTCAACGGCCGATCGGCCGACATGGCAGCAGACACGATTGGAGGACAGGGTGTAGCATTCGGGTGCGGCATTGGGCGACGGCGATCGTGTGGCCGAGTCTAGCGACAGAGAAGACGCTCCCAAGACGGTGCGCAATCACGGAGCAGGATCGGGGGAAGGTTGCTCGACCGACTATTGAGCGACGTACCTCGGCCGTCGAGCATGACAGAGACGGAGCGTAGCTCGAAGGGCTGCTGCTGGTGCTGCTCATCGTTGCTGACCATCGCGGGCTGGGGGTGCTGTGGGCCAGACGAAGGATGAGAGGCGGGCGGGAGTCTGGCGGCTTGCTGCGACGAAGGCGGACGGATGGGTGAATGGAAGCAGGAAGGCTGGAGATATCGCCGGGTGAGGAGGGATGCTGCGACAGGCGACGCAGAGGGTCTATATAAGAGCACTATGTCGATGTCGGTGTGGGCAACACAAGACAAAGGTTGGCAAAACCTTTTTTTTTTCGCATCAGCCTTGTGGCCAGGCACGGCGGCAAGCCGAGCACAGAAACTTCGGAGGCCGCCTGGCGAGCCTCTGCGCTGCGTCCTGGGACATCACAGGCAGCATTTCAAGCGGGCGACGATTGGAGGGGAGGAGGAGTCCGCTTTGCTTGCTTGCATGGCGGCGAAGTGGGTGGGAGTGGTGCATGCATGCATTCGTGAATGGTGACAACAAGCCGCCGAAGTAATGGACGAGCGCCGAACAAGAGCGCACTTGTTTTGCAGCACTTTCGCAGCGAATTCGGGCGAATCGGATCGCCTGACGGTTTGGTGTCTGCGACAACGACCCAGCCCGCTGGCGGCATGGGGCCTCGACAAGAGGCGTCGGGCGGGAGATGGGAGATGCAAGTGCAATCTCGTCCTCCTCGAGCCCGCATGTGTTCGGCAGCGAGCGGATGTGGGTGGCTGGAATAGATGGGGGCAGAGATGGCATTGCAAGTACACTTTATTCAGAAAAAAACGGGACAATATAGCCGTTTCCATGAACATGTAGTATGTGCTGTGCTTGCGTCAAGCAAAGCCACAAGAAATAAAACAGATCACTTTGGCAGCCTCCGAGTGAAGACCGCCGGTCGCTCTCCGATCTCCACAATCGACCTGCACACTGTGATCATGTTGCGCGCCGCATTGACGTCGCGATTCCACACTGTCCGGCAGCTGGGATTCTTGCAGCTCCTGACAAAGTGGGAATTCGCAACACTGGGCGTATCGAGTCCTTCCAACCGAACTGGCTCCAGGCACTTGGTGCACACCTGTGAGGTGTTGAACTCGTTCGTCGAGACTACCTTGACGCTTCCGTGAGGGTGATTGGGACGGCGTCGGTGGTGCTCGAACTGCTCAAAGTACCGAGCAAACCGCTGCCTCCGAGGGCTGGATGCATAGCCCTTGCCTTGACGCCATGACGCATTGCCAAAGGCGATCACCACATCGGTCCGTATCGGGGCGTGCTTCAGGACGGCCTTGCACATCCTGTCGACGGCCACTTGGCGCCTCTTGTGGCCCGTGAAGCGATGGTGACGGGCCTTCTTGCCAAGGTGGAAGTCGAGCTGCACTCGCAGCTCCGGTCGCAGGACATGGGTGAGATGGACCTTGAAAGCCTCCGAGGACGACACCTTGGGCGAGGGGGTGGTCGACATCCAGGTCTCGATGCTGAGTCGATACTTCATGATATTGTGCCACTTGGTGTTGGACGTATGGCCACACATGTGCTGGTAGTGGCCATTGGAGAACGAGACCATCTCGTCTTGGTGGCCCGGTGCTTGGATGACCGCCGTGAAGATGGAGCCGACTCCAGGATCGATGCCAATCCAAGTGGTGCGATCGGGGTCTGGGTCGCCGATGTGGGCCTGGATGCGCTGTTCGGCAGTCGGAGGAGGCTCGATGGTCTCGGTGCGATCGGTTCGACGCACAAACTTGACGAGGCCGATGGTGCATCCAATGCCATCGGTGCTGATCTCGTAGTTGAACAGCTTGTGATTGATATCCCGGTCACGGAAGAGGGAACTACGCAGCTTGAAGCAACTGCGCCAGAGACGATCCTGGTTGTTAACACCGTCCTCACCTTCTTCCTTGAGCATGTCCCAGGTGAGTCCAAGGCGCTTCTTTGGACCCAGGAGATTCCAAAGAGTGACCGTGTCAATCTTGACATACTTGGCCTTCGCAGTGCATAGAGGAACTATCGTGCACACGGCCGGAGGAGTGTCCAGAGCGAGCTGCTTGAGAGCCCACTTGAGTCTGGATGCCAGCTTGTTGATCTTGGCCTTGGTGGTGCCGAGCTCAGACTTGGCCGTGGTGAACCTCTTGTCGTCGGAGGGAATGCCTCGGGCAGTGAGCTCGTCCAGCTTGGCCTGGCGCTGCAGCTCGGTGACTCGGAGGGCGGGCATGTCACAGTCGATCCACTTGTGGACATTGTCGACCATCTTGTCTCGGGCGAGGATTCTCACATGGTGTGAGAGGCGATGGAGGGCCCGGAAGCGGTCCTGGTCGCTTGCTGTACCGAAACTCGTCCAGGACGTGGCCAAAGTCGGGATAGAGGAACTCGAGATCGGCCTTGGGTGGAGTCTGCCCTGGTTTCTCGAAGAGCTCGAAGACAGGCCTCGATGGCTTCGTGCTTGTGCTTGTTGGCTGGGAAGACGGCAGCGCAGAAGCGGCGAAGGAGTCGCCAGTAGGCCAGGTCGAGATGGGTGGTGCAGTTGGTGGCATAGGCATTGACAGCGAGAGTGAGAAGCTGACTGTGAGCACCATCAGGCAGACGAGGGGCCGGAGGCAGGTCTGCGTGCCGAGTGGTCTGGTAGTCGCGAAAGGAAGCGACCAGATGCTCGTTGTATTTCTTGGTCTCCCTGGCCGTCGAGAGGGCATCGGCCTGGACAATCTTAAGCACTTGGCGAACGAAAGCAGGGGTGGCCTGGAGATGACAGGGACGGGAATATCCTGCTCGATGCACCGCAGGATGTGCAGGTTGAGCAGCCTGGATGCCTCGAACTGGATCTGGGTCATGGCCTCGACGGTGGCCTGGATCTTGTCGCGGAGAGCGGGATTGAGACAACAGCCATCCATCGTCTGCTTGAAGCAGCTGAACTGAGGGGCGGATGACCTTCCATCCACGAGTGGGACGACAGAACTCTTGAGGGGCCGGTATTTTGGACACTTGCTAGTGTTGCTTCGCTCGTGATCGGTGCCATCGCACTGGCGACATCGCTTGCCGGTACTCGAGGAAGTAGATGGACCAGGCTCGGTGGGATCGACATCCATTGGATCTGCAGAAGCAGTGGTGGTGAGCGATGGAGCAACAGACGACCAAGCATGCGTGGGGTCAGAATACGAACCAGAGACAGGCTCCGACTGTGACTTGGCTTTCTTGGGCCTGGGTGGCCGAGGCTGGCCATCACCAGTACCCTTACGCTTCGGAGGCATGGGGACAGAGGGATGCTGGATGCCTGCCAGTGGTACTGGTCAGAACAGAGACTTCTCTTTATCGTACAATGGCGCGATGATCAGATCAAGGCGAGATGAGGGAAGAAAGCAGCAGGACGAAGGTGTGGCATTTATACCCGAGAGCAGGAGCCCGTCTTTGCGGGTTGGTTGGGGAAGCGACCCTGTTCAAAAATCGCCGAGAGGTTCAAGCCAGGGATTTGAGCGTGAAAATGGCGGCTTGATTGGAGGGAACTCAACCCCAGAAGCGCATCGCTCGCTCAATCAGCCGTGGGAAGACATCTGGAAGCACCCTCCGAACGGCAGACTCAAACAGGGTCACCATCCCGACTCTGAACCCCTCGGACGCATTCAGCGCTGTTGTCTTCCTGTACTGATGCTTCACAATCCCAAAGAAGTTCTCGATGGGATTGAAGTCGGGCGAGGCAGGTGGGGTGAAGATCACTGACCATCCTCGGTGCTCGATGCAGTCCAGGACAGCCCTTGTCTTGTGCATGCTGACATTGTCCATCACAACCACAGAGTCGTCTGGGAAGGTCGCTCGCTCAAAGAACTCGACCATCGAGTGTGTCTTGAATGATGTGGGGATGTACATGCGATGCAGCACACCAGAGTGGTTGATGGCAAATGCAGCCGAGACAGACTTGTGTTTCATGTGATTGCGCTAGCGAAGCGAAGCACCCTTCGGTGAGTATCCGTAGAGAGGGAAAATGGATCTCCTGATCCCTGTCTCGTCGACAAAAACGAATCGTCGTGGGTCAATGGAGCGGACCTGGTCCCTGAACTGTGCCACTCGCTCATCCAGTCGCTTGGACTTGTAGAGGTGTGTTGCCCTCTTGTGTGAGAGACCTGCTCGGTGGATGGCAGTGTGGCAGAGTGAGAGTGATACTTTCCTCTGGAGGATGGACTCGAGCTTGCACCGCAGCACAGGACCAGTCTGGAACGGGTCCTGTTCAATCAGGGTGCGAATGACTGGACATGCCTGCTCGAAGAAAGTGGATCTGCGAGCTGGGACCCGGGATGGGTCATCCAGCTTGAGCCCTCAGGTGCCATCGATGGATGGTGCTCTTGGACACACTGAATATGGAGGCAACCTTGCGCAGGCTATGGATGAGATCGTAGCATCGCAATGCGGCGGTGCGAAAGTCGGATGTGTGGCGAATGGTCATGGCCAGCGCGCGATAACATTGGGTAACAAAATATTCGATGAATGGTCAAAAACCCGGGTGTCCCGTTTTTTATTGGATCGCCCGTAATATGCCGAGGGCTCGTCGGGCAGCAACGAGAGTGGTGCTGGCGTGCTCCTCTGTGCGCTCTGCCAGGCCCAGCACCATCTTCTCTTCCCTGATCGCAGCACCCACACCCCATCCCGTCCCGTCCCTGCCCCCCCCCGCTCCAAATGGCCCACAGCGTCGACCCCGATACCCTGGCGACCTACGTCGAGGGGCTCACCCGGCAGATTGCTGAACTAAAGGAGATTATCGCTGCCGGTGAGTCTACTCATCCCGGATGTCGCCGTCCACGCCGAGAATCGATCGTCCGCGCCGAGACTCGATCGTCTGCGATCAATCTGTGTTGGCAACAGGGCGGCGGCGTGTATGTACTGTTGTGCTCATATTCGCCTCGTGCTGTGAAGGACCCTCGGCGCCAAGCGGTCCTGTCAAGTCGTCCGACGACGACGAAAAGAGCAAGGAGATTGCCGAGCTGAAGGAGCAAAAGTAAGGCGGCCGGGTGTGGACCGATGCTGCCCAATTGTCGTCGACCAGAGGCTCCAGCACGGCAAGCGGGGTGTTCGTCCTCGCCCTTCATGAGCCAAAGGATGCTCGCTCGCCGTCGGCTCTAGTCGCTGGCCTCTCGTCCTTCTCCCCGATCGGCCTGCTCTGTGAATGTCCCTCCGATCCGTGGGTGCGATCGAGCTTTGCTGATCCCGAATGAACATGCTCCTGTCTCTCTTGACCTCCAGCCGCAAGCTGGCCTACCGCATTGAGTTCCTCCTCCGTGCCCTGGACGAGCGGGATCGCCAGTAGGCAGAAGAATCTTGCGAATCAAGTTGCCGGAGACGATGTCCCCTCCACACAGCCCCCGGCTGTCGGGCCGATGCGACCGGCAACCTGAAGCAAGTCCACTCCTACTGTTGAGACCAACGACCACTCCTGGATCTTGAATACATACATGCTTCATCCATCGCCCACATCGCCGTCCGCCTCATGGATACGATGCAAGAGGCGTGTCGAGCCGATCTGCTCGCCTCAAACGATCCGATCACGGAGCGAGGACATCGCAAGCCAGCCCTCTGCCAATGTCAGTCCATGGGTCTGCCTGATTCAAAAGGGAATGTATTAACAGCGTTCGACAGCGAGAGCAGGCTTGAGCTCACGTATATTCCAAATGCAATCGATGGAACTGTCGTCCTCATCGACCCACGTCGGTGCTCGAACGGGATCGGGAGCAGTCGGATGGACGAGGTATGGCTGCGATCAGGACGATCAGGACGAGGACCAGGACGAGGATCAGGCCGGTGGACCTTGTGGGCTCTACTTTTTGGCATAGGTGACCTTGATCTCGTGGGTTTCGGTGATCTTGCAGCCGTGCAGGCGCACCTTGGCCTCGGTTGCAAAGAACTCGTTCTCGTACTCGACGAATGCAATCGGCTCGCCCTTGCGAGTGAGCATGCGGACTTCCTTGAAGCCAGGGAATCTGGACAGTGGGAAAGAGCGAGAGATATCGGTGTTAAGTACACGAGGAAACACCGACTGTCCGGCCCATCGGTTGATCGTGAAGGGGCGGCAGGACGTGGGTGATTGGCTCCGCATGCTGGGCAAAAGAAGGGCCATCAATTGGCTTGTGACTGCAACGTACTGTTTGAACAGATCGGTGACGATCTCTGAGGTGGTGCCCTCGGGGAAGTTCTCGACGAATAGCAGACTGTTGGGCGGCAGCTGCTCCTCTGTGTGGCAGCAAGGACATAGTCAGCATATTGTATATAGGCTAGCGAGCGAGATGACGCTATGCAGCGAGGGAATGCGCCAAGTGCAGGACGCTTGTCGACAATTACCGATGATCTCGGTCTTGATCTTCTGGGCCTCCTTTTCGCGCTCAACTGGAACACGGCGCCATCATAGGTGTTAGCAATCAAGCAAAGAGCCGAGCTAGTCTGTCGTGCGCTGCAGACCGATGGCTTAACGAGGCCCTGGTCAGTTGGCTTTCGGCCGGAGAGACGAAGCGATCGTCCGGACACATCCACCCACGTTCACGCAATCGGGAAATACGATGGAGTCCCGGGGTGATGATCGAGAAAGGATCGAACACACAGGAGCCCGCCACGATTGGACCCGTGGGTAACTTACGTTTCATCTGCTCTCTACGCTGCTTCAGCTCCTCAATACTGCCGCCTTCTTGCAGGACTGTGGTGTAGTGGGGCGTTCGAGCAAACTGGATATCCTGTGGTCGCCGTACAAACAAAGCCGAGGTTAATCTTGATGGCGACGCGGCCCCACACAATAATCTTGTGGGCGCCCGACTAAAACGAGCCAAAGATGGGAGATCGCAGCAGATTTCCGTCATCCAGGGCCCGCTCACCATGGGTCTCTGAAAGAGCGGGAAGGCGTGCAGTTCCTGTTTGGCTTTCTGGGCCGACTCGAGTGTCTTGAAGGTGATGAACGCCTGTCCACGCAGCTTCACGTTCCGTTTGGCCCGAACCTCCACGATCTCTCCGTACTGGGAAAAGACGGCCTCCAGATTCTTTAGCAGAGCTGGAGACGGCAGCGGATCGACAGGATGGTTGGCGGATTTGTCCGGCGACGACGTTGTTGGGCGGTGCATGTTTTCGGGCACGCACGATCAGCGCATGTTGGTCCAGTGTAGTGCCCACGGTTGAGTCGGCATGTCCCAGATCCGAGCAACGAACGACGATCGAGCGTGTTGCGTCGTGTTGCGTTGTGTTGCGTTGCGTTGCGTTGTGTTGGAGGAGCAGATCCAGATAATCGTGGTTGGCATGTCGGGCATGGTCGGAAAGCGAGCAAGTTGAGGATCGCATCCGATTTGGCACAGGGCAGGCACGATAGAAGGAAAGTGATGACCATATTTGACACATATGGCCGATATGATAGGGTCAGCTGTGGATCATGGATGTTGCGATGCAGCTATGGGCTGCTGGTCATGCAAAGTGTCAAGTCCATCACACGGACAGATCTCGAGCGTCTGGGCTGTCGCTCCAGCAGATCTGCCTGGTGTGGAGCCGGAGATACCCATGCGCCTGCCGCAGATCCATACAGCCAACGTACTTTTGTGGTTGATGCGCTCATTCAGCCTTCGCACATACAGCGTCTTGTTGGGCTCTGTCGGCGGTGGGGCCATCGGCTCTCGTGGGGCAGGCACCAGTGGCATCCCGATCGGAGCTGGCATCGGGGCAGGCGGATACATGGCCGGAGCGCCCATCATCGGCGCTGGAGGCACCATCGAAGGGCCGCCGGGGGGAAACGGCATGGGCGGGGGGCCGGACGGGTTCATGGCGCTGCGGGTCTTGCGGGGCTTCGTTGCTGCAGGAGATCAGGACGAGCCCAGGCGCAAGGACGAGCTTGGGCGGCATCGGCGAGTCTGCCTTGCTCACGTGGCTGAGATCGCGTGACCAGTGCTGCGCACCGCGTGGCTCGAGCCGAGGCCGTGGGAACGGTGCTGGAGGGGATGGAGCGATGGGATGCATCGGCTCTCTGACAACGCACGCCGCGACTGGATCGCATAGAATTATGCACTTGGTAGCGAACGAGCAAGCTGGTGAGCTCGTTAAATTGGGCGTCTGTCCCATTTCAATTTGGGAGTGAATGTATTACGCGGACACAACAGTCGGATGATGCGTGGGAGAAGCAGTTCCAGGGACACTGCCTCACCTCCCACCTCCCGCTCCTCACCTCTCGCCGCTTGCCGTTCATTCCGCAGCACGAGACAGCTCAGACACATATTCTCCGGCGCGATCGTCGACCAAGGACATCAGTCCAAGGGTGAGCTGGATCTGTGACGGTTGCTTGAGCCACGCACGAAAGTCTGTCTCGATCTCAGCCAGCGAGGACGAAAACATGGACTTGATCTTGGATCGTAGCGGGCGAGGCGGATTGGCCTTGTATCCCTCCGGTAGCTTGAACGGGTAGCTGTGAGACTCGGGTCGGCCTGGCTCCGGATGCATCTGGAAGGGCAACTGGTAGGCATAGAACCGAGCTGGGTCCAAAACGATTGTGCTGAGTTCACGCGCAAGCTCCTCGTGCTTGGAGTGGTGAGAAACGTTCCAGAAGAGGACCCTGTTCCAAAGGTTGTGCTGCGGTCGCAAATCAATCTGAGCCATCTGGGTGCAGGCCAGGATGTTGGTGTGGAATGCGTTCATTGGCGACAGCATTGATATCACACTGCGAGCCTGCGGGGCCTGTGACAACGGCTGGTCGTCAGCGCGATCGGTCACGATGATGGGGGTGTTGGTGATGCACGCAACCTTGACCAAAGTGCAGTCCGAGAGCCGAACACTTCGAGCACATGTGGAGAGGCGCACGTTGTGGCATCCGCGAAGGTGAAGCAGCGACGCCACGACAAAGATGCTGACGTTGGTGCAGTCAGTGACGGTGACGGCTGTGGATGCTCCCAGCACATAGACCACGGCGTTGCTTATCCGACAAACGTGGAGGTGAGGCGGGGTGGCCCGCGGAGGAATCCAGATCAGAGGACAGCGAGGAGAACGAATGTACACGGCTGGTGGTGCGGTCGATATCAGCGCATGGTAGAGTTGGTTATACATGGAGGGTATCGGCGATGCCCAGAGCCAGCAGCAAGAATGGTGCGGGCCACACCCACTGTGCGACTATATGATTCAACCTTGCGACTTGGCTGGGAAGTGACGGAAGCCAGTCCCCGCTGGACTCACCTCGATCATCTGGCGCATCCGTCGAGTCTCTCAGGGGCAGACCTTCGATCATGCCGCTCTTTGAAAACGATATCGCAAAGCTCGGATCCTCATACATGACTCCGGCACGGATACTGGCTGAATGGCAGCACCACTCGAAAAAGGCGCTGACCAGTTCGATGTTGACTTGGTTGTCCCGAGGGTGGATGCCAAACTCGCAGAGCCTGGCCACTGCCTGAGAAACCAGCACAGGGACACTGCCCGATGATGACGAAGGGGTCAACAGATCCGAGAGGCCGCTATCCACGGACGCCTCGGGCGACGGCACATCGGCTCTGGTCGGCCCGTTTCGGCACACGGCCTCATGCAGCGACGCTGCCGAGCTGGATGATGACAGGGCCGAGGAGCCAAGGCGCGACTTGAACCAGAGCCGAAAATTGCGCAGAAGCCCCGATTGGTCGCGGTCCAGAGCCGGAAGGGTGCATTTCCAGACAAAGTCCAGGCAGCACAGGTCGTCGAGGCAAAAGTTGAGACTGGCACTAGCGGCGCTGTCGAGGTCCTCGACGGTTTTGTACTCGCCGAGGCCGTAGTAGACGACAAACACGGGCTTGAGCCACTGGTGGCTCGCACCGAGCCAGAAGGCAAGGTGGTTGCCATAGCAGGCTTGAAGTGCCTCGGCCTCGTTTTGGAACTGCGGGGCGCTTGCTTCCGGGTCTGGTGTGGGGCGGGGCGTCTGGTCGCCCTCGAATGCCGACTCGCAGCCGGGATATTCGCCACACGCCAAATGGGCCAACTGGATGAAGAGAAAGAGACAGAAGCACGCGCACTCGATCCGACAGAGTGTTCTGACGTGGGCCGTACTCTTGCCAGCTTGCGCGAACGGCGTTTCTTGCAGCAGCAATTCAAAGTCCGTCGCGAAAAGAGCTCGGTGGGTGTCGTCGGGCCCTATGCTTGCGCTGTGCTCGTCCCGGACGCCGTTGCTGCTCGTGCTGCGTCCGTCGCGAGTGCGGTTGACGACGGGCCACACTGCATCGAAGAGTGCGCAAAACGTCGAGAAGAGGGCCGAGGCATGCAGCGCCGACAGATTCATTCGATGCTGACCGATAGCCAGCCAGTCGGGATACGCGACGTGCCCATTGCAGGCAACCGCAGCATGAAAGTCGTGGGCAACCAGAAGCAGGATGGATGGAGTGATGCGAGTCCCAGGCGGGATGGGCAGCAGCGAGTGAGAGAAGACAATGTTGTTGAAGCAGCACGACATTGCTGGTGCGAAGGCGATTGAGACGACGGTGTTGGATGCAGAGAGCAGAATGGATAGGCAAACTTGGTGGTTTGCAGGGACAAACGCTGCCGTTGAGGCCTCTGAGAGCCTCGAATCATGAGTCGCGCGGGCTGGTGTCGCTTCAGGAACAACCCAGAGGCCGGGCCCGGAAGCCTGGCCCGAGAGACGGTCGCAGTGCAGACGAGGCACCCGCCATGCCAGCCTGGTGCACTCATGCTCGAGAGTGATGTCTATGGCGATCCAGAGGCGATCCAGAGGCGATTCAGAGGCGATTCAACGGGGGCGGCGACGAGCGACATCACTATGAAAAAAAAGCTGACGTGTAAATTACGCGTTGGCCAATACTTCCCTCGCAAATCCCCCACCGGACTCAGCATAACAAGGAAAAACACGTCTTCTCGCGTTTTGTTTTGCCTTGGGGGTCGCGTCTGGCCACTGAAGCGACCGCGACGGGCTCGGGTCACCCGCATTTCTCCTTGTTCGTCCAGGTTGCTGGCTCCCTGGGTGTCCCCGAACCCGCACTGCCACATCCCGTGGAGCCCTCGGCCAATGGGCTGCTTCCGTTCACGTGACATGGCATCCGAGTCATCCCGGCTTTTCACTGTCTTCCGCGACTCGTTCACTGTCCATGACCCCCGGCTGCTTTCCTGACTCATCTGTGTTCATGGGTCATCAGAGCCTTCGGACTTGGACAAAAACCGGGCATTTCCGCCCCCAGTTGCTTCGTCAATCTCCTCTTGATCCTTTCTCCCCTCGACCTTCTCATCCGACTCTAATCATGAGTTCAGCCGCTCAACCATCTGGGCACGATCACCCAAGGCATACTCCATATCCAATATCATCGACCAGGGTACCATCCTCGATAAATAGGGCTCACGATGGGCTTCCCAAGAACAGATCCATCTGTCGTTGTCGCAAGTGTAGCACCGATTCGCAAGGCTTCAGGATTGTCTCCAGAACGACCTACTACGACCACTTCTATCGCTATGGCTTTCCACCTGGAGTCCCCCCTGTTCACATGTACTCGCTCAAAGATCCTCAAGAAAACACAGCTGGCCATCTTTCTTCGTTCCCTCACCGTCCTATTACAAGCATATGCGAAAATAACCCCAATTTGCGAACTTCGCCGACATTTCATCCCCCAGTGTTGGTGGTAGATGAACTGCGACCACATGGGATAACATCGCAGCGACCTTCATTGGGTAAGACTGAGCACCTGATATCACATTCTCGCTAAATTTTTGTGTGCGTCACGGTTTCAGTCTTGAGCAATAATCAGTGATCTGTGCTTGGACGCTGCCAGAGCTCACTACGAAATGACCAATACACTCTCGATTTGTCCGACTTTGTTTCTTCATCCTTGGCCTGGCCCAAAGGCTCACCCCGCGCATTTGAGCACGAGAGCATGGATATCCAAACAGGAGCATCTATTCAGCAATGCACCCAAGACAACGAAGGCCCTGCTCCAGCTCAATTTGAACGCTGCCCTTCGTGGTCGCCAAGCATGTGGGCATCGCGGGACTCTGAAGAAGCGTCCATGTACTACGAAGACTCTGAAGACTCTTCGATAGACTCAGAAGACACCACTTCAAGCTCACCGAGAGAATTCGATGACATTTCGGGTGAGATATCAACGTCACCCAGCCTGATCGTATCGTCGAATCTTCCTGGTCTTGCTTCAGAGTCCGGTTGACTCATATAAATGCCACGGTTCACCTTCCAGGACAGTATCCGGATAGCTTCCTCGGCCACTTTCGACTGCTTGAAATGAATGAAGATGATGAAGAAACTGGTGACGAAGAGCCCCGCATATCAGATGGTGAGTCAAATTCAAAGGACAGATAGCAATCCGATGTAGCATCCGAATTGATGTATTCACCCGCGGCTTTCCCCCAGATATCCCGCCCTTCTATTCGCAGCTGGTCAAGGTGTTGACCGAGTGCAATGTTACCGACAAAGCCATCAAATCTGTCCTTAATCATTGCAACAAATTCCAAGGATTGTCATTACCAGCTGCACCCAGTCTGTACAAGATCCAAAAGATCATTTGTTGCGAGTGGAACGAGTATCTTCAGAGGCTTCCCTGCTGCCCAAACAGCTGCATGGGATTCGACATCAATGATAACCAGAGTCGAATATGCACGTTTTGTGGAGAGGATGCTTATGCGACGGTGAACGAAAAACTTCTGAATGGCGGCATTCAACCACAACTGAGGCCGATTCAGACCTACAAGTATTTCGATTTTGTTCAGATACTTCAGACACTCTACCGAAATCCAACTATGGCAGAGTTGATGATGTACAGAGCAAACAGAGCGAGCGAACCAGGTACTTTCCACCCGTATTATTTCCCAATACTATATTGCTATATGGTGCTCTGAACTCACCAAATCTGAATCTTCAGGCGTCATGAGCGACATTTTCGATGCCGAATATTACCAGCACCTTTGTAGTCGCTCAATGTTCCAGCAGCCCACCGACGTTGCTCTCGGGCTGCATTTTGATGGCTTCAATATCAATCAGAGGTACGCCCGCTCTCTGTTTCAAAATCAGATTATAACCACAGCTGACCTTTGTATCTGGTGTAGGCAAAGCCATCAATCGTGGGGCTTCATCTTGATCAACTTCAATCTTCCACCTGCTCTGCGCTACAAAAAGGAAAATCTCATTACGGTCTTGCTTACGCCTGGTCCACGATCGCCTCGTGACTTTGATACATTTTTGAAGCCGTTTTTCGAAGATATGAAGAGACTTGAGACCGGTGCGTAAGCCCCTCTGGTGTGGATCACTTGGTCACTCCACATAATCCTCGCGAGAGCACGCTGCTGACGGAGCAATGTCTCTCGCTCCCAGGTGTTGAGGCGATAAGGGTCGACAAAAATGGCGTGGAACATTCTTTCACTCTCCGAGGTCACTTGCTGTACTGCCAGAGTGACATGCCCGGATCCAACAAATTCGGTAAATTTTCTGGGCACACCGCCACGAAGGGCTGTCGTCTCTGCGAAATAACGGCCACGAGGGCCGGGGGTGCCATGTGCTTCTATGAACGTGACACTCCCAGTCCATACCGCACCGAAGAGAGTCTGAACAGAATATGGGAGGCCATCGATCAAGACGGCATGCCCCGAAACGGTACGTTAACGAGACGAGTCAGGGCGTTGTTTTCGACTCCGATGTTAACATTAACTATGTTGATCAGGGATCGTGGGGCGACCAGGTGTAACTCAACTTGAGTCCATCGAGCTCAGCTTCTGTCTTCCTCTCGATCTGATGCATGTGATCTCGAACATCGGTCCACTCATGATGGAGATTTGGAATGGAACGCGGAAGGCTCCCTCATCCTCAAGTTTGGACCAAAAGATCACGTCCAAGTGCCTGAAAAAGATCGGAAGATGGATCAGCGAAGGCAGGATTCAGATTCCAACAGGCTTTGGTGCCTCTTGTCGGGACCCTGTCTCATACAAAAGCTTCAAAACCGAAGAATGGAAGAATTGGATTATCATGTACTCCCTACCTCTGCTCAATGCGGCGGGCTTTCCACTAGAACACTTGTAAGCTCTTGATATTGTACCCTGCTCGAACCGGGGCCCGTCCTACGGTCGATGAGATACTTGATTCGAATTGATCCTAACAGTGATGCTATTGTGCCTAGATTGGGATGGAGGCGCTTTGTCTATGCCCTTCGATTGATGCTGCTTCCCCAGTTGAATGTTGCTCAATGCAATCAGATCGAGAGAAATCTTCAGAGGTTCCAGGAGTACTACACAGAGCAAGTAGCACGAGACAGCAGTCCCTTCACTTGAGGATGTTGGGCAGCTCACTAATTCTCAATATCTAACCACGTATACTCGAAATGTATTCACCAGGTCAATCGCAAATCTCCCAGAGTCACTCGAACCTCCTCCAGACAGAGCTCCAGACCTGTCTGGACTTCGTTTGATGAAAACCTACGTGCATCAGCTCCAACACTTGCCTAGGTGCATCCGATTGTTTGGACCCTTGGTATATCAATGGCAGTTTGAAATGGAAAGAACCTGTGGTCGCCTGAAGCTCATCGGGCGATCGAAGGTCCATCCAGTGGACAATATGGCCAATCGGCTCGTCCTCCAAAGCTCTCTGAGCGGTCCAAGCATTGCTCCGAACTTGACCTTGAGAGGAACATCCAGGTTGGGCGAAGACCCTGGGATATGGCCATCCTCCTTTGCAAACAATGGGCGGGCCTCGAATCAAGATAGCCGCGGAACCTTGTCTGGCCAGCAACAAAAGCTGAAACTACCTTCTGAACAAGTCGCGAAGCTAAAGAGCGCTTATGCCAGGACGATTTCTGCCAATTCCTCATACGGCTATCGTGAAGCCTTGCAATATGTCCATTCACTTTGGGATCAGAATTCGGACACTTGCTCCAAACACACCAAGATGGACGCGGGGGAACTACATGTCATATCTCAATCACATCGGATGAGCACGGCACATCATCGGATGAACTCTGTTGTGAAGGTAAGGCATTCGGCAGCGCGCGATAGCGAAGCCTCATATGAGCTAATGCATTCTGAATCTACAGGTTTGGACCAATATGCCCGATGCATCAGCAAGCAATCACCCATATTCTTCTGTCCGCTTCTATCAAGTCCAATATTTCATCAGCCACTCCTTTGATGGAGAAACAACAAACTGGGCATACTGTGTGATTCCAAAGATCAACATCAGATATGGAGATGACAGTTCAGGATACCGCCCATGCAACGAGTGCGCTACCTTCCACCTCGACAGCATGGAGTCAACGAATCATATCTTTGTTCCAGCCGATGCCATCGTTTCTACTGTCGGATACTTCGAGATGGAAGGCGGTGGGTACAGCTTTGCTGCAATTGGAGAGGCAAAGTCAGGCTGATACTTATATCAACCATTCCAGGTGGCTTTTATATTATCGAGCAAGATCCTCCGATTTGACAAGTCGATGCAAATGTCGCAGGTAGTTGGGCCAAAAAGTGCTTGAGGCCGCTTGATGACGAAGGGAGTTTGTCCGAACTTGACCCATAGTGACCATATCAGTGTAATGACAGGTCAAGTCGGAAGGTTTGGAATATAAATATCCCCCCGACCACCGCTTCCTGCCCGCTTCCGTCGTCAGGCTCAAGTCAATACTCCCCTCAGGCCCTCTCTATCCTAACTTCCTCGGCGGGCCCATGAGCCGATCGATGACATAGGTGCCGTTAAACGCATGCATATTGAGGATGAGCCGCATCATGAATATGTCTCTAATGTTTTTAACTCTAACGCTTCCTCTTTCACTATCTTGAATATGTCTCGAATGTAGGAAGCCATCCAAATCCAAGTAAGTCCCTTCATGACGATTGAGTATCATCTGAGAGAGCTCGAAGGCGACGCTTCAACTAACCGCATCGCTCATTCCCTCCAGATATCCTCGCCCCCATGGGACATTATCTTGATTATTATCATTTCGGGTTTGTTATCACTTGCGTTTTTACTGAACACGGCATATCATACCGCATTCTGTTTGCGACTCTGAGGTTAAACTGGCTGGTGGAGCAGTGACCACCGCGGGTTTGACCTAATCCTGGACTAGTTAGAACGGCCGAGGATTGCCCCAGGAGTTCACGGTGCCGCCCAACGGCGGTCGGAACTGGGGTGTCCGAAAGGCAGTTCTCAGAACGGGTCATGGTGAGGGAGAATGAGGATATGAGAGGTTCGGGGCCGGGAGAAACCGGGGCGGAGGGGTCCCGGAACGGAGCGGGACGGAGCGGGACGGCAAGCGAATGCCAAATCGGGCCAGAGCACGTGTGGGAAGCAACGCTGTTGATTGGCTAGCGAGCAGTCCCAAAATGGCATCGTTCGGACGAGGCTGCACCAGACTGTCGGCACACACGTGACTCATTCTGTGTCTTAATGTGCCTGCTGACCAGGTCCCGAGCCGAACACAGCCACTGTAGAGGGGTCACGTCCTATTTTTTTCATCGTGGCATGCGTCATCCAGCGTCGGTCATGGCGCTCGCCGATCGGTGTGCTCGTGCAGACATGTCCAGTCAGCAGAATTGTGCAGCTGCACAGCCTCCCCCCGTTTGGAAGACAAGACGCAAGCGCAGCACCGATGTCCATGCCGATGCTCGTTGTGCGGCTGGAGGCGATCCGAAGCAAGGCTGCCGAGGAACTTGCATGCCGGATTGGTTGCTTGTCAAGGCTGTTTCGGCTTTCTGCCAAGGCTGCGAGCGCCTTGGATGCACGTGGGCTGGCAACAAGCCGCTGACGCCAGCGCCACATGCAGCCAGACGATCCAGCATTCGATCCGCACTCGGTCTGGATCGAGCCGGGCAGTCTTGGAATGTTCCGCCATCGCGACAGCCAATCGCCAGCCGCGAACGATCAAGGGCTGGCCAAGGAGATGACCAGGAGCACCAGGAGACCGGGGGTCGGTCAAGGATATGCGCACATGCACAGGCGCTCGCTCGCAATATCACACTGCTTTGGCACACAAACAGCAGCGAGGATCCAGCTGCGACGTTTGGCAGTCCGCTGTCGTTTGGATCCAGCGGGACACGCTCTGCGGTTGCAGGCCCAGAGGAGTCCGTCCGTCGCGCACGGCCGTCCATTGTTCGACGCGAAAGTCGACGACATTGGCTCGTGGTTGGTGCTGTGCGTCGCGAGGGCCGTTTCTCTTGGCGGAACACAGCTTGCCGTTGGCCAGATGATGCAGAATGTCGACGGCGATGCCGCCGGTGGTCGTCGAGGAGGGCGCCGAGCCACGGCAACCGCAAACCCGCGTCCAGGAACCAGCATCCTCGACCACGAAGACACATCGCTGCCGGGCATGCCAGCCAATTGGCAGGACAGATTCGATGGTCCACCCCAGCCGCGAAGGATTCATGGAGCGCCCATGTTGGCAAGGAGCCGGACCGTGTGGCGGGTTGGCGGCCCGATTTGGACGCGGCTGTGTTGATTGGAGCACAGCACAAGCGAGCGCACAGTATAAGGGAGCGGCGGCGAATAGTAAGGGACAGGGTGTGTCGACAGAGAATGTGTGTGGGCAGTGTGGGGAAAGCAACGCGCGCCGGAGCGGCGCCGGTGGGACAGGCGCTCCCGCGGGCGTGCTGTGCGCGGCGCCTCCCTTGCTCCCCGCCGCTGTTTGCGCGTCCGCCTTGCTTGTGCTGTGCGAAGTGCGGGGTCACCCGCCAGGCAGGCGCCGCCGCCGATTGGCCACGGCCTCTGTGCCACAGGTGCGCCGGTGCGACACGTCTCCCACTCCCACACACAGCCCGGTCCTCAGACCGCGGCGTCGCGGCCTTGTCGCTTGCCAGCCGCCCCCTTCCTTGACCCGCGAGATGCGAAGGAGTATTTCTCGCAGGCGCTGCCCCGCTGCCCCCCCTCTTCCTTCGCCGGAGCACCTCCTGCCAGCCAGCGAAACCTCCCCCCAAGCAAGCCCAGGGCCCTCTGCCTGAGCTCCTCCTGCCCAATCCTCGAGCGGCCCCGAGTATTCCCCACCCTTCTGCAATGGAGCCCTTCGCAAAGAACACACAGCGCTACGGCGATAATCCGAACCAGCCGGGTTACGAAATGGCCCACATGTCCGAGCTCGAGGCCAGCTACAAGCAGCAGGCCCAGCAGGACCCGTCGCTGGCCGATTACAGCACCGAAACGCAGGGCCTGTTTGGCGGGCCGGGCGTCACCCGGCGTCAGTCGCGATTCACAACGGCCCCTCGATACATCACTGGGTCCCGTCGCTTCGTCAAGAAGAGAGATCCTCGATTCCTCGTGGTCGTGAAAATCCTCTTCACCTTCCTGGGTGCCCTCTGCCTGGTGTGCCCCGTCATCGTCGGTGAGAATCCTCGGGATACGGTCGAGCTCCACCCGCTGCCTGCTTGACTCGTCGCTGACGCATGGCTGCTGGCTGATGTTGCTCTCCTTGTGCACAGGCTATATCTTCCACTTCAACCTGATCAGCACACAGCAGGGCTTCTTCTTCGGCCTCTACGGTGTCTTTGTGATCTGCCATTACTTTATCCAGGCGTGCTTTGCCACAGCCAACCGCCTTACCGTCAACCGAAAGGTGCGGAATCGCGATCCCAACTGGAGAGGTCTCGCAACCGGTGTCCTGGTCGTTGGTTATCGCGAGGACCCTGAACTCTACCGCCAGTGTCTCGAGAGTTGCAAGGCTCTGCAATACAATAACCTCCGCCGTAAGTGACTATTGCCTATCACCCGTAGCGGCCTGGCTGGCTGGTTTGCAAACGAGAGCCAGCGGGCTTTGACGGGCCTTGGTTGTGCTTCCGGCACTCTGGCTCATGCCAGTCTCTGACTCATCCATACTGACAATCGGGCTTTCCTCGTGCGCGTTTGATAGGCGTCATGATGGTTGTTGACGGCGACGAACAGGAGGACGAGTACATGGGCACAATCTTCCAGGAGGTCTTTGGCCCCGAGGCAACCGTCATCGCCCCAGGCTTCAACCTGGTCGAAGTCGGTCCTGACTCGCGCGAGGCCAAGTGGCTCTACAATGAACTTGCCCAGGCCAGAGGTCCTATTTGCATCCTGCAGAGTATGTGTTCCTGCCTCGTGTGCTTGCTTTGCTGCCATGTTCTGCGATCTGGCCCTATCCGCTGCTGCCGATTGCTGGCCGTGGCTGCCACCGCCGTGATCAACCAACTTGCCGGCCACTGACTGTCGTTCGTGCAATCCTCACACTCACACTCACACTCGCTCCAGAGCACGGCGGCAAGCGCCACGCCATGTACTGCGGCTTCCATGTCTTCCTCAACTGCATCCCCACCGACGCCATCATGGTCACCGATTCGGACACCTATCTGGACTGCAACGCCGTCAAGGAGCTTGCCTTCATGCTCAACGACCCCAAGGTCGGCGCTGCCACCGGCGACGTCCGCATCTGGAACGACGACAACTGGATCTCCTTCCTCTCGGCACTCCGCTACTGGTTTGCTTTCAATATGGAGCGAGCCTGCCAGTCCTTCCACAAGTGTGTTGGATGTGTCTCTGGACCCCTCGGTATCTACCGAACGGAGATCATTCGTGTCATCATCGAACCCTGGGTCAGCCAAAAGTTCCTTGGAATCCAGTGCACCTACGGAGACGATCGTCACTTGTATGTATCAATATCTGGGTGGCGTGTGTGGTGTCGCCTGCCTGTCGAATACTGATCCCTCTGTCCTGCGATCTCCTCCTTCAGGACCAACCTCACACTGAAGCTTGGCCAGCAGGTCGTCTACACTCACTATGCCTGGTGTCTGACCGAAACCCCGACCCAGTTCATCCGATGGACTGTCCAGCAAACCCGCTGGAGCAAGAGTTTCTATCGGGAAGGCCTGTACAATTCTCGCTGGTTCCACAAGCACAGTATCTGGATGGCGTATGTGTCCTCCTCCGTCCCATCAACGCGCCATGCCTCGTCTATCCACTGCCGTCCTTGTTCCTTGTTCCTTTGGCTCTCTCGAACTAACGAGGATTCTTTCTGCATCTCAGCTACGAAATGATTTTCCAGACGGTCTATCCCGGCGTGCTGCTCTATATCTTCCTGTACACGCTCTTCTTTGGCACCCTGTTGCGCATGCTCATGTGGGCCAACGTTCTGATCGTCATGGGCTTCCTGAAGGCAACTTATGCCGTCATCATTACCAAGAACGTCAAGTATCTCCTGGTCTCCTTCTACGGCTTCCTGTATCTCTGCGGTCTGATGATTGGTAAGGAGTCCACTGCGAGCCCGTGCTGACGATGGCGATCCGTATCCAAAGCAGCTGCAAGTGCGAGTCCTCGACTCACACACAGCCCCCCTTGTTTTCGTCCTTGTGCAGCCAAGATCCATGCGGTGCTCTTCCTCTGGGACAACGGATGGGGAACATCCTCTCGTCTCGGTGCCAAAATGTCCAAGTGGCAGCAGTACGTCTTCCCCTTTGGGTGGAACCTGATCATCATCGGAGGCATGAGCTACAACATCACCAAATTCGTGCTTGCCAGCAAGGCCGATGTTAAGCCCATCTGGTACCACGGCTTCGACTTTTGGCACATTCTCTTCTCTTGCACCCTGGCCGGTGCCATCGTCATCGGACTGATAGGCTATGGCCTCTACAAGACGAACAAGTGGATGATGACCCGCCGTGGCCTCACGGCTATCCAGCAAAAGGTCTAGGAGCCGCACCGCTGTCAACCCGACAAGCTTTGTGCATCTCCAGCGATCAGTACGAGATACGCCGTCCGGCTCAGTTGGCCAGTGGTATTGGAAAGCGATGCGCTCGGGCCTTGGTTGTGCTTGGATGATCAGTCCTGAGCCAGCCGAGCGGGCCTTGTCGCACCCATTCCTGCTTCTACTTTCACTATTTGCCCACTTTCCCCTCCCCGTCGTTTGATCACCCATGACCTCTCCGCCCTGCGGCTTTGACTTGACGACGCCTCCGAGCCAACGGCGATCCATCCCCACATCATTTCATCATTATAATATAGTCTCGTGCTAGAGTGTCTTGAATCTATCTGCTCTTCTTTGCTGGTCGGTCTGCGATGTCAAGCAGACACCTGTGGGACCACCTTAGGCATACCGTTTGTGGTGAGAGCAGCCCACCCTCCTCGACGATCGCTACGCCACCTCCGCCATATCAACCTCTCTCCCCACCTCGCTTTGATTTCGAGTCTGTCTCGGTGACAGCTGTGCTCGCAAAAGTGCATCGGGACAGTCTCATTCTTGTATTTGATTGATGGTACGCTCTTTTTTGATGGAAATACATGCATCCGTCACCTAAAACCGCTCCCTTCCGCTAGAACATTCTCAACATGCTCGACCAGTAGAGCCTGATCTTGGCGCCTTGGTGACCGTGCTCCGCTGCAGAGCTGAAGTGCTCCTGCGCTCTTGTCTGGCTTCTTTCGACGCCCATTCCGGTTCCGTACATCAGTCCCAGGGCATAGTGAGCATCGGTGCTTCCGCGGCCTGCAGCGTCCATATAGTATTTCGCCGCCCGTTCGAGATTCTTGGGGGTTCCGATTCCATTTTCATAGCAACGACCCACATCGTATGTTGACTTGCAGCCGCCATTCGAGGTCGAAGCCGTCAGGTAGGCCTGGAAGGCTCTTTCGGGCTCCTTGGTAGTGCCGATGCCATATTCGTAGCAGCGAGCGACTTGGTGGCGGGCTTCGATACTGCCCCGTTCGGCGGCCCTATGGTACGCCTCGAAGGCTTTCGGAAAGTCCTTGCTGGTGCCAAAGGCATTTTCGTAGCAACGGCCAAGGCTGATGCACGCCTCGATATTTTGCCCATTGTCGGCCTTCTTGTAGCAATCGAACGCCTTGGTGCTGTTTGGAGTGGTTCCGATGCCAACTTCGTAGCAGCGCCCGAGATGATACATAGCGCCGACACTATTGTTCGAGGCTGCTCGGCTATACCAGTGGAAGGCCATCTCGACGCTCTTGACGCAGCCCAGCTCAAACTCATAGCAGCGAGCGAGACGAAACTGCGCCTCAGGGTACCCTTGCGCCGCGGCCTTATCGAACCAGGAAAATGCCGCAGCCAGGTTGACGGGAACTTCGACTCCGGATTCGTAGTTGCACCCGAGCTTGAATTGGTATTCAGCGCTTCCGGATTCGGCATTGACCTGCCACAGACGGAGGGCCGCCACCTTGGATTCTGGGTGTCCTTGGTCAGCAGCCCTGTTGAACCAGTCGAGGGACAACGATTTGTTTGCTTCGACGCCGATTCCTTCTTCGTACAGCCGACCGAGAGCGTTCTGAGCCAATACATGGCCTTGCTGGGCCGCCCGCTGGTACCAGTAAAATGCCAGGGTCGGATTCTTGCCTACACCCTGTCCGGTTTCGTAGTAGTCGCCGAGGATGTATTCGGCTTCTTGGTGCCAAAGGTCGGCTGCCGCATGATACCATTTCACGGCCGTCGAAATGTTCTTGAAAGTGCCAATGCCGTTTTCATAGCATCGGGCCACATGAAAGAGGGCGTCAAAGCTTCCATCTGCAGCTGCTTGTTTGTATAGAGACAAGGCCTCACTCTTGCTCGCCGATATCCAGGTTCCGTTTTCGTAGCATTGTCCGAGACGGAATTTGGCATCGACGTGAGATTTGCTGGCCGCCGATGAAAACCCTTGAAAAATATACTGCTGCTGTTCCTTCGAGGGATTCTCACGCTCGAGGACCAGGGCCAGGTGGTAAGCAGACTCAGGATAGGCGTCGCTAAGCGTACATCGGTAGAGCTCGGATGCTTTGACCAACAGTTGGGGAGAACCCTGACGGTTCTCGTAGTAGTAGGCCTGCAAGAAGCGCATATACTGGTTGTCCTGGTATATGGGCTGACAGACACGACGGTGTTGGAAACTTAGTCATTGGCAGGTCTTGCCCACAACCACAACCACAACCACAACCACAACCACAACCACAACCACAACCACAACCACAACCACAACCACATCTCTAGCTTACGTGGATCGCAACAAAATGGCAGGGCGGACTCTTGTTCCACATTCGGAGGGTGCCGAGGGTGCTAGTTTGGCGGCCCTCCCATCCAAAGTAGGCATGTGGAACCTTCAGCATGTGCATGTCATGCCGGATCCAGTTTGATGACGAGGTATCCACGAGCGACCACCTGTCTGGATTGAGAGGTGCTTTCCCGGACATCGACGGCGTCTCGAATGAGTTTGAAGCCCGCGTGAATTCTCCCTGCTTCAGCGTCCAATTGATGGTTTGGCCGTGAGCATCTTTTGAGACGATAGTCTTGCGATCGGATGCGATCCGGACAGATATGACGTTGCTGTCATGTCCCTCAAGTGTCTGCTTCAGTCTGCCGGACACCGCATCCCACACCTTCACGGTTTTGTCGTTCGATCCCGAGATAACCATGCGGCTGTCCCTCGATATGCATGTGGATGTGACGATTCCCTTGTGTCCTTCCAGAGTATACTTGTGCTTGCCCGTAATCGCATCCCATATCATCAGCGTCTCGTCAGCCGATGCAGACACCAGCGTCTCGTCATTCTCAGAAGTCACGAAAGACCGGACAACGCCTTGGTGCTGTTGACGCTGTCGTCTGGTTTGGACAGTGTTGCTGTCCCAGATTCGGATGGTGGTATCGTAGGAGCCCGACACCACCGTATTTCCGTCCGATGAAATCACAACTGACTTGACGGAGTCACTGTGTCCCATAAGAGTGCGGACATGTTGGCCCGCAGCAGCATCCCAGCGCATAACCGATCGGTCCTTTGATCCGGAAACTAGAGTGTAGCCATCAGGGATGAAGGTCACGGAGTTAACGGCCTCGGAGTGCCCAGAGAGCGTGGTCTTGAGCTTTCCTGTGGCGAAATGCCACAATTTGATCGGGCCGCTATCGGAGCCTGACGCAATCAGTTTGCTGTCTCCGGAAACTGCGACAGATATGACGGCATTGTCTTGCTCTTCCAGGACCCGTGTGCTTCGGCCCGCGGGCAAATCCCAGATCCGAATTGTTCTGTCGAGAGATGCCGACACAATGTACCGCTCGTCCTTGGTCAGCGCAACGGCGGTAACAGTGCCTGTGTGTCCCTCGAGAGTGTGCTTCACCTCGCCACGGGCTGCATCCCATACTTTGATGGTCTTGTCTTTCGAGCCAGAGACAATCCACTTTCCACTGTTGGAGATCGCCACCGAAGTCACCCAGCCGGTGTGGCCCTTGAGTGTAGCTTGCAGTCGTCCGTTGATGGTCCAGACTTTGACATCGTTGTCATTTGAGCCCGACAAGATGACTTTTCCATCAAAGGAAACACAAACCGAACCGACCGAGGCAGTGTGTCCTCGGAGAGTGTTCTTCAGCTGGCCCGTGATGGCATCCCACACCTTGATCGTGTTGTCGCCCGAGCCCGACACAATCATGCGTCCGTCTGGAGTCAGCGTCACAGAGCTAATGCCGTTTTTACCGCTAGACATCGTAATATCGCAAGGGTCCCAGGTGGGTGCTGGACCAGCCGTGACCAGGAAAGGGATCTTGTCCTCGAGTCGGTTGGCATATGTCTTGTAGATCGCCGTCTCCTTTGGTGTGAATGCATATCCCGAGTTGTACACCTGTGGTGCACTCGCGATGATCGGGTCGGCAAACTCGCGGATGAATCGATACGTGTCCTTGACCAGTTCCTTTGTGATGTCGTCGACGGTGCTTTTTGGTGCATTAGCGATCACTCCTCGCAGCACAGCCAGTTGGCCGATGATCGACTTGACCACATGTGTGAGAGACCCACACTCGAGCCAGAAGAACACATGCGTCTTGACGAACCGAGTGAGCACCGCTGCCACATCGGCGAACTCCGTCTGCCCCCACACCGAACTCGACTCGGTCGCTCCTTCCAGACACCACACAAAGTGTGTGATCCAGTGGGCGACGCTGTATCGCTGCGACGGTGTGATCTTGGCTGCGACCTTGTCCTCGAAGTCTGGGATCTTGTCGCGAAAGTCGTAGATATCGCAGATGTTGATCACTGGCTCGTGCGAGAGGATCACACCGAGACATCCCTTGGCAAACACCGTGTGGAACGAGCTCGACACATGCCATGCTTCATTCTTGGAATTGTCCCCGAGCAGATAGTCCGCCACCGACTTGTGGTTGAACTTGACCTCGGTGTTGGTGGACTGGCTGTCTCGGAGACCCAATCCATTGGCGCCAAGATCGAGGACCAGACTGAGGCTCTTGAGACACTCGCGAACAGTTTCAATGTCCAATTTGAATATTTCCGCGATACTACGGGGTGTGAGTGTGGACTGGGCGGTGGCGATTGCGGAGATGACGGTTTCAAGGGCGTCTTGGTGCTTCGATTGTCGGTAAATCAGAGCGAACGTCTTATTGTACAGATCAGGAAGGTTTTGGGAGCCGCCAGTGACTTGCTTGATTTTCTCCATGGTCAGAATGCTCCATCCAACCTCCTTCTCCAGAGAATTGAGTAGGAGGTTTACTGACACAAATGTCTTGTCTGGGTCATATCGGCTCTGGCTCAAGAACCCCAAATATGAACTCGACTTGTTCAGCATGATATCTACCGCTTCTTTCCGCTCCTTCTCGCCGAAACTGAGTGTGTCGATCATCTTGAGTCTGTGGTGGATATACAGCTCGAGGTCTTTGATGTTGTTCTCGCTTGTGGGGACAATTTCTTTCGTTTGGATACTTGCGAGGGCTTCCTTAATATCAGGCTCAGGCCGAGCGGTTATCAACAGCTTCAGCCACGACTGATGTGTCCCGATATTCTGCATGTCATTGGAGAGGAGCCCGAGGATCTCGTCTCGGGGATAGCACTCGTCTAAACCATCGATGATGATTATGACGGCCCCCTTTGGCATATCGTCGCCAACCGCTTGAAGAGGATCAAGGATGATGGTTTTGAATAGCTCGCGAATGTCCATTTTGTCCAAATCGTCCCTGGTCAGGCTTCTTCCTCGCGGCCCGTTGCTAGCCCGAGCCCCGGCTTCGCCTTGCACCATGGTAGAAAGTAGTCTTCGACCGATTTCGCCGTACCAAGTACAGAGGCCGTAGGCAATCGTGGTCAAGAGGTCACGGGGGTTACTCTTGCGAGGATTGTTGTATTTGAGGAAAATCGATGTCACCAGCTGATTGCGGCTTTGGAGGATGTTGGCAATCTGTGCAGCAGCAACCGACTTGCCGACGCCGGCAATGGCTTGAATCCACAGAACTTGGTTACCATCATGACCATCCGCCCAATCCAAGACACTATCAAAGAGCCATTGGCGAGTTCCCGGAACGAACGCCTTCTGTAATTGAGTCAGATCCTCATCAGATTCGATGGGGCGGAGGAGATCGCGGAGTCTTCGGGTTTCGTCCGCAGTAGAAATAATGTAGCCTTTGGGGACGTTTCTCCAATCCATAGTGGACACCCGTCGGGCTTTTGAGAGGAGCTCTTTGATCCGCGGCACGAGTCTAAATGTAGTAACGATGTGTTAGTTATCAAGATGGCTTTATGATACACGTCATGCCCCAGCCGATTATGAGACGTACCGGCGTATAGAGTTACTATCAGCTGAAAGAAGTGCTTGGAGTTTCATAACTCGGCGAATAGTGTCGTGCATGGTCAACTTTGCCCCGTTGATGGTCGGAGTCAAGGGGTGGCATGGAACCTGGTCGGGAAAATCCTCAGGCTTCGGATAGTACAACTCGAGAGTCTCCATGTTGTTGGCGTGAATCCTTGTGTACAAGAATATGGGCTGAAGTAACACTGGATTGGGAGTTCCTTTACTTGTCTCTATCTGTTGTATCGCCAACTGAATCTGCAGGGAAAATGGTGAAGGTCGAAGTGGTCATGATCTCGGAGATTGAGTGAGGCGACCGTGGTTGCGCGGGTTGGCCTTGCGGAGAGCTAATACCATCACTTACCTCAAGGAAGAAGTTGTCGTCAGTTTTATGGGCCTTCTTGGATTTCTCGAGACCTTCTTTCGAAAGCAAGAGCACGATAACTCGGGAGTTCCGGAGCCCATTGATAAACTGACGCTCAAATTCAGTCGCAGTTGGGATGCACGCACGGTCGAGAAATGTATGAATAGGATCTTCGTTCGCGCTGTGGGCGCTCAAAGCTGAATGGAGCTCTGTAGCAACTTCTTTGTCTGCGCTCACTCGGTAACTATTCGCACAGGTGCGGGGTCAAACGTTATTGGAGTCAGGCTGGGGGACGGAGACGAGGTTGGCCAGTATATCGCTTCGAAGATGGCCATACCTGATGAAAACGTCGTGTTGATTATACCCCAAGCCACACTTCCAGGTGGAATCTTGAGGTTGAAGCGTGGTAGCTGAGAGACAAAGCAGGCATGTCGAAGAAAACAAAAGTCAATACTACAGGGCAACAGTGGATTCGATATGCCCTGGCAGAATTGCATCCCGGATGAGGGAGGACGGCGACTGCTCAAGCGACTGCTCAAGCTACCAACGATCTTCGGCCACAAATCAGGACTTGCTCACCTTCGGCGTCTGGAGCTACTGCGATGGGCATGTTTGGGCGATGGGCGAGCGATGTCAGAGGATGGATCTCCCCCAGCAGCTTCTGTCGCCTCGTCTTTTTGTAGTCTCGCTCGCCGTCGCCGCCTTTCGATTCTGGCACTGCAGCGGCTGGTCGGTATGACGGCGGCCGGTCGGCACCCTTTCCGCTTTTGGCTTTCCCAGCCACCGCGCGCGTACAGCAGCGAATTGCGGTATCAGTCACATGAGCCATCCTGGTCAGCTGCGCTGTCTGCCGCATCCACGAGGCAAAATTCCACCCAGAATGTCTTTGAAACCGCCGCATGCCCCGCCTTGCTAACGCGGCAGTTTCAGAGTTGCATACCCACCAAGGTATCATTGTCCTCGGCTTGGAGGTGGGGGCGAGGGAAAGACAGCCGCCAGGCAAAGACATCGGGCCGCTATCTGGTCTCTGAAAGCCCTTGGCACGATGACGATGTTGCCCGCGGCAACGGACAAGCTGCTGGATCGTGGATGGATGAACGTGCTCAGGATCCAGAGAAAAATGGAACGCCTGGCTCAAAACAGGATGTCCCGTTTCGGCTTGTGGATACATCGACGAGTGTATTTCCGATGGATTCCCGATGCACTATCCTGGAGGGTATCCAAAAGCGCTTCGCTGGCTCTGAGCGGAGCCGGTGCACACCACGCTGCTGCGGGAATCGAGGCATGGCTCAACAAATCGAGCGGCAGAGCGGCGAGCATGCCGTCGAGATGATGTATTTCACAGAGATTGTGGCGGCAGAGTCGCAGATATGAGCCTTGGCGTGGGCTGGAGAGAACGCTACGCCAACCGTGACAGGGATATTGGGTATGGCTTCGCGCTGGCGAATTACAACGAGGGAAGATACCGTTCCTGGCCAAGCGGCACAATGCTGTCCACGGGAATACGGCCCGAGAGTCCCGTGGTCTGGTTGAAAGCCTGTGTGCAGAGGATGAGAATCAACGAGTGAGAATCTTGGACGAGCGCAGGTGGGGCAGCGAGAGCAAATGCGTTCGGGCAGGGACTCGCCACAATAGCAGACCTGCGCAAATCCTTCCTGGAACTCATTCTGAAGAATGACAACATCGCCGGGCTTCAGCGGTAGGTCCGAGGGGCTGTTGCGCCCGACAGGGACGACAGCAACGCATCGCGAACCAGCACCAAGCGAGCCGGAATAGTCCAAAGTTCGGTGTTTGGAGGCACCCGGGGTCGGGTCGGAGTCGGAGTTTGGCACATGGACCGGGTCCTGTTCGTCTCGCCGGAAGCTCGCGATCTGGAACTTTTGGTCCACATAGACGGGCCCGCTGGGCTGGCCCTTGACCAAGGATCCATAGTTGGGTGGCTGGTCCGACTCGGGCGAGAGCTGAGCCGAGAACCGATAGGCAGTAGGATCGGTCGGGCTATACGACGAGTTCTGGGAGTTGCGGTTCATGCCAGGATCGGGGAGAGCGTGGTAGCTAGAATAGGCGTGGTTGGGATAATAGGGCTGGGCAGGTGGGTATGAGGCGGCAGGGGAATAGGCCGGGTTGGTCGAGTAGCCAGAGTCTGGGGGATAATGCTGGGAATAGCGAGGATCTTGAGGAAGGCCTGGACTGTTGGGATAGGATGCCGCTGGAGGATACTGAGGTCCAGGTGCGTACCGAATGCCAGACGAATAGGGAGCCTCAGAGAACCGCGAGGCGGGGGCCTGTACCGGAAGCGGCTCTACTGGTGCTGAATACTGAGCATGGGCTTGGAGGGAGACGGGGCCATCACGGGTGTCCAAAGACTGGTCGGGTGGGGAGGGTGCAGCTGGGCTCGGGAGTGCAGCGGCAGCACGCTCGGCCTGGGGCTGGGTCTTTTTCGATCGTGCCCGAGTCCAGGCGAAGAGCCCGATGGCGAGGACGGCAACAGCTGACGGCACAGCACCCAAGAAAACAGTCAGTCGTGAACCAACATGCTGCCATATGAAGATTGGCGGATCATGACAAGGCAGGGCAGAATGTGGACGGACGCGAATGCCTCGCGGATTTGTTTGCTGCCACCTCGGACTGCGACGAACTCACCAACGACACCACCGACAATCCCACCAATGAGGGCTCCGTTGCTAGCGGGCCCAGGGGTGGGACTGGGATCTGGAGACGAGGTCCGAGAGGGCTTGGACGATTGGGTCGTCGTTCGGGTGGGCAAGCTGGATTTGAGAGCCAGCGACGGATCGCTCAGCAAGCTGCCTCGGAGATAGATGCTGAAATACGTCCCTGAATCCTTGGAGTCGAGCGAGCATGCGCTGCTGATCGAGAGAGAGCTCGCCATCTGACACGCGCTGCATGCCGAGTCCGAGCATGCATAGAACTCGAGGCGGTTGAGGGCCGTGTTCTTCAGGGTGATTGAGTAGAGCCCAGTCTTTATCTGGGTGCAGGTTGGGTAGACAGACGTGCGGTTGACATCGACGACGGTGCTACAGCTTGCGTCGTTGAGGCTGAAGGTAGTGTAGGCAAAATATTTTGTCTTGAAACTGGAATCCCAGAGGCTGCGGAAGCGACGAGCCCGGGCCGAGTAGGTGCAAAGCCAGAGTCAGCGGTCGCAAGCAAAGCGTTGTGGGGAGGGAGACCGAGCGAGGACAGCGACGGATCCACCGACGGGTGGCCACGCAACTCACGCCGTTGTGGTGAAGTCGAGCGAGCTGAATGCTCCGCTGAGGAAGTTGGTCGAGCACGGGTTTGGATTCGTGGTCGAGTACTGGCCAACCACCCGACAGCTCTTCTTGCAGGTGGGGTCCTGACCGCAGTCGTTTGCAAAGATGGAGCTGTTGGCGGGAACGACGGAGATGTACTGGCAGCTGCTGGGGACGCTGCCTGTCGCCGGAGAGCAGGTGCATCGATTGGAAGCAATCAAAAAGTCGCCCAGGTTGTTGATAACGTTGACGGCAGAACTTGCGCTCGGTGCACACTGGGGCGGAGTGCGGTTGCTTTGGTAGTGGGACACCCACTGGATGCTCGATGGGTTGATGGGGATTGCGGCGGCCATTGCGGCGGGTTGCTTGGGAGGCAGAGCCAAGCACGGCCAGTAAACGGAATGAGGTCAGCAGGAAGGCAGACGAGGCGAGCAGGCGATGAAGGAAGGAGGGAGGAAGCGAGGGAGAAGACGCAGACAAAGCCAAAAACGAAAGGGGCAGGCCACCAGAGGAGCGACAAAACGCAAAGGAGCACAAGTGTGGCTGCCAAGGATGCAAGCGGCACAACCCAAACTCTCGCACACAGCCGACGAGACGACCACCAGGACGGCTGGTCGAGCGAAGGCAGCAACGGCCACTGGGTGCTCGCTGGCTTGCCGGCAGCTGGGAACCGTCCAGACTCGGCACCGGTTGCGACCAGAACCACCGCTCCGGAGCCAATGCTGTTCCAGACCCGGCAACGGGCACGACGCACAGCGACGGTCTTGGCATGGGTGCATGCCCACGTTGCCACGGTATTTGGACTGTACATCGCCAGCCATGACTCACGGATCCGAGGCCGTGGGCCATGGTTCATGATTCATGATTCATGGGTCGTCCACATATCGAAGGCAATGCCGTCATGGTACCCGGGAACATCCCGCGGGCGGTGGCGCCGAGGAATCGTTTTCCGCTGGCCCTGCGCCAACGCACGGGGATGGCTTCGTCCATTTTTTCCGGTCGCGCTCCTGCCTCGTCCTGCCTCGTCCTGCCTCGTCCTGCCTCGTCCTGCTCCACATCTCCCTCGCCCCGTCGTCCAGTCGCCCCGCCGTCCAGTCGCTCCGTCTCCATCACGCATACAATGAGCGCCGCAAAGACCCTCCAGAAGCTCCTCAGCGAGAACACCATCGTGGTAGGGCAGAGCGACCCAGCAGCATCGAGGAACATTTGCTATCCTGGCTGTCCAGGCTCAACTGACGGATTTCCTCCCGCCTCGCCGCTGGTCCAACTCAGGTCATCTCCAAGAGCTGGTGCCCCTACTGCAGAGCCGCCAAGCAGCGCCTGCAGCAACTCAACCTCAACTTCCTTGCCGTCGAGATCGACAGCGACCCCGAGGGTCTCCAGGCCTACATCCGCCAAACCTACAACCACTCGACCGTCCCCGCCATCTTTATCCACGCCAAGCTGCTTGGTAAGCGCCGATGCTCTGGTTTGCTCTCGGCCTCGGATCTTTTGAGGCCGTTGATACTATCCGATCAACTCTGGTACCGTTTGGCAGTCAAAGTCCCCGTTCTGTACATCTCACCCCGCCGCCCTGGTTATTGCTCGGTATCATCCCAGGCGGCAACAGCGACCTCCAGGCCCACCCCAACATTGTCGGCCTCGTCAACCAGACTGATTAGCCGCACCCTAGAGCTATCGGCATCAGCTCTATAGCACCGAAATAAAAATATGCCTGGGCTGTATTGTCAATCGTCTCGAGCAACGCTGTTCGCATCCCACTCCACGTTCTGTCCAGTGCCAGATCCGTCCGAGATCAGAGAGCCAAGGATCCAGCTTGCCACCCAGTGTGCCATCCAGTTTGCCTGCCATCACCTGCTTTGCCCAGCTTACAAATCGTCGAGGGAATCGGCCACCTCCTCAGGGGTCTTCCCCTTGGTTTCCGGCATGAGTAGCTGGGTGAAGATGGCAAAGGCAAGGAGGGCCATCGAGAAGAACAGGAACACGTAGTAGCCGGCTGTGTTGCGGCCAGGGCCCGACAGCGAGACAAGTTAGCATCGAATCGGTGAAAAGTCCGAGCGGCAGCAAGGGGCTTTTGCAAACCCAAGTCTTTCGTACCAATGGCAATCGCGGCAGGCAAAAAGAAGGCCAGGATGAGGTTCGAGGTCCAGTTGAGGGCGGTGCAGATCGACGATGCGGAGCCGATCGCGGCTTGGGGCAGGAGCTCAGGGACAATCAACCTGCCATCGACGCAATACCACAGGTGGTGATCAAGCAAGCAGTCAAGCCGCATGTCAGTCAAGATGGACGGAGCAGCCACGGCTCAGCCACGAACAAATGCGCTGGACTCGTCGAAGCGACCTTTCGAGGCAGCAGCAATAGCAGCAGTAGCAGTAGCAGTAGCGACGCCCGCCCATTTCAGTTGCTCACTCACCAGGGAATCGCACCCAGGCCCATCGAAAAGCCGCCGACAAAGCACATCAAGAAGACGGCCATGAGCAGCGGCGAAAGATCAAACTGGAAGGCGATCACGATGCCAAAGGCAAACAGCGACATGGACAGAAGAGACAGAAGCAGCATGTACTTCCTGCCCATGCGGTCGATGACCATGGTCGAAGCCAGCGTTCCCACCAGATTGATGACGCTGACAAAAGTGGTGAGGCGAATCGCTGTCTCGGGGTCGAAGCTTTGCTGGAAGATGGTCGTCGAGTAGTATATGGCTGCGTTGATGCCGCTGAATTGCTGGGCCACTTGCAGGCCAAAGGCCACGGCCAGCGGGCGGACCAAAGAGGGCGTCTGGAAGAGCTCGACAGTCGACAGGGGAACGATCGACTCTTGCGAGATCAAGGGAGAGTGTGGCTCGAGCGAGCCGCTGGAGCCAACGTCGAACTCATCGTCGAGTTGGTTGAAGACGGCGAGCAGCTCCGTGAGCTCATCGTCGACGTCGACGCAACCGCGGAGTGTTTGAAGGGCTTTCCTGGCTCCGATTCGGTCGCCCTGGGACACAAGCCATCTTGAAGCGACCGCATGCGAAGGAGGGTCGGTACATCAGTCGCAATTTGTCTTTGCCAAGCTCACTTGGCTCCCCGACACGTTGCCACAAGGCTTTCCGGTCTTACCTGGGGCTCTCGACGCAGTATCTCAGCAACCAGAGCTGAATGATGCACGGGACTGCACATCAAGCGGGGTGACGTCGCAGGGTTGGGACAGAAGCAAGTGCCCGCCGGAGCGGTAAGAGGTCAGCGCAGCCGTGCGAGAGAGCGGGGATAAAACATTGTTAGCAATGATCGCCCTCGCATTAATATCAAGGGCCGCGACAGGCAGTACATACCCGCCGTGAACATGAACAGTATTCTCCAGGTTGCCGGACGGGAAAGTGAGTAGCCCATGATCTGGGAGACCAAGACACCGAGAACGATCGACAGCTGGTTCACGCCGCCAAAGAGTCCTCGCCGAGCAGCCGGACTGATTTCGGAAATGTAGAGCGGCAGCACCACCGTTCCTGAGTTCCGTAGTTCGGGCGAGAGAGACCAAGGGAGAAGGGCCAGGGCGTGGGAACCGATTCAGTATTGCAACGAACAGGTTCCAGTCTGCGGCCAGACGACTCCCCCTCTCCCTCTCGAACGAGAGCATGAAGCCAAGGCCGTATCCAAGAGACATCACAGCCAGTCGACCTGGAGCACCGTCGCTTTCCCTCCGCCGAGCCTCACCTGTGCCGGCACCGATGCCGATGAACAAGCGGCCGAGACATAGGACCGCAAAACTGGTGCCGAACGACAAGAGCGCTGCACCCAGCAGGAAATGGATGTTGGTGTAGAGTAGCGAGCTACGCCGTCCCAGCATCGAGGCTAGATGACCACCCGAGAGGCCGCCAAAGACGCCGCCTGTGGATCAAACCAAGCAACGACGGAAGGGGGGGGAGGAGGGATCCGATCAGTATCAACACCAAAAGTGCTTGTGTTGAGGCTCACAGATCTCGGATTCTGCAGCCGGTCACGGATCAGTGGCGGATGCATGCATTTCATGTGCGGGCTTGCCCTACCCAGCAGAAAGATCGACACAAAGGCACCCCACTGCGACCCCCCATCGTCCAGTGCAGTCCAGTGCAGTCCAGTCCGAAAGTTGGCAGTGGAAGGAGAAGAAGAAGAAAAGAGTCCCAGAGTGGTTTGGTGGCGACCGACAGCCAAGGCGAGAGAGCATCCAAAATCAGTATCGCACCCTCCGGAAGTGCATGCCAACGATCAGCGGGCCAGAAGTGGGAGGGCAGAGATTGGGAGGTTGCATGGTAGTGATGGGCGCTGCTTGCTCGTACCTGCCAGTCACTCATGGGCACGCAGTCTCGAGGCCAGCGCTCATCCACGATGCTGCAGTTGGTCTGGGAAGCCCCAGAGCCCAAAGAGCATCGCGACGATGAAGGACGGAAGGCCAGAGGTGACGGGCGATATGAGAAATGGAGCAATGTCAGCAGAAGAGCCTGCCGTCGACATGCCCAAGGGAGAGAAGGAAGAGGAAGATGGGGAGGGGAACGTAGTTGATCAAAGCAGCAGCATGCGAGAAGATGCAGAGAAATGCGGGGAGCGACGCTGGAGGAGGCGGATAGAATGCAAGACGACATGCAGAAATGATGCAGAAATGATGCAGTGAGCGTATCTGACCATGGCCTCTCGTGGTTGGTTGATGACGCCGCTATGGTAGCCGAACTGCAAGGCCGAGATCGAAGCCACCGCGACGCAGGTGATGAGATAGAAGGACGTTGGAGGCGAGGACATGGTGACGGTGGGCCTGCTGCACGAGAGGTGGGACGGGAAGAAAACGGAGGCGGAATATGAGTATCAGTCCGAAGTATCAGTCCCGAAGGATCAGTCCCGAAGGATCAGTCCCGAAGGATCAGTCGGAACGGAGACCTGGCCACCAGTTCTACTGGCCACGACCAGCCTGGTTCAGCATCCCGATCACCCAACCGGAGAAAGAGGGCTCATGGAGCGGATGCAGCAGCTTGCGGGCTAGCGCTATGGCAGCATGAACAGGGCCATGACGATAAGTGCAGGTACCTGAGCAGCGAAAGGGATATGGTTGGCAAATGCAGTGATCAGCGGCTGGCCGGTGAGTTTCTGGGAAAGGTTTAGAGAGCCGGACGTCGTGGAGAAAGTGGCGAGAGGCAAATCCACTCCAGAGCCAAGATGCAATGAACAAGACGGGGGGTCAGAATGTCCAGCCGGGCTTGCTGGGTCGATAGGAAAGCAGCAAGTTGACAAACACGACCGGGGGAAGAACGAAACAGACCAGGGCCCCAACGAGACATGGCGAGCGCCGGCAGTTGGGCAAAGCCAGGCAGCCGAGGCGGGCAGAGTGGAGACCGAGCCCGCCGGCGCAACGACGCAGCGGAATGGGGGCCGGGTCAGCAGGATAGGGCACCCTCGGCGGTCGCAGATGGAGGAATATCGGAGACCGACGAAGCAGAAACTGAACATGCTGTATTGGGAGGTATGCGAGCAAGACGACATCCGGTCTGCGCCCAGCCGCCTGAGCAGGGCCAGAAGGTTGGTGCATCAGATTCTCTGGATGCTCTGGATACTCTGGACTCGTCCCGCCGTCGCATCGGCTGCCCAGTCCATAAGCGCTCTGACTTGCCAGCGACCGCATTTGCGAGAAATCTTGGCGCTCGTCGGCCCGCCATCGGCGACAGAGCACCTTCCGAGGAGCAACATCCAGCCAAGATGTGTGGGAGGGGGGCAATGTCCGAGATTCGGAGGCGATCTGGAGTCTGCTACGACTCCCAGGGCTTCTTGCGAGGCGCCATGGACGACACCGATGCCGGGCTCGGATTCAGGATGTTTGGGATGGTTCGGATGCCAGGGATGGTTTCACCTCGGGCGACCATCTCGCAGATCTGCTGGAAGGACAGCCGCTCGTCTGCGTTTTCGCTGGAATCGGTCCCAGCAGGAACTGCTTGCCGAGATTGCTGTTGTTGTTGTTGGTGTTGGTGCTGGTGCTGCAGGTCGCTTGAATGGAGATGATGGTGGAGTTCGGGATGCGAGGCAGGCAACTCGGCAGAGGTGTCTGGGGTATCTGCCACTGGACGCCCCTCTGTCGGACGGCCGGGCGACTGTGTGTCGTGGGTTGCTGGATCCACTGGATGGGCGATGGTACGGTGTAAGGATCCTGCCGATGTGGTTCATCCTGGCTCCATCAACAGCCATATTCAACGGCCAGCTGGCTGCCAGGGTCGAATGTGATGTTGTGTGATGCGAGGCGGCGTGAAAGTGTTGGGTCAGGCCAGGAGCTCGGGTGCTGAGGGGGTGGGGAAGTGACTTACTCTGCCAATGTTGAGAGGAGAGGCCGGATGCAGCAGAGGGCAGCTTGCCGATGCGGGCGACAAGGTTGGGTGAAGGAAAGAGGCTGTTGCGACCAGGGACGGCCGATCAAGCTGCCTGAAGAAGGGGTGTGCAGCGCATTTGTTCTGGAAGAGCGAGACCCTGGATGACGCGTGATGGATTGGCCAGCACCAGCACCATCAAGACCCACCAAGATCGCCGAGGGGGACCTCCGGTGCTGCGGCACTCGCTGGCGACAGAGGATCTGGGACGGTTCATCGACATTCTGATAGAGAGGCCTATTCACTGTCCGCTGGAGCGGGTGTATTCAAGCGTGCTGTATTGGGCCAGCAAGTGGAGCGCCATCGGGTCTCGGTGCACATGTACAGAAAGGCCGTTGGCGAGGGATCGCGGGCATGGATGGGGCGAGCGGGATAGAAGGGTCAGACATGACGGCCTGCTGGTACGTAGAGACGACATTGTGACGCTGGGGGGGGGGAGGTGAGGAGCATGGCGGATGCACCGCACGATTAGAGAGACGGGGAGGCGTTCTTGGCCGCCATCTTGCTCTTGAGGTTCTCGGCAACGGCGTTCAGGAACTCCTCGCTATTGACATAGTGCTCGCGCTTGAGGCTGAAGAGCAAAGCGGCAGGGTGTCAGTTCTCTCCAAACATGCAACGGATCGAGCTGATTATGCTGGAGGGCATTGCTTCCAAAACCACGGATCGGACTCACAAACACCCGCTGGAAGCAGTACACAATCGCCGACAGCCACTTACCCCTTGCCGTGGATCGACAGAGCGAGATCCTTGGTCATGATGCTGTTGACCTGGACAGTGTCGATACAAGCCTGCTCGAGACTCTGGCTGAACTTGGCGAGCTCCTCGTTGCCGTCGAGCTTGGCACGGTGGGACAGACCACGGGTCCTGGAGGGAGACACAGCAATGAGGCGGGGCGATCCGGCCGTACCAGCAAGACATCAGAGGCCGCATGGGCGGGTCCTGCGATGAACAGACAGCTACTTACCAAGCATAGATACTGGCGATCGAGTTGGTGCTGGTCTCACGGCCCTTTTGGTGCTCGCGGTAGTGGCGGGTGACAGTGCCTGGGCGATGGATGAGCCAGCGAGTGAGCCAGCGAGTGAGCCGCCATCGACAGGGAGGGACAAGGCAACATACCGTGGGCAGCTTCGGCTTCGAGGGTCTTTCCATCGGGGGTGACCAGGACAGAGGTCATGAGACCCAGAGATCCAAAGCCTGTACATTGCACATCGCAAAGTGAGATCACATAATCCAGAGCAGCCACAAGTGCAGCTTGGTCCCAGAGGATCAGCCCTCCGAACGTGGCTTACCTTGGGCAAGAATATCGGACTGGACATCACTGCAGACGGCGATGCAAGGGGTTAGAGAGATTTCAGGCAATGGAGGGGAGAACGTGCATTTGAACAGGCGAGCGCTTACCCGTCGTAGTTCTTGCAGGCCCAGACGAAGCCGCCACTGGACTTGAGGGCCTGGGCAACCATGTCATCGATCAGGCGGTGCTCATACCAGATCTTCTTCTCGGCAAACTTCTCAGCGTAGTGCCTGGACGTCAGAGCCACCGCGGATCGAATGCAGTTGTTACCAAAAGGCCATGCTCGACAGGCTGCACTCACAAGTGGCCAACAAGCACAGGAACGCCGATCAGAGAGGCTTACTTTTCGTAGATCTCCTGGAAGATGTCCTTGAAGCGGCCATCGTACTTCTTGAGGATGGTGTTCTTGGTCGAGAGATAGAGGGGCTGGCCCTTGGACAGGGCAACCTCGAAGCAGCTTCTGGCAAAACCTTCGATGGACTGGCAGGACAGAACCCGCGCGTTGGTGTTAGCGCCAGCATCAATGGCGGCAGCGACAGCAATCGCGACAGCAGCAACGACGCCAAAAGGAGGGGCAGGACGGACTCGTTCAGATTTGATTTTGGAGGCAAGCACTGGAGATGCGCAAACTCACCTCATCGAGGTTGTACATGCCGAGAGCAACACCCGGACCCTATCGAACCCAATGCAGTTCGGTCAGTCGGTGCACTCGAACATCGTCACCAGCCACTCGATACGACAAAGCATTGTTGAAGAGCAGCAGACGGCCAGCATCGTGCAGCAGCACCGGCTCGTACCTTGAACTCGTAGAGGGTGTACTTTTGGGCGGCACCGCCGTCCTTGGGGGTGTAGGTGATTTCGACAGTTCCAGGACCAGGGACGACAAAGTCGGTGGCGCGGTACTGGCGAAGAACGAAGGGTGTTCACAGATCTGATGAGCAACACTGAAGTACAGGCCGGCTCACTAGAACGAGGCAGCCGCTGCAAGTATGCGAGGAAGCTCGTATCGATCACTGCCCCACCCCCACAACCACTCAACAATGCAGGACGGACTTACCTGGTCACCAAAAGCATGGCGACCGATCGTGATGGGCTGGGTCCAGCCAGGAACAATGCGAGGAACGTTGGTGAAGAGGATAGGCTCACGGAAGATGGTTCCACCGAGGATGTTGCGGATAGTGCCGTTGGGGCTCTTCCACATTTGCTTCAGGCCAAACTCTGGAGGTAGATATCGAGTCTGAGACGACGTGGTGGCAGCAAGGGTTGCAAACGAGCATGGGCCATGAACAGGTTCGGTTCGGTATCTGGACCATACGCACCCTGAACACGGGCCTCGTCGGGGGTGATGGTGGCGCACTTGATGCTGTTGCGATGCGACAGATGGGTCAGATCCAAGCAGCGAGAACGTGGCCTGCGGTATATCTTGCTGCAGCACGAGCATTTTTGGGCGACAAAGTCCTCTCTTGCTCTGGTACTCGATTCTGGAGTCGCCTACCCAACGTTGTACTGCTTGATGGCGTTGGCAGCATCGATCGTGACCTGGTCGTTGGTCTGGGGCGAGGGAGGTGAGGTTTCCAGTCAGAAGCCTGGACAATGCGACCTTGCTTTGTGTGCCTATGCGTGGGAGGGCAGCAACGGATTTATCTTGGAGCACGGCAGAGATTGTCGACTCTGCCTACCTTGTCGCGGTGCTCCATGCCAAGATCAAAGTACTTGATGTCCAGATCCACATAGGGCAGGATGAGCTATGGGAGGGCGTCGACCAAAAGGAGCATGTTAGCGGGGCCGAGAGTCAGCAGAGTCAAGAACAGGACATCCGCGGATGAGCTTGCAGTTGGCGGCGACTCACTCTGTCCTTGATCCACTTCCAGCTGGAGTGATGCGAGCCGTTGGTGAGTGATACACAGAGTTAGCGCAAGTGTGTTTCTCGGGTTGATCAAAGCAGATGCTCTTGGTGGTGTTTGTGACATTGCCGGTCCGCCATGGGAAGCACAAAGCTCATAAAATGCGTGTGCTTGTGGCGAAGGGCACTATCGAGTCGCTGCCCTGCAGTCCGAGGTGGTATCGAGCCCAGAAGCATGCCAGTGGCAGCGACACAAAGGTGACCGGCCATTTGGAACAGGAGGGATAAATGAGGCTGGAAACAACGCACATGATGCGGGTCATTTCATCACCATCCATCTCGACGACGGGGTTGGCAACAGCAATCTTCTTTCCCTGGGAGTCTGAGGGCGACATGTTGGTTTGGAGGGAGCGGATGGGGGTGTCGAAAGCAGTTGGAGGGATATCCGGAGGAGGCAGAGTGGATGAGCGGATGGAAGGTTAGCGACAGGCAAACGAGGCGAGGCGGATGGCCCTCCCGATGGCAAGGCCTCTGCGGTCCGGAAAGCCTCGGCGCGTGACAGAGCTGGCGGGGAGAAGGCCGGGAGAGTGCCGGGAAAGCTCAAGAAGAGCATGACAGAGGCAGCTCGTGGCGCTCTCGTGGCAGCTCGAAACGCTGGCGAGCGGGACCGAGTGGTGTGGTCTTGGGGGGAGGGCGACTCATGCAGCAGCAAGCACGAGTCAGCGACGATTGTGTCTCTGTCGGTCTGGCCAAGGAAGCAACGCCTATGGACCCAAGGACGTACACATTCTGGCGGGAGTGTAGATGAAAGGCCGGCTGGCGGCCAGGAGGGGCGATCGCTTGAGCATGAAGGTCATGGCGGGAGACGGAGGTTGAGGCCGAACGGGTCCGGAGATGGAGCAAGATGGCGGCGAGGCTGATCTGCGTGTGGATCCAGATCAAAAGGGGCAGCGGACAGGACAGGACATCGGGACGGGCAATCGGAAGGATGCGCTGCTGCGCGGCATGCTGATAAGAGCCGCTGCGCACCAGGGCAAGGGCAAGGGCAAGGGCAGGGGCAAGGGCAGGGGCAGGGGCAGCCGAGACACGGGGATGTCATGTGCCTGGCGGAGCTTGAAGCTCGGCGCCACAAGCCAGGAATCCGAGGACGTGGCATGCGCCTGTTGCCAGCTGGCTGCTGCCGGCTGACTGCTGTGAGAGCAGGGATGTGGGATGCTCGGACGAGTCTCACCAATACAAGCACCGCCGCGGTGCGGGGAGGGAGAGCCCGCGTGTGCGTTCAGCTTGTCTGCCCCCGCTGGCATCGGCCCGGCTGCCTCTGTGGTGCGTCCGGTGGCGAGGCATCCGGACGGGCAATACCGGGCCGGCGTCCCTGCGGGCGTCCCTGGGATATCACGCAATGGCGCGCCCGGGCACGCCAGGGAGGGGCATGCATGAGTCTGCAATCTGTCGCCATCGCCAGGGAGCATGAACATGACGCCCTCGCCATCGGCACACAGCACCAGCCCGGCAGCCAATGGGAGCGGCGCTGGCGATGGCGACGATGTGCACAGAACAGCGTCGCACGCGCACGGAACAGGTCGCAGCACAGTGCGGCCACAGCGCCGCCCACAGTGCGTCATCACGTGCAAGATTGTGCCATCGCCCCTCCCCAACACAGGCGGCCGTTTTTTGGGGACGGGCCGCGGCGGTGGCTTGCTGGATTGCGCGATCGGCGGCCCCGCCCGGCATTGGCTGGCTCGGCTTTCTTCTGTCCTGTTCCTTGGCCTCCCTCTTGCTGCGAGCGCCGCCGTGCTGTCCTCGTTCGGGTGCTGTTTTTTCACATGGGGCTGTGACTCTCGGCCCGAGGCGAGAACGCGGCGATCCAGCCAGCCAGCCAGCAGCAGCAGCAGCACGGATGCCTGCGAGAGACGGTGCCAATGCCCGCACACCGACGCGGATGCTGATGCCGGCAGAGGATGCAGATGCAGATGCAGAGGAAGATCTCGCCGGCGTCGCCCCAGCAACCCGTCGGGCGACCAGCCCGGTCGCTGCCCAGTGCGATTCGCTGCGGATCGATCTCGTCTGCATGATCGCCAGCAAGCGAGCGAGCGAGCAAGCCAGACGCCCGACACAGCAACGAGGAAAAAAAAAACCGCTATCGCCAGCACCTTCCTTTTCGGGCACCAGCCCCAATAAAAACGCATGTCTCCTTTTCGAGCAGCGCCGTCCCATTTCGGGCCCGGCTCTGGTGCACTTGCTCCACAGAACTCACAAGGCCCGCCAGCCCGTCGCGCAGCAGCGCCTGCTTGGTCGCAGAAAACAGCAAACCCGTCCTCCCTCACTCCCCCCCTAAACGCCCGGCATATAAATACTTGCCGCCCGCCTCGGCCGTCTTCTCGCCCACATCGATCCCGATCTTCTTGACGTCGATTCACCCCTTCCATCATGAGCAACGAGACCTTCCTCTTCACCTCCGAGTCCGTCGGCGAGGGCCACCCCGGTATGTGTCTGCTGCCGATTGCTTCTGCTCGTCGCGCTGTCTGTTTCCATCATCGCCCAGATGGTGTTGCGCGATCCGCCCCCCAGATCTGCATCGCCAGTCGCCCCGAGGCAGAGGAGGCCTCTGCCGGCTGCGATCTGGGCTGCATTCGTCGAGCCTGTGCGATCCGTGCGGCTTTCCCACGGCACCCCTCGATGCGCTTCTTGCCCGGATCGCTGACGCTTCCGTTTCCATTCCGCCTCTGGCCGCTCGCCGCTCACAGACAAGATCTGTGACCAGGTCTCCGACGCCATCGTCGATGCCTGCCTTGCCCAGGACAAGTTCTCGCGTGTCGCCGTCGAGACTGCCGCCAAGACCGGTATGATCATGGTCCTCGGTGAGATCTCCACCAAGGCCACTCTGGACTACCAGAAGATCATCCGTGACACCATCAAGAAGATCGGCTACGACGACTCGGCCAAGGGTAAGCGCTTTTCTCCACGCCTTCTCGTTCGTCTGCCCTCCCACTCCCAACACGCGCCGGATCGCGATCTTGGCTGGTCCTGTGGCGACTCGTCCTGTACCGCGCAGATCTCTCCATCTCGATCGCGATTTCGATCGCGATCTCCCTCCCCACCTCGAATGCAACACGCCTTATGGGCTCGCTGCGATCTCTAGCCCTCGTCCCCGTATCCGCTTGCCGCTTGCCTCAAACGCCCCCAGCGCGCCATTCCGTGCTCCGCGCCCGCCTCTCCCTCTCCCTCCTCCATCCAACTGTTGCCATTCATCCCACATGGGATACATCCCCTCATTCCCAGTGCCCTCCCGCCCCCGCTCCCTGCCTTGATCGCTGTGCTCATCAATCCGTGTCGTCTGTCCTCAGGCTTCGATTACAAGACCTGCAACGTCCTCGTCGCCATCGAGCAGCAGTCCCCCGATATTGCTGGCGGTCTCGTCCAGCAGGGTGACAACCTCGAGAACGATGAGCAGCACCTTGCCAACATTGGCGCTGGTGACCAGGGTATCATGTTCGGCTACGCCTCCGATGAGACCCCTGAGCTCATGCCCCTGACCATCACCCTGGCCCACAAGCTCAACCAGAAGCTCTCTGAGCTCCGCAACGACGGCACCCTCCCCTGGCTCCGCCCCGATACCAAGACCCAGGTTACCGTCGAGTACAAGAACATCGATGGCGTCCCCGTCCCCCAGCGCGTCCACACCATCGTCATCTCGACCCAGCACGCCGAGGACATCACCGTCGAGGAGCTGCGCGCCCAGCTCCAGGAGAAGGTCATCAAGCCCGTCATCCCCGCCCAGTACCTCGATGACCAGACCATCTACCATCTCCAGCCCTCTGGCCGCTTCGTCATTGGTGGCCCCCAGGGTGATGCCGGTGTCACTGGTCGCAAGATCATTGTCGATACCTACGGCGGCTGGGGTGCCCACGGTGGTGGTGCTTTCTCTGGCAAGGACTGGTCCAAGGTCGATCGCTCGGCTGCCTACACCGCCCGCTGGGTTGCCAAGTCCATCGTCGCTGCCGGCCTCGCCCGCCGTGCCCTCGTCCAGCTCTCGTACGCCATCGGTGTCGCCGAGCCCACCTCCATCTACATTGACACCTACGGCACCGGCAAGAAGAGCAACGCCGAGCTCCTCCAGATCGTCAAGAACAACTTTGACCTCCGCCCCGGTGTCATTGTCCGTGACCTCGACCTCTGGAAGCCCATCTACAGCGCCACCGCTGCCTACTGGCCACTTTGGTCGTGAGGGCTTCAGCTGGGAAGTTCCCCGCCCCCTCAAGTTCTAAGCGGCCTCTCTCTCGAGCCTCGTTTTGCCCACGGACGTGCGGCCGCCCCTGGCGCCCCGTTCTCTGCTTGTACCCTAATTCCCCCTCCATCTCCAATCTTTGTTCGCCGTCGCCTGTAAATTTTGCGTCCAGAGTTGACTGAAGCCGGCGCCCTCACAATTGTTGCAGTCTTGTCCACAACCGAAACGGGACGCCGTTTTCGTTCTGGCACCTCAATACATACACAATGAATTATTTTCCAGTCCCTGAGGCTGCTCATCTTGAGTATGAATACACGCTGTAGACCCAAAGGTGCAGCAAAAGTTGGAATGAATCCGCGGTCGGTTGACGGACGGTGTCAACAACCAGGATCGTCTCTGGCGCAGTTGCTTCAAGCTGCGTAGTTCCCTCTTCCAAGAGCGGGACGTGAACAAGAAGCTGTTCAACTACGAGATCAGCACCGATGGCATTGGATGCACCATCGGCCTCGTCAAGTTTGTGCCCCGAACCAGGCGGACCAAGCCCACCACATCCGTCAAGACTGCCGAGCAGCGTATCCAGGCCCACATCGGCGACCCAGACCCCGATCGCACCACTTGGATTGGCATCGATCCTGGAGTCGGCTCAATCTTCACGGCGGTCATCCAAGCACCGGGCCACCAAGACGAGGTGGTCTCATTCTCGAATGGTCACTACCAGCACATGTGTGGCCAACGTCCGATACTGAGTGGCACAATGCCAAGATGAAGCAACTCGACATCGAGACCTGGATGTCGACCACCCCCTCGCCCAAGGTGTCGTCCTCGGAGGCCTTCAAGGTCCATCTCACCCATGTCCTGCGACCGGAGCTGCGAGTGCAGCTCGACTTCCACCTTGGCAAGAAGGCCCGTCACCATCGCTTCACGGGCCACAAGAGGCGCCAAGTGGCCGTTGACAGGATGTGCAAGGCCGTCCTGAAGCACGCCCCGATACGGACCGATGTGGTGATCGCCTTTGGCAATGCGTCATGGCGTCAAGGCAAGGGCTATGCATCCAGCCCTCGGAGGCAGCGGTTTGCTCGGTACTTTGAGCAGCGCAGGTCGATTGTGGAGACCGGAGAGCGACCGGTGGTGTTCACTCGGAGGCGGCCAAAGTGATCTGTTCTATTTCTTATGGCACAGCTAGACGCATGCCATCACATACAACGCTATCAATTTCGGGTTTCCCGTTGTCAGGGGCCGATATCAAAATTGATAGTTATGCCCATCACAGCAAACACCGTCGTCGTCGTTCGCCTGCGTGCTGGGTGGGAATGCGGAAAGCCGTGGTTTGCGAGATCCTCTGCTCTTCGCTGTCGCCCCAGATCACAACCGCAGAGCTTGACTGGATCGCCTCCCCTCCTGCCAACACGTCGCCCACGCGCCCGTGCGACGTTTGCGCGGGCGGTCACGGGGGCAAGCATGTCCATCCAATGCACTGCTTTTTCTCTGGCCCGATCTCGGCTCCTGAACGCTCCCCAACGCCTCTCCTCGACTCGTTTGTCGATCCCTGACGATCGCACAGCCCCTGCCCTCTGCCCAACCCCTGCTCGCCGACCCCAGCACCATGAGCTCCGACGACGAATCCGGAGGCCCCATGAGGCGGTGTCCTCACATCAAGGCCTCCGTCAAGGTCAAGAACCTGAAGCAGCAGCTCCCCCACACCCTCGCCAAGAACAAGCAGTGTCTGGTCAGTTGCTGCCCAAGGAACTGTGGGGAGGTGAATGACCGGCCGACTGGCCAACCGGCCGGCCTCGGTGTTTCGGTATCGCCGCTGATCCATCCATTCTCCCTCCGATCGCGCATGATAGAGCTGTAAGAAGGACGGAAACAGCGACCCGACCGCCAAGCCGGTGCTGTGGGTGTGTCTGAGTTGTGCGGAAGTCTCCTGCGGCCGCAACGATGCAGGTCATGCTCTTAAGCACAACGACTCCTCCAAGCACAACATTGTCATCAACATCGAGACAAGCGAGATCTGGTACGCATGCGAATGCTCGTCCGCAACAGGCGTCTCGGCAAGCAGGGGATGGACGAGGGTCGCCTTTCCTCCCTCTTGCGGTCCTGCGCCACGGAGATACCATGGTCTCTCGCTGTTGCCGCAACAGATCGGCAGCTGAGCTCTCCTCCCTGGTTGATACCGCTCTGTAGGTGCTATGGCTGCGATGACGAGCTGAATCCGCCGCCGCAACAAGCTCAGCTGCTGACCGAGTGCAAGACAGTCATTGCCAAGAACCTCCAGTCCTCTAGGTCCATCAAAGGTGAGCAGCTCTCCGGCCCCATTACCGAATCCGACCATCGAGTCGGCGCCATATAAGGCAGGGGAGTGAAGGGGCGAGAGAAACAGCAGCGGCATTATCGTCGACCCAGACGATTGCGACATATCGCCCAAACTCAAGCCCAAGCCCAAGCCCAACCTCATCCAGAGGAGGCCAGCTGCCAAATAATGCCGCCTCGACAAATAAGACTGATGCGTCCTGCGTGCGAATTGCGCCGCGAATCGCTACGGCAGAGTCGATCCAGGCCGTAACCAAGGAGCCCCGAGTCACCAAGCTGACCAAGGGCCGCAAGGGTGGAGCAAATGTTCCTGGTCTCGTCAACTTGGGAAACACATGCTTCTTCAACTCGGCGATGCAGGTAGGCCCAAGCTCTGGAGCATGTCATAAGAGTGCGGTGGAGGATGGAGAGCAGCTGCCCTGACTCTTTGGATTTCGTGTGTCCCATGCCGTCGTGCACCCTCTTGCACCGTCTCGCACCCTCTTGCACCTACAGTGCATCACGTACACACGAGCGCTGTACAAATTCGTTCCTCCTTCCGCCGAAGACACCGAGCGAACGGTGGACGGTGTCCAAGTCGTGCGCGGAAACCTCTCGCTGGGGCTCCTGTCGTTCCTTCGGGTCATGGGCACGCAGATCCAGAAGCAGGCCGGCGGGTCCGTGCGTCCGTCCGAGTTCTTTGGAAAGATTTCCGGCAAGTGGAAGTTTTACAAGTCGATGGGCCAACAGGATAGCCATGAGCTGATTCGCCGAATCCTCGATGCCATCCGAGACGAGCAGCTTCAGGTACCGACCCGAAGCAAGGAGGGCAGATGGGACAGATCGGCCTATTCGTCGGCAGAACCGCAGAACTGATGAGCCTCTGGCCCTTGTTTGATCAACAGAAAGGCGACGACGGAAAGGCCGTTCCGTTTCATGAAACCTTCGTTGACGAGGTCTTTGGCGGCAAACTCGTCAGCATCATCGTCTGTGACGTCTGCAAGGATGTAAGCAGTCGTCCAATCCTGCCCCAGATGCCTCCCGCTTCCGATATATTGTGGAACAGCCTCGCTCGAGTCTTGGGAGAGGTAGCCCTCACTGAGCGTGATTCCACCGCTGTTGTTCGCCCATCCCCCGGTGCCCATCCCCTGGTGCCGTTGCTCCCGATCAATCGGTGGTCTTGTGTTGTGATCTATTTTGGACGAGAGAATCTCATCCTACCTTCATCACGCTCATACTGCGACTGATACCGCACAACGTCCCCGATGTCGCTGCCACGTTTACTCAACCCGAAATGATCGCTGAATCCCCAGATCGTATACAACTTTGAAGATAGCTTTGACATCAGTGTTCCCATTCCGCAGGCAAGTGTCTGATATCGGATCGATCTTGCTTGATGCATTGCCTCGATCCAAGGGACTAATGACTGAGCCTTGTTCTCCCCTTCCTGGATACTTGCAGGCCTCGGCGCATGCGGATAAGGCGCTCAGTAGCTTCAAGAGCTCGGTCCGCAAAGTGGTGAGTTTCGGCCTATTTGCATAGGACAAGCGGTCACATGCCGACACAACAGTGTGTCGCATCGCGGCTGATCGAAGGGGCCTGTCCTGACTGTCTATGCTCTGCGTCTGCCACTTGATTTGGTCGGCAGAAGGGACAGTTTATGCATATGACCCACAAGGATCGCAAATCGGCCACACCTTCCAGCTCGTCGTCGTCATCGCTGGCCACTCCTAGCGAGCACACGCCCCCGTCTGAACCGTCCGAAGTGCCTGGATCGTCCTCAACGAGCACAAAGTCGGCTCGCCAGAGCGTCGAGAACCTCGTCTCTGGCGTCGCCTCCACTTTGAAGAACTTGGTGCTTGGTCAGCAAGCCCCGAGCGAAACCCGATCGAGCGAAGCAGAGCGAGCAAGACTGATCAACACCCTCCTCCAGCCGATCGGCGACAGCGGAAGCACCATGAGCGTGTCGACTTGCATCAGTCGGTTCATGTCCGTTGAGGTCTTGGACGGCGAAAACAAATATGCATGCGAGGCCTGCTACAAGCGAGCGTACGGCACGTCGCCTGATGCCTCCCGGTCCGACAAGAGCGGCTCCAGCATGCTCGACTCGGACTCTCGCTCAAGCGAACTCGAATCGGAGGCGGCTCATCCCAAGCACGAGTCCGAGCAAGAGCAGGAGCAGGAGCAGGAGCAGGAGCAGGAGCAGGAGCAGGAGCAGGAAGCAGACGGCCAAGAAAATGAGCCAGAGGAAGTAGGGTCTGAGGTGCCCGCTGACGACGACAGCAAAGCCGAGCGTGTACCTGAATCGGGTCAAGTCCAGGCCGTCGAGGCAGATCCTAAGCCGGAAACAAGCGATGACAGCCAGGATGCTGTTGCTGCTGGTGGCGACACCAACCCGCCAGTCCCCGAGAAGGACGCTCCGCGAAACCCCCCGGTGCTGACTCGAGCCTACAAGCGCTACTTGATCCACCGAGCGCCCAAGGTGCTGGTGGTTCATCTGAAGCGCTTTGTGCAGCTGGGCAGCGGCCGCACCAAGAAGGTCGAGGACGGGGTGGCCTTTGACGAGTATCTCAGCCTGCAAGAGCTCATGTCGCCCTCGGAGGTCCAAGAGAAGGTCACCGTGAAGAGCAAGCGTCAGCGGCCAGCGGGCTCTGCCAATTCCAGCGCCTTACCATCCACCGAAAACCTGGCGTCGGCATCAGCGTCAGGGTCGACGACAGATATCTCAACCGACACGTTGGCCAATGCCGTGCCCGAACCGGCCTCTGAACCTGCATCCGAGTCTGCATCCGAGCCCGCTTCCCGAGTCCCAGAGCTGCCAGCGGCCGAGGATCGCTCCGGGTCGGATCCGTCCCGCAGTCTCGAATCCACGGAGGGCAGCGAAGAAGGAGACGACGAAATCGACTCCAAGGAGTACGTCGAGCCTTACCTCCACGGATACCGCGATGGCGGCCGATACCGACTCTATGGCATCGTCGTGCATGCCGGAGGGCTCTTTGGCGGACACTATGTCGCTTATGTGCGCATGCGCCGGCCCACCAAGCCGGGCAGCGATGGCAATGTCGCCGACGCCAGTGAGAGCGAGCCTCCGAAGGAGACTCTGGAGAGCCTGTTCGACTCGGGCGACGAAGCCAACCCGGCCGAGGAGCAGTGGGTGTACTTTAGCGACACGACTGTGCGCCTCTCGTCGTGGGAGGAAGTGAGCGGCTGTCAAGCATACATCTTGTTCTACGAGCGCGCCTAGAATCATGTCGAAAGTCGAGTCTAGAATCATACTGCATCCACCTCGCATGGTTTTCATGATGCCGTTACGACCAAATGGCCGTCCACGAACCCAGCACCATCCCACTCGCTCCCATACCCTCGAGCTGATCCATCCGTGACTGCACGCTCCTTTTGTGTTCGTATGAGCAACATCTGATCTGGGAACTTGGGATATGTATTCCAAGCGCCACTTTCCCATCTGACCGCACCCAGCTGGGGGGGGGGAGCAAAGACTGCAGACTGTCCACATCGTCGTTGCTGCGGGCAATTTCCTGGTTCTCGTTGACTCTTGGTAGCTTCACGGGCCAAGTCACTTGTGCTTTCGGTTGGCAACCCGAAAGAGACAACGACAGGCCGGGAGGTTTGTTTGGGGGAGATGTCGATCGCCTGGGGTCGCTATTTTGAATGAAGCCAAAGAGTGCATCCCTCCCCCCTCCTTCTCTTGAACCAGAGAGTCTTCACCCTACTTCAATCCAATCGGCGATCGACAATCAGTATCCGGTCCAAGTCTGACCGCCACCATATTGACCACTTGGATACTGGCCACCGTACATCTGATATTGCTGTTGCTGCTGCTGCTGTTGCTGTTGTTGTTGCTGTTGTTGCTGCTGTTGCTGTTGCAGGGCTTGAAGTTGTTGAAGTTGCTGCAGCTGTGCCATCTGTTGTGGGTAGCCCTGATTCAGGGACTGGGCAGCAAGCTGCTGCTGGAGCAATTGTTGCTGCTGTTGCTGCTGTTGCTGTGCGGCCTGCAGCTGCTGTTGTTGGGCAACCTGCTGAGCAGCTTGGAGCTGCTGTTGCTGCTGGGCTTGAATCTGCTGCAAGGCTGCCTGCTGCTGGATCGACGAGTTACCGCCGACGTTCATGGCAAAGAGTTGAGCGGCTGAGTATCCCTGGGTCGGCTGCTGCGCTTGCGTCTGTTGGTATCCCATCAGACTTGCCGGGGTGTTGTAAACCGAGCCCGCATAGTTGGATCCATAGTTGAGTTGTTGTTGTTGCTGTTGCTGTTGCTGTTGCTGCTGAAGCGCTTGAAGCTGCTGGAGTTGCTGGAGCTGCTGCATCTCCTGGAGCGAGAGTTGCTGCTGCTGCTGCTGTTGTTGTTGCTGTTGCTGCTGGGCAAGCTGCTGCTGCTGCGCCAGGAGCTGCTGCTGATCTTGCAGCGACTGCTGTGTCGGCTGCTGCTGCTGCTGAGCCAATCCAATAGCAGTAGACCCGGAGCTGGAGCCGTCAAGGACGGCATTGGTGATGCGGACGGGTCCGTTTGGGAGTTTGTCGAGATCGGCATAGTTCTTGCGACCCTGGTTGCTGTTCATCGAAGCCTTTCCGGCCGCCAGGTTGAGGATGACGTACAGGGCGTTGCCGACACTACTCCGGTCGACGGTGATCTTGTTGGTGAGGACGTCGTGCCAGGAGACGTCCTTGCCATGCCAACGGCCGTGGCGGTCCATGTCCTCACGCACGCCCCAGCCGGTCATGTAGCTCTGGACCAGGTCACTTGGCGTGAAGATGCCGCTGAAGCGCACATAGACGTAGACGTCGATGGTGGGATCCAGGAACTGATTTGTGAACGGGCCCGGCAGGAACCGGTGTGTGTGGTTGAGAACCAGGCGGGTGCGGGCCACCAGCGACAGGATGGCAGATTCGCTTGTGAACAGCAGAATGGTCTCTTGGCCGGGCTGGATCTGTCCATTGGCGTTCTCGAGCAGGATGCCGCAGGGAGCAGACCACTCTGGACACAGGTTCGAATCCGTTGCCGTTGAGTGCAGGAGGGGAGAAGGCAGAATGATGGTTGGCGATGCAAACGAAAGCGTGATGAGTCTGAGGCTCCAAGAGATCGAACAGGGGGCCATGTCAGCGACTTGACAGTGCTTGCCCTCATCGCCGGCGCAGGCGACATACAGACAAGCCCCGATCGGACATTATTCAGAAGGCCAACGAGCAGACGGGCGACAAAAGCCCCAGGCAGACGAGAGTCGCCCGGCGCTATTTCGGCCCCTGGGCGTTTCCAAGCACACCCGGGCGGTCGGCAATCGGCAAGGCACAATGGGCTAGAAGTGGTGGCAGCAGCTCGACAGTAGCGATCCAGACACTTCCTCTCGCTTTCCATCCGGGCCATTACCTCCAGACTTGAGCCGCACGACAGCGACGCCGGTTTCGCCGCGGATGACGGCGATGCCCATCGCACCGGCGATAAAGTTGGCCGGGATGGCGCCGCCCTGGGTGGACTCGGCAAAGGCGCTGAAGGTCTTTGCGGCGAGCTGGCACTCCTCGCCGGCCGTGAGGATTCTGGACATGGTCTGGGGTTGCGGGTGGGAGGATGGGGGGGGGTGAGCAGGGCCTCGTTCTGGGTGGGAAGAAAGTCGGTGTGGATGTCGGTGCAGCGGGGGGGGGCCTGTTTTGTCTCGTCAGGGGAGCCACCGAAGCGAGAGGACGCCGAGGGCCGAGAGCGCGTCTCGCTCGGCCCAACATGACGCGGGGAGGTCAGGGCCGCTCTCGCTCTGCTCTCGCTCTTGGCTTGCTGGGGTTGGCTGTTGTTCCGCCAAGGCGACGAGGCGACGGAGATGGTGGGAAGGAGAGGCTCGGGCCAAGGCGGCAGAGCGATCAGGATGGGTTGCACTGGTGATCAGGGGAAGCGGAAACCCCTGGAGAGCAAGCTGCCCAGGCTTCAACGGCCCAACCACAGACGCAAATGGCCAAAGCTACTTGAGAGCCCATCGGCGACCGGATCTGCCTGCATAAAGCCCAAGCACCAATGCACGAACCAATGCATTCACACGGAGATGGGTCCGAGCAGGTCGGCTTTCGAAACACGTTGTACTTTATATACATATGACCCTGAGTAGTCAGATTAAAGCTGAGAATACCCGGGAAAAATGCGCTGCTCTGAAAACAGCACTCCAGTTCAAATGGAGCGCAGAAACAAGTCGAGCGAACGGAGGGCATAAAAGGCAAAGACGGATGAGAGTAAATGGCTGTTTGGAGATCGGCCGGGCACGGCGATGAGGCTCGGGCCACAGCAGGAACAGGGATGGCAGGGAATCGAGGCAGAGTTCAGCACCGTCGATGAATCGCACTGTCCGGCTGCTGGTAGTCAGGTAGTCAATCCAGAGGCAGAGGTAGAAGAGCTGTCGGCCCTGGAAAGCAGACGCTGAACGTGTGGCGGGCAAAGGACACTTGGGGCGTGCTTGTCACAGTTAATAGACCAGGAAAGCAGTGGCGATTCCGCCGGCGAACATGGAAGCGATGGTAGCAAACGATGGGACACTGAACTGAGCCATGCCGCTGATGCCGTGGCCCGAGGTACATCCGTTGGCGAGGCGAGCACCGGTAACCAAGAGGAAGCCGCCCACGATGGCCTGAATGGGGCTCACGGCCGCGGGAAGGAGGGGAGGCAGCTCCGAGGCTCCGGCGAGCCAGAGCGACAGGGCCGAGCCGGTCAAGACACCGACAGCAAGGTAGGTCGAGTCCAATTCGATGTGGGACTGGTACAGCGGGGCGTTCTTCTTCCAGTTGGCATCGACTCGCGATACAATCTGCGCGCCGATCTCGGCATAGGCCGTGGAGGCACCCAGCGGAGCATCTCGGAGGAGGATGGAGCCGGCCTGGACAGCGGTCAGGGCGAGACCGCCGACGACAGGGGTCCAGGCAAAGGACTGCAGCGTGGGGTGGTCGAATCCTCGGAGGGTGAGCAGGCTGGAGAAGCGTGCGGGAGCGTCCTTGAAGATAGCCAGGACGGCGCTGCGGGAGTCGGTGACCTGGCCGAGGACATAGACGGCAGCGAGCAGGGCCGAGGCCGCTCCAATGCCGAACAGGCCGTAGGGCACCTTAAGGCGCTGATCGACAGTGGCCACCTGGGTCTTGGAGCCAAACTTGGGCAGGAAATTCTGGATGAACCTGCGCCGAGGGACAAATGTCAGCGATGGCGATGGCGAATCTGCTCGACCGGATGTGGGAACTGCGAGCTTCCGGGGTGCTTACCGGTGGGTATATCCAAAGAGTACCGCCGCGACGAGGCCGCCCGCCGCGACATACCGGGCGGACTGCAGACCGGCGCCGAGCTGCACGATGACGGTACCAGGACAGGCACCGCTCAGAGCCATGCCGGTGCCCATGATCGCTCCGCCGAGGACGTTGCCTCCGAACCCGTTCAGGGTGCCGAGGCCGACCGTCAGGGAAGTTTTGGGGGGTCTCTTGAAGAGACCGGCGTGCTCGAGGGCACTCATAACGATGCTGATGGGAGTTCAAGAGGACAGTGTTAGTGCACAGCAGCAGCACACGGGACAGCGTGGTGCGTGCTTCTGCAGGGTATGGCGACAGAGCCCACGGCTATTGCGTTTCTCGCGAGATCATGGGGTGGGCCATGAGGCAGGGGTGTCGACAGGCTCTCCAACAGCAGCAGCAACGTACATTCCACCGGCAGTCGCAGTCAGGAACATCTGCATCATCGTGAAGTCGCTCATGAGCAGCTGGTTGGTGATGACGGTGGGCAGGTAGACCTTGCATTTCTCCAGGACGAACCCGAAGCCGACGCCGACGGCGAGTGTCTTGGCTGCATCGATAAGGGTCATGATGGGCTGGATGGGGGGCTGGAAGAAGGGGTGTGGGAACGGTGGGCTCCAAGCACGATCAGAGGGCTGAAACAAAAAGAGGCCTGCGTGGGCGGGAGTGATGGCGATTCAACGCAAACGCAGGCGGATCCGCGCCTTTTATAGCTCGGCGGCCGTCGCAGTTCGCTGCAGTTCGTTGCAGTTCGCTGCAGTTCGTTGCGGATGGGCAATGCAGTCCGGGCGATGGCGAGATCAAAGCACACCCCCCAGCCGCGTGTCCGCACGGACCTTGTCGGCCGGCCTGCGATCATAGCTGTCGACTATCTCAATCGAAGTGATCCAGCGCATTCGACGACGACGGCTTTCAGCCTCAATCGCTGCTCTGCCCTCGAACAAAGGCACCTCGCTCGGCCACGGGGATCAACTGCCGAGCGCGGTGCAGGCAGCAAGGGGGGCGGCTACCCCACAACCCCGCCGCCAATCAGACGCAGCGCTGTCAGTGCCCTGGCCCCACACTCCGCAAGGCTCTGACAAATATGGCGTTGGCGGCATCCGGCGCGGTGTTGCCGTCGACCCGGCCCGGCAGGGTTCTCGCTGCCGCTATCGTTGCACGGCGGGGCCGGGGCAGGGGGTGGCCGGCTGGCTGATCCGTGCTCTGACCCGCACCTCAGAAAGCAGGGAGCGGGGTCGAGGTCGGATCGAGGGGAGTGCTGGCTGGCAGCCATGCGTCGATTGACCGTGTGTCGATTGACCATGCATCGATTGACTATCCGTCGATTGGCCATGCATCGGTTGATCGCGCATGCCGAACGGCTCGACCGTCCACCCACATTGCGTTGGAAACGTCTCGGTCACGACGCATCTGTATTCAGCACGCTCCCACTATATACAATTGTCGAGTGCCGAGCCGCCGAGACTTGTTTGCATCTCGATTCCGAGCCATCCTCGATCCGCCTTCGGGCCAACGCACTGCCTGTCGACTGACAGCGCATCGCTCGCTACTCTTCGACGTTTTCCTGCTTGTCGTCCGCATTCTCGGTCGCAGGGGCTCCCTGGGTCTCCTCCAGCTTTCCGGCACCGGTCTCGGTCGCAGCTGCGCTCTGAAGCTGCCACGACGGAATGCTGGGCTTGGATATCGACATAAACGCCGGGCTGGGCAGGCCCGCCTTGATTCCGTTGAGCACGCCGGTGCCAGCGACGATCTTGGGCTCGCTCTTGCCGTTCGCTGCGGGCTCGTCTGCAGCCGCCAAAGACGGCGTGGGGTGGCTGCTGTGGCTGGTGGTGGTTGTGGAGACCACTCGGCGAGTCACCAACAAACTCTTCAGCGATTTGACCTCACTCTGCAAGTCCTCAAGGATGCCGGCCTGGTTCTGTTGGTTCTTTTCAATCATCTGTAACGGCCGACGGTAGCTGTGTTAGCTCTCAAGCCATCAAAGGCCGTCAGTCCGAGGGAGCGACGCCTTGATCATTTCATCTCGCAGCACGACGGTCATGCGATGCCCCTCGCCAGTACGATCGACAAAAAAGTCTTGCAGGATGCGTGCGCCCAACACAGCCCATTGCGACCGATAGCCCCTCAGGAAAATAGGAGTTTTCGAACCATCGGAATCATGTTCTTGAGACCGTCCAGATCCTCGCGGATCGTCTTGATTTCTTCGTCGCGCTTCTCCTCCTGCAGCTTGAGAGCCTCCAGATAGACGTTCAGATCGCCCATGCTCTGGGTGATCTCCTTGGCGTGGGTCTCGAGCGTCTGCAGCAGATCAGCCGAGGTGGATTCGATGGCCTGGAGCGTGGTATTGGAGGCCTTGACGAGCTTCTGTGTTTCTTCCGAGTCTTTGAAGACCGGGTGGTCGGGTGTCGGCAGGAACGGCAAGATGTATCTCTGCAGATCCCACAAAAAGCGGAAAATGAGGGAAAGACCGGAAACGGATGAGTGTCAGGATTTGCATGACGGGGAGGAGGAGTGAGATATTGGGCGTCCGAGCAACCTCGAAACCATGGCACGATCGAGTATGGGTGATATTGGGTGGTGGTGGTGTGATGCAGTGAGGCCGCCAGAGCCAAATCAAGCGCTTGCGACGGTGCAGATGGCATGCGTACCGATGCCAGCAGCGACAGCCCGTATCCGACGCCGACAATAGCACAGGTGGCCAGGGCATAGTCCTTCCAGGTTGTCACGGGCGCAGGCGGCGCCATCATTTGGACATATCCGGGATGAGGTGTGAATCCAGGCACTGCACCGGGAGCAGCCGGGACAAGCGAGGTAGCCGAGGCGGTGGTGCTGGGGGCGCTCGTGCCTTGGGACGAGAGCCGGACGGCCTCCTGGACCTCATCGGAAGTCAAGCCCTTGCTTTCGAGAAACGCAATCTTCTTGTCGAGGGGGCTCGACTGGACCTTGGGATCGCTCAGGAAGCGGACGGCACTCTGAATCAACTCGGAGCGGTTTGACGACATGGACGGCGAGTTCTGCTAGGCGGGATAGGAGAAGCTGCAGGCAAGCCTCGGGTGCAGAGCGATGAGGGCCAAGGATAGGCGCCGAAAGGACGAGCGACGGGGCGGAAGGACGAGCGGGCGAGGCAGAGCGAGGGCTCATGATTGACGCTCGCGGCACGTGAAATCGCGCTGGCGAACGGGGCAGCCTCGGAATTGCCGGCCATCCATCCGCACACAAGAGCCTCGCACACAAGCAACACCGAGTCTGATTTCATCTGCGGACGCTGTATTCATGGCCTGGAGACGCAGGACTACGCAAGGCAGGACCACGCAAGGCAGGACCACGCAAGGCAGGAACAAACAAAACCAAGCCTGGGCAGGCGCCAACCGGGCACGGCAGTGGATCTGTCCGTCTTTGGCTCCGGATCAAACCGCGCCAATCCTTCAGCGCCGGCCGCTCAAAGCTGCACCTTGGCCAGACCCGAGGCCAGGATATCCCAAATGATGAGCTTGCCGTCCAGGCTGGTGGTGCTGAACTTGGTGACGGCGTTGCCCGTAGCCTCGTAGACACGGGTGGTCCTGGTTGGATTGGGAGTCGGCCAAGCGAGAATGTCAGGACGGTCCAGCTCATGCGATCGATCAGATGGTGGCACACTGGCGACTGCCGAATGAGCAGGCCGCAGGATCGTGCTGCACATAGCCGCGCAACCAAAGCGCAAACAGCCTTACTTGATCGTGTTCTGGTGGTTGCTGTTGAGCTCGACCTCAGTCGAGGCCTGGCCGCGAGTGTCCATCGCCAGGAAACGGCTGCTCAAGATACCGCTGGAGGTGGCCGAGGGGCGCTTCTTGCCCTGGTCGAGCTTGTCCACAAGCTCCCTGTGCAGAGACAGCAGCCATTCAGAATGCTGCGGATGCGAGTCCATCGTCGCCAAAGCTGCCTCGCGGGTGCCCGCCCCGTCGTCTGCTTTCCTGGATCACCCACCAGTTGCCTCCGCGGTTGCTGTAGAGGTAAGGGACACAGTCGTGTCCGCAGCCAACGATGTAGTTCTCCGAGATGAACAGGATCGAGACCAGGGGCAGATGGTTGGTGTTGATGCTGACGATGCCTTCCTGGGGGCCGTACGAGATGTTGAGGGACGAGTCGTGTCCGGCAAAAGCCAGGACGTTGCCGCTGGGCGAGAAGGCGACGCTGTGAACCCATCCGCTCGCAGGGCTCTTGTACTCGCTGACGAGGGTGCCGAACTTGGACTTGCCGCCCCAGACGGAGGGAGCCGAGCTGCCCATCATGCAGAACAACATCGGTGAGTCATTCAGGCGCTACGGCACAGCTGTAGCCGGCGTCGCATAACAGCACCCGCTGCTTGTGGCTCCGAGACCAAGATCATCCGCCCCCAAGACACTTACACCGAGTCGATGCCCTTGACGATGGTCGAAAAGACGCGAGCGGTCATGTCGGCGCATCCGACGGCGAGATGGATGTTGTCGGGATGCCACTGGAGACTCAAGACGGTACTGCGGATGGGCGACTTGATGTGCTTGGCGACCCACCAGTCGTTCTCCTCCTCAAAGTAGCAAACGCAGATCATGCGCGCACCGGAGCCGACAGCAAACTTGTTCTCGGCCGGCGACCACTGGACAAAGGTGGCGGCTCGGTTGATACGCAGGAGCACGAGCGTGGGCTTCCAGCTGGAGGTGGCCGTGTCCCAGCTCCAGACATAGGCATTGCGGTCCTGGGAGCAGGTCACGATGCGGTTCGAGTTGGGAGCCCAGTCGACCGAGGTAATGAGCTTGTCGTGCTGCTCCAATCAACAGCGAATCAAGGCGTTTTCGAGGAGATGGAGAGCGTCAGCAAAGCTCATCAAACCCATCCTGGGGGGGGGGTCAATGTGCGGCAGCCGAATGGACCAAACGCAGCCGACGGATTCTGCAACCCATCGAGTTCAGGCTTGAGCATATCGACTCCAACACCAACTCGGCGACACCACGTCCACAGCATCAATATCCAAGAGACGCAAACGATGAGGAAGCTGCAGCGAGACCAAGCTGATGGCGATCCCGACATGGGCGTGCCATAGCAGCAAGCAGGGCGGCGACGTACCTCCTTCAGCACATGAAGAACCACCCACTCGGAGCCGCGTTGGCCGTAGATGTGGACCTCGTTGTTGTTGGGAACGACGGCAACCTCTGCGATGACGCAAACAGATGATCAGCATCGGCCGCCGGGAGTAGCACCAATCTGGGGGAGGTGTGTGGCCCCCTTGAGGCTTGCAGCGCCTGGAGAGAGGCTCATCTTTGGAGCGTCCACCGATTGCTCTATTTCTCTGGATCACAGAGTGCTTTTGCGCAGGACACAGCGACATTGTAGCTGAAACAGGGAGACAGGGCCAGCACGTCTTACGGCTGCGGTCACGGTTCCAGGCGTGGCTGGTGATGGGAGTTCCCCAGAGAATATCAAAGACCTCGGGCATTTTGCGGCGCGATGAGCAGGGCGAGCTGGACGGGCTTTGGTGCGGTTGAGCGGTGGTCGTGGAGCAGCAAGAGGAGGAGGAGGAGGACTCTGGACAGTCGACAACCTCGGCGTTTGGCGATGGTGATGGCGATGGCGATGAGGCGAGAGCGGGAACAGCCCCTCGTTTCCTCAAATACGGCCAGGAGGGTCAGCACGTGACGCCAAGAGTCAAGGGTCGGCTGGGCTCTTGGCCGATGCTCTGATGCACGGACGAGGCTGCATGCGGCGACAGCAGCGGGGGGGGGAGAGCTGTGATGGCCGTGGTGGTAGTGGTGGTAGTGGTGTGGTGGTGGTAGGCAGGCGTCGGCCGAGACGGCTGGAGATTCTTACCGCCGTTTTGGCGAAGGCTCAGACGATGGCGAGCCCGGACGAGCGCTCTTGGCTGCGACGGGGAAAGCGCTCTGCGGATCAGCCTTGACGAAGGGGGAGACGACCAGATTGAAGAAGCTGATCCAGAACATGCGGGTGCGAGCAAAGCTCAGACCTCCCTGTCGGTGGCGGCGCCTGTAGGTTGATGGGCCACCAGCAGCGGAGCCTGGCCGGCGACGGAGATGGAAGGGCTGATGACTCGGCGACCCAATCATCCATAGCGCGAGCACCACCGGCAACAACACCGACAAACAACACTGCAGCGACGATTGCAAGCGAAAGGATAGGCAGTTCGACGACTCAGCGACGATGGTTAGGGCCAAGACAAAGGCACGGGCAAGCAGAACGGGGGCGTTTATTGGACCAGGCCGAGTTACGACTGACTGCCGAACTGGTCCTGTTGGGCCAGATAGTGGAAGATGGCTTCCTGGGTCCAGCCGTCCTTGTAGAATGCCGATCGTCTCATTTCCTCCTGGCTGACGCGGTTGTCTCCGAGGATGGTCTGCAAAATAAGGACAGCAAAGCCCGTTAGGGGCGGCGGGCCATGCTAATGAAGCCGATGGGGAGCCGCCATGGCGGGGTATGCAGTGTACCTCGAGATCGCGGCTCTGGCTCGCCATCCAGTGGTTGATAAACGTGCACGGATCCTTGGCGAATGCGGCCATAAAGTCCCGCTTCATTTTCGCTTGGTTGATATGCTGGACCAGGTTGATGATCTGGGAATGCATCGTGATCCAGCGTGAGCAGCGTCAACAGACTCGGCACACCAGCAGATCCGACACATCGGCACACCAGCAGTGGCCAGACATCGGGGGCTCACCTGGTCATCGTACTGCTCGAGCTCTTTCTGCAGAGCAGCATTGGCACTGGCAAAGTCCTTGGCCTTCTTCTGAGTCATGTCCTCGAGCTCGATCTCGACGTCGTAGACGTAGCGAGACGCATGGTAGCCTTCGTCCACTCTGGAGAACATCAACTTGGTTGTCAGGCTTCTCAAAGACATTGCCAGCCGCCTGACGGAAAGGAAAGAAAGCCTACCGGATTGTGTACTCGAGGGTAATGGGATCAGCCGGCAGTAGATGCGGCTCGATCATCTCAATAAGCTGCGAGAACAGGACGTGGGCGGTATTCGGGAGCAGCTGGTGGACGCGTGGATGGACGGCGTTGGATTGCCAATCGATGAGAATGGTGATGCGACGGAAGAGTCGTTTCAGATCCCTGCAAGTTGGCTCGCCGCATCGACTCAAATATGCCGCTCATCGACTTCCACACGCAAGCAGCTCGGCGAGCCCAGACGTCGCTGACTCACCCGCTTCAGTCCATCGTCGCAGTTGATCACTCGCTTGTCCTCCGAGTCTTGGAGCTTGTTGAGCTTCCGCAGGTCAAAGATTATGCGTTAGTTCGTGATTGCTACGGCCTCGAGACTGAGGCCAGCGATCTATGCCGCGAGCTACAGTCGCAGCCAACACTGGCTGCTGGCGACTCGACTCACTTTGATGTACTTCCAGAGAGCCGAGATAATATTGGTCCGCGTGTCGGTATGAAGGCACAGCAGGGCCGACAATGGCGCAGAGAGCTTGAACTTTGGGATCGGCGGGTCCAGATGGATCGCAATCTTTGCCTTGACATCGGTATCGCCGCGCCGCTTGATTTCAAAGCCATCGCACTCGGCGCCGCCGTGCGGCTTTCTCCACTGTGGCGTGCAGCATGGGGGCGCATAGACAGTTGCGACACGAAGTCAATTTGCGATAAGCGAGTCGGTTGATGATGCAGGCATATCGAGCCGGGCTTGGATATCCAGCATCTCGATGTTGTCGCGCCCCTCCTGCATGGCTCTCTGAGCTGTTAGATCATGAGGGCACTTGCCTCGATGATGTTGCCCTCGGGATAGAGTGCTGGGTCGCGGTCGATGGTCACAATGACGCTCTTGATGAGCTGACTGAACTTTGTCTGGATCGCCATGCCCTTGCGCAGATGAGGAGCCTGAGTAGCGACAGAGACGGCCGATCAGACGACAGGCCACAGTTGAAGCGCTGCTTCAAGTGCAGCTGTATCGATTTGGCCGATCAGTTAAACCATGGCGGCGATACTTGCATCAAGAAGCCGCCCCTCGATCCGCAGAGTCCACGACGGAATGTTGGCATTGGTGATGTCCATGAAATCCTCGCTGGACGGGTTGATCTGATCGCTGGCTGTGTTGGAGATGAAGATACGCAGGTATCGCTTTGCCATCTGCGGCAAACAGGCAGAAGGATACCGTCAGGGTGGGGTTTGATTTGCGAGCACGATGCGCGAATGCGGCCAGATCGATTGGACAGTACTTTGGGCGATTTGGCCAGGGACTCCTGCAGCTCCATCTTCTTCCGAACAATCAGGGCATCGACTCGCTTCTCAAGATCCTGCAGTTCGCCGTAGAGCTTGGACTCTGGAACAAAAACCTCGATCTGGCGACGCAGGTACGAGCATGAAGCACGAAAACAGTCAGAAGGAGGGGCTGGGTCTTTGGATCGGACTGTCCGCAGTCCGTTTGCCCGGTGCATTCGGCGGGTGCTGGAGATGCTGATTGATGCCGCAGCATCGATGGCTTCTCGGGATCAACCGCAGAGACAGATTGCGTGCCGACCAAGACCAACCTTGCGAGGCAGGTTCTTATCGATGGCCTTTTTGCTCTTTCTGTGAGTTCATCGCGCGGTGTGTTGCGGTAGTTTGATCGCAGCACCATATTCACCGACAAAAGGAAGTGATCGGATCAGCAGAACAATCTGAGACTCGATCGGCACGCTGGCGGTGAACATGCCCATTATGGGATCCATCATGAGTAGCTTTGGGCGCTCCGAGGGCAGGCACACTTGGGAGGCTGGCCATTCCATACTTTGCTGGTGCCCGATGGGGTTCTGTCGACGGACGCTTGTGGGGCGGGATCTGCTGGACCGGTGCCCCGACGATCCTCTGGATCTTGCCGGTCGATGATGGGGTGGACATGATGGTGTTCATGCCGGGCGCTGGTGTACGTGGGTCCGGGATGCAGATGGGCAGGATGGCGGACCTGGACGAGTCTGTGATGGGTGAGTTGAGGTTGGGCCTGATCAACGATTGGAGAGAGAGAGAGAGAGAGAGAGAGAGAGAGAGAGAGAGAGAGAGAGATGCAGGCACGTGACGATGGCGGCCATTGCGCAGCCATTGCCTGGCCATAGCCAGACCGTGGCTGGCGCCGCTGTGGCTGCTCGCGCACAGCGCGGCTCCCGAACACCCTTTTGCTGTCCTTTGCTCGCCCCGTCGTCCCGCCCGTCTCGCCGCTCGGGCTGGGAGGTCTGCCTCTTTTGCTTTTTCGTCCCCGATCGTCTCAGCTGTCTCCGCTGCCTCCAGTCTATCTGGGCTTCTTCGATCCCTCGACTCCACGCACTCTCCCCCGCCACACGACGATCTCGCAGCCATGGAGGGATACCAGACCTTGGAGCGCATCGGCTCCGGCTCCTTTGGCGAAATCCACACCGTAAAGCGTGTGTCCGATGGCAAGATCTTTGCCCGCAAAGAGATCGACTACAAAAAGATGACCGACAAGGAGAAGCAGCAGCTCGTTGCCGAGGTCAATATCCTGCGGGACCTCAAGCACCCCAACATCGTGCGGTACCATGAGCGCTTTGTTGATCGGGAGAGCTACATCATCTACATCATCATGGGTAATACCCCTCGTTCATCCGTCTCCGCTCTCGCATGGCTCACATCACCGGTCGTTCCAACGAAAGCCGACTGCTTTGTCCGTCTCTTGCGGCGAGGCTCGAGTGCAACAGTCAGTGTGGAGGCAAGGATGCTCGCTGGCGATCTCTGCTGATGAGTCGCACCTATTTTCTCGGCTTCCCTGCCCCTTGTTTCGGACCACTTGTCGTTGCCCTCTCCCCGACGCTTGCCGCCAACAGAGTACTGTGAAGGAGGTGAGTACTGTCGCCATGTATGATGTTGGCAGGGCGAACACTATCGGTCGAGTCCCCGCGATCGTCCGCCTGCCAAGTCGGTCCATCTCGCTGGCCAGCAGCTCATCCGTCACCCAACCACAGGCGATCTCTCGGCCATCATCCGGCGCTGCAGAAAGGAGAGGCAAGTTTGCACCTCCTCTATTCCTTCCACCAAATGCAGCCGCGGCACACGACCCCTTGCGACCCCACTGCCGAAGGGTGTCGTCCTCGTTGTCGACTTGGGATTGACGCTTTCTTGCCGGCAACACAACTGCCGCTGCCTCGCCTCGCCTCGCTATCTAACACCACAAACTCGCTCGTATCGGCTGGCTTGGCTGCCGCCGGCCCATCTGACCTGCTGCCCTCGTCCTGCTTCCGCTCTGCAGCAAGTATATTGCCGAGGAAATGATCTGGAACATCCTGGCTCAGCTGCTTCTGGCTCTCTACGAGTGTCACTCGGCATCTGGTCGACAGGTGGGCCGACCTGCCATCCTCCACCGCGACATCAAGCCCGAAAACGGTACAGCGTCTGCGACCTGCGAAGCATGTGACATATGCATGTCTCCGATGCCTGACCCCTGCACCGGTTGTGGCAACGAGGTGACTCTGTGGCTGATGCTCTGTCGATGTGCATTCAATCGTTTTCATGCGCACGGCCAGTGTTCCTCGATGGCTACAAGAACGTCAAGCTGGGCGATTTTGGACTGTCGCGAATCATCGAGGACCCCGAAACAGAATACGCCAAGACTTACGTCGGGTAGGTGCAGCGCTGTCGTTCGTCCGGATTATTCAGCGCCAGTATTCTGGTTGACAGATGGGGCGATTCCGACATGCTCACCGGACTCCTCTCGCCCACTGCTGCTCTCGGTCCGTCGTTCAGAACGCCCTACTACATGTCCCCTGTAAGTCCGTGCCTGCTCCTGAAGTATTCTTGAGGCGCCATCGACTGAGCGGTACTGGATTTAGGCACCTCATTAACACGGTGGTTGTCGAATGCAGGAGCTCGTCACGGACACATGCTATAACACCAAGTCGGATATTTGGGCTCTCGGTATGTCAGCTCCGCAGTCCATGATCACTTGCCTTAACCCATCAGCGCGGATCCTGCTCCTCGTAGATCCTGCTCCTCCGCTAACTTACTTTCCTTTGCGACTGTCGCGGACCGGCAGGATGTCTCATCTACGAGCTGTGTACATTGTCGTAAGTGGGCATGACGCTTGTTTCGGGGATCGGATGGCGAGGGCGATCCGGCAGGGTCTTGCAGCTGGCGGTGGACGTGTTGCCTGCTCACAGACTCGTGCATCCTCTCCAGTCCTCCGTTCCAAGCAAAGAACCAACCGGCATTATTTCAGAAGATCCAATCCGGACGTGTTGCCCCTCTTCCGCCGCAGCGGTTCTCGTCGGAGCTCCAGAACGTGATCAACGACATGCTGACTGTAAATGTAAGTGTTCCGATGGACTGATTTGCTGATTGAGGTGCACATAATCCCGTAGTACCCGTCCCTCGTGTGCACTGCCGCCTCATCCTGAACTGCATCGCAAATCGATATCAGCATCTCCAACGGCCGAGCGCTCAGGATTTGCTCTCAAGGTATCGATCAATCAAGCTGAGCCGCCGCGAGATTGAGATTCGCAGCAAGGAGAAGGACATTGAAGAAAAGTAAGCCTACCGCTACATGCCAGGCCTCACGCCGTATCGCCATATGGACAAAGCATATTCCGTCTGTTGCCAGTTGCATGACTGTAACTGTTGTATCTGCCACCTCAACCAGGGTCGAAAGCTTGAAGGCCCAGGACGAGTCATTGAGGAGAAAGGAGGCTCTTTTGATCGAGCGCGAGAAGGACCTCAAGCTGCGGGAAGTGCAGCTCAAGGAGCGCGAACGAGCCGTTGCCGGTATGCCCTTTGGATACAGACGATCCTGCGTCCTTCCTGCACACCTCTCCTTCGAATGCTGAAGAAGCGTCTTCATACTGACATCACCGTGATGCTGTGGCCATCTTAGCGCAAGCTACCGCTCCGACAAGCATTCCGTCGATCGCGATGCAAAAGTCATCGTCGACCACCGCAGCCAGCTCACTCAAGCACCGGCACTCGATAGACACGCGGATGTTCGTGCCCAGCGGCCACAGCAGTCCCAATCTGCTCTCGTCGAATCCTCCGTCGCCGTCGCTCGCGAGCCCGCCCATGTCAGCCTATCTGCGTACCGACCCGGAGGGCGACTCGATTCCCTCGTCGCCCAGTCTCAGCGGCTATATCCCCCAGCCATCCCCGCGCACAAACGACATCCCGATGAGTCGAACATCGACCTCGGGCTCGCTGAAGGTGGCTGGCTCGGCGCGAATGTACGATGCTCGTGCCGACGACGAGGATCCCGCCGGTGGTAGCCCTCCCTCGACTCCAACTGTCGTCAACGGAAGCGTTCTGCGGAAGCCTGTCTTGAGGCGTCAGACGAGCCTGGACACCTTTTCGACGTACAGCTCTGCCATGAAAGGAGCCGCTGTAACTAATGGCGTGAACCCGACCCGCCTGCCTCCGAGCACCCAGTCCAAGCAGGAGGCGCTGTCCAAAACCCCATCCAAGCTCCCGGTGCCCCACCCAAACAACAACAGCAGCACGTCGAGTAGCGGAAGCGATGTGTGTTCGAGCTTTGGGGCCAGCGACGACCGCTTCGGATCCAATGCCGGACTCTTCGCGACCATGAGCTCCCCTGGTACAGGGATCTTCAGCAGCTTCAAGGAGATTGGAAGTCGGATGCCCATCGGCTCCCGCGGGAGCAAATTGCTTAGCCGCAAACAGAGCACGGAGATGTTCAGTCAGGGTGCCGTTTCGCCTGCTGGCGTCTTGCGAGACGGCGCCACCATCGCCAAGGGCGGTCTGGTCGGTGCAGCCGAGTACGACAGCAGCGGCGACAAGAAGGACAGAAACTATCACTCGACAGACATGCAACTGTCCCCTTAGGCGCCTCAGGTCGCTTTGCGCCATGCAATCGCCCGTCTTGTTTGGCCCCGTTCACCGAAAACGACCTCAATCCGCGACCCTGCCATCTGATCGTCCGCCCCACGTATGCATGTAATATTGCGCAGGGCGGCCCATCCTTCTGCCATCTCTCACTGCCTATAGTATCACCCCACTGTCCCGCATTTCTCCTTCTCATCGTCGCCAAACCAGCCGAAGCCCCCCTCGGTTCCTGACCAAGCCAAGCCGTGCCTTCCTTTGTCTTGAACTCACTGGAAAAAAAAGTCTCTCCGCTTTTGGAACTCACAGTATTCGACATCTTTGTGCCTTCTCTGGAGGCGCCGTGTTGCAGCGCCAGCTAGCTTTCACTATTCCACTCCGTCACCCGTACCTGATGTTATTTTTTGCAAATGGATTGAATCGAGCTGTAGAACGCAACAATGTGTCTCGAACCAACACTGAGTGGCGGCGTTATCCAGGGGAAAGGAGATGGGTCGATGCGCTGGATCGTCAGAGTAGCAAATGGAGAGCAGGAAATGATAGGATGCTACAGAGCGGGACAGACGGCGGAATCAGGTGTGTATTCTGAACGAACGAAAGCCGGTTGCCCATCCTTCACTCTCAACCAACACTGCACCCTTGGCCAAGAAGCAACGCCGCTCGCTGATGAAGCACTGAGACACTGGCGGGAGTCGGTGTATTCATCACGGATATGGATGTGGACAGAGTGATGGATGGACAGGGGTGTGCCTGCTGGCCTGTCGGCGTCGAGTGCGATTGGCACCGTTACTTGCCCCTGTGAATGCAACAGCCTGGTGTCAGCGACCCTTGTGCTTGACCAATCCACTCGACTGCCATCGCTCTGGTCGCCACCAGACTTACCCGCGAGGACAGGTGCACTGCTGGTCCTTGGGGACATCCTTCATGACCGAGTCGACATGCTTGCCGCTGCCGTGTTGCGGGGATGCGAGCGGAATGAGAATGGGTTGCAAGCAGCAGACGATGTGGATGAGTGCGAGCGGCAGCCAGTGCGATCGCATCGGATGCTGCTCGGCTGTTCCAGACATCAACGGTGCAGCTGGCCCAGACAACCAAGACATTAAAGCACATGGATGCTCCTACCAGCCGCCCCAGGTCGTCTTGCCACACTTGTCGCACTTGACGGGATAGCACATGGTATTGAACGTGAGGGAGAACGAGGGAATCGGTGGAATCGTGGTGGTTGAGTTGCGATGTGGACGAGGGGCAAGCGCTGTCTCGCGCTCGTTTTATAGTCACCCTGTGTCAGGCGGCCATCTGTGGCTGGTTGTCCAAACAGATCGCTGATTGCGCTGGCAACCAAACAACCAACGACAGTTGTGTGGGGGGCGGCGAACAGGCGACAAATCGTCGACTTGCATCCGAGCAGCAGCCGACTTGCATCCGAGCAGCAGTCGGCTTGCACCCAATGCCCCCGTCAGGCCAGAGTGTTTGGCGGGCTTGATCGGTACTTCAGCCCGGTTTCTCACGCCCGGCTGTCTCCCGCTCGACGGTGTTGTTTGGGGACAAGCCACCTGCTGCGGCCGATAATGTTACTGGCTGATTGTGGGGTCACGATGCATCAATCGCTGAGGATAACGGCGCTGATCGACGGAATGCCGCCAGGCACACTGCGGGCCAGCGATGGAGTGGGTGAGATCGGCATTGTTGCTCCTGGCTGGCTGGGCGTGTGACTCGCCGCTGGCCATCGGCTATTTGCACATCCCACCCACTCCCGTGGCTCTGACAATTGCCAGGGTCTGTTCGGGCGGCGCATCGCTGCTGTCTCGCTCGGCAATGTCGATACCCCATCCCGAGACTGGAATGCCGGGGTGTTGCCGCTCCAGCTTGGCTTGGACTGCCCACCACCGCAATCCATCGTTTGCCATCGCAATCCATGCCCACCACCACACACCCCAGTTCCACGATCTGTCCTCCCTGCACTTGATGCCGCACACCGAGTGGCAAGCACTTCGCTGCCCTGCCCCGGCCGTCCAACGAACCCGCCAAACGAGGAGGATGTTGCCCGGGCTGATCGGTCGCTCCGCAGGGCGTGGACCCCAACGACTCTCCTGCTCGCCCACCTGCCTGCTCCGTGATTGAACAGACTCGATTGGCCTGGGCACGCACCCGCCAATACTCCCGGTGCTGGGATGCTGACGTGCATGCCGGACGTTGCTGCACCCTGCCGTGGCGGCCGTCGTCCATATGTCGATGGCCTCCCACATCTGGCGGATCGATCGGCAGCTTGCTCTCGAACCTCGGGGCCATTGTCGGTCGAGACCCGCAACGCTCTCCCACCCTGTCTGATCCAGTCCACAGATATAAGCCAGACCACACCCATCTCCTCGACACCACCGCACCTTCCCACTGCTCATCGATAGCCACTTCCTCAGACCACCAAAGGCATGGCCGAAGCATTTGTCAAGACCACCGTCGAGAGCCACACCGTTGTGGTGTTTGGCAAGAGCCACTGCCCATACACCCAGAAAGCCAAGAAGCTGCTCGCCGACGCCGGGATCAAGTTCCACCAGGTCGATCTCGACACCATGGGTGAGTGGAGCAGGCCTCTGCCGAGCCTCTGTCGAGCCTGGGCCATTCGTGTGTCGCTGCTGGGTCCGGCGGTGTGCGATATGCCAGCGATATGCCAGCGATATGCCAGCGATATGCCAGCGATGTGCCAGCGACAGGAGTGCAGAGTGGTGCAGAATCTGATCCTGTTCCACAGATACCGGTGCTGCCATCCAGACCTTCCTCGAGACCAGCACCAATTTGAAGGGCGTGCCCAACGTCTGGGTCAAGGACAAGCACTTTGGCGACGACGGCGATGTCGAGGAGCAGGTCCAGAAGGACAAGTCGTTCTTTGTGTGAGCCATGGTGGCGACCGACCTTGGCCATCGGCGAACGGCCCGGATATCCGTGAATTCGCTTTGCCATGCTGTGATTCATGGGAGAATGACGATGCCATGTCCGTGCGAGAGAATGGCCCAACGACATATCCATATGCCAGTACGACAACACGATGGCATATTCACATTGCACAATGACATGTTCGCACGGCCCCATGCTTGTGCTGGTGTGAAGTGCCTGATACGAGCCGCTCCGAGGCTCAGTCGGCACACTGTTGGTCTCGTTGTGGTCTCACTGTGCTATCTATTTGCGATTGCCACTCAACCACTTCACCACATCAAGCACGGCCATCGCCAAACCAGGACGGGTCTGATCACAGCACCGCCAGTCCCAGAGCAGCGCTCGCTGCATCGAGGCTTGGCTTGACACTCAGGATGTGGCCGGCTTGGATCCACCGGCGACGATGCGTTCGTAGTATGGATCTGAGCAGATCCAGAGAGAATGGCGGAATCGATTCGACATGGTGTCGATGGTCGTTGCGATGATGAGATGATGAGATGATGAGATGATGAGATGACGATGGCAACTGACGGCACTGGCAATGCAGATCGAGAATCCATCGGCACTCACCAATCTTCACCATGGGCTTGATATCAACCATGGCCGACACACCGGCGACACCCATCACACCCGCCAGGGCCAGCAGCTGAGCCGTCATGCGTGCGTTGATGACCTTCTGGGCGTGGGTGATGTCGGTGCGTCGGAAGTTGTAGCCGAGAGCAACGGCCATCGAAGTAGCCCAGAGACCGGCTGTCGACGACAAGTAAAGCGATGAGCAAGCAGCCAGCGACAGGATCGATACAGGACCGATACAGGACTGACACAGGACTGATACAGAGCACCGCTGCAGTCCAGGCAGCGGCGGCAGCCACTCACCGACAGCGCTGTAGCGAAAGCGGACAAACGCATTCTTCCAGCCCTCGGCCGTGGTAAAGTTGATCTGGCCCTGGGAAGCATCGGTCTCGACCTCGCTTTCACGAACAACAGAGAACTGCTGGGCAAACTCGCGATCGATCTTCATGGCCACAATGTCGCTGGCCGTGAAGAAACCAATGATGGTGGAGCCCAGGATGACGGATACCTGATCAAAGCTCCTGGATCAGTTGCATGCAGGCAAACATGTCCACCGAGTCGCTGGACACGGCGCCAGCGAAGCCACCTGGTGCTTGCTGAGATCACAGCCAGAGCAGATTTGGATTGCCAGGGTGCGGGCCCGACCACCCAACACAACCCACCTTGATGGGCAGCGTGAGACGCTGGTAGAAGGGCCAGCGCTTCTGAGCGACGGCAGAGAGCCCCAGGGCGGCCACCGTTGTTGCGGCTCCGTACGGAATACTCTCACGGATCACTCGCCAGTTCATCTCGTTCTTGTTGCGGAAGCGCATTTGCTTTGCTGTTCCGCCGACGATTTCCTCGTTGGCATTCTCGGTGGGAGGAAGAGAGGACATGGCGGTATCGGGAGGATATGAGCGAGGGGAGTTGCAGACGGTGGATGGCTATGGATGATGAGTGGCTGCAGACGACGGATGGCTGTGGTTGCAGGTTGGTGCAGTTGGACAAGGGTCACAAGTGTCGGCAGAAACAGGGGTCGGGAGGAGGGCAGTTGCAGACAACGGGGGTATGGATCAAAGGGGATATCTTGCGATGGTGGGAAGACGCTGGCAGAGTGCGGCTATATGTATGCGGGCAGTCGCAACTGCTGGCAGAGGAAGCATCGGATGAGGCTGGTTGATGGCGATGCCCAAACAGAGCACACAAGTCTGCAAGTCTGTCTGCATATCGACGGAGCCACACTTGCATATCGACGGAGCCACACTTGCATATCGACTGGATCACACACCAGCACACCAACACTTGCACCCGCCCGCATGTTGACAACGGAACATCGGCGCATTCGAGGCTGGAATGCCGACCTGTTCTGATCTGGACCAGTCGGGCGACGAAAGCAAGAGCCTCTGTCGACAAACCAGCCACCGCCCGCAGCCGCAGCTTCCCAACACAGCACATTGTTTGGCGGTCCGCAAGAGGCATCCGAACGGCCTTCTTGCTCGACCTGTGACGGTGCAGGCGAAGGCGGGCAGACATCGGATGATTGCTTGGACTCGAGCCCGCCAACTCAGTCTTGCGCTGTCGGTGAGGGGTGTTACTTCCTGGACTGCGTGGGAATCGTGATCTGCCAGCCATCCACTCACCTTCTTCCAACCCGTCCGGGCCAACACTGGCTGGCGATTGATGATCGGCAGGCGAAATGACAGGCACGCCGGGGGCCGGTGGTCTCGTCGACGAGGCACGCAGCGCCGGCATTGTGATCGTCGATGGACCGGCCGGGCGAGATTGGGCTGGGAGACATCGGCTCATCGCTCATCCCACTCGAGGGATTGTGATTTGAATTGCCCCGGCGTTATGCTGCTGATGCATCGACATTGATCCTGCGTCGGCATCGGTTCCCCAAGCCAATCCCGCACTGCTGGGGACCCAGCGACATATGCGCTGCACTCAGACCGACCATTGTCCGCCTCCGCCGATCATCCACTGCCAGCGACCCGCCTCGGTTTGATAAAGCGGCCGTCCACTGCGGCCCGCTCCTCGCAGACATCGATCCATCCTGCCCAGGACCACCACCGCCATGGCCAACGAGACAAGATACGACGTGATCGTCATTGGCTCTGGCGCAGCCTCCAAGATCACTCGGCCGGCTGCGTCCAAGGGCTTCAAGGTCGCCATCATCGAGCGCGGCCCACTCGGCGGCACATGCCTGAACCGAGGATGCATTCCCTCCAAGATGGCAAGTTGGCCGGCGGGGAGTGGAGTGCGATGGTGGCGATGGGGGCGATGGGGGCGATGGGGGCGATGGGGGCGATGGGGGCGATGGGTCAGAGGTCGATATCACACCCGGTGCAATGGTGGTTGATGGCCCGCACCCAGTGAGATGCCAGTGTCTGTCGGGTTGTCTGTCGCTGTGCTGATCAGCCCTCGCCCGTCCTTCGCCCGACTCTCCTTGCCTCTCCACCCAGCTCATCCACCCGGCCGACGTTGTCTCTGAGATCCGGGGAGCGGCAAAGTTCAACATCCATGTGCCGTGCGTGGAGCAGCTCACCGTCGACAAGGCAAAGCTTGTCACCCGAGTGTGCGAGTCGATCGATGCAGACTCGGCTTCGATTGTGCCGCTGCTCGAGAACCACCCAGGCGTGACGCTCTACCGGGGCGATGCGACGTTTGTGGGTCCGAAGAAGGTCCAGGTCAACGGCAAGATCCTGGTGGGCGACAAGATCTTTGTCGTGGCCGGATGCAAGGGTATGTCTGGAGCCATGCACAGAGCACAGAGGCAGCTGGAGTGGGCAGTGTGCGGCGGGACATTCCAGAGCGGATATCAACGGCGACGACGGCAATGGTCCTGGCTTCGTGGGTCTGCCGTCAGGATGCTGGTTCTCTCGTGGCCCAGGCAGCATGGCGCCCCAGATGTGGCCACGTTGTTCAATGTCAAACCCGATGCGACGGGCACTAGCCCTGGCACCTCCCCTGGCACTTCCCCTGGCACTTCCCCTGGCTGACCATGCACCCGCTCTGCCAGCAAGCATCCCCGACCTCCCCGGACTGCAGGGCACTCCGTACATCACGTATGCCGAGGCCCTCCGCGACAAGACCGCCCCAAAGACCCTGCTCGTCATCGGCGGCGGCTATATCGCCATGGAGCTGGGATACTACTATTCGCGCACCGGCAGCACCGTCGACTTTCTGGTCCGCAGCCGCATGCTCAACGCCGAGGACGAGGAGGTCCGCGACCACTTTGAGAAGCTCTTCGAGGCCGAGCACCCGGGCCGCATCCACTTTGGCGAGGTCCCCACCAAGGTGTCGTACTCGCCCGGGCAGAAGCTCTTCACCGTCGAGACCAAGCACAAGACCACCGGCGCCGTCCAGACCCGCACGGCCGAGTCGCTGTTTGTCGCCACGGGTGTGGTTCCCTGCACCGACACCCTCAATCTGGCAGCAACCGGGGTCAAGGTCGACAAGCGGGGCTTTATCGTCGTCGACAACGCCTTCCGCACCTCGCAGGAGGGCATCTATGCCTTTGGCGACATCATCGGCCGCCACCTCTTCCGCCACACAGCCAACTACGAGGGCGAGTGGGTCTTCAACAGCGTCTTTGTGGATCAGTCCCTGGCTGCCAAGGGCATCGACTATCCGCCCGTTCCGCACGCCGTCTTCACCCATCCACAGGTGGGCGGCGTCGGGCTCACGACCGAGAAGGCCATCGAGCGCTTTGGCGGCGCCGACAAGATCGTCGTCGGCCGCTGCGACTACGAGGACGTTGCTATGGGCCAGGCACTGCTGGCCGAGGAGGGCACGTTCCTCAAGCTGATCTTTGAGAAGGCCAGCCGCAAGCTGGTCGGGGCCCACGGCGTCGGCCACGAGATCTCGACCATGATCCACATGTGCATCGCCTATTGCAAGATGGGGGCGACGCTGGAGGACATGCTCGACACCATCTACATCCATCCGGCGCTGCCCGAGATTGTGAGGAATGCGGCCCGGGATGCCAAGGAGGCCTTTGACGGCTGAACCCAGGCGATCAGGTCCGGCTGATCGGGCCACGGCTCTCCAGAGAGCATGAATCGCCTTCGCAGCTCTCGCATCTGAGAAGGGAAGACAGGTTGTCGAACTGGACGGGGCTGAATATGTCGCTGAATCGGACGGCGTTGAATATACTGTCGATACAATACATTGCCAGAAGGGGACTCTGATGCTCCCTTGCAATCGATGTCGTTTCTGTGTGGTGCTTTGAGGTGGTCGCTGTCCACGAACGTGAATCGGCTCGTTTGCATTCATATCCACCATCGATATCCACCATATCCACCGTATACACCATCGATATCCACCATCGATATCCATCATCCATCTCGGGCGTATCGCCTCAATCCTGCGCTTGAGTGGACATCGCTCCGCCGTTGTCGCAATGATCCCGAGCCCGTTTGGTCCGGTCTCGGCGATACTGATTCTGGAGATAACGACATGGAGATACTGCTCGTTGAACGGCCCCTTGGACTGCTCTCTCGTCCACGATCATTCTTCAAGTGACGATATACTGTTGTGTCCATGGTTCTTGCCTCTCATCCTCGCTGTCTCCGTCATATGGACCTTCCACTTTGCAACTGCGGCGGAACACTTCAAACGCATCATCATCCTTGGCAGTACCTGTACTCTTCTACAAACAGAGCAGGCATTGTTTCGATCCGATACAAGCTCCCGAGGGACCTGTCTTTATTTTTCGACACGAAGAATGTTCTTCTTTCGCTCGGCGACGTGCGGAACAGCACCGGGAGCGCTGTGCTTCCGCAAGTTCTCTTCCTTCTTCTCCTGAGACTGCACCATGACGTGCTTGGTTTTGCGTGCACTCTTGACCGCCTTGGGGACTTGCCGCTGCCTGTTATTGTATCGGGTACAAGAGCATGAAGTGATCTTGTAAGTAGTTGCCTCGGTGGGTCTTGGTATTTTGTCATGTAATGTCATCTGCGACAGTGACCCATCACGATACTTCACGATATGCCAAGTTGCCGTCAACTGCCTCTCGTACCTGTCGATTCTGCGGATCTCAGGCATGTGCTTGTAGCGCTCCTTAATAGCCTTCTGGTACTTGATCGCATTGGCTTCGCGTGGTGTTTTCTGACACACAAAATGAAGGATGAGCATTCGCCCGACTCGCTGGGTTGTGCAAGGGGCGTCGTGCGCCGTAACTATGCAAATCGCAGTGTCCATTCGAGATGTACGTCCATACCGGTGCGAGCTTCTCCGAGGCATTGGCTTTCCACAGACGGATGTTGCCGTCGTCACTACCCGAGAGGACAAATCTGGCGTCCATGCTGAACTTGACGCAAAAGATCCTGGTAGCCACAGCAGCAAAATGGTTGCATGTTAGACCGGAGGCGTCCCAAGAGCCAGTGACGTGGTCGCGCTGTGTAGCTTTGGATGCGGACGAGCAGAGGAGATCTGCATCGGCTCACTTTTGCATGCGCTTGGTGTGGTAGATTTCGCGGCTGTGTCCACTCTGAGCGTTGAAGATGCGGATGGACTTGTCGTAGCTGCCCGTCACAATCTCTTGACCTGTCGGGGAATAGTCCAGATCCAGCACTGCCGAAACATGATCTTTCATCACATTGATGGCCGAATCGAGTCTCCGCATATCGAACGTGTAGCAGTTGTGGTCTTCGTTGGCCTGCGGACGAAATCGGGAATGGACCGTGAGTGTGGGAGTCCCTGAGGAGCGGGTGATGGATGTGCGTGCGGCCTTGATTCTCCTCCATGGATCCACTGCATCTGGCATCCGATGTGTGCTAGTGACCGACGCCTTGCTGATATTCAACACTTACGGTAGTAAAGTTGAATGCCTCCATGGGGTTCCAGGCGATTGCGTTGGTGCGCATCTGCATCGACAGACAGGATTCAGACCACGACCACGGCGTATCAGCCGGATGGCGTGCGCGTTGCGTGCTGCATGAACTGAGGGGCAGAGTCCTGCAATGGCATGCCGCCGGCTTACCGCCATGATGATCTTCTTTAGCGGGGTGTTGGTCCGGATATCGTACAAAACTATCGTTCTGTCTGTGCCGCAGCTCGCAAACACGCTCTGCTCGGTCTGGTTGAACTTGATCGATGTGATGGTTTCAGCACCCCAGTTGAAGGTTTGGGTTGGTTGCGACCTTTAGACAAATCGTCATCCAGAGGCAGCATGAGGAGGCCGGTCGCTGGGCGGCGGTCGAGCGTGCTGTGTCGATGATATTGCGTTCACATCGCAGCCTCTGCCAGAGACGAGTATCTCCTCTCTACACTGTGAAACTATGCTGTTTTGGAGACAATACTTGCCTTGAATGGTCCCATAGATCGATTTGGGAGCTGGATGTCGCAAACAGCGGCTGCGACCGATGATGGTCAACGCCTCTGTGGCAGGTATACGTCGGTAGAGACGAGTGGCCATGAGGACGTTGCATCGCTTGGGCTACTTCCGACGATTGCTGCTTCCCAAACAACTTACGTGAATGAAGTTTTGGCGATGTAGGTTTGCAGAGGCTGGCGCAAGCGGGAGATCGAGTCAGACCGGCAGTCGAGACTGGATGTGGAGTGTGTGGAGTCGATGCATGTGCGCTTGGTGATGAGCTGACATCGAGGTGAGTTCATTCACGCCTACCTCCTCTTCACTGCGGTCCCAGATCTTGACAATCTTGTCCTCGCCCACAGAGATGAAGTTGTCGCTGAAAGGCACACAGGTGAGGCCACGGACAAATCCTTCATGTCCGCGGGTGGACCAAACTGTCTCCCGGCTGGACAGGGACCAGAGTCGGATTTCTATCAACGAGCATAGCGCGGGTTAGTCAAAGCGGTTCGGATGCAGACCGGCTATCCTTTGGGCTGCAGTGGGTTGGTCCCGAGCAGCAGCTGGTACAGACGGTCTTGTTCGGCCATGAAGGTACCCCGCTTGGTTTCGCCGCTGCGACCATCCGGTCTGAGTGGACGCTGTTGCGCCTGCACCAATATACTCGCATAACGCAGGGCATACCTCCGTCGGCGCTTCCAGAGACAATCGTAGTGAGGTGGGTCGGGTGCTTGGCAAGGCAGTAGACGCCGTCAATGTGGCCCGATAGCGCACCCACGAACGGCTTGGCAAACATCCTCTCGACCTTGGTCGCATTCAAGGCGCGGGTGTATTCTCGGGCCTTCTCGAACGGATGGATCTCGGGATCGATGTTCCGATGCACCTTGTAGATATCCTGGCTTCGCTCGCGAGTGTAGTCGGCCTCGCTGCGACTGATGGTTTTGATTTTCTGTCGGCGTTATGTCGATTCCTGGAATGAGCGAGCGGCCATGTGCCGGTCGGCGCCAATAGCGCGGACCCGATACCACCGTTTCCGAGAGAATGTGCGCCGCCCTGCTATTGCGGTTCGTACCATGACTGAGGTTTCTGCCTTGTGGATTGCTCGAATGAGTTTCGCAATTGAAGATCGACGCTGGGGGGGGGGATGCGGCGCAGCTGGAGATTAGATACAAGGGAGAGGTATGGGGGGGAGCTTGATGACAGAGGCCATGGGCAGAGGCCGCTGCATGCAACGCTTCGGGGGGAGGGCGCTTTGGATGGATATGATGCACACAGAGTCGCAAGCGGGGGTGGTGCGGTGAATGGAAGAGGCAGTTCGCAGGAGCGACTGTCTCTTGCCTCGTTGTCGGTACGATACGGCACCGACTGGCCGTCCGCGAAGACACTCACTGGCACAAGCCGGGGGGGGGTGGACGGACGAGGAGCAAGCGCAGGATGGTCCAGGTGTGGTGGCCGGATGGATGTTCTGGCTCAGGATGCGGGGCCAAGGAGCCGACTCTGTTGCAGCCAACAAAAAAAGTCTGTGGAACTCCGACATTAATGAAATTCATTCTGCGAGGTCTCAACTTTTTTTGCCTGGTGCTGTCGCGCGGGTCTGCATCTTTCGACCGCCGGCCAGACGGAAACCCTGCATCGGCACAGCGTCTGCTCGGCAGCATCCCTTCGACAGTTCCGGCAACCGACCGACCCGACAGCCCCGTCTTCTCTGCCCTCTCTGGCGCGCATCAGTTAGCAGCAGAGCCACCAATACCGCCTTGAGCGTTCCCGCAAACACCACCGCCCATAAGCATCCATCATGCCCAAGGCCAAAAAGTCGACCAAAAAGTTCATCAAGAGCCACCTCAAGGACACCATCGAGAGGCGGCGAAAGCACCACAAGGATGTCCAGAAGATCAAGAAGGACAGAAACAAGCGATCGAGGCTGCCTGGAGATGCCAAGTCTGGTAATACTCGCTCGCCGGTGTTGGTCGAGGGCTGTGTGCCCTATCTGTAGTGTCTGTTGTGTCGATCGTGTCGATTATGTCTGTGGATCGAGACCTTGGATTTGACGGACTCTTGAGCCTGCATCGCTCACCCGTGGCGAGCAAGGCACGGACTGTGTCGGCCACTTTCGGCTTCTAAGTGTCTCTCGTATATTTCAATGGCTCGATGGCGACAGAGCGTGGCGCTGACAACCAGAAAGCTAAAGGGTAGGTGTTTCCGCACCGTCGTCGATCATTCATTGCTAAACCAAAGGCGGAATCGTCTTCAGGCGATGCACATATACCCGTCATCGAGAGCCTGGCCGATTCAGCCAGATCCTGCATTGACATGGGGCCGCCTCTCCAACCTATTTCTCTAGCCACGAGGGAGATCCGAATGAGGACGAGTACTTTGACGAGTCCTTGGATATTCTGGGCAACCCTGATGAGAGCGATCCGGTAGGTGCCAAGCACCGAACAAGCTTCAGCAGCTCCTCTTGCGGATGCACTGACACCGAGTCCGTATGTCACCGCGATTGCATATTCAGGAGCTGGATGAGAACCTGTCCGACGACGATGAGGATCTCGATGGCTTTGAGGCCGATGACGCCGGCGAGGATGAGGCTGATCTCGACGCTGCCGAGAATGCCGCAGGCACCTCGGAGATCTCGCAGAACAAAAAGGCCATTCTGAAGGAGATCGAGGAGCACAAGAAGCAGCTCGAGGCTCTGAAGGAGAAGGACCCCGAGTTCTACAAGTATCTGCAGGAGAACGACCAAGGGCTGCTCGACTTTGAGGACGATGGCATGGACGATGACGATGATGAAGACGAAGATGCTGAAGATCTCGCCGGCGATGACGATGACGATCAGGGAATGGACGAAGACGACGCACAAGTCCACGACAACGTCGTTACCAAGACAATGGTCTCGGCCTGGAAGGATTCGCTGATCAAGGTGTGTGCTCGACGAAGCAGCCCTACGCCTTGTCTGGCGCTTGCGCGCTATGAAGCAATCGCCCCCCCCCTATTCTGCTTGGCTGATCCGTGTGTTCATCAACAATATCGCATCTAGACACAATCCCTGCGTGCTGCCAAGCGCATTCTGCTTGCCTTCAAAGCCGCCACCACTCTCGACCAGTCCGAGGACGAGTCGAAGGCATCGCTTGCATATGTTGTTGATGATACCACCGGTGAGTGCAGCGCCGACGAGCATGGTGTCGTGCCCTTTCAAGCTACCAGACGCTGGTCACATTTCGTTGCATGACTGTAGCTGCCCTCTCCCCCAAAAGCCCGTGTGCATTTCTGCGGCGATCAAGCCTCGCCCCGATGTACACGCCGCACTCACCAGTCACGTTTCTTGTCCGCACACAGTCTTCAATTCTGTCGTTCTGACAACCATAAAATACGTACCCTCTGTCTTCAACACCCACCTGGGCGTCACTGCCGAGAAACCGTACGTTCCGTCCCATTGATCTGAATGACGATGCGAATGCTCTCTCGTGCACGCTTCGATGCCAGCCGAACGCTGTATGATCCACAGCCCCATCGCCACATCATCCCCATCGGCTTACGCTCGTTTCTCCTGTTGCTTGCCGATCCGAATCGTATTCGTGCTTGTTGTGCGCCTCTTGCAGCAAAATTCCACAGTCGGGTGGCAAGTGGAAGAAGATCCATCCTCTCGCCAAGTCCTTTATTGGCAATCTCGTGAAGCTGCTCAGTCAAATTACGGACACGACCATGCTTCAGTTCGTCCTGCGCGAGTCCGAGGCGCTGATTCCGTATATTGTCTGCTTCCCGAAGCAAGGCAAAGGGTATTTGAAGGTGAGGCGGCAAAGCCAGCAGCGACAGTGAGAGATCCAGATAGTCGACAGAGTGATCCCCGGTGGTCGAAAATAGCAGCAGCATGAGTTGCACTGTCATCGTCTAATGGAGAAGCGTAGCCCTGCACTCCTCCAACGGGGCCCACCGATTGCCACTAACACTGCTCGTCACGGATGGATCGCGCCAACGTCGTCTTTTTGAATGTGACCTCCCAGGAACTGCTGAAACTGTGGACGTCGGCAAATGAGCAAATCCGCATTGTTTCGTTCCTGTGCATGCGCAAGCTCGCTGTCACCCAGCCCACACCCTATCTTGACTCGTGTCTCAAGGTTGGTATCAGGATGCACCCTGCTCCGAGTGCTGCTCGGGCAGACGCGACCAATATGGAATCCGCGGGGACATTCTCTGGCCAGCTATGCAAGTGCGCGAGTTTTCTCGGCCGCTCACTTGCCTAATTCCGGCATGACGCTGATTCACTGTATTTGGAATTCCCTTCCAGGGCGCCTATCTAGCATACGTCAGCCAGAGCAAGATCACCAACGTCTACACCTGGACCCAGATTGACTTTTCTGCCGGGTGCCTGGTGGAACTCTGTGGGCTGCACCCCGTCTCGACCTACCAGCACGCGTTTGTGTACATCCGGCAGCTCGCAATTCATCTGAGAAATGCCATCACCCAGAAGACCAAGGTGGGTTCAACGTTGCTTTACCGCGCCTTGCAGCTGACTGACGTGTGAATGGCTTGCGGCGATTGCTGGGTGACTGAATGCTGGACGGCTGAGTGACTGGATACTGGACGGCTGGCTGGCTGGCTGGCTGGCTGGCTGTCGAGATTTGGCACTTTCGAGCCATTTGACTGCCTGGGTGTGCCCGATGATCGCTCGACGATCGGACGTCTGTGCCTGGCGATTCCATCTGACAGCATCCCTGTTTAATGGCGTTGTCCTGTACAGGAGTCGTTCAAAATGGTGTACAACTGGCAGTTCCTGCACTCGCTTCGCCTCTGGTCGCGCGTCATGCAGACATATTGCGACCGAAGCTCTGGGGCAGAGCCCTCGAGCGGGATGAGCATGCGCCCCTTGATCTACCCATTCGTTCAAGTGGCCCTGGGTGCCCTCCGGTATGCATCGTGGATGATGATGGACTCGCTTGCAGTGCGCGATGCCCTTGGCCTGTTGTCGAGGTTGATGGGCAGGCAGCTGGTGGTTGTGTGGTCGTGTGCCGGGCTTTAGGAGCCGCATACGCAGCAGCAGTGGCTCTGACAGCGGCATTGCTTCATCTTTACAGCCTGAAGCCCTCGGCCAAGTTCTTCCCCTTCCGATTCCACATCGTGCGACTACTGATCCAGCTGTCCAACAAGACGGGCACGTACATCCCCCTGGCAGCACAGCTGTTCGAGGTCTTTGAGAGCGCCGAGCTGCGAAACAAAGCCAAGCCCTCGACCGCCAAGCCTATGGACTTTATCCACAGCATCAAGGCCCCTAACAACTATTTGGGCACGCGCGTGTACCAGAACAACGTCGTCGACGAGGTGGTGGGGCTGATGTCGGACTACTTTGCCTCGTTTGCGCTGTCGATCTCGTTCCCGGAGTTGGTGGTGCCGGCGATCATCCAGATCAAGCGCTTTGTCAAGAAAAGCAAAAACTTTACGGCCAACAAGCAGCTCCAGCAGCTGGTTGAGAAGGTGGGTGGCTCTTTGCTCCACACGGCCCGGGGTGTGTGATGGATCTGAAAACCTCTCGCGACACAAGCGGTTCTCTTAAGCCAGGCACTCCCCCAATGCACTCCATATGATGTGCTCGTTTTACGACACACCTGAAGCCTCGTGTGCTATCAATCTCACCCTTGCGTTGTGATTTCCATACCCCCCCCGCTCCAGCTCGAGCAAAACAGCCAATTCATCGAATCGCGACGGTCTAACGTCGACTTTAGTCCACGCGACGAGGGCAAATGCATGAACTTCCTCCAGGACCTGGATCCGGCAGTGTCGCCGCTGTACAAGTACAACGCCGCCCGACAAAAGCTGAAGGACCAGCAGAATGCCAAACTCGTCGAGTCGTCAATACGAGAGGACCGCGACACCAAGAAGGAGAAGCGCCGCCTGCTGCGCGAGGAAGGATCCCGACGCAAGGGCAACAAGGGTGCGACCCACAGTGAAGAGGATGGCTTCGACGAGGACCTGGGCAGCGACGACGACGACGACGATGACGACGACGGCCGGGACTTGGTCGAGGAGTTTGACGGATTCAGCGACGAAGACGAGGAGGAAGACGAGCTGGAGGCCGAACTGGAGGGCGAAGACGAGGACGAGGACGAGCTCGAAATGGAGTAGTCGACCGGACAGGCGTCGCGGCCACGGCCCGGGCTCCGTTCCCCACGACAGGAGCCTGCAACGACGAAGGGAGGGGGTCACGCCCTTGCTTTCGCCGTGCACATGGGTCGCCGTGCTCGCAGCTCGGGCGGACTGTTTGGCATGCAATGGACTGGACCTGGTCCATGTGATTGAGTTTGTGGAGGGTCAATTCAATAGACCTCAGTCTCCCTCCTCCACCGTCGCCACACGACGTTGCCCTTGCCAGCGGTGCGTTGCCAGGCTGGTGGCTCGGACGAGCCGCGGTAGTCCGAGGGCCTGTGCCTCCTCTGCGGATGAGCGCTCAGCTATGTGCTGACGATGCGCTGATGCAAGACATGTCCCCGTGCGTGTGCATGGCGGGACGTTAAGGCTGTCAACGTGTGGATTGCATCCCAACGGACATTTATAATCGATGCTCATTGGGCCGAGTTGGTCGACGTGCAGCTGGTCGACGTGCGCCGTATGCGAGTTGTGTCGAGCCGCGGCAGCAGCAAGGATGCAGACCTCGTCCACAAGCGAAATGACATCGCACGTTGCGTGATTGGGATCGCCTCCGACGCATCTTCGTCGGGGCGGGAGTTGCGGACGAGCAGCAGCAAAGAGGGAGATCGGCCCAGACAAAGCGACGCTTGGGCGGTGGTCCTTGATCTGAGCCGCCATCGAAGACGAGCAGCTATCGAAGACGACGGCCTGCGCTGGCCTTGCTTCAGCGACCAACCTGCAACTGCGATTCCACTTTGGCGACCGATTGCTCTTTGGCGACTGATTGCTCTTTGGCGACCGATTTCCCTTTGCCAATCTCCACGCATCCCACACCGGTCTTCGTCGTCTGGCCAACACTCTCCGCCGGGCACACTTTCTTCTGGCCTGCCTGTTTCGGCCCTCCGACAAGGGTGGAGATTCGGACAACGCGACCGCAAGCAGCCAGGCGCACCACTGACAGCGGCGGTGAGTGTTCTGTGCCTCGCGTGTGGTGAAGTGGTGTCGAGGTATTGTTGATGCTGCCGAGGCCGCTGTGGTTGTGTGTGGTCGTTGATGTTGATGTCGATGTTGATGTCGATGTTGATGTCGATGTCGATATCGATGCGCTGTTGCTGCAGCAATGATATCGGTTGCGGATATGGGTCCGTTGTGATATCGATCGTCCCCAGCTGCGGTTTCGATATGGATTGTTGTCGTCACATCGGATCGGCTGTCCACTCGCCTGCTCGCCTTGCCCTCCACTGGAACCCTCGATGCTGGCCTCTGTTGTCGTCCCACCAGCAGGGGGATCATTCGGTGGTCTCCCGTCTGGTCCCGCACTCGGCCGAGCCATTTCACTCAGCGTCGGTCGATTGAATCGATATCCATCCTTGCCTCTCGTCTATTCACCCCGTTTGTCTTTCATCCATTCACCCCATCTGCCTCTCGTTCTTTTGCCCGGTCTGGCACCGAGCTCGTCTTCTCACGCCGTCTTGTTCTCCTTCGTTTGATCTTGAACTACTCGTCCATCGGCCTCGTCTGCACCCCTCCATCGCCCGCATCCATCCTCTCGCCCACATATTCACCCGCCTGTTCCCACTCCCCCTCCTCCTCAATTTACCCTGCCTGTCGGCTGTCACTCGCTGGCCCCAGGCCCCATTTCGAGCCGTTTCCAGTCTTACCTGCTCATTTCCTCCGTGTAAGTTCCCCCGTCTCCCTTGCTCGCTCGCCACCTTCAGAGCTGCTGGTTGGTGCTGTCCCTCTGCCCCCACCCACCTACCCAGCTATCGATGTCCAGCTCGTGCCGGTCGTCCCGTTGGTCGACTGACTTGCCGACCGGTAGATCGGCCCTATTCGTCGCCCTTGCTCGCTGCCGCCCATGGCCCCATGTCCGCACGCTAACACCCAGCCCGACTCTCTGCCCCGCTCGCGGCCATCTATCCCGTCCTCCTGCCCTGGGCCACCCACCCACCCACCCATCCCTGGATGCTTTCCTTCATCGGGGGGCACCTACTTGCACGTCGCTCCTCCAGCCGATAGCGTGTATATAAGCTCGTTCCTCATCGCCCAACCCCCCCCGTCGTTGCATCTATCGCCAAGACCCGCCATGGATCCATCCGCTGCTCCCTCTGTCCAGATCCTGACCGGCAGCGACCCCGATAGCCTCAACTCTACCACCGAGTCCACATCCGAGTCCAAGCCCTCGCGCGGCCCTTCCGTTGCAAAGTCCCGCCTGAGCGACTGCTCGCTCCAGAGCCAGGACCGCTCGTTCGTAAAGTCCATGCCCAGCATCAACGAGGTCCGGTCCGAGTTCCTCAAGATCGAAACCAAGAGCGGCTCCTCTGCCGGCGCTCCCTCCTCGCCCGCAGCCTCGACCATCTCCAAGCTCTCGGGCCACTCCAGCCTCAGCACCCTCAACAAGCAGCACTCGGAGCAGTCCTTCAAGAGCCTGGGCTCGCTGGGCTCGGGGGGCTCCGGCAGCATCTATTCATTCCGTGATCCGACCCAGTACGAGCTGGTCCTCGAAAAGATCCTAAACCGCCCACCGGCCCCCAACCCCGACACGGCCTCTCAGAGTCTTCGTTATCGACGCCTGCTGATGATGGAAAATGGTGAGGATCGTTCTTGGGTCCGGCTGTGATCGGGATTGCTGCTGCTTTGCCTGGCTTTGCCGCATTGCCATGCATTGCCTTGCATTGTATTGCATTGCGTTGTGTTGCGGTCCATCCTCGGCTGTCCACACCTTCGACTTGGCTGCCTGTGGCGCCGACCCCCTCTGGTATCAAATGCGAGCCATGTCCGCCGGTGCCCAACACTCGCGCCTCGCGGACACGTATGTCTGATCCCGACCCCTTGGCATCCATGATCGACGCTCGAATGGCGCGGCCGGATGTTGCATCCCAAGGCTCTATCTCCCGCCTCGGGCCCTGTCTTTGGCACCCAGCCTTGGGTTGTACTCCGCACAGTCCTCCCCATTGTGTGCGCTAACGATGTGCTTCACCGGCAACTTGCAGTGCTTATGCGTCTGCGCGATCCGCAGATCGGCATCGAAATGGGTCTCAAGAAGAAGCTCTTCAAGGAAAAGATTCCGAGCTTCACAGGTTGGCGGTCGCTGCTTGGCGCTGCGTGCCATCTCGCCCTGGGGATCCCTGTCGAATCGATACGCCTATCACTCATGGCCGCATTGATGTATTGACTCGCATCTCCTCCATTCATTGGTGAATCACCGCAGGAGCTGCTTTGGTCGACTGGATCCTGATCAACTGCAATTTCTTGGACCGAGAGGAGGCCTTCAAGCTGGCCCAGACCCTGTTCACTGAGGGATACATTGTATCTATCGAGCTCTCGTCCCGCTTTCGAGACGATAGCAGCTCGTACACTCTACAGTCTCCGCTCATGTTTCCTGCGCCGGACTGGCGACTAGACGATATGGGTGAGCGAGCTAATGATGCAGTCGCGGTCCGAGTCAGCTCATCCCCGAAATGCCGGATTGGCATTCATAGCCCCGTCTGAGATCACATGCCACCATGACAGCGGTTCTTGGATCTTTTCCACTGATATGTGTATCTTGCACCGCCATCCAACGACGCACTGCCTCTGCCAGAGTATGCTGCGTATTTGGTCAGACGAACTCTCCGAAGCACGTCAAAGTTTTACCTCCAGGACTGGGAGATCGATCGGCTCAACAAGCTACAGATTGTCATGGACAAGTACTGGCACCAGGTGGAGGATAAGGTCAAGAACCATCTGGTGTAAGTCTCGCCATGCACTTGTGCCAGAAGGAGAGGGGCGCTGTTGTTACTGTGCATCAATGCTCGCCAGGGGCCTGTGCTTTGGCGTTGGTATGGGTTCAATGCTGTCTTGGGCTCGATCTAAAATCTCGTCGCATTCGCATTTACGCTTGCCGCCCCGTGCATCCTCTGATTCAGGGTGATCAATTCCCTGGGCAAGCACGAGCGCAAGCTGTTTCAGTACCAAGAGTACGCCTTCTGGCGTGCCCAACGTCCCGAGGCAAGTCCCATCTTTGCAGACTCTCTTGGTCTGCCAGTCGATGTGCGCTCGCTCTCCCTCGGCCCCATGCGATACAAATAGGCGTGCATCCATCATTCTGTATCTTCCATATCAACTACTTTGTTCATGTACTGACTTGTCTCGGCCTTCGCTCCCTAGCCCGGTGCGCTTCCAATCAACAGTAGTGAGGAGAAGCAGGAAATGGCTGCACCTGTTCGGATGCACAACTTTGAGGCAAGTCGGCGCTGGATACGATATATCGAGGCACACGGCGGTGCTACTCGCCTGTCGTGATGTTTGCGAGATCGTACTGCCCTCGACAACATCTCATCACACGCCGTACTGCCACATCGCTGACACAGCACGCCTATCCTCCAGGTGCAGCTCAAGGGAAAGGATTACCTTTCCTGGCTTGAAAGGAAAATTGAGCAGTTTCAGATTGCCCTGAGCTCGAGTCGGGTCAAGATTTCGCAGGCAAGCAAGAGGTAGGATCTGGCCAAGGTTACTGAGCCAATGTTGGTATGTGCATCGCGCTGGGAATCTCGCTAATTTCACATCCAAAACGCAGCTTGATCAGTCGCACAGAGCTCTTTCTGCCTCAAGACCCTCTCTTGATGGACGACGACTCGAAGAATTCGCCAAACCCATGGATTTCATCCTCCACGGCCGTGTGGACTGCTGAAAGGTAAGCCAGCCAGCGGTTTAATGGATACACATTGACTTAGCTTGGGCAATAGAGCCAACGAGGCGACTTCTTCCGTTTGCATCCACTCCCGGCTATGCTGCCGATGCAGCAGCTCCAGCTTGATGCTGGCCTTGCGTCGGCCGTGTCCGCATACGTATCCTTGCACCGTGCCTGCCCCATCTGACCAGTCCCCTCAAATCGCATACCCAGAGTCAAGCCCAACGACGCCGAGATCCGCATCTGGTGCTCGTCCTTCCCCGATTTAATCTGCGACCCACTCGGCCAAAAGTTCTTCCGCCAGTTTTTGTGCAAGGAATTCTCATCGGTGAGCGTTGCTCGATCGACGACTGCTGCCGAGCATGCGTCTTTGTGCTCGTCCACATCAAGCTCGGATCCGAGTTCCCAAGCACGTGCCCGGACCCAGCATCGACCTAACATCTGACTACTTGTGCCAATAGGAAAACTTGGATTTTCATCTCAAGTTCCTCGAGCTGCAGGAAGCGCCGACCCGCAAGGAGTTTACGCGGATCGCATACGAGATCTACTGGGACTATATCAGGACCTCGAGCGCGCACGAGCTCAACATCAACGATAAGACGCGGTCGAGTGTCATTGCAATCCTCGACAAGGCCGTCGAGGACGGTGTCTTCACTGGCGTCATCAATCTGAAGAAGCTCGAGACCTATGCAGTGCACGTCGACACCATCGGCGCCGCGCAGTCGAGCACGACCTTCTCCAAGAAGAGCATCGAGACCGAGGGCGGGCCACTCGTCAGCGAGTCCACGCCATCTCCGATCCTGCCAAAGATGTACCAGCTTCCATACAACGTCTTTGACGAGGTGCACGACCACGTCTACAACATGATGATGAAGGACTCGTACCCGCGCTTCTGCAACTCGGACATTGTCAAGGAGTTAATCCAGCAAGCCAGTCTCACCCGGAGTGATCCTGGCCTGAGCAAGATCAAGTCGCAGAGCGAGTTCTGATGTCGCTCAGCCGTTTCCTCCTCCTCCTCCTTTACACCTCATCCCGCGCCATCCACCTGTTGGTGAAGTGCTAGAGGCTATCCGACAGCAGCTCGGACTGCCATGCTGCTACTTTTGGCTGAGTCATCGACCAAACTCCCGCACGACCTCTGCCGACTGGATACGAATCCATGGTGAACATATAAATATCTGCGTCGTAGTCTTGCCTCGCGATCCGGCGCTGATCATGAGCTCCTGCCGTTGTCTGGGACCGGCCACCCTCCATTCACTCACCTACATCCTCTACCCGCAGCTGCGCGCTTTGCAGCTTGTTTGCCTGTGCTCTACTCTTGCATGATTGCTTTACTTTCTCCTACTCTGACGGGTTTGTGTTTTTTTTTTTTGTTACATCTGCTCGGCACGCCGTGACCGTCCCGAATCCCTTTTCCATCTCCCCCCCTTTTCTCCTGTGTTTGACCTATCAGTGTTCTCGATTCTATAACCATGTAATGCATCGTCTTGTTTTGGGTACGCTTCTACACGTCGTTGTTCCTCTGTCCTTGTGTCGGCAGTGCCATGGAGCGAGGGCTGCATCCATAGTCCCCAGGCAGAGTAGGTCCTTGGCCGTCGGTGAATATTGCGAGTAGAACTACTGCTTTTGATCCCGTCGTTTCTGCCCACGGTATGTGAAGCCGGCAAAGGCAATGTTCTTTCGTGCCTCCAGCAGGGCCATCCACTCGGGATTGTTGCTGCTGCTGCCGTCCGGCTGCGTCTCCTGGGCTTTTGGCGCCGTCGGCTTTTCCTCAGGCGCTGCATCTCCAGAGGGATCTGCGTCAAGGTCTGGCCGGTACGGTGCTTGGCTCATTGCCAGAGCAGCCCAGTCGATCCTTTTGAACCACGGGTGGCTCTGGATCGTGAGATTGTTGCGCTTTCGCGACGGCGACTCCGAAAGGCGCTCGTCCTGGTGGCAGATGAGGGAGGCAATGAGGTCTCTGGCCTCGGGCGAGACCGTTGGGGTCTCTGGAAACCGAAGGGCCTTCTTCCAGTTGACGATCTTGTTCTTTGTCTGCTTCCTGGTCTTGGCGCAGAAGGGAGGAAACCCATAGAGCATCTCGAACAAAATGACCCCGAACGACCACCAGTCCGACCTGGAGTCGTACCCCTCCCGCAGAATCACCTCTGGGGCCATATAGTTGAAGGTGCCGACCATCGAGTAGGCCATCTTGGCTCGGTTCTTGTCACGCCACCGCAGCATCTTTTCGTGCGGCGGCAGGTCGAAGGACTCGTCGTCGGTCGGCGAGTCTGGCGGCGAGGCGGGGCTCCGGGGAGACGGCGCTGTTGCCGAGGTGGCACTTTCGGCCTTGAGCACCTGGGTGATGGTCACCTCGCGCTGAGTGTCATAGTAGTCCATGTTGTGGGACCAGTGGAAGTCCGTGGCCAGGCCAAAGTCGGCCAGTTTCATGTGTCCGCTGCGATTCAGCAGAAAGTTGTCTGGCTGGGTGATGTGGATGCATGTGTGGGTGTGGTTGAGTGCGAGTTAGTTGATAGCATGCATGTGTGGGTTGGTGTTGGCATTTTGTATTGGGTGCGTAGTCCACGAGCGGATGCAATGTTCAGGGAAAGCGAGATGCGGATGAGGATACAGCAACCGAGCGTTTGAAGCCTCGTCAAACAGCCACATGTCCATACATCACAACACAGCAGCCCGCATCCATACCTTGATGTCTCTGTGTACAATCCTGCGACACCACAACATGGACGGCGCATTTGGATGTGCATCGGATCGACATCGCATTCAAATGGGATTTGCATTGAATTGCGGTCCAGCGCAATTCGGTCCAGCGCAATTCGGTCCAGCGCAATTCGGTCCAGCGTTTTCGGGAGAGAGGACCATAGTCAGTGCGAACGTCCACCAGTTTTTGATAGCTAGACTCACTCGCCAGACCCCGCAGATGCCGCAACCAGCCGTGCCGTCCATGCTCTTGCCAAGTACTTACCCCAGCGAATGCGCCTCGGATATCGCCATCACCATCTCTGCGGCGTAGAATCTTGCAAAGTCCTCCTCGAACACGTCCAGCTTGATCAGAAGCGACAGCAAGTCACCGCCTTCCATAAACTCAAGCACAAAATACAGGTGGTCGTGGTCCTGGAAGCAGTACACAAGCTTGACGATCCATTTGGAGCCGTCTGCGACCATCGAGAGCAGGTCGCGCTCGGCACGGATATAGCATTCGTGTCCGTTCTTCAGGGCCTCGACCTTGCTGATGATCTTCATGGCATACAACTCGTTGGTGGCCCTCTCTCGCACAAGCTTGACGACGCCAAAGCCTCCCCGCCCGAGCTGGCACACAACATCAAAGTCATTGACCGAGAGCCGTTGGCGCACAAGCCGGATGCGCTCAGTCTCCTCGGCCAGCCACTGCTTGCGTCGGGTCTGCTTCTCGGTCTCGGAGAGGCTCCCGACGCTGTTGAGCATCGCTTCGAGTTGTGCTCGTCGTTTGGCCCGCCCGCGGACGCCGTCCGAGTACAGTTGCTCAAAGTGCTTCTCCAGATATGCCTTGGCGGCGACGGACCGCTCAACTGTCATCAGCGAAACCTTGTGGCCACCGGGTGTGCGCGGCGACATGGTCCCTGAAGATGGCTTTTTGTTTTCGGTGAGCTCGCCGCTCGTCCGCTTGAAGGGAATCTGGATGAGCGAAACGAGGTTTTCGAGGCTCTTCTTGACGTCCTTGAAGGTGTCGAGGGCACCGCTCTCGTCGGACCTGGTGCCGGCAGGACCATCTGCAGGGATCGTCGCCCGCCCCCTCAAGCCTCAGTATCGAAATGGCCATTCATGCTTGCACTGTCGTGGCGAGTGCCGTAATGCACCGGTGTCTTGGCGAGAGCCACAATCCACCAGTATCCACACAGACACCATGATGTGAGTGCGGCCAGAGGCAATTTGGCAACCTCACCTCTCTCACGATTCATTTCTTGCAGTGCCTTTGTTGCTTGGCTCATGTTGTCAGCATGAACCACATGGCTGAGGGGGCAGAAACGATGATACTCAGCCGATGAAGCTTTGATGGCTTTGACGGTGCTCGGCGACTCCCTCTGCATCGTGGCCACGACCATCCCAATTGGGTGATAATGACTCGCGACTGACAAAAGTGGTGGAAAGAGGGTACAAGTGACGAGAAAGCGGGACAGAAGCCACGTCGATGAAGATAGCCACGAATGCGCACTTACTCAAACTTTATCGGCGAGGAGATCATGTCAGGGTTGATTTTGCGTCGGGGACTTTCTGCCCTCTCGATCTGCACAGCTTTGGGGATTTGCTCGGCGCTTTCAGCATGGGCCACATGGCTGTGGGAATCCGACCATCCGAGTTTGCATCGGTGCGGGTGACGATGCCGCAACGGTCCGTTCGATAGGTGTGCGGCCGTGTCGGGGATGGCCCGCCAGGAGGGTGAACGTTAAAGCATGCGATATCACCATCCGCCGAATGCGAATGGCCAGAGTCCAAGCAGCCCGTCCAGATGGCTCAGGCCATCGATAACTCTGCAACGCAGGGGCGCATACTGGACATGCACCGCAACCGGATGCCTACTCAAAGTTGGTCGGCGACGAGATCATGTCGGGGTTGATTCTCCGCTTGGGAGCAGGCTTTAGGGCTGAAACGGAGGGAGGTTCGTGAGTGAGTGAGAGGAGCGAGCGTGAGAACCTGCCGCCGATGGCGATATGTCTTCTGAGACGTGGTGGCCGTTTGGACGACGTGCTCAGAGCCAAATCATGTCCGCACCGGAGAATTCCATGGAGAGAGGGAGAGGCTGGGCGACTGCTGGGAGTTTGGGCTTGAGTGGATACGAGCGCAGGGAAGCCACAAGCCGGAACAGGAACCGACGTGCAGAATGGGGTAGGCGGACGGATCAATCGCGGGCTCGACGCCGCCGACCCAACGATTCAGATCCGGCTGGCCCGCTGACCCCAAGACAGATATCTGCGCATGATGAGACGGGCGGGCATGGCGATGGAGCCTCCGTGAGAGGGCACCCCTTGGAGCAAGCGACCCCATCTCGTGCACTAGTTGGACGGCCATCCCATCACACTGCAGGACGCAAACGAAGGGCTCAGGCGAGCTGGACAAAAGGTCGCATTTCTTCATTCAATCTATCATAAAGAAACGGGGCAGTCACTTTCTGGCATCAAATGTCTGAACCCCGCCGAACATCCGTAGGCCCCAGCGAGCAAGCCATGCAATTGGTTCCCGTCTTGGTTGGCAATCTCTCTGTGATGCATCCACTCGACCCTCTGGACAGCTCCATGGCTTCTCGATATCAAGATACTTGGCCTTCTCGAGTCGCTTGGCTCCCCGGCACTCTGAGCACACTGTATGGCCATGGGATCAGTTGGTAGGTGTGTATTCGGTTCCCAGCAAGCAACATCAGTCCCGACTCAAACAGGATGTCCCATTTCGTTTCGGGAACGTTGCAAACAAGACGCAGATGTGATCTGCGATGCAGGGAACCGATTCAAAGTATCCTGATGCCAAGCAGCCGTCGCCGAGAAAGTCCGGCGTCGTCAGTTGCCGCCGTTCGGATTCGATGTGGGCTCGACGTTTACTGGGCCATGGCCTTCTTCTCGGCCTCGGCCTCAACTGGGTCCCAGACCAAGACCTCGTAGGGGACGATTCCGTGGAGCTGATCGTCATAGAACGCCGCGGAGAAGCCGCCGGTATGGAAGCCAGCCTTGCCCACAACGTCGGCAAACCGATTCTCCTCCACAAATCGGCCCGAAATTCTACTTCGGGCAAGATACAGGAGCTGTCCGTCGGCGTGGTGGCCGACCGGGACGCCGTTGGGTGGGATACCGGGCCGAACCTGCAGCTGCCATGTTGTGCCGGGGATTCTTCTCATCACCTGGAACTGGCCGGTGGCATCGTGGATTCCGTGCCCATCGACGACTTGCAGAAACTGTGAGTGTTTGTTGATCGAACCCGGACACAGCGATCTATCTGCACCGGTGGCTCTGCCACAGTGGACTGGCTTGCCATCCAGATCGGTGCCGGCCACCCACGCGTCCGCAGGTAGCTTGCCCGGGGACGAGTCGACCCAGAACTCGTCAAAGTCGGCCTCCGTGAGCTCGCCGATAGCAAAGGTCTTGCGGAGCTGGATGTGGATGCTGACCGGGTTCGAGCCGGGCCCCGGGTTGTAGGCCGGAAAGACAACGATAAAGTAGCGTCCCGGGCCATACGACAGACGAGCCGTGGTCTCAATGGTGCCGTTGGCGAGCTGCGAGCTGCTCTCTTCGTTGATATCGGCTTGCCAAAAGGTCGAAATGGCGTCTCGGGAGATCCGGAGCAATACCTCGGCATTGCTGTGCACAACGATTGTGTCCACGGCGGCCTTTCCTCCGAAGGCGGCATTCTTGTCGCTGGGCTTTGTGGGCTCCACATCGTAGTAGTAAAGCTTGGGTTCTTGGAACAGATTATCTGTCGATCGCAGACACAGGCGCATTAGAGCATAGCGGTGGCGTCCGTGCGGTATTCCGCGCAGGCCGCAGCGCATAGATCGGCACGGGTGGCTGCATGGACGACTCCATGGGCGACTGCATGGGTGGCTGCATGGACGACTCCATGGGCGACTGCATGGACTGCATGGAAGCGGGGCAACTAGCCTACTTCAAACCACACCCCAGATAGTGGCCACGCCTTTAACCGTCAATATCCCACGCCGCGATTACAACTGCACCCACAGATCCCAGAATCAACGATCAAAAGCGCAGGCGTCTGGTTTTTGCGTCGTACCCTTGAAGCTACTGTGGAAGCTGAGCTGCAGGCAGCTGGACGGTGGAGGATAGCCTGGTGGCATGGGCTGGGGCGCATTCTGTGCGCTGGCGGCAAGCAGGGGCGGCAGCGACAACGGGATGTCGGTCATGACATCGATCTGGTCGTCAAAGTTCGGGGGAAGGTTGACTAGATGATGCGCATCGAGGATGGAAATCTCGGACACAAGGGAAAGCGACGGAGGCTGGCCGCCGTCCAGGGGCTTGAAGATGCAGATCGCCTCGACGATGTAGCGGATCTCGATTCCGCGCACGCTGACGGAGGGCGGCAGCGGAGGCAGGGTCAGCTTGACCTTGGCGCTGAGCTTGTCAGCAGCCCGAATGCCCGGCAGCTCGGTTGTTGAGATCATTCTCTCTAGGCTCCTGAGCTTGGTGCCATGCCCAGCGAGGAGAGTAATGTTCTGGTGGAGCTGAATGAGGACTTGGGTGACGTTGGCGCTGTCGTTTTGCCCCTCGAACAAGATGATGTGGTCCTCGCCGGATCGCCATCGATTTCCAGAGGTCTTGAGGCTGATCGAGAGCCCGAGCTCGGGGATGCCCTGCACAAGATGCAGGGGCTGGAGGTGCGGCGGAGTGAGGACGGCAGGAACGACCTCCAAAGGCCGCTCCCAGCGCTCGAAAGCCGCACCCTCGCCAAACCAGGTGCGGAGGACGTATCGGATCGAGAGCTGCTCGCGGGTGAAGGGGTCGGTGAAGTTGGTGGTGGGCGGCAGGGTGTCGGGGACCGTTGAGATTTCGACCGAGTAGGCGTGGGCTCCTTTGGACCAGACCTTTGAGCGGCACACGCCAGGCACGCCGATGCCAAGAGCAAGCGCAATGCCAAGAAACAGCGTTGACAGAAGGGGACGAGCGGTGCAAGAGCGTCAGCAGCGAGCGCGCTGGGCAGAGCGCACCCTGTTTGATGTGGATGAAGCACTGTCTGCTGCCCGAGCCATGATGCAAGGGCTCCTGCGATAGAAGAGTCTTGAGCGATCCCAACCACAAGAAGGCTCCCGGACAGGCTTACCTTTTTGGGGGCCAGCTCCTGGCGGAGGACCCAGAACTCGTTTTCTTCGTTGATGCTTAGGCTGCGACCGGAGAGGATATGGTCTCTTTCGCCGGGAGTTAGATCCGGATCCTCCAGCTTGGCCACCCAGCTGATCCGGGCAAAGCCGACAATTTCGACAGCGAGAGGCGCGGGAGCGTCGAACTCGGCGCCCATGAACGGGGTGACGAAGCCCTGGAGGCTCTCGCCGAGGGTGAGGCGCTCCGGAAGCTGGTTCTGGAAGTTGCCACGAATAGCAGACATGGCAGGAAGCTTGGCTGCGAGGCAGTGGGGAAAGCAGCGAGGCGAGCGAGATGAAGGATGGGGGAAGACGAAAGGGAGACGAGGGAGATGGCTGTCGGTATCCCACCAGGCGACGAAAGGGATTGCGAGCACAGCCAGCCAATGGACGCGCTGGTGGCAGCGCACACCGCCACGCACGTGGAGGCGGGCCGGGGTTGGCGTGGCTTTGGTACACTGATATCAGGTTAAAAGCCATCGGCACCTGGTCGGTGGAGGCAGTTCGATATCCCAGGTATGTTTGGAAAGCAGAGGGGAATATAAGAGAGCCGGTAGACCTATTATTTCCCTCTCTCGACTGGACTCTCACAGGCTCGATATGGCAGGATGATGAGGCTACATCCAAGGGGCATTGCCCCAGAGGATGTGCTCTGTACGACCCGGAGCAGCAACGCCGGGCACCACCTCGAGTGCTCGTCTGAGTGCTATCGCCTACTGCATGCTAAGGATCCCGAAGGTCAGTCCATACTCCATCATCGGTCGAATGAGCGATATGATTTCCCTCGTCACAGTCTTGGCCAATGGTTCCGAGGTACCGGAACTCCTTGGCGACTGGCAGCTCCTTGCCGTACAGGTGCACCTTGGCATCCTTCTCTGGGTGCTGTTCGGTGAACATCACCTCGCACTTCGGGGGCGAGAACTGGTATCGATTCTCGATGCTGTGGGCCTCGCAGATGTCGAGGAGGCGCTGGGTCTGGTTGGGGCGGCAGATGAGCACCCCATCGTCGGCAAACCACAGCGAGTTGACCTGGACGGCTCGTCCTCGGGTGGTGGTTAGGGTCGTTCCACCGTCTGCCCGGAGTTTCCCAGGGAGGTCGTCGATGAACACGCTGAACATCAGCGGGCTCAGCACCGATCCTTGAATCAGTCCCTTCTGCAGCCAGACCGGATTGGACCGACGACTCTTGCTGACGACTTGGATCTTCACATCGTCGAACATGGCCTCCAGGAGCCTGAGGGTGATCGTGCATGGGGTGCGCTCCTCGATCCTGTCCCAGAGCTTCTCCCATGATATCCAGGAACACCAGGGAGTGTTGTTCTGTGGATCGAATGTTGTGTGGATGGAACCGAGTTTCTGTCACACACGGTGGCACATGTGTCTGGAACATCGGGCAGTGTGACGCCGGTATCCTAAGCCACATCGGTATCATCGACGAGGGCGCTCTGTTTCTCCTCGGCTGTCTCCCTCCTGTCGCCCCCCTGCTTCCGTCTTCCCATCTTGCCTCCATCCGTCCTCCTGTTGCTGTCTCGCTCATGACAAGCCCCACCCACTCCGCCCCTCCACCCACCAAGCCATCTGCTACCCAAGGAGCACCGATGGCATCGCTGGCTGTTCAAGATGACCTCGCTCGCTTCGACCTGCTCACCATCCTGGTCACAAATGAAGCTTTCATTCGCGCTGCGAGTGTACCTTTGCTCGCAAAACTAGTCAGGGTCTCAAAGCAGACTCGGGCCATCCTCAACACCGGCAAAGTAAGGGAACGGTTGCTATTCCCTAAATTGCAAATCACACCCGAATTCCTGTTCGAAGGTGTCGATCCCTCCATCGATCGGTTGAAAGTGGCGCAAGGGCTCCTCTACTATGCACTTCGCCGGAACCAGCACATGCCAACCAACTCATCGATGCTGGAGAAGGAGAATGAGCTCTGGACTGAAGCCTATCGAGACAGACGGTTGTTCAACCGAGTGCAACGATACTGTCAGGTGACCGATCCAGAGTTCCACTTCCCCGAGGAAGCAAAGCCAAATGGATCCAAGCAGCTATCCGTCGAGGATATGACAACCATCGCTGAAAGCCAAAACTTTCAAATTCAGTGGCCGATAGTGGTCGAAGGATGGTACGGTTCCACGATTCGACCAATTCGACGCACAGACGGAAACACCTATGTCTCCAAGCTTATACCATTCGACATCCCAGGGATCGACAGCGCAAGGGGAAGGCAACTGGCACTCGAGAATGTGTCGTTTATGGAAGTGTCCGGATGGCCCAAGACACTCTCCAATATCCAAGAGCTGACCATCATGCATAATTATCAGATGGCTGATCCACTGATCAGCTTGGAAGGCATGCCAAGGGAGCTGCCCAAAGTTACAGCACTCGACCTGGGTGGATGCACTGAACTCAAGTCGCTGAAGGGAATGCCTGAGATGCCAAAGTTGGAGACACTTGGACTCCCCAAGTCCATCGAGTCCCTGGAAGGCATGCCGAGGGAGCTGCCCATGCTTACGAGGCTCAACCTGAGTGGATGCACTGAACTCAAGTCGCTGAAGGGAATGCCTGAGATGACAAAGTTGGAGACACTTGGACTCCCCAAGTCCATCGAGTCCCTGGAAGGCATGCCGAGGGAGCTGCCCATGCTTACATGGCTCGATTTGAGAGAATGCACTGAACTCAAGTCACTCAATGGATTGCCCGAGATGCCAAAGTTGGAGACACTTGGACTCCCCAAGTCCATCGAGTCCCTGGAAGGCATGCCGAGGGAGCTGCCCATGCTTACATGGCTCGATTTGAGAGAATGCACTGAACTCAAGTCACTCAATGGATTGCCTGAGGTGCCAAAGTTGGAGACACTTCAACTCTCTAAGTCCATTTGGTCCCTCGAAGGCATTCCAAGGGAGCCGCCCATGCTTACATGGCTTGATTTGAGAGAATGCACTGAACTCAAGTCACTCAATGGATTGCCCGAGATGCCCAAGTTGATGACACTTCAGCTACCCAAGTCCATTGGGTCCCTGGAAGGCATGCCGAATGTCCTGCCCAAGCTTACAAAGCTCGATCTGAGAGAATGCAGTGAACTCAAGTCGCTGAAGGGAATGCCTGAGATGCCAAAGTTGAAGACACTTGGACTCCCCAAGTCCATCGAGTCCCTGGAAGGCATTCCGGAAGTATTGCCCATGCTTACGAGGCTCAACCTGAGTGGATGCAGTGAACTCAAGTCACTCAAGGGAATGCCTGAGATGCCAAAGTTGGAGACACTTGGACTCCCCAAGTCCATCGAGTCCCTGGAAGGCATGCCGAGGGAGCAGCCCATGCTTACATGGCTCGATCTGAGAGAATGCAGTGAACTCAAGTCGCTGAAGGGAATGCCTGAGATGCCAAAGTTGAAGACACTCCAGCTACCCAAGTTCATCGACTCCCTGGAAGGCATTCCGGAAGTATTACCCATGCTTACGAGGCTCAACCTGAGTGGATGCAGTGAACTCAAGTCACTCAAAGGACTGCCTGAGGTGCCAAAGTTGGAGACACTTCAACTCTCTAAGTCCATTTGGTCCCTCGAAGGCATTCCAAGGGAGCCGCCCATGCTTACATGGCTTGATTTGAGAGAATGCACTGAACTCAAATCACTCAAGGGAATGCCTGAGATGCCAAAATTGGAGACACTTCAACTCCCCAAGTCCATCGAGTCCCTGGAGGACATGCCGAAAGTACTGCCCACCCTTCCAACACTCGACCTGAGTGGATGCACTGAACTCAAGTCGCTGAAGGGAATGCCTGAGATGCCAAAGTTGGTGACACTCCAGCTACCCAAGTCCATCGAGTCTCTGGAAGGCATGCCGAAGGAACTGCCCACCCTTCCAACACTCGACTTGAGTGGATACACTGAACTCAAGTCGCTGAAGGGAATGCCTGAGATGCCAAAGTTGGTGACACTCCAGCTACCCAAGTCCATCGAGTCTCTGGAAGGCATGCCGAAGGAACTGCCCACCCTTCCAACACTCGACCTGAGTGGATGCACTGAACTCAAGTCGCTCAAAGGAATACCTGAGATGTCAAAGCTACAAACTCTAAAACTTCCCGAGTCTGTCGAATCCCTGGCTGGCATGCCGAAGAAACTGCCCTCGCTCACAGCGCTCAGCCTGCCTCGCTTCGGCCGACTAACCTCACTCACTGGACTGTCAAATGTGCCAATGTTGCTCGAGCTCGACATTCCAGCCAGTGTCGAGACTCTCGTGGACGTCCCGGAGGCGCTCCCATCCCTCACCAAGCTCACAATCTCCACCCATAAACCCCACAATATCTTGACCCAACTCCCAAGCATGCCAAACCTCATTCATCTCGTTCTCTCAACTCAATTTGTGCGCCTGGCCGATCTGCGTGTCAGTCAAAGCTCCCTCAAAGTCCTCGACTTGCAAGCTTGCTGCGAATTGGAGTCGCTGGATGGCATTCCCTCGTATCCCAAGCTCGAGATTCTTTACGTCCCTCGATCGATACAGAGAGTCAGCGGACTCGTCGACAGGCTTCCCTCTCTCAAGACACTGCACTTGGATTCAAGTATAAGGCCATCACATCATTCCCTGTTGGATGGCATGTTTGGCCGATATGCTAACTCTTTCAGACTTAGAAAGGTGATTTCCGGGCTTCCGAAGGGATGTCGAGTTGTGTTCAGCGATTCGTTCGAGTACACTTTTGGCCGATTCTCGAGGTAGCTCGGCATGGAGTTGCTCAGTGTCATGTGTTCTTTCTCCTGGTAATATTCTCTATATTTTCCACTCCACTCCACTCCGTTTCGGTTAGTTTTCTTCCAATCCAGCTTTCTATCTCCTACTTCCGACATCTCACTTCGTCCGATCAGATTGTGTGTGATATTCGTACTGGAGGACGGCTCTGGTGTTGCGGTGTGCGACGATCCTGTTTTGCGGCTGCCGAACCCGAAGCGAGTCCAAATCCCTCACAATCTATGACAGTCCACACCGCACTTGGTCATGGACCCAATCGAGAGCAGACACTAGTTGTCGCGGACATCTTGAGGCACTGCCTTCTCCCGCATTATCGCTGGTGGAACTCTGAGTGATGATGACCGTTGCAACTCCAGTCCATCCAGACCTCAATGAGATCGCAACTGAGGAAGGTACAAGTCCGGCATCTCGATCATGTCATTTGGTCAAGTGGATCAACTCGGGCTTCTCTTGCGTATGGACAAGGATGTTTGAGAGTGGTGGCTCCTTCCACACTGGAAACTCGAACTGGTAGCCCATGGTGGCATCGGCCTTGTCGGTGAACTGGTCAAGTCATGGTCACTGGCATTGAGGTGGGCATAGATACGGACGAGATCGCTCTTGATGATGCTCGTGTCCTGGCAGTTGTGGATCGAGAGGAAGTGGTACTTGTCATTCGTGGTCCAAAGAGTCCTCTCTCAGTCGCCAGGCTGCACTCCAGTGGACTGGTCTCATCCTCCCATGATCTGACCACATACGCTGGCGTGCCTCGGCGTCCCTGGGTTGGATCGAGGGTGGACCAGAAAGCTGCAGTGTGGCCATTTTCTTATTTTGGCGGCTGGAGAGGCGAACCGCTGTCCGTTTGGATACAGGCCATTCGTCGCCTTTGCATCCATTTGTCGGTACCATGTGGCGTGGGATGGTCTGGGTCGTGCTCGGTATCTATGGTTGCAGAACGAGTATCGATGATAGTGGTCGAGTTGTCGTTATCGAGTCACTCGATGTTCTCTCGGTCGATCAGCATCAGCGATTGTTCTGAGACAGCACTATTGTATATTGGATGTATTGGATGTATTGGATGTATTGGATGTGTTGACTGTCAAATACAACATCACTCGGCCATTGCCGCTTCATCGGAACCACTTTGCAAGTCCACTCTTTGGTATCATGGTGGGTGGTGGCGGCGCGATTTGCTTGGCTGCTTGCAAGGTTGGTGTTGTGATTTTGTTGTTTGGGAGTGGAACTCGGGAGGGACTCGGGGATCAGGGCCATTGGCCGAGTTTCTTGAGTCTATCGATGGCGCTTTGATGACCTTGTTCGGCGGACTTGCGGAACCAGGTGATGGCGGTGTCGATATTCTCTGGGACGCCGTCTCCATATTGGTAACATTCACCGAGGTAATTTTGTGCGTATCGATTGCCCTGCTCAGCCGACTTGCGATACCACTCGACAACTTTCAGATGGTCCTGCGCGACTCCATGTCCATTGTCGTAGCACCAACCAACCGTCCACTGCCCGTACGAGTTGTCTTGGTCGGCCGACTTGTTGTACCACTCGAATGCCTGCTTGTTGTCTTTCGATACACCACGACCATTCAAGTAGCAATCACCGATCCAGTACTGGCTGTCGCTGTGGCCTTCGTTGGCGAGTTGCTCAAAGATACTGGCTGCCTCCATCCGGTCTTGCATGGTTCCGAATCCATGGAACAGACACACGGCCATCAAGTGCCTGCAAAGCCAGTCTCTGTCGGATCCCATCTGGCAGAGATTGAAGAATTTGCAGGCTACGGGTGAGTCGGATGAGGTTGAACTCCAATATGCCAGACACTCGTCCTCTCCGAGCTTGAACACATCCGACTTGTTCTCTCGGATGATCTTGACACCATTCTGCTTGTCTTGAACGGTGCCCCGGCCGAGGTAGTGCATCCATCCGACCATGTGGGTGGCGATGGGTTTGATGATCGGATCGGTAGACTTGGTGCTGACCTCCTGCCAGTGACCAAGAGCAGCGACATCGCTCTGTTCGACACCATGGCCGATGAACGAGAGCCAGCCACGGAGGAACACGATATGGAGTCGACCGTCTTCGCTGCCCTTGTCGGGAGCCTTTGAGTACCACTCGATGGCTGTGTCGTAGTCTTGTTCGACACCTTCGCCACTTTCGTAGCATCGACCAAGGGCAATATGAGCCTGAGGGATTCCGCGTTTTGCAAGACTGCGATACAACTCGACAGCCTTGGCTTGATCTTGGTCGACTCCAAGTCCGTTGAGATAACATCCGGCTAGGTGGAACTGAGCCATTGCGTGGTTTGTGTGGGCTGCGTCATTCAGGTATTGGATGAGCTGCTGACGCTTGTTATTCTCTTCAGGTTCATCGTCATCGACTGCTTCCCTGTCGAGATCGACTTGGAGGATCCGTGCCAGGAAATACGAGGCCGATGCATTGCCCTGGTATGCTTGATCTTCCAGCCAGGATCGGTCGGCTGAGCCTGGATTCGCGCAATGCAGCGAGAGGGCGATTTGGTCGCCGGGGGTGAGGCCGATCCGTAGCCGCCCATCTGGATGACACAGTCCTGCATTCTGACACCATTTGTGGAAGCGAACCACCTTGGAGCTTAGGACAGGACGGGCTCGCTTACACACTCGGAGGAGGATCTTGATGGTGTTGTGGTCGAGGGCAAGCTGGAAGGTGTCGTTGCAGCAGATGATGGTGAAGATATCTGGGTTGTGTTCGAGCGAGAGCTGGGTGATATCGGGCATCGACGAGGTTGTGCTGGCTTCAGCTTGGCTTTGGTGGGTGGTTGATGATGTCGTGGTTGAACCAGGCTCATTCATGCTGGCCATGTTGACGGAGGCAGGAGGGAGGCAAGTGGGTGACGGAGATGGACAGGAGACAGAGAGGCAGGTTGTGGCGAAGCAAGCCAAACCCTGGCAGGCCAAACCCTGGCCATCGAACACACACACACAAGCCTGGCTCGATCCGATGGTTTGCTGGCTGGAGTCGCTGTTGCCACATATACTGCCACAACACTGCCACAGTCATTGAACATGGAATCGATCATGGAATCGAGCCCGCATTCTCGCCGTCCGAGCCAGATCATTGGCATCTCATTCCTTTGCATCTCGGAGCAATCCAAAACCAATGCCAGCTTGATCGTCGGATGAGAGAATCCAAAGATCTTGTCCAGGATCAACTGTGCGAAGCCCCACATCAAAGCTTCGTGGTACTGTGGTGGCAATGACAGTGGAAGGGACACTCAATGTGTTTGAAAGTGCAGAACAAAGTGAGGCGGCCTTTACATGCACAGCACAGAGTCGATCAGACTCAGTCGTGAACTGCGGAAGTGGACTGAGACTGGGCGCAAATGTGATGGAGCATGTTCTTGGGGATTTTAAAGCCTTGGCTTTCAGAAAGTAGGTCACATCAGATGATCAAGTGGAATGGAAAGCGCAGATGCCAGCCGTGCTGTAAAGTGAAAGCAGGTGCAAGCATGTCAAGTTGCCGATGGACAGAGCCAATGAGAGATAGGGGTCGATGAAAGAAGAGGCAGCGATGTCATATGTGGCCATGAATTCCAGTCATCAAGTCGGACAGTATTGTCTCGGTCCCTCTGGATATCTCAAGACCGATGTTTGCTCGCCCATTAATGGTGATTTCATATGACATCGGATGTGCAACATCTCTGGTGTGCCGATAATTGCTCTCGCCACACAGCACGCCAAGTGGCCAATCATCGTCAGGACCATTCGCAAGTCTCGTATCAGATATCGGGAACACAGACGGCACCAAAGCCTCAAGTATCTCGACTCCTCAAGGGGATTGATATGCAGTTGGAGCTCTGTCAATCCGACAACCCAACTAAAGGCAACTCACTGACGCTGTGACATTCATCACAAGTTCACTCGAATGCCTCAAACACCATTCATTTGCCACAGTCAGTCTTCCTCATCCAGCTCGAGGCAATGATGCTCACTCTTTGATTTCATTGGATCTGATTTATTTACGGGTGGTGATCAAGACAATCCTCCTCAAGATACAGTCACAACAGTAACATCAGGCTATCCTCGATGAAAGGATATACACACATTGATCGAGAGAGTCTCCGCATCTTCATTCTCCTCGGTTGACTTGATGCTGCAGCCTTCCTTCATTTAACGTCCCACCTCGAGGATATTGAGTAGTATAGTGATCACCACAAACGAGGCTGATTCACTTCGATTCTTCTCAATTCCATCTGAGTTCGAATATTGCTTACTTCTCAAGATATATATTCAGCTCCAAGATCACATACACACCAGGGAATGTGCATCGTTTCCACTGCACTGATGTGGACTCCTGAGTTCACCTGAGAGAGGCAGTTATGACATGGTAAGTTCTCTCGTGACTGATCGCCCGGCCAACCCATCCCCACACAAGATCTTGAAGAAACAAGCGGAAACACATCCGCCACGTCTGCGTGGTTGTAGCTGTGGCTTTGGTTGTAGATGTAGGAATGACATATGTGTTTGTATCCCAAAGCCCGTGCATGTTCTGCGAGCACAGCCCACCCCCCTCCCTCACACCGCAAAAGACATGCTCAGTTGCGGCTGAACATGAAGTCATCCAGTCGGCCCAGGCCCCTGAGCTTGGGCGGGCTCTCTTGAACCGCCCGTCCCTTGCCCTTGTCTCGCTTGACGACAGGCGCATCATCGTCGGCCTCGTCGTCGTCGCTGTCTTGAATAAGGCGTCTTCTTGAGCTGACAGTGTTCGTTGTCTGCTCCGAAGCAGGCTGTGAGAACCGTATCCATCAGCAGGGTCAGCCGTGAGCGACTGTGCACCAAGCCATTGAGGATGTTCATTCCAACTGCAACTTGCTGCGGGTGAGCGACACAGTCGCTAGGCTTACATCGGCCGCCTCGATCGCGTCTTCCTCAATGTCATCTTGAACCCTTGGACGCTTGTCAAGTGGCTCATCCTGTCGCCATGGTGGACGTGTTCGACATCAACACGGGTGGTTTGACAGGCTCGCGTCGTCTGGATTATGTATCGAATGGAGAGCTCCTTCGGCAACGCCTTACCTCCGTCTTGCGAAAGACGCCCGATATACTGGGCTGACTGCGCTTCTTTTTGGCCGAGTCTGTCGCAGATGAGGAAGTGGTGCGGTGTGGTCAGCAAGTGCTCTTGGAGAGTTTAGTAAACACATGTAGAAGCACATGTCGACACTAGCACTCTCCATAGGATTCAGTCGGTTCTGCACCGGCATGAACCAAGGGGTTCTACTTTCGCCGGCCCAAAACTTACGCTCATTCTCCCTGCGGGCAGCAGCCGGTTTGGGAGACTTGCCCTGGAAACTCTCCCAGATTGCTGGCACAGGTCCCTTGACAGCGGTCTTGGCGACCGGAGAGGAAGCCTGCAGCCGACTGGACAGGGCAAATGGGTTCTTTGATGACTTTGGGGTCGGCGACTGCAGAAGGGCATTGCTGCTTCCTGCGATTCGATCAAAGGACGAGTGTCTCTTGAATCAGGAAAGGCTTGCACGGTAACCGCGACCTGCTACGGGCAGCGAATGACGATCCACAGCGGCCGAAATCTGAGGCGATACGCTTTGAAACATCCACCAGCCGACAAACCTGAAGATGGGCGCGAAGCCGGGGGCGCGAAGCCGTCGTCCTGGTCGAGACCATAGTTCTCCTTCTCGACGTCCATCACGGTATCATCGTTATCATTGTAGTCGTCTGCGTCTACGTCTGCGTTTGCGTCTGCGTCTGCGTGCTGAGGCGGCGGAGCAATTCGATTCACAGACGACGTCGGTGTTTGACTTTCGCGTTGCTTGCGTGCACGGATGGCATCGATGTTTTGACGAAGTAGATTCGGACTTTTGGGTGTAGACGGGGGCTGTTTCTCGGCCGGTCGGATGATATGGGCGGCGCTTTCCGGCGAGCTCACCGGTGCGCGGCTCGGGAATCCGGGCGCCGACTGTTGTTCGCGCCGGAGTGTTTCTCTGTATTTTCTCTGGCGATAAAATGGACATATGGCACCGTGAGTTTTGGGATGCACTGACGAGCCTTGGAGAAACGTCCGTGGGATCACTGCCACCGCTGCCATTAACCGAGTCAAAGTGAGACGGATTGATGCTTCACTGCTTACCTCCTTGAGCACAGCGACTCGCTCAGAAAGCGAGTGGAGCTGATGATAGAGCGCCAGCTGTGCCGCAGCATCATACGCTTTGAGCAAATGAAGTCGCGAGCACAACTCAAGGAACTTGTTGGTGTTGGGTGGATCGGTCGTGCATGCTCCCTGGTGCAATCGGAAAGCGCATGGAGCATGGGTAATCAAGTCCACATCCGATCCTCCGCTATCGCAAGCGTTGTCTCCAAGATCCAGAGCAAGGAAGGCAAGGTCTATCGAAAGCGTCGAATGAAATAGACACGAACACCAGCGACAACAGTATGGCAACCAAGAAAGGGAGAAGCCACTTCACATCAAGGGTGTGGTGTTTCGCTGACCGCCAGGCGAAGCATCACAACCTCATCGGACACCCTCCTGCGTCTCCGAGATATACCTGCATGAGCTGAATCAGAATCTTGTCCATGTCGGCTTCTTTCCGAACGAGCTCGGCCTCTTTCTCTTCAAAAGTCCCGCTCTCGTGACTCTCGCCCTCGGCATGGCTGGAGAGCAGCGAGGACCGAAACAGCCTCTCCTCCAGTTGTGTGTCGCTCGAATCAGCAGCAATGAACTGTATCTGGATCGGGAACTCAGTCAGGGTTGGTCGAGGGAAGCTGGGGTGCTTCTCCTTACCCTGCCAAAATCAACATATGTGGACAACGACGGGTTAGCTCGCGCACAGGTTGGGAAGTTGCTTGGAGATGCAGCAAATCCTTGCTGAAGCGATACTACCTTCAGAACAACACAGATGAACTGCGTCTCCGTGACACCGACTGCAAAGTAGGACTCTGCGCGGCCGTTCATGACCGCCTGTGCATCAAAGACAGGCACCCAGGCACGACTTTTGTGGCGCTCCAAGATTCGCATAATGCCTTGCGAGTCGTAAGTCGCTGGCATCTAACACAGGATATGTTGCGAATTGAACGTGAGTCAACAATCGCTCGCAGCCATCTGCGCTCCATGCCCTCCCCCATCGGCAATAGTGCCCAGTTGCATCGCGGGAGAATACAAAGTGTGCTGCGGTACACATACACCCAGCTCTGAGAAGCCAATCCACTGCAGTGTCGCATTGGGGCTAATGGGCAGCTCGCCAATCTGGAGGATTCTGAGACTTGAGGCGCTGATGATGAGATAGCCGAGATTTTGCTCGCCTGCGAATGGATATGATAGTGAATGGCCATGTGCTGCCAGTGCATCTCGGGCACTGCGGCATCAAACCCACGCCGTGGCATCGACTCGAACCAACAGCTGGTTTGCTCGCCATATGAACTCTGAAGGCAGGCTGATCCCTTGCTTGCGGACGGCGATACTTACCGTGGTAGGTCCCGCCCTCATGACGGGCAATGACGAGGACATTTCCCCAGCCACTCATGGCGACAACAGGACTCTTGAGTGACTGGATGCCCAATTGCAGCCCCGAGTGAGAAAAGTGGCGCAGATAGTACTGATCCGTGAACACCGTGATGGAGCTTGCTGTCATGGCCAAGGCTGGGGCAAGGGAGTTTCGGAGGGGCGATGAGACGTGGTCCAGATTGGCAGGAAGCGGAAGGATGGAGATGGGACAGCAAAGTCGAGCTCAGGTCGCTCGGAGCCCAGCTTGGGCATACAAGTATACCTTTGATGTTTTCCTTTGCAGGGAGCTCGATTTTCCAGTCCAGAGAGTTGCCGCCCCAGGTGTCATACGACTTGAACATCAGTGTGCTACGGTAGCTGCCGCTTGTTTCAGAAGCGAAAGCCGCACCAGAGGTACCTGTGTGTCCGAGTGGAGGGGTATTCAGCCAAATGAGCGATCACTCTGAAAACGAGACTGGCGGACCGATGCGTTGGGCTCAGCGAGTCAACGGGGCGCAAGAGCAGAACACCTCGGTCGGTCAAGTGGACATACCCAGCACGGCCATGCTAAAATTGCGATCGTCGGAAAAGTGGACAGAGCGCCGGCTCTTGTCGAAAAACTCCAGATGGATCATTTGATCCATCTTCTTGTCCTGGATCGCATAGATGACACCGGAGAGATCGACCGCTGTGATAAATCGGGGAGACATGGCCAATTTGTGAGAATGTGCAGCTCGCCTCGGCTTCGAACCAAGAGGACACCACCGAGGAAGAGAGCGATGGCTCACCGAGATATTTGCGATCGCCCTTGAGCGTGGTTGAGCTCGGCTGGAAGGGAGCTTGGATTTCCAAGCCATATTGCCGTCGTCCGCCGACCTGTCGGTCGATCCTAGTTCGCTCGCTGTCGTAGTAGCGGCGCATGTCTTTGGAAGTCTCGAGCCGATGCACGTATCCAGCGCCATCGTCATCAACGACAAAATTATCGTCATCCTCCGCCGGCTCGTCTTCGTCAAAGTCGCTACCAAAGAGTTGCTCCTCCAGTTCAATATCGCCTTGATCGCGGATGCCTGCAAGGGTGATTTGGTGGTATTGCCGATAAAAGACGGTGGATGGGGCGCAAAACGCCATCGCGTGAGAACCACTGCCGATCAAATCCTCGAACGGATCGCGGGCAGCCATATGCGGGGCCAAAGTCAGACTGCCGATCAAACCAATCGACTGATTTCGAGTGGATGGTCACCTTTATCGGCAACGAGGTCACTGCGATCGCTCGGGTCGAGGAAGTCCTCGCTCTGGGTCGAAACCCCAGCGCCATTTGCAAAGGGCTCAGGGTGACCAGCTGGAATCACCTCTGACCACAAATGTACATATCCGTTGCATGTGGCCTGCGAAAGAAGGTGCATGGTCGAGGAGAGTTGTAATGCCGATTCTGCACAATAGTCGCCATGGTCGCAGCTACGATTGCGTATGCAGTCGTGGTTACCATGCCCAGTGCGTTTTGTGAGGGATTCCAAGCAAGGCTGGTCACTCGATGCTTGAGCGTTTGGCTGAAAGATGTCCAGGACACAAATGTCAGTGATATGGAACAAAAATCTTTGGAAAGTCATCAGAGGAGGTAGTCGAAAGATATGGAGAGTGCGCATGGACGAGTGCGCATGGACGAGTGCGCATGGACGTCACATCCGACTTGAGATGCTTACGAGCTGACAAGCTGCGGTTTTGATTGTTTGGCTCGCCAAACGCCGACATAGCCGTCCAAAGCGGCCGCTGCAAGATATTCGCCGCTTCCGGACCAAGCAACGACGATGAAAGGCTGGGTGATAGACGCATCGAGTCAGAGCAGCATCACCACAGCTGGATCAGACAGGCATGCTGAGAATTAATGTGCGCCGCAGAGCAGCGGTGTGTGCTCGTGGCCGTACCAGGTCGTGGTTGTGCGAGATGGGTGTGGCCTGGATCCACGAATCCGTCTGGAACATGAGAATATCTGGCAGAATGTGTGATTTCCATGAGTCAGCAAAGACGAAGGCTGTGAGACAGAGGTTGCTCGGCAACGCATGCTCGTGCGTACCTCCGTCCTTTCCTGGGATGGCAAAGAGAGATCCGTCTGGCTTCCAAGCTATCCGCGAGAGAATATGCGATCTAAACACAAGGTTTGGTAGCGTTAGCGGTGTCGAGGTTGGTGCAATGGCCGAGTCAGTCAGCGCCGGATTGCAAAGACTGTGGGTCGGTGGACGGTAGTCAGGAAAGTGCCATCTTACTCGGCCGGGGTCTTGGCGATGGCGTTTGCGATGGTTCGCATGCATGATCCATCAGACACGTTCCAGATTCGGATAGATCCGTCGGAACTTGAGGAGGCCTAGAGACAGCGGATGCCCGGGATTGATTATCCAGGTTTCGCTCGCATCTACTGTGGTGGCGGCGCGTCGAGATCACGGAACAAGATCCGATGGAAATGCCTACCAATACAGTGCCTTTCGGATTGAATGCGACAGATCGAACGATGGGCGCATGTCCGCTCAAGACTTTCACGTCTTTGATGTTGTCGGTGTTGATCAAACGGATCTCTCCGTCCCTGGCAAGTAGCAGGTCAGCGTTTGATGAGCGGAGATGACCGCATCATTTGTGCGGATGCGATCGTGGCAGTGCTCAGGATCGAGTGTGCTGGGCCCAGGGAGAAACCTACTCGGCACCCACAGCCATCAAGTCTCCGCTTGGATGGAAATCCAGACAGGTGACGGCCAGAGCAAGTCTTGCGAGCGGCCGCACGAGCTTCAATGTGGCGGCATTGTAGAGGCCGACGTGACCATCTGTCATGCCAACGACAATCTTGCCGTGCTGTTTATCGACAACGCAGCGGCGAGTTGAGAATTGAGAGTTGAGTTGAGTTGAGCGAGTTGAGGCATGAGGGTTGAGTTGGACCGCAGCAACACATATGATCAGACCACGGCAGGGAACCACACCCACCCAGTGCGCATCAGCAAACAGTTCCGTGAGTGGAGGTGCTGGACATCCAATGGACGCGGCCGCAGTGAGGCGGCATGGTCAATTGGAGCGAGTCTCGGGCTTTAGATCAGAGTTTCGGAAGGATATTTACATGCACGGCCAGACATGATGGCGAGGATTTGTCAAAGGTGACTTTGAGTGGGTCGCCGCCCAAGTCGGGATAGCTGTGGATAGCCACACGCCCCTGACCACAGCTGATCAGGCGACTGCAGCAGGCGGTGGCAGCGGGTCCAGGCGGAGCAGAAAGCAAGGCCGTTGAGACAGCGGTTAGACAAACATCACCAGCCGAGCCAAGAGTGGCTGGAGAGTAGGGGACCGCTGCAAGTTGATGTTTGGACATCGGAGACGCCGCGGCGGGAGCAATATTGATGATGGCGACAACGGAGGCGACGGTGGCGGCGACGGCGATGGCGACGGCGATGGCGGGGCTTACTCTCCAGTGCGGTTGAAGACGGCTTCGGTGTGGCCAGGTCCGTGCAGAGGAAAGGCCTCGGGAGCATCCATCTGTTTGGTGTCTGCGAGAGCGGCTGCGGGAACAGTTGTCGAGTCGCAGAGGGACTGTGGGGATTGGCTGTCGAGTTTCAGAGAGACTGCCGACTGCGTCTGCCGAGTGTTGAAGCGCTCTGTCCGCTTGCGCCTGCTTCCGTGTGCCTCTGCCTCGTCCGCCTGGCTCTGCCTGGGCTGGAGCGATGTTGACGATCGGTTGACACCGCAAGCAAAACCCAGCCCGCGATCAACAAACACCGGGCTGGGTTTGCTTGCGGCACTGCCATTCCGGGACAAATGGATCACGTGCGCGCTGCTGTTGGCCCAACAATCTCCGCCCGCCCGACGCGCCGCCGACGGATAAAACCTGCCCGTGGGTACGGCATTCCTCCCACCCCAACCCGGCTCTGCTTTCGCTCAAGACACCTGCTTGCCTCTGCGGCTTGCATCTCGACCCAGCTGCAGCGCTGCAGCCTCGGGCCTCCCACGATGTCGTCTGATAGTGAGTATCCAGCTCGGCCGCATCTCATGCACTCTCAGGACATGCTTGGCTGCTCAGAACCTGTCGCATCCAGCAAGGAAACTGTGCATTGCGGTTGGGTCTAACCAACGGCGTCTGTGCCGCTCCGTGCAGGTGATTAGCAGTCCTCGTTCCTCGTGCTGCCTGCCATTTCACCATACCCCTGTCCTTGGCTCCGGCCATGTATACCCATGAATGCGGCGCACACCGTTCCCGTCCAACAGAAAACCTCGCAAAAAACCATCAATGCGCGCTCAATATCTCAACATGTGCACTCCCACTCTATGGCCATCTTTTTATTCTCGAATTCAATGCCACTGACCCACTTGGGCAGTTATCTTCTTTCTCGGCCATTTGGCCCGATTCCTTTGTCCTCGCCGCAACGCCCGACAAGTGGCCCGTGTTCTGCTTGCCGTTTCTTCCTCAAGCCCTCCTCCGTCGCCGCAGGCCCGTGCTTCTGCCGACAGTATACCCCTCGACCGACAACGCCCGTGCCGTTGCCGACTACGATCCCCCCAGTCCGAGCCCGTGCTCTCGGAATCCTGTCCATCCTTGCATCGAGCCCGTGCTCTCGATCGCCGCCATCGCCGCCATCGCCGCCCAAGGGCCTGTGCTTCCTTGGGCATCCGAGCTTCCCGTCCCTGACAGGACCCGTGCTTCCTGCTGGCCTCCGCTTTTGATGCGAGCCTGTGTTCTCGCACCGTTTCCTCTCGAAGGCCCGTGATTCTTCCTGGCTGGAAACTATCCAATGCCATGCGAGCCCGTGCTCTCGCCGATAGCCAATCTCTGCCGCCGCTCACTGTGGGCCCGTGTTCCCACTCTTCAAGTACCCGATTGCCTCATTCGCTGGGCCCGTGTTCCAGCTTGCATTTCCGTCATCGTCGACTGCCCGGCGGGCCCGTGCTTCCGCCTAGTTCCAATCCCCAGTGGGCCCGTGTTTCCACTGCCTGTGCTGACTCTCCCATGGTGGGCCCGTGTTTCCACCTGGCTCTGCTTGCGCTCTCTCCGTGGACCCGTGCCTCCACACATCGCCTCAATGCTCGGCAACGGCCCGTGCTCCGTGCCTCTATCGAATCCTCTGCGGGTGCATCCCAGCGGCCCGTGCTCCGTTGACGGCAGCATCCAGTCACCTGTGATGGCTTCCCCAAGTTGCTACTCGTCCGTGTACAACCTGTGCGATATCCTCCGTCCGTCCGCTACCGGTGTTGCACCGAGGGTACAGATCCACCTTGCGACCTGTATCTTGTATCTACCTCAGCCCTTTTTTAAACTAGATATACAGTACCCCTTATCCCAAACATTGCCCTTGGCATCTCCCAATCTTAGCCAACGCGAACCTGTCTTAACGACCCAAAAGAAACTTGACATTTTAATAAACCAACATTATTCAATCCCAAACGCATGTGTCCCACTCCCGCAGCGCAGCACCCCTGCCAGTCGATCGTCGTCTCAGGTGTCCGTCGCCTCAGGGATCGACCGAGTGTATTCAACACCATGCTTCCCAAACCAGCGAAATCAAAGAGATTGTCAACCAGGACAGGAAACAATCGCGCGGCTTGCTCACTGGAGCCTAGAGTAGGTCAGCGGGTTTCAAGCATCTGAAGCCAGAAAGGCACTGCTCCGTTTCGTTCTGAATAAATCTTATTATGGGGTATTGCGGTTCACACGCTGGAGTGTGTCAGAGTATTTATAGGGTCGCTAGCGGGAGGGAGGCGAGAGCTGCTCGCATGGCCATTGTCTTGAGTCGATATTCAGAATGAGATGATTTGATACAGTGTTCCCTGCCCCCCCTCGCACCTTGCTTCCACAATGTCCGTGCGATCAGGCTGCGGGTGTGGGATCCTCCTCAGCAGGCTCCACAGCGACGACCTCTTCGGCGTGGCCTGCAAAGTCGTGATGGTTGCAGAACAGAGTGGCAATGAAGGTTGCCGTCATCAGCGAGCCAATTAGCAGCATCGTAAAGTTGGCCATGGTAGATACCGTTGCGGAGTAAATGAACCCGAACAAGAAGGACGCCAAGATCGACGCCAGCTGCTGCAGGACCGACAGAGACGAAAAGAGACGGCCCTGTTCCTCGACCGACACCAGCCGCGAGAAGATGCTTCGGGTGACGGGACGAGCGACGATGACGATAGTGTCGAGGATAGCCACTGGAGCCACACAAGCGCATATCCGAGAAGGGAGTGCCGATGCAGAGCCATCAAGGTGAGCGTAAGGTGTTAGAACTGTCGACATAGTCACAGACCCCATGTACATAGACAGGGCAATCGCCATGGATAGACATATGCGGCCAAAGCACCAACACCGCGGGATCTCGCGGACAGAAACTCACCGAAAATCATCTGCCATCCCTCGGTAATAAACGCAGTCACGACGATCGAGGCGGCATAGCCCAGGTATGCCGACCGGATGAAAATGAGCTCCCAGAAGGCTCTGTCCTCGGCCTTGGGCTGGCGCGAAACCATCCGGAACAGGACCGGCAGGACCAGTGTCTGCATCAACAACTTGGAGGCAGAGACCATGGAGATAAACGAGGCCAGCGATAGTTCATCCCATCCAAACTTCAGGTTGGTGTAGAGCACCACAATGGACATGAAGCCGGTGGCGCTCATGGACAAGAGAAACGTGCACAGCAACATGATGCGCAGGGAGGTGGTGTGGCTGTTGGACGTCAGGAAGCGCGAGATGTAGCCGATGCTGTCGCTGTAGTTCTTGATGACGCCGGTAATGGTCTGCTTCAGGTTGGGTTTGGTGGTGGTGATCGAGCCTCCAGCGGGCCCGTTGGCGGTCGGGCCGCTGGGTTTCTTCAGGGATTCGGGAAGGATAAAAACGACATAGAGAAAGACCACCGCCTCCAGGACGACCGCGACATAGTAGACCACCAGTAGATTGATCTGTCGAAAAGACACCGCGTCAGTCGAGCTCAGAGGCAGTCAGCTGTCGGCTGCATCGGACCAGGAGAGCAGGGTGGCGGGTAGATCGTGGCTGGAGTGAATCTTGAATGCGCCTCTGCGTCTCCCCCCCCCATCGACTTGGCTGCACTTTTGGAGTGCATCCACAGGCTTCTTCTTGTCACCTCGCCATCTTGGATCACCGCACCAACACCAGCCTTGGCTTTCCCACACGGCCTCACCTTGGATAGGGCACCGGCCGCCAGAGGGCCCAGCATCAGCGCCACCGACATGCACGACTCGAGCATGGTGAAGTACGTGGCCCTGGACTTCTTATCGGTGATGTCGGCGATGTAGGCGGAGCCGAAGATCTCGTTCGCGGCAACGCCACCCAACAAGGCTTGCGCCGAGAGGATGAGGATCAGCACCCACATATCTCCGCCAAAATGAGCCAGGGCGATGATACCGACAGAGTAGACTATGCCCTGCAAGACAAGGCGAGGGAGAGGATGACGGCGGGTCAGAACGATGCTCGCACGAAGGGGAGAGGGGATAGGTGGCCAGAGTTCTTGGGCCGGCAGACAGCGGGTTGAAAGATGGACTTACTCCGACAGCGTTCATTCCCATGATGATATTGCGGCCGTACCGATCCGAGATAAAGCCTACGATGGGAGTGACCACGAGCTCGGTGATGCCGGTGACGACGCTGAGGGTGGAGAGCCAGAAGGCAGAGAGGGCCTATGCGACCAAGCAAGATGTGCTGAATGAGCATGTCGCCAGAGCCAGCAGACAGGCCCGACCCAGCAGACAGGCCCGACCCAGCAGACCCTGCCTCTACCTGTCCCACAGGGCAAGGCTATTCCAAGCCCCGGTGTCCCACGCGAGCCCTGCCTTTCTCAGCCACACTAAAGCATCGACATCCATACCTGCACGGCGGGATCGTTGCAGTTCTGGTCGTCGGGCTCGGTCGAGAAGATGGTGCTGGAATCGGGACTCTTGATTCGGTAGCAGGCGACCATGAGGACCAGGTAGAGCAGCGAGATCTGGATCATGATCTGGGCGATGTAGTGGACAAACATGGGTGGCAGCAGCAGTACTATCCCGGGTTTGCGCCACGAGAGCCAGCCTGAGGTGGATGAGGCGGAGGCGCCATCGGGCCCAGCAGGGGGCTGTTGCTGCAGCTGGTCAGCCGGGTGGGCGAGGAGAGGAGTAGACTCGCTTGAAGATTGGGATGATCCAGGCATGGCGAGGGTGACGGGAGGGAGAGGCTTGAGGTTGAGGGAGACCAGACGGAGGTGCCGGTTGAGGATGGGCTAGGCTTTTGGGAGCGCGGGGCTGGAATGCGGCTGGGGTGGGGGGAGGAAGGCCCAAACGACGGGAATGGACTCGCAATCCGGACAGGAAGCAAGATTGCAGGGGGTGTTTGTGGGACGGCTATGGGCCGAGGAAGGGGCGTCGCAGGCAGGGGAATGGGAGGATGTGTGCGGACAGAGGAATGGTCGTCCAGCCGAGAAATATATGGGGGGAGTCAAGGCGGGAGAGCCATGAGCCGCCGCCATGGCTCGGCGGGTGCAGTGTCGCACATATGGCCTCGTGCCACTGTCGGGGCTTGTGCGCACCAATCAGGCAGCGCAGCGGCCACGTGTGTGCGACGGAGCAGCCGTTGGGCGCATGTCCTTGGCATCGCGCCAAGGACGGCGATCGCCTCATCCGCTGGTGTATGGAGGAAGCCATGCACGCAAAGGCCATGCACGCAAAAGCCATGCACGCAGAAGCCATGCAAACGAGAGAGAGCCACGGCGGTTGTTTCCGGTCATGGAAGCGATGGGCGATGTGTGTGTATTCAGGCCCGGAAATCAACGACAGCCGTTTCGTTTTGGGTACCGCTGTATCACAGATGCACATGACACCAAACGAGCAAGCGGGCCGAGTTGGACAGGCAAGCGGAAAGGAGGGTGGAATCGATAGACAGACGAGATGAAAGCAGACATATACACACTGCCCCCTCTCGAGGACAGGACGAAAGGACGACAACAAGTGCAGCCGGAGCACCGCTCGTTACGAGGCAGCAGCAGCAGCAGCGCAGCTGCCGCACGAAAACGACGATGGGCCGGAGTTACGACCAGCGAGCAACATGTGGACAAGAAAATTGGGGAAAATACAAGCCAAGGAAAGGGCAGGCGGCACAGCAGACAGAAAAGGCAGAGACGAGACTTTGGTCAAAACTACAGCAACAATCAGCAACGACAGAGCGCCCCCATCCACGCTGGCTTGGGCCTTACTCCGTCCGCGGAGCGAACCAACGGCAGCCAGGATACAGTCGTATCCCACAACAGGACGGATGCATCCCGACAGGGTCGCTTGACGATCAGATCAATCAGGATGCGTATCGCATAGCATTGTCGGGAACAGACCACCATGGCAGCACCTATGCGCCGGTGTCGTCCAGAGATTCGCTCAGGCTGTGCTTGTCCGATTCCCAATAGGCCCGCTCGGCGGAGAAATCTTCGCATGACGACATGGGATGGACAATCTGGAAGCTCCGGTTGGCCTGCTTGCGGCGGTTCACGGATTGGTTGCGACGGACATTGACGACGATGCTGAAGGACGCGAGGTTGGTGGCCGGGAGGGGTTCGGCCTGGTCGACCGACTCGGCCGCCAGCAGAATGGAAGGCGTGCTCGGTTCGGCGCCATCGGTCGTGATGCTGAGGTTGGACAATGCCAGGGCCGAGTCGTTGGGGTTCACCAGAGCGGCGCCCAGGGAATCCTCAAGGATGCGCGGGTCCACAATCTGCATCGTTCCAACCACTTGGGTCTGTGAGTTGGCGTCGGGATCGGCAGCCTCGAGAGGATCCAGCTTCGCGTCGCTGAGCTGCACGACATCGAAGGGCTGTCGCTCCTCAAACCCAGCCTGGCTGTGGCCCCAGGCTTCGTCGAGGGCGCTGGCGCCATCCTCAGCGCCTTCGCCATCGTCTTCGTCGTCGTCGTCGTCCGCGTCGAGGTACATATCCTGGATGACAGCAATAGCCTCAAAGTTTTGCTCATCTGCAGCGTGGCCTTCTTGGTTTACCCACTGGACAGGACCAAAGATCCACTTGACGTACTCGATCAGGGTCATCATCACGGCACACTTTGCATTCATGTCCAGCATTTCTCGCGCAAGCGAGTTGTCGGCCGAGCGCAGGATGTTGGGCGCAAAGATGATGCTGAGGTTCTGGATGCTCATCTTGTTGACCTCGCGGTTCTCAGCGACCTTGAAAAGATGCTCACACAGGAACTTGAGCGTCACGCGGTTGACCGAGGGGAGCGACCAGACCAAGTCCTGCAGTCTGGCAAGACGCACATCCTTATCTTCGATGGCTGCCGAGGCGGGAGAGTGCAAAGAGAGTCAGATTGAGGGGTTTTGTAGATGTGCAAGGTCAGAAACAGCATGGCGCGACGGTACGGCGATACAGTTATAAGGCCAATGCCAAAAAGAAACTCGGATGCATAGCCAGGAACGTCAGCTATACGGAACGGCATCGCATCCAGAGCAGCTCACTCACTTGGAGCTTTGATAAACTCGTCGTATTTGTCGTAGGGGCACAGCGGCTCCATCTTGGGCGGCAGGCCGTCTCGTATGAAGCCCTTGATGACGTTGGTCACCACGTGTACATCGTTGTCGTAGACGCTGTGACTTTCCATGGCGTCAAAGATGGACGAGGAGCCGCCGTGGAGTCCTGGCAGGCGCGACCAGGGCTTGGAGAGCACACCGCCTCGAGACGAGGACGCAGCGCCCTGTAGCTTCTTGAGCATCTGCTTGGGCTTGTTGATGGCCTTGTTTTTGACGAAATCGAGGTCGAGGTGGGCTGCCTCCTCCATGCTGTGTCGCGACGACGAAATCGTCTCGGTCAGCGAGAGTCGGGACGAGCGCCGGGCCAGTGAAGGCGTCGATGGAATCAGGGGCGAGTCCGTGGCAAGTGACTGCAGCAGAGGCGAGGGGGCCGGCGGTCGCTCGAGCTTGACCTTGTGCGGGTTCTGGTCAAACATCTTGCGGAGGCGGTCGACTGTCGTGGAGGTGCCCGAGATGCGATAGATGCCAACAGAGTCCATGCCAATGTCCTCAACCAGGGCAATGCATTTGCGCAGGATCAGCGGCACCTCTTCCATGGTGCTGAGCGACGAGACTGAGCTCTCGAGCGTGGCGGTGCTGATCGGCCGCTTGCCAATGTGGCGAGTCAGGGTCGATGTGTGCGACGACTGGGTCCCGCGTCGAACAAGCTTGATGGTGTTGGGATGCGGGATAAATGGCGCTGTGTTCTTGGACACCTGGGCCGCAGGACGCAGGAACTTGGCCAAGCCGTGCTTGGCAGCCGGATCGGAGTCGCCTGCGCCCTTCTTACCAAAGGCCGAGGGCTTGCCAAGGAAGCCGGGCTTGGTTTTGTGCCCAGTTGCCTTATCCTTTGCGGGTGCGTCGGCCAAGGCACCCTCGTTGCCGCCGGGCGATTTTTCGCCGCTGGCAAGATGGGCCGACGGGTCCTTCTTGAGCTGCGCGGTCGCAGCATCGTCCAGACGCACCAGGTTTGTCGGCCCAGAGATGGCGCGCTTGTTGACCGACTGCTGGTCAGCGTGGCGGGTCCAGAAGAGACCCTTGGAAGCCTTGGCATTGGGCGCGCTCGGTGTGATGGGAGTGCCGGGAGTGCCGGGGGTGCCGGGGGTGCCAGGGGTGCTCGGCGTGTTGGGCGTGTTGGGTGTGTTGGGCGTAGGCGGTGCCACATCGTACTTGAAGTTGTCCTTGGCGATGGGTGGAGGAGGAATGGTCGAGACCGAGGTCGAGAGGGAGCTTTCGCTCACGGAGGAAAGCAGGGCCGGCGACTCACCAGAATCGGCAAAGATCATCGTGGTGCGGCGCGAGGCAGGCATGCTGCTGGCAGGGATTGAGGAGACGCGCCGAGGCGCGACTTCGAGCGAGTGAGCATCGCCCACCAGCTCGGCGAGGTGGTGGTCGCGACCGACATACGAGTTCTGCGGGGTGACCTGGGTCGAGTTGGCTCGGGAGGTCGGGTTGGAGGCAAAGAACATCGAGTCGCGGGAATAGAGATCGCCGAGATCCAGCACCGAGCTGGGATCCTGCGTGCTAACCGAGTACATAACATTGGCCCACTCCTGCAGCTCTGTCTGGTAGAAGACATGTGGAGTGAACGGGGATCCAGCGGGACGGCTGGACGGATCAAAGGCCTCGTCGGATGAGAGCAGCTCGAGCATGACTTGGTCGCAGTAGGACTTGCCGTCGATCTGGACGGAGCGAGTTGTGACGATGATCTGGTTGGCGTTCGAGGTGAACGAGACCAGGGACGACACCGAGCCCGGGTTGACCGTCGAGAAGGTCGAGTTGGTGACCTCGATACGCGCTCCGGCAAGGTTCATGTAGCCCACGAGTGTCTTTGGCGAGGACTTGAGTTCCGCGTAGCTCAGGCTGGCCAGCGACTTTTGGCTCTCGATCGAGGGGCGGCGCGCGCGCTCGGGTGCGATAAATTGGTGTGTCGTCGGCGAGGCCGAGGGCGAGATGTCCGAGTTGTGGGCATGGCGATGGCTGTTGTAGGGGCCCGTGCTGGTGCCGATACTCATGTCGCGGGCGCCGTGGTTGCGGGCATTCTTGATGCGCAAGAAGATGTTGTTGTAGCGGCGGCCCTCGGAACCGTCACGGGCCTGCTCGCGGCCGTAGCTGGTCGTGAAGTTGACGCTGGGCGACTTTTTGATGGGCGGGAAGGCCGCCGAGGACTGCGACTGGTTGGGCGAGTAGGCCAGAAGGGCGCTCTTCTTGGTCGACAGGTAAGCAGAGTTGCGGTCGCTGAGGTCGTAAAAGACCAGGTAGTTACCACGGACCTCGGTATAGAAGATCATGCCCTCCTCCATGGGGTCCAAGGGCATGAAGCCGTGCCGGTCGCCCCATTCGTTCGTGGCGTTGATGCCGGACTTGCGCTTGGAAAACTTGAGCGAGAAGCCATCTGGCGCGAACCGCTTGATCCAGTTCTTCTTTCCGTGCTCGTGGGTGCCTGTGGGGATATGCTGCGACTTTGTTGTCGATGTAGACTTGACCGACGGCGTGGAGGAGTTGAGCACTTTCCTGATAAAGTAGCCCGACTTGCGGACAGGAAGCCCTTGAATCTGAAGCGAGACGAATATGGTCTGCTCCTTGGAGAGAGGCTCTGTGAGCTGTAGCGGGGCCAGGGAGGCAGAATAGCCAAGCAGCAGTAAGTATCGAGGTGAAAGCGAGATACGGCCAAGATCGTCAGGCAAGCCAGTAGAGCAAGGCAGCTAGCTGCAAATATCCGGTATTGCCGAGGGTCTTGCTACTTGGCGGTGCTACTGTTGCCACGACGTAGCGACGGAGAAATGCCCATGTCTACAAACAAGCTCAGATTCACTATGCTCCCCCCCCGCTCATCTCAAATATCATCATCAGCTTACCGGGACATGGGGCAGCCCCAACTCGGGCAGAGGCGAGGCTGGCTGGTCCACCGGAGATAAATCACGCAGGGGAACTGCGACCTCAGCCTCGAGGGACGAAGCGGGCATTTCGGTGAGGCCTGGGTTGTTCACAGCCACGTCGGCAAGAACATCGGCAAGCACATTGGCGTCAGGGCCGATCGACGGACTAGAACGCGGAGGTGCTTGGACAGGCGGGCTGGTGGCCTCGAGCTTGAGTTGGGCAATGGATGCCGATTTGTGCGAAGTGCCCGACGGCGACCGCGCCGACGCAAGGGCAGCGGTGATGAGCGAGGTGTGGCTCGAGACCGATGCATTCACAAGGAGCTCGGCGGAGGGGTTGCGCTTGATGCGGCTGATGGCAATCGGCTGGGTTGAGAGAAGCGGTCGCTGAGGAGTCGCACCCAGCTGGTCGGCCGAGACACCATCAGTGGGCTGCTCGTTGGACCCAGAGCGAGCAGCAGCCAGGTCCAGGAGTGATTTTTGGCTCTGAATCTCGGCACGCTCCGTCGGAGGCGATGCCACGCCCTCAAAAGTCAGGGTCGAGAACGAAGGAGACAGAAGATGAGCGGAGGCACTAGTGGCAGCGAGCGAATCAGTGAGAGGGAAATGGACCTCGGTCGAGGAAAGCTCGGGGACCGAGGGCATGGAACCCAGCATCGGGCCGGCGGGCTGCGGCATCGGGTCGGTGATGGGCACAATCGATATCGAGGAGCCCATGAAGGGATTGAGAATGGTCTCTGAGGGCACAGGGCGGGTGGACGAGCCAGAGAGCAGTGACGGCTCTGCAACAGTATCGGCAGCATCGGCAGCAGGGGACAAGACCGCAATGTCCAGGCCTGGGTCCACTCTGTCGAGAGAGAGCAGCATGCTCGGCTGAGGATTCAGCGACTTTGGGACCGAGTATGCGACGGAGCCAGGCAGCTGGCCATGGAGAGCCGGAGCAGACGAGACGATAGAGGACCCGGGAGAAAACAGGCTCGACTGGTGCGGGGTATGGGATGCCGTGCCCAGGAGCGACGACGGGGGAAGGAACGACGAAATGGACAGGTCGGACGATGCTTGGGGATGAAAGTCGGTATCTTCGACCATGTCGAGGATCTCATCGACCGTGGCGGGACGATCGGGCCCGGACATGTTTCAGAGGACAGGGGACGGGACGACCGAGCGGCAAGACTGGAGGAGACAGAGGTGGGATCGACAGCAGAGAGCCGACGACGACAGGCAGAAACGCGGCAGTGTCCGAACCGACGACGTGATGAGAGGGAGCGAGGAGGCCAAAGCTGCGGCGACGGCAGGCTGGTTGTGGGATGCGAGCGGCAAAGCGCAGGGCAAAGGGCTGCCGGGAGGGGATGCGGGAGGGGATGTGTCAGCGGGAACAGGCTGAACCAAGCCCGAAGAGCCAGGAGGACGACCGATGGACAGGAAGAGCAAGCGCCGACAGGCAAAGGTCAAGACAGATGCGAGTCAAAGTCCCAGGCAGACACAAACCCAGCAAGACAGGCAGGGCAGGGCAAGGCAGGGCAAGAACGACGCAGAACAAGCCCGACAGGCGGCGGTTGAGTCAGAGGAGCGGTCCAAGACAGAAACAGAAACAGAAACAGAAACAGAAACGAGGCGGGTCAGCGTAGAGCGGCGGAGAAAGCAGACGATCACGACAGACAAGACGGCCAGGACAGCGACAGCGACACAGGGGCAGGCTCGGACCGACGATGGCGAGGGGAGCTGGCGAGTGTCAGCCGCACGGGTTGCTGGCGGTGGGCCTCGTGGAGCGGCGGCTGGGAGGAGGGCAAGTGCCAAGCGACGGCAAGCGACAGCAAGCGACAGCACGCAAGCAGGCTGGCCGATGGACATGCAAGACAATACGACCGGCAGCAACAGGGCCACCACAACCAGAGCCAGAGCAGTCGCCCACCTGCAGAGAGCGATAGAGTGGGCACCAACAACCGAAAGGCCGACCGAAAGGCGGCGCCAGACAATGTCCAAGTGGATGTCCAAGTGGCCAAGGGTTGTCCAAGGGTTGTCCAAGGGTTGTCCAGGTGTGTCCAGGCAAGACCTAGGCGAGACCCAGGCAAGATCCAGGCAAGATCCAGGCGAAACGGTCCAGGCAAAAAAGATCCAGGCGAGATCCAGGCAGCCAAAAGCCTCGAACCCCGAGCGATGGAGATGGCCGGGTCAGCCTCCAGTGGGCGAAAAAAACGACCGCCGCCCTGTGTCGCGGGCACAAAAATAGACAGCCGCGGCTGTGCCGGTGCCGCGTCGTGTGCGACTGCCGACTGCGGCCAATGTGTGTCCACGGGCTGCTGTTGGTGTGGTGGGGCGGCTCTGTGCGACCGCTCGCTGTCCACACCCAGTGTCGCTGTTCTGGACGGGACCTGGCAACCCGATCGAGCCCGCAAGTCATGGCAGCCCGCTCACGGCGGCTCGGCCATGGCGACTTGCTCATGGCGACTTGCTCATCAACTCGCTCACTCCCCAACCGACAGCACCGGTACCGCCCTGGCGCTGCACAGAACGCCCTTCCGTGCTCTTTGCAAGTCTCTGCGACACGAGCCCTGGGCAAAGGAAAGGAAGAGAAAAGGGCAAACAAAAGCCCCAGGATGCGGCATCATGCGCGCCGGCTCAGGAGATCATGGGGGCTCAGAGCCCACCCCATGTTGCAGACGCGGCCCGGTCGATTGCCTCGGCCCCATATGTACACGGTCCAAGCACTCCCTCGCATGTCCCGCGCAACGCATCCGTCCCTCAAACCCCAAAGCGCTCGCGGAGCTGCTGTTCAAAGTCGTCATCCAGCAACGCATCGTCGTAGTAGCCCTGGTTCGCCGACGCTGCTTCGTGCTCGGCGTGGTGGGCTTGATCGTCTTCCGCTGTCTCCTCGCAAGTGTGCATGTCCTCCTGCCGTTTGAGCCAGAGCTTCAATCTGCGTTCGCGCCAACCGAGACGTTAGGTTGACTCCAGCAAATCAAATGCCTCGACCCGCCCCCCGCCAGCAAAGCATGTCCACCACATCAACCAGCCGATATTAACGGTGCGGCCCGTCGTCCTTTCCTTGCCTCCCCCCCGCTCCACCAACCAGCTTCCTCCACGAACGATGCATTCCGTCACGCATTTGTCCAGACGACACCCGCGATGATCCCAGAGCGCATTGTCGCTCTCTTATTGTGGCCCCTCGCTCGTCCTCTGTGCCTTGCTTACCGAAAGGCATCGACGCCGTTGAGATAGTAGCGTGATAGCCGCTTGTCGCGGATGAAGCCGAGGTTCTCGTACAATCGCAGGGCTCCTCCGTTGGTCAGCTCCGTCTCCAGAACCACCTGCAGCCGAGCAGCATAGTGTGAGCTGCAGGTCGACCGCCGGGCCATCGTGCTCGTCGACCGGCATTTGCATCTGGAGGGCGGCCTGGGTGGCCTGGGTGGCCTGGGTGGCCTGGGTGGCCCTGTCCCGGCTTCCTCCCCGTGGCATCCGTCGTCGTTGCTCCATCGCCGCGACAATCAACATGCCCACCCGCAAGGTGATAGCGCTGCCCCCCCCCTCGCACCAATCGCACCTCGTCGGCATCCTTATTTTTCATCGCTTCGATCGAGAGCTTGACCAGCGTTGAGCCTGGGACAAGGCATGTCCAGTCGGAAACCAAGATCATGCGACCGGCCGGTTGCCGGACAGATCAGATGGGACCAAGGGAGCGGGAAAGAAAGCGCATGTGAGTCAGCAACGGATGCGAGGCAGCAACAAATACGGGTTGCAGGTGGATGCGTCGAAATCAGACCTCGATCCTGTAGCTCCTGATCTGATCTGCAACGCAAACCCAGCGCCACCTCTCTCATCAGAGCCAGGGCACTCTCACCTATCCCCCGTTTCCGGTATGTGTTGTCGACAACGAGCATGCCGATGTATCCACGCAGGGTTGTCGATCGATGCCTCTCCAGCTTCGAGATGACGACCCCGATATATTTGTCGCCGTCCATGGCCTGATGTGGCCGGTCCAAGCAGCAGCGGTGTGAGTGGTCGAGAGTGTCCCTCAGGGTTCCGAGTCGGGATCATCGCTGGACAGGCGGGGCGAACCCTGGGCTGCGAGCAGCACACCTATCCTGTTGATGAGCGTGGGCCAAGCTCTCCTGCGGATGGTCCTTGCGGTGCGGAAATGCTCACCAGAAAGCACAGGTCCGGCCAGCTGTGGAGGAAGAAGCGATATGTGTAGATCGAGTAGGGCTCGGACAGGTCGTTGTCGATCAGGGCCATAAGATACGGAAGCTGCTCTTCGCCTTTGTAGGGCACATATCGGATCTCGCCCTCGGCGGGATCGGTCCGGGCAGTGTCCCAGGACCGCTGGCTGGCTGGTGTGTCGGGCCCGAGCTGCATTCTCATCTCCACGTCCGATGGCTGCAGGGCAGAGGCGGGATCAGGCAGCCCAGGCTTGGAGAGCGGGTGGTTGAATGAGCCGCCAGGATCCTCGCTCTCCAAGAGACTCCCCGGTCCACTGACCCATGACAGATTCCGTTCCGTCCGCTGCCGGGGCTCGGCCACCTTTACTCCCTCCCTCTAATGCATATCTCCCCAATTTGACTCGTGCTGCCTTTGGTAAGCATTTGCTTGCGGGCAGGGGCTGTGCTCACGAAAACAACTCGAGTATATCCAGGGTGTCAAAGTACCCGCCAGTCTCACGATCAGAGCCGTCCCACTCCAGGCTGCTGGGCAGCATCTCACAGCGCCTCATCGTCCAGTCTCGCCAAGTGCGGGATTCGGGCCTTGAGCTCACGTTTGAGCGCATCGTGTCCAACGGCATCGACAATCGGATTGCCTCGGAGGTGCAAGCTGCTCAGTCGTCTGCACTGGGAGAGAGGGTCGAGGCCATCCACGGTGCGAATCTCTGGCGTCGCAACCGATTTGATGGGCATATCGACCCATTTGCGGAGCAGGAAGTTAGTGCCGTGTGCGAAATCCAGGATCGCAGTCCCACAAGTCCATGTAGCACTCGAGTCGGATGTTTCCCAGCCGTACCGTTAAATGAGAGATCGAGCTCTTCCAGCTCCAGGAGGTCCACGACGCCTTCGATGCTGCGGATGCCGTTCCGGGCTGCACGCACCGACTTGGCGAACGGGAACCGATGCAGCCCGTCCAAGCTTCGGAGTGAATTTGCGCTAACGTCAAGCTGCAGGGTCTGGATCGAGTCCTGGATCCCCATAGCAGGGCAGAGCGTGGTCAAGCCCAGACCGCCGAGAGACATGGCTCGGGTGACAGGATCGTATTTGTCCTTGGAGACGCTGTTTGCGATGAAATGCGACTCTGTCCAGCCAAATAATGCAAGATAAAGTGGTCAGGCTTTTCCTTCCTCAACTTGACAGATGCAAGGTGAGCGTCGTGACAGCAGTCCCTTGTCAACGACGATATCGGCCATCGCAGGCCATCACCACAAGCAGGGTGCCAGTGCGCCTGAGAGCGGTCGACTCACTATAGTCTCGGTAGTATTCCTTGCGGGCCGGATCAATCTTGGCCAAGTGATCAAGATGTTGGATGGCCTGCTGATCGTGGCATCCAAGCCGCTTCATGATGTGGACTACTGTCAAGAGTGCCCCTACACATTCAAACCCCATGAGCCACCCTTGGGTCAGCAACCATAGCCCGCCCCGTTCTCACGAAGCATGGGCAATCCCAGGCCCTTCACCGGATTGGGCATCACTTTGCAGTACATGTCGACACCGCACTCCCCAGTGCTTTGAACGAGAAACACTCACACTTGCTGTCGGGCTCAACTTCAACAAGTTCCTGGATCGCTTCGAGCTCTCGTTTCCAGGTCTCCACCGACTGGAAAATCTCGTTGACTGGCGAGGCTTCCTGAGCCACGCCCGATTGCTCAAGGCGGAGCTGAACCGCGGACTCAGCCAGGACATCTAGAATCAAAGTGTGGACGGCGTGAGACTCAACCCACGGACCGTACTTGCGCTGTGGGTTGCAGGCTCATGGTAAACGCAGCGGCATTGGCCCTACCTTGAATGCGGTCAATCTTGAACACCGATTGGGAGGTTTCTGCACCAGTGCGGGAGCCCTGGAAGATACCATGGTCCACCACGACTTTGAGCGGAGACAGGGCAGGCTCGCCGCCCAGAGCAAGCTGAGTGTGCACCACGGTAACATATCCTCTCTTGGTTGCAGAGTGGGTGCTGAGGATCCCGTCGCCTGCGTACACCTGGATGCACTCGCTGTTCTTGACCTGCGACAAGCAAGCAGCATGGAAAGGTTCCAGTTGGACACGATACAATCATCAGAAACTCGGAAATCACAAGCGGTGCTCGAGGCGGGGAAGAGTGCACATGCATGATGTTTCTTTGCAGAATGTGACTGACCCAGATCTCTTTGTCCAAGAACAGCGCAAGGATCAGGTTGCCATCCGGGTCCAGCTTGCCGTGGACGCTCGTGATTTGGGGCTGTTGCTTATCTTGGTCACGATGAAGCAGGGAGGGGGTGGCGGTAAGTCTCTGGATATCATTTGAGCAGGTCGACGAATACTGCTCGCATCGCTTCATCGATTGGCTCTCTGAATGGACCCGTATTTCTGCCCGCCTTGCTGAAACGGTGGGCAAGGAACAGCGATCGCAGGTAGAGGGCAGCTGGCAAAAGCAGGCACGCTCACCTTCGCCAAGGAGCCAGCGCTGGTAAAGCCACGCACTCTGGTCTGCGGGCTCTGTGAAGATGGCGTTGCGCACCATATCAAAGTCTGGCCGATGAAAGAGATCCAAGGGAGATATCAGACGCAGACAAGAGCACTGGAAGCAACATGGATACGGAGAGCAGTTTGCTGCAGTCCTGCCATGGCGGTGGTCTCGGTGCTGTCGGCAGCGTCATCTACCTTTCTCGATGATCTTTTGGCGCTCCGCCAGATCAGGGAAGGCTCTAGGGATGACCTTGGCCCGATATTGCCACGCCGAAAAGTTGGAAAAGTTCTGGTTGATCTTCTTTGTGGTAAAATCAAACTCGGACAGCGCCGGGAAGTTGCCCGATGCAACAACGTGGCGGCGGTAGTCCCATCCGTGAACTGATCGTGACAGCCGTGCAAACAGATGCAGCCGCAAGTCAGCAGCAAAGCCAGTGCCGGATTCAAGTGCCGGTCTGAGCAATCCAGCCGCAACACGCCGATTCCCAATCTTTGGATGATGTCCCCAGTGGCTGCGGACTCACAGTTGCGTGCATCGATATCCAGCATCATGGTGACGAGCTTCAGCTCGCGGCCCCAGTCCGGGCGTGGGTGATGCGACAGAATCCATCCGCGGTGGTTCCACACCCAGTAAGACTTGGGTGCCTTTCGGATCGAGAGATCGCTGAACTGAAGCTCCTTATTCATGATGTCCTGCTGTTCTTCCTCGGTCCTGCATGGTTGCATTTCATCCAGCAGGACAGCGACGTTAGCGCACGGGGGAGTCATATCGCTTCCAAAGAGTCGGCCCTGACGATCTCCACATGCGCTAAATTGTGCAGCCGATCTCCGGCTTCATCTGCCCAAACCATGAGTCATCTCACGTCGGTCGTCAGGATTCGGTTTCAAGCGGCGCACTCACATGGGTCCGAGCCAGTGATTCAAAATCTCCCGTCGGATGTTCCAAATGGTGTAGAAATCCGGGCTTGAGTCCAAGATGGTTGTGGTGATCCCAAAGGCTTGCTCGTCATATTCCTTGGATGAGCGCTGGTGTGGCGATGTGGTAAGCACACCCAGCGATGATCTAGCCAGGCAGCCGATCTCGACACACTTTGGCCTCGGAGCCCTAATTGCACATCGGGAGAGACACAACGCTACCTTTTCATGTGCTGCTTGCGTCAGACGGAGAAATTCCCGGATGCCCTCCTGCTCCTTGGCCCGAGCTTTGGCGAGGACTTCTTCGCTCTGGCCAGCGACTTTGGCTTGGCGCTTGCGGCCATGCTGCAGCAAAGAGCGGTGGGACCGTGAGTCGGCCGGCTGCCAGTGTAGAACAGAGCCGACCATCACTGGCTCTGGAGGCAAAGGCGATGCGGTCCGTGCATCCAAACGGTTGTGGCTGAAGAGCAGCACTGATATTTGGGAGGCGACATCTATCTGCCCGAGGTGCCTGTCCGTGCCCGCAGCCGTACCATTCCACCTTCAGACGACATTGTTGCAGAGAAGCGATAGTAGCCCCACGATCGAGCGATCCAGAGTGAGAACAGAAGCGGGCTTGCTGGTGCTGGTGCTGGTGCTGGTGCTGTCTGTTGCAGATCAGAGCCAGGGCAAGAGCCAGGGCAAGAGCCAGTCCCAGCCGCGACACCCCCGGTTCCAATGCAGCCCCGGAGCGGCCGTTTCGTTGTTGGCGCTTGCCGAGATCTCAGGTTTTCGCAGCCATCGATCGCAACAGCCCCATCCAGTGCTGCCAACTGGGCCGCAGCAGCAGCAGCCCCGTCCTGCACTCACCCTAAAAACTCTGCGTCCAGGACCCATCGACCCTCAGCCTCAATTTACTGCAGCCGAGCGAGCCGAAGTAATCAGTCATCCACCACCACATCGGCGTCCTTCGCCTCTGACCCGCCGAGCGAGGACACATCGGCCATCGCCAGCAGTACCCATCCTCCTTGGCCCATACCACAAGCAAGCAGCACCGTTCTGCCTAGCTTTGCTTGACCAGCATCGCCATGGCATCAGCCGCATCGTCACCCGCAACGGTGGCCCCATCCGCATCCGTCTCGGCCTTCTCGCTTGTTCAGAGAACGTGCTTCTATATTCCCTTCGACAATCCGCATCAGCTCGAGCTCCACTTCCGATCGTCCATCCGACAGAGCCTGTACGTATCCTCCGGGATTTGGTCCCCTTCCTTGCTGCCGTCATTCCGTCCTGCCGTTTGGTATCGTGCAAGACAACACGTCCATCTTGAGCCCTCCTGCGAAGAAACCGTCTCGTCCTTTGCCCTGCTCGGGGGCCAGCGGAGAGCGAGTCTACACCCCTGGACGACGAAGCAGCGGCCACGGCATTGATCCCTTTCTGGAGTCGGTCCAATCGTCTGTTTCTGCTGCATGTCTTGACTGTTCTCTCTCCGGCCCGATCATTGCCGTCTCCGTCACTGGCGTCATTCTCACCGTCGTTTCCGCCCTCCCAACCCCAACTGAACATTGGTCGTTGCTCCTGCTCCTCCCCTCGCCGGCACCATCCATTTCGTTCCGTGGATCTCTAGACTCGAGAAAATCTCACAGCCCCTCCACGCTGCTCGAGCCGGAACCCTTCGTGGCGACCAGATCCGTGAGGCCTCCAGACTCATCCACTCGATCCTGCAGGAGTTGATCCGGGCCGGGATCCGCGGCGAGCTACCTTTCCAGGATACGCTGATCTTTCTGGACGACCTCATCCGTCCGCTGAAGCCGGCTCCCGGCGGCTGGAACAGCGAGACGGCCAGTCTGTTTGTCGAATATGGCGAACTTGCCAACCCGCTGTGGCTGTCCTCGACGATTGTCGATGTCATGTCGCTGATCGAAACCGAAACCGAGCCCGCCACTGGCCCTGGCAGCAAGAGCTTGGAGCGGCAGCGACTTGTGGTGCTCATCAAGGAAATTACGGTGAGGTCCTTTGGCATCCGCAAAGCACCTGGACTTCCCTGACCGAGCCTTGCATCCCCCGTCGTGCTTGAGAAGCGAGCCAGCGCATTAATGATGTCTCTGTCTGCCCTCGGCGCTCTTGCAGATGCGCGACATTGTCCCAGCCATCATCTTTCGCGAACGGCTCGAGAGCGATCTGCTCGAGGCCGTTGGCCTGATCAACGACCAGAAGAGCTACGATCGGCGCCAAATCCGCACCCGCACCATGAATCTGTACAAGCAGCAAAAGTTCAATCTGCTGCGCGAAGAGAGCGAGGGATACTCCAAACTGCTGACGGAGCTCACCGCCAGTCTTCCTCCGCCGCCTCAGAACGGCTGGGCCATCGACGACGTATACAAACAGCAGCTCGCGAGTGCCGTCGGGGCCACGCTGAACAACGTCAAGAGTCTGATCGGATACTTTGACCTCGACCCGAACCGCGCCTTTGACGTGATCCTGGACTGCTTCATCGCCAATGTGTCTGACCACTGGCGGTTCTTTCTGGAGCTGATCGAGGCCAGCCCCTGGACCAAGCTCGTCAAGACCAAAGGCCTCGACGGCGAAGAGGTCGAGACCCGTGTCGGACTGCCGCTCTGCGCCCAGGTCTTAGGCTTCAAGTTCACCGCGTATTTCAGCCCGGACTTTGTCGGCCAGACCCCGGTCTCGCTGTTCCATGTGGCCGCCCTGCTGATTCGCCACAAAATCATCACCCTTAACGATATCTGGCCACATCTGGGTCCCGACGACGACGAGATTTCCGGAGAATACGAGGCATACCTTGCCAAAGTTGCCGAGCGGTGCAAGTCAGCCGGCCAGATGAAGGGCCTCGAGGTACGAACACTTGGGACCTCGACGTCTCCCCCCTTCTCAAAACTCCCGCAGCTTCGATTACGCAAGAGCATATGTCGCTTCCAGCACCATCACATTTCGCCTCCCCTCTGGTGTCGGAAGGGTTTTACGGCTCCTTCCGTCGGATTGAGTATCCTCTCCGATCTGTGTCGGCGATTTGCCAGAGATTTGTGCCAGCAATTTCCCGGGAGTGTGCGCTTCTAACTCTACTCTTCTTGCTTGCCTTCGCACTGACGACTGGCGCAGCTCGCTGGCATCCTGGCCGACGACGACTCCACTCCCTACAAACCCAGCATGCGCTCTGTTGAGCGCACAGGCTCCTCCATGTCCGTGGATGGTGCCGCACCCAGCACTGTCACCGAGGCCGGCGCTGAGAAAGAAGAGGTAGAAAGTCGTTTCGACATACTGTCTCCGTCGCCACATGCCGTCCAGCCGGACGCTCGACCCGGCTGTTTGTAGCCCCGGCAGAGTACTCACTCCTTCTTGGTTGGCGCTTTGACCTCACAGCCGCCGAAACCCAGAAAGCTGAACCAGAAAGCCGGATTGGCGAACGCCCTCGTGGTCATGGGCGATCAGGTCAATGCTCGTCTCATTCTCCAGCGGCTGCCAAATTTGATTCACATGTATCCCGAGATTGCTGAGGGCTTCTGTCGCCTCCTGCATGTTATCCTCGAGCCCTTGGTGTCCTCGCTCCGTGTCAAGAAGCCGCCTCCGACGCTTCCAGCACAGAGCACTGTGGTATCGATCCACCCTCCAAACCTCCGGAAGCTGCCCAGCAAGGAAGAGCTCAATCCGAACCCAACGCTGATCCTGAACCCCAAGTACTGCGATCTGAACGACAAGGTCTACATCGGCAAACGCCTCCATCCGCCAAAGTATCGATTTGCGTACGATCTCTGGAAAGACAAGCTGCCGCGGGCTTCTGGATTCAGTGATGCGCTTCGCATCATCCGAACCCTCCTGCAGAACGTGGGTCCGTACTTGCATCGCGACATGCTGCTGTTCAGCAAGCTCGTGCGCATCGGCGCTGCACACGTCCGACAGGTTCGTTTTACATCGCAGTGGCCAACAACCATGTAGTGTGCTGTGGGACACAATCGGAGGGTAAGTCGGTCGTGTCCGCACCACTGCTAACTCTCACCCTCCACACCGTCGCTCGACCCAGGCGGATATTCAAGAGAAAGAAAAGAATGTCTGGCTTAACATCATTGCACAGTCCTTTTTCCCCGCGCTCTCGCAAACCAAAGCCAACCCTGGACTTGCAACAGAGCTGTGGCAGCTTGTCTCCTGCTGGCCATACGAGACTCGGTTTGCACTCTACGGGGAGTGGAGACACCGCACATACGAAAACTATCCCGAGCTCCGTGTCGCGCGGGCAGGATGTCTCAAAGACATCAAGTGGATCATGAAGCGGCTCGCCAAGGAGACCATCAAAGCGCAGGGTCGGCAGATCGGCAAGATTGCACACTCCAATCCAACCATCACCTTCCAGATCGTCATCGAGCAGCTCCAGAGCTACGACAACCAAATCCCCTTTGTCGTCGATTCGTCTCGTTATCTCACCGAGCTGGATTTCGACGTCCTGACATTCAGTCTGCTGGAGGCCCTCGCCACAGACAAGCCGCGGATGCAGGACAATGGCAAGACCGTCAGCAAGTGGCTGACCAATCTGGCGACGTTCATCGGGCAGATGTGCAAAAAGCATCCTCTCGAGCTCAGGGCGATTCTGGAGTACATGTGCAACCGGCTCTTGACCAACGAGACTGCCGATCTCGTCATTCTCAACAAGCTCATTGCTCAGATGTCGGGAGTCCGCCCCACGGAGGACTCAACCGTGTCCCAGCTCGAGGCCATGTCCGGCGGCGAGACACTCAAGCGCGAGGTGCTCATGTACGAGAGCCAGCGCACCACCCGCAAGGGCAGCAGCAAGCTGATGAAGGCGCTGATGGAAAGCCAGACGATTGGGCCGCTGGCGCTCCTGATTGCCCAGCAGAAACGCGAGATTCTGTCCCGAATGCGCATGGACGAAGACATCAAGGTGGCTGGGTGGTTTATTGACCACGTAAGTACTTGAATGTCTCGCTGCGACTTTGGGTGTCCGCAGGTGTTGTTTCTGCCCTGCCATTCCCTTGGCTGCATTGGCGATCCCCAGTCCTCAATCCGTCGCCGCTAACGACCGCCATCCCCCGATTCGATCTGGCAGTGCCAAAATAGCTTCATGCAGTATGTCGACTTTCTCGCCTCCAATCTCGACAAGGGCCAGTATTATCCCATCTTTGAGAATCCCGAGGTCATCTGCCTCCGGTTTGGGCTCGATCCGGAGGTGGCCTTCCATCTCTTGCGGCCTAAACTCACGGGCCTGGTGATGGTGCGTATCAGCAGCCGGTTTGTGCCAACTGCACTTTAGCTGCACTCGCTCTGGGTGGATAGCCAATTGTAAACAGGGCATTGCTCTCAACAACCGCCGCATATTCACACTGGCCACCATTTATGCTCTCCATCATTTCGCTCAATCCAAATACCTTACAGGGTCTCCATGATGGCGGACCCTCGCAGCCAGCCAACGTCGAAGGCTCCTCGACCGAGGATGTGACCAACAAGATGGATGTTGACGCAGCCGAAATCGCCGGCGATAACGACATGCACCTCGATATTGCCACCCGGCTGGAGCAGGATCTAGCCCGCCCGAACAGCTGGCACCCAAAGCTCTACGATACCATGCGGTCGGTCCTGTCGATCGTGCCCGAGAAGGTCTGGAGCGGATTGTCCCCACAGTTCTACACGACATTCTGGCAGCTCTCCCTCTATGACATCTTCATTCCCTCGGCTCACTACGCGAGCGAGCAGGCCAAGCAGCGACTTATTATTGAGCAAATCGAGCGGTCGGAGAACGCTCCTGGTGGCGCCCCGCTGTCCAAGCTGCTGAAAGACAAGGAGCGCGCAAAGCTCATGCGCAACCAGCTGGCGCAGGAAGCAGAGCTGCAAGAGGCCCATGTCAAGCGGGTCATGGTGCGCCTGAGCATGGAGAAAAACACTTGGTTCCCGGAATACACAGGCAAGTCGCGCCCGGCGGATGGGGCCGCTTCCACTGATGTCCAGGACTGTGGCAGGACTGGATCATCAATGACTTGTCGCATCGACCAGCACCACGACACCAAACTGATGTTTTCTCGACACCGGTTTCCCCTTTGATTCCAGCCAAGCACGTTGCCCGTCCAGTCTTCCTGATCCAATACTGCCTCGTTCCTCGACTGCTCTTCTCCGAGAGCGATGCCATCTACACGGCCCGACTGATCCATCACATGCACAAGCTCAACGTCCCCAACATCAATATCGCCAAGCTCTATGATGACGCAAGTATCGGATGGACTGTAGAGCCTACAGAATCGATGCCAACGTGCGCTTGCGCCCGTGTACAAGTGCAGGCATAGGATGAGGTTTGTACAGCAGCGCTTACCTCTCCCGTCCTCACCAGTTGCTTACCAGGGATGTTGTCCAAGCCATCATGTACTCGTGCACTGAGAATGAGGCCAAGTGCTACGGTGGGTCAGCGCTACATGTCGCTTTGTGCGAAATCCTCAACGGCGGCAGTGTACTGGTGTTGTACTGCACTGAGTCGGCGCATGCAACTCACAGCGGTACATTTCTGCAGGTCTCTTCCTCGGAGAAATCCTGTCTGTTCTGACGCCGTGGCAGCGGTCTGCCAAGGCATACGATGCCGAGTCGATGGTGAACGGACAGCTGTTCATGAGGCTGTATCTTCCCCGTGCCCCAAATATCAGCGACCACGAACGCTTCAAGCGGCTCATGAGCAAATGGCATACGCAGTTCAAGATTGTAAGTCTTGTTGCTGCAATGTGCAGGCGCGCAAAAATGGCTCCCAGCGCGAGACACTGACACTCCCGCCGCCCGTAGCTATTTGTCTACTGCCTCGAGTCGCAGGAGTACAACCATATCCGAAACGCCATCATTGTCCTGGATAAGATCCGCCCGTGGTTCCCGGCCACGAGACAGTTTGGCAACATTATCGATCAAAAGGTCCAGGCCATCGAGAAGCACGAGAGCCGTGCTGATCTGAAACAGTTGGCCATCAGCTTCCGAGCCAAGACCGCGGCGATCAAATCCCAGTGGTTCTCGGACGAAGAGTTTGGGCTGTTCCGGAGCTCGGCCGCAGCAGCGCGCAGGCCAGAGTCGTCCGAGTCCCAAAACACCAAGCATTCCGATGCCGAGCGAGAAGGCGATGGGTCCCGCGATGCCGACCGGTCCTCCGCGCCAGGCGAGGCAGCGTCGAGTAATGCCGAGCCATCGAGCCGGCGGGCTCCCTCGGGCGACAGAACATCGGGCAGTGGATCAGGAAGAGAGGCCGTCTCTCACCTCCGGCCAACAACCCCCCCTTTGCCTCCCGGTCGAAAGCACGACGATAACCCCGGCGCCAAACCCGGTGACAGTTCGCGCAAGCCGGCAACAGAAGCAGACAGGGGCAGCAAAGCGCCGAGCCTGCGGACCGGTGCCGCTGGAACAAGCTCGTCCGCCGACCGATCCGGGTCGCACCAAGACGACCGCCATACCGACAGCCGACAGGGATCTCGATCGAATGTGGACAGATCCCGGGGTGCTCGAGACAACCGCGACAATCGCGATAGTCGTGAGAATCGGGACAGCCGCGATAACCGCGACAACCGTGATAACCGCGACAGCCGTGATGGTCGAGACAACAGCGGTAACGACCACGCCTCGTCACGCAAGGACGAACGAGACTCCCGCGACAATTCTCATCGGTCCAACCGCGACCGCGAAAAGGAAGAACGAGATAAGGACCGTGACCGTGAACGCGATCGAGACCGGGAGCGGGATCGCGACCGAGATCGGGATCGAGACAGGGAACGGGAACGGGAACGGGATCGAAACGACCGCGACCGCGACCGAGATCGAGATCGAGATCGCGACAGGCGAGAGCCCAAGGACAAAGATCGCAAAGACGGAGCCAGCCGTGACCAGCGCGAACGGGACCGTGACAGAGAGCGGGACCGCGATCGCGAACGAGACCGTTCTGACAACCGCGATCGTGACAGCAACCAAACGACCAGCCCCGCCATGGAACCGCCAGCGACTGACAAGGGTCGTCCCCGATCGTCAATGGCTCCATCGACACCGCCGCGACCAAAGGCTCCGGCCAAGTTCGTGAACGCTCCTGTGACTCCGCCCAAGCCCACGAAGCCGATTGCCCTGCCCGAGAAGCCTCAACGGCCTCCAAGCGACAAGCCAGACGACAGCCTGCAGAGCCCCGAGCGCCGAGAGGCCAAACAAGGCCAAGGGCGTAGCCAGGATGCGGGCGGCGATCGCTCCAATGAAGAGGTGCCCGACGACGAGCGAAATCGCTCACGCAATCGCGACAAGGCAAAGACCAAAGACCGGGATCGCGAGCGAGATCGAGGTCGGGATAAGTCGGAACGCAAGTCCGCCTCAGACCGCGACCAGGCCCCTCGTCGAGAACCCGATAGCGACCGGGACAAGTCTCGCCATAAGGACCGAGACCGTGGCCGTGAACGGGACCGCGAGCGGGATCATGAGCGGGCCGCGGGTGATGCTCCTGACAGCCACGGACGCAATGCCCTTGGAGTATCAGAGGAACGAGCCGATCGAGCGCGTACGAACGACGAGCCGGCCGATGCCAAACCAACTGCGCAAGCAGCAAGCTTCCTCGACCGTCTCGGCCCCCGCCCACAGACACCGCCAAGACGAAAGGTAAGCCAAGCAAAGGATTGGCTGCACAGTGAAATCCGATAAGGCGTCTATCGTGTCGAGTTCGATCGGCTACTTGTCGCCGGATACCTGCTTCATGGCACGAACTCGATTGCACTATCGCACATTCCGCTCTGCACCATCTCTGATTTGATCTCTTGAAACCAACTTGCGACTGCCTTGGTTGCTGGCTCGCACGGCCAGCCGGACAGCCGCGAGCCAGCTCGACGCAGGGGCGATGGTGGCCGTGACACCAGGTCTCAACGAGCTGACGAAGGTGAGACAGCACCACCGAATGGGGTGCATTCAGGCAATAGCAAGGGTATTGTATGGCCGCCGTGGGACGGTATGGGCTCGCGGATTCTTCATGCTGATTCCGCTTTGGTGCTCCAGGACCGAGCCAAAACGATGACGACGAGGCGTCCGGCGGTGCCCGAAAGCGTGGACACGAGCAAGGTAGGTCTGGCCACTGCCGCCCACTGCAAGCGGGATGCACAGAGAGATCAGATACTCGATCGCTCGTTCTCCCTGATGCTGATTGCCAATCGTTTGTGGCTGACTGCGTTGTCATGGCCTTCCAGTCGACGACGACAGATCCGAGTCCCGCACATCGCTTGCCCCGCCGCCACAGGCTGTAGCTGCACAAAGCGGCAACGACGGCATAGGCCCTACAGGAGGAGCCAAAAAAGTCAAGATCATTCGCCAGTCGAACTGAGGATCGTCGGCGAGCCAATACACCGATGTGATTTGCATTCGTATCGCTGGGCTTTATTGCACTCTGGATGCATCCTGCGCAGCGGCAAGATGGTCGCGGAAACAGAGCAGACGCGGATCTGGCTCGGCCGGCTCAAAGCATGCTCTCAAAGGTGGCTTTGGTGGTATCCTTGGACTCCTTGACCAAACCCGAGATGGCCTTGAACTGGGGGTGGCTGGCGTCTTGGAGCAGCTGGAACAGTACCGACTCGGACGACACGATTTTGCATCCAGCGGTCCGGAGGAACTGACAGTCGTATGCAAGCCGGAGAAGGGGCATTGTCAGCGTCTCAAAGGGACACACAGGCTGTGTTAAATGCGACGGTGTCTGTTGCGTCAGCAGTCTCACCTCGATTGCGATCGGGATCTCGCCGGCGTTCATGGATGAAACACCATCCCGGAGGACATAGACATCCAGGTCGGCATCCAGGAGATCCAGAGCGGTCTGCAGCACACAGACATGCGACTAGGATTGCGATTGTGATTGTTTGCCCATCCATATCGTTAGCGCTGGTGCCGCCTGCCGCCTGCCCACTCGCCAGGGCCGGCTTCGTACCTCGATTCCAAAGAGAACCACGGATTTGGTGCCGAGTCTGTGGACAGTATCCTGAACCTCGGGCGTCCACATCGAGAACTTGGTCTTGGGTGTGATGATGCGGGCATCCTCGATGTCCAGCTGGCTGTCGGTCGGGCCCAAACCTGCACCCACAAAGCAACACCGATGATACATGCACAGAGCCGTCAGGAGTGCGCAGGTCCACGATGGTATCCCGCAGGCCGGTCGCGAATCTGCCAGCACGCAGCCTGGAATGCGGGTGTCGTCGGGCAGAAATACACCCACGTACCTTTCGGGTTCTGCTCGGTGACAATCAGAGGAATATCCAGGAGCTTGCCGGCCGAGATCTGATCAACAAGCATGGCAGCAGTGAGGCTCGGGTGGATGCAAGCGCCAAGACTGCACACGGCTCTCCCTGCTCCGTCGGGAATGACCAACGGACACACCTACCATCTTTTTGGCGGTGCTGATGACATAGTGATATTGGTAGATGTGCGGCTTGAACTTTTCCTGAATATCGCACAGGAAGAACGCCGTGGAGGACGGATGGATGCGGGTTCGCAGGGCTCGGACGGCGATGGCAGACATGGCTGGTGAGATGAGGGGCAGGCGGGGCCAAGAGGCGAGAGAGCGAACGGCGGCAATCTGGCTGGCAAATCCGCTCGCCACGACGATTGCTCACATGCAAGCCCTGGGTATCCGTAAACAATCGGGCATGTGCCCGGTCTCCTGCAAGGGGCGAATGCAACCAGCGGTGCTCTGCTCGCTGGGTGGGAGTGCACATCCAGCCCAACGATACTGCGATTCCCGAGCAATAAAAGCTCCACTGTGGCCGACGAACTGGACACCAAGTATTGAGGGAGAGTTGTTTTCTCTGGTCGTGGCCAAACGGTGTGTCCAGGGTGCCTGTACGGAGCCGTGCTGAGGGTCGAATACATGCCACAGGAGATCGCCACAGGAGATCGATCGAGTGCATTCGAGACCGCACTCCCAAGCCCAAAGGCAAAACGGGGATACACTGTGCCGTTTTCATTTGTGCAAACTGTAGTATATTTAGTCGATGGGGAGCTATCGGTCAAAGTCAAAGTCGTTTGGATTCATGGAGCGCTTGGCGAGCCTGGCAACCAGGCCGGACAACTGAACCAGGCTCTGGATGCCGTCGATCATCTGCATGTGGCAGATGCCAATATCCTTCGATAGGTGACATGCTGCAGGTCAGTGCACCGTCGATTTGGGTCATTCGAGAGCCAGGGTCTCGCATGATGCCCGAGTATGCGATCCGCGCTGCTCGTGCCGTTCGCGCTGCTCACCTTCATGTACTCCAGCTTGAGATACTCGGCCATGTCATAGGACTTGACGACCTTGAACAGCGTGCTGATGATATCCAGACCACTGTATCCTTGGTTCCAAAGCTCCTCGATGCGCTCGAGCGCCTTTTGCAGATCGGCCGTGATACAGCCGCGAATCAAGTCCTGGACCACAACCGGGTGTGGTTGGTCGCAGACCTTGAAGACATTGTCAGCGGACACAAAGCCGAACCCGGAGTGGGTGGACTGCAAGTTGTTGATCGCCTGGCGCATATCTCCCTCGCTGGTGAAGATGATGGCTTCGAGGCCATCGGGGCTATAGTTGACCTTGAACAGGGAGACAGACAAATTTTAGTCAGAGGACGGCAAGTGGGCACCGCAGGCAATCAAACGAAGCAGCACTCGATCCGATGCCACCAGTCCGTGCCCCAGATGCAATACGATGGCAGAGCGACACACATTCTCAAACTGGCAGATCTCCATCAGACGCTTCAGCAGCTCCTTCTCGGTGAGCCTCGTGTACCGCAGCATGGCACAGCGACTTTGGATGGGCTCGATGATCTTGCTGGACTGGTTGCACGCCAGAGCGAACCGGGTGGTGTTGGAGTAAATCTCCATGGTTCGCCGCAGGGCCTGCTGGGCGCCCGCAGTCATGCTGTCCGCCTCGTCAAGGATGATGATCTTGTGGCGGCCGGGCGGAAGAGTGACTTTCTTCTGGGCAAACATCTTGATGCGATTTCGGACGACGTCAATGCCGCTGTGGTCATGGGGGCGGATCCAGTATCTCAGAGTCTTATTCGGGTCCAGGTATGAGCGTTGCTGGCGGGCGAGTGAATCGACCATTCTCGATCCAGACTCACCGATCATCCGAAGCATTCAGCTCGAGGACGGCTTCCTTGTAGGACGGGCCAAGCAGCTCATGCGCCAGACAGAGGATGCTGGTTGTCTTGCCGATTCCAGGAGGGCCCTGTGGCCGAGCGGCAGGCGGATGAGTTGTTGCTGTTGGCGCTGCAAATGGCACTGCAGCGATCACGGCGGGGACATACCGAGATGATGATGTTGGGCACATTGCCGTCCTTGGCTATGATCTCGAGTCTTGACACTGTCTCCTGGTTGCCGACAATGTCCTTGAGCAGCGAGGGACGATACTTTTCGACCCTGGAGAAGGAAACCCGATCATGAGGATCAAACAGGTCATGAGCGGCACACCGAGGAGCGCTGGGGAAAACTGGCCAAGGTCGTCATTACCAAGGGAGCTCGTAGTCCTCAGACTCTCCCTGGAAGCTGCCCGAGGCCGAGGGTGCTGCTGAGGCGGCCATGATTGCGATCAGAACAAACAACTCTGCACCCGATCGCCTTGCGAGCCCTTGGTTTCTGAGAAAGGCAACATTGTGCGGATCGAACCAGGCTGGCTGGCTGGCTGGCTGGCTGGATTGACTGTGGCAGTGTGGTGGCAGTGTGGTGGCACGGCACAGTGTATCTCTAAGTGCCCCTCAGCGATGCGACCGATTCCAGTCCCGGTTGGCTTTCGTTTTGCCTTTGGGTTTGGGAGTGCGGTCTCGAATGCACTCGATCGATCTCCTGTGGCGATCTCCTGTGGCATGTATTCGGCCCTCAGCACGGCTCCGTACAGGCACTCTGGACACACCGTTTGGCCACGACCAGAGAAAACAACTCTCCCTCAATACTTGGTGTCCAGTTTGTTGGCCACGCTGTAATAAACAACCCGATGCAACCGAGAATAACGAGCGCCTTCGAAATTGGCTGTGCTGTTGGATCTAAGGTCCAGCGGGCGGCTGGCCCTGGCTTTGGGCGGCAGCCTGAGCCTGGACTTGCGCCTGCGCTTGAGCCTGTGCCTGTGCTTGTGCTTGAGCCTGGGCTTGAATCTGGGCTTGTGCATGAGCTTGTAATTGCGCTTGGGCATCGGCCAACTGTCGCTGGCGCAGGCTGTGCTGTTGTATTTGTACCAGTGGAGGGAACGACTGCAGGGACTGGCCAGCTCCAACGGAGGCTTGGGCGGCCTGCCGCTGTTGGAGTTGCAAGAACTGCTGTATCAGATGCTGCTGCTGTGCAGCATGATGCATCTGCTTCTGGGTCTGGCAAGGATGATCGAGTCAAAAGAGCGGCAATGTAAGCATTGAGCACAGTCAATCCAATGTGGGATGTGAGGTCAAATCGCTCGCAGTGCCCACCTGTTGCTGCTGCTGTTGCTGTTGTTGCTGTTGTTGCTGCTGCTGCTGTTGTTGCTGTTGCTGGTACATGAGCATCATGATCTGCTGTGGAGTCAATGTCGCGGTGCCGGACGCGAGTGGGAACTGCATGGACTGTATCCCCGGTGCCGCCGGTCGAGGTTGTTGCTGTTGCTGCTGCTGTTGCTGCTGTTGCTGTTGCTGTTGCAGCGACATGAGAAGCTGCGGGTTTTGAGCCATCAGCTGCAGGGGTGTCTGCATGGGGCGGAATGTCGCCTGCGCAACCTGGGGCGACGCCGTGACGGGCCGGACATTGACGCCTGTCAATGTGTTGCTATGAAGTGCTGGCGACACGTTTACGGCATTCGCCATAGGCATGTTCATCGCGAGCGAGGCCGGGGTCATCACTGGCGTGGCAACCTTGACAGCGCCGGGCTTCGGGGATGCCGTCGGGAGCGCCGTGCCTCCTTGAGACATGTTCGCCAACGCGCTTCCCGGATCGACCTTCACCATTGCCGGCACTTGCGCTGGCGACTTGGTCTTGTCACCAATGTTCTCCTGCTTGATGGATTTGAGTGAGGAGGACTCTCCAAGAGCGCCGCTGGCGTCCATGTGCATGATGCCGCCAGTGGCGCCTGTCTCCGTGACGAGGCTGGGCTCGGAATTCCCGATACCAAGTTGGGGTGTTGCCGCTCCGGCCTGTCCTGTCTTGTTGCCGGACAGCTTCGCTTGCGACGACAGAACCTCTTGCTTGATCATAGGTGACGACATGATGCCAGGCTTGCTCTGGCCGTTGTCGGACTGATCGACCTGTGGCGGCATGGTCGCAAAACCCGCTTGACCAGCCGCTGCGTTGGTGGTCGACTGTGCTGAATTTAGTTTTTTGGACTGGAGGAGCATCTGGAAATGCATCTGTTGTTGTAGATGCGGGTTCTGCACTGGCTGCATCTGGTGTACATGTAGCGGCGATGTCTGTTGTTGGTGAGCGGGCTGCTTCGGGGACTGCTGAGAAAGAACCGTGTGGTTGCCGGACTGGCCAAATGTCTGTACTGACGAAGCTCCCGCCAGGGCCATCGCGGCTGACTCCGGCTTGACATCGGATGGATTTGGATTGGAAGCTGCATCTGCGGGTGCTCCCGAGACCGATGACTGTTATGGATGGGGGGGGCACAGTAACAGAGTCGCCTGTGAGCAATCTTGAAAGCTACATACGTGCGATTGTGACAGAGCCGATGGTCGGACTGATTCCGTAAGCGCTATAAGCGCCGCTCGCCCACCTTTGCCAGGCGGGATGTAGGGTTGACCTGGACGACGGCAATTCGATTGGATACTTGGGGATCGGCGTTGGCTATAGAGCCATCGGGACTGATGACAATGTCTGAGATGACGTTGTGGGTGAGGCCGTAAAAGGACTTGAAGTGGCAGACATACTGGTTTGCGGCAGCTTTGTTGCCGACCGGGAAGCTATCAGCAGACCGGTTGTGGATCTGTGAGTAACGACGGCACCTCGGAACCACGGTGTCGAGCCGGATCAAGCGGAGCTGCCACCTCTTTGGCAGGTTGCGGCAGTGCGTCAGCAAAGACGACCTCCACTAGTACTTACGCCATCGTGCCTCCGTTGCCAGTGGCGTATCCCTCGGTGTCGCCCCACCGGAGAATCGCCTCGTACTCGCCGTTGCCCATGTCGTATTGATTGAGGATTGTGTAGACCTTCTTGCCGGTCGACGAGGCTGAAAGTTATGGCAGAAAGATATTGCAGCGAGACATGGCATCAGCACATTCCACACCAATCCAGAACTCTTCGAACATGCGCGCGCTCTGATGGCACGGCCCCCTGAATCGTAGCTGCTCAAGCCATTGCCAACCACAAAGCATACCGTTGCCATCCGCAGTGTTCTCGAACTTGATCGTACGAACCAATTTTTGTCCGGTGACGTGCGGAAGCGCCTCCTTGAGTGCTCGATCTTGAACACAGTAGCGACATTGGTGAGACCGCTGCCGCAGAACATGGAGCTCCAAGCAGCGACTCTCGATACAACTCCGTGACTTACTCTTTTTGACTTTCTGGTCGACCGAGAGGATCGGCTCCGCATCCGAAATTCGCCGCTTTCTCTTGAGCTCCTCTATATGGCGATGATTGCGAAAGCTGGGCCCGTGATAGTCGCCATTCAGAGTGGTGAGCTGATGCGCCGATAGCGCGCTACGGCGACGCAGTCCCATCTAGCGGCTAACTCTCACACAGCGCCACCATGACCCGATGGCTACGCTCAAAGAACCCGGGTTTGTGTCATGCAAGTCGATTCCCACGCAATTGCTTGAGAATAGTTGATGCATACCTTGGCTGAAATGGCTGACCGGCCTTCTACGGGGACCAAAGAAGCGGCGGATCAGTAAAGCAGCAACCAACAGCTGCTTGGTAGCTGACCAGTACTGAGCGCTGGGCAATGGCGTGCGTGCTGCCGCGAACACCAACCTCATCCATAAACAGCAGCAACTTGTTCATTGCCTCTGCCTTGGCCTCCTCTTCCTGCTTGCCGACAAGGCTTTTGGTCCTCTGAGTCAGCGCCAGAGAACGACCCTTGTGCTGGTTGTAAGCAATCGTGTTCTTGGCCACCATCACTCTGGGCGACGGGTCCAGACAAAGTGGCTCGGAGAGGATTGGCTGTGCAGAGCCATCGAGACAAAAGGAAGAATAGTGGCAGCAGCGCGATGGAGTCAGTCGGCTGCACGCAGCAGATCGCAGCGACCGAGCGGATTCGTTCAAGATGGCCATGAACAAGAGCCGCAGAGAGTCGGTACTTGCCAGAAGCTTGGCCTCCATGGCCGTCACAAAGTCCTCTGACCACGGCGCCTTGCCCTCGGCCTCGGCGACCTGAGATACATCGGCCCACAGAGCCGCGAGTGGCGGCACTACGGTGACCGTGAAGGAGTATGCAGGAAGGAGGCTGGATGCATCGGCAGTCTTTGGCTGACCCTTCATGACATAGCGATGATCATGGATCTCGACAATCATCTTGCCTATCGAAGCAGCGTCGGTCGAAACCGCGACACATCGGCGAGATGAGAGGTAAGGAGCATCAGCTGCACATCGCCAGAGCACTTGGCCAGATGCGATGTGGATTCGCCGAGAGAACCGTTGCTGGCAAGCCCAGACCTTCAGTAAAGTTGGACTCGTTGAACAGATCAGAGCCGTTTTGGGGGAGCTGTCCCTGCATGATGGAGCTCAGGAATTCCTACGACGACGCAAAGTCGGAGCACTGTGAGAATCCTTCAGCGATTCTGCCAGTCGAGCAGGCGAGCGACCGGGTGCAATTGCAGAGCATGTTCTCGTCCGGAGGTCCTGAATGGATGCATCCCAAGCCAAGCCCATCCCAAACTCGCAGAGGTCGAACGAGATTGCATACATTCAGGGTCGAGTTGTACGGAAACATGGCATCGGGCTGAGAATCGGTCGAGTCCAGAGGAGAGAGAGGCAAAGCAAAAATGAGCACTCCCAAGACGCCGATATCATACAGGTGCACTGCTCTCTGCATCGTTGGTTCCTCGAGTGGACATGACTATCGTCACCCACCTTATGCTGGAAGGTAACATGGGAGGCATGCATGTGGATGACCAGTCCGGCCTTTTGCTTTGGAGGCGGTGCGCTTGAGGCGAGCGATCCCAGGCTGCTCTGGCTCGCAGTGACAACCGCTGGAGGTGTGGGATATGCAGACTGGATCAGTGTGTGTCGGGCTTGGTCGCATCGGCAGCGGCCAGCTCCTCCCGAGTTCATGATGGTGCTGTGCTTCCTGTCGGGGGGGGGGTGGGACCTTCGGCGAGCAATTCACTCATCGAGGCGAGCAGTTCGCGGATGGCAGCATCGAGAGCAGAGGGCATTGCCTGAATCGAAGCGGGTTGGAGCGGACGAGCGACACGAATCGGTTATTATGCGTCTGCACTCACAGCTCAGCTTGGACGTCGGCCCCTTTGGTATTTTCACCTGTTGTGAAGGAAGATGAAAATTGGACGGAGCGTGAGCTGGATCTGATGCCTGTCGAGGGCTTGGTAGCCTCATACAGATCGGCAGGCACGGAGGGATGGGTCAATGGGGCACGGCAAGATTCAGGCAGGCGAGAGCCATCCGAACAGCCAAGGGCAAGCCAGAGGTTTTGGCGAGACGAATGAAGAGCGAGCATCCGTCCACACCCGTCCGTTGCTTTAATTGTGTGATCGTGGGCAACAGCGACGGCGATCGGGGCAGCTGGTAAACAGGAGCCGAGGGAGGAACGAGGCCGATGGGATGAAGCTCGCCCGAACGCAGCCAACACTCATGCAAAGCCTGCCGGCGCCAGGCTTGCTCTATTACTTTGGACATGCGGGGGTGATCACAGGTGATCTCGATGGATGGGTAGCGGGCCTGGGCGGTGGGCAATGTCAGCTGTGCGAGGGGGTGGGGCGCTTGACGGATGCTCAGGAGAGATGGATCAAAAGCCGCGGCGAACGAAAGCGGAGGCGAACTCTGGCGGTCTGTGTCCGAAGCGATACCCATCCTTCCCACCTCCTCACATCGAGGCCCAGATGCAGCCCCAGCCAGTCACCCCTCCCCGAGTTCCGCTGGACAGCGAGAAAATGAATCAGCGGTAGCGACTCCACGATGCTTATATTCAAACGAGATACGTATGCAGCTTGTCCTGTCGCAGCATCGGACGAAGAAACGAGAACGACGACGGACAACTCTGGCGGCAGCAACAGCGTTACTCGACTCAGGAGTAGTCTCCTAGAAGAAGGGATTCGGTGCGCTGTTAGCCTGGGTCTGGAAGAGGTTCTGGTTGCCGAACGGCTGCTGTTGCTGGGCAGCAAAAGGTTGCTGTTGCTGGAGACCGAACGGCTGCTGCTGCTGCTGTTGTTGTTGTTGTTGTTGTTGGAAGCCAAATGGTTGTGTGCTGGCGCTCTGGGGTGCGAGAGAGGCGAACGGATCCTGTCCTCCGAACCCACCGGCGCTGCCAGTCGAGAGACTGGCGGCTCCGGTATAGGGCGAGGGGTTGAAGGACGAGAATCCAGAGATGCCCGAGGCCCCCGAGACGCTGCTCGCTCCGCTGAAGGGCGAGGCAGTTCCCGAGATGCCGCCGAAGGCGTTTGCGGCCGAGCTGTTGGCCCCGAGCAGGTTGGATCCGCCCTGGGCAGAGAGCTGCGAAAGCGTGGGCTGGGCCGGCTTGGGAGCTTCCCACTGGAAGGCATTGCTGGTCGCGGCGGGTGCGGAGGAGGCAAATGGGTTCTGGGAAACCTGGGGACCGAAGCCGCCGTTGCTGACCGGCTTGGCCGACTGGAGCGGATCCAGCCCCGAGAACGCCGGGGTGGTCTTTCTGCTTGACGCAAAGATATCTTGGGGCGACGAGCTGCTCAAGGCAGGGCTTCTTGTGGACTGCTGGTGACAAGAAGGATGGGCCCGCTGCGTGAGTAACGGCGGCAGTCGAATGTCGAGACGGCAGCACATCGACACAGCTCCCACCCTCCGACGAAGCACAGAGGGGAAGAGCGGGTCTGGGTGTGAACATTGTGGACGTGCATCACGGAACAGCCCGCTCTTGCTCCCGGGTCCTCACCGAGTTTAGTCCACCCAGGGAGGCAAACGGGTCGCCGGAAGCAGAAGCACCCGCAGGCTTGCCGACAGCTGCACCCCCAAAGATGTTGGGGCTTGTGGGAACCCCCGAGGTCAGAGCAGGTCTGGCGGTTGAAGGGATTGTGGCGTCAGGATGATGATAACTCCCAGGAATGCGCGATCGGCGAGCAAACATCGCATGATGGGCATGATGGTGCCAACTCACTGGATAGGCTTGCTGCCCGATAGACTTGCAAACGGATCGATGTTGGCGTTGCTAGGAACGTGAAGAAGGAGTCAGAGCCAGATGCACATACCAATGCACGTACCAATGCGCTGCACCCGAGCCGTACACGCCACAGCAAAGTGTTTGGGAGATATCCAGACCAGCGCCCTCGCTGGCTCAAACTCACTTGCTTCGAGTGAGATCGACGAGATGGTCTTCGGTTTTGGGCTGCAATTAAGAACGGCAGGAAGCAGCGCAGGTTTGGTCAATACAAGACAGGAGGCAGGACTGAGAACGATGTGACCCGAGCCGACTCGAGCACGGACTGCACTTTGCCATAGGACGTCGCCTCTTTGTGGCTCAGAGGCATTGGTTACTTACAGGGATCACGACAGGCTTGTTGATGAAGGGGTTGGCGGCTGAGGCAGACAGAGGCTGCAGTCCCGCAAACGGGTTGGCGGCCGAGTTAGCAGCGGCGGCAGCGTTAGCCATGGCCTGTTGTTGCTGTTGCTGGGCGAGGAGCTGCTGCTGTTGCTGCTGCTGGGCAAGCAACTGCTGCTGTTGTTGCTGTTGGATCAGGTACTGCTGCTGAAGCTGCTGCTGTTCAAGCTGTTGCTGAAGAAGCTGCTGCTGTGCCAACTGCTGCTGAAGCATCTGTTGTTGGTAGAGCTGGTTTTGGAGACCAAAGGGATCCGAGTTGGCGAGGTTGGGGGCTGGGACCTCGGCGGTGCTTGAGAAAAAGTCAATCAGGACGGGGTCTCCGGTCCGGTGCTCGGCTACGGTGCTTCCGGTCATGTGTGCTTGCATCTTTCGTCGCTCGATGGCTTCCTTTTCGCTCATCTCAAGCGCTCGCTGAAGTTCAGCCTCGCTGAGGTCGGCGGACAGAGAATTAGAGCATTTGCGTCAACGATAGACCAGCTTATGTTGCAACGATGTGCATTCTATGGTGAGACGGGGGGGTTTGTGCGCCGGCATTGTTGCGCCATCCCAACGCGCTACAGTGGAGCATACTTCTTCAAGCCTTCGAGGCGACGTCGCTCCTCGGCCGTGGCCGTCTTTTTGCTTTCTTCAAGGGCACGGCGCATGTCGGTATCAGCAAAGTTACCGCCGCTTTCGCCATAGTGCCCGCTGCCGTAGTCCGAGTCGCCAACGTAGTTGCTTCGGCCACGGCGATTGGTGCGGGCGTCACGCAGACGCTCCTCGTCGTTCAGCAGGGCGGTGACTTCTTTGCACTTTGAGCGGACTGGGCGATATCAAAGCAGCCACACGAGGGCGGATCCATCAGTGGCCAGATCGGGAACGAGACCGCATTGGATATATCGAGGGGAAGCCAGGACATTCGGCGCGATAGACGACAAGGTCCTACCCAACGAGCCTTGGTCGCGACCGTCGTCGTCAAAGTACTGGAACTCCTTCAAGGTCTGAATGATGTGGATGTTTTCTTTGAAATACTCGACAACCAGATCAGAGCCGTTTCTCAGTATGTAATCCGTGAGAATCAGCGACTGGTGTTTTTGGGATCGACAGCGCAGAGATAGAAGAAAGGAGGGCCAGTATGAGAAGTTGAACGGCCCGAAGCGACACGAGAAACGAAGCGGGCTTGAAAGAGGACGATACCAGAAGCGCAGTGTGACGGTGTGGCGGGCCCGAATGGACACCGCCCTCACACGCCACAACCACGCAACAGGCCGTTCTCGATGGGATCTGTCGGTGCCGGCCAGCGAGCGCACGACCAGAGAGCGCACGACCAGAGGAGCGCACGGCCAACACACCTTGTACACATGTCTCCAGTTCTTGCCAGAATCATTCAGACGCTTGTCCAGGATCTCCATGATTTCCAGAAACTCTCGTCTACGCGGATGGACAGAGGCAGAAGTGAGCGTGAGCTCGAGCATGCGAGTCGTGAGGCGAAAGGGGGCACACATCTGGACGAGCCAAAAAGAACCTCCTCCCCCCCCCTCTCCATCGAGTATGACGTACTGGGTGTAGGTAGAGCTTGAGATTTCATCCATCAGCTTGGCAGAAGGGCCCCACTGGGACAGGCGAGGAAACAAGCCCAGAAAACCAAAATACAATCAGTTTTCGCTGGATTTGGGACATGTCCCGTCCAAACACACTGCTCTGTGCCGAATCTGTGGGCTCGGCGCGCAAACCACCCTCCTCCCCAGACGGCCCGCCAAGCAAAGCGTCCGGTCCGGTCCGGCTTAGTTTGGTTTGGTTTGGTTTGGTAGTCTTTTCGCTCGAGAGTGCCGAGCCAAGGCGACTTCAGCATCAAACCAGCGGGCCACAGCAGATGAAGAGCCCGGCATTGCCACAGGACCGGACGGCAGGGACCGCTAATGGATGAACGGTAGGACGGACAGCAAAACTTACAGCATCGTTGGACGTGGCCGTGCTGATCCAGGTTGATTTTGTCGAGGAGGTGGGTTAGGGGGGGGGGCGGGGCGGAGGATAGAGAGTGGTGGCGGGTGGGATGGGATGCGATGATAACATCAGCAACCGAACGAGCCAGGAGCCGTTTGAATCTGCGGGCGGCGGATGTGCTTTGTCCACCCAAGCACCGGAGACGGGCCAACTCACCGGACTTTGATCTGCAAGTCCGAATACCCCTTGACGAGGTTTTTGCTGGTGGACAGAGAGCAGAATTCAAGCCAGAGTCAGTCAAGAGCCTGTCGAGCTCGGCGAAGCGAAGAGGGGGGGGGATTCTGATCTCCTCGCTGGCGACAGAACCGAGGAAGATGCGGATTCTGCATCCGTGCGGGACCAGGCAGCCTGTTGTGGGAGAGGAGAGTGAAGCCAAGGAGGCTGGATCCGATACACAATCGCCGGACGAGGGCCCAGGCAGGAAAACCTACGCCGTGCGCATAACACTCTTGCCGACGCCTGACATGACGGATGATGCTGGGCGGGTGTGGATTCGATAGCGAAGGGTTCGGGGCTGTGCGCCGAGGGAGGACGACGGAGGAGGGATTGGTCTCGCGGGGAGGCTGTTGCTGCTGTTGGCGCTGGCGCTGGTGCTGGTGCTGCTGCTGCGGCCTTGCGCTGGAGACGGGGAGAGCGGACGAGCGCCCTGTGTGTGCGGATATTGGAGGAAAACGCCCGGGGGAAGGCGAGCGGAAATCCATCCAAAAGAGAAGCGCTGACGACAGGGGTCGTGCCGAAGGGCGGATCGAACCGGAGCGAGTGGCGGCGTGGGAACCTGCTGCTGAGGATACTGGCCGAGTATACAACATCGAAGGCGAGGAAACGATCCCGAGGATGCGAGATCGAGTATACGGATTGCTCAGGGCGCTGAATACACTCTAGGCTCTGACAGCGATGACAACGCCTGTGGACCGCACGCCGCCGCTCCTATTTGCTCGGCTCAACTGGACTCGAGTGCCTGGAAGCAGCCAGCACTCCCATCACGGGCATCTGCTTTCCAAAAACACACACCCTCCATTGCAAACCCAGGGGCCCTCCGGCAGACAAAACAATGTCCTGTTATTGACGATCAGCAAGAGCCGCTCCAGTCTCACAGTTCAAGTGGAGGAGGGACGGGGGGACGGGCCTTAGACGACAAGGATCTGCTGGCCCTCCCACGACTGGCCAGCCTCGAGGACGATCGGGGTCGAGACCGAGCCCACCTCGACACAGACCATGTTCTTGTACTCCTCGTCGCCAAAGTCGGCCATGGCCTGGGCCTTTTCGATCCAAGGATTCCACAGCACAACGTCGGGGAAGTTGGTCTTGTGGATGCGGACATCGCCAATGTGGGTATTCTCGACCAACACCTCGCCGTCGACCTGCTGATAGACGCGGTCGACTTCCATCGCGATCTTGGCCTCAGATCGGGTCTCGGTAAAAGTACCGGGGGTCACCTTATCGAGGTACTGTCGGTTCTCGAAGCCGCGGACGGCAACATCATCGACATTCTGGGAGCGGAAGAGGATGCAAAGGAGGGTGAGTGTTGCAGCCAAAGCAGATTCGTTCAAGGCGCATCAAGCGCACCATACACGGTAAAGTCAGTACTCGGGCGGCCGGCACTCGCCAGACTTGGGTACCTCCTGCTTCCAACCGAACGAGCGCATGTCCTCACCGCGATTCTCAGGTACGTATGCAGCAGCGAGGTGAACAGGAAGCTCTCGCTGCCGGGGTTCTCGGCCCTCAGGGAGGTGGTCAGGGTTCGGTCGGCCAGACGGACGGTATACACGAGGCGGAAATCGTGCTGCCAGAGAGCACGGAGGTGCTCGGGGACGAGCTCGGGGCGAAGCTCTGTTGACGGGCAGATCAGTATTGTCGATCAGTATTGTGAATCAGCATCGTCGATCAGTATTGTGGGTCAGTATCGTGGATCGGCACGGAGCGTTCGCGTCCAATGCAATCGGCGACGAGCACCAGATCAAAACTGTGAGAGACTCGACAGCCATCGCGGCGGATATCACTATTGCTTTTGAACCCCATTTGCGGGTCCGAGCAGTCCACTGAGGCAGATTGCCATCCAGCTCGGCGACTCGCTTGCTCGTTGGGAGTAGAATCGATGCTCACCAAATTGAACAACGACTTCGTCGCTCGAATCCTTGACGGCACCCAAGAACTTCCAGCTGCAGCCGAGATGGTAAGTATCACTGCATGAGCACATGGCACGACTGGTGTTGCAGCGCGGAAAGCGGGCTTGTGCAGGCCAAAGAAGCGCTGAAGAAGGGGAGAGAGGCTCGCTCACGGATCTGGGAGTCCATCACGGCACCGCCACCGGAGGATAGCATGCGCTGAAATATGGGACTTACGTCGAGTTGCGAGCGAATCCGTGCTGCGGAAGCTTGCTGTACGAGACCGATCCAAAATGAGGGAAGACGAGAGGACTGGCATCCATGGAATAGGCAAAAGAGAGCCAGTAGTCAGCGGGATTGACTCTGCGATGGGATAGACATGGCCCAGCACGACGCAGATCGATCCGATGATCCCTCGAAATCGCGCAACATACATGCCGCCGCGGATGGCCTTGGACGAGTCGAGGAGAGCCTTGGAGCTGGAGCACATCCGGAGAAGCAAGCCGTCAGCCCAACGGCTCAAATGTGCGTGCATATTCTGGAATTGTCTGCAACATCAACAGTCACGCTGATGCGGCGATGCATACAGAGGCGCATCTGGTAGCAATCCTCAAGCTCCCCCCCCCCAATGCCCACACACACACAAACCATCTCCAACGAAACGACGAGGCCGCAGATACCTGAGGAAGAGCCGCTCATGGCCGTCCACGGTCCAGGAGGTCACGGTGGCGCCAAAGTAGAAGATGGTGACCGAGGAGTTTGCAAAGGAGAGCTGGACGAAGCGGGGATCGGCAGTGTTGACTTTTGAAGGCGATTGCGGGAAGAGATGGCGGAGACGGTCACAGCAAAAACAGAGGACGGTTGAGGATCGTGGTGGGGCTGCAGGGAGTGGCCAGAGCGACGACAGCCGCGATCAAGGGGAGCCCGGTGGAAAAGACGGTCGGCAGTTACCTGGCATGGCTGGTTGCTTGCGTGTGTCTGGAGGACTGCGGATGGACGGGGCAAGACGACGGGCGAGACGATAGGCGAAAGATCGGGATGGACTGGGGGAAAGGCGGGGCTTGCAGATGAGCCCGCTGGTTCGGCGCAGGCGACAGCCAAAGCCGCCAACGCGCACTGGGGCCGATTGGCAGCGGGACGCGATTGGCCGGCGGGCTGGTGCGACAGGGGAGGTGCACAAGCGACTGTATTCGGTGGATGCAAGGGTCTGGTGTCGGGACGCCGACGTCAAAGCGACGGGGACAGCACGGGCGCAGAGACATGCGCCGCCAACATATTATGGGAGATGGGAAGAAGAAGAAAAACCAGCTACGGACGTATTGGCGAGGGAGCCTGATGGACATGGGAAGGAAGACGCTGCGAGGGCGGAGGCAACACAGCCAAACGGATCAAGAGCGAAAGCATGTGTCCGGGGTGGACGAAACCGATGCATCAACCACAGCAGCAACGACAGTCGATCAGCGGACTGCCGTCGTAAGACAGAGACAGGGGATAGCGAATGGAGGTGGACGGCGCTGGTCCCGGCTAGAATGAGGCGTGTGTGTGCATCGGAACGATGGCTGCCTGGACCGCGGATGAGGCCCTTCTAGAGCAGAAGCCGGCATTGGCAGATATGGAGCGGACGGAAGCATTGCGATTGATTGAATCGAGTGAATTGAGAGCGAGAGGGTGTGGGCGGGTCGATAATCGAGATGACAGAGCGAAAGGCAAGGGATAGAACAAGAGACAAGCGAAGGAGGAGGGACGGGATCGCACGCGAGCCCTCATTTGCCGGGGACAGTTATGCATCCTCCAGCACCATCTACTTCTGGATCAGCTTCTTCTTGGCGAGATAGTCCACAGGGTTGATCTTTCCGCTGATCAGGAGCTGGTCGAGCTCGCTCAAGGTCAGGGGTGCCTCGGGCTCGGCAGCAGTAACGGGCTCGGGGGTGCTGGAGGCAGCAGCTTCGGATGCATCAACCGGCTCCTCCTCCTGGACGTCGCTGATCTCCGCGGGGGTCTTTTCGGTTGACAGAGCCGACGACGACTCGGCCTCGGAGCGAGAGGAGCTTGAGTGGCGCGTGGCCGATCCATCAACGGTATCGGGCTGGAAGGACAGTCCCGTGCGGGGCGGCACACTCATCGGGAACATGGGAGTGACCGGGATGGCATCAACGGCGATGCGCTGGTTCATGGGCGTGCGGTCGACGATCGAAGGCGAGGCGAGGCCGGCCAGGATTTCGGATGCGGGTCGGCTGATTTCCGAGTTGCTCTCGGCATCCTCGGACGACAGGGTCGAGCGAGGGGCCTTGGGAGGGCGAACGGGGGTAGAGTCCGGCTGGGCTGCCGTCTTGGGCTCATCCGCGGGGGCACCGCCGGTCTCGTCGATCAGCTCTCGTTGAATATCCGAGAGGAGGTCGTCCAGGCTCTTGAGGTCGACGCCCTCGCGCTCCGGAGCAGATGGTGGCTTGGTCTGGGGGGGCGCAGAGTGTCCCGTTGCCTGGGAGCCGGAGCGGGTCAGGTTGGATTGCTGTGAGAGCGAGCGACTCATGTTGGACTGCGACTGCGAGCGATACAGGTTGTGGTGGTGCTGCGACGGTGATCGCGGGGCCGCATTGTCTTGGGGGCTGCCAGCGACAGCTTGGCCGTGGACGGAAGAACTACCGGGCAGGGGCGTAAAGTGCAGGCGGTTTACGGGGAAGGTTCCGGTCTGGCCGGTCGACAAGTTGGCACCCTCAGCCCAGCCGTTGGCAAAGATTTGGCTGCGACGTAAAGGAAAGGATGAACAACATGCGTTAGTAGCGATGCAAGAGAGAGGGACGACACCGTCGACACGACAGAGACACTCTGTCTGGGATCGCTCTCGCACATCGTGGCAACATTCACATACCTGACGCTCATCAAGTCACCCGGATGGAGATCAATCTCCTCGTCCATGGTCTTGACATAGGCATGAATGGCGACGGCGCGCCGCTCCGAGGGCTGGCTCTGCCACGGGGCATCGCCGCTCTGGGACGAGATCGATGGCCGCGGCTGAAGCTGGGAGCGAGGAACACGGACCTGTGCCTGTGCCTGTGCCTGGGCCTGGGCCTGGGCCTGGGCCTGGGCCGACCACTGCTGCTGATGTTGCTGATGTTGCTGATGTTGCTGATGTTGCTGCTGTTGCTGCTGAGGCGATTGAGGAAGAGGCTGACTCGGGAGTTTGTTTTGGTGGGGACTGGGCAGAGGGGACTGGGGAGGTGGGTTGGAGCTGCCCTGGTACTTTGCGTACTGCTGCTGATAGAGCTGCTGCTGCTGCTGCTGTTGTTGTTGTTGTTGTAGCTGTTGCTGGTAGAACTGTTGCTGCTGTTGCTGCTGCTGTTGATAGAGCTGCTGCTGTTGCTGTTGCTGTTGCTGCTGGAGAAGCTGTTGCTGCTGATACAGCTGTTGTTGCTGCTGTGGGTACAGCTGCGGGTACTGCTGGTACGGCTGCATGCCAGGATCCACTGCGACTGGCTCAGGCGGCAGCATACCTCGCGTGGGCACGGGCTGGACGCCGTAGGGGTTCTGCAGCTGGGAGTTCTGGCCATAGGCTGACCGGGGAGGCTCGACGAGGGGCTGCTGAAAGTTGGGATAGGTGCTCACAGCCGAGCGCGGAGGGACGACGGCAGTTCCATCGTACATGCCTGGCATCTGCTGGCGGCGCCGCTGGTCCTGGAACGAGTCATAGGACATATCGGCCGAGGGAGAGGGGCTGTATCGCTCAGACTGCAAGCCTCTGCCAGAAGGGGTCTTGGCGAGCCCGGGATAGTTGTGGCTACCATACGAGGATGAGAGCGAAGCAGTATCAGCCGAGAGGGCGTTGGTGGACTTTGATCGATGCATCATGAGCCCATTGGTAAGGACGACGGGCTGGGGCTCGTCGTTGGTCTTGGACCTGGAGCGGAACACGTTATCGGACGAGTCCGAGGTGGCCACAGGGGGGATCGAGGGGGAGGTCTTTGCTGAGCGGGACCATGCCGAGGGCTTGGGCGACTTTGACGGCAGGCTCTGGGGACTGGGGGACTCTGAAGACTTTGCGGGGCTGCTGGTGTTGTTGTTGCTGATGGACTTGACGTTGATGGGACGGCTGAAGGCCGCGCCGGCAATTCCGGCACCGTGCATTCCGTACATGGTGGGCAGATGGTTATGAATGGGGGATCCCAAGGGTGGTGGAGGTGGTGGAGGTGGAGGTGGAGGAAAATGGCACGAGGAAAGGAGAAAGAAGGGCGTGGGCCAAAAGTGCGGAGACGACCAAGAAGGTAGAAGCGAGGCCGTGCGCCGCGAAGAGACGAGAGAAGCCGATGCAAGGGGAGGGGTTGGACTTTTGCACAGACAGGAGCAGCAGGCGGCGCGGAGGCAGGTGCTTTTAAGACGGCGGCGCGAGATGCGGGAGATGCGGGAGGAAGAGCAGGAGAGGGCTGACGGCAAGCCAGTGCTGAGGAAACCCAAATGCCGAGGGGAAGAGCAGCCAGGGCCGATCGGCGGCTCGGGCGGGATCGAGCGTGGGACGACGGATGCGGCAGCAAGGACGAGCCACGACAAGCAGCAGGCGGCACACGAGCAGCACGGAGACGAGCCACGGAAGTGCTTGAGGCGAATGGCTGCAAACATCGCGGGATGTCACGCGTGGAGACTGGGAGCACAAGCGACGACGCATGAAGACAGGGGCGACTGGGACATGTTGGGCAAACATGGCGGGCATGAGCGAGATGCATGAGAGGGCGGGTGCCCCGGGGCTGCCAAGTGCATCGGGAGAAGACGGCTGATGCAGAGACAGGGCAGCGGTAACGGCATCGGTAACGGGAACGGGAAAGGACGAGGGTGTCTGTAGCGACCAGGAACTGGATGTGCTGAGAAGACTGGCGGAACTTTGCAAGTTAAGACTGGGTGGCTGACCAGTGGCTGACCAGTGGCCGACGGGAATGGCAGAGGGTGGGCCAAGCAAAGCCTGCAGACGACAAACAAACACTGACAGAACAGAGCAGCAAAAGCCATACAGCCCGTGCGACCGGGCACAGCCCGTGGGAACGGGACCAGCCACGGAGACACCGGTGCGACGGGGCGGCGGGGCCGCAACACGCCAGGACGGGCACAAGGGTCAGCAGGGACGGCACAAGGCGGCAGGGGTGCGGGCGGCAGCACCACTGGCTGAAGCGACGGCCGGGTGGTGGCTGGGCGATGGCCGAGAGATGGGGAGACAACGGAGAGAGACAGATGCAAGCGATGGTGGACAGAGACGATGGGCAGATGCAAGCGATGATGCACAGACATGGTATTCCGTACCAGCACGGACATGGTATTCCATGCCAGCACAGCATCGACACAGTATCCACACAGTGTCAACCAAACACACCACCAACAAGCTCACCGCATCCAATACCACAGCCGCAAACATTTGCACAAGCGCGTTCAGCCGCGAGTGGTGCACTGCTCCAAGGCGGCGAGCCTGTGCTGCCGTGGCCCGGGCGGCTGTGCGCGGGGGGAGCGTGGCGCAAGCGGATCGACCCGCCCTCGACCCGCCCTCGACCCGCCCTCGACCCGCCCTCGACCCGCCCTCGATCCGCCCTCGACCCCGATCCAGCCAGCCGTCACACGCTCCCGTCACGCGCCCGCCACGCGCCCGCGCCCATTGGCCAGCGGCGGAGTCCGGTCCGCCAATCGGCACAGCGCTCCGCAGCCCCATATTTCACCATGTTGCCCCTGGTTGCTGTTGTCCGTCTGCTGGGCCTGTTGGAAGCGTGCCGGGGTCTCTCGTCTGTCCGGGCTGTCCCAATCCACCCCGCAAGCAATCAAGCAAGCCTACTCGCCTGCTGCCCACGCCCGAGGGCATGCCATCGGCCCCAACCTACCGCTGCACTGCGTTGCCAGCGCACCCGCCTCGTCGGGATCGTCCTGCAGCACCAGCCAGCCTTCGCACGACCCAGGCAGGACTCGGTCTTTCCTCCTTGCTGCTGCCCCTCCGGCCGCCTCTCCGGTCTCCCCCGATCGCGCCCGCCGCCAGCCTGACTCTATCGCACCTCACCATCGTACCATCCACACCTGTTTCGCCATGGCCGACGACAAGTAAGTTGCATCTCCCTCGCCCACAATCCGGTGCTGCGGTCGCTGCCAGCCACCGGCCCGAAGGAACAATGCTGTCTCTGGCAGGCGCGATCCATGCAACTCTAGGCTTCGGCTCCGGGTATACACGTTGATCCACGGCCCACCCGCGCCAACCCGCATCAACCACTGTCTGCCTCAGGTATCGGCTCATGCTCGTCAAATTAATTACGCTCCGCGAAAGGGAGCTTGAGCTCAGAGACGAGTTCCTGGCCTGGAAACAGCTCTACTCTCACTCCCGGCTCTCCACCGCCCAAGGCAGCCCAGCCACATCCCCCATTGTCGACCCTGAGCATGTTTGGCCCTCGTGGCTGCCTGGGCCGACGCCCCACGAGATACCAGAGGAGTTTAAGATGATAGCGTACGACCGCTTCTGCAAGGTATCGTACTGACCTGTCGTTTGGGGCCAGGCTTGACTTTGCTTGGCTTGGCTCGGCTTGGCTTGGCCGGTTTTTGCTTGACTCGACTCGGCTTGGCTGAACGGCTCCCTGGCCCGGTTAAGCCTCGCCACGATTGTCCTTGGTGCTCAGCAGCCGTTGTCCTGTACCAGAAGCTGCTTGCCTCGGCTCCTGTGCCGCTCGATAATCTACAAAAGCCGGGATATGCGACTCATGTATGCGAGTGTCGAGCGGGCACACTGACCCACTTCTGCTCTGCATCCAGGGAATCGTTCCCAAGTATCTCATTTGTGGCGTCATCAAGCGCAAGCCGTTCGAAGCCTTTGTCGACTCAGCGCCCGAGTATCTCAAGGCGATCGTCTTTGCCCTGGGCTTCTGGCATCTCTCTGTCCGATCGCCGTCTGTCAAGCCGCCGTCACAGGCCGAACGCAAGCCCATCCACACCTCCTGTGCGGAGAAAGCCCGCCAACTTCTCCTTGCAGTCGTCGACCAGCCCTCTGTCGATGTGGCCCAAACCTTGATTCTGATGGCCTACTATGGCCAAAGTGAGCAGCCTATTCCGCCCGAACAAGCTGTTGCTGTTGCTGTTGCTGTTGCTGTTGCTGTTGCTGTTGCTGTTGCTGTTGCTGTTGCTGTTGCTGACCGTCCTTTCAACGCTCGCATCGCCAATGTTTCCCCCCAGTGACGGACTCCTGTAAGTGATCTATCGTCGGTCGCTCCTCACCGAGCACAGTCTTCATGTTTGTGCATCTCTCGATCCACATACCACTCCGCCGTGCTCATTCGGTTCTTGCAACTGCTCACGGTGCATACCCCTCCCCAAAGTCAAGTTGCAAGTGCATTGCACTGCCGAAGCCTGCCGCATGGCCAACTATCTCTACAGCCAAAAAACCGCCCTGGTTCAACAGGGCGAACTGGGCCGTGAGGCATCCGAATCTATCCGCCGGATCGTCTATCACTGCCATGTGCTCCAGTGCCGAGTGACCGGAATGCCTTTCATGCCCTTTGCCCACTCACACGAGCTCCGGTTCGATGCATTGCCGCCCTATGAGTCGCCCGAAAATGAAGCCGCCTGGTCCTACGAAGAGAGGCCCATGTTCGCCCCGAATGCCGTCGGGCCCAACCTCTCCGTCGACATCCTGTTCCTGCAAAAGATCCATGGCCATGCCGTCAAGTACCTACGCCTTTACAACGACGGACCCATCGAATGCGACCCCAATGCCAACCAACAGGCTCAACTCAAAGCCGAGTACATTGTTTTCAAAGACCAAGCCTCGCAGAGTTTGTGGAGGTGGTATGCCTCCCTCCCAGACTGGATTCGAGAGGTTGTCAACCTCCAGCAGCTCTCCAGTCTCAATCGTGTCTCGAACGTCATGGATCTCGTCTCCCTCAACATGCTCTTCTACTCGACGCTTCTGGCAGTGCACTACCCGGCCATGATCGAAGGTAACGCCGGCTTCTCACAGCACTCTGAACTGTGTCTCACGGCACGGTGGTCAAGCTATGTTGTCCTCCTTGTCGCCCATGTCTGCATATCGTAACTGGGGCTTGTGCTTGTCGAAGTTTTGATATCTGGACGCCATCTCGCTCGAGCACATCTGCCTCGCCTGTCTCGTCTGTCCGTAATCGTGCTGGTACCGGCTTGGCTCACGCAGACGCAACCCAACCCCATCATTGTCCGCCCGATCGTCTCGCATTTCTTCATCTCTTTTCCAGAGCTGTGGTATCGGCCCCAGGATCCCACCGCGACACTTCCCAACTACATGATATGTCAGCAGCTGCGATCCAGTGTCGAGAACATGATCTACTTGAGCTGCGCGATCGACTCGAGCCTGACCTCGTTCAACATGGGAATCAGCTACCCTTACTTTTTCATCGCATCCATGGTACGAATCAACCTACGTGTGTTGCAGGGTTCTTGCGCTTGATGTCAGTGTCGTGGATTCCCACCTTTTGCTAGGACAATCCCCGCGCCACTATCGCCAGCGCTCCGGCCACCATCTCGGTCCATTTATTTCCGTTCTTGTATGCCCCTTCCCTTCCCCGTCATCGCGGCAGACATTTTACATCCTCTGCAAAGCAGAGCCCGAGACCGATGTGCCACGGCTGTTGGGCAACGCCTCCATGCGCATCATAGTCGAGACCGAGCACGCAGGCATCGTCTACGAGGGCGAGGCCGCTATCCCACGCTTCATTGAGCACATCTCCAAGTTCATATCCATCACTCAGCTCTGCGAGATACGAAAGCTGAAATACTCCATCTTTAGCGACATTCATCAGAGAGTTCTCTGTCGTGTCCCACAGCCGTACCCTTCAAACTTGTCTGAGCTGGTTCGCCAGTACCGCCGTTCCCACGACCCGCCAGATCACGAAATGTCGTTCACCGCCCTTGGACCGTGGCTCCCAATCAGCTATCTGGAGAGGTATGCCTCAACACAAGATTGCCGAGTGTCTGGTGTGCGCAGTCAGGATCGGTGGATTTATGGCTACGATGGGGGTTGTCGTCTGTGGTCTGCGGGAGTTTTGCATCCGTGCCTATGAATTCCGTTGCATTCTCATGTCCCTGTATCATATCTTCTCACCCCTTCATCACCACTACCACCATCACCACCACCACGCTATCGCCCTTCGGCATTTCCCATCATAACGGTGGGCTTTTGGCAGTTCCGTTTCCCCAGAGCAACACAGCGCGGTCGAGCGTGAGAGCAGCCCTTTGCAACTTGGCTGAGATCATATAGACCCCTCACGGAGCCTTCATTTTGCTTCTGCGCTTGCCCCACTCGAATATGTGTACATTGGCCATAGCTTGGCCCTCTTTCGTTACAGCAACCATGATATGTCCCCCTCCCGCTTCTTGCCCCGCCTTTATGAATCTGTATTTACTTCTTTCTCTCTCCGACATTTACTCACTCTCAATCAGTAACTCTGTCAGTGCCGCTACCGAGCTCTCCACTGGCATGTTTGCAAACTCTCCGCCATCTGCTTCGACCGATCTTCTCTGGAGCTTGGCTTGGATCTACTATTAGCAGATTCAGCCAAACCTTGCCCCGAAATCCCTCCAGCCCCCCCCATCCCGAGTGGATCGGGGAATCGGAGACGAGTTCGCCGAGACTACATCAACCAGGGAGGCAGCCCTGATGCGTCTGAAGATCTCTGTGTCGCAGGGACGGATTGCTGTTTCCGTTCGGCCACTTCCCATATTCGTTGACTTGATACCCGCACGCCAATAGACCACACCGATGCAAACGGCCAGCTAGTGCAGCCTATTGAGGACGTCCGTCCACCGCTTCGTGTCATCCAGTGGGCCCTCCATCCTGTCTGCCATCATACTCGAGCAAGAGAACGCCATGCGCTAAGATCGCCGTGTTTCATCCTGTGCTCGTGCGTCACATGGAGGTCATGATTCCGCAGGCGCTCATCCAGCATCTGCCGACTTCCAGGCTTCCAATCGACGCCGGCTCGAATCCTTCCCTCCCTTCCCACCCAACTCGCCCACACAGTCAAGGTGAATCCTTAACGAATGTCTTCGAGATCACCCAGGTTTTTGCGGATTCTCCATTCGGTGGGGTAGTGCTGGTTGACCCGTTTCCGCTTGCCGTCGTCGATCACCCGGATCCACCCGAGCCCGCAGCCGCCATACGAAACGACGCCCCATGACTGCAGGTTGTGTTGCCCCACGATCTGGTCAATACCCGGGATCGGCTTCTTTTGCAGGTAGTAGAGGCTCTGCTGCCTATCCAGTTCAATCGCCCACACTCCCCGGGAATCTTGTGAAGTTGGAAAGGGTGAGGCCGTGTCACCCAGGAGGGTTTCGGATGGGATCGTTGAGCCATGCGATGAATCCGATCGGGCAAGTACTTGATCGTTTGTTGGTTGCTCTTCAGCAAACGCCTTGGATTGCGACCGGATAACTTGCCCCTTGCGCAAGAACGGCGAGAGTGCCAGCTCTGCAGATGGAACGAATCGGTCGTTTTGGATCTCACCAGCGACCACCCCAAGCTTGCGCACCTGGAGCCCCGAATACGCAATCCGAGTCAGGGTGGCCTCGACGGACGCCGGGACGAGATGGACAAGTCGCCGAGGCATCCCCGCTGCAGATTGTCTGCCGTCGCCCTCGCGACCATGTTCTCCGTTTCCAGACTTTTCCCGCGCTGGCTTGATATAAGTCGATATCAACGGCAGATATTTGGCGCCTAGAGGATCCTGCGGCCGATCCAGGCGGATGTAGTCCTTGCACTGCTGCCACTCTTTGCGTGTCGGGCGACGCAACGATCGGTGCTTGTCATCGCCACTGCTGCTGCTGCTGCTGTTGGCCGTGGCGGAGGACCTGGTGCCAGCATTGGTGGGAGCGGATCTGGACTTTTTCTTGGTCTTTGTTGGTCGTGGCAGATGCTCGCGGATCTCGGGCGGGATTGCTTTGACGGTAAAACTGGCAAGGAATAGCCCCTCGCCTCGGACCCGATGCGGCAGGCAGTAGTACACTGGATGGTGAGGGTGCTGTTCCTGTTCCTGTTGGGACGGTTGCTCCTCGAGGTCGTGTGCTGGCAATGGCTCGCTCGAGCTCGGGTCGTCCAGCCATAGATCGTGGTCGCTCTCGCCATCGTCGTCGTCGATTGTGTCCTCCGGCTGGAAGGCTGAGTCGCCGGGACTCACGGGAACCTCGACAGCGACAACACCCCAGTTCGAGGCCATCGGGATCGGATTCGGCTCCAGGTAGGACCCATATCGGCTCCAGATCCACTTGACGTTATCTTCGTTTTCTTCCGTCTCGAGGGTGCAGGTCATGAAGACAAGGGTGCCTCCGGGCCGGACCAGCCGCACAGCATCGTCAAGGAGCGTCTTTTGGATCCGTGAGAGTTGCCGAACCAAATTTGGAGACCAGTTCTGGATGGCTTCGCCGACGACAGACCTCGATAGTTCGCGGCGAAACAGCCCTTCGCCGCTGCAAGGAGCTGGCGGTGGTAAGTCGTTGAAGTCGGAGAAAGGATGGATGTGGGGTAACAAGACAGACGCCGTTATTACTTGGCTATATCGTCCAAGACATGGCAACCGTGGCCGAAAAGCGATCATACGCAGCGAGCGATCATGGCCGACATATCCAGGGCATCCCCACAGCGAGGACACATCAGCACGACACCAAAGCCATGACAGCGCCCTCCCTCGCCGGCAGAATAGCGGTCGCTGTACCATCCACAATCACCACGTCAAAGGTCTCCTCCAGACCGGCTTCGATGAAGTCGCTGCTTCGGTTTTGGGTGATAGCCGAGCCTGGCAAATCCGTCTTGCTCAGGATCTCTTCGAGCACTGCCGCGCGTTGCCCGACAATCTCGTTCGAGACAATGACGCTGTTGGATCGATCGAGGAGGGAGGCGATCACGCCGGTCTAGATGGGTCGTTCGATTTCGGCATCGCCCACATCCGGCAATTGTGGAGGGTGAGTGTGGGCAAACCCAACTCAGATAGATCTGGATTGTGCCCGCCTCCTCCCAGACCAACCGATTGATTTCCAGCGGGAGCTTGGACACAAGCACACCAGACATACCTTTCCTCCAGGAGCCGCTACAGGCCCAAATCGGTTCATTTCATGCAACAGCGAGAGAGAGAGAGAGTCGGGAGCAGAAAGATCACAAAAACACCGGTCCGTCAGACGAACAATGCAGCAACCTGTTGGCCACCCGACTGGTCCCGGACCTTTCAGCGACAGAACAGTCCGTCGCAACCACGGCAACTGGCTGCGTCGCCATGCATTCAGTAGCCGCATGAGCTCGATCCAAACCAAACCAGGCCCGATTCACATGGGATACCATCTCGCCGCTCCAGATCCCTTACCACAGAGATCCAGGACAACGAGGGGGTCGTCCGATCGAGCACTCTTCGTCTGCAGAACCGGGACGCTCTGCGGAAATAGCATCGACGAGGCATCTTGAGGATAAAACACCCCGGCATTCAATAGCGGGTTGAGCTGGTAGAGCGGCCGCCGAGGCAGAATACGGCCGTACTGGGCAAACCAGGGCACAGCTTCTCCCAGCTCCTCAGTGCTGCGGGAGCCGGTGGACTCGGGTCCCTCAGGATCGACATCGGCATCGAGAGGGGCAGCGTCATCGGCATTGACATCAACATCGGCAGCGTCATCGGCAGATAGATCTGTCGGCAGCTTCGGAGAGTCAAAGTCGCTAGATGTGAAGATCGGGATCGTCGGGTGCTTTGACGGATTGAGTCGGATGGAGGGTACGGCAGGCTCCGTCATGATGCTCTTGAACAGCCGCTCGGCCTCGACATTGCCAAGCTTGGCTCGCATCCGATCAACAAAGGCCGACGGAAGCACCCGGCTGGCTTGCAGGTCCGAGCGATCTTGTTTGAGACGCCAGACATTTTTCTTGAGGTGGTGGGGTTTGGAATAGTGCTGCAGTTGGATGCAGAGGACAGGGTACCGGCCGCGAAAGGGCCTCCATCGCACATAAGACGTCGGTGTGAGCATCGCATGAGACAAAGGCGGATCGCCAGCCAAAGAAACGACCAGGGGAGAAACAGCCGAGCAGGAGGGATGGCAAGATCATGCACAACCCGACAAACCGCGAGCGGGCTTTGTTGGAGGAGCAAAAATGCCGGCAGCAAAGCATATTCCAGAGCGAAACAGAGCAGTATACATGTTGCTCTGGCATCAGAGGGCCCGGCGGACAATCCAGTGATTTGGTTGGGACTGAGGGCATGGTTGTGAATGCACTCGGTCGATCTCCTGCGGCAACGATCGACTGCCATGCATTCCTCCCTCTGGACGGCTCCGTGCAAATGTGGCTCCTCGATATCAAGACTTGGCTCGAGTCGCTCTGCCTGTCGGCTCCTTGAGACCCACCGTTTGGCCATGACGAGTGATGGGAGGGTGTATTTGAGCCAATCCAATAAAAAACGCATTTTGGTCGTTTGTGAATGTTATCGCTCAAACATCGCGTGCTGGCCATGACCATCCAGCGATGAGATTCTGGATCTGAATCAAGGACGCTTTCTCGCCCAGATGACTCCGCGCAAGTGAAAGGCGCCACCCAGGCGACGGCGATTCAAGCGACTCGATCTCCAGGTGTGCTCACAGTGCCGGAAGCCAAGTGATTCGAGAAGGCCGAGTATCTTGATATCGGGAAACGATGGATCTGTCCAGAGGGTCAAGTGGATGCACCACACTCCCACATCGAGTGAATGCACCACACAAAGAGATTGCCAACCAGGACCGAAAACAATCGCACGGCTTGCCCACTGGAGCCTACGGACCAGCAGACTTGAGCTGTTGTTGCCAGAAAGTGACTGTCACGTTTCTTGATGGACTGAATGTATCACCCGTTCACAATCTCCGCAATGGTAACCTTGGCCACCCCAGGTCCTGCTTGATGTGGTACTCGGTGCCGCAATTTTGATATCGATGTGGAACTATATGGAATGGCTATTGCATCTGGCCTTGTATGCTGAGTCCGCGAGGCTCGATTTCATGATCGATTCCATGTTCAATGACTGTGGCAGTACCTATGGCAGTGCAATGAGCAAAACCGAGTCCAGCCAGCAAACCATCGGATCGAGCCAGGCTTGTGTGTGTGTGTTGGATGGCCAGGGTTTGGCCTGCCAGGGTTTGGCTTGCTTCGCCACAACCTGCCTTTCTGTCTCCTGTCTATCTCCATCATCCACTTGCCTCCCTCCTGCCTCCGTCAACATGGCCAGCATGAATGAGCCTGGTTCAACCACGACATCATCAACCACCCACCAAAGCCAAGCTGAAGCCAGCACAACCTCGTCGATGCCCGATATCACCCAGCACTCACTCGAACACAACCCAGATATCTTCACCATCATCTGCTGCAACGACACCTTCCAGCTTGCCCTCGACCACAACACCATCGCAACCCTCCTCCAAGTGTGTAAGCGAGCCCGTCCTGTCCTAAGCTCCAAGGTGGTTCGCTTCCACAAATGGTGTCAGAATGCAGGACTGTGTCATCCAGATGGGCGGCTACGGATCGGCCTCACCCCCGGCGACCAAATCGCCCTCTCGCTGCATTGCGCGAATCCAGGCTCAGCCGACCGATCCTGGCTGGAAGATCAAGCATACCAGGGCAATGCATCGGCCTCGTATTTCCTGGCACGGATCCTCCAAGTCGATCTCGACAGGGAAGCAGTCGATGACGATGAACCTGAAGAGAATAACAAGCGTCAGCAGCTCATCCAATACCTGAATGACGCAGCCCACACAAACCACGCAATGGCTCAGTTCCACCTAGCCGGATGTTATCTCAACGGACTTGGAGTCGACCAAGATCACGCCAAGGCTGTCGAGTTGTATCGTAGTCTTGCAAAACGCGGAATCCCTCAGGCCCAAATCGCCCTCGGTCGATGCTACGAAAGTGGCGAAGGTGTCGAACAAGACTACGACACAGCCATCGAGTGGTACTCAAAGGCTCCCGACAAGGGCAGCGAAGACGGTCGACTCCATATCGTGTTCCTCCGTGGCTGGCTCTCGTTCATCGGCCATGGTGTCGAACAGAGCGATGTCGCTGCTCTTGGTCACTGGCAGGAGGTCAGCACCCAGTCCTCGGATCCGATCATCAAACCCATCGCCACCCACATGGTCGGATGGATGCACTACCTCGGCCGGGGCACCGTTCAAGACAAGCAGAATGGTGTCAAGATCATCCGAGAGAACAAGTCGGATGTGTTCAAGCTCGGAGAGGACGAGTGTCTGGCATATTGGAGTTCAACCTCATCCGACTCACCCGTAGCCTGCAAATTCTTCAATCTCTGCCAGATGGGATCGGACCGTGACTGGCTGTGCAGACATCTCATGGCCGTGTGTCTGTTCCATGGATTCAGAACCACAAAGGATGAGGAGAAGGCAGCCGGTATCTTTGAACAGCTCGCCAACGAAGGCCACAGCGACAGCCAGTTCTGGATGGGAGTGTGCTACTCGTGTGAAGTGGGAGTATGGATGGACTACAAGGCATTCGAGTGGTACAACAAGTCGGCCGACCAAGACAACTCGTACGGGCAGTGGACGGTTGGTTGGTGCTACGACAATGGACATGGAGTCGCGCAGGACCATCTGAAAGTTGTCGAGTGGTATCGCAAGTCGGCTGAGCAGGGCAATCGATACGCACAAAATTACCTCGGTGAATGTTACCAATATGGAGACGGCGTCCCAGAGAATATCGACACCGCCATCACCTGGTTCCGCAAGTCCGCCGAACAAGGTCATCAAAGCGCCATCGATAGACTCAAGAAACTCGGCCAATGGCCCTGATCCCCGAGTCCCTCCCGAGTTCCACTCCCAAACAACAAAATCACAACACCAACCTTGCAAGCAGCCAAGCAAATCGCGCCGCCACCACCCACCATGATACCAAAGAGTGGACTTGCAAAGTGGTTCCGATGAAGCGGCAATGGCCGAGTGATGTTGTATTTGACAGTCAACACATCCAATACATCCAATACATCCAATACATCCAATACATCCAATACATCCAATACATCCAATATACAATAGTGCTGTCTCAGAACAATCGCTGATGCTGATCGACCGAGAGAACATCGAGTGACTCGATAACGACAACTCGACACTCTACACTCTACACTCCACACTCGACACTCGGCATCGATCCTGGCTCTGCAACCATTGATGTGGAGATACTCAGTGTCATCCCGTCCAACATCGCCACTTGGGACTGTTGAATGCAGGCAGCAAGTCGACCCGCCTCTCCAGTACCGAGACGTCCATTGTGGTTGTTTCCGTAGATCTCCACTATTCAGGAGTTCAGAGAGTGTAATTATCCAATTACACCCGCCATAGTCGATATCCACTTTACCGACTGGACATCAGATTCAGCATCTCGCCCACAAGTCCAAAGGCCTTGCCGACAAGCTGGTAAAGCATGGAATGCGCCGGGATCAGTGCTTGTCGAAGACGGTGGCGAGCATCTTCAAGAGACTCACCCAACCCATGATCGAATATGGACTGGCCCTCGAGACCCTCAGCGAGGAGCAGGCAATAGGACTCTGAAGTACTCTCCTTGTGGATAGTGCTGGAAGCACTATAGCCTTACAAAGATCCCTCGCCGGGTTTCCGCAGATTTGACGCACTCCTCTCTTGGGGCCACTGGTAATGAATCACACACCGCACTGCGAACACAGTCCTCATCGACTGGGCTTTGGATTTGACTCGATGTGCAATCGTTGTCATTTTCAATTCGGTATGATGTGAAACAGAACATGCGGTACCCTTCTCCGGCAGCAGGATCGTCTGGGCTCTGAATACTTGCCCGCCACCAATGCATCAACAATCCCGTCGCTCAGCCATTTCTGCTTTCACTGTCCTGAATGCCCAGCGAACACAGCCTGTATTGGCCACTCAACAGCAGCCGGGACCGCACTCGCATTCACTTGAAAGAGGTGTATTGAATGCCACCGACAAATCGACAGAGTTTCGAGCAATCGCAATCAAGAATCGGGCGCGAACAAGAATGAACTGAATTGTGAAGTACTGACTGACTCGCGAGAAGCAAAGGACTCCAGGAATGCGAGAACAGTGTATGCAAAGTGAGAGTCGGCTCGGAAGTGTGGATCCATATCACAGCGACTTTGCCCAAGCTGCTACTTAGATGTCGCCCGTTTGAGCCTCCTTTTGAGACTCGGTAGGAACGGGCTCCATCTTTTCGACCTGCTTCGGGATCAAGAAGGGGACGACATACAAAAGCTCTGTCACCAGGCCAAGAGAATAGTAAATACCCTCAGGGATAGCGAGCGCGACCGTCCCAATGGCGCCGATTGCATACAGGCCGTAGATGGTCCGAATAATCAGCATCACGGACTGGAAGATCAAGATGATCGAGTTGGCGACTAGGTGAGTCTCGGAGCGAATGCGCTTTGGCAAACCCAGAACGACAATAAAGGCACGAACACAGGCAAAGAACTGGATCCAAGTGAAGACGGCGAGGGCCCAGGTACCGGCGAGTCGAAGAGTCGTTGCCGTTGGATCGACAGCAACACCGGCGGGGGTGTTCAGGATCCAGACAACACCACTAATGAGCACGACGATAATGACGAGTAGAGCCATTGACGAAACGCTCTGAAAGTGCTTGAAGTTGCCATGCTGGCGGCCCCGCACGTTGGATGGCTGAGAGGCCTGGACAAGCCCGTGGATGCGCTTGATGTTATCGACGGACACGTGGACGCGAAGGAGGTTGGCAATCAATGTTCGGAGCAGAGGAAAGAGGGCCACGCTGATGAGCACTGCAGTAGTGATAAACAGACCGAGGTTGGAGCCGAGCTGGTCGGTGGTCGAGAGGGCCCGGCAAATCATGCCGGCAGAACGGAGGGTGGCCCAGGCGATCATGACATAAAAGGTAGATCTGGCCGGAGGAACTTTGCAGCGGAGCAAGTTGAATACAAGGAGGAAGTCGGTGGCCAAGAAGATGACCGAGGCAATGACAGCCGGAGTAAATGTCCAGCCGAGATAGTCGGCATAGCGGATTCCGGAGCTCGACATGGCAGCAAATGAGGCAACTGGAACGATGGAGCAGTGACGGATGGAAGTGTGAAGCAGCAAGTGCGACAGAGATACTCTCAAGACGGGAGACTGAGGCTTGTGAGGAGCCCTCTGGGTGCAGGCTGGGGAGCGGCAAGATATGGAGCAGGGGATTGGGAAGGGCAGTGGGTCCTTGGTGCCGAGAACAAGAATGCGATCGAAAATGGAAGGGCCGGTTCCCGCGCTCGAGCGAATTGCGGGTGCCGATTCTTTGAGGCGAAATGGCCCCGCCCAACCGAGATCGCGGGCGGGACCCCGGAAACCCAACAGGCGCCAACGCCGCACATCAACAATGAATCAAGGAGTGGGGCCATTGTGCCGAGAGGCACAAGCAAGGTCGGGTCTGGGGATTGCACGCGGCGTCGCGAAGGGCGAGCAGGATTGCAGTGTACCACTCTAACGACAGGCTGACCCTCACTCTCGCTGATAGAGGGAACTCCTTGGGCATGTTGCCACGAACGATTCTGACGCCCTTCTGCCGGGTGCCTCGGGCGGAACGGTGCATCCAGTCAGGTATGTGGGTGGCGACGGGCTTCAGGACTGGGTTGGGGGCTGGGTACAGACATCCTGCCAGCGGTTGAAGGGATTGCGAGTCGTTGGATTTATTCACTGATCCACTGATCCCTTCCCTGGTCGATGATGTATGGATGTCAAGTAACTCCCACCGCTCTCATAGGCGAGTGGATGCGATACGAACCAGGATGTGTAAGGAATAGGGCAATGCAACAACAACGCTCAACCACCCTACTCCGGATCGCCTTGGCAGTCACATCAATGAGCAGTTCCTTTTTTTTATATTTCAGTTGAAAGCCATCAAGGCCTGGTCGGCCTTAGCAGTACATGTTGGAGGAAAGGGAGGCTGTGATCAACCTAACGAGCAGTCTGGGGGAGATGAGAGCCGTCATCCCTCATCTCTCGCTCTGCTTCGGCCATGTCGCCTATCGCCTGGGGGGTTTCCACCCCGCCTTGGCGATGATCAGCGTCTTGAACACCCTTCGGAGTGTTCGCCACAGGAGATGGACATCCGGGTCTTGCCAGTTGAACCTTCTCATGCCATCCAGCTCGTAGTAGCCAACTACGTTCGTCAGGTCCAGGAGCTTATCGATCGGACCGACCTTTTCGTGGCCGCTTTCTTGCCACTCGGGGTGCCGCAGCTTGAGCACTTCCACTATCCGTTGCCACGAGCCGCCTCTTCCGACGCAGCTCTGGGTGTGGGTCCGGCACATCGCAACGAACTCTCCTCGGCTCTTCGTGCAGGAGACACACAGCCGATAGTGGCCATACGGGTGTCCAGGAAAGGCACCGAGGGTCCATCTTACCATCATGTTGTGATAGTATCGATCTCTCTTGGGCCCTCGCTCGGCCCACAGTCCCGACATGGTCGTCGTCACGGTGCGGGCCGAGGTCAGTTCCTTTGACCTGTCGAAGCCTTGCGCGTCCTCGATGTGAATCTGCAGCTTGACTGGTGGCCCTGGGAGCTGGTAGTAGCCATTCCTGAACAGCTCCTTCATCGGGTAGTCCGGCTGGCACTGCTCTTTCAGCACGATCAGCTGCCGCCAGTACTCGTCGAGGTAGGACTGGGAGCCGAGGGATGCATCCATCAGGCTGGGCTGGATGCGGGAATATCTCAACACCATCGAGACCATCTTGTCGTTGTGGTCCAGACGGTTTTCCCAGACGGCTCGGTGTTGAAGGGCCAGCTGTTTGAGGCGGTTGGGCAGGGTGATGAGACCGCATCCAAGGTGCATCGTTCCATAGGATGTGTTCCGCACCACTCTGAAGAGTCGGGTCAGACAGTGCATCTGTGCTCGTCTGAGTATCACGGCTTGCTGCTTCGTGAGCACTTCGAAGGTCAGTCCATACTCGAGCATGGGCCGAACGAAGGTCTTGAACACCCTCGTCACTGTCTTGGCCGAGTATCGGCCCAGGCTCATTCCGTGCTTCACCAGCTTGTCGGCGGCACCTCTAGCCTTGTGGGTGAGGTTCTGGATCTGGCGGTCCATCCTGAAGCCGTTGATGTCGACGATGGCTCCGAGATACCGGAACTCCTTGGCGACTGGCAGCTCCTTGCCGTATAGGTGCACCTTGGCATCCTTCTCTGGGTGCTGTTCGGTGAACATCACCTCGCACTTCGGGGGCGAGAACTGGTATCGATTCTCGATGCTGTGGGCCTCGCAGATGTCGAGGAGACGCTGGGTCTGGTTGGGGCGGCAGATGAGCACCCCATCGTCGGCAAACCACAGTGAGTTGACCTGGACGGCTCGTCCTCGGGTGGTGGTTAGGGTTGTTCCACCGTCTGCCCGGAGTTTCCCAGGGAGGTCGTCGATGAACACGCTGAACATCAGCGGGCTCAGGACCGATCCTTGGATCAGTCCCTTCTGCAGCCAGACCGGATTGGACCGACGACTCTTGCTGACGACTTGGATCTTCACATCGTCGAACATGGCCTCCAGGAGCCTGAGGGTGATCGTGCATGGGGTGCGCTCCTCGATCCTGTCCCAGAGCTTCTCCCATGATATCCAGGAACACCAGGGAGTGTTGTTCTGTGGATCGAATGTTGTGTGGATGGAACCGAGTTTCTGTCACACACGGTGGCACATGTGTCTGGAACATCGGGCAGCGTGACGTCGGTATCCTAAGCCACATCGGTATCATCGACGAGGGCGCTCTGTTTCTCCTCGGCTGTCTCCCTCCTGTCGCCCCCCTGCTTCCGTCTTCCCATCTTGCCTCCATCCGTCCTCCTGTTGCCGTCTCGCTCATGACAAGCCCCACCCACTCCGCCCCTCCACCCACCAAGCCATCTGCTACCCAAGGAGCACCGATGGCATCGCTGGCTGTTCAAGATGACCTCGCTCGCTTCGACCTGCTCACCATCCTGGTCACAAATGAAGCTTTCATTCGCGCTGCGAGTGTACCTTTGCTCGCAAAACTAGTCAGGGTCTCAAAGCAGACTCGGGCCATCCTCAACACCGGCAAAGTAAGGGAACGGTTGCTATTCCCTAAATTGCAAATCACACCCGAATTCCTGTTCGAAGGTGTCGATCCCTCCATCGATCGGTTGAAAGTGGCGCAAGGGCTCCTCTACTATGCGCTTCGCCGGAACCAGCACATGCCAACCAACTCATCGATGCTGGAGAAGGAGAACGAGCTCTGGACTGAAGCCTATCGAGACAGACGGTTGTTCAACCGAGTGCAACGATACTGTCAGGTGACCGATCCAGAGTTCCACTTCCCCGAGGAAGCAAAGCCAAATGGATCCAAGCAGCTATCCGTCGAGGATATGACAACCATCGCTGAAAGCCAAAACTTTCAAATTCAGTGGCCGATAGTGGTCGAAGGATGGTACGGTTCCACGATTCGACCAATTCGACGCACGGACGGAAACACCTCTGTTTCCAGGCTTTTGCCATTCGACATCCCAGGGATCGACAGCGCAAGGGGAAGGCAACTGGCACTCGAGAATGTGTCGTTTATGGAAGTGTCCGGATGGCCCAAGACACTCTCCAATATCCAAGAGCTGACCATCATGCATAATTATCAGATGGCTGATCCACTGATCAGCTTGGAAGGCATGCCAAGGGAGCTGCCCAAAGTTACAGCACTCGACCTGGGTGGATGCACTGAACTCAAGTCGCTGAAGGGAATGCCTGAGATGCCAAAGTTGGAGACACTTGGACTCCCCAAGTCCATCGAGTCCCTGGAAGGCATTCCGGAAGTATTGCCCATGCTTACGAGGCTCAACCTGAGTGGATGCAGTGAACTCAAGTCACTCAAGGGAATGCCTGAGATGACAAAGTTGGAGACACTTGGACTCCCCAAGTCCATCGAGTCCCTGGAAGGCATGCCGAGGGAGCAGCCCATGCTTACGAGGCTCAACCTGAGTGGATGCACTGAACTCAAGTCGCTGAAGGGAATGCCTGAGATGCCAAAGTTGGAGACACTTGGACTCCCCAAGTCCATCGAGTCCCTGGAAGGCATGCCGAGGGAGCTGCCCATGCTTACATGGCTCGATTTGAGAGAATGCAGTGAACTCAAGTCACTCAAAGGACTGCCTGAGGTGCCAAAGTTGGAGACACTTCAACTCTCTAAGTCCATTTGGTCCCTCGAAGGCATTCCAAGGGAGCCGCCCATGCTTACATGGCTTGATTTGAGAGAATGCACTGAACTCAAGTCACTCAATGGATTGCCCGAGATGCCCAAGTTGAAGACACTCCAGCTACCCAAGTTCATCGACTCCCTGGAAGGCATTCCGGAAGTATTACCCATGCTTACGAGGCTCAACCTGAGTGGATGCAGTGAACTCAAGTCACTCAAAGGACTGCCTGAGGTGCCAAAGTTGGAGACACTTCAACTCCCCAAGTCCATCGAGTCCCTGGAGGACATGCCGAAAGTACTGCCCACCCTTCCAACACTCGACCTGAGTGGATGCACTGAACTCAAGTCGCTGAAGGGAATGCCTGAGATGCCAAAGTTGGTGACACTCCAGCTACTCAAGTCCATCGAGTCTCTGGAAGGCATGCCGAAGGAACTGCCCACCCTTCCAACACTCGACCTGAGTGGATGCACTGAACTCAAGTCGCTGAAGGGAATGCCTGAGATGCCAAAGTTGGTGACACTCCAGCTACTCAAGTCCATCGAGTCTCTGGAAGGCATGCCGAAGGAACTGCTCACCCTTCCAACACTCGACTTGAGTGGATGCACTGAACTCAAGTCGCTGAAGGGAATGCCTGAGATGCCAAAGTTGGTGACACTCCAGCTACCCAAGTCCATCGAGTCTCTGGAAGGCATGCCGAAGGAACTGCCCACCCTTCCAACACTCGACCTGAGTGGATGCACTGAACTCAAGTCGCTCAAAGGAATACCTGAGATGTCAAAGCTACAAACTCTAAAACTTCCCGAGTCTGTCGAATCCCTGGCTGGCATGCCGAAGAAACTGCCCTCGCTCACAGCGCTCAGCCTGCCTCGCTTCGGCCGACTAACCTCACTCACTGGACTGTCAAATGTGCCAATGTTGCTCGAGCTCGACATTCCAGCCAGTGTCGAGACTCTCGTGGACGTCCCGGAGGCGCTCCCATCCCTCACCAAGCTCACAATCTCCACCCATAAACCCCACAATATCTTGACCCAACTCCCAAGCATGCCAAACCTCATTCATCTCGTTCTCTCAACTCAATTTGTGCGCCTGGCCGATCTGCGTGTCAGTCAAAGCTCCCTCAAAGTCATCGATTTGCAAGCTTGCTGCGAATTGGAGTCGCTGGATGACATTCCCTCGTATCCCAAGCTCGAGATTCTTTACGTCCCTCGATCGATACAGAGAGTCAGCGGACTCGTCGACAGGCTTCCCTCTCTCAAGACACTGCACTTGGATTCAAGTATAAGGCCATCACATCATTCCCTGTTGGATGGCATGTTTGGCCGATATGCTAACTCTTTCAGACTTAGAAAGGTGATTTCCGGGCTTCCGAAGGGATGTCGAGTTGTGTTCAGCGATTCGTTCGAGTACACTTTTGGCCGATTCTCGAGGTAGCTCGGCATGGAGTTGCTCAGTGTCATGTGTTCTTTCTCCTGGTAATATTCTCTATATTTTCCACTCCACTCCACTCCGTTTCGGTTAGTTTTCTTCCAATCCAGCTTTCTATCTCCTACTTCCGACATCTCACTTCGTCCGATCAGATTGTGTGTGATATTCGTACTGGAGGACGGCTCTGGTGTTGCGGTGTGAGATGATCCTGCTTTGCGGCTGCCGAACCCGAAGCGAGTCCAAATCCCTCACAATCTATGACAGTCCACACCGCACTTGGTCATGGACCCAATCGAGAGCAGACACTAGTTGTCGCGGACATCTTGAGGCACTGCCTTCTCCCGCATTATCGCTGGTGGAACTCTGAGTGATGATGACCGTTGCAACTCCAGTCCATCCAGACCCCAATGAGATCGCAACTGAGGAAGGTACAAGTCCGGCATCTCGATCATGTCATTTGGTCAAGTGGATCAACTCGGGCTTCTCTTGCGTATGGACAAGGATGTTTGAGAGTGGTGGCTCCTTCCACACTGGAAACTCGAACTGGTAGCCCATGGTGGCATCGGCCTTGTCGGTGAACTGGTCAAGTCATGGTCACTGGCATTGAGGTGGGCATAGATACGGACGAGATCGCTCTTGATGATGCTCGTGTCCTGGCAGTTGTGGATCGAGAGGAAGTGGTACTTGTCATTCGTGGTCCAAAGAGTCCTCTCTCAGTCGCCAGGCTGCACTCCAGTGGACTGGTCTCATCCTCCCATGATCTGACCACATACGCTGGCGTGCCTCGGCGTCCCTGGGTTGGATCGAGGGTGGACCAGAAAGCTGCAGTGTGGCCATTTTCTTATTTTGGCGGCTGGAGAGGCGAACCGCTGTCCGTTTGGATACAGGCCATTCGTCGCCTTTGCATCCATTTGTCGGTACCATGTGGCGTGGGATGGTCTGGGTCGTGCTCGGTATCTATGGTTGCAGAACGAGTATCGATGATAGTGGTCGAGTTGTCGCTATCGAGTCACTCGATGTTCTCTCGGTCGATCAGCATCAGCGATTGTTCTGAGACAGCACTATTGTATATTGGATGTATTGGATGTATTGGATGTATTGGATGTATTGGATGTATTGGATGTGTTGACTGTCAAATACAACATCACTCGGCCATTGCCGCTTCATCGGAACCACTTTGCAAGTCCACTCTTTGGTATCATGGTGGGTGGTGGCGGCGCGATTTGCTTGGCTGCTTGCAAGGTTGGTGTTGTGATTTTGTTGTTTGGGAGTGGAACTCGGGAGGGACTCGGGGATCAGGGCCATTGGCCGAGTTTCTTGAGTCTATCGATGGCGCTTTGATGACCTTGTTCGGCGGACTTGCGGAACCAGGTGATGGCGGTGTCGATATTCTCTGGGACGCCGTCTCCATATTGGTAACATTCACCGAGGTAATTTTGTGCGTATCGATTGCCCTGCTCAGCCGACTTGCGATACCACTCGACAACTTTCAGATGGTCCTGCGCGACTCCATGTCCATTGTCGTAGCACCAACCAACCGTCCACTGCCCGTACGAGTTGTCTTGGTCGGCCGACTTGTTGTACCACTCGAATGCCTGCTTGTTGTCTTTCGATACACCACGACCATTCAAGTAGCAATCACCGATCCAGTACTGGCTGTCGCTGTGGCCTTTTTTTTTGGCGAGTTCTTTGAAGATAACGACGGTTGCTTTTCTGTCGCGATCTACACCACACCCATGCTCCAGGCACATGGCCATCAGATGCTTACAGAGCCAGTCGTACTTTGCCCCAAACCTGCACATTCGCCTGGAAGGGATATGAGAATACCCGTCGAAACGGGACTAGTCGATTCTCATAAAGCCTCGCGTTGATTTCGTCCGATTAATCAGACGATATGTTCATCCGAGCACAGGGAGCAAACTCGGAGGTGCCGGACCACAGAGGCGGGTCTGCAAAGTGCAAACCACACCCCACTTCTCGTCGAACCTCAGATGCTGATACAGCGTTTCCAAAATGAAATGGGACACCCCCGTTTTAACCATGAATACACCTACCCACTCATCGCATTCATGGTCAAACACACCACCATCGATTTCCGCATCGCTGCACTGCGAGCCATGGTTTGCATTCAGTGACCAGATGGACACAAATGGATCACTTGCATGATGTGCTTCTGGCATTGAATCAAGGACACCAATGTGGGCATTTGGTCTGTAGCAAATGGATGAGTGCCACACCAAGTCCCAAGATCACTGGGCCGGCTTCCTTCCTGCAATACATTCGCCATGTGTTCGATGGAGACATGCTGGACAAACAGCTGTACTTGACTGAATCTGCAGTGGCTCGCTGGTCCCCGTCGTGCCCACTCACTCCATGCATCTCCCACACACACAGGGCAATGACTTGACCCACTTGAACAGGTGTGTGATATGATATGACAACGCCGTGTTTGTCCGAATGAGACGATGTGTCCCAATTTCTCTTCACCCCGGTGTAGAGACCCAGAGAAATAACGACGGCCCCGAATCACAGCAGGGCGTCAGATTTGGTTTTGGGTACGCAGTAAGCAAAAAAAAAAAAAAATGCGAGGGCGATCACTTGGGTGCGCTCGTGGGAGTGGGTGTGCTTGGAGTGGATCCGATCTTGACGTGAGTGATGACAAAGTACAGGATAATAGCCAAGATGATTGCGCCAATGACAGCAAACATGATGCGCTTGGACTGAAGAAAAAATAGCAGACACGTGCATCAGCATCGTCGGCAGAGATGAAGCAATGCTTCCCAAAGACGCATGCCACTCGTTCATCGGGACGATATGCCTCGGCGTGGGACGCTGGGCTCACCTTGTTTTCCGAGAGCTTGTTGTCGGCAGCCTTATGGAGCTCCCGAGTTCCGCTTGCGATGTTACTGGACATTGACAATCACAGGACCAACGAAACGTGGTCAGCAAAGTTTTGCGAGGCCACTGTGTCAATGACGACCTCAGCATCAAAATTGTCACTTACTCGATAGTCACTTCGACATGGTCTTCGATCACGTCGATTTGTTTCTGAACAAAGATACACAAGCAATGTCAACGAGCATACGACGACGAATCATGGGTAAATGTGCGCAAAGGCGCGCCACAGGCAAGATCCGAGCCAAAGATGTCTGTTGCCTCACCTGCTGGGAGTTGAGCATCTCCTTAAAGTCATCCTGGAGCGCTGCCAGCTCGGCGATAGCCTGTGCCAACTTGAGGATCTCGGCATGGCGGTCCTTGACTTCCCGCAAGGCAGCGGACTGCTGAGCCATGTGACCAACGAGAAGCTAGATGTTCCCGAGCAAGTGTGTCAGTGAACCAACCCCAGGCAAGCAAAGTGGTGGCCCCTGGACCGTCAGCTCAAAGCCGCAGCACATATAGATACCTCATTCTCAAAGACAGGACTGCCGCTCTCGACTACGGCCTGGATTTGATCAGGAGTTGCGTTCGGCTTGACTGAGGAGTGGAATCTTAGTTGTCACCCTTCAGCAGAGCGCACCGACACGCCTCTTTAATGCAGTCTTGATCCTGGTGAGAAGCGGAGCACACTCACCGATCAGATACTGGCGCTCAAGTCTGGACTTTGTCTGCTGCTGGATATACAGAAGAACCTTGTTGTACTTGGCGGCGACATCCGAGAGCTGGCGAGCCAGATAACGCTCCTCCTGTCGACGCATGGTGACGATTTTGCCGCTCTCCATGTAACCTGTGGCCTGGATCAGGGCTGAGGAAGGTGCGACAGGCTGCATCAGTCGCTACCGCCAAGCATAATCGAAAGGAAGGACGAGGTGGGGGGGGGCGCTCACCCTTGAGGTTGTTGCGGGAGTTCTGAATAAGGATCTTGGTTTCGGCAGACAGGCGATCGATCTCGTTTCCGGTGGCTGATGAGTCCAATGGCCACGAGTTGTATGAGATAAATAGTTGGGCGTAAGAAAATAGGCGGAACACAGATCCCGATATCGGTTTGGCGATGGATGCGCCAGCATGCCCGATCTGTCCAGCTGACTGGGATCAGCAAGGCCCGTTACCTTTCGACCAAGACGAGCTCAGATGCCGGGCGAACAAGTTTTCGATGTTAGAAATGTTGGCTTCGATGTTGGCGATGCGCATACGGAGACCTTGGTGCTGACGCCAGAAGGGAGGGGGATCATTGTTAAAAGTCCAGCAGCGACAAGATCGGTTGCAAATGGACCGGGTATCCAGGGTCTCGCGAAAGCACATACTGCGCTGGAGCGAGGCCAGGACGGGCAGTCTGCGAATCAGGCAGGATGCTTGGGTGCCGTGCACGAACCTCAGACAGGGCAGCATCAGTGGCCGCAGCCCGAGCGTCGCTGGCAAGGAGCGACTCGGACTCGGGCTGAAGGGGGATGTCTTGGAGCTGGAAATGAAGCGCGCAAGCACACGAGCGGTGTCAGCCAAGGTGAGTCGCCTATTCTTATCGGTCTGCAGTTGGAAAGCGGTGCGAGTCGAATAACATGATGGGTTGCAGGGCGCCTGTTGAAACGAGTGAGGCAAGACTGCGAACGAGACCAGGAGGAAGAGCGTACCCCATCGGATTGGAGTCTGTTGCGGGCCATGTTACAGAATGAAGCGGGAAAAGATTCAAAACGCGGTGTGGTGCAGGATTAGCTGGTATCGCAGGCTGGCTGGACCGGCTGGCAAGAACGCTTGGGAGAGACAGGGACTGAGAAGGATGCAGGAAGACCAGGACGGAGACGACGGGCTGGTTTTGAGGCGGGCAGTGTATGGACGGGCGGCATGTCACCGCCACCGCGCGGGATGTCGCACAGCCAAGAAGCGCGGTGACACAAGGGCAAGGGCTGGGGCTGCGCGTGGGAGGCGATGCCCCACGGGATCGCACGTGAGGCTCATCCTTCACTCTCAACCAACACTGCACCCTTGGCCAAGAAGCAACGCCGCTCGCTGATGAAGCACTGAGACACTGGCGGGAGTCGGTGTATTCATCACGGATATGGATATGGACAGTGATGGATGGACAGGGGTGTGCCTGCTGGCCTGTCGGCGTCGAGTGCGATTGGCACCGTTACTTGCCCCTGTGAATGCAACAGCCTGGTGTCAGCGACCCTTGTGCTTGACCAATCCACTCGACTGCCATCGCTCTGGTCGCCACCAGACTTACCCGCGAGGACAGGTGCACTGCTGGTCCTTGGGGACATCCTTCATGACCGAGTCGACATGCTTGCCGCTGCCGTGTTGCGGGGATGCGAGCGGAATGAGAATGGGTTGCAAGCAGCAGACGATGTGGATGAGTGCGAGCGGCAGCCAGTGCGATCGCATCGGATGCTGCTCGGCTGTTCCAGACATCAACGGTGCAGCTGGCCCAGACAACCAAGACATTAAAGCACATGGATGCTCCTACCAGCCGCCCCAGGTCGTCTTGCCACACTTGTCGCACTTGACGGGATAGCACATGGTATTGAACGTGAGGGAGAACGAGGGAATCGGTGGAATCGTGGTGGTTGAGTTGCGATGTGGACGAGGGGCAAGCGCTGTCTCGCGCTCGTTTTATAGTCACCCTGTGTCAGGCGGCCATCTGTGGCTGGTTGTCCAAACAGATCGCTGATTGCGCTGGCAACCAAACAACCAACGACAGTTGTGTGGGGGGCGGCGAACAGGCGACAAATCGTCGACTTGCATCCGAGCAGCAGCCGACTTGCATCCGAGCAGCAGTCGGCTTGCACCCAATGCCCCCGTCAGGCCAGAGTGTTTGGCGGGCTTGATCGGTACTTCAGCCCGGTTTCTCACGCCCGGCTGTCTCCCGCTCGACGGTGTTGTTTGGGGACAAGCCACCTGCTGCGGCCGATAATGTTACTGGCTGATTGTGGGGTCACGATGCATCAATCGCTGAGGATAACGGCGCTGATCGACGGAATGCCGCCAGGCACACTGCGGGCCAGCGATGGAGTGGGTGAGATCGGCATTGTTGCTCCTGGCTGGCTGGGCGTGTGACTCGCCGCTGGCCATCGGCTATTTGCACATCCCACCCACTCCCGTGGCTCTGACAATTGCCAGGGTCTGTTCGGGCGGCGCATCGCTGCTGTCTCGCTCGGCAATGTCGATACCCCATCCCGAGACTGGAATGCCGGGGTGTTGCCGCTCCAGCTTGGCTTGGACTGCCCACCACCGCAATCCATCGTTTGCCATCGCAATCCATGCCCACCACCACGCACCCCAGTTCCACGATCTGTCCTCCCTGCACTTGATGCCGCACACCGAGTGGCAAGCACTTCGCTGCCCTGCCCCGGCCGTCCAACGAACCCGCCAAACGAGGAGGATGTTGCCCGGGCTGATCGGTCGCTCCGCAGGGCGTGGACCCCAACGACTCTCCTGCTCGCCCGCCTGCCTGCTCCGTGATTGAACAGACTCGATTGGCCTGGGCACGCACCCGCCAATACTCCCGGTGCTGGGATGCTGACGTGCATGCCGGACGTTGGTGCACCCTGCCGCGGCGGCCGTCGTCCATATGTCGATGGCTTCCCACATCCGGCGGATCGATCGGCAGCTTGTTCTCGAGCCTCGGGGCCATTGTCGGTCGAGACCCGCAACGCTCTCCCACCCTGTCTGATCCAGTCCACAGATATAAGCCAGACCACACCCATCTCCTCGACATCACCGCACCTTCCCACTGCTCATCGATAGCCACTTCCTCAGACCACCAAAGGCATGGCCGAAGCATTTGTCAAGACCACCGTCGAGAGCCACACCGTTGTGGTGTTTGGCAAGAGTCACTGCCCATACACCCAGAAAGCCAAGAAGCTGCTCGCCGACGCCGGGATCAAGTTCCACCAGGTCGATCTCGACACCATGGGTGAGTGGAGCAGGCCTCTGCCGAGCCTCTGTCGAGCCTGGGCCATTCGTGTGTCGCTGCTGGGTCCGGCGGTGTGCGATATGCCAGCGATGTGCCAGCGATGTGCCAGCGACAGGAGTGCAGAGTGGTGCAGAATCTGATCCTGTTCCACAGATACCGGTGCTGCCATCCAGACCTTCCTCGAGACCAGCACCAATTTGAAGGGCGTGCCCAACGTCTGGGTCAAGGGCAAGCACTTTGGCGACGACGGCGATGTCGAGGAGCAGGTCCAGAAGGACAAGTCGTTCTTTGTGTGAGCCATGGTGGCGACCGACCTTGGCCATCGGCGAACGGCCCGGATATCCGTGGATTCGCTTTGCCATGCTGTGATTCATGGGAGAATGGCGATGCCATGTCCGTGCGAGAGAATGGCCCAACGACATGTCCATATGCCAGTACGACAACACGATGGCATATTCACATTGCACAATGACATGTTCGCACGGCCCCATGCTTGTGCTGGTGTGAAGTGCCTGATACGAGCCGCTCCGAGGCTCAGTCGGCACACTGTTGGTCTCGTTGTGGTCTCACTGTGCTATCTATTTGCGATTGCCACTCAACCACTTCACCACATCAAGCACGGCCATCGCCAAACCAGGACGGGTCTGATCACAGCACCGCCAGTCCCAGAGCAGCGCTCGCTGCATCGAGGCTTGGCTTGACACTCAGGATGTGGCCGGCTTGGATCCACCGGCGACGATGCGTTCGTAGTATGGATCTGAGCAGATCCAGAGAGAATGGCGGAATCGATTCGACATGGTGTCGATGGTCGTTGCGATGATGAGATGATGAGATGATGAGATGATGAGATGATGAGATGATGAGATGACGATGGCAACTGACGGCACTGGCAATGCAGATCGAGAATCCATCGGCACTCACCAATCTTCACCATGGGCTTGATATCAACCATGGCCGACACACCGGCGACACCCATCACACCCGCCAGGGCCAGCAGCTGAGCCGTCATGCGTGCGTTGATGACCTTCTGGGCGTGGGTGATGTCGGTGCGTCGGAAGTTGTAGCCGAGAGCAACGGCCATCGAAGTAGCCCAGAGACCGGCTGTCGACGACAAGTAAAGCGATGAGCAAGCAGCCAGCGACAGGATCGATACAGGACCGATACAGGACTGACACAGGACTGATACAGAGCACCGCTGCAGTCCAGGCAGCGGCGGCAGCCACTCACCGACAGCGCTGTAGCGAAAGCGGACAAACGCATTCTTCCAGCCCTCGGCCGTGGTAAAGTTGATCTGGCCCTGGGAAGCATCGGTCTCGACCTCGCTTTCACGAACAACAGAGAACTGCTGGGCAAACTCGCGATCGATCTTCATGGCCACAATGTCGCTGGCCGTGAAGAAACCAATGATGGTGGAGCCCAGGATGACGGATACCTGATCAAAGCTCCTGGATCAGTTGCATGCAGGCAAACATGTCCATCGAGTCGCTGGACACGGCCGCCAGCGAAGCCACCTGGTGCTTGCTGAGATCACAGCCAGAGCAGGTTTGGATTGCCAGGGTGCGGGCCCGACCACCCAACACAACCCACCTTGATGGGCAGCGTGAGACGCTGGTAGAAGGGCCAGCGCTTCTGAGCGACGGCAGAGAGCCCCAGGGCGGCCACCGTTGTTGCGGCTCCGTACGGAATACTCTCACGGATCACTCGCCAGTTCATCTCGTTCTTGTTGCGGAAGCGCATTTGCTTTGCTGTTCCGCCGACGATTTCCTCGTTGGCATTCTCGGTGGGAGGAAGAGAGGACATGGCGGTATCGGGAGGATATGAGCGAGGGGAGTTGCAGACGGTGGATGGCTATGGATGATGAGTGGCTGCAGACGACGGATGGCTGTGGTTGCAGGTTGGTGCAGTTGGACAAGGGTCACAAGTGTCGGCAGAAACAGGGGTCGGGAGGAGGGCAGTTGCAGACAACGGGGGTATGGATCAAAGGGGATATCTTGCGATGGTGGGAAGACGCTGGCAGAGTGCGGCTATATGTATGCGGGCAGTCGCAACTGCTGGCAGAGGAAGCATCGGATGAGGCTGGTTGATGGCGATGCCCAAACAGAGCACACAAGTCTGCAAGTCTGTCTGCATATCGACGGAGCCACACTTGCATATCGACGGAGCCACACTTGCATATCGACTGGATCACACACCAGCACACCAACACTTGCACCCGCCCGCATGTTGACAACGGAACATCGGCGCATTCGAGGCTGGAATGCCGACCTGTTCTGATCTGGACCAGTCGGGCGACGAAAGCAAGAGCCTCTGTCGACAAACCAGCCACCGCCCGCAGCCGCAGCTTCCCAACACAGCACATTGTTTGGCGGTCCGCAAGAGGCATCCGAACGGCCTTCTTGCTCGACCTGTGACGGTGCAGGCGAAGGCGGGCAGACATCGGATGATTGCTTGGACTCGAGCCCGCCAACTCAGTCTTGCGCTGTCGGTGAGGGGTGTTACTTCCTGGACTGCGTGGGAATCGTGATCTGCCAGCCATCCACTCACCTTCTTCCAACCCGTCCGGGCCAACACTGGCTGGCGATTGATGATCGGCAGGCGAAATGACAGGCACGCCGGGGGCCGGTGGTCTCGTCGACGAGGCACGCAGCGCCGGCATTGTGATCGTCGATGGACCGGCCGGGCGAGATTGGGCTGGGAGACATCGGCTCATCGCTCATCCCACTCGAGGGATTGTGATTTGAATTGCCCCGGCGTTATGCTGCTGATGCATCGACATTGATCCTGCGTCGGCATCGGTTCCCCAAGCCAATCCCGCACTGCTGGGGACCCAGCGACATATGCGCTGCACTCAGACCGACCATTGTCCGCCTCCGCCGATCATCCACTGCCAGCGACCCGCCTCGGTTTGATAAAGCGGCCGTCCACTGCGGCCCGCTCCTCGCAGACATCGATCCATCCTGCCCAGGACCACCACCGCCATGGCCAACGAGACAAGATACGACGTGATCGTCATTGGCTCTGGCGCAGCCTCCAAGATCACTCGGCCGGCTGCGTCCAAGGGCTTCAAGGTCGCCATCATCGAGCGCGGCCCACTCGGCGGCACATGCCTGAACCGAGGATGCATTCCCTCCAAGATGGCAAGTTGGCCGGCGGGGAGTGGAGTGCGATGGTGGCGATGGGGGCGATGGGGGCGATGGGGGCGATGGGGGCGATGGGGGCGATGGGTCAGAGGTCGATATCACACCCGGTGCAATGGTGGTTGATGGCCCGCACCCAGTGAGATGCCAGTGTCTGTCGGGTTGTCTGTCGCTGTGCTGATCAGCCCTCGCCCGTCCTTCGCCCGACTCTCCTTGCCTCTCCACCCAGCTCATCCACCCGGCCGACGTTGTCTCTGAGATCCGGGGAGCGGCAAAGTTCAACATTCATGTGCCGTGCGTGGAGCAGCTCACCGTCGACAAGGCAAAGCTTGTTACCCGAGTGTGCGAGTCGATCGATGCAGACTCGGCTTCGATTGTGCCGCTGCTCGAGAACCACCCAGGCGTGACGCTCTACCGGGGCGATGCGACGTTTGTGGGTCCGAAGAAGGTCCAGGTCAACGGCAAGATCCTGGTGGGCGACAAGATCTTTGTCGTGGCCGGATGCAAGGGTATGTCTGGAGCGATGCACAGAGCACAGAGGCAGCTGGAGTGGGCAGTGTGCGGCGGGACATTCCAGAGCGGATATCAACGGCGACGACGGCAATGGTCCTGGCTTCGTGGGTCTGCCGTCAGGATGCTGGTTCTCTCGTGGCCCAGGCAGCATGGCGCCCCAGATGTGGCCACGTTGTTCAATGTCAAACCCGATGCGACGGGCACTAGCCCTGGCACCTCCCCTGGCACTTCCCCTGGCACTTCCCCTGGCTGACCATGCACCCGCTCTGCCAGCAAGCATCCCCGACCTCCCCGGACTGCAGGGCACTCCGTACATCACGTATGCCGAGGCCCTCCGCGACAAGACCGCCCCAAAGACCCTGCTCGTCATCGGCGGCGGCTATATCGCCATGGAGCTGGGATACTACTATTCGCGCACCGGCAGCACCGTCGACTTTCTGGTCCGCAGCCGCATGCTCAACGCCGAGGACGAGGAGGTCCGCGACCACTTTGAGAAGCTCTTCGAGGCCGAGCACCCGGGCCGCATCCACTTTGGCGAGGTCCCCACCAAGGTGTCGTACTCGCCCGGGCAGAAGCTCTTCACCGTCGAGACCAAGCACAAGACCACCGGCGCCGTCCAGACCCGCACGGCCGAGTCGCTGTTTGTCGCCACGGGTGGTTCCCTGCACCGACACCCTCAATCTGGCAGCAACCGGGGTCAAGGTCGACAAGCGGGGCTTTATCGTCGTCGACAACGCCTTCCGCACCTCGCAGGAGGGCATCTATGCCTTTGGCGACATCATCGGCCGCCACCTCTTCCGCCACACAGCCAACTACGAGGGCGAGTGGGTCTTCAACAGCGTCTTTGTGGATCAGTCCCTGGCTGCCAAGGGCATCGACTATCCGCCCGTTCCGCACGCCGTCTTCACCCATCCACAGGTGGGCGGCGTCGGGCTCACGACCGAGAAGGCCATCGAGCGCTTTGGCGGCGCCGACAAGATCGTCGTCGGCCGCTGCGACTACGAGGACGTTGCTATGGGCCAGGCACTGCTGGCCGAGGAGGGCACGTTCCTCAAGCTGATCTTTGAGAAGGCCAGCCGCAAGCTGGTCGGGGCCCACGGCGTCGGCCACGAGATCTCGACCATGATCCACATGTGCATCGCCTATTGCAAGATGGGGGCGACGCTGGAGGACATGCTCGACACCATCTACATCCATCCGGCGCTGCCCGAGATTGTGAGGAATGCGGCCCGGGATGCCAAGGAGGCCTTTGACGGCTGAACCCAGGCGATCAGGTCCGGCTGATCGGGCCACGGCTCTCCAGAGAGCATGAATCGCCTTCGCAGCTCTCGCATCTGAGAAGGGAAGACAGGTTGTCGAACTGGACGGGGCTGAATATGTCGCTGAATCGGACGGCGTTGAATATACTGTCGATACAATACATTGCCAGAAGGGGACTCTGATGCTCCCTTGCAATCGATGTCGTTTCTGTGTGGTGCTTTGAGGTGGTCGCTGTCCACGAACGTGAATCGGCTCGTTTGCATTCATATCCACCATCGATATCCACCATATCCACCGTATACACCATCGATATCCACCATCGATATCCATCATCCATCTCGGGCGTATCGCCTCAATCCTGCGCTTGAGTGGACATCGCTCCGCCGTTGTCGCAATGATCCCGAGCCCGTTTGTGCTGACAATCGCCGTGACGGCGTCCCAACCATGCGGAAAATCCCACACCCACCCTCCCTGCCAGACCATCTCCGATCTGGCTGAGCAATCGCCCACCAGGCCATGTGCCCGGCTCGCATGACCCTGAGCCACCATGAATTAGGTTCCCAGCTGCCAATCAGTCAGGCGTGCTGCTCTGCCATCCCCGACCACTTTCTCGTCTGCTCTTCACCATGTGCTCCCATCGTGCTGTCGCCCCAACTGCTGCCATGCCTCCCGGTGGCCGGTGTCCGATCTGGCCACTTGCCCTCCCTCCGTCAGTCCAAAGGATCTCTGGCGCCCGCAGATTTTCCGGCTCGACAAACCTTCCCGCCCACCACCCGGTCTGTCTCCGCAATATCCCGCCCTCGGGTCGTGTATATAATCCAGCGGCGGGGCAATTCCCATTTGGTTTGCAGCGACGCCGCCCGTATCCAGCCTCATCTCCTTCCTTCCATACCTCCTCTGGCACCACTCGTCCCTTTGCTCCTTCGCTGATTTCAATCTCATTCCGCGCTGTCGCCATGAACAACAGCTCCCTCGACCCCGCTTACACCAGCCTCGGCTTCACCCTGGCCAACTCAAAGTACAGCTGTGTCCGCGAGTTCTACGTCGTCCACTTCTTCTTCGCCATGGCGATGGGCGTGCTCGGCGTCGTCTGCTTCGTGACACGGCTGATTCCTCGGCTCAGATACTTCCATGCCCCGGTGGGAAGAGCGTACATCATCTCGCTCCTTGGGGCCACGGCCTCCTCACTGCTGATCCACAACGAGGGCATGCCTCTCGGCGTGCTGATTTCGTTTTGCTGGGTCCTCGGCGGCACCGTCGTCGGCTGGCTCGCCATCGTGCTCCATCGGGACATTCTCCACAACCGGGCCCTCAACGAGCTCGACCGCTCAAAGGCCGAGCTGCTCGGGCCGTCGTCCGAGAGCACCAAGGCCCAGCTCCAGCGCATCATGCGATCCATCGCCGAACGCAAGACCGCCCTGCAGCGCATGCTCTCGTGGAAGGCCCTCCACGGCATCCTGATGCTCGTTTCCTGGGTGAATATCATCGGCCGTATCGGCGTTACCTTTGCGACCTTCCCGAAGCTCTCGTATCCCGAGTTTGAGTGCTACACGTATCCGGCATACAAGCCCGTCAACTCGTCCTGGTACCAGTACACCCCCGGCTCGCCCATTCAGTTTCTGCCATCCGCGGACCCTCTCTACTCCCGCCTGCCATGGGCCTATTCCGAAGGCCGTTTCGGCACCATCCTCCTGGTTGGGCCCTCCCTGGCTGGCTTTGTTCTGGGTCTCGTTTACTCGTACCTCTCCCGTCGCTTCGGCGGCTCTCCCAAGCTCCAGGCCGTTCCAGAAAGCGATGCCGGATCTCTGTGAACCTGCGCTGATCATCACTGTCGTGATACGGTGCTCCAATCTTGACGTTGTCTCAGCCGAGGACTCCCTTGACTTTGACCACAGCTCGTCCGCTTGTCACATCCTCCTCCAGTTCTGCAGGTTTTTTGTAAATACAATCTATTCGGTCCCAATAATGCGGCCGCAAGTACCTTGATATCTCGCGATGCTGCCCAGCATCCGTCGGCACCACAGCAGTGCAGGCTTCCTATGCTCTCGACTCGGATCTCGCATCGATGGGGTTGTATAGCAAGATCAGTATTATCGACACAAATGCCGTTGACGCTCAACCGCAGCTCCGTCGACAGTCAAGCTGCCTTGACGGCTGCACACAGAGTGTCCGCGCTGAGTGCTCGGTAGTCGCCGAAACTGCGTTGGCCATACGGACTGATGATACCGCCAAGGTGAGGGGAATAGCTTTGCAATGGGTGCAAACGATGCCGTCTGCGATAGTTATCGTGGCGCCGATCAATCCAATCTGGGCCGCAGCCGAAGCATGAGTGTCCAAGCTTCTTACTCCCAGTCGCCCCAGTCCTCCTCGGCATCGGCAGCCTGTGGTGCCCCAACCGTTCCCTCCATCTCTTTGACAAACTTGAGCGACTCTGTCACGATCTCGAAGCTTTCCTTGTCCGAGTTTTGTTCGGGCGATGATGCCGATGCTCGGGCACTCTCGGCCGAAGGTGGCACTATCGCTGCGGGGTGATCTGCCGAGACCAACTCGACTTGCTGCACTTGCACCTTGGTGATCGGAACTTGTGCCTCGGCGTGTTCGGTCGGGACTGCGGTGAGGACCACTTCCTCTTCTTCCTCTTCCTCATCTTCATCCGAATCCCACTTGAAGTCTTCTTCGCCAGCCTCGACATCTGGTTGTCCGGTCGGACGATGGTGTTAGCGAGTGCGCTGGCTGGAGTCGAGCGAGCTCACCGGTACGTCGTCCATAACATTACAGGTGCATCTTAGCCCCCGCCAGTTGCGTGTTGCGTGTTGCCATCAGAAGCCATGTCCAGACGGATATGCAACTTACCACTCATCAGTCGGCGCCGTGTCTCTTCCTCCCGCTCTAGCTCGGCTATCTTCCAGAAGTATCTCAGCCAAAAGTCATCATACGAAACCTTGGTCGGGACTGTGCAAAGAGATTCAATGGTGTCCATTAGCGCTCACTACAAGCGATCGAGGTTATGCGGCCGCCGCAGCCATATGAAGGCCTGCCCGTCCACCTGCATGCCGATTTCAATCACATCTCGTTGCTCCCTCCAGCACATCGCTATCAGCCAGATCGAAATATACGGGTAGTAGCCGTACCAATTTCATCCATCAACTGTTTCTGACCCGGGTCCTGGCTCAGGCTTATCGATATTGCCTCAGCCTGAGCCGCAAGATCGAACGACTGCTGGAACTTGCCGAACCTTTCGGCAACATCGCGCTCGAACGGCGATCCCGTCGAGATCGGCTCGTGCGGATTTGTGATGTACGTTTGCGGATCCCGCCGCAGCGACGACAGCTGGGCAGCCTTGCGGTTGTAGGCAACCACATTCTTGTGCTTGTTTTGGGAGCTCGATGCCTTTTTTTTGAGCCGGGGCGGGTTCTTGAGCAAGGTCGTGATGCTGCTCCCAAGCTTGCCCACCAGATCCTCGGCCTTGTGCAGCCCTTCCCCAGCCAAAGCCTCGATTTGCTCGATGCGCTCCTCGAGATGCATCTCATCGAGTTTGCGATCGATGTAGGTCTCAAACTCGGGCTTGTTTTTGAACCGCGGGATCAGCAATCCCGTCGAGACGTCATAGTCGTCAAACTCTGGCTGCTCCTCCTGCTGGGCTTGCTGCTGCTGTTGGTCGTCTGCCGATGCCGCGCCCTCGGGTGCTGCGGCGCGGTCCTGGCTCATCAGCTTGCTGGGCAGGGCACCCAGTTGGTTCTCGAGTGCCTCGAGTTGCGTGTCGAGGGCGTTGACCGTCTTGGCGGCCGCCGAGAGTGTGTTTTGGGCGAGCTTGGAGGCGGTTTGGGCCAGAACCGACGACTCTGCCTGCACCACATTCGCAAACTCAGCAAGGTCGCTGCATAACCACGGAAGTATGAAACCGAGCCGCGGGTGGACAGAAGGCAAAGAGTTTGATCAGGGTGGTGCTGCAGCTTCAGAGTCGGCAAAGGGTCTGTGCTCCAGAGCCTGGCTGCTGGAACTTGCCAATAGCGACATGCACCGCAAGGCAGAGTCGCGCAGAGCCAGCATGGGCCTCGACTCGGAGGGGCATCCACATCGGACCAAGCTCGGAAATGAGGAGCGTTGCAGAACCGTACCGTTTATATACGCTCACAACCGACTCGGACTGAAAAAATAAGGCAGTGGCGGCACGGTAAGTTGGTGGAAGCGCAAAATGGTACTCTGGTATTGCATCGAGCTGTCCATGAACGACATGGGGCCGTTGGGTCGTAGCAAGCAAGGGATCCGAACCTGCTTCTTGACCGTCTCCATGATGCTGCCCCACGAGCTCGCCAGACCACCAAAGCCGGACCAGCCTTGAGACTTGGGCTGGAGTTGCTTGGGAGGCTCGGCGGACTGTGCGGTGGGCTCGGGGGAGGGTTGTGCACTTGAGGGCTGCAGGACCGGGGGAGGCAGGGCAGGAGAGAGCGAGACCGATACGTGGACATCTTCGGCTTCGGCATCAATTTGGGCGACACTGCTGGGCTCGGCGGCCAGGCTGGACTGGTCTGCGGCGGCCTTGAGCTCGGCTGCGGTCGGCAGGGTCTTTGGCGAGCTATCACCCATCTGTTGCTTGCGGCTGGTCGTGGTGGTCGTGGTGGTCGTGGTGGTCGTGGTGGTCGAGGACTGGTTGATGGCGGCAGATCGATGAAAGCCAGGGCGGGGTCGGGCGCGAACAGGCAAGGGCAAGGGCAAGGGCAAGGGCTGCACACCCTGGAGCCAAAACGGGCAAGGCAGCCACGTGATGCATTCATGTTGGATTCAAGTTGGATTCAAGTTGGATTCATGGTGGATTCATGTTGGATTCATGGTGGATTCATGTTGGATTCATGGTGGATTCATGGTGCTCATGCTGCATAGATGCTGGAGTATTGTGATATATTACTGCGCTGTGTTTCGTGCGCACCCGCTCCCCGACAGTACCCTCCCCAGCCGTCCCCAGACCGGCTCTGGGCCAGTCCCTTCGGCGGAGGCAGCCCCGCCAGCAGGGTCTGCTGGAAAGGCGCAAGGGTCTAGACAGACCATGTCCAGGACGCCCGGCGATATCCACAGCGGCCGGGATGCATGCCGTCCTCGCTAGTCTGCCTCAGCTGCATACGATCGTTTTGTCGGCTGTCTGCTTCCTCATATCCCGTTCCTGGCCATCCTCTATCCACCACGTCTGCCCACAATCATCCGGTCGTCTCACTTGTCCAGCCTCGATCGTAGGCCAGCGCGGCTCCTCTCTAACCATCAAGCCACACCCTGATCAAGCTTCCCGATCCCGCTGCTGGATACCCCAAAACAAAGCTATCCGGCACAGTTGGATCGACTGGCAGCACCATCCATCCAAGACATTTGGCGCTTTCGTCACCTTGGATTCTGCGGCATACTTCACACAATCCGATTCGCCTCCCGAGAAGATAAACTGCCCCACTGTCATTTGCACGCTGTCCATATCGCAACGATGGGCACTGACTCAGCATCGCTCTCCAGACCACTCTCTCTTTGCCGGCTGTTGCTGGTGCTGCTGTCCTTGCTGGTCTGCAACTCGCTCGCTCTCTGCCACAACTCAGCCGGATCGCATCTGGCCGGCGTTGCCGATGCCAACCCCCTGATCAAGCGCGAAGTGGTCCAGGACGGCAACATCACTACCATCATCGTCACTGTCTTTGTGTACGTTGATCAAAGAGGTCATCCCGTCGATCAGCATGGGAATCCTATCGCCACCTGGGCCCAGCCCGATGTCGACCATGGCCCCTCGCCGCTGGTGCTTCTGCAGGCCGTCGACTTGCCCTCGGGCAGCTCATCGGCGGCCCCGGCCCAGTCTACCGAGTGCCCGGTTGTCACCATCACCGTGACCGTCACAAAAACGTACTGCCCCGATCTGTCCAGCGCCGAGCTGTCGACCACATGTGAGTTCCTTTCATCGGGTCTGCCGCTGCCATGATGATCTTGCGCTCGTTCCGAGGCTCTTCTCGAGTCCCGATCATGCCTTTTGCGGCTGCGTCTTAGGCCTGGCTCCCTCAGTCAGTCACTGATACCTTGATTTTATCCTCGTCGTCTCAGCTTGGTGGAGTATTCCGGCCTCGACAACAGCAGCGATCTCGACAACTGAGCCCTCAACAGCGACAACTGCGATCGCCACAAGCATCGTCCCGACCCTGCCCTCACCAACGACGACCACAAGCACTGAAGCTCGCACTACGGTTACTCCCTCTGTGACATCCACAGTTTCGTCGGCGCTCTCGTCTCTGGTGATCACCACAACCGTGCCAGTTATATCGAGTGCATCCTCATCCACACTCCCTATATCGGTGCCGTCCACAAGCGCAAATACCGCCTCTGCTACAACCGTCACGGCATCGACCACTCTAGCCACGACATCGGTTCCTACCACCATTACCATTGTGACAGTACCGGTCTCCACTGGCTCCATCGCAACTACGGCTCTTTCGATTTCCACATCCAGTCCGGCCCCCACCACCATCGTGACCGCCGCTTCCGCCACAACTACCACCAGCGCCATCATGGCCACCACTGCCTCGGCATCGAGCACGACCGTGTCCACTAGCGAGCCAGCAAGCATGTCGACTACTTCGGCGATGCCAACAACCTCCACGGAGACCACTGCCGAGTCGTCTTCGGAATTCAGTATCGAGTCCACTTTGATGACCACCACAACGGCCACTACACCCGAGCCCGTGACGACACCCACCACAGCGTCGTGGTTGACAACAGCCCCGACACCCTGGACTATATCCACCACCGTCAGTGCCTCGGTAGTGACCCAGCCATCGTCCGAAATCACACAGCCAAGCTTCTCGACTACCACTACAGCAGCACCCTTCACTAGCACTTCCTCGACACCTGCCGCTACTTCGATTCTTTCGGTTACATCTGGAACCATGCTGACGTCAAACAACTCGCCACCAACCAGCACCATACCCACCATACCCACCATACCCACCATACCCACCGTATCCACAACCGGCCCAGCACCGACCACCGTGGCCACATCTCCAGCATCTATGACTGTGGTCATCACAGCATCGACTTCCACAGCCAGCGTATCCACAGTCCCAATGACAATGTCAGCGACAACGACATTGTCCATAACGACGACGACGATCATCGAAACCAGCACGACGAGTGCAACAACCACCGGCATTAGCATCACTGTACCTACAACTGAGCCAGCTATCAGCTCCTCAGTCTCGTGGCTCACCTCGACCGTTCCTGCCACACATTCGTCGCCATCCCAGCCCCAAACCCTGTCCGTCTCGGCCTCGGTATTCACCGGAACCGTGGTATCATCAGGCACAACTGCCGTCTCCGTATCGTTGCTGACATCCACGAACACAGCCCCATCGACGCAGTTATCGGCTAGCACGAGCATCCCGGGCTCGTCTTTTGTCACAGTCACAACAGGTCTATCGACTTCAGTCGCAGCTGAAACCACCACACAGACCCAATCTGTGACAACAACGTCAATCATACCGACTTTATCAACTTCCGTATCGATACCATCAGCCACTACAACAGCAATGTTACCCCCCACATCGATAACATCAACCACGACACCAGCGATGTCAATCACAACCGTCTCGCCGATAACCACATCGTCAACCATCACGACCACCAACTTCGTGACGCCGACCACCACGGCAATTGCAACCACCACAGCAACCTCGTTCCTTTCGTCTTCGACAACATCCCAGGTTGCCACATCGCCTCCTTCAACCACTACATTCACTCAGACACAACCAGGAACACAATCCGCGACAACTCAGCCTTCCGAGACGTGGTTCTCAGGGACAACCACACTTCCAGTGACAACAACACTCGCTCCATCTTCCCGATCGGCCACCTATCCGCCCAGCTGGCCCGCGACAACTGCAGGTTTGTCTCGCACCTTGTTTTCAAAGCCACGAGAGCATGCTCGTTCATGACTCGGATGTGTCGGTGAAACAGCGCCATTTGACATCCTTGCATCCTGACGCTTTCCGATCTGAATGCTCTTCGCTGGCAACGATGACTGACGCAACTCAAATCACTTCATGTGTTCCTATTCGCTCAGCACCGTCGGTGTCGCCGCAGCCAAGCTTTTGTGGAGTTTGCTTGGCCAATAGCCAGTCTGCGCTCTTCCCAGGCTATCCTCTCTACTCTCCTTCGTCCTTGGCAGCCACCGGTATCAATGGCGAGACCTATCGGCTCTTTATGATGGGCGACGGCAACCTGGTGCTCGCCAAGAACGGACTGGTTTACTGGCAGTCCGGAAGCTCTTTGGCAGAGCCATCGCAGTCCTACTTTGCAGCCATCGCGCCGAACGGCAACATCTTTGTCGTTGAATCAGCGACGCAGGCAGCCGTGTGGTCCACATCCATGAGTAACATAGGCTACTCGGCTCCATACTGCGGTCTGCTGCAGACCAACGGCCGCCTCACCATCTACGACTCGCAATGCCGCCAATTCTGGAGTGTCGGTCCGGCCACCACCCCACCATCACCGCCGTCTCCGGGGCCAAGCTGTCCGTCGAGCAGCGGGTCGACTTGCTCCATCTCATTCTCGGTCCGGGACAAAGTTGTTGTCGTTGGGGAACACTTCCGCCACTACACAACCTATCTCTTCCGGCTGCTTGCCCATGTGCCAATCAGCACTGACTGGACCGTGACCGTATCCCCAGACATCGCCGGCATCAATCTCACCGATTATCAGAACTGCCTGGTCCAGTACTCAAACGGTTCGAACATCGACCTGAATACTGCGTCGCATCATCCAACCCCGATCGTCGTCGGCTCCAACATGTCTTGGACGCAGCAAAACGGCTATGTCGTCGGACCCACTGGCCAGACCGCCAGAGTCATCAAGAGCGGCTCAGAAATCCAGTTCAGTATGACCTTTGTCTTCCCGATTGGAGTCGATGCCTTCGAGATGTCCGTCGGCGTCGACTGCAGCGTCGCGGCGGATGCGATCGATATCGACCCGTACAACGGGTATGGCAATGCCAGTTTCTGCGACACGCAGGCCGACGGTATTCTGCCATGGATGTCATGGCCCCTGCTGCAGTAGTTCGCTCGATGCCGACTCCAGAGCGTCTCTGCACTTGCCATGTGCGAGCCCGGGGCAGCTGCACACATGATAACCCTGTCCCTGAAGCACACAATACGATTTGTATTCCCTTTCCCAAGCGATTGCTTTGAATGCTCAAGCCGCTTGTGCTTCCTTGTAGGTGATATATGCAAGTCCTACACACGAAGTCGCAGGCTGGGGTTGCGGCACAACTAATGATTGCTGTCGTGCACGCTGCTCGTCCAACGGGCAGCTCGACTTTGGCAACGGGGGTGCGAGACACGGAGTTGACCCTCACTGAGTTGGAGGCACAATGTGGCATCTGTAATCCAAATCACATAGCATCAGAAACTGGCTTGCGTTGCAGGGCCAACCAACAGGCGGCATCTCAAGCGCACAGTTCTCCAGACTCGGAACATACCCGAGCAGCCCTCGCCCGCTCCAGCGTCGGGGCGTCAGATAGAGCGTCTCCAGAGCACTGTCGCGCCGGATCAGCAGCTCGATCGCGGACTGTTGATTCGAGACAGGTTGTTCAACATCCAGGGAAGTGGTATACATGGGCTGTGTCAGTACAGCCCTCCGATCACCATGCAGCCTGTCTCGCAAACTTGCCAGCCCCGTCAAAGTGCCTCATATCACCGTCCTGCGCTTACATTTTCGTTTGCCGCTACAAACTGTGGGAGTCCTCCGAGGCCAGCCCCCGACTTGGAATCAAGACTGCCGAATCTGGAGGTTCATGCCAGGATCCATCTGCTCGGTCAGCCTCGACGTACGCCAGCCAATATGCACACACCGAGTCGATGGCGGTACGGGAGCCTCACCGGATGACCAGATCGCCTCGTCTGAGTCCTGCCTGGGCAGCGGGCCCATCGGGATCGACAGCATTCACCCGGGCCAGCGGTGCTTGCGCTTGTGCTTGTGCCTGATCCTGCGGCTTCGGTGTGTCGTCACGGTCGCCTGCATCCGCCCGAATTGCATTGCTGGAGGAGGTGGATGCGGCGCTGGATTCCGGGTCCGATCGCTGTTCTGACTTGGCAACAGAGTGCAGAGCATGGAGCGACCGCTCGATCGCTTTGAGCAGGTCCTTGTGGTCGTTTCTCAGACCTGGTGGTGCGATCGGTAGGGACAGTGTCATTGCGCCGTCTCGCAGGATCCATCCAGCAGCAGCCGGGGATGGCCTTTGTCCTCTTGGGACAGGAGTCTGCATATGGGTTATGGCTCTGCGGGAGCATCCGGGTGCATTTGGCGATCTATAGCATCGGGCTCGCTCAGGAACACATCCACAGCTGCGTTCACTCACGGATGATTTGGACACGGGCATGGCGAATGTCGTAGGCCGCCGGGTGTGGAAAGCCATCGGCATCGACGAGGGCATCCTGCATGCCGACTCCGTGCTGAAACCCGGGGCAGACGTTAGAAGCCGCATGGTGGAAATGAGCTCCTCATCGAGCTGAGGGCCGTGCCAGCCTTATCGGAGCGCATCGAGCTTGGCAGTAATCCAAGAGGGCAGTCAGCGCGGCGCACCTGCTTCAAAACCTGCTCAAGCTCTGCCAGCTGATTCTCGATGTCTGTTTTCTGGGCCATGAGCTTCTTGGTCTGATCCATCAGCTCGGACTGTGTTGGAGAGGTCATGGCTCGTGTTGGTGTTGGTGTTGGTGTTGGTGTTGGTGTTGGTGTTGGTGTTGGTGTCCGAGACGGGCTACGAGCTTGATGTCGCTGAAGGAAGCGATTCTGCGGATCTGGAGAGCGGTGTCGAAGGGACGAGGACCGATAGCCAAGGCGGCACTGGGGTGATGGAAAGCGAGATCAAGAGCAGGGACCCCAAAGGTCCAGCCGGGCTGGGCGTCGCTTTTGTTTCGTGCCAGGGCCACCCTCTCCTGACCCTTGCGCTTCATGACGCAGCGCCGCACCTCTGCTTTCGTGTGCCATTCGACTCTGGAGCCAGCGCGCTGACCAAACACAGCGAGTGCTTGCTCGATGTCTTGCCAGGGGAGATGTATTCAGAGTCTACGTGGCTGCTCTGCCCTTGCCTTTGGATGCGTGCACCGTCTCTCCCGTCTCCGATTCGTATTGGTCCAGGGAGGCATAGAGCGACAAGGCGGGGTTCTCCAGCGAAGCGGTCGGCATCAGCGCAGAAGCGGCATCCGAGTACTCGCCGCTGGCGTAGTATCCGTCATCTTCGTCGTTGTCGCTGCTGTCGGAGTTGTACGCACTCTCGGTATCGCTTGGGTCGGCCAGCGCCCCCACGGAGCCCTTTGGCCGGGACTGCGATGGCCCTGAGGCGGCCGGCAGACTCGTCTGCCCAAAGAATTCAAGGTCGTCGATGTTGATATTGGCAATCTCATCCATCAAGATCTGGAGGTTGGGCAGGGTGTTCCGCAGCTGCTTTGACGGAACTTGGATGTTGATGAAGTTCAGGAGCTGCTCGACGTTCTTGTTGAGCAGGTAGACCGCATAGTCAAAGTGCACGCGTTCTACGCCTTTAGTGAATAGCGGAAACCTGTCGGCGGATCCAGGGGTGAGCGGGGCAGAAAGCATCAAGACTGTGTTTCTTTCGGGGATGCTGCAACCAGCTCGTTGCTTGTCTCTGTGCGTCAGACTCACTCGTATTGCTCCGGATGGGGGCCCAGAGAGGACGACACCGGATCGACAATCGTCGATCGCGATGACATGGGTTTGATGCTGTAGCGCAATGGAAGCTCGAGATAGAATGCAATCATCATGACGAGATGTGCTGCGTATCCGAGCGCTGTTGCGATCTGCATTTCATTGGCTCCTGTGGCAGCCCAAGACAGGGTTAGATCCAGCTGCTTGCATCCAGCAGCGTCTCGAGCGTCACTCACCTGTATACTCGGAGTTTGGAAGGAGGATTCCGCCGATGGTATAAAGCATGGGCTGGGCAGCCTGGATCGGAGCAAATCAGTAAATGACACACTGGTTACAAGGCGACGTCGTGGATACTGGGAAGTCTCAGTCACGAATATGGGAAGCCGAATGTGCGATGGCAGATCAGCGACAAGCAAGTTAACCGTGCCCGTCATACGAGCTCTACTGCTCATGCCAGCTTCGCTTCTCGGATAGCCCAAAGCCCGTCCCGCGGATGCCACATTACCGGCTTGATCGGATAGATGCTGCTCAGATCCCGAATCAACTCCTTTTGGCGCTTGGTGACGGCGTATATCAGCTTGTAGTTTTCACCGAGCCGGACGTTGCGCTCGGCTTTGCATGCCTCGATCTCGCTGTAGCCCTGGCTCTCACGATCCTTGAGAAGAGAGATGCGCCTCCTTTGCTCCTCCATCCGCTCCTTCGCCTCCTGGATGCGCACATGGCCTTATCAAAGTGTTGCGCTATCGGTAAGTACACCGTGATGCCTGTGAGTTGCGGATAGATAGCTGTGCATTTCGTGGGGCACACCTGCTTGTGTCTCTTGGGTGCAGTCCATGATCTCTCCTTCCAGATATTGAACTTTTGACTTTTGGTCCCGATATTCGGCGATCTACCCAGTGACAAGATGATACTGTGTCAATATCGACGCACATCGTCTGGAGAGCATCCGAAGGCTGCTTGCTTGAAATTTTCACTGGAGACACAGAGGCCCATGCAACATGACGGTAAACTGCCCCTAAACTTGGCCAGATATTTACTTTCCGGCCACGCGCCTCCTGGTGGGACGCCCACTCCTCTCCGTCTTCCAGCAGCTCGTGCGTTTGGCATCGGATGTTCCATAGTTCTTTCTGGATCGAAAGCAGCCTTGAAGATCTCTGAGTTAGTTACCGGAGCGCGCTGGGCGTTCACGAATGCCGCATTATCGCTTGATCAGAGCCAGGCTTTGGCACGCAGCATACCTCAAAACGCCTTCCATATTGTACGATGTGCGCATCTGATGCCACCAGCAGCACAGCAACCAGTCACATTGTTAGAGCTCCTCTGGATCGATGGTGTTAGATGTTCACACACAGACTTGACCGCCTGCATCCGTTTGCAGAGCACGACGGACTTACTTTGTGAGAGTCGACCTTGAAAAAGCTCTTGTCAAAGCTCTCCTCAGAGGCTTCCTGGATCGGTGGGTAGCTCGAGTCAGGGGCGAGGAGTTGCGAAGTAACAGCGCTTGATGCAATCACAGCCTTGGTTCAGAGACCACAGCGATTCGCCATGCCACAGTGCACTTGCACAGCTGCCCTTACCGACACCGTTCGACATGAATAGTATCCTTGGTCGATCCAGAAATATACCGAGTTTGGCGTCGGATCGCTTTCGACGGCGGAGAGCTGAGTGCGGCAAAGCACATCAGACGGCATGGTCCCGACTGTCGTCACTGGCCCAGCGACTCGCCGCACGGTATTTTGCATCGTCCAAGTAACTCACGTTCTCGCCCACGAGTTGCAGATTGTCGAGCTCGACGCTGAACGATATCAGCAGCCGAAACTCCTTGGCCGTCTTTTCCCTGGCCCATATCTGAAACAGAAACTGTGCAGGCGATCAATCCGGCATCGTCAGAGGGCCGATTCCAAGTCAAGGACAACGAGCGATCTGAAACCGATCCAGCGGGAGAATGCACGCCATTGAAGTTGATCTCGACAGCTGAGCGCCCAAGAATAGCATGACAGAGCATGACAGAGCATGCCGCAGGGTGTCGAAGAAAAGGATATTTGTCTGCTGGAATCCGTGGACCGAAATCTCCAGCGGATCGACGGCGTCCCATTGGGGATTCTGCAGACGTGTGCGGAAGCTTGAGTCAATGGCATCCAAGAGAGAGAACACGCACCGACAGATCCGGTGCCGTTCGATCGAGCCAGCTCGGCTCGATAGATGCTGCAGAAACTTTGCATTAACAAGGTATTCCGCGTCAGTTACCATGGTTCCATGGACGATATCGCTCGTGTAGAAGATTTGCTGGTCTAAGGGGAAGGACAGTGGGGAATGCGATGATGACCGACGGCACATGGCGGTTGAAGCAATGTCGGTGATGATGATGATGATGATGATGATGATGATGATAGTGTCAGTAAAATAATGGATCGTGGCGGTGGCTGCTCGGCATCCTCATCGTTATAATAATCGCCTTGGTCGGGCTGCACTGGCTCGTTTTCCGACAGCTGCATTGGCTCGTTTTCCGACAACTGTGCTCGCACCGTCAGACAGAGGCCGACTCTCTGAGCTTATGCTGATCCATACCTAAGGAAGGCGATTCCGAGTCGTCCGGGGCAGCGGAGAGTGTAAAGTATACGTCGAAGAGGCTGGGCGCCGTTGCCCTGGCCGTCTGCAGCGCATTGTGAAAGAGCAGATGTGTGCTGGATTCCTTCTCCGTTCCCCAGGGCAGCGACATGACCGAGCTGGACTTTGCGAGGAGGCCGCTGGGAAGCCTCCGGGCGATCGGTTCAGACGATGTGCCGTCTGGGCCACAGCTGGCTTCATCCCAGCATAGATTCCGGGCAATAAACGACTTGATGTGCCGCACTCGGGGCTGCGTCGATGTTTGGGCGAGAACAAATAGGATGTCGATGGTGAGAGCCATGAGCGGCGAGCGCTCGCCCTGCCAGACTCTTGATGCCCTGCCGGTGCGAATGGTCAGCAATCGGCGGACTCGCAAACCAGGGGCATTCCTACACAGCGTCCCAGGGCCTTCATAGGGGCAGCAGGCGGTTGAGCAGCGGTGGAGCAGCGACGTCGCGAAGATGAGGACGGAGGTGGCGGCTCGAAGCAGACCGCTCAACCCCGAGGCTTTGAGGTTTTTGGTGAACGGGCTCTGCACGCCAGTGAGAATGTTCGTCCGTCCAGGGCCCTCTTTACCGACTCGGTCCTCTGCTGCAGAGCCGCTCTGGTGCCCGGTGTCGTTGGAATGCACCGCTGCGTTGGATATCGAGCAAGCGCTGTTGTGTCGCTGATTGTGCGATCCGTCTGATGCTCAACAACACTCCCGAAAGGAGACACTGCATGTCCGTTCTGACAGCGTCGTCAGCGCCCAGCATGTACCGTTTCAGTTTAGGTGCAATACATCGTCCTGCTGACAAGCCTCATGCCCGGGTCGGACTGGGCTCCGGATGTCCGCATCGCAATCAGACAGCGGATGATTGATGCGATGTCTGGCGATGGCCAGCACCCGCATGCCGATCCTGCAGCTCCTTTCGCCGCAGACGGGCAGCAGTTCTTCGCCAGCCATCTTGCATAGCGGCGCTTTGATGCTGACCCATCCGTGTAGAACACTCAACCCTCCACCGCTCGATGCCCAAAGCCAGCTCCTCCAAGCGATCTGCTGCCAGCCAGCGGACATCGCAGCCGGCGGCTCGCCAGTCCCGCCTGTCATTCCGACAATCGCGCTCTGTGGATGAAGCCGCGGCCACCAAGAAACCAGACGATCGCCCAAGAACAGTCGTGGCCGGGCCGGCGCCGACGGGGCGGGGCTCGAAGGATGCGTCTCCGGGCATAGGCGAGGAGATTGAAGGTAACAAGTGACGCTGCCCCCGTGCTGGGTCGAACGAAACCTGTGCTGTCCGCGGTGTAAAGATCAGATGGGTATCGTCGGCGTGGGAATCGGTCCAGGCATGAGCCAGCCAACACCCGTGCAGTTTACTCATTACCGACTCGGTTGCGGCCTGATTGCCAGAGATGCTTGAGGACCGCGAAAACACGCTTACACTCCTGCGAGGATTCGATTTAGCAACAAAGGTACGGCAGCGCCATGCAAACAGCAGCCGGGGGCAGATGGCTGTGGTTTTGTGGACTCATTGCAGCCTCCGGTCTCTTCATTCTCAAAGTACGGTCCATGCGTCGGACTCACGAGGCTGGAGCGGTGGGAGCGAGCATCCCGGCTGGGGCTGGAGCCTCCAGAGAAGATCGGCAGGTTCCTGCGATCGCCGCAAGCGAAAACGACGCCGCACTTTTCGGAGGGCCTCTGGCATAATGCGTTGTAGCGGTGCAGCCAGTCATATATTGATATGCGAGCCAGCGAGTTGTGATAGACAGTGAGTGGGCTGCGACAACTGCAGACCGTCCCTGCAATACAATGGCCGACTTGTGCGAGCAGCAGCCCTTATCGTCCGCCCTTTGCCAGAGTGGGTTTCCATGTGACCGGGTGGGTTTCTGGGGTCTGGTGGATGGTACGAGCGAGTTTAAGCCAAGGGCCATCGACAGTTTACGAGCAATTCGCCAATGCTTCGCTAATAATTCACCAAATATCCACGAGCGATTCATCGGCACCGGACCGGCTGCAGCCGAAGCGAGGATATCTTACCGCGTTCTCGTCTTCTCGCCAGATCTTGATGGTCTTATCAGCCTCGCCCGTGATGAGCCGCAGGCCAGTGCGATCAAACGTGGAGCAAAAGATGCCTGACTCGCTGTCCAACGAGCCAGGCTGGACCTGAGTCGATCCGCGCTGGAAGTTGTATCCGGTTTTCCAGTCCCAGAAGTGCATTGAGCCGTCGTCGCCTGATGACGATCCGATATTATCAGCTACTGAAGCCGGAGCGGCCGCAACACGTCCACCTTGCTGTGAAGCACATCCGTCTCTGCTTGTCGGGGAACCATCCCGACCGACATCAACCGAGCGAGCATATATCCGATCACAACCAGTGGCTACATCAGAGCTGCCGGATGCGTCCTTACCTCCAGAGAAGAGCACGCCGTCCTGGTTGACGCTCAGTGTGTTGACAATCACATTGTGGCCAACGAGGTTCTGGATGAACTCGCCTTCGGGACACTTCCACTGCCGGATGCTGTCAGGACTTGCACTGGCAAAGGTGAACTCGTTCGGATTGATGGCCAGCGCGCGCACGGCCTTTTTGTGATGCGTCAGGGTTGTCATGGCTTTGCCGGCGGCAAGATCCCACAGCTTGACCGTGGTGTCGGAGGACGCCGTCAGGACCTGGGGATCGGCCTCCTGGCACTTGACGTCCGTCACGGTCTGAGTATGTCCCCCGAGTGTGAAAATTTGAGCCTTGGTCCGCATGTCCCACACCTAGCCACAGAGGCATCGTTGAACGCAGTCAGCCATTTGCATTCACCGATGCGGGTCAGATCGTTGGCATCAATATCGGCCAGGCAATGCGGCGCCGACACGTGCGAACGGATAGCTGAGTTTGTCCAGTCGCCGCTGCTGGCACTGCACATCCGATTGCCTACCCGAGCCACAGAGTCTCGACCGCCGGTGACCATGACATCGAGGGTGGGATGCAAGGAGAGGGAGTAGACGCCGCTGAGATGCCCGTGGTAGTGTCGGATGACTTTGTTGTACTCGAGATCCCAGCACTTGACTTGCTTGTCCTCGCCGCACGAGAAGAGATACGGATGCCGCGGCGAGACGGCGAGGCCACGGACCATCGAGATGTGGCCGGTGAGCGTCAGCTTCAGTGTGCCTGAAGCCAGGTCCCAGATCTTTGTACGAGGAGGTCAAGGGTCCAAAGCGTCAATTCAACGATGCCGTGCAACCGGCCGCTTTGCGCCGTATCTCGGTGAAGTTTCCACTGAGGTTTCCATTGAAGGCCGAGGCGAGAGCCAATGCACTTTGATCTCGGAAACGTGCGTCTGGCAATGGAGGTTTGGATGAAGCGTCTAAATCCAGCGATATCCAGATCGGATCCTACCTTGATGAGGCGGTCGCCGGCGCCAGTCACAAACCACTCGTTCCCAGGATCGACAGTGACTGCACGGACCCATCCAAGATGTCCACTGATCACCTGTATCAGGCGGGAAGGCGTTAGCAAGCTCAAGCCGGAGCATCTCCATTGCAACAGAAACGAGGCAACCCGTTTGGCGTTGGGCTTACCCGCATCAGCTTCCAGGGGGCATGCCACTGGGGCTTGGGGACCTTTCTGGGCTCCCGGATGCGGATCAAAGACGATCCCGAATCCTTGAAGATGCCATCCTCTGCCGATCCCTTGGCCCTCAGTAGAAGAGCACCAGAAGCCCCTGACGATCTATGGTCGTATGCGAGGGACAGAGCACAGAGTCAGTGCACAGACATGAGTGCTGGGGAGGATCTGAATATGGAGGAGCACGGAGGCATTTGCAGAGACTCCATATCGGTGCGGTCAAGGGGCTCTCCCAGAGTCGAATGTGCAGAGTTGCGGCGTGTGGAGTGAGGGGCGTGCGATCATGGCCGGGAGGGCCGATAGCACGGACAGGCACGCACTCGGATTTCGGGGCCGCGGGTATCTGATCGATCAGAGCACCGATAGCCGGGTTTGATGTCGGCAGATCTGTCGCTGGGGGTTTGGGGGCAGGCTTGGCCGGGACATTGGCCTTGGCCGCTTGCTGTTGCTGGTGCTGGTGCTTCACCACAGCCTGTGGGAGCTCCCGGACGCCGTTCCACTCGTCCATGATCTTGCTGGTCAGCTTGAGCTTCTGGCTTGGAGGGTCGTCTGGTGGGGTCGGGAACAGTGCCTGTGACTCCAGAAACAGCTCGTGCGAGCGCTTGATGGAGAACTCGGCCACCTCATCCAACGGAGGCAGCGATGCTGGCTCGTGTGCTGTGGTCATGGTGCTGTTGCTTTGGATACTGCGGAGAACTGACACGATGCACTTGGGATGGTCGTTTGTATGCAGTCCGATCGCGATTTCTGCCAGCGATGATGCTCGCGGTTGGCGATCGTCGTTGATGGTGTCTTGGGGACGCAGATGGCCCAGCGGTTGCGAAAGCCAGCTCGACCGAGATCTCGGAGAATGCCGCCGTGTGTGTGTGTGTGCCGGATGCATCCATTCGAACCGGCTACCATCCCGCCTGGCTTGCGGCCCTGTCCAGCCCTCATCGATCTCACCAGCCAACGATCTCGCCAACGATCTCACCAGCAATCTCACCAACGATCTCACCAACGATCCACCCCGTGCACTTGCCTGCTCCTGCATCCTATTCCTGCCCTCAGCCAATCACCCCCAGCCGACACTGCTCCAGAGCCATGGACCGCCCGCGTGTTTATGTCGGCTGCCTGCTGCCCGTCGAGCGTTTCAGCTCGTCCGAGTCGATCTGGCAAAAGGCCGAGATTCTGTCGATCCGGAATGCGGATGTGTCACTGGAGAACGCAGAGTTCTACGTGCATTACGAGGGCTTCAACAAGCGTCTGGATGAGTGGGTGCCCTTCAAGCGGCTCAATCTCGACAAGGTCGAGTATCCAAAGGTCGTAGCGCCGACTCCAAAGAAGAAGAGCAGCGGCGCCTCGCAGCACGGCTCGGTTTCGTCGACACCGGTCCCAGGCACCCCAATGCACCAACCCGCATCCAAGTCCAAGGGAAAGGGTCGGAAAGGGAAGGGTGCCAGCTCTACTCTTGTTCAGTCCTTCAGCGCTTCCAGCGTGGTTGACTCCCCAGCGTCGCTCGCCACGCCATCCAGCGATCTGAAGCGGAAGCGGTCGCAGATGGAATCTAGTTCGTCGTCGCTTCAAAACTCGCCCGGAGGCAACGACGACTTTGCCGTGGGCTCCAACGACGTGGAAATGTCGGATGCCCTCTCTCAGCAGGACGATGAGAGGGCGGGCGACGACCCCGACGCCGACGCCGACTCGACTCAGGGCTTCTCCAAGGAACGAGAGATCGAGAAGCTGCGGACGGGCGGCTCGATGACCCAGTGCATTACCGAGATCTCGCGGGTTCGAAACATCTCGTCCATCATCATGGGCAAGCACGAGGTCGAAACATGGTGCGTGACACTTGCCCGCTGCCTTGGACTCTGTGGGGGCATGGAGCAACGGGACGCTGCTGACTTGCCCGCAGTGGGGAATGTATGTGACGGAGCCGTCGTTTCGAGCAACACGGCGGACTCTCCTCGGCAATCAACTCGTTTGGGCGGTCGCTGACGATCTGCACCTTCCACCACCCAGGTACTTTTCGCCATATCCCGAAGAGTTTTGCACTGGCGGAAAGATATACATTTGCGAGTTCTGTCTCGAGCCCTATGCGTCAGCATATGCCTTTGAGCGCCACCGGAAAAAGTGCACCCTCCATCATCCACCCGGCAATGAAATCTACCGCAAGGACCACATTTCGTTCTTTGAGCTAGACGGGCGGCGCCAGCGCCACTACTGCCGAAATCTGTGTCTGCTGTCGAAGCTGTTCCTGGACCACAAGACGCTCTACTACGACGTCGACCCGTTCCTCTACTATATCATGACGGCGTGCGACGATGTCGGCTTCCATCTCCTCGGATACTTTTCCAAGGAGAAGCAAAGCAGCGAGGACTACAATGTCGCCTGTATCCTGACGCTTCCACAACACCAGCGAATGGGCTATGGAAAGCTCCTCATTGCGTTCTCGTACGAGCTGACAAAGATCGAGAAGAAGACCGGAAGTCCCGAGAAGCCCCTCTCGGATCTCGGACTGCTCTCTTACCGTGCCTTTTGGAGCGAGGTGATTCTCGAGAAGCTGATACATTACCACGGCGAGATCTCGATCGAGCAGCTGCGCGACGAAACCTCCTTCACAATCGACGATATCATGCTGACGCTCCAGGCCCTGGATCTGCTCAAGTTCTATAAGAACAGCCCGGTTCTCTATCTGAGCGACAAGAACATTGAGCACCTCCAAAAGTCCATCAAGAAGGCAAAGATCAAGATCGATCCTTCCAAAATCGAGTGGAAGCCGCCCGTTTTCCGCCCGAACCAGCTGCAATTCCTGTGAGAAGCCTGGTCCGACATGGACTTGACCCTCCACAGACTTGCCCCGCATCCGCTCAACGAAGGGATTGGATTTTTCTGTTGACTCGGATCGGTGTCTTGTCGCGGTGCCGGAGCCTGTCAGCGCTGCCGCGATGATTCCCTGGGTTGGGCATCGCGGATCTCCCATGCCGCCATAGTTTTGGTCCTTATCAGAAAATAACGGGACAGCGTCCCTGTTCTCAATCATCATAGACCTGGTGCCTGTTGAACTCACTCACCGAGCACGCATGGGCGCCTCTGGTGGTGGGTGAGTTACTCGGAACATCGAACAAGTCCGAGTCTCCTGTGACCGGATGTGTCCCTTCCTTTGCTTCCAGGAGGCGTTCCCACATGCCAAGACAAAGTTAGTCTCCTTGGACATGCTGCTTGGCCATGGTGGACGGTGGATGGGTGTGTATTCAAGCCCCGGAAAGCAGCGACAGCGCCGACTCAGTAGAAGGATGTCTCGTTTCGTTTTGGGTGCGCTGCAACAGCCATGGTCGCCCAGTTCTTTGCCCTTGGGCCTGCATCCGATTCTGGCTGTCGTGCCTGTCCCTTGGCGTCAGGATCCAGTCTGACAAGCTGTCCGACGAACTGGTCGACCGAGAGGGACGGGAGAGACAGCAGAGCCCGTGAGGTCGTGTGGGGCTGGTGTGAGCCGGACGGTAAGTCCGCAGCTGTCTCTGGGACAGTTGGCCGGGGTCGATTCGAGGCGCCGACCAGACGTTTCTCGGAGGATGTTGGATGGCTGCGTGTAGGCACGATGGTCTTGACAATGATATCCGGCAGCAGCAAATCGGAGCCGGGGCAATTTGGACGCCGCTCTTGCTGCGGGATTTGGGCTGTCTGGGGCGATCGCTTCGGCTTGAGCTTGGGCTTTGTTTTGTGCGAGCGCCGGTCTGTCGGACGGCCTGTGCGGAAGCTTTGTGCTTTCGTTTCATCCGTCGATGCTCGCTGAGACTGCTCTGCAGCCGGAGCGAGGTGATGTTGGCTGTTGCCGATGACACATATCATGTTTTCTTGAACAGGCGGGGGTTGTGGCTCATGTGCTTGCCGCGACTTCTTGGGCTTGACGGGCTTTTCGGAAGGCGGCGGCTCGATGTCGTAATAGTTTGGTCGATACACCGGCAGATCCAGCATGATCGCGTCGGCCTCGCCTTGGTTTGAGATGGAGGAGTAAGCAGGTCGGTGGCAGCGGGGACAATTGGGCTTGGTCTGCAAGAGCCAGCGATCTGTGCAGGGCGAGAGGAGATGTGAGTTTACATGCTTTCCTGGACAGACCGAATTGTCTGGCTCCTTGGGCATTCGACTGCAGGTATCTTATCTTGGCATACATCAACATGTCGCGCGGCCACCCACCAATGCATGGACGGTGGAAGTCGCATCCACACGGCAAAATCCTCTTCAGGTCTCCTCGTCGCCACTTGTCATAGCAGATCTCGCACTTGGCGTCCTTGAGCCCAGGCAGATCCGTGGACTTGACCGTCTTGGTGGGGAACGAGTTGACAATCTGGATCGGGACGTGCCCTTGCTCGACTCGCCCGTCCAGCTGCAAAAGGAGATCGTAGTCATTGTGCCCCAGCTCCCGCCGCTGCAGCTGGTCGATCAGCTGAGGCGGAAGCGACGAGGCCACCATCCGCGAGGCTGGCTTCCACTGCTCCTGCCGTTTGGATCGGACCATAAACACATGTTCGCTGCAGATGCCCCCATAGAGCGACAAGGGTATCAAAGACAGTCAGCTTGACACATCGGATTCCAGACGGATCCGTCCGGTTTGGCAGTGTCGGCCGACACAGACACTCACATCGGCGATCATGCCCAGTGTCATCGGCTCTGGCATACCTGTGGCTTCCTCCAGTAAAGCATTTTTGGCAGAGATAATACTCTTTGCAGTTCTGGCACCTGGGACACGGAAATGTGATGAGGATCGATACCGCTGCTTGGAGAGTGCGATGGTGGATTCCTATCTGCTGTCCTCAATCGCACAGCGGGTGAGGCAGCGGAGCGAGTTGGATCTGAGCCTGCTTACTTGTGACAGTTTCCCACGATCGGAAGCAGTCCACATCCACGACAAGTGCAGCCTGAGCAGACATTGGCAATGCCCAATGCGGATGAGATTGGCTCGGCTGCGACGACATCGCCGCCACGAGTCATTTTGAGCACAGAGCGGGACAGCAAAGGCCTACCAAGATGTCGGGTTTCTCGCTCAACCTTCTCCCTTCTTCGGACCTTGAAGGCCGCCTCGTATTCTCCTTTCAGGTGGTCGATTGTGCCAAAGTTGTTGCGACAAAGCTGTGTCGATGCATGAGTCAGCAACACGATTGCCGTCGACGAGACCACATTCAAAGAGAGGTTTCGGGTGGCGCTAAGCGCTTGGTGGGCCAAGAGGCACAGATATGTCGCTCCAAAGCAAGAACGCCTGGGCACCCAGCGGGATGGGTGCTCACTCACCGGGCACTTGACCACATCGACACCCATGGCCTTGGCCTGGTGCTCTGCCATAATCTTCATGCACTTGATGTGCACGTTGTTCCCACAGCTTGTTTTGCAGTATGTGATCTGGGACGGCGCGGTGTCGTCAAACTCTTCCTGGCAGATTGGGCTGTGGTGGATTGAGTCGAGTCAATGCATAGCGACGAGCCTGGATTCGGCGGGACTGAAATACAATCCGATGCTGCAACGCACCACACATCGCCTTCAGAGATCTCACGTCGCGAGATGGCGTCGTCGTTTTCGGGCCTCGCGGGCTGTGTCTTGGCTGCAGCGACGCTGGGCGGGGTATTTGAGTGCTATGGACAACAGGTGGCATGAGTGTGGTTAGCTTTTGGACGCGGATTCTGTGGTCCGCACAGCCAGAGTCGGGACGTCAGTTGGAGCGGGCCAGCATCCACTCACGTAGCTCTTGCGGCCCCGCAAAACCTGGCTGATCTCTCGTTCAACAAGAGATCGCTGGTAAATGGCCTCAGAGTCCTTTGGGACGTGGAAGACCTTGATCATGACCCACAGCTGTGCCATGGCATGGGAACGCGGAAGTTAAGAAACCGCCCGGTGATGGGGCTGCTGCTCACAACCGCCGCCAGTGTCGTCGGGCATCCCCGTCGAGAACGGAGAGTGGCAGTCTCTCCCAGAGTAAATACCAGGCGGCCGGTCCAAAGCAGCAGCAATGTCCCCTGTTGGCCTCCCCCCCCCGATTTCCTCTGCAAACCTCATGAGCCTGATCCCAGAGCGTGGGATCGCGGCCAAATGCTACCTACGATGTGGACGCAGAGCTCTTGCTCCGACACAAAATCTGCGCAAGTGCATGTCTGGCACGATCCAAGGCCGACTTTGTACTTCTTCTCGGCCTCGGCCTCTCGCAAGATGAATGCCATCGGGCCCAGCTCCTGGACGACGAGCAGACGCAGATTCGCCGCCTGGTCGAGTCGCTCCTGAACGAGCGGCGGGCACGTTCGTCGTAGTGGCTGCTCTCTTGACATTATGAGGTCGTGGTCGTGAGGGATACTTGGGAAGCAAGACGAGAGCGACGGCTCTGCAGACGGATGCGAGCGGGTCGGGAAGGCGGTCGCTCGCCAGTGGCGGAAGCGTGATTGGCAGGATGAACAGTCGCATACCCCGGCCATTCAGTCAAACGGGACAGTCACTTTCTGGCATCAGCGAAACAAGTCTGATGAACTTCCGTAGGCTCCAGTGGGCAAGCCATGCGATTGTTTCCCGTCCTGGTTGGCAATCTCTCTGTGATGCATTCACTCGACGCTCTGGACAGCTCCATGGTGTATCGATATCAAGATCCTCGAGCACCCCTGAGATATGTTGAACTCGTTCACCGAGCACACCTGAACGTCTCTGGTGGTGGATGAATTGCTCATAGCACTTGGCGAACCTGAGTCTCCGTGGGCTGGATGCATATCTCTTCCCTTGCTTCCAAGAGGCGTCACACTACCGGCACCCCTCCGCGGTCCCGGAGTATGCTCGATCCATGCCCATAGCTACTGTAGGAAAGTATATATGTATCCGGCAAGTACAACGGCAGTAGACCGAGGCACTGGCCAGGGCTGGCGCTTGGTAATCGACGATGATCCCAATTTGGACTCACGACTGCTCGCCTATGGGCGCTGGCCACCATTCAGGCACATATGCCTTGAGCTTCAAGCCGTTCTCACACACGAGCTCCTGGCCATCTTTCAGAGCCCCAACGTGGTCGAGTCGGAGCAGAGCCAGGCCCACGTTGTGAATGCCAGAGCAAAACTTGCCGACGCTTGTGCCGCCGCTGCTGGCTTTCCGTCGCGTGGGCTTGGATTCCGAGTCGCCAACAAGCACAATGTCGGACCCCGTGGTAGGCAGCGGCACATTGAACTCGGTGTCGATACTCTGTTGGTCCGGTGCGCTGGTGATTCGTATAAGCAGATGCATATGAGCACATGGATAACGAAGACCAAGGACAATACGTATGGGAACTCAGTTCGATGTGGATGCATCACAGAGCGGCACAGCAGATACCAGGCCGGGGACGCAAATACGGGACGGCAGCTCACCTCTCCGTGTCGGTATAGAGCTGCACTGGCACGATTCGCTTGCGCGTGACACCGGTGTGGTAGGTACGGATGGTGAGCTCCTGGCCGAGATAGCATCCCTTTCGGAAGTCGACTCCGTGCATGTAGTCAAAGTTGGACTCCAAGGGAAGCGAGGCAGCGTGAAAAAAGTCGTCTGGTCCTTCGGGGATGCCGGCCAACAGTCGACGGATCTTGTACTCCTCAGGAGCGACCTGGATAAAGTTGGGGGGCAGGGGTGCTGGTGGTGTTTCGTAGAGTAGCGGTGTAAGCCACGGAGCTGCGACGACAGATTGGCGATGCAGTTTGGATGACTGCGCGGTCGGAGCCTCCGTGAATCCATGGGTTGTCGCTCCGGGCGATATGGATGTGTGCACATCAGCATTGGCGCATGGATGTGTGCACATCGGCACATGCTGTACTTACGAACAGCATCGCCCTTCATCAGGAAGCGCACTCCAAACTCGGGATGCCGACAGTCCTTCAGGCCATTGTCCACAAAGCTATTCTTGGCCAGCACCGAGCCTGCGGGAGTGCTGCTGCCGCTCTTGGGCACAAACGTCCCGCCCCAGAGCTGCTTGCTCTGCGGGCCCCATGCCTGCCACACCCGCCAGTCCGACTGCGGGGTGATTTTGGCTTTGGTGCGCAGAAGAAACCGCTTGAGATGGGCGTGCAGCCCCGGCAGGCTGGCCTCGGCCGATTCGACCAGGAAGGCTGGATGTGGGAATGTCTGGTTGACGTTCTTTGGATAGATGAAGGCATCGAATAGCACTCGTCCCTGGAACCGATGTGCGTGTTGCGGCAGAGGATATATATACACATCAGCATCCAGTTTCCAGTTGCAGGTGAGGGCGGGGGGGAGGAAAGCGAACCGGAAAGGTCGCTCTGCCCTGGAAAACTGCAAAGGACGTTCATGGCGAACCAGGGCTGCTCGCTCGATGCCGCCGTACCTGCGGAGACAAGAACGCAGCCAGCACGCCGTCGCCGCCCCGTTCGATGTTGAGCATCTGGTTGGTTGTCAGGCCTTGCAGGAACTTGATGGCCTCGGGCCCTTCTATCTCGAGACACGCTCGGTTGTCCAAACGCACATATTCGTTCCTGGCATTCGAAGATCGCAGATACTCCTGCGCGTTCGTTTTGGTGGCATAGCTGCGACCCAGGGTATCCTGCGCTATGCTCTGGCCTGCGAATCGGCCCGTGTATCGACCTGAGAATAATATGCAATAGTGAGACGGATTGCGTCGGCGGCGGCGACTGGTGCGCTACAGTGGCGAGGCCTGGTCGGAGAGGTAGAGATTGTCGGCAAACGAGCCACCCTGCCTGGCCAGCGAAACGACACTCGGGATGAACAGGCAAGCCCACCACGAGCCACAGCACATCGTCGGAAGGGCTGCATCCTCATGACACTTGGCATTCTTTCTTTGCTGTCGACTGCTGGGTTGGGGCGTGATGGTCTTGGCTGCCGCGGCTTGGATCGATGCAAGATCGATGCGAGATCGTTGTTGGTCCGTTGCCGGATCGCTGCGAGATCGACGCCATTCCAAATCCGGGCGGACAGGTGCTGCGCAGCATGGCGCCGGCGGGTTGGCCCGCCCTCCCGGCGTCGACCAAGACAGATAGCCAGCGCCCTCTCGCCCGTCCTCCGCCAAGCTATCCGGCAGACCTTGCAGCTGAGATTAACGACGATATGCTGTCACGGAAGCCCTTCCCAAGCGAGGCGTGTGCGCTCGACAGCCTCGGGTTCGGCAACGAGCTTCATGTGGGTGTCGTCGTGTCTGTGGTTCCGCGTGCAAACCTTCATGTTGCCATCGAGAGCCCTCACCTCACCTCATCCCCATGTCCGCTGTTCACACCAGGATCTCAAGGTCGCCGACATATATCAGGTGAGGGTGACCGCACAACCCCAAAGGCAGAGTCCGTGCTGCATTATGCTGTCCAGCGTCGCATCCAACGATGAGCCAATGCCATGCTCGGCTCGATGGCATTCTGGCTCGCTCCCACGCTGGCCCAGCATCCTTCTGCATCTCGCAGCGCCTCCGATCCACTTCAACTCCTCATCGCTCACTCATCGCGCTCATTCATGCCGCCGGATACAACCACACGATCGACGTGCTGCAGTACGAAAGCATCCAGTTCCTCGGCGACTTGCGAGACTTTCTCAAGGAGCGCGCCGACCTCGAGAAGGAGTACTCGCGTAAACTCGAGGTCCTGAGCCGGAAATTCCTTGCCCGTCGCGAGAGACGCAAGGCCGCTCTGGGGCAGTTTCTGGCTCAGTTCCAGGCGGTCCCTGGCAGCCAGCTCAAGGGATTGCACAGGATCAACTACCCGGTGACTGAATCCTGTCTCGACTGGATACAAAATAGGTAGGACACCTGCTGAGGGAGATTCAACTTGCACGGTGGTGATGGTGATGGTGATGGTGATGGTGATGGTGATGGTGATGGTGATGGTGATGGTGATGGTGATGGTGATGGTGACGCTGATGGTGATGGTGATAGGGACCACAGCGCAGGCGACTGCATAATGGACATGTACACGTCGGCGTACTAAATAACCGTGTCTGCAAATTTGGGCGGTACATAGCTCGGCTCACAGGTGCTGGTCAGATATTCTCAAAGAAACCGAGAGCGTCGCCCGCAACCACTCGGACTATTCAGATTCGTTGAACGTGCGGGTGGTCGAAAGGATCAAGACGATCCGGCTCCGCCACGAAGAGTCCAGGAAGAAGGTGAGGCGTGTGTGCGGTGTGTGCGGTGTGTGCGGTGTGTGCGGTGTGTGCGACACTATCGTCCGGTCTCACCTCTTTCTGGCTTCGTTTCGTATCATATCGTATCGCTAAGGCTTACTTGGTTGTCGGAGTTGGATATATGCAACAATAGACGGTGCGCTGATCATACCTTCGCCTCCTTCTCTCCCCCACCAACCACTGACCGCCACCAACTGACCACCACCAACCACTGACCACCACCGATCAATAATAACAACAACAACAAACTTTCTAGAACCTCACCTTCTGCCAGCGCCTTGTGGCTGAGCGCGATAAAATCTATGACGAAACGGCCCAAGCCAAGCACAAGTACGACGTCACTTGTGATCTCGTCGACACGGCAAAGTCAAAGCACGACCGGGCCATTGACGAGCGAACGCGGGAGAAGCACAAGCTTACCTACCACCAGGAGATCCTCGATATGTACAACAACAAGGTCTATATCCTTCCTTCTCTCCTTTCCCATTCTCCCCTCCCTTTCGGATTCACGCCTCTTTCCAACCCGCGTCGATGGCTGTGTCCTGGCAAATGAACATTGGCATTGGGTCGCATGTGAGACGCATCGAAGGGAGATGTGCACGCTGACAAACACACAATGAATGCATTTGTTCTACCTTGATATCACTTGATCTACCTTGATATCACATGGTCTACCTTGATATCACTTGGCGTGGCTGATCGTGGTCCTGCTTTCCATCCCGGCCCCCCCCCTGCCCAACAGAACCTCTACATCTTATCGCTCGACGTTGCCAAGGCTGTCCAAGATAGCTATTACAACAAAACCGTCCCGGCGATTGTCAAGGTGTGTGTGTGTCGATTCTGCCCAGAACTCAGGCAGCCGGATCATATCTCTGTGCCGATTCTGGTCTGCCTCGAGATTCATGTTTGGCTAGGGATCAGCTCCAGTGCCCGGCACTCGTGTTTTTGAATGCATTGCAGACTCGATGTGTATGATCATATCGCTGTGTCGTTTCACGTCTGCAGGGGTGTACTGCCTCAACAGCCACGGTCCGGCGCACATCCATACTCTGCGTCTCATCGGTGCCGGCTGCCGTCTTCCGGTTGCTCTGCTAACCACTCACTCCCAACACGCCGCTCGTCCAGATGGCAATGGATAGCGGATCCTCAGCGATTCTCGAGCTGCACGGCGCTCTGGACGACTATGTCGACTTGTCCCTGCAGCGCGATCAATATTCCCAGGCCTCCATAGACAAAATCAAGCAGACAATCGCCAGTTTGGACGGCTCGGGTGATGCCGACGCTTTCCTGGCGAAAGCGAGGGCTGGGTTCAAGGATGCACCGACGCCGCACGAGTTTGCGTTCCAGTCGAGCGGCTTGTGGAAAGAAACGGTATGTGGTCGATGCAGGAACAGAAGTTGAGAAGGAGGAGGAGGAGGAGGAGGGGGGGAAAGGGCATCGACGACGGCACTCGCTGACCCTCCCAGCTGTATGCCATTTTCCGATCGGGTGGTTGCTGTTGCTGCTGCTGCTGCGGCTGTTGCTGTTCCAGGGCGAGATGTCCACCGACGACTTTTCGCGCATTTTCTTGACCAACAAGCTCGAGAAGATTCGCGATGCTTTGGACCTTGTCTCGAAAGACATCGAGGCCAAGCACAAGGCGATCGAGGGTCTTCAGAAGCTCTATGATACCTACACCGCCAACCCGCGCCAGGGTGATCCGTACAAGGCACGAGAGGTAGGTGTCGCTGGGACCACTTTGGCGGTCTGGTCCCTCATCTGTGCTGTTGTTGCTGTTACTGTTGTGAAGGATCTGTGGCGCCGTAGTTGCGGTGCGACTGTTTTAGGCTGCTGCGTGCACGGTTGTGGCCGGAGGGAGGAGAGAGGAGTCGACTCTGTCTGGGAAGATGGGGGGGGAAACTGGATCACCCGGCTGCCCGATGATATGTCTGGCACAGGAGCGGCACAGGGCTCATGGAAGCTCACACCATCCATCTGCACAACGGGACGTTCCAGGGCATTGACGAACTCGAGAAAGAAATCCTGTTGCTGACTTGGACCGAGATTCGGTACCAGACACTGTGCGCAAAAGTCACAGGCACCATTGGAGGTAATGCAAACATCCACAGTGACCAGGATCCTGAAACGGAGGAGAGGAGAGAAAGAGAGACGAAGAGCGACAGGGTGATGGCAGCTTGAGGGAGCCAAGGGAAAGATATGAATGACTGACACACATGGCGTGCGCAGAAAAATCGGATCGAGACAGGTCGCATTCATTCAAATGCGTGTCCTGCACCATTCCAACGACATGCGACTATTGCAGACACACCATCTGGGGCGTCAAGGCCGCAGTGACTTGCACAGGTACGTCCCAGCTCTGGCATGATATGGGCGTTGCCGAGAGACCGACAGTGTCCTTGTGAGCGTGTGGTGCTAACTGCTCATCACAATTCATCATCACGGCAACGGCAACGGCATTTTCAGTCTGGTGAGTCGCCAAGGGCAAGAAAGGGCGGTGTGTCTGTTATAGGGACGAAACAATGTCCAAGACCGGAACTTTGTCGATGAGTCCGAGGGCATCGTTTGTGCTGATGCGTTGGATAGAAACAGTGTTCCGGTGACCACATGAGTGTTCGGCTGTCGAGATGGGCGACACTTGAGCTGTCCTCGCTGATGCTGATGCCGCGATCTGTAACGATGCCCCATCGACAGCAACTACAATGCGCATATCAAGTGCGAGCTCAAGGTCCCTCTCCGCTGCACCGGAGTGAAAATCAAGGCCCAGCGCTCCGCTTCCAACCCCAGCATCACCCGTCGCGAGAGCACACCGAAGATTCCAGAGAAAGCTTTACGCCGAACAGGTAGGAATGAGCTCACGGTACTGTCCGTCAGCAAGAGGTATTTCGCTCCGTATGTGTTGGGGGACTCACAGCAGACTAAACAAGCCGGGATTGGCATCTTTGGCAGACACACCAACCACGGACGCATCCAAGGTGCCTCTGCAAGCCATTGTGCTCTACTCGTACACTCCCTGCAATCTCTCTGGCGGGGAGATTGAGGTGCTCGAGGGCGAGTCCTTGACGGTCTTGCAGCCCGGTCAGTATGGCTTTCGGAACTGCTGGGTTGCATATGGCTCTTGTAGCTGCCAGCGTTGCTGCGGCAGCGGGAGCTTCTTTACAAAGCCCAGACCATGTTTGTCGAGAGGCAGTCACATCCCAAGCTGAAACTTCCTGACCATTGATGTCCTGCGACAACCAATGTCCTTTGCCAATAGACGATGGCAGCGGATGGGCCCTTGTCTCGAGCGCCACCAAGACAGGACTGGTCCCAACATCGTACATCAAGGTGATTCCGAGAGGAACGCCGTTGCCGCTGCACATACCGGCCAACGTATCTCTGTCGGCACAGACCCTGGGCTGCGACGAGGCCATGGCAAAGACCGATGTTCCCGTCGACCCAAAGCCTGCCGAGAATGTGCCGCTGGAACAACATCGCAGCGAAAGCCAAGCCGTGAGTTGCTGGCTATGCAAACGCATTCGTGTGAGGGGCTCATGAGGGAGGCCATTGCTGATATTTGAAACCTGGTCCCTGCAGACGGTGCTGTACGAGTACATCAAACAGAGCGATGACGAGATCACGGTCCTGGTCGGCCAAATGGTCAAGGTTCTGGACTCAGGTGCGTGCGAATGCAGGGCGGAGCGAGTGAGATGCGAAACGATGCCACCTTCTGTTTGAGACTCGGAGAATGATTTCTGACGCAACTCTGGGGGCACCTTCCGTCTTTTGGCCCGGACTGCTGATGGGTAATCCAGATGACGGCTCTGGTTGGGCCCGTGTGTCCGATGGAAGTCAAGCTGGGCTGGTCCCATCGACGTATTTGCAAAAGCGCGAGGGCATATGATGGAGCCGAGCGAGGAGCAGCATCCCCAGAGAACTCGTTCGATGCGATGGGCTGGACGGGGTGTCGTGCGCGCACTCATGGGCGTATTGCAGAGATGTGCTTCCAGTTGAATGATGCCCATGAACCAACGACCGGCGCTGGGCAATGATTGTCCGAGGGGACAGATGCGCCCCCCCTCCTCTCACAGTCGAGGAAGTCTGGAGCATTGGGTATGATCGATTCCAAAAACCAAAAATGCGCTATATTCAAATGGGTGCGATTGTGTGCGGGGGTGAGTCTAGGATGCTTGAACAAAACAGTTGTGCGAAATTTCTCTATTGATCATGGTATGCGCCATCTGAACCTTTCCGGCTTCGGTGGTGTCGGCAGAATTGAGAGTATGGTATCCAGGCGGGGCCGCAGGGTCGCTGAAATAGGACTCGATTTTTGATTGGCTTTGCACTGTCAAGACCCAAGCCAGCGCCGCCAACTGCCAGAGCAAAAGTCATGGGGATCTCATTAGCGAAGTGCAAGTGGCTGTGGAACGCTGAGACCAACCGAGCGGGCGGATGGTAGAGGATCGTGCTCGCCGGAAGGAGATGTGGACCGAGGAGGCGGAACCGATCGAGGCGAGACAAACAAGAGCCGCTGCAACATACGTTGACGAAGAACATGTATATCAGCGCCATCGGGTTGAACTCGTGGTCTGACGTCGGGACCTTGTGTGAGTGGAAGTAGCTGATGGTCCTGAGCAGAAAGTAGATTCCGTACATGCCTTTGGAGGACAGATCAAGAGAGAAACGAGATCAGAGGGTGCCGAGACAAGAAATGGACCATCGGACGAAGAGTGCGGAGAGCACGGACAAGAAAGGCGAGCTATGATCGGGCATGGGAGAGTAAGCGACGCGGCCGGTGGCTCCAGAACTCACCACTGACAGAGGACATATAGATGGCGAGGGGCTGTGTTATGGAGCAGCCCCATCGCAGCTTGAAGATCGACACAAAAACGAGCACAGCAAGAGCCGCCAAATGTAACCGGAGGAACGGTAGCGAAATGTAGTGCAGTCCGCGGGCGGACTCGAGCGAGAGATCAAAGTAGACAGCGGTGACGGGGTTGACGATGGTGAGGGCGTAGCAGCCAAAGAGAATCCACATGAACGACGGGTCTGCAGGCAAAGCAGCCGGAGGCGAGAGCGGGTCAGAAGCGAGGCGTGAGCAAGCGGGTAAAGGTGGACAATACCACCGGACACGGACGGGAGAGTGATGCCGACATACCACGTCGCTCGGGCGCTGGGGCCGGGGTTTGCGCTTCAATAGCAGACGGATCCATAGTGGCTGGGTCCATAGAGAGAGAGAGCGACGGCGCTGGAATGGTATCGGATGAGAGGGACGCGGGAGTGCTGGAACAGGATGCACGACGGGACGATGGATGCGGAAGATGGATGGATGGCGGCGGAACGAATATAAAAGCAGTAAGGGCGGCGCACGTGGGGGCGAGCAGGGCGACATGGGAGGCCAAATCGGGCATTGTGAGAACGTGGACGGGGACACATGCCCGACAGGCGCGGCGACGAAGCACGGCAATGGGCACAGAAACAGCAGCGGCTGTGACAGAGCAGTTGGACGGACGGGATGGGGCGATTGGGCGAATGGCGGTGGGCGAGCCAACAGGACCACGGCCAGACATGCAGCCAACAGCGCCTCGGCCGATGCGCCACCAAAAATGCGGCGACTTGAGATGGCGAGCGCAGGCCATGGCGACCCACGCCGCGAAGCATGCGCCGGCGGCAGGCGGGCCGCACGATGGAGAGCGGCCAACGAGCACGATGGGGGTGGTGCCGGGGACGGCGATGCGGGCAGGTTGGGCAGGAAAGCCGAGGCACAGCGCGGCATATCGGCGGAGAGTTGGATTGCGGTGGGAGAGTTGGAAGGCGAGCAGCGACTCAGAATGACAGCAGAAGGCTGTGCAGCCAGAAAGAATAAGAGCGGATCGAGGGAGAATCGCTGGGGACTAAGAGGCAGTATCGTGCAAGGCGAATGGCAGGAGGAGACGAATTGATACATGAGATAGCGATACGAATACCAAGCTTGGTGGTCTCGCGCAATTAAACGATAATCCAATCAACGCGATCCATGGCGAGTGCGACTGAAGCGACGATGCACTCTCGAAACAGGCCGGATGCTCAGGATCCGGTTGATGAAACCAAATGATGTTCCCTCGCCGCATGGAGCCAAATGATGTTCCCTCACTGCATGGATCAACACCGAGAGCATCTCAGTCATGAAGCACCATCATGCAAAGCAATTCACACACCACAGCACAACACAGCAAAACACACCACACCACAACACACACCACAGCACCTCCCGCCATGCACCCCCACGGCGACTCGATGGCGGGTTGTTGGGGGTCTGGCCCAACAACCAACACCAGGGTCGTTGGTCTCAGGGACCGGATCCACAAAGCCAGCCCGCCGCTGTGCTTCTGTCGCCCGTTTGGCACTCCGTCTCAAGCAGGCAGGCGATGCCGACAGTGCCCGGAAATCGACAGTCGCAAGTCGACAACAGAGCATTGCCAAGGATGCAGCCACTGTTGATAATACCACACACCACAGATCGCAGATCACAGATCACACACCACAGATCACAGCCATCGAGGCTCCACCGCAGCACCCTGGCCAGGGACCAAGCTGTCCACCACCACCTGATGCCTCGAGCCACCTCATTGTCCCTCGTGAGTTGGCTCGCTGGTGGCCGCTCGATGGTGGCCGCTCAATGCCAACTCTCGGCGTCATGCGTCTTTGTTGTTGTTGATGTTGTTGTTGGTGGCTGGCTCCCGCCGACTCTGGACCATCGATGCGGAGCATGTCGGCGATCGTCCCGAGACAACTGCTGTGACTGCTGCGATTGATGCGGTTGATGCGGTTGGTGCGGTCGGTGCGGACTGGCACTCGGCTGCAGCTATAAAACCCTTGCAGCGACCTCGGACTCGGCATCCTGCAACCTGCTCGACATCCCACAATCTGCTCGGCATCCTGCAACCTGCTCGACATCCCGCAATCTGCTCGACATCCCGCAATCTGCTCGACATCCCATTTGACCCACCCAACGCTACCTGCTGGACGCTACCCACCTGACACTACCCGACTGGCCCTGTCCGATCCCACGATCTCACATCTCACATCTCACATCCCGTATCCCGCATCCCGCATCTCACATCCCGCATCCCATATCTCACATTCCGCCCTCATCCAGTCTCGCGGAATCATGATCGGCTCCGCCTCCTCGGTCTGCTCCGTCCTGCTCGCCATGGCGCTGCTTGCACCGGCTCGCGCCGAGACCTATGCGCCTTGCTCGCCCACGGTCTCCACTGCCTTTGTTCTATATCTCTCGGGCGATGCGAGCACCTGTAAGTTGAGTGCGGTGGTGGATGTCCTTGGGGTGTGTGAGAACAGGCGCGGCCGACGATTGAGACAATTGCAGCTTGGTTGTGGTGCAGTGTCTGCTCGACTTGGCCCGGAGGGCGAACAGATGCATCGATGCAATCGCACATTGGTGCAGCCATGCATTGGTGCAGTCGCGGGCTGGTATGTTCGCACATGTATGGCCACCACTCTGCTCACCGATGCATCGACTCTGCCCATCCCTGCACCTCACCCCTGCACCTCACCCCTGCACCTCACCCCTGCACCTCACCCCTGCACCTCACCCCTGCACCTCACCCCTGCACCTCACCCCTGCACTTCACACCTCACACCTCCTGTTGCCGCCGCGCTGTCGGCCCAGCCACCTCCTCGATCGTTTACGCATCCGGCTCCATCCAGGCCGTCAACTACGAGTACTCCTGGAGCACGTCCGTCACCCCTCTCGTCTCAAAGATCCTGGACATTTACATCTGGTCGAGCGACCCGACCGAGACCTCCCCCATTCGTGTCTCGCATCATCCGTTCGAGCCCAGCTCGTTCATCAACTCGGGGATCACCTCCCCCAGCGAGGGAACTGTCGCCGTCAATATTCCTCAGCCGCCCACCACCGGCGGCCCGCTCTACTTCCATGTCGCCCTTCAGACCTCGGACGGCCAGACCTGCTACGTGGCGTCGGCTGAATGTAAGTTTTTGCAGGACGAAGCACCGGCCGGTCGCCGATGATGCAGAGCAGCAGTTTGGTTTCCAGGATCCGCTGTGGCTCGACTGCACTCTGGACTGCACCCTGGACTGCACTCTGGAATCCACTCTGGGGGTCGCCAGTCCATGACTTGCGTGTATCGACGATGCACAAAGGAACACCGGGTTTGCTAATCCTGTCGAATCGCCACTTCGCCTCACAACATCACACGGTCCCGTCCTCGTCCTCGCAGCCTTCACCATCGCATCGTCCCAGCAAGCCTGCACAAACGGCTACTACACGTGCTCCAACTCGCAGCAGTATCTCCAGTGCATGAACAATGCCTGGGTCGGTGCCATCACCTGTCCGAGCTCGACATACTGCAATGTGGCTGCTGGCGTGACATCCACCTATCCTTGCATCAGCACCGGCCAAGGCGGCATCACCCCCAACCCTGCTCCTGGAACCCTGTGCTCCTCGCTTGGATCGTACTACTGCGTCGGCGGCAGCGAGTACTTTTACTGCTCAGCCACCACCTCGGTCTCCACTCCGATCGTGACGGGTCCGTTCACCTGCTTGGCCTCGACCTCTTGCACTCCGGGATACTCGTGGACTCCTCCGTGCGCTTCGCAGCAGGGCAGCACCACCCCGGTCACGACCTCGACATGCTCGCCCAACGAGTATCTCTGCTTGACCAACAAAATCGTCCAGTCGTGCGGTGCCTATGGACAGTGGAACACTCCCGTATCGTGCTCGAGCTCGGCTTGGTGCGGCACCACCGTGCCAGCCGGATACCAGTCATGCGTTCCTTCTGGAGGCATCGTCGTGTCTGGATATGGATCCAGCGTCTGCAACACCAACCAGTTCCTGTGCGGACCTGCCGGGGCCGACGGGCTCTCGCACACTTTCTACCAGTGTGCTCAAAACAACGCTGGATGGTCATTCATGACCCAGAGCCAGAGCTGTGCTGCCGGAACCTATTGCCCAACACCACTGACTGTGGTCTCCAACACCAACAACCCATGCCAGGCCACGCCCTGATCGTGCAATCCGCCTCGCTGTCTGCCTCGCTGTCTGCTTCCATGCGCACTTGCTCACGCCCATCCATCTTTCATCCTGACCTGGCCTGGACCTGACACCGACATTGTATGAATCTGGCGCGAACCCAACCTGGATCTGGCACAATCTGATGCAGACATAGCATCGGATCTGCTTGGTACCCGCCATTCCTTCCTGATCACCAATCTTCTCTGACCATTCAGTTTTCTTGAGCATGTCGTTTGCTTGGCCATCCGCGCAGCTGACCCTGGCTGGTCCTGACTGGCCCTGGCTGGCTCGGCATGTTTTGCACCCATTTTGATCCGAGACCTGGCACTCTTTCAATACAACACTATCCCTTGATGATCCCTTCAGTCCGAGGAGGCATGACTCGCGCGCGTCCGTTTCATCTCTCCCCATGTCCAAACGCCCGATCGTCGACTATTCCAGCTCCGAGTCCGATGAGGATTGCCCTGCCGATGCTGCTGCTGCAAAACATGATACTCCTCATCCCTCGGCCCTTTCCGTCGCTGCTTCTCCGGCTTCGGACTCCAAACGGGTACATCTGATTTGCACATTGGCTGGCCTTTCGATCTGTCCTCCTGGCTTCCACTCCTTCTGAATGCTCATTCGTCCTTATGTCCCAAGATTCGGATCGATGCCTCCTGTGGCATATCTGCTGATGACGAGGCTCACGGAGCTGAACCCGCCGCCGCCGAGCCATCTGATTCGTCGTGTCCAGTTGGTGAGTCGAATTCCGGCTCCATTTTGCACCGTAGCCACCATTCTGCAAACTGAATCCCTGGCCGATCTTGCTCCTGCAGACCACATTGCCTGTTCGCCTGGATCGAGTGAGCACCAAGGCCGCATCCGATCCGTGCCCCATATCGAAGGGAATTGGGCAACGCATGTGTTTATCTCAGGTTCGGCATGATCTTCGCAATGATCGATCCTCCCCAGCGACCTTACCCTCTTTCTCTGGCAGTCACCCCGACCGATGACTTGCAACTTGATATCGATGCCATCAATACACATGCGAGCAACCGGTGTGGCCAGGCGTATCACCAGTTCGAGCTGCCCCTCCACATCAGCCTCTCTCGTGCTGTCTATCTGAAGGTCTTCCAGATTCCCCAGTTCGCCAGGCTGCTGGGCCAGTCCATGAACCGACACCCAAGGTAGGTCGCTGTCGCCGTCTTGCGGGCCCAGGAGGATCCATCTCATTCCACCGCTCCCATAGATTCAAGGTCGGATTCAACGGCATCTCGCACTACCAGAATGACGACAAGACTCGCTCATTTTTGGCCCTTGATGTCGGTGTCGGCAAATACGAGGTTGGTTCACTCGATGGATCGATTCCTCACAATGACATTGTTCCTAACAATTCCTTGCCCGTAGCTTGGTTTGCTTACCCAGGATGTCGACGCTGCGCTGAGGCAATTTCAACAGCCGGTCTTCTATGAAGTGAGCAGTGGGTCTCGTGCTGCATTATCCTCAGCCATATCCTGTGACAGTAATTCTGACAATGCATCTCTCTGGACAGCCTCCTCGGTTCCATGCCAGCATCGGATGGTCGCTTGGAAGCGAACCATCGGCCGTCAGTCCAGCGCTGGCAACGTCGCTGCGATCTTGGTCTCGAACGCTCTGTCGCTGCTCGTTTGTCGTTGGGCAGATCGAGTGTACAATCGGCAACAAATCGTTCCGCTGGCGACTGCAGCACGCCTGATCCCGTATCCAAAAGCCATTCTCGCGGCGACTGCGACCCATCCTCCATAATTCATGCGTCGTTATGGTGCCCACTATGCGCCGATCCGTTGCTGGACCAAAGTGCCGAGTGATGTTTTCGGTTGCTGGGTGTGGGCAATGCATTCTGGGGCCAATCAGCGCAGCGGATTTCTGACCTCGGCAGTCACGGGGTCGCTGGGGGCCAGGATCGCTGGCCAGATCAGATTCGGTCCTGCTTCTCGACCTCCACCCGATCTGTCCTGCTGCAGCGGGATAAGTGCGTTTGCAGATGCTGCCATTCGAGAAAAAGGCCCTCTTCACCCAGGTCACCTCGCTGTGCTTCCTGACTCCCCGGCTGGTGCTGGCAGGAGTCGGACCGGTGCTCAAGATCTTTGACATCGACAGCAATGCGACGCTGCGCTGCCAAACCGTGCTCAAGGCCGCAAGAATCCACGGAATTGTCCTTCGTGCGTATGCCAGCCTATAGTGAATTCCGACGAACCTTGTGGCATCGCAGCCGCAGAGACACCTCCATGTCTGACAGCCGGATCTCTCTCGCAGATCCCGACAATTCCTGGTGCCCCGATGCTGACTCTGGGGCCGCCCGAGTGATCGTCTATGGAGCCAAGCAAGCACAGATCATCCGTCTCACGATTGCCGGAGGGTACTATCTTCCCTGCATGTATTTACAAACTCCCGAATACCGCCGACTTGCACATCCTGATGTTTGCGTCTCTATATCTCTCAGCGTCTGCACCGCCATGGAGATTGTCTCGACCTTCGACGAGTTCCGGGACTGGATCAAGGATGTTCAGTGGATCACAACCGACAGCACACATGTTGTATCTGACTGATGGAGGGCGACTCGGCAGCCCATGCAACTCGGCAGTTCATGCAACCCGACAGTCCATGCAACGTATCCCACTGCTCATTGGCCGACTCCGGCAGCATGCGACAGGACAGCGCATTGACTCATATCCGTTCTCAGTCTCCCTCCGAGGCCACCGTAGCAATCGCCTTTGCCCACACCTTTGTGGAGATTTGGAACTTTAGGACCAGGAGTCTCATCTACACTGTCCAGTGCGAAGAGCGGTGCATTCTGTGAGTTTGTTGCATCCAATTCGATGCATTTCGCTCCGCGCTGACATCACCAAGAATGTTGACCAGTCGTTGGCGGACCTCATATGCCGGCACGCTTCGTGCTCACCCATTGTTGCGTCGCTGGATAGGTATGCGGCAAAGTTCTTTGGCAATCAGTGGGGCCAGGTGCTTCTTGCGTACGGCACTGTATTCAATCAAGTTCTCCTCTGGAACATCTTTGACAAGAAGGATGACGGCGATGGCAGAGTTGGCAAGAGTCTCGTTGGTCATGAGGTTCGTAAAGCGCTTTCGTTTTGCGAATCTATCGGTACTTGCCTTACTGATGTTGCAGAATCTGTTCTAGGGCGTCATATTTGTGGTGCGCTTCAACAAGGATGGCACGCTGGTAGCATCTGGGTCCGATGATCGAACCATTCGGGTGTGGCAGACGGATTTTGGCACCAAGTACGTTCGATCGGAGTCCCTTTGCTGTCGGTGGATCGCGCGATGCTGGGAGTCCAGATACGGCTCGCACAAATGTTCATAGGATGCCCGCCTTTGTTGAATCGTTGTCGGTTGTGCGTCGGTGGAGCCATGTTTGCTGAAGCAGCTGTTCCATCACAGCACCCCAGCAACTGTGCTATACGGCCACCATTCCAGAATATGGGACTGCCGCATTCTCGGCACCAATCGGGTTGTCAGTGTTGCCGAGGTAGGTTGACATGGCGATCGATCGAAGCTCCTGCTCAGTCGCTGGGAGCAGCAAGCCGATCTGTGCCCCATATTGAATCAACAACATCGTGCACAAGGATGCAACATGCCGGGTCTGGGACTTGAAGACGCAGGAGTGTCTCTGCTGCTGGGAAGGCCACGAAGGCAAAAACATATGGAGCATGGATGTCAGCCCCGACAGCGCCACGGTCGTAAGTATACTTGGCCTTGTATAGCAGTGGCAGTTGGGCATCGGTACTGATGCTGCTGTTCGACCAGGTAACGGGCGGTGGTGACTGTGGTATTCGTCTATGGGATCTTGAAGGGCTGGACATGCACCTGAAAGGTAAGGACCTCGATACATCGAATATGTACATGTATGTGCCGAGGAATGGAGGACGCCGCCCAGCCATCTCATACTCATTGTTGATCGTCTACCGATCCAGGAAACGAGGGCGATCTTGTGACAACAGAACTTCCGCTGAATCTGCCCGGAATCGACGAGGGCTCGGCGGTAAGCAACGATCACTTGCCACTGCAATACGTGCGCTACTCCTCACCACCCTAACCATGTGCTGCAACAGACGACAGCGCTCCCTGTCGCGGATATCATCAAGCACTTTTCGATTGTGTCTCCATCCCTGCTTGTTGCCTCGACGATCTCAGGGTAAGTGTGAATGCTTGAAGTAAATGCATTGGCTCTCTTCTACCAGCGCACTAACTCGATGCTGCTTTGGTCCAGGCACATCCTGCTGAATGATCAATCCGCAGGGACTTTTGGACTGCTCTACCGGGACCCGGGATTTGAAAAATACTCTGTCGTATATCCTTCAAAGTGTGGAAAGATTGTAGTTGCCGGAAATATCGTCGGCGATCTGCTGATCCTGAGCCTGGACAATTCATTTCAGGTGGGTTCTGACGGCTATCGGCGGCATATATGCCGAGGGAGGACAGGTAGCTCGCTCAATGCAGGTAGTCAGCGATGCCGGCTTCGATGGGGTGGCTTTGAATTACTCTGACTCACTCGTCTCTGCTGGCGATGATGATGGCTTGCAGCCCGTGAAAATCAAAGTTCATCATGGGAAGATCTCTGATATTTTCATCGAAGCATCGTCGAGCACCGGTAAGAGTTTCGGTGCAGGTTCACAGCCATGTCAATGATGGCCCCGGGTCTGGAGTTCGCGAACAGTTCCTATTTGCCAGCCATATCAATTGCGGCCTGTGCTTCACTAACCCCCCCCCGCCGTCGCCTTGAGCTGATTCGATATTGACCCATGTTTGCATCAAGACTTTCATATTTTCACCCCATCCGAGTCCAAGTCTCAAGAATACCAGTGGCTCTCGTTTTCGCTCCTCGCACCGACCGAGGTAAGATTTGAACATGAACACCCGCAGGTCTGCTCATCCGCAATCGATAGCTGGCTAACCAGTGAATGCATGCAGATCGGCTTCCACGGAACCATTCTCCTGCCGTCGCATTTCATCGTCACTGGGCTCGCATACTCGTGGGTTCACCAAGTCGTAGTTGCGGGTTCGCGGAGCGGTGCCGTGGCGATGTTTGACACGAGAGCCGTGGCCGCCCTTCAAATCATCTCGTGGGATACTGGCTATGCCGAGGTGGCCAAGTCAGACACAAAACGGCATATCCCGGCCTCGATTGTCCTCCGTCGAGTGCACAAGCGAATGACAATCTCGGGAATACACTTTGACGACCGAGAGCACGGAGGTGGCCTCCGCACCCGGAAGAGCGAGATTCTTGTCTCGACCGCTGGCCGAGATGGCATGTATTGTGTCTTTAGTCTGCGTCGACAGAGCACCGACAGCGACGACGACGTGATGGAGGTCGAGGAGGACAACGATGGCGCAAATGAAGTCGCTTCAGACATGGACTCGTCCGCCGAAGAAGCCGACGGTGTCGAGAACGAAGCGCCGGATGGAGCCGCCAGTGGCTGGGTTATGGAGCGCTTGATACGACGCAAGATCACCAAGGGCTGGGTTGAAAAGGCAGGTCAACGTCTAGCTACGTTCGTGCAGCCGGATCGCTTGGTCAAAGTCCCGACCCGGTCTAACAGCTCTGCCGGGACCGGCAACAGATCTACTCCTACGACGGACAGATTCTACTGGGTGGATTTTTTGACGGACACTACTTTGTTTATAACGAAACCAAGAAATGCCAGGTATGGTGCTCTGGTAGAGCAATGTCAATGGCAGAGTGCAGCGTACCTGGGCAGCATATCTGTGCAGCGTACCTGGGCAGCTCACTGACCACTTGAATCAATCGCATGGGAGCAGCTTCTAGCAGTTGACTGTGGCGGCGGAAATCGGCGATGGGATTTTGCTGCAGTCGATGCCACCCTTGCGAGCATGTCCTTCTCGTTCTACCGCAAGGACAGGGTAAGTTGAAGACGCCGCTCTAAGAGAGCCCATCCCGCCTCACGCGAGCACCCCAGGGCGTTGTGATTTACGTTTGGCTTGACGTGCTCCCTTGCAGGTTGTGTCGCTGATCCGCAAGGACAATCGCATCCCAAGGTTTTCGCACCCAGAACTGCAAAAGAACTATCACGGAATGGAGTCTCGCGTGGTCAAGTTTATCAGTAAGCAGTAGCTGGGTTGGGAGCGCCATGGCCACTGCAGGCGCTTTCCGGTTAATATCCATATCCCTGGGAGTCGGAATATGGAGGCTTGTACACAAGAGTGCCCGCCAAAGGCTCTGCCACACTATCACGGTGGGCGACACATTGACTCGGGAACTGTCCTCCTTGATCAGGCTCGGACACGCAAGGGCGAAGCATTGTCATGACCTCTGGCGAAGAAGGCGAGCTCAGATTCTACAAATGTCAGTGCGGACAGACTCGCAATCAAATCAACCGCATGTGTCGAGCTGTGCTCAACCCAGCTTGTTCCTTGCTCCGCAACATCCACCAGGATTGCCTCGCCAACTGACCGTGCGTTTTGTCCAATGGCCCGCGCAGATAATCCCCTGGTTCATTCGCAGGACCTGGAGCGGCTGCTGACGGTTCGCAAGCATCTCTCTGTAGTTCGAGGAGCCGCGCTGTCAACTGGAACCAGTAAGTCGGTCGATGCAGAGTCCAGCCGCGGAGCAATAGTTGCGACCCAGTGGCACCTAACGAGCCATTGTCCAAAGACGGCCAGCTTGTGCTGTTTACAGCCGGTGCGCGTGAGGAACTGAGATGTTGGAAACTCTCGATCGGACTGGAGCTGGAAAGCGTGAGCTGTGTTGAATGGGCATCCGCTCCGCGCACAAGGCAAGTGCAGTATTTGTATCGACGGGGATTTCCACCATCGTGGACGCTGACAACTTCGTGCCGTTGAATACGCGCGAGTGTTAGGCTGGGCTGGTTTTTGATCTGACACAGAGGAATCTTATGAATGGCGCTGACCTCTGCCACGATGATAATCCCGTCCCTCTCCGAACCCACTTTCTCTGCAGTCACATATTCGAAACGCGCATCATGGATGTCTCCGTCGTCCACATCCCGCACACAAGCTTGCACCTGGTCGCCGGGGCATACTCAGACGCCTACGTGCGGGTACGTCTTGATCGCCAGATGGAGTTGTCGTGGCTGTCCGGAGTCGCCCATGCAGATGAACCTCACCGGCACCACCAGCAGACAGCCGCCTGATATCTGCTCCATGTTTTTTTTCTTTCACAGGTTTGGTGCTTTGATGAACAAACATCCGCATTCTCTATGGTCGCCGAGTCCATGTTCCATGGCCGTTGTGTTCTCAAAGTCAATCTCCAGCTCGTTTGCAACTTGGGAAGATTGGGTATGTCGGTCTCCCCTGCACGAATATCCCATGGCCCGACTTTGTGGTGAACAATGCCTGATCTCTGTCTCCACAGATGCGTTCATGTTCTCTGGAGGAACGGACGGCGTGCTGGCCTGCTGGCACCTCACGAACTTGGTCGAAGGGTAAGGATTACGCGGATCATGTCTACAAACATGCAACCTGAGGCCAAGCTCCGGGTATTGACAGTCGTTACGTCGGACTTCTGCTCGAATGCTACTGCTCAGGCTTCGGAACCCTGATCGAGATCCAGTCTCAATCGATCTCGGCCGGCCATCCTTGTCAGTCAGCGTGCAGCAGTCTGGGATCAACGCGATGCACACCTTGATCGCAGCAGGTAGGTTGTTGGTGGGCATTCCTTCCATGCAGAGCAGCGAATCCACCAAGTGGCACGCATCGACGCAGCTTGCCAGCGAGTCTGAGGCCAGACTGACACTACGTGTTAGTCGACTCTAATTGGAGTGTGGCCAGAAACGGTGCGTCTTGAGCATGGCATCGATACCAACCCGATCGCTTCTGGTTTTAGATTCCATCTACGTTGCCACAGGCGGAGAGGACAACTCCCTCACGCTGTGCCACCTGTCACTTGTCCGAGAAGGCTTTGATTTGGTCAGCCTCGGCTATGCGAGTAGCGCGCATGGCTCGCAAGTCACCGGTAGGCACGCACTCCTGTTGCTCGGGTGGCTTTGGAGCTGTGGCAATGTGAAAGTGGTCAAGCGTAATGGCGGCCACGCGATAACCATTTGGCATCGACTCGCTCTTTCGATTCTGCAGGTGTCCATCTTCAGAGTCCGACGGTTCTGCTTTCCTGCTCGACCGACCAGCGACTCAACGTCTGGTCAGGGCACAATGCGTCAGACGGGCTTGGCGATCCAATAACGCTTCCCGAGACAAACCGGCAGCTCTGGCAACCCACAAGAGCGGCAAATGTGTTCACCCTCGACTTGGTCCAGTCGACTTATCTTGATATCGCCGATGTCACGGATATGGACGTGCTTACACGGGGGTACGTATAGTCATGCTCAGTGGACCGGCGCAGAGCCGATATTGTCGTGGGCTGCGACTCGATGTTGCTGCACGCATCCGATCGCATGGAGCAGACAATCGCAAGTGTGGACCGCAGCTACCGATCGATATACCATTCTAATCCAGTTCCCTCCCCCCATTCGGCGTGTAACTAGCCCGGATGATGTGCAAGTGGCGGCCGTCGGGTTTGGACTGCAATTCCTCGCCCTTCCCCAGTAGCCTGCTTGCTGCATCGAAGCTAATGATCTGATCTCAAGTTCGCAGCCTGCCGCAGCAACCGAGGCAGCAGACGTATTTGGCTTGCGGTGATATTTGTACGACCAGTTCAGGGCGGCTCGTATATTCAATATCACGAAACAGACCATTCTCTCTGAAGCCCCCTGGGCCGTGCTCTTGCCATGTAGTGGCTCTGGAGAGCCTTTGGCAGTTGCGGTTGTTACATCGGCTCGAAACTCTGATGTCAGGTCTGCGTAAGCATGGTGATAAACCACAGATTCGCAGCGGCCGATCGTCCCAGCATCGATGCCAAAAACATACAATAGACAACAGCATGGAGAGCAACGCCAGCAGTCGAGAGGACCACCAGCGTCATTCCAAGGGTCGTAAAGACCACCGCGGAGGCATCAGCGATGAGCCAAACGCGACGAACCGTCGAAAGTCTCGGGGGCAGCTCGAGGTCGTTCCAGAGCCGCTTCTGCCCAAGGAAGAGCATGCCAAGGTCGATCACCACGGCAGCGTAGATCGGGATGAACAGGGCCCATGCGAGCGGCGGGCGCCACGGAGGATAGTAGATGGCCACAAGCCCAAATGCTGTCATGGCCAGAAACAAGGCGTCTCCAAGGAACATAATGCCAATCCAGATCCACATCCCGCGACGAGCTGGGTTGCGCTGCCTCGGCTTGGTCCAGAACGCGTATCGACCACTGTTGCTCACGGGCTCGCTGATAACTGGCGTCACCAGTGCCTCGCGGCTGATATCTCGTCCGCCGAGGTCATCCGGAACCGGGAGCAGCTCCACCGGCTCGCTTTTTGGCTTGCGCGACCTTGCCGATAAACACCGCTTCAACCCGTAGACGGTCGAGTACACCAAGAGGCTAAGCAGAACCGCAAACTCGATGAGTCCGAATAGAACCAGGGTCCAGAGCCAGATCCGATGCCAGCCCATGTAGGTCAGATTGGTTGAGTACAACGTGATTGGGGCAGGAATCTGGTGCGAGACCCAGACATAGATCCGATTGCATGACGCAGGGGCAAAGGCGATGTCGATCCTGCCGTCCTTGGTGTCGTTATTGTAGATCGCCGAGTGCCACTGGATGTTGCTATTGTCGTATCCCGCACACGGAGAGGTCGTGTTGTCGTGCGAACAGTCCGCATAGAGGGAGTCGTTGGCGAACGAAAATATCGGGCACCCGTAGGATACAGCGTACCGGAGCGGAACGGCGGCAAAGCCGCTGGTCAGTGGACCAAGAAATGGGGAGTTGAACAGCTGCATCCAAAAAATCGTTGCTCTCCAGTCTGAGGGGCGCGGACTGATGTACATCTGTGAAGGTGGGGTCGAGACGTTGCGCGAAGTCGTGCGGGCATCGGGCAGGGTGTAGGTCGAGTCGTTGGCCTCGGTATATGCCATCACACGGGTGCAGTTGAGTTCCCGTGTTTCAAAGATGGAGAGCGAGAGGGCCTTCAGCGGGGACAGGATTGCGTCCTGCTCGACGAGTGACTGGATCTTGGTGAACTGCGCCGTAAACGTTTCTGTGATGGTTGCAAGCGCCAGGGCGTGCAGGACAAGTCGATCAAAGCGCATTTGGTTGTCGGTAGCGTTGCCGGAGATGAGCTGGGGAATATTTGAGCGAATCTCCCAGAGCGCTCCGGAGAACACGCCGCTGTCTGAGGAGCGAGATAATGGTTATTGCGAAGCTGGAGCCTTGGTGCAGCACACTTTCAGACAAGGTGGCTCACCCGCATGGATCTCGCCGACCATATCGGCGCATGTCATGTCGTTGATGACGGAGCGATAGGGACGGCCGTTGTACTGGGTACGAAAATCCGGTCGGTTGCAGTGAATGGCCGCAAAGTAGTCGGCCCAACCTTCGTTGAGAGCACCTGGGTCACTCATCAGCCCTTTGCTGCCGTAGATGTAGCTTGGCAGATCCGGGACAAACTTGGCAACGAAGGCGTGCGTCAGCTCATGGAAGACGGTGCAGTCCGCGAGCGCCCAGGAGTACATCGAGTTGAGGCCAAACGCAAAGTAGTCGAACGGCGACTCCATAATCGAGACGCAGCTTCCGTTTGAACAGTCGCGGAAGTCAGTATCGTTGATAAGTGACTGGAACTGTGAATTGGAAAAGAAGGCGTCTTCGTACGATGTCGAGTTGTAGAACACGATCGGAGCGCTGTCATTTTTGCCAAGTCCTTTCGACAGCTGGGTCAAGAAGTCATCGTATGTGTCGTCCGGGCCAGGCGCGGTCTGCATCGACTGGTAATTAACCACGAATCGCATCGGTTTGTCCCAGTGAGTGGCCGTGCGATTGGTGACAGGATCCATCTGGGTGCAATTTGCGCCCGTTCCGACGAGACAGAGGTTGGGGCTCTGGAGCAGGTTGCGCATGAAGGCGACATGCTCGGTGAAGTAGTAGTACGCCTGCAGCTCCACAAAGTTGAGGTAGCGGCTGACATCGGTCTGGGTAAAGTCGACATCTGTGCCCCAGATCTTGTTGTCGGGCTGCTTCAGATTGGGGGCAAACACAGGAGCCTCGGTCCAGAGCATGTGGATATTGCCATCGACATAGCCATCCGCTTCCCAATCCTGCACCAGATGGGAATGGTCGACCAGCATTAATGGCGAGCCACCAGCAGGAGCGACCACAATCCGCAAGCCTTACTCTGTAATAGTCGAGGTATCTGCCATCTGTAGTGAAGTAGTACGGCCGCGTTGCATAGTTGCTCGTGGCGTTGGAGCAGTACGAGTAATCTTCGGTGCAGTTTCCGTTGGCTGTGCCTGCGGTTTGGTTGAAACAGCCATATCGGAAGCAGGTATTGAAGCTTCGGAAGTCAGCCCCAACGATACCCAATCCACCGTTATACTGCGTAGGCGACTGAACATCACGAAGGGCCAGCTGCGTCGCCGGCGTGCCTAGTTGAACCATGTTGGGCTCTGGATATACCAGGCCCTGGTCGTGGGTCGCTGTCGAGAGAGTCGCAAGGATGTTGCCTGTCCGGGCATCAACCCATCGGATCTTGCGAGAAGGAGACGGCTCCGCCAAGTCAATGATCTTCCAGCATGGCACAAGATCGCCCGACACGCTGTCGGCGAAATACAGCTTTTCGGCCGAATAGCCGCTGATCCCCGTGGAGCGATGGAAGGTGTGGGCGCGAGCAAAGGCGAGAGCTTCATCAGCCGAGAGGTCAAAGTCGTCGCCGCTGGCCCTGGCAGCAAGTGTTGACCCCAAGGGCCTATTGTGCTCGCGATGGAGATGATGGCCAATTTCAACGCTTGACCATTGCCCGGAAGGGCGGTGGAACGAGAAGATGCGTTCGGCGCCATGAACACGGATGCCGTTGATTTGGGGACGAATGCGGATGACGGTGTGCTCGTGAACATCGGATGTTACCCAGTCATAACTGGAGCCGTGCGTCATGAAGGAGGGGTCGAGGTTCTGAAACACAGGGGACTGCAGGACATGTGTATCAAACTTGTCGATGGAGAAACCGTCAGCATTCCTGAGGATTCATTGTGGATGGACAGGGAGATGGGCTGGAGATGAGTTGGAGCGAAAGCAGGCAGGCTGTCGAGGAGCAACCAAGGGGAGAGGTGGCTGACTCATGTCAGAGAAGGAAGTTGCGGAGTGGAGAGGATAGCGAAATGGGAGAGGTGTCAATCACTCGGGGGACAAACCATTGCCAGGTCGGAAGTCCGAGAAGCTCATCTGGTTGGAGCTGTCCTGAAGTGGGGAGGGAGGGTGAGTCGAGCCGGACTGCGAGGTGGACATCAGCCGCGCCAGCCCTTACTTTTATGGAGGCCAGTCGAGTGGACGAGGGTGGCCAGGGCAGCCAGGACGAGACCAGCAGGCCAGAGTGGGGCCATGCCTGTGAGACTGGACCAAGGTGAAGGGGGAGACACGGATGAGGACAACGAGCTGGAGAGTGAGGCAGAAGGACGAGCCCGAGAAGGAAAGCTTCTGGAAGGGAGGCTGAGCACGCGAGCAACCCAATGATTGGTCGGAAGAGGCACAGCTGTGGCGGGCGAAAGCGAAATGGGATTCAAGGGATTGTGTTGTATTGGAAGAGTGCCAGGTCTCGGATCAAAATGGGTGCAAAACATGCCGAGCCAGCCAGGGCCAGTCAGGACCAGCCAGGGTCAGCCGCGCGGATGGCCAAGCAAACGACATGCTCAAGAAAACTGAATGGTCAGAGAAGATTGGTGATCAGGAAGGAATGGCGGGTACCAAGCAGATCCGATGCTATGTCTGCATCAGATTGTGCCAGATCCAGGTTGGGTTCGCGCCAGATTCATACAATGTCGGTGTCAGGTCCAGGCCAGGTCAGGATGAAAGATGGATGGGCGTGAGCAAGTGCGCATGGAAGCAGACAGCGAGGCAGACAGCGAGGCGGATTGCACGATCAGGGCGTGGCCTGGCATGGGTTGTTGGTGTTGGAGACCACAGTCAGTGGTGTTGGGCAATAGGTTCCGGCAGCACAGCTCTGGCTCTGGGTCATGAATGACCATCCAGCGTTGTTTTGAGCACACTGGTAGAAAGTGTGCGAGAGCCCGTCGGCCCCGGCAGGTCCGCACAGGAACTGGTTGGTGTTGCAGACGCTGGATCCATATCCAGACACGACGATGCCCCCAGAAGGAACGCATGACTGGTATCCGGCTGGCACGGTGGTGCCGCACCAAGCCGAGCTCGAGCACGATACGGGAGTGTTCCACTGTCCATAGGCACCGCACGACTGGACGATTTTGTTGGTCAAGCAGAGATACTCGTTGGGCGAGCATGTCGAGGTCGTGACCGGGGTGGTGCTGCCCTGCTGCGAAGCGCACGGAGGAGTCCACGAGTATCCCGGAGTGCAAGAGGTCGAGGCCAAGCAGGTGAACGGACCCGTCACGATCGGAGTGGAGACCGAGGTGGTGGCTGAGCAGTAAAAGTACTCGCTGCCGCCGACGCAGTAGTACGATCCAAGCGAGGAGCACAGGGTTCCAGGAGCAGGGTTGGGGGTGATGCCGCCTTGGCCGGTGCTGATGCAAGGATAGGTGGATGTCACGCCAGCAGCCACATTGCAGTATGTCGAGCTCGGACAGGTGATGGCACCGACCCAGGCATTGTTCATGCACTGGAGATACTGCTGCGAGTTGGAGCACGTGTAGTAGCCGTTTGTGCAGGCTTGCTGGGACGATGCGATGGTGAAGGCTGCGAGGACGAGGACGGGACCGTGTGATGTTGTGAGGCGAAGTGGCGATTCGACAGGATTAGCAAACCCGGTGTTCCTTTGTGCATCGTCGATACACGCAAGTCATGGACTGGCGACCCCCAGAGTGGATTCCAGAGTGCAGTCCAGGGTGCAGTCCAGAGTGCAGTCGAGCCACAGCGGATCCTGGAAACCAAACTGCTGCTCTGCATCATCGGCGACCGGCCGGTGCTTCGTCCTGCAAAAACTTACATTCAGCCGACGCCACGTAGCAGGTCTGGCCGTCCGAGGTCTGAAGGGCGACATGGAAGTAGAGCGGGCCGCCGGTGGTGGGCGGCTGAGGAATATTGACGGCGACAGTTCCCTCGCTGGGGGAGGTGATCCCCGAGTTGATGAACGAGCTGGGCTCGAACGGATGATGCGAGACACGAATGGGGGAGGTCTCGGTCGGGTCGCTCGACCAGATGTAAATGTCCAGGATCTTTGAGACGAGAGGGGTGACGGACGTGCTCCAGGAGTACTCGTAGTTGACGGCCTGGATGGAGCCGGATGCGTAAACGATCGAGGAGGTGGCTGGGCCGACAGCGCGGCGGCAACAGGAGGTGTGAGGTGTGAAGTGCAGGGGTGAGGTGCAGGGGTGAGGTGCAGGGGTGAGGTGCAGGGGTGAGGTGCAGGGGTGAGGTGCAGGGGTGAGGTGCAGGGGTGAGGTGCAGGGATGGGCAGAGTCGATGCATCGGTGAGCAGAGTGGTGGCCATACATGTGCGAACATACCAGCCCGCGACTGCACCAATGCATGGCTGCACCAATGTGCGATTGCATCGATGCATCTGTTCGCCCTCCGGGCCAAGTCGAGCAGACACTGCACCACAACCAAGCTGCAATTGTCTCAATCGTCGGCCGCGCCTGTTCTCACACACCCCAAGGACATCCACCACCGCACTCAACTTACAGGTGCTCGCATCGCCCGAGAGATATAGAACAAAGGCAGTGGAGACCGTGGGCGAGCAAGGCGCATAGGTCTCGGCGCGAGCCGGTGCAAGCAGCGCCATGGCGAGCAGGACGGAGCAGACCGAGGAGGCGGAGCCGATCATGATTCCGCGAGACTGGATGAGGGCGGAATGTGAGATATGGGATGCGGGATGTGAGATGCGGGATGCGGGATACGGGATGTGAGATGTGAGATGTGAGATCGTGGGATCGGACAGGGCCAGTCGGGTAGTGTCAGGTGGGTAGCGTCCAGCAGGTAGCGTTGGGTGGGTCAAATGGGATGTCGAGCAGATTGCGGGATGTCGAGCAGATTGCGGGATGTCGAGCAGGTTGCAGGATGCCGAGCAGATTGTGGGATGTCGAGCAGGTTGCAGGATGCCGAGCAGATTGTGGGATGTCGAGCAGGTTGCAGGATGCCGAGTCCGAGGTCGCTGCAAGGGTTTTATAGCTGCAGCCGAGTGCCAGTCCGCATCAACCGCATCAACCGCATCAATCGCATCAATCGCATCAATCGCATCAATCGCAGCAGTCACAGCAGTTGTCTCGGGACGATCGCCGACATGCTCCGCATCGATGGTCCAGAGTCGGCGGGAGCCAGCCACCAACAACAACATCAACAACAACAAAGACGCATGACGCCGAGAGTTGGCATTGAGCGGCCACCATCGAGCGGCCACCAGCGAGCCAACTCACGAGGGACAATGAGGTGGCTCGAGGCATCAGGTGGTGGTGGACAGCTTGGTCCCTGGCCAGGGTGCTGCGGTGGAGCCTCGATGGCTGTGATCTGTGATCTGTGGTGTGTGATCTGTGATCTGCGATCTGTGGTGTGTGGTATTATCAACAGTGGCTGCATCCTTGGCAATGCTCTGTTGTCGACTTGCGACTGTCGATTTCCGGGCACTGTCGGCATCGCCTGCCTGCTTGAGACGGAGTGCCAAACGGGCGACAGAAGCACAGCGGCGGGCTGGCTTTGTGGATCCGGTCCCTGAGACCAACGACCCTGGTGTTGGTTGTTGGGCCAGACCCCCAACAACCCGCCATCGAGTCGCCGTGGGGGTGCATGGCGGGAGGTGCTGTGGTGTGTGTTGTGGTGTGGTGTGTTTTGCTGTGTTGTGCTGTGGTGTGTGAATTGCTTTGCATGATAGTGCTTCATGACTGAGATGCTCTCGGTGTTGATCCATGCAGTGAGGGAACATCATTTGGCTCCATGCGGCGAGGGAACATCATTTGGTTTCATCAACCGGATCCTGAGCATCCGGCCTGTTTCGAGAGTGCATCGTCGTTTCAGTCGCACTCGCTCGCCAGCTGCCTCCACGTTGTGGTCATGGTTCAGGAGTATCCATCGGAAGTGCTTGCCACTTCCTTTGTCAATTCTCTCGACATCCCAACAGCCAAAGGCATTCTGTCACCGCGGATCATACTACCGGACACCACGAGTCCTCCCAGCGAGTTGCCATCGCATCGATGAACGTGGTGTATAGACATTGTGGTGTATTCATGATCCAGATGCTCTGGACGTCGACAGGGGACCCTCCCTTTTGAGCGCTTTCGAATGTTTAAAAAAAATACAAATGTAGGCACGTGAAGATATCCAAGGAAGAGTTGCTCAATTCAAGATTGATCTGTATCGCTGTTTGTGGCAACGATGCAAGTTGATCTTTGTGTTTTGGACCAACCGACGCATATGCTTTGCCCATGGTTCGGTGATTGCTTGGTTCATCGAAAGGGAGAGCGGGTGGGCCAGCTGGATTCGGCTCTGTCGAAAATGGACGCCTTTCGTATTTGTAGGCACAGCCCTCTACTTTAGCATCCTGACAGAATCCAGCGTGGCCACCAGGAACTTCACTAGCGACAGATTCTCGGCTCGAAGCTCTGGATGATGGATTGACGTTTGGTGTTAGCAATCTGCAAACAGGACTTGGTCCCAACAATCTCGACTATTGCGACCCTTCATCGCCACGATGCCGATTTCTACTGCTGTTTTCGGCCAAGGGGTGCATGGCGCTTGTCGGACTGATACTCACTTTCGAGCTCGCTGCTCTCGGCCATTTCCCTGTGCTTCTGTCGCAGCTCCATTGCCAAGTTGAGCGATTCCTGCGGCAGCTCGCTCGGCAACGACTTGAGCAGATCCTCGGCACTATGGTGGCGCCGGTGAAGATGCGAAGAAGAGCTCTTTGACTTGAGTCTCGGCAGGCCGTACCGATCTTCGATACTCCTTCGTTCACTGTCTGCTCCGGCAAGCTCGCCGGCGAGGCTGTTGTCGGAGCGCAAAAGCTGGGTCGAGAGATAGTTGCATTCCTGCTCGAGCTGCTCCTTCTCCATCACCAAGGTGTTGACTGCATCGCGCAATCGCTCAATTTCCTCGGCCTCGGTCCTGGCTGATTCGCTAGAATTGAGTGCTCGTTCGTGGTCGAGAGCCTCCTGCATCTTCTGCAGATCGCGTGTCAGCTTTCAAGTCGAGCAAACCACGAAAGAAACACAGAGGGTCAAAGGTTAGCAAACATACCCCGTCGACCCAATCCGCTTCAGCCTCAGACAGTTGCGCCACCGAGTCTGGACATCGAGCTGCTCAGCCCCGCCCGATCGCTGGCCAAAGGTCGGCTGCGATCATGATTTCCCCCCGCCAACTCACCTTCTCGTTATGCAGACGCAGGTTGTTGAGCATCAGTGTCTTTGGCGCTCGCTCCTCGAGCTCGTGGTTCAAGGCAATCTGGGCCTCCTTGGTGTTGGCATTGACTGCCCGGAGCTCATGGATCGTTTTCTCAAGACCCTTCCGCTTGGTCTCCCAAGTCTCCTTGTCGGCGGTGTACGAGGCATCGAGGCTATTGTAGGCGTCGTTGAGCTTCCGCACCTCCTTGTCCTTCTGGACGAGTTTGGTCTTGAGGCCGATGATTTGCTCTTCCAGGTCGCCGATTTTGGTGAGCTGGTCGGTTGACGATACGTCTTGGCTCGTGGAGAGCTGTCGATATTTCTGCAAAGCCACCACAGTCAATCGTAGCGACGGTCAGAAGGGTTTGCCGACGCAGACAGCAGCGTATGTCTGTGGGGCTGGATGCCGGTCATCGGGAGGTGGCTATCTCCGTGACCGAGAGAAATGCCAGGGAAAGCTTGCCCTCTCTTTGGGATCAAAGTGGGGGCGGGGGCCTCACCTGTCGCCATTCCTCTGCAAGTGTCTGGGCGAGCTTGGCTTGCTCTCTCTGCTCTTCGATTTCTTTCAGGAGCTGCGGTGCGCACAGAGGGCCACAGAGTTCGATGGGACGGGGAGGGTGGAGGTTGGCGTTAGGACCAGCACCGACGGATGAATCCTCGGCGTCTCACATCGGCTCCAGGTTCGCCATGGGCTCGTGGGACGTCGTACCTCGCTTTTCTCAACTTCGAGGTCGGCAATGCTCTTTCTCATCTGCAGCTCGTCCCGCGATCGGCTGGCATCGTCGTCATCGTCCGGGACGGGTGTTGCGCTCTGGGAGCGGTAGAGGCCCGAGGGACGCCGGCCAGGGCTCTGAACTCCACAGAGGTTGCAAGCAGGGCGGTGGTCAGGATGGGATGGCTTCGATCGGTCAAAGTTTCGGCCAACGCCAAGACTCTGGATCAAGCAGAAGACCAACACACAGCTTCCAAGCCACCAGGGCTGGACAGCATCGCTTCGGAAAATCGCTTTGGTCTACCTGCACTCTAGTGGAGCGAGTTCGCCGGACCGGGATAGGCTCGGCGACGTTGTTCTCGAGATAGACGGGATCCTCTTCGGCGGGCATTGTCGGGCAATGGACTGGCGAGAGGGGAGGCGAGCTGACGGGAGACAACGACGGGCGACAGCGACGGGACGAGCGACGGAAGAAGAGGGATACTTGAGGGGAACGAGCGCCCGCACCAAGTGAAAAAACGGCCATGCCCCAGAAACCCGCCCAACCCACCGGGTCGCACAACGCGGTGGCAGCGCCGGTGGCAATGCAGTCTCAAAAATCTATTTTCAACGACAACGCCCCTCTGACAACACAGGCGGGATGAACGATCTGCCAGGCCGCCGGTGGTATGGACAAGGGTGAGCGTTTCAGCGGGTGGTAGCAGAGGGCAGGAAGAATCGCAGCTGGGGTATTGGCTCACACACAGTCTGTCTCTGCGGGCGAGACAGATACATGTCGATGCCGGTGTCGATAGGCAAAGAACTGGATAAAGATCTGGGCGGAGGAGGTGCATGGCGGCGTTAGCTCTGTTGCAGCTGATGCGGCATCAGCATCGCCATCAGCATTGGCATCGCCATCGACATCGACAACTTACAATTCCATCAAAGAGCAGCGTTCCGGCGCTGCCGAGGAGCCAAGGCACATTGCGGGCAAGGTACTCGGGCTCGAGCGAAACCAGGAGAATCGACATGCAGTACGTGACGTTGCCGACGGTGCTGAAGAGGAACATGAGGAGGGAGAGACCCTCGCATGACTTGTTTCTGAAGTTCTCGACGATCTGGGGTATCCGAGAGAGAACTGCGAGAGACACTGGGGGTCAGCCGTTTCCTGTGCATAGCACAAAGGCAGATCGCTCGGCGGTGTGCACACAGATGGAAGAACTGCCGCAAAGATTGCCGAGCGCATACCATAGAGAATGGCAGAAAGATAGCCCATGAGGTTGGCCATATACAGGGTATCCTCCGGAATGTCTTCCAGTATCGACGACTGGGACAGGAGGCAGAGACGCTTGGGTCAGAAGGGCTGAAGAAAGCCGACAAAAGCTCTCGTTGGGCCGAGTTTGCTGTGCAAGCCAGCATCCACGGCGGCTTCCGTGCTGCATCGCTCACCTCAAAGACCCTGCCGGAAATCGCTGATCCCGGAGTCGCAGCCGACTGAGACAAAAACACCAGGCCCGTCAAGACAATAGCGGTCCGAGTGGCAGCGGCAGCAGCATGGCTCCCGGATGGCACCGATGGATTGTTGGTCTGGTAATTCGGATGGGGCTGCTCAGGAGCCTCTGCCAGCAGCCGAGTGCGGTCGTCCACAGCAGCGTCGGCTGAGACCAAAACGGGGTTGCTGACAGGACGGTAGCGGACGTACTGCCAGAGGAGGATGACGTCCATGAACAGGTAATAGATGGCCAACCCGTACTAGCGGAGGGAAATCGGCGAGAATAAGCATATGGGCGATAGTCCTCCTGTGAGTGGCTGTGAGTGGCTGTGCGTCCGGCCGACGCTGCCATTGCCGTTGAGAAAGCGTCCATACCACGGTCAGGATGAGTTTGTTCATCAGCGAGCCGATCAGACTAAACAAATCGCCGAGCATCCAGATGATGACGAACATCAGCGAAAGCCCCTGCGTCGATTTCCGGCAGTAGTTTTCCCAGATTTGTCTAGCGTTGGGGAGGAGAGCGTCAATGAGGACATCTGGGAAGACGGAGCGAGCAACCACAAGCCGAACAAGACTAGAGCGGCGTGGGCAAGCGATTCGGACACGGCTCTCTGCAAACTCATCGACAGCAGCAGCAGCAGAGCCGGAGGATAAAGACGGCAGGAGACGTACGGAGTGTAGACGACGACCCAGCAGCTGACGGAGATGGCACCGGCGATGGACGCGGCAAGCGGGACTTGTTCCTGAGAGATCATGGCGGACGGGGCGGACGGGCGGAGGCTGAACCGGATGCAAATGGGGCCTTGGGCTTGGCTCTTGGCTTTGGATGCGGATGCGGGGATATGTACTTGGGGGACTGGGACTGGGACTGGGTTGGGACTGGGATGTGAGCCAGATGCCGTTTTAAATCGGGGGAGGGGTCTTGGATTGAGCGATGGAGTTGGACAGAGGCGCTGGACTCGGCGGTTTTGTCCTGGGACTCGAAAAAAGATGCGATGGGCGGATCTCGCCCTGGGTCGCACACATCTCGATGCTTGCTGGCCAGACAAGGCGGGCAGAACGAGATGCTGCGCATCAGCTGGGGCGATAGTGCATGCGGCACTTGCCGGGGCGGTGGATGGGACGCCGTATCGCAATTTGGCCATCGGTCAACAAAAAAGCCGGCTGTCCTGTTGTTATTGGGTCCAGCGTATCTCGTCCCGACACGCTGGGCGATTGCATTCTGGTGACCCATCCCATCGCACAGATCCGCAGCAACACAGGATCCAGCCGTGGGGCAACCCGATTCACAATAGTGAGTATATTGAGTAGGAATCCAAAAACATACACCGGATCAGTGCGGCAGGCGGGGCAAAGGAGGAATGATATGATGGACTTTGCCAGGGCGCACACACAGCCAGTGAGAGGTCATACAGCTCGTGCAGGGCGGACGGACGGTGCAATCAAGACATGGTACATGAAGGGGTTATGTGATAGAGGAGTGGGTTGCCGAGAAATGGCGGCGCGGGAAGGGGCAGGAGCGCCACGACAGTAGTCCAAGGTATTTAGAGGTTGCCGCGGATGGCCTGCTCGCCCTCGATGGACTCGAAGAGAGCCTTGAAGTTGCCGGCGCCAAAGCCCTCAAAGTTGCGGCGCTGGATGATCTCGATGAAGAGGGTGGGGCGGTCCTCGAGAGGCTTGGTGAAGATCTGGAGGAGGTAGCCGTTCTCGTCAAAGTCGACGAGGATGTTCAGCTTCTCGATGATGCTGAGGTCCTCGGCGATCTTGACGGCCGAAGAGGCGAGGCGGACCTTGAGGTTGGTGTAGTACTTGGGCGGGATCGACAGGAACTCAACACCGCGGGCGCGGAGGTTGCTCACGCTGTTGATGATGTCCTCGGTGCGGATGGCAATGTGCTGGGCACCGGCGCCGCCGTGGTAGTCGACGTACTCCTGGATCTGCGACTTCTTCTTGCCGACGGCGGGCTCGTTGATGGGCATCTTGACGACCTCGTCGTAATCAGTCATGACGATGGAGCGGAGGGCAGAGTACTCGGTGGTGATCTGCTTGTCGTCGACGGACCAGAAGCGGTGGAAATCAAAGGCGTTCTCGTACAGCTCGCAGGCGGGGATCATGCCGTTGTCGGGCTGGTTGCCGACGACGTGGTCGACGCGGAGGAGGTTGGTGGCGGGCAGGAAGCCGTTGATGGGGTCGCGGCTGATGGGGGCGGCAAAGTTGGGGAGGAAGGGGCCGGTGTAGGCGTTGCGCTGGACAAAGGTGTGCTCGACATCGCCGTAGGTGGCAACGGTGGCCAGTACGACGGTGCCATCCTTGTCAGAGATTTCATAGGGAGCACGGATGGACTTTGCGCCGCGCTCGATGGCCTTCTTGTAGATGCCACGGGCGTCGTCGACGGTGAAGGCAATGTCTGTTGGCGCAGAAAAGCACGGAGGGTCAGCACCAGGACAGCCAGGGGATCACGGAACACAGTCGCGAGCATGACCAGGCGGAGCAGCAACGAGCTGTGCACACTGCCTGGCGTGAGTGTGGGTGTGGGTGTGGGTGTGGACTGGGCATTTGGTGCTCCCGTATTCGCGGCAGGCACAGCATGCGAAGGCTGGTGCAGCAGGGGAGAGCGCCAGGATTCATCACTAGAGGTACCAGCAGGCAACAGCAGGCACAGGCCACATACCCTTGACGGCATCGCCGTGCTTGCTCAAAAAGTCATTGATGATCTTCTCGTCGGGGTTGAGGGCCGACTTGAAGACAAAGGTCAGGTCGTTCTGGCGGACGGCGTGCGAGGCGTACTCGCGGTCGCCGGTCTCGAGGCCGCGGTAGCCGCAGCTCTCGAAGCCGAACTTGGAGACGTACCAGCCGGCGGCCTGCTTGGCGTTGCCGACCCAGAAGGTGATGTGGTCAAAGCCATAGTAGCGGCCAACCTCGGGGCGGGGACCCTTGGGAACGTTCTCGTAGGAAGTCATTGCGAGCAAAGATCGAGACTGGGAGGCTGGTCAGCGAGCGGAAGAGTCGAGAGCAAGCAGAGCTGGTGATGTCGGCAGTTGAATCCGGGAGGAGGACCAGGGATTTATAGCCCAGCGACGGCGGCTGGTGCCGGAACAGGGCTGGTGACGAGCGGTGTAACGATCGGAGAGGGCGAAGGGAAAGGTTGGGTGTTTTGCCTCATCTGCCGCACACCAACAAACACGGGCAGAAGAGCCGCCCGGCGCCAGTTCTGCCTGGGATCAAGGTGAGTCACCTGGGCGGGGCACAGGCGAGGCAGGCGAGGCAGGCGAGGGCAGGCGAGAGGCGGCGAGAGGCGGCCGAGACCCAGCGAGGCGATGGCGACCACCCCGCCGCGCTTGTCTCGCCGCGCCACCTGCCCGCCGCATGTGTGTGTGTGTGGAGAGGCGAGACCAAACGAGGCCAGGCGAGATGCAGGGCGAGATGGAGGCGACATCCCTCCCGGCACGGCACGCAGTCTCGAATGATCGAGAAAGGTGTCAGCAATCATCCGGCATTGCCAGCCAGCGATTCAGCACATCAACATCAGCAGCAACATCAGCATCAGCATCAGCAGCAGCATCAGCATCGGCAATACCGGTGCCCACTTCCCCCCAACACGGTGCCCATCCGTCCACCAACCCCCCCCTCTGAGTCATTCATCGGTCGATGATTCACCCGGCATCGTCGCTATCTAGCCTCAACTTTGCCCACCACCCGGCGAGACGCATGTTCCCGGCCCGATCCCGGCAAAACTCCTCGGGGTCTCCTGCCGCCTCCCCCCACACCCAGTGAGCGATCATGCGCGTCGGTCTTCGTGGGGCCCATCGAACACAGGTTTGCCGCTCCGCCCGTCATCGCCATGCGTTCTTCTCATGCTCCAGTTGCAAGTACTTGTCCCATCGGTGGATCGGTATATTCAGAGCTCTGGCTGTTTCCAGACACCGCGCCGAACAGAGTCGCAGCGCAATGCGCTTCTACTCTTGCTTTTCGAGCAGCTCGAGTCGGCCCATGATGACGGCTTTACTGTTGAGAGGGAATCAGAGGGGACCACAAGGATTCAGGACACCAAGTTAGTCGCTTAGCAGCATGATCGAGCGACGGCGTCTGTTGTGCAGGTTTGGGCGAGGATGCTCGCTGTGCAAATGCTCACTCCCCAGAGACGCAGTTGGGATTGGCCATCGGGCGCTACAGACCTCGTCTCCTGGATCTCGCCTGCCAGGAACACTTCATCCAGTATCGAATACACCTGTCACGCAGTCATGCACGGGTTAGCAATCCGAGGCTCTCGCTGTCCGCTGCTTCCAGGGCGCCACACAGTCCTCGGACTTCTCACTCCTGCGATCTATACCTTGTAAAAGTTGAAGACCAGATCCAGCTCGCAGACGTTGCGGAAAAAGGCGTCCAGAACCTCGACAAAAAAGTGGATGCCTTCGAGGTACACCAGGTCATTGTCGTTGATGTCCACGCAGAAGCAAAAGAAGAGTCCAGCGTAGCGACGATAGACCATCTTGTAGTTGCGGAACTGTGACCGGCCAGCGAGAATCGCACGCGGTATTAGATGGATGTTGGGATGCAGTGCAGTATCTACGATTTCTGCTTGTCCTGGCGAACAGGATCGAGGCGGCGAGAGTCGTTCCGTGCTAACGTCGACCAAGACGGATATCCGGTCGCCTCTGGATGCCCGGCTTTCATGCGCCTCATCGAGCACGTAGGCGACTACTGGTACCGCAGAGACTCAACCCTTTGCACTTGCAGTGAGCCCTCTAACATTGTTGGCCGAGATTGCATGCCTCGGCGCGGTGCTCATGCAGCGCGGCAGGTGAACATTGCCTCCGATACCTTCCAGGACGCAAGACGATGAAGAGTCGGTTCGCCCATCCGAGTTTCTATTGCTTCCGTCTGTTCTCTACCCGTGTCCATCCATGTCTTCTCCGAATTCCTTGAATGACTTCCCTCGTTTCCGTGCACATTCGCTCCTGTTTCCGTGCATATTTGCTCCTGTTTCCTTGCATGGCTTGCCAGTTCCTTCCCGGTCCTGCACCCAGAAGCGCGCCGCCCTCTCTTGGCCTCGTGCCCGCTGTGCATATCGATACCTCAACAAAGTTGGATTGGTGCTTCTGGTCGCGAGCGGCAATCAGCTTGTGGACTTCGGCCTTCAGCTTCTGACGCTCCTCGTCTTCGAAGGGCATGTACCATTTGGACAGCCGTGTTTTGCCTTGTCGGTTCTGAACGAGGATAAATCGAATCTATGTCGGCGAGCCGGAGCGGATGGCGAGCCGGAGCGGATGGCGAGTGCGTTTGTTAAAGTGAAGGGAGGCCATGGATGCTCCGCGATGTTAACGCCAGGGTCGAGCGAACAGCCAGCAAATAGCAACCGACGCCAGCCGGACGGCCCTCGCCTGTTCGCAGGCATATGCCTCACCATGGCAACGATGCTCGAGTGCTTGCTTGTTCCTTCTTTGCTGTCGACTCCCGTCTGTTTCGGCTGCGCCTGCGATTGCTGCTCGGCTGCCAGATGCAGGGGTTGGACGGGGCAGAGCTGGATCAGGCCCTTCTTCCTTCCGTGTTGCGCCCATATCGGCGCTCGACCAGCCCAGGCCTCACACCCAGCCCGCTCCCATCAAAGCACACCATCGCTGCCCAGCATCCGCACGCACGGCCCACCCTCTCCGTCGTCTCCACCACGATCATCGGCCGTCCGCGGGGCATGTCTTGGGCCTGCTCTCGCTGCTGTCGATGGGCCTGCAATGCCGCTGGCTGCGCCACGCACACTCCTTCTGCCCAGGACGCCCCCGCCGCCAAACCCGACCGCACAAAACCCGGCGGCTTTCCTTTGATCTGACCACCTGCCCCCCCCCGGCCGCCTCTGAAGCTGGCTGCCCCTCCCAGCCTGCCCACTCCGACCAAGCAACCCTCTGACCGGACGCAGGTAAGCGGGCTGAAGGCTGTGTGTCGGTCTCTGCGTTTGTAGCCGGTCCTCCTGTTTCGTTTGTGGCCGGCCTTGGTCCATCGCCGGACAAACGCTGCCCGAGGAGGAGCCAGCGATCGCCGCTCTCAAAGCCTGTCGCCTGACCATACGTGAGGCCACGGTGGCCGTCATCCATCCACACATCTGCACGTCTCCTGCGACAGTCATGTCCAATTCACAAGTGGTAATGGGCGCTCTCGTCCTGCTGTTTCTCTCGCTGTGTGGCTCACACATGGGTGCGGCATCGGGCGTGGAACCCCCAAGAACGGCCATGCTTCCTCCGACCATCAGACCATATCGCCGTTGCATGTTCGCAGCTCAGTGCAAAGGATAAAGCGCGGCATCCGTGTCGCCTGTCCCGTTTGGGATGGCATGTCTTGCCAGCTTTCCGTGGCGGTATCAGCAGGGATGGGGCACTCTCACCAGACACTCGTCCAGACACCCGCCATCCAGACACTCATCTGGCCCACGGCCCTTCTCCCTTCTCCGCTCTCTGGGGTGTCTTGCCCATATACTGCGGCATACACTGTCGATGTCCAGAACGACGTCTACCAGTGGATCATCAACGACGTTATCCGGAAGTTTCGCGAAAACTACAGCAGTCTCGGCATTCGCGAGTCGGTGCTGCAAGAACTTCAGCAGGTTGCGACTTTCATTCGCCCTTTCCATTCACCCTTTGCATCGCTGCATCCGCTCCGAGTGATGCGCTGCGCTGCGTCATTCACGCCGCCGAGCTCTATCGCCGCTGTGAATCATGCAGTCAGTCACAGTCAGTCGGTCAGTCAACGGGATGGCCATGGCATGGGCCAGTCAATCTGCACGGATACTAATGCTTCGCCCTCTGCAGACATGGGAGCTCAAAGTCCGACAGGCGAAAGTGGCGGATCCGCTATCATCCAATGAGGTATCAAGTGGCCTGTTGCTGTTCGTCCATGAGCAGTCTTGGCGATTTGGGCTGGACTCTGCCTGCCGCTGTCTTGCTGCTCGCCGAACTTTGTCCTGAATCCTGCGTCCCATGGTCCCAGGGCGAGCCATACGAAGACGTAGAGAGACTGGCCACCCTCGCTAATGCTGCAGCAGTTGGTAAGTCCATCCTCCCGAATCAGTCTGTAGGACGACAACTGCTGTGCGGTATGAGACGATGATTCGCCATCGTGAGCAGTGGCTCGTTTCCCACGCCATCTTGCTGATGCACCCGCACCATCCGTTCGGCTGACGCTATCCTGCGGTTTGCCACAGTTACATCGCAAAACTCGACCGCGGTAAGTGATGCGATTAAAAAGCCACATCTACGACTTGCTTCGAGACGTCGGTGTCAACGCAGAACAGGCTCTGAATGGATCTGTTGGTATGCGTACGACGGGCCAAGCAGGATGCCGATGCGAGACTCCATCAGGCATGGGAAAAGAGAAACGCAAAGAAGGATCGATGTAAGTGCCAAGCCTGTGTTGTGCCGTGTACGCTGGAATGCAAAGATTACGGCCCTCACGATGATGCATTTGAATACGCCCGAGCTCGGGCCATGCTGTGGGGTGGCAGCCGATAGAGCCGAGGACTGCGTGCTAACCCTAGACTATATCGATTCATTTGTAGATGGAGACGATGATGATGATGACGATGACGATGTAGGTCACGAAATGGCGTCGCTGCACCATACGCCTCCATAGCCGCCGCACATCTCCGTTCTCACTTTGCACCACAACACCGAACGTGGCAGGAGGACGGCAACGATGATGATATCGGATCGGACCTGGACGACGACGATGATGACGAGGACGACCAAAACTCTGGCGATATTATCCTGTGTCAATATGAAAAGGTGTCGCGAATCAAGAACAAGTGGAAGTGCATCCTGAAGGACGGCGTCATCAACGCAAATGGAAAGGACTACCTGTTCAACAAGGTTGGTTTCGTGACCGGAGCAACTCGTCGGTGTTGGAGCCTGTGCCAGGATCTATCGACATCTCTGCAATGCGCCTTCCGCCGCTCTCGCTTTGTTGACCTTGCGCTCGAGATTCCCCCGCAGCTGCTCGCCAGCCCTTTCTTCCTCGAAGGGTTGTATGTCTCCCACGCTAACACCCATGCTCGCATCCATGTCCATGCTCGCACTCATATCTACTCCTGCGACTGGCACGTGTCTTTATCGGTACGACTGCCCTCGCCAGGCCAATGGCGATTTTGAGTGGTAATCGAGGCGTTCGCTGCGTCTCTGGTCTGCCTCGAACCGGATGAGCCCGTTCCGGCGGTTTCCGAGATTGCCGACAGTCGGGCGAAAGATGCATCCATGCTCTCATGAATGTAGCTGTGTTTGCCCGTCGTCGCCCGAGCCCAACCGAAGCTTCCTCTCGTCTTCCCGTTCTTCTCGAGGCCACTGAGATTTGGACTTGCGTTCCGCGACCTGCACATATCCTCGAGTACACATGCGGTGTGTTCATGGATATGATCATACTCGCTATTCCCATCGTGGAGCCACCAGGGCCATGTCCATGCTCTTTCAAGGGGGGGGGACTCGTGGGGCAGATGCTTCTCTATTCATCGTCATCGCTATCGTCGTCGCCCACATCGCTCAGCTCCTCGCTGTCGTTCTCCATGTCCATCTTGGTCTCTTTGGAGGGTGTTGAAGTCGAGCTGGACTTGCGCTTGGACGGCACCAGCGACGAGCTTCTGCTTGCATCAACGACACCGGCGACCGACCCGTTGTCGTCGGCATTTTCTTCGCCCTCGTCCTCGTCCATGGCATCGCCGCCATCGTCGGCATCGTCGGCATCGTCGGCATCGTCAGCATCGTCGTCCTCGTTATCGCTCGCCAAGGCGGCGGATACAAACGATGCATCTCCATCCGGAGCACCGTCCTCGTTTTCGCCATCGTGTGCATCAGTGGCATCGCCCTTGGTCCGGAGCTTGTACTGCTTGCGCTTGGCCCGGTTAGCCTGGACGAAATCTGTTGCGCCGTAACCATGGCATTGCAAGGAGATGGGGGAGGGGGTGTTGAGAGGGAGCGTATGCGATGTTAGCAGAAGGCCGTCAATGACAGCCGAGGCGGTCTCCGAGATCAAAGCATCTGGTCGCCAAGGGAGAGGCCGTGCAGGGCAACGGCATCCGGCACTTACTCTCGACGCTTGGCTTGAGCGTCGGGATCATGTCATCAAAGTCGATCATCTCCAGCGCCTTCATGATGTGTGCTCCAGTGATTGTTCGATGGTTCGATTGCTTGGCGACCTCATGGGCGCTGCGAGCGAGGAGAGGAACGAGCCAAGTCGAGTAGTGGATGAGAGTTAAATGGGATCGGCCTGTGATCTTGGGGTGATGGGCGATCTATCATAAATGACTAGATGCGACTGAGAGTTCGAACAAGTTGTGCACTGGGGCAATGACGACAGCAATAACAACGACAGCAACGACAACGATGGTATCGATAACAGCAACAGATCTGCAAGAGCACAAGCACAATCACAAGCACAAGCACATAGATCGACATACGTTGCCGCCAGATAGTTGATGAAGACGGTGCATCCTTTTGTCATGGCCAGCCGAGCATCTTCTCGGACCAGCACCCGCTCGGGGACCTGAATATACGCGGATTCCCCACGAGAGCATTAGCGGTCAGCACCACCGCAACGCCTCTGAGATGCCCTCGCTCCAATATCCCCGATCGCCTCGATGCAAGCCGATCCTGTTCCTCCTCCTCCTCCTCTCTCCCGCCCGCCCACGGATGACGATGGTGTCTGGCACGCAGCCCAGCAGCAACACCAAACTGCGGCGACAGATCGCCAAGAGACCGACCACTGTTTTGATGACCCGGCTGATGATAGTGCGAGGGAGATCCAGATCTTCGATCGAGGTCATTGAGTTTGGCGTGCAGACAGGTACGCTCGATTCGGGATGTGCTCGCTGGAGGGTCCAGTGCAGATCTTGGCCAAAGCGAGTCGGGAAGGGAGGCTGGCAAGCGGGCGACCAACATGCACCATCCGGCCCCACTGGCGCAAATAGGGCCCTCGCATCCAAGCCCGGTGCAAATGCCGAGTACCAATCACATCGCAATCGTCCGCATACGACGGCCACAAACAGCTCGCCGACCAAGCCGTGTTCACAAAATGCCAGAACACATATCCTGGTGTCCTCGGGATGAACACATCGACAGTCGCCAATATCACTCAGGATTTCTGTTGTGATCCATGGGGCCAAAGTCATGTCAGCCGGGCTCGTTTGGCGTGGTGACGATCGGCTCTTGATCAAGTCCCAGAGCCATGCTCAAATCGGCGGCAGATCCTCACGACATCGCCTTCAGCTCCCTGGCTGCTGTTTACACTCCTCCTCCCCATCGGCTGTGCGCATTCCCATACCTTCTCTTCCTTGATGAGATCGACTGCAGTGGCAAGGCACAGGGCTCGTTAGCGGTCATGAGCAAGCACATTCATCACGCTGTGCCGGGAAGCAGTCGTACCGAGGTTGTCCAGAACTTTCTGCTGCCTCTCGTAGGCATAGAGGGTATGCTCCAGTGAGGCTAGGAGTTTGAAGTAAGTGCTCATGAGATCCTTTTGCCTGCCGCATAGCCAAGCGATAAGTGAGACGACCGTGCAGGCGATATTACAAACGACCATGCAGACGACCGTGCAGACGACACCCCATTCTCAAGTCAATCAAATACTTGCAGACTCAGGTTTGCTCGTTAACCGATGCTGTGATACTGCGGTCCCGCGGTGCGGACGTACCTTTCGGGCAGATTGGGCGAGTAGTAGTTGTCGATACCGCACTCCTCCTCTATGATGTCGTCGATAAGCTGGTCCTGGGTGGTTTCCAGCATATCCGTCGTGGTCTTGAGCTGCTGCTGCGACTCGGCCGTCATTTTGAGAAACGCCAGCGCCTCGTCCTCTCTCTAGATGCAAGTCAGGACGAGGTGAGATGGTCTCCCGAACTGCCTTGACGCTCTATCGGCAGTATCTTCGTCAGGGCATCTTCATCAGGCGTATCCTATGTACCTGCTTCCTTCGTGCCGTGCGGATATCCAGGGCATTTTTCGCTCGTGACGACTGTAGGTTGTTGACGATGACGGCCACAAACAGGCTGACGGATGGGGGTGGCGTCAGCGGCTATCTGTCACCGCCGTTCCCCACCTCCTCCTTCCAATGCCTCCCTGTTTGATTTGCATGAATCCTGCACTTACTTGAGAAACACAAAGTTCTCCAGAACGATAAATATCGCCGAAAACCACCACACATCTGGCGCAGTGTCTCTGTTGTCGATGTAGATCGAGCTCCAGGTGTCCAGGGTCAGGATCTGAAAGAGGCGGAAACATGTGCTGCCGAGACTGCCAAAGCGCCGAGGATCGACGCTTCCATAAGTGAGGGTGCCAATGACAGTAAAGATATCTACCAGGGGTTGGATGGGATGTCGGTCAGTGCAGTCAAAGTCGCAGTGCGATTATAGAGCACAGGCGGCGTGGTGATCCACCTCCAAAGTACTGGAGACCCAAGGACTCACACATGACGACGCCCGCGAGAAGCACAATGTTGCCCATGGCCGGAATGGATTTCAGCAGCGTCGTCACAATCACTTGGAGACTCTTCAGAAACGACACCGTTTTGAGCACTCGCAGAACACGGATCACACGAATTGCACGAAAGATCTTGAGCGCCTGGAAGAGCCTGGTGTCGTAGCTGCTCGAGGTGATGGCCAGGATTCCAGGCACAAGCCAAGCCAAGAGGCTGGAAACCACAACGAAAAAGTCTGGGATGGTTCGTGAGCAGCGGGCGGGGAGCGCGAGAGTCAGCGGCGGCAGATGACGGCGACTCCACATCCATGCATGTAACCCTGGGCAAATTCAGACCAGTATGCAGCGCATTCTAGCGTCGATCCGGCGGCAGAATTGTGGACACGGCATGAATGTCAGAACGGCCATCTGCATGCTCTTGGCCACGGCCGTTCCTTACCAAACACATTCCAGCCCGAACGAAAGTAGTCGCGTCCCCAGGCATAGATCTTCAGGACGAACTCGTAGATGTAGATTCCCAGGAAGATCGAGTCCACGGCATCCATGTACCAGCCTGCGTGGAGATCGCAATCGACATCAGCGGATGGCTTCCGGGGTGGATGGGAGTGCAAAACAAGAGATCGCATCTACCAGGCCGTCCTCCGCGACTCGCCAACCCTACCATAACTCACAACCAGATCCGGTGACGTCTCCATCGCCAGCATGGCCGTGTTGAGCAAGATGATAAAGACCATAAACAGATTGAATGACGAATGCTGTGTAAAGTCAAAGACGAGGCGCCGGAACGAGTAGTCGTGGCGAAGCTTGACCGAGACAATCTGCGATGCGCCGTCCGAGAGCGTCGTGAGCGAGTCATGGACCCGATTGTCTCGACCTTCGCTCCCGCGATGAATGTCCTCCTGCGAGAGCTCCTCGTGGCTGGCCACGTCCCAGTTTGTGTCTAGAATGCCCATGACGAGCTTGGTGCTTGGTGCTTGTGAAGAGTTCTCGAGTCCGAGGGATGTGCCCAAGGCAGATCGATCCTGGCCCCTCCCGCCAAGAGTTGCCGCCAGTCTCCAGCTCATGCATCCTGGGCGGTTCAGCCGATACCGCTCTTCGCCAGGCCCGACAGCAGCACTGGCTTCCGCCTATGGATACTGGAGCTCACGCGAGTGCTTGAGAAAGGATGGCATCGTTTGCAAGGATGGGTGCCGGCTATTGTGGGCAGCGCCAATCGAGAACAGCAGCGACCGTCTATGCAGAATTCCCACACTAAACGGTGGCTGGGAGGCCTCGGATGCCTTGACCAGCAGCCTTTGTCCGAAGAATGCGGGTGGAGCATCAAGAGTAGTGTTTCGGCTCAGCAAGTATACTTCCAAGCGAGGAGCAGCAGCCAGAAACGCAGCGATCATGGTTCTGGAGCTGGTCGACATCGAGGGGACGCAAGTCATCGAGCCCGCCTGGAAGAGAAAGGACGGCGGTGACAACTCCTTTCGGATTCTGATCAACGGAATCCTCGCTGCCGCCAAAGAGGCCCCTATCGACCCCACAGACTCGTCCGAGGCGCAGAGACTGAAGAAAACCAAATGGTATGTCCAAGCCGGAGAGCCGATGGACGAGACCAAACGCCTTCCATTGACAATGCGGTGCAGCTGGCTCAACATGCATGCATGCGGACCACTCCAATGCGGATCCGGTTGCTACAAGTCGAGCGCGAGTTGAGAGGGCATCCCCAGAATCCTGACGGAATCTCAGGCTGCCGCCGCTGGCAGTGCCGCTGCAGAGCCCTCAGTCTCGCCCAAGCACCCATGGCTCCAAGTCCGGGTCTGAAATAAAACGGCTTACAGCGACCCGAGGTGGGTACAGATCTATGAACAGATCCCGATGGACATGTAGATGTGGAGGATGCTCCTTGCCAGCATGATCTCGATGTATACGATGCTGAGTTACGAAGCGACATCGCCGCTAATCTCTGGTATGGTATCGCCCAGCGACGGACTCGTTCCCGCTGAAGGAAATGCAGAGCTCAAATCGTCTCAAGAAGCGGCTGAAGGTCCGTCGCTGTGTAGTTTCATCCGCAAAAGATGTTGTGTTGGACACTGTGACAGCCATCTGGCATATCTGTATGGGTGACTTGCTCATGATTGCTCCCACGATTAGTACAATCCAAATGGCAAGTTTATCCTCAGATTCCAGGAACAGGGCATCCTCCAAGAAGCCAGGCTCCGCGAGAGACAAGGTATGGATGGGTGGGGGCACAATTTGCATCAACAGCTTGCGCAGTGTCGCTGCGTGGTGATGATGGTAGTAGGAGAAGCGGGGAAACCAGCAGCAGCAGTGGTGGTGGTGGTGGTGCGGCCAACACACTCCCAAACTCATGTGTGCTTTGAAGAACAGAAGCGGCACGCAAGAACGATCAGGGCATCGACTGGACAAGGATCCGGCCTTTGAGCCGAGACCCACGATTCATGCGATATATCCAAGGGCTCCACGAGCGAGGATTGTAAGTAATATCAGATGCGAGCACAAGTCAAGGGCAGACGGACTCGTGTCGACTAACTCTCTGGCTGCTTCCAGATCCATGGCCGATCCCTTTGAAAGCACTCGACTGCCCGAGGCCCAGTCACCCGAAGCCATGATAGGACGCATGACCTTTGAAAAGTCCCTGGTCGAGAAGGCGCAGAGCTCGCAAGATCTTGGCAAGCTCCCGAGTCTGCCGTCCACGGCCCTCGACATGGACCATCGACGAACAGCGTATGTCCCGCACGCACTCAATGTGAACGCTCTTGATGCAAACTTGGACTTGTTCGACAGCCGGTTCGGAAACCAAATGGTGGTGTCTGACTGGGCAACGTAATTCCATTCCAGATTCAAATTCTTTATGCCCAAGAGCGCTCGCGCCGTGCATACAGCCCAAAGCCTTGACGACGAGCCCCATCAGTTCGGTCGTCCACAAGGACTCGAGGAGGTTCGTTACTGCCTGGCTGGCTGGCTGGCTGGCTGGCTGCACTTGTCGCAAGAGCAGAGAAGATGAGGAGTGTTTGAGACAGCGTCGTTGACGGCGAGCTGATGTATGCCTGGCGACAATCGAAGGAATCGTCCGAAGAGTTCGTCAAAGCCTTCCGTGACCTGGTTTCGCTTGGGGAAACCGTCCGCGACAAGAAGCGCAAAGTGGAGCGCGAGACGAAGGAGTTTGGAATATCGAAGCCGACGGTGAGTGGCTCCGTGTCGACGCACCGTCCGTTGGCAAAACAGCCCGTGACAGCCCGTGTGAGCGACCCGTGCGACTTTTACAAAAGCTGACGCCAGGGATCCGAATCCAGAGCCCAGCTTCGAACGACAACGTGGGCAAGGCCAAGTCAGATACGACATTGTCCAAGCCAGATACCAGCCGCTCCTTTGCCTCCCGGAGGGTCGTCCGAAAGGTGGGCAAGGGCTGTGCCCAGTGGTGCAGTTTGGCGGAGGAGGAGCGAGTGCCGGGCTGGGCTCCAGGACCGCCGCGACCCGTCTGCGAGTAGGGAACTCACGCCAATGCCGCTGCAGACGCCCTCGGAGCTGCACAACGACTTTTACGAGTACCAGAGACAGGAACTGAAGAATCTTCGCGAGACAATCCAGGACCGCAAGACCCGGCGTGTGCAGGCTTGCCGGGATGCGGCGTCGGTGCTACCCGTCATCGGCATCGTTAAGCGGGACATGGTGCCGATCCGCGAGCGACCCAGGGAGCCGGGCATATCCCAATGGCACAAGCACGTGGCGCATCTGTGGGTCCCGAACATCGAGGAGGCCGTCAGGGCCTCGATTGCAGAGAAGAAACGGCAGAAGCGAGAGAAGGAGGACGAGGAGAAACGCAAGGCAGAGCAACGAGCCGCCGCCGCTGCCACCAGCGAGCGAGAGGAAGCCAGCACAGCGACGCACCTGCCCAAGATCCCCCAGGCCGTGCATACACCAGCGGCCGCAACGACGCAGGTGGCAACCGAGCGACCCGGCTGCGTTGTGCGGTTTTCGTGAATATAGCGGCTACTGGCGTTGCGGACCGACGAACCAGCCGGCTGGCAATCCCGGAATTCAGGGAGCTCTCGGGGCTGTCGATCTGGTGCGGGGCCGCCTGGCTGGCGCGGCAGAGACCCAGAAGACAGTGGGGACCAGCGCCACACCGTGCTGTGCAATCGCCGTGTCATCCTTGGCAATCCTTGGCAACCAGTGGTGCCCTGTGCGAGCAGGGGATGCACGGAGTGAGCGAGCGAGCACGACGACGGGAACCAGCGAGACGCTGCAAGTCAGGGCAAGAGGACACACCTGCGATGAGGAGGGCAAAGAGCAGAGCAAATCGATACGGCCCACCGGCTGAATTGATCGCAGCAGTGCGAGTGCAGATCGACGGTGCTCGGCTATCTGGCCAGCAAAACTCAATCCACAAAGGGCACAAGCGATCCGCGTGGCGAAGCGTCCAGTTTTCCAATGGGCCTATTGTATCCGCACGCATTTCCCCGGAGCGTTCGCCCACCCTCTGTCTCGCATCTTCTGGCTCCTGGCTCTTGCCTGCTCACCACCGCTGCTGAAAGCCAGCTGCCCGCTCATCGCCGCCCGCTGCCACCTGCCACCCTCTGTTGCCACCTGCCACCCTCCCTGCCCTGTTTCGTTATCTCCGTTTGTGCATCATGGATGAGATCGCTGCCTCGCCAATCACCAGCACTAACCGTCTGAAGCACCGCCTGCGACCACACCGGCTCAACCTGCACATCTCGCAAAAGCCTCGGTTCGACGTCAAGCAGACCTATCCCGACTACCTCGACACTCTGCTAGACCACCTGCTGGGCCTCCAGAATGTCCGGGCGGGCGACGATGCCGTGGTCTCCTATCGCTTCACACAGCTTGCCGTCGAGCACGCCCAGGCCAAGTTCCGGCCGCAAATCAAGCAGCCGCCAGCAGCAAAGCGTGCAGCTCCCGCCCCGACTTCCGAGTCGGGACGAAATGGCTCGGGAGACTCTAAAGATGAATGGCGCATGTGGATCCACAGCGGCGCTGCGGCCAAGCTCCGGGTTCTCAAGAACCGGTGTGTTCGCCATCCCTCCAAGACCACCAACTGCGAGTTCGTTGAGCTGCTGCTGAGCCTTTACGAGCATCCCGTCTCCGATGCGATAAACCTCGGCATCATTGAGTTGTACATGAGCGAGGCCGCCATGTTGCCGATAGAGAGCGGCAGCTCCGATGCAGACGTCTCTCTGTCGGTCGAAAGCGGCGTTCTCTCGCCCACCTCGGAGGCCGAGACCCAGGGACTGTTGGTCGAGGACGCCTGGAACGATGTATTTAACATGCCGGCACAAGGCCTCAAGCCGTCAGTCGAGCTGCAGAGCTTCATAACGGCGACGATGCGTGCTGAACCTCCGTCTTCCTGGCCGGTTTGGCTGCCGGGCCAAGACCCGCATGTGCTCTCGCCTGAAGTCGTGAGCTCGTCTGTATACAACTTCTTCCGGGTAAGCCTGTGCGTGACGAGAACATGCGGCTGTCTGTACAAAGCAACATAATGACAGTGGGGCGGAGGGAGGCAGTTGCTGCTGCAGCGCAAGTGAATGCACAAGCCGGCTGGCTAGTGACAAAGCAACGTCCATCTTTAGAACCTGTCGGGCGTGCTTGCCTCGCCGGGACTGGAGTTTATCTATGAGCCACAGTTTTTGGCAACCTGGGAGCAGCAGCCGTTGTACCTTCGCTATGCCGTTGTCTCTCTTGGTCTGTACAAGCAAAGTCAAGAGCCCCATGATCTGCAGGCCATTACCCCCGTCTTCAACAAAGCGATGGACCTGGTGATGCTGGACATGGACTCAACCCGGATCGAGGTCCTTCAGTCTCTGATTCTGCTGTCCCGCAATGCATGGTGTGAGTGAATGCCCGGTGTCTGTTGCTCTTGCTGGTTATTGTCGCTGTCCTGTGTCGCCCTTGCATGGTGCTGAGTGGTTGCTGTATGGATGCAACTGGGTATCTCACTATAATCCACCACCACCATTCTCTCTCGCCATTGTCTGGCGCCACATGATGCACGGCGACAACCTCCCGAAATTACAATGTTCGCTCCTTGCAGATCAGGGCAATGGTACGAAACCTCTGTGCGTGAGTGTGGGTGACTGGCTTGCACGAGTGCTGGATGCCACCCTCAGTCGTCTGGGTGAGTGTTGGCAGCCACAGCCATAGCCACAGCCATTTCTAACCACCTGGTTTTCGATGTCGCCAGTCCGGCTTCGCGAGCAGCTGATCCGCATGGCAGCTCGATTCGGCAGATATCTGAAGCTCGATCGTCCCGAGTCTGAGCAGTTCCATATCTCCACCAACTGGGTTGAGCAAGAGACGATGCGGAGAACGTGGTACCAATGCGTCTACATCATCTACCAAATGAGACACACAGTGACCCCATACAATTCATCCTGTATCTTGAGCGAAGATGATATCACAAATATCGCAATACCTCAGTACCCCCCGCAGTACCAGTGGATCTGGAACGACATCGAGCACAACTACAATGGCATCGACACCGACACGATCTCGCACCTCCTCCCGCCCACGGTTGATCCGTCGCTCCCAAACTTCCACGTCGATCTGTTCCACTTTATGGAGATCGAGGGATATGGCGTTCGATATCTACGGCTACTGAACGAAGGGCCTATCTTTCCCGAATACGATCCGTCGCCCACCGCCCATCATAGGAAGCTCGAGATGGAGAAGCTGCGGTTGGAGTACCATACTTGGAGAGGCATGCAGAACAATGCGCTGTGGACCTGGTATGGCGGCTTGCCAGAGTGGATGCGGGACATTCCCCATTCGATCCAGATGTTTGGAAGCAGACCCATCTTTGGCATAACCACTCGCGACGTCCTGATGTGGAACATCATGTTCTATGGAATGCTCGTTATCGTCAATTATCCAGCCATGATTGAAGGTGAGAATGTCGCGACCGCGGGCTTGTCGAGAACGGTGTGGTGCCGGACGGATGCTTTGGGCACAGCAGGCGTGCCAGGATCAGCGGACTAACGACCACAATCCCGATGATGCCACTGCTGTGCAACAGAACTTTGGAACCACTCCGATACGGACCGGTCATTTCTGCCGATCTTCAAGCACTGCCAGGACACCGCAGCACACCTTCGCAATCTGCTAATCCTGTACGAAAGCTTGGGAAAACAAAAGGATGGATATCGGTCAAGCTCGATCACACATTTGATCGTGCTTCTCCAGGTAGCATTCGCTGACTTGCACAAGCGTCGCGGCAGCGATGATGGGGGAGGGGCGATAATCGTGACAGTTCCGGAGGCTGTGCGGCCCAAACCCAATTTGCTCATCATTTGCGCTGGCAAACGCTTGTCTCAGACTCTCTGCCTAGGCTTCTACGCGTCAAAAAAGACTGTGTGGGGGTATTTCGGCTCGTGGACAAAGGCTCTGACCGAAGGCCTATTCTTCAAGAATAAGAGCTCCGCTCGCACGCTGGTGATTGAACATTCTCGGCGATGTGCCGAGCTGAAAGATCAGCCGATTCGCATCTCGGCCCAAAGGCTGGCGGTGGACCCAGTCTACTATCGGATCGCCAAGAAATGCCTGGATCTCAACCGGTCCAAGATGAAGTTCTTCTGGGACATATCGCTTGGCCCCTGGGTGACGACTTTGATGTGGGAGACCGTCAAGGCCAATCTGGCCGACCCCGCCGCTGAGGAGCTGACCGAGATCCCATGTAGATATACCGATGAAGAGCTGATTCGCCGCGTGGAGATGCAGAACAGCTAATGCAAAGCAGCCAGTACTGAACAGCTAATACAGAACAGCTAATGGAGAGCAGCCAATACATAACAGCCAATACAGAACGAACCGGCACTGTGCCCTCATTTGTGTTTCAACGCTTCAGCCAGTGCTATGTTGTCCGCAGCGGGCACGGTTGACAATCGGCCTGCTTGTGGCGTCAGGTGACTTCCATCCCGGATTCCCCGAGCTCTTGGCTGGCCTTGTGGCTCCGGCCCGCATCCTGCGACTCTGCCCCCATCGGATCCACCGACACAGCATCCCCAGTTGACCGGGCAGATATGAAGCCTGCTGTGACCCTGAGCCGGCTGATAGTGGCAGTGCTTTCGCTGTGGGGACTCGGCGTCTCGGCTGGCCTGTTTAGCCGATTGCCAAAGAGTCGTAAGTGACAACACCGACACCGGACGGTTGCCCAACAGCTTCCCCTCCAGCGATACGAACGGGCCTCGAATCGCCAATGGATCAGCAATTGCTCTGCTGCAGGCATCTGGGACGGCATGCCACAGCAATATCTTCGACGTCGCTCATGCCCGTCACCTGCCACAGACTCCGGGACGAGCATGGATCTCGTGCACAAGCGGGAACACTATCGCCTCAAGACCAAGGAGGCCTTCTATCATGGCCTGGGCTCGTATCTGAAACATGTGAGGCCCAGTCCGTGTATCTGGGCGATGATGCTGCAGCACATGTTTGGCTTTGGACTGCCATGCGGCAGAACTGGGTGCGGGCCCGTTCGGGAGCCTCGCATTGCTTCATTCCACAGCAGCCTCAACTGCAGATCAGCATCCATCTTTTGCGAACTCACACCGATACAACCTTCTTCAAATATCCCCACCCTGGTCGGAATCGGCATCACCGTTGGGCCGCCATGCGCTGGAATATCAGGCGTACCCGAAAGACGAGCTGAAATGTCGGTACCCTCCCACTGCTGTCCCTTGAATCGTACAGCATCCGATGTTGAGCCGGGTTCAGCCACGAAATGAGTCGCCGGATGCAAGCAACATCAGCTGCTGTCATCGATACCAACGTCGCTGATCTCACCCGTGTTTTCCTTCGCACCAACGCCGTCCGTCGATGGACTTTTTTCCCCCTTCGTGGACCGTCGTACCGCTCTGAATGGCAGCCCTGTCGTGCTCAGGCGAAGATACACTTGGCAATTTCACCCTGACCCTGATAGGTTTGTGGCATCGGCCGGGCGAGCACAGGAGCTGCCTGGTTCTGAAGGAGGGATAATGGCCGGCCCAGCAGCCGCACGATCGCATTTTCACATATCGACTCGGTATCCCATTTCCCGCTCTCGATGTGCGACCTGAAACGATGCGACAACTCTCTTACTGTGCTCGTCTCGTAATCGGCGAACACCATCTTCAGACTCGCTCGATACCGCCGCTGTCATTGGCGACATGGACCTGTTTCTGGACTTGATTCATCTGAGCCAGAACGTCACATTCGACCAGAATGTGACCGTGTCTGTGTTCGAGACCAACATTCGCATTATCGGGTTAGTGTCGACGTTTGATTCTTGATTCTGCTCGGGACGAGTGGGTTCGGTTTGGATCCTGCACACGGCCTTTACTCCAAAGCAAGAGTCGACTATGCAAGCCCTGGGGAACACTAAACCTCGTCGCACGATCGATCAGGGGGCAGTAATGATGGCATACTCGGCACTGAGAGAAGTGCAACTCATCAGCTGCACCTCATTCGGCCAACAGCGGGCTTCTCTCGGCACACGTCATCGCAGCGACTCATCCAGATACCTGGGACAAGTACAACCACGGCCTGCTCGGGCTGGTCGTCGATCTAGCTGACCGGCTCCTTCCGGCCTTCAAGACGCCGACAGGGTTGCCGTACGGCTCGGTAGGCTCTTCGACACTGGCTGGATTGCAGTTCGGGCCGGCTGCACCCGCACAGACGCCAACCAGACAACAGCTTTCCTTGCTGTGTGGGAGCGCCTGCGTTCGTTCTGATTCCTCACACTTACTACTCGACGGGGCGGCGTCCTCGGACCCTTCTTTCTCCCAGATCAATCTCAAATACGGGATCCATCCAGAGGAATCGACGCTGGTGTGCACCGCATGTGCGGGAACTTTCAGCCTGGAGTTTACCTGGATCAGCATACTCACGGGGCTTCCTGTGTACGAGGTATGTGGGTGAAGGGGGCCGCTGGATCGCTCGACGACATGCAGCGAGGCAAACCTGCCCGCAAGAGACTACTGACTCTGTTGCAAAAATCGTGGATGGCACTGCTTACTTCAGGAGGTGGCGCGAAAGGCGACGAAGGCTCTCTACGACCGCCGCTCGACGCTGGGCCTCTATGGCAATCACATCGATGTCATAACGGGCGCGTGGGCATACAAGGTAAGACCTGCTACCGATAGTCTGGCCGAGCTATATGACCATGGTGCAGCTCTGGCAATCGGCGAATGCGCCAGTGAGACGTGCCGCTGACAGGACCTGCTCGCCACCGTCCAGGAATGTTCCATTGGGGGCGGCGTTGACAGCTACTATGAGTATCTGCTCAAGACATGGATTGCGTTTGCGGACGAGAATGAATACCACGAGATGTTTGTCGAGGTGAGGCGGCATAGGACTGCTGGTGTTGCATCGGTTTGGATACAGGCTCACTGCGATCCAAGACACATCCGGGTGCGCCAAGGGATGCTGAAAGTGGTATCGATTTGCTGCTCTTGCCAGGCATATCGGGCCGTCAAAATGCACATGAAACGGGGGCTGTGGAACATCGACGTGATGATGGACAACGGTGTGCCCATCCACGAACGGTTCCATTCGCTCGGAGCGTTCTGGCCTGGACTGAAAGCGCTTGCCGGAGACTTGAGCGAGGTAGGCGATCGGTGTGGCTGGAGTGCTGCAACTGGCTGGAGTGCTGCAACTGGCTGGTGCGGCGCTAGCGCCCAATTCCGTCGTCTGTATCAGGGGCTTATGCGCCATCTGCTGCTCTCTACGGCTCGTGTCAGGCTATGGACGAGCTCGACGCCATCTCCCAGATCCTGGCATACTCCCCATTCCTGGCCGAGATGACCAACATCCAGACGTTCGAGCCTGCAGGGGATCGACACCAGTATCCCCTCCGTCCCGAACTGATCGAGAGCATTTGGATGCTCCATCGAGCGACCGGGGACTCTGAGTTGCTGGAGCTGGGCTTTGAGATGTTTGATCGGATCGAGAAGTTGTAAGTAGGAGATGGGTACAAAGCGAATGGATGCAGCAGAGAAGCGAAGCGCAAGTGGAACAGACGGAAGCGGGCAATTGCTTGCACGAATGATTTGCACACCCGATTCGTATACAAGACTCGAGCGAATAACTTGCACAGACGAGCGCCAAATCCTGTGGCGATCGTGATCGGGTCCGGATACTCACGACGGTTCGTTTCTAGCACCCGAGTCGAATGTGGATTTGCTAACATTGAGAACGTCAATGAGGCTGCCCAAGGCGATAAGGTGAGGGCGGTGCAAGTTGGTGTAGTGTGGCGTGGTGCCGACGAGCGGATGCAAGAAAATGCTGCCCGTTGTGACAGATCGATCCGCTTCAGAAGACATGCTCTCGGGATGTGTAATCCACGAGCTGGACTGGACCAGGTTGGGCTATGTGCATAGCCTGTCACTGTGTGTCTATCCACCGCTGCTAACACTGCCGCTGCGTCGGTTTTAGATGGAGTCGTTCTTCCTGGCGGAGACCCTCAAGTACTTTTACCTTCTGTTTGACCACGAGAGCCCGTTCAACTCGGAAAACTTTGTCTTCAACACCGAGGCGCATCCGTTTTTGACCCTCCCGACCTCGTACAGGCCCCGGTCGTTGTTCCAGGCCTGGGCCGATCCGTTCACATACTCGGCCTGGGAATCCAAGGGATACGATCCAACCAAGCCGACCGCCTATCGGGGCATCCAGCACGACCACGTCGTCGTCGGGTTTGCTCACGGGGTGTGTCTCAAGAGCGACTGGACCGAAGCCCGCGAGAAGAAAGTCAAGGCCTGGAGGTCAAGGAATCCGTCGAGATCATGATCGGCAACATGGAGAGAGAGAGGAGGAGGAGGAGAAGGAGGCATGTTCCAGGATGAAAGGACGAAAACATGGGATCCAGTTTCCACTGACATTACAGCGTTTCCAAAATGGAATGGGACTCTCCGATTTGAGCCAGGACTGTTGTTTTTCTGGGACCTGAATACACCCACCCACTGATTGCAATCATGGCCAAACAGTGTGCTCACAGTGCCGGGAAGCCAAGCGACTCGAGAAAGTCGAGCATCTTGATATCGATACACCATGGAGCAGTCCAGAGGGCGAGTCCATCCACCACACTCACACATCGAGCGAATGCACCACACTCACACATCGCCACAGGAGATCGACCAAGTGTGTTCAAGACCAGACCAACAAAGACAACGAGATTGCCAACCAGGACGGGAAACGATCGCATGGCTTGCTCACTGGAGCCTACAGTAGGTCAGCGTGTTTCAGACATAGAATGCCAGAAAGTGACTGTCCCGTTTCTTTCTGGGTCGACTGTAGAAGCAAGATGGGCATCTCCGAAACTATGAATGCACTGTATTTTGCGTAACCGACTGCGTCTCTGGGTCGAGACGGAATCGATTTTGTTCGAGTGGTGGGTGTGTAAGTGTACGGAGAAGGGAGAAGGGGAGGGAGTTGAAGAGCGGATGTGTGTAGTATAAGAGTCTGCGCCTGCTCGCCGCACAGACGAGCTCGGTCATGCTATGCCATTGAGGGAACTCGTGGTCTGGTCGGAGCTGCCACAAAGCAAAACGGCCTTGAGCCCGCAGTGCCGTAGTGTTCAGCTTGGGGACGATGCAAGCAGCGAGTTTGTCGGTGTGTCCCAGCCATAAGGACGAATGACGGACGGCGGGCGTGGCAAATAAGGATACAGCTTTTGCTTCGTCGAGGAACGCACAGCGACTGGGTGATTACAGCGATCACCGCCCAAGCTCGCAGTGGCTTGCTACGAGCTCACCAACCAGGCCGTGCTCGCCATCGTTTCAGACACAGTCGATCGATCGGCTGGGCAGGTTCCGCAATGCCGCAAGAGGAGCTTGAGACACACTGACATAGACAGCATTTGAAACGGGTGTCTCCTCAAGTACTCATGCACGGCAAATGCTCGTGGCAAGTGCTGCGTGGTGCAGGCTGTTGCTGAATTTCCGCCAAGCTCGGCCTCTACTTTGTGTTTTCCTTCTCGCTCTCTTGCTTCATCTTCTTGAGCTTGTTCGAGAGGGCGTTGAGGGACGAGTTGTTGCGCATGGTCTCGAGCTCGGCCAGGATCTCGTCAAGCGGTCGCTTGTTGAGCTGCTCGAGAATGTACACGTAGATGATGTTCCGCCGACAGAAAAACTTCATTTCCTTATGCGAAGAACGCCACCGGGCGCCCCATCGCTGCTCGAGCTGCTGGATGGCCGGCCCGCCGTCGATGCCGTCCGTGTACTCTCTCCATGCCTCTGGGACGGTGAGGATGGTGCGGCTCATTTGATAGGCTGGCGGGTGCGAAGACGGACCGGGCGCAGCCAGGCGCTTGGGCGAGCGTATGGCGAGGGCCGAATGCGCCACCAAGCCGTCGGAGAAGCTTGGGATGGGATGCTTGGGCATGGTCATGGCCGCGGTTGCATGCGATGCATCAAAGTGGTCAAAGTTGGGGATGGTGGTCACGGTCGTGAAGGGCGCCGGGACAGGATCGCGGGCAATGGCGGCGAAGGCACCTGGATGTGTGTGGCCGATCATTTCGAGCGGGTGCAGTGATGACATGGATGGGACCGGCTGTGGGAACGACCCAGGCTGAGCCGAGGTCGCGATCCACGAGGAGAATACAGGCTCGGTTGGAGGCAGCGGGTCCAGAGCAGATATTTCGGTCTTGGCCGGCAGAGCGAGGCCGGTGAAATCCGTTTGAGGCAGACAAGCCAGTATCAAGTTGGCCGGAGCGATGATCACCCGGTTCAGGAGTGATCGCGGGTCCTGGACGATGCCCATGTAGAGGCCAATGAGGGCACCCGAGGCCTCATGGAAGCAGCCGCCGGCAAGGTCGCCGACTGCGGGCTGGGCTGAACCGAGGATTTGGCCGCTGCCGACGAGATGGCTTGACAGAATGAGACCGCGAGTGGCCGAGATGGCCGGCGTCGAGTACGGCTGGGTGATGCTCAGCTGGATGTAGGCCTCGCCGGCGGCGGGCAGCCGCAGGATCGGATCGGCTGGGCAGAGTGGCTGGGGGCTCTCGAGTACAATCAGATCAAACGACTTGTTGATGAAGACGACTTTGAGTTTGTGCTCGACTTTGGTGGAGGGCGAATAGATGGAGACAATGTCGTAGAGCGACAGCTGGCTGTGCGGACCGTGAGCAAAGGTTACAGCCAGGGTCCTTCTCACGGCAGTCACGCAGTTGGCTTCCTTGGTGTGGAAGATAAAGTCGCGGATGTCGTAGGGATGATGCCGCTTGGAGTCGGAAGGGTGCAAGTTCGAAAGATACAGCGGGGACGAGGTCGGGATGGCGGCAGCAAGCGATGGTGACGAGGACAGCGATGTTGCAGGAAGCGGCGGCGACGAGGGAGGGGGCTGGACGGCGATCCAAGGGACAACAACCCAGAGGGCATCGCGCTTGGAAGTGCCGAGGCCCTGGATGGCCGAATCTTCGTCGAGCGGGGCGAGATGGGTATCAAAGGATAGCCGGTCCTTGAAGACGAGCAGCTGACACGACGAGATGCCCCGCAGGATGCCCGCCGAGTTCTTGGAGAGGATGGCATCGCGGAGCTGGTCGACGATGGAATTGGGGTGGAGGACCACGGTGGAGACGGTGGACTTGAGATAGATGTTGCCGTGCGAGTCGACGAGCTGGTACCAGACAAGGACGACGGAATTGGAAGGATGGGCGGACATGGGAGACGAGGTGACAGATGCGCGGGCGGGGCGACAAGCATGGAGGGAGGGAGGACGGGAGCAGGATCGATTCCAATATGCCTAGGATGGACACAGGGAGCGGAGGGAGTGATTGTGGATGCGGACGTGGATGTGGAAGTGGGTGTGGATGCAGTGGCGGTTGTATAGAAAATGGTGCCGATCGCAGCGGCAGGAGGTGCAAGAGCAGGAGTGGTGGGTGACGACCACTGCTGTGTTGCTCTAAAGACAGCAGAAGTAGTGCAGAGTATGACGGATGTCCGAGTATTGGTGATAGATGGAGGTGCTGGATAGAGGTGATAGATGGAGGCGCTGGATCGATGCCAACACAAGGCGGAGACTGCCACCCCTGCAAAGTAACGTGGAGGCCGGCGTAATGCCGACACGGAAGTCGACACGGGGTGTCGATGCAGACTCGGGCGCAGATGGCAAGGACACTTGCAAAGACACAGAAGCCGATGCAGGCAGCGAGGCAAGCAGGCGTTCAGGCTCGCGTTGCAGACCGGTGCAGACGATCGCGGGAGGGAGAGGACGAAGGAGGAGGAGGAGCAGGAGGAAGGAGGGAAGAGGAGCAAGCTGGGCTCTGGCCAAGGCCGCCAGGAAAACCGACACGCGGCAACATGAACCCGGGACGGCGGGGCGAGCGAGGGCACAGCGAGACGGCGCGGCGGGCAGCAGCTTGTTGCAGCCACAGCAGCACAGGAGGGAGAGGAGCGCGAGGCCGGCGAGAGCGCGCGAGCGAGAGCGGGCGGGGTGTCGGGCTCGGCGGCTTCCCGTTGCGATTCGGCGGCTCGTGCTGCGCCGGTGGTGCTGGGTCGGCCGGGACACGGAACGCACCGGCAGCGAATGGGAGCGCATGGGACGGGGCGAGAGCGGTGCGATGCGATGCTGGATGAGATGTGATGTGATGTGATGTGTGGTGTGTATGATGTGTGGTGTGTATGAAGTGTGGGATGTAATGATGTGCGATGAAATGCGACCGGGAGCCGTCCCACGCACTTTCATATGCTCGCAGGACAGCATCGCCAATTGGCCACTACCCGCTGCCCATCTCGCATCGCGCTGGCACCGGCCCTGTTCGGCCCTGTTCGGCTCGGCTTCATGGCCAGCAGAGGCGCCTTGTCGTCGTGGCACATCGGGCGGTTTGCCCGACGCTGTGGCAGCAGTGGCGGCGGGCCACACAGAACGGGCGGCTGTGTTTGAGGCTGGTGCCGCGCGCCACAGGGACGGCGCCTCGCCACATGCAGAGCCGCACGCCCATTGGCCGGTGCCACACACGCACCCGCACACTCTGACTGCATGGCCCGCCCACACAAACAGCGGAGCAGCCCGGCCGCCGCTCCGTGCTGCGCACGTGCCTCGGAGCGCCTTCCGTCGGAGCCAGCGAGCTCCGACTGGCCGGAAGTAACGAGCCGCATCTCGCTGCGGCCTCGGTGTGGTCTCGCTGCGGCCTCGCTGTGGCCTTGGCTCGCATCATCCAGTCGAGACAAGTCGAAACAAGTCGAAACAAGTCGAAACAAGTCTCGAAACAAGTCGAGACAGGTCGAAACAGGTCAATCGCATTGCTGGGATAACACCATTCGACATCCGCAGCCGCACCTTCTGGTCGCTGGCTTGCCCGGCCATCGCCCGTTTGTCCATGTCAGCCGGCACCAACATCGCCGTCTCGTCGTCCTTCTCGTCGCCCTCTCGCCTGCCCTCCCCTTCGTCTCGCGGTGCCTTGTCTTGCCCGATCCGATCGTAACGCTGCGATCGTCCTCCCCACGGTCCGCCCAGTCGCTGCCCGCCGCATCCCACCACTTCTTATCCGCCGCCGCTCGTTCGTCCATCCTCCTTCACATCCTCCCTCGATCGCTCCGTCGCCATGTCGTTCTACCGTGCCTCGAAGCTGTTGGCCAAGGCCCGCCCTGCCTCGCTTGTCCGTTCCTATACCTCCAAGCCCGTCCATTCGACTGTTCCTCCCACGGGCCTGGTTTCACTCTCGGCTGCCGAGCGCAAGGCCCTTGCCCCCGATGTTCCCCTCTACATCAACGGCGAGTTCCTGACCTCCCAGTCGACCCAGCACTTTGAGCTCCGCAACCCTGTAAGCATTCGTCGCCGTGTGGGATACATCTGGTCGTCCCGCGATCAGCACCCCCTGTCGTGCTCCGATTGCCCTGATTGCTGCACCGCGACTCGAATCCGATGTCTCGGTGCATACGGATGTGATCTCTGTGGCCATGGGCTGCATCGTCCCAACCGGGCCTCCACAGACCCGATTGCCGCGGCTGCCTCGATCCAGTGCCCTCTCCTCCGCGTCTGACTTTCCCATGCACACCTGTACCATCTCTTCGGAATCTAGGCCACCCAAGAGCTCCTCGGGTTTGTTCCTCAGGTCACTCCTGAGGAGTACAAGTATGCCTCCGAGACGGCTGCGGACGCCTTCAAGACCTGGAAGAAGAGCACCGTTCTGCAGCGCCAGCGCGTCATGCTGGATCTCCAGCTCCTCATCCGCAACAAGATGGTAGGTCCACCACCCCCAGATTCTCTTGGCTTGACCACGGAGCTTCGTCCGCATTCATGCTCACCATTCCTCCGCTCTACCTCCCTTTCCCCCAGGACGACATTGCCAGATCCATCACCACCGAACAGGGCAAGACCCTGCCTGACGCCAAGGGCGACGTGATGCGTGGTCTGCAGGTCGTCGAGCATGCCTGCTCCATCCCGACGCTGCTCATGGGCGAAAAGCTGCCCGTGTCGAAAGACATGGATACTTACTCGATCCGCGAGCCCCTCGGCGTCGTCGGCGGCATCATGCCCTTCAACTTCCCGGCCATGATTCCCCTGGTGCGTGAGCGTTCCCCCTTCTGTGCATTGTTGCTTAGCATTCCACCCTGTCTCGCAGCAAGATGTAGATCGCCATGCCCATATTAACGACATACTAATGACGTCGCCCATCTTTGCCTTGCAACAAACGCTCAACAGTGGGTCTTCCCGCTCGCTATCGCCTGCGGCAACACCTGCGTCATCAAGCCTTCGGAGCGCGATCCTGGAGCCACTTTGATGCTGGCCAAGCTGGCCGAAGAGGCCGGTGTCCCCAAGGGTGTCTTGAACATTGTCCACGGTGGTGAGCTCATGGTGCTGCCCATATCGAGCTGTGCTGGACTAAAGTGGCGCACTTGCGCGCCTGCATGCTTTGATCCACCAATGTGGCCAGGGCGATGACTGATATGCGCTGTCTTGTCCTTGTCTTCAGGCTACGACACCGTCAATGCCATCTGCGACGATCCCTACATCAAGGCCATCTCCTTTGTCGGCTCCGACAGCGCCGGCAAGTACATCTTCCGCCGCGGAACCGACAATGGGAAGCGTGTCCAGGCCAACCTGGGTGCCAAGAACCACGGCGTGATCATGCCCGATGCCAACAAGAACTACACCCTCAACGCCCTCGTTGGTGCTGCCTTTGGTGCCGCCGGTCAGCGCTGCATGGCCCTGCCCACTGCCATCTTTGTCGGCGAGGCCAAGGAGTGGATTCCCGATTTTGTCGAGCGCGCCAAGAACCTCAAGGTCTCTGGCGGCTTCGAGGATGGAACCGATGTCGGTCCCCTCATTTCGTGCTCGGTAAGTGTTGTCCTCGGACGTGGCTCTGTCGCTTCACCTCTCCTCGCGTTGCTGGTTACCAGTTGTTGGCTTGTTGCGAACCGGCAGGGATTTGTGCACCTCGGATTCTCACAAGCGACTGACTTGTGCTGCTCGTTGCTCGCTAGTCCAAGACTCGTGTCGAAGAGCTCATCCAGTCCGCTGTCGATGAGGGTGCCCGTGTTGTTCTCGATGGCCGCGGTGTCAAGGTAAGCTTTGCTGTGCGCCTTCCCCGCACCTCGCGCTGGTCCATCTTGGCGTCGAGCAGGAACCTGTGGATGAGCATCGGCAGTGGTGCTCGATCGTCTCGGGCAACGCTGGCCACGTGTTTTCATCCAATCCGCTGATTGCAACCGCCACCGCACTGTATCTTGGCTCGATTCGCTCCTGCATTCGCGCTGCACCCTGCAATTCAGCCCACCGGATACGAGAACGGAAACTTTGTTGGCCCGACCATCCTGGCCGATGTCAAGCCCCACATGAGATGCTACACCGAGGAGATCTTTGGCCCTGTTGCCCTGTGTCTCTCGGTCGACACCCTCGAGGAGGCTATTGAGCTCGTCAACAACAACCCTTACGGCAACGGCACTGCTATTTTCACCAACTCGGGCAGCGCCGCCCGCAAGTTCCAGGAGGACATCAACGTTGGCCAAGTCGGGTGAGCTTCGAGGATCGCATCCTGTGTGTGGACGAGTCGACGGTCCAGACAATCGCTTGCCGAACGCATTCGCTGAGGCTGCAGGCTTGGTAGAGCGCGATGCCTTCTGACAAGCGGCTGACCCTTCTCAACAACCCACTCCGCATCAGCATCAACGTCCCCATCCCCGTTCCTCTCCCCATGTTCTCCTTCACTGGCTCCCGCGCCAGTATCCAGGGCGATCTCAACTTTTACGGCAAGACCGGTGTTCAGGTAAGACCGCAGTTCTAGACGCATGAGGCTCGTGCAAGCGCTTTGCATGGGGCTGGTGTTGCATTGTTCGGTGCATTTTATGTGGAGCACACATGTTGCTGACTACCCCCGTGCCTGCCCGGTTCAATAGTTCTACACCCACCTCAAGACTGTCACTGCCCTGTGGAGAAGTGAGGATGTCACCTCCTCCAAGGCCACCGTCAACATGCCCACCATTCGCTGAGCGCCCCCTCCCCAGTTTTGATTTTTCCTCTCTTCCTGGCTCACTGCCCACATGGCGGGCCATCCGCACCACCCACCATGGACAATCGACATGGACCGCTTGCAACTCGGTGCGTCCTTGAGTTCCATCCAAATACACCCGCTTTATGCCTTCACTCCAGACATCCAGCGCAATCCTGGATGGTCGAAAGGGTTGCTTCCCCAGCACAGATGGATGTTTTTGGCACCAGGCGCTGGCCCCAGGCGCTGGTCCCAGGAATTTGGCTCATGATTGCGGTGTCGTGGCCGAAGGGGGTGGGAACTCGATTTTGACAATGTGCTTCCCCCAGAGCCGCGACACGCGATCGGGTGCGCGATGGGTGGGGGCCGTGGTCAAGACGCCGCCTTTCCCCTCTTTCTCCACATCGAGACCCAGCAACGAGGCGAGCGCCTTTCTCTGGCCCCTTGCCCTGACCTGCCCTCTTTCTCCTCCCCCTTCCCTGTCTGCGGATCGGCCCTGGGCAGATCGTATCCCTGTCTGGCCCCGACTTGGCTCCGACATGGTCGTCAGCACCCACGACTCGGACGACATGCTCGGCATCGAGGTCCAGCCTATCGAGTCGATGGAGGAGGATGCCGAGATGGTCGAGGTGTCCGCAGTCGAGCCCGAACCTGTTCAGCCCGAACCAGCTCTGCCCGCCGACCCCTTCGACCCTTGGGTCCATCCGGTCGAAGCCTTCATCCGGATGGCCCGCGACGAGCCCGATGCACTCTGCATCAACACCTACGAGAGCGGCGAGTCTGTGCGCTACTCATACCGCGATGTGTGGAAACATGCATACTCAATCGCCCAGGCTCTCAAGGCGCTTCCTGGCTGGAACGACGACGGCCACGATGCCGTCGGCACCTTCTGCGAAGGCGAGGCGCACTGGGTGTTCTTCTCGCTCGCCGTGTGGATGCTGGGCAAGTGAGTATCGGCCCAGATGCTGTGAGTGAATTCTCCCTCCAGGGATGACAGGCAATAGCCGTGGCTGACTCACCCACGTATCCACCGACAGGAAAACCCTCAACTTTGGTCTCAACTGGCCATCGGCTGTCCGCAAGGCCATCTGTGCGAGGTATAGCATCAGCAGCGATGAGTCAAGGAGGCAGTCCGATTGTGGGTGGAGTCGACAGAGTGGGAGACTGGCCCACGATCGACAAAGCCTGGAACTGACACACTCTCGACCACCATGGCACCCAACAGACACTCGGTCAAGTACATCCTTCACCACTACACCAAGCCTGGAAGGACGGAAGGAGTGACGTTGGTGGACGGCGGCACTTTCCCGATGCTCAGCGAGGTCCCTGCTCCATCGCTCGAGCTCTGTGAGCCACTCGACGACTTTGTCGTTTATATTTGCACTTCAGGAACGACAGGTAATTTTGGAAATGGCAAGGTGTTGAATGAATTTTGAATTCAAGACTAACGTTGGATGGCCTAATTTATCCCTTCCCATCAGGTATTCCCAAGTCGTAAGTATACTAAGGATATGTAAGCATTGATTCTTGATCGCAAATTCCTCTTGCTGACTGCGTGCATGTTTTTCATATGATCAAGATACAAATTCTCACATATTGGCGCAATGGCCGGTCGAGCTGTAAACGGCATTCTTCACTGTAGCATCGGTCTCTGCCAGGTATGGCGATTGATCTTGTAATGTGTTCATAGAGCAGCCGTTGATAGGAACACTAACTCGATTATACGTTAGCTTCCTTCATTTATTGTGACCATGAGCTTCGTCCTTGTAGCCTTGAATCTCAAGGGATCGGTTTGGATGCCCACACCCACAGCTCAAACAATCGAGAAGGTTGAGAGTATTATCAAGATACTCGACGATGGAGTTGCGTATGTGTACTTGGTAAGGTATAGTTACAAAACCTGAACTATCACTCGCCTGGCTTACATCAAATCTGCATTCAATTAGACACCATCATTTCTCAAGGCACTTGTTGGAATGGCGCAATCAACTCGCTCGAATATCAAATGGGAGAAAACACTGAGGCTCGGACTTGGCTCTGAAATTGTTCCGATTAGTACGATCAAGTCTGCCAAGATATGTTTTCCGAATGCCGAGATTCAAAGTGGCTATGGCTCCAGTGAGGTATGCTAACGTGTCTGTTGCACAGACTGTTTGACGGAAAGATTGTTGCTCATGCTTGTGGCCACTCATAGATCGGGCTTGTCGACGGAGCTTCCTATTTCCAACTTCCAGCTGAGAGTCTCACTGTACCAGAGAAATTGGTCTACAAGCTGGCCAAGCCTGGCGTGCGCTGCCTCTTGTTTGACGAGGAGGGCAATATCGTTGATCAAAATGTCTCCAAGAGCGGCGTCCTCGTCAACGCCGTCGACCCCGACCATCCCGTCCGCAACCACCCCGACTTTGTCAACGCCGATCCAAACGACAGACTGGCCTCCTTTGGCTTCCTCAGCGACGGCTCGCCCCGAGTCTGCACCATGGACTGGGTCGAGATGGTCAGCGAGAACGAGTTTACGGTCGTTGGAAGGTGAGTGCGATATCCCTGTATCCACCGAGTGGTCTGTGCCCTCCTTCCACTAGTCCTCCGCCAATCCATCCCACACACTTCATTCTCACACCTCACACCTCACACACCCAGATTCGACCAGAAGATCAAGGTCAACGGTGTCTATGTCGACCTGAACCATCTCGAGGCCCTGGTCGTCCAGCACCTGAGCCACACCATCGCCGACTGTGCGTTTGTCCAGACCTCCGAGAAGAAGATCGTGATGCTGTATGTTCTCCAGGCCCGCCCCACGACACGCACCGAGCCCAGCGACATCATCCGGATGACCCAGGATCTGCTTGCACTCGTCAACGTCTCCAAGGTGCCGATCCACAACTGCTTCCAGCTCGACGAGATCCCCATGATCAAGAATGGCAAGCGCGACCTCAAGAAGATCAAGTGGATCGCCGAGAACAACGATCTGCACCAAGGATCCGTTGTGTATCCCCGTCTCGCCCCCAGCGAGGCCCCGCTGTTTCGCATCGCGGCTGCAATCTCCAGCCTCGGCAGCCAGCTCCTCGGGATTCCCTCTCTCGACGGCCGCAACTACAGCATCAGCGGAGCTGGGTTTGACTCGCTGAGTGTCGGCCGCCTGGCCCTGGCAATCAAGGAAGAGTACGATGTCGAGATCTCGCCGATGATGCTGCTCTCGAACGGCCTGACGCCCCTCGATGTCGCCCAGCTGGTGATTGATCTCCAAGGCAACCACCCGCTGATGCCGCCGACAGTCGACCTCGACCAGGAGGCCGCCCGGCTCGACGATGCGAGTGTGACGGCCGAGGGTCTCCCTCCACTTGTCTTTCCCGAGTCGCCTCGCGGCATCGTCCTGACGGGGGCCACTGGCTTCCTCGGATCGTTCCTGCTGTACGAGCTGGCTGCCAAGTTCCCTGCTGCCAGGATCTACTGTCTGGTCCGAGCCGCGAGCGACCAGGCTGCCATCGACCGCATCTTTGAGACAGCCAGGAAGCTGATCCTCAACCCGCAGCAGACGCACTACCTCGTGAACAATGTCAGGCCGCGACTCGTTGGTGTCTGTGGCGATCTGTCGCTCGACCAGTGGGGACTGACCAACAAGCGATGGAAGAAGATCGGCAAGGAGACCGACATGGTTGTGCACTGCGGCGCCGAGGTGCACTGGCTCGACGACTATGAGGCGCTCAAGGGGCCGAATGTCCTGGGCACGGCGACGGCCCTGCGGCTGGCCACGACCCACCACCTGAAGCCGCTGCACTTCATCTCGGCGGTCGGGGCGATTCCCATGGCACGGGGTGCAAGGACGCCGCTCGAGGAGAGGGTGTATTCCAACTGGAACGTCTCTGGCGGGTATGCACAGACCAAGTGGGTCTCTGAGCAGCTGATCAACAAGGCACGATCGAGGGGAGTGCCTGCGACGATCATCCGACCATCGCTGATTGCAAGCGACAGTGTCTATGGAGGTGAGTCACTGGGTGTAATATGGCAATGTGGTGTGGTGGTGTGGTGGTGTGGTGGTGTGGTGGTGTGGTGGTGTGGTGGTGCAGCAGCTCATCTCAGCTCACTCTCACTCTCACTCTCACTCTCACTCTCACTCTCACTCTCACTCTCACTCTCACTCTCACTCTCACTCTCACTCTCACTCTCACTCTCACTCTCACTCTCACTCTCACTCTCGCTCTCACTCTCACTCACTCTCACTCTCACTCTCTCAGTGTGCCACTCGGACGACTACATCTGGCAGTACATCAAGGGGTGCATCCGCATCGGGATCGCTCCCTCCAATGCCACCCCCGTGATCATCACCATGAATCCAGTCGACCATGTCGCCAAGGTGGTCGCTGCGATCGCAGCCTCCGAGGTGGCCCTGCCCAAGTTTGTGTTCCACATCAGCGACCCAGAGCGCAGGTGAGATGAGCGAGCGAGCCGAGTGGCAAGCAGACAGGGAGGGCAGCAGGATGAGTGCCATTCCTCGGCAGTCACTCACCCACCCACACCACCATCCCATACATCCTGTCCCTCGGCCCACCTCGCAGCGTCGTCACCGAGACCAAACTGTTCGAGATCGTCAATGCCTATGGCTGGCCCGTCATGTTCGAGACCCGCGAGCGATTCAAGGCCCTGCTTTACCGACCGTCGCTGCCCAACGGCTCGTCGATGCTGACGCTCATGCATCTGATCCTGAGCATGTCCTTCCTGGTCGACAACACCAACACCCGGTCGATCTATTCGGCCCTCGGTTCCCAGGCCGGGAGGATCGCCGGGCGAGGGCTGTTGTACCTGACCCACATCGGGTATCTGCCACCTCCTCTGAACGCTCCGTCACCGCTGAGACCCGAGGAGCACCCGCGGCCCAACATCTTCCGTCCCGACACCCACAACTAGCTCGGTGGTGGAGGTCACTGCATGTTTGGCAGTGCCATTCATGGTGCATCCCATGCACAGCCATGGTCCTCCACTTGCGCGCGGTGCTTCACATCTCCCTGACACACATTCCTGATCTATCGCTTCGGAGTCAGTGCACGATATCCAGTGCTTGCCGATGTGTCCCACTCTCACCCCGTCCACATACCCCGATGTCGCCCCAGTCGCCCTGTCGGCAATTGGCTGTCTGTCCTGGTCAATATCACAGCTCTCTTGGATTCTCCATGCGACTCCTCCGTCTGGTGCGAGTACTTGTGGACAGCGACAGGACTGCTCATGCAACAGAGTGATCGAATTGGAGTGTAGATCGCCTGAACTTGATAGCCACTCTGGACTGGCACGCTCTGGATGTGGAGTCACTCGAGACGGCTGAAATCCCGCTGATTGTTCACCAGAGAAGTGATGCGACGCAGGAAGGACTGGATGTCGACAGCGCAATCCACCACCATCTTCATCACCATCCACCATCCACCACACACCACACGCAACTCAACGTTGGATCAATCGTGTTCAGTGTCTGGCAGTCCAACAAGACTCGGCCGCAGAACGGAAGGGCAGCGAGACGACACTGATCGATCGGTCTGCCCAGCCAGCACAACATCAGTGGCGGCCGGTGCGGGTGAAGGGACGGACATCGGGATACTCCTCGTCCTTGAGCTCGGTCTCCGCCGCCGTGGGCTGGTCGAGATAGGATACCCGATCCAAGTGGAAGAGACTCTTCCTGACGACCAGCTCGGGCGAGGGACACGGCGTCGGGTAGATCGAGCGAGTGTTGGTGTTGTCGACCCTGAAGGACAGGTCCATCAGCATCCGCATGAACGCAAGCAGGGCGTGGTTATCGGGCGATGGGTTGCGCCAGATGACCGTCCTGAACTTTTCACGGGTATCCAACATGATGATCCAGCCAACGGAATTGGCGATCTCGAAGACACGCTTCTCGGTGATGACACTGCGAGGTGGGCCGAGGGACAGGATGTATGGGATGGTGGTGTGGGTGGGTGAGTGACTGCCGAGGAATGGCACTCATCCTGCTGCCCTCCCTGTCTGCTTGCCACTCGGCTCGCTCGCTCATCTCACCTGCGCTCTGGGTCGCTGATGTGGAACACAAACTTGGGCAGGGCCACCTCGGAGGCTGCGATCGCAGCGACCACCTTGGCGACATGGTCGACTGGATTCATGGTGATGATCACGGGGGTGGCATTGGAGGGAGCGATCCCGATGCGGATGCACCCCTTGATGTACTGCCAGATGTAGTCGTCCGAGTGGCACACTGAGAGAGTGAGAGTGAGAGTGAGTGAGAGTGAGAGTGAGAGTGAGAGTGAGAGTGAGAGTGAGAGTGAGAGTGAGAGTGAGAGTGAGAGTGAGAGTGAGAGTGAGAGTGAGCTGAGATGAGCTGCTGCACCACCACACCACCACACCACCACACCACCACACCACCACACCACCACACCACCACACCACATTGCCATATTACACCCAGTGACTCACCTCCATAGACACTGTCGCTTGCAATCAGCGATGGTCGGATGATCGTCGCAGGCACTCCCCTCGATCGTGCCTTGTTGATCAGCTGCTCAGAGACCCACTTGGTCTGTGCATACCCGCCAGAGACGTTCCAGTTGGAATACACCCTCTCCTCGAGCGGCGTCCTTGCACCCCGTGCCATGGGAATCGCCCCGACCGCCGAGATGAAGTGCAGCGGCTTCAGGTGGTGGGTCGTGGCCAGCCGCAGGGCCGTCGCCGTGCCCAGGACATTCGGCCCCTTGAGCGCCTCATAGTCGTCGAGCCAGTGCACCTCGGCGCCGCAGTGCACAACCATGTCGGTCTCCTTGCCGATCTTCTTCCATCGCTTGTTGGTCAGTCCCCACTGGTCGAGCGACAGATCGCCACAGACACCAACGAGTCGCGGCCTGACATTGTTCACGAGGTAGTGCGTCTGCTGCGGGTTGAGGATCAGCTTCCTGGCTGTCTCAAAGATGCGGTCGATGGCAGCCTGGTCGCTCGCGGCTCGGACCAGACAGTAGATCCTGGCAGCAGGGAACTTGGCAGCCAGCTCGTACAGCAGGAACGATCCGAGGAAGCCAGTGGCCCCCGTCAGGACGATGCCGCGAGGCGACTCGGGAAAGACAAGTGGAGGGAGACCCTCGGCCGTCACACTCGCATCGTCGAGCCGGGCGGCCTCCTGGTCGAGGTCGACTGTCGGCGGCATCAGCGGGTGGTTGCCTTGGAGATCAATCACCAGCTGGGCGACATCGAGGGGCGTCAGGCCGTTCGAGAGCAGCATCATCGGCGAGATCTCGACATCGTACTCTTCCTTGATTGCCAGGGCCAGGCGGCCGACACTCAGCGAGTCAAACCCAGCTCCGCTGATGCTGTAGTTGCGGCCGTCGAGAGAGGGAATCCCGAGGAGCTGGCTGCCGAGGCTGGAGATTGCAGCCGCGATGCGAAACAGCGGGGCCTCGCTGGGGGCGAGACGGGGATACACAACGGATTCTTGGTGCAGATCGTTGTTCTCGGCGATCCACTTGATCTTCTTGAGGTCGCGCTTGCCATTCTTGATCATGGGGATCTCGTCGAGCTGGAAGCAGTTGTGGATCGGCACCTTGGAGACGTTGACGAGTGCAAGCAGATCCTGGGTCATCCGGATGATGTCGCTGGGCTCGGTGCGGGTCGTGGGGCGGGCCTGGAGAACATACAGCATCACGATCTTCTTCTCGGAGGTCTGGACAAACGCACAGTCGGCGATGGTGTGGCTCAGGTGCTGGACGACCAGGGCCTCGAGATGGTTCAGGTCGACATAGACACCGTTGACCTTGATCTTCTGGTCGAATCTGGGTGTGTGAGGTGTGAGGTGTGAGAATGAAGTGTGTGGGATGGATTGGCGGAGGACTAGTGGAAGGAGGGCACAGACCACTCGGTGGATACAGGGATATCGCACTCACCTTCCAACGACCGTAAACTCGTTCTCGCTGATCATCTCGACCCAGTCCATGGTGCAGACTCGGGGCGAGCCGTCGCTGAGGAAGCCAAAGGAGGCCAGTCTGTCGTTTGGATCGGCGTTGACAAAGTCAGGATGGTCCTTGGCAGGATGGTCGGGGTCGACGGCAAAGACCAGGATCCCGCTGTTGGAGACATTTTGATCAACGATATTGCCCTCCTCGTCAAACAAGAGGCAGCGCACGCCAGGCTTGGCCAGCTTGTAGACCAACTTTTCTGGGATGGGACTATGGGTGGGAATTCTCAAAAAGGAGTGTGACCCAATTACTCCCGACTGAATCGTACATTGAGTTAGTGATGGTTCCGGAAAGTTATTAGGTTCGGGGACAATTTCGACTGTACCTCACTCGATCCATAACCCGACTGAATTTCGGCGTTTGGAAAGCTCTCCCTCGTCTTGTGAATGACACTCATTGGAATATACTCTGATCCAGTGATAACTTTCTTCGTGGCCTCCCACTTGAAAGCCGAGTTCAGCGAAGCTGCAGTGTTGACTACAAGCTTCATGAACGAGGGAGTCTGTGGGGAGATAGATGTCATCAGTGTACGAGCGACATTGATTTGGGAGTGCAATTTCTTATTTTACCAACCAAATATACATAATTGATGCCACTGTTCAATATTTGAATGATATTATGGACTTTCTCAATGGTTTCGAAACTTGGCTTTGGAATCCACACTGACCCTCCCAGGCTGACAATGCTAAGGAAAAGACTAAAAGCCGCCGAAAAGGACGGAGGCTGAGAGTCATCATTTGTCAGTACATCCAACTATGCCCTCCAAACAATTCAAGGGTGTCATTTGATCTCACTTGGAATAATCCCGCGCTACTCTTGAGCATTCCAACTGAAGTTCGAATGGTGATGGCTCCAGTGTGTGCAAACCTGAACCTGCAACAATCAACATCAAACACAGAAGGATTCAGTCAACGAGTGGTGATGCGATCACTTTTGTGACTGTGGACAAGCATCAGGCGCGACACAGGATCAGAATCCACAGGATCAGAAGCCACAGGAGAACTCACGACTTGGGGATGCCTGTGGGAGCGACGAGGAGCCAGGATGCAGGACGAAGGAGTCGGGTTGTGGGTTGGATATGCATCGTCAGTATATCACTTTCCACATTCACCACACTCACCATCTTACTCTATCCACCATTGCACCATCTGCTTTGCTGCTGGACCATCACGCTCAACCATTCCACATACCCGTTGTTCCAGAGGTGCACTGGATGGTGACATAATCATCAAGGGGTTCACAGACTTCGAGAGACGGGGGTGGGACGTTGTTCAGCACAGGGAACGTGGTGGCATCGACCAGCGTCACTCCAATGGTGCGGCCAGGCTTGGTGTGGTGGTAGAGGATGTACTTGATGGAGTATCTGTTTCGATTGGAGTCAAGGTCGAGTCAGGTTGAGCACAGAGGTCTCTGGGATGTCAATCTCCTGAGACACATGTGAGACCAGCACAAGGACAAACCTCTCGCACAGAGCCTTGCGGGCAGCAGCAGGCAGATTGAGGGCGAGATTGAGTGTTTTCCTGGATGGCAACAAGGGACAGATGAGACTCGATCCTGGTCATGGCAGGGACAAAGACCGGTTATGTCATGCACAGGCAGACTGACCAGACCAGACCAGACCAGAGATACTCACTTGCCCAGCATCCACACAGCAAACGAGAAGATCACCCAGCTGGCTTCGGCCTCGCAGAAGGTGCCGATGACCTCGTGGCCGTCATCGCTCCAGCCAGGGAGAGCCTTGAGAGCCTGGGCGACCGAATACGCCTGCTTCCACACACGGAGATAGCTGAGTCGCTCCGAGATGCCGCTCTCATATGTGTTGATCAGGAGGGCATCGGGCTCGTCGCGGGCAATGTTGACGAGGCACTCGACGGGATGGAGCCAGGGGCCAAAGGGATCGGGCTGAGAAGGGAATGTTGGTTGTTGGGAGACAGGGGTCTGCGAGGAGACATCTCGGTCGCTGGATGGGTCTGCGGACCCTCCAAAACAACAGGAGATGGCCCTGAGCATGCCGGGGTTGGGATGGAAGCGACAAAGGTGCCGATGCCAAAGCCAGATGAGGGCAGGAGAGCGAGGAGGGAGCCGAAAGGGCGAAACGAGACAACGATGACGAGGGGAAAGGGCGAGGGGAGCGCCTTTTGTCGGTCTGGGCAGCCAGGAGATGGCGGCTTGGTCTGGCTGCTTGCCAGATTGCATTGAGCGAGTGCCCTTACTTCCTCTCGAGCTGCTGAGTCTGCCAGCGTGACCGGCTCTGTGCTTGGGCGGTGGGTCTGGCTGTTGCCCCTCGATGCTGTGCTGTTGCCTCGCCCAGCAAGCTGCTTGCAAATCCACTGTTCAGCCAGCGAACAGTTCACTCGGTGGGAACACAGGTGAGTTTGACACTCGTATGTCTTTGCTTGTGTCTGGCTGGGGGATATTCATTGTGGCCACCAACAGCACAAAATCTCACCATCCACCCGGTACAACGAACAGACCCTAAGAAAACAACGACGAACCAGTGGTGCCCCCTCATCGACCCGATCCCGTACATCCTTGAGGAGCTACTTGACATGGCCATCCAAGCCGCGAACGAAGCATCCGTCAAGGACACGGCACTAATCATCCTCGGCAAGATCCAGAGTGCAAAAGAGACACACCTCACCAGAGAAAAGACCATCGCCACCGAGAAAGCCAACCTGAACAGACGAATTGCAGAACTTCAACTCGCCCTGCAGAATGGGACAGCACGGCCCCCGGAGAGAAATGGAAAGCCCTACCCTTGAGAGAAAGACTCAAGGATATGCCACCCGACCAAGAGAAGATGACACCAAACAGGATCCACCTTGATCGCCCTCGTAGCTTTATACTTGATTCAGGGAGAACCGGGACGCTACCCATTCCATGAACATACAGTATGTGATGGCTTGCGTCGGGTTTGGCCATATGAAGGGCGATGTGGACGGCTATGGTGGTGCTTGGATTGCTCAAAGTACCGACAAACCGCTGCCTCCTGGGACTGGATGTATGGCCCTTGCCTTGACAACATGACGCATTGCCAGCGGCGAATGGTGCTCTTGGACAGACTGAATATGGTGGCAGCTTTGCTCAGGCTATGAATGAGGGAGTAGCACCGCATCACAAAATAACCCATGATCAAAAAACCAAGGTATCCCGTTCCTTTCTGGATTGGATCTCCTGGTGGATGTGGATGGAGTTGATGTTGATGCATTGTATTTTCGAATGTTCGATTGATTCTGTCAAAATAGAATTATATATTCAAAACTTGTTCATGGCTGTCATCGCATGGTTGGTCCAGTCAATAGGTGGGTCTTTATTAAAGACTTTGCCTTAGCGTCCCTTTTGGGCTCTGGCACTGGGTGTTGGCTTTGCCAACCGGGACATTTGGGTCGTCGGTGTACAGCTCTCTATCCCATGGGGCCTGTTTGCGGAGGGACGGCGATGTCAAGTTTTGCCGAACTCATCCATTCAGTGACAGTTTGGGACTCCAGCTCCGGCTTCCCTGTCCAAGTGTCTGCTCATGCGTCTGGGAGGGTTTCTTTCTCAGGTACTTGTTTGCTGCGATTGGTCAGCCCGAGGGGCCGCTGTCCACGACAGACATTTGGTTGCGATGTCATCCAGCACCGCCACGACATCCAGCCAGATCGCTGGTCTGTTGTTCAGTACTCGGCTGCGCTTGGCACGCCATCTTCTCTGTTTTTCAGGATCGGTGGTGAGTGGTCTTGTTGGCACTCGAGCCAAATTGGGGAGTGCGTCGATTGCAAGGTCGATGTAGGTGATGCCTTCGGGGATCGATGTGGGGTGAACATATTTCTCGAGTCGGTCCTTGGCTCGGACACATTCTGCTGCATGTTTTCTGTTGACATACACCTTGGGGCCGTTGGGTCCGGTCTTTTTGCACTCCTTGTCGGGTTTAGGTGGGAAACACCCGACTCGCCACAGGAGCATTCTCCTTGCTTGGGCAACTGTTGCTACTGGCATCCGCGCTGTCAGGATGGGGTCGCCTTCCCACTTGTAGGTGCCTGCGATCGACATTACTTTCTCGGGCTTCCGCTCTTTTTCAAAACTGTGAACGATCACCGCCTTCTTGATGGGTGTGCCGGTGCCAGTTCCAGATTCAAACAGGTCCAGTCTTGTTCTGTCTGGGGAGTCTCGGTGCTGTCTCTCGAGCTCCTTCCATGCGGCGCTTCCGGTCAGCTTGGAGAGTATCTTCTTGTTTGGGTTTCTTGGGGGCAACTCGGTGATGTACTTGAGCACGTGGGATCCAAGATATCCTGGGTCGTCTTTCCTGTCGAACCACCGTCCGAAGCACTTGATCATCAGTATCTGTTTTCTGGTCGCCATGGTGTAGATTCCTGTGGCTGTCATGACAGCCGGACCAGACGCGTTCTGGCGGATGTTGAGTGCCGATCGCAGTGTGTCCAGCATGCACCCCTGTAGAGTGTTCATTATCGGGCCCTTCATGTTGACGATGGCAAGGCCGTACTCCAGACGGGGCCGGATGAAAGCCTTGTAGATTTTGACGATCAGTCCAGGGTAGACTGACTTGCTGAAGATGCCGTGTTCCTTGAGCTCTTTGGTTCGGAACTGGGCTTTGTGCTTTAGTTGAGTGACGTGGGCCTCTGCGTCGATGCCATCAGGGCCGAACTGCACCCCGAGGTACTTGTAGGTGCTGGTGACGAAGCTAAGAGGTGTTCCCTTGAGTGTGATTGGGGTCGGGTTTGCTTCCGCGGTAAGCACTTCGCATTTGGTCGGAGAGAAAGCGTAATTGTTTTCGTCTGCGTGTGCTTCGGAGATGTCAACAAGTCTTTGGAGGTCTTCTTGGTTTTTTGCTACCAACGCCATGTCGTCCGCGTACATGACATTGTTGATGATGAGGTTCCCTATTCTGGGTGATGTGACTGCTCGTAGGTTCTGTGCGAGGTCATCCATGAAGAGGCTGTAGAGGGTGGGTGAAAGAACCGACCCTTGCAGCAGCCCGATCTCCAGCCAGTACGGCCGGGATTTGGTGCCGCTCACGAGAACAGCGGTGGTCACGTTGTCGAAGAGCGCGCGTAGGATGCGGATGGTATGCGGGGGGATGTCTCGTTGCTCGAGTTTGTGCCAGAGCCGATCCCGGTCAACTGAGTCGTACGCGGCTTTGATGTCCATGAACGCGATCCACGGGGTGTGGCCGTCGTTCTGTAGGAACTTGACGATTGAATCGAGTGCGAATACCTGGTCCAGGGTTCCCCTGTTGCTGCGGAAGCCTCCTTGGGAGATGTCGATGGGGCCCATCTCCTGGAGGAGTCGGCTATGTAAGATCCTTTCGAATACCTTTCGGACAACTTGTAGCAGAGAGATCGGGCGATAGTTCTTGATGTCCTCTTCTTCGCCCTTCTTCTTCCAGATGGGGTGGTTGATGGCGACATTCCATTCTTGAGGGACGATGCCGGTCCACATGCACCAGTTGAAGAGCTGACGCAGCCAATCCGAGACTTGGTCGGTTACTGGGTGTAGGAGCTCGGCACTGATCCCGTCGGACCCAGGGGCCTTGTGTTTCCCCATGCGTCGGATGGCTGTTTTTACTTCTTCTGCTGTGATTTCGCGGCCCAAGAGGCGACTGAATAGTATTTCCTGAGGACGCGGTGTATCGTTGGCTTCTTGAACACCGAGACGACTTGAGATGTTCCCAAAGTGGGCCCGGTACTGGTCCATGCTGTCTTGGTCGTTCGGAAGGATCGACCGGTTGAAGAAGCCGCTTTTGACCTTGTCTCGCTTGCTGATTTCCTTGAGGAGCTCAGAGTCCGATTTGGTGGAGAGAGACTGGGCCCAGGTGTTGTAGAAGGCGCGTTTCTGTCGTCGTATGAGGTCCTTGAGTTTGTTGTTCATGTTTTCGTAGTCGGCCATGGCCTGCAGTTGGATTCTCGAGCCTTGTGGCGACTGGTTCACGATTCGATAAGCCGTGTTTCGTCGTTTCTTGATGTCAGCCATTTCCGGGGTCCAAAAGCCGTTGCGGGGAGCCGGGCCATCCTTCTTTCGCTTCCCAATGACGATTTGTGCCACCGCTGTGACGTGGTTCTTGATGATATTCCACCCAGATTCAACGAGGGCTTCGGCGTCTTCGCGTGCCATGGGTCCATCCTCTTGTGGTAGCCGGGTTCCCAGCTGTGTGATCTGCTCTACGACTACTGGGTGGTGGACTATAAAGGCTTCCGTGTATTGCTGGAGGGTTTCGGGATCTTCGAGCTTGTTGGTTCGCCACACGAGGATTGGTGGGCGGGCAGGCTCTCTGGCGGCGTTCCATTCAAGTTCCATCGACACCATGCGGTGGTCTGAGTTACAGGTGTCGTTGGAGTGGACCGTCACCGTCTTGGCGTTGTGTCTCAGTGCCGTCGAGACAAAGAAGAGGTCCAGTACTGAGTGTTGTGGTTTCTTCCCGTTGACGACGTGGGTCCAGTGTTGCCCCGTGGGGTTGGTCGAATCCACGAATTCCAGGAAGCCGCCCGCTACAGCTGTCCGCAGTGGTTGCAAACGGTTGGCGGTTTCATGGGTGTCTCTGCTTGTCTGGCCCATGCGGGTGTTGAAGTCGCCCATGATCACAGATGGGATAGGTTTGTTCATTTCTGTGGTGTTGGTCTTGATGGCCGACAGGGCTTCTCGGAACTTTTGCAGGGCTGCCGCATTGGCTGATAGAGCAGGCTTGAGGTAGAAAGATCCAAAGACGATGCCTCGGAACTTGAACCAGATGCTCGTGTGATGAGGTTCAACGCGGAAGTTGCTAAAGTCTTCGAGGTTGGTGGTTTTCGGGTTCCGAATGAGGGCGATTCCTCCGGTGCCTCTTGCGAGGCCGTCGACAGAGACATATGGCTCTCGGGTTTCGAAAACTATGAGGTTCTTGTAAGGTCCGATGGATTGCTGTGGTTTGAGCCACGTTTCTTGGACTGTTATAAAGTCGAGGTCTTTTGCTTTTACCATTTCGATAACCTCGTGTATAGAGGTTTCAAGTCCGCAGACATTCAGGGTCGCGAACCTAATAGTGGGCGTAGGTTGGGGCTGCATCATTTGCGGGGAGGAGTGGTTCCTTCGCGTCCGCCTTTTTCTTGGCGGCCTGGTTTGTTGCGAGCCAGTTCCCTCGCCTTAGCAGTGATCTGCTCGGCGACGGCTGGGTCGTTCATCTTCCGTTGGTACAAGGTCGCCGTGAGGAGGTCATTGGATTCCGCACATATCCTGGCAGCGCGTTCAATGAAGCTCTTGATTTGGAGCTTCTTGGACTCCTTCTCGGCCTCGGTGATCTTCGACACGTCCATGTGTGCGACCTCAGTGAATTTCATGTCCGTAATGTGCTTCAAGAATTCTTCTCTCGAGCTCTTGTCTCTGAGAACAAACTCACAGACGCTGTTGTTGACAAAGCTGATATTGAGAATCTGGTTGGTGGCAAAGCCCTTCTCCTTGAAAGCTTGTCTGATCGTGCGGTAGCTACCCCGAGGGATACCCTTGACGTAAACCCAAGCGGCGTTGTCCATCCTATCCTTTAAGGGTCCTTCCTCGACAGGGACCGAGGATCTGATCATCCTGAATGGCGTGGCAGTCTTGGGCACCAGCCACTTGCCGTCGGTGGGGTCACGGCCGCGGAGGATGGCGCCGATGGCCTCGTTCTTCTTGCCGGCATCGGCCTCCTGGTGGACTTTTTCGAGGGCCGCCAGCTTGCGCGCGTCGATTGTCTTGTTGTCGGGCTGCTTCTTGGCACCCCGCTGGGCGGCTGCCGCATAGGATGTCGGAGCTGGGCGTTCCGAGATGGCCCGGGACGCATGCTCCAGCTCGGAGGCGAGCGTCTGCATGCACTCGGTGGCGCTCTGGGTCAGGGCCTTGATTCTAGCAGCTTCCTCGGGCTTGCTGAGGTCCAGCTTGGCGAGTTCTTCGTTAATCTTCTGAGCTTTCTTGAGAAGCTCACTCTGGATGTGCTGAAGCTGCTGTTGGGGACTCTGCTTCTTGCGCATGTCGGTGGCGCAGACGCGCTTCCCGACAGCCCTGGCATCGGCGAGGGAGGCCCGTTGTTCGAAAAGCTTCCATCCGGCTTCGTCATGGCGGGTCATCAGGCCCCAGAATACGAGGATGGAAAAATGCTTCCCGCATTCTTCCACCTTGGTGGCGGCGTCCGGGCTCATCAGCATGTTCTTGCAGACGACCGAGTGCTGGGCGTCGTCGATACGCCAGGCGGGGGGCTTGCTCCCTCTGCAACGGGAGCATTGAACTTGGTCTGCCTTCAGAGCGAAGACAAACCTAAAGCGGCGGTAGGTGATGTCTTTGAAATCGACCGGGATGAAGTCCTGGTCGGTGAGAGTGTTGTTCTTGGCCTTCTCGAGGATCGAGAGGGCCCACTTCTTTTCTTCAACCACGTCGGGCGGGTTGGGAAAGATTGCCGAATCTGCATAGAGCTCTTCGATAATTTCTTCGACGGTCTTCTTGCGACCGACGTGCAGCTGGATGGGCTCACCATCCCTGCGGTGCTTTTTGGTGGGTGCTGATTCGGTGGCCTCGGTGATATTGGCGCTACTGACCTGATGGCCGTTGCTTCCTAGGCTGCGATTTTCGTCCGGTTGGCCTGGTTCTTGGGCAGCAGAGCTGCCCGAGGTGTCTATGGCCATCTCGTTGATGGCCGTTTGGGTCGGGGGCATGTGGAGGGGGTCGTTGGTTGAGAGTGTTGAGCGGTTTGTTTATAAAAAGAGCGACGGAGAGCCTGTGCCTGTGGATCCAAAAGTTGAGATCAAGGTCAAGCTCGCATGGTTGGTCCAGTGGTAGAATTGCCGCCTGCCACGCGGCAGACCCGGGTTCGATTCCCGGACCATGCACTTTTGCGTTTTGTTCCAGGCTTGGATCGCACTCAATCAGCTCGCCGTACTATGCTTTGGAAGGACGATGGTGTCGTCAAGATTTTGGAGTGCGATCATATCATCGCGACTGGCAGTGCTCTGCATATCTTGACCGAAGGAGTAAAGCGAATGGCGTCTCTGGACTTTGGCACAGATCGGTGTATATTCAGGAGCCCAAAGTCAAAGGACCGTCGGCTTCATCGAGAGTTTCAATCCATCCGGCACCTCCGTGATCGCAGTTGTCGCATCGAAGCTGATCTACCACTGCACAGGATCAGCGAGCAAGATGACCTGCTCGGGTTCAAGCACCGAGTCGTCTGTGAAAAGGGGCTGGGGAAGCAATTTGGGAGTGAGCAACAAGATTAGCTGGCGGACGCAAATGGGGAGGGACGAGACGAAGAGACAAAGCGACGAAGAGACGATGAGGTGGCCGGGTGGTGAATCGACTTCGTGCAGTGCCTACCTTGCCGTCGTCCGGGACCATCGCCATCGAGATCAAGGGCATCGGGTCCGGCTGGTGCGCATATGGATGCTTTCCAAGCGGGAGCGGATGCTGCTGCTGTTCGGAATGGGAGCGTTGCGCTGATGCGGCGACAGGAGCAGTTGGGGCCGACGAGGTCGTCGAGCTGTCGGCAGCGACGGGTGGTGTGAAAGGCGGCAGCGACCGAGCCGAGTGCTTCTTGGTCCGCGCAGAGGCACTGCCGCTTGCGACATTCATTGGATGCGGTGTGATGTGATGCGACGCAATGAAGGAAGATGAGGGGCGAAGATCGACGCGATTTGCTTGGGGACGGCCCCTTTTGTGTCGATTCTGGTTTCCCGTCGAGCCCGTTCATGACCGCCAACACCAGACACGCCCGCTGCACAAGCAAGAGCGATTCAAGTCATGATTACTGTATTTACACAGGTAGAGCGACGCGGATATCATGCAAGTGACAATGAAAGTATGCAAGCGACAGATCGAGCCAGTGTCGAGAATGTATGCGCCAGCCAGGGCGTGACGAAAGTTGAATTGGTCCCAAGGGCCAGAGAGAAAAAGGTATGGAGCAAGTGGAGCGTGAACGGATGCGTTGGGTGGGCAGTCGGAGCGCGCCGCATAGAGGAGCAGAACAGAACGTCCGTAAACAGGCCAGCTGTAAGCGGGAGGGGGGTTGGTTGGTTTACAGCATGCCCGAGGCGGACTTCATGCCAAACTCCAGCAAGGCCTTGTGGCTCTCGGCCAGCTGCTCCTCGAGCTGACGAATGCGGGCCATCAGCTCGGCTTCCTTGGCGATCCATCCAACCTTCTCAGACTCCAGCACGGCAAGGCGGATGGACAGCTGGGCGTTCTCGCGCTCAAGGTCCTTGGACTGCTTCTCGAGGCTCTCGAGCTTGGCGACCTTTCGCTGGCGCGAGCGACGAGCAGCCTCGGTGTTCTTGCGGCGGCGGACGGTGTCGTCGTCGTGATCGTCGTCGTCATCATCGTCGGACTGGCGCTTACGCGAATTGGGCTTCTGGCTGGGGACCTGGTCGTTGTGCGAGGACAGGGACGAGTTGCTGTTGGGCGGCGAGGTGAGGTTGCTGTTGGAGTTGTTGGCGCTGGAGCCGGTCGAGGCCGAGGTCGAGTTGGCAGGCTGCGACTCCTGGGTGCAGTGGACGGGGGTGGGCACGGAGATGATGGTCTGGGTCGAGGGCGTCTCGGGCGATGGCCAAGACATGGCGGGGAGGATCATGGCTTGCATCGGGGGGTGGACAAACTCGGGCATCGGGCCTGAGGCGGGGGTGAACATGGACTGGGAAACGAGCTCGGGGGTGAGGCAGAGCGGCGAGCCAAAGGAGGGCGAGGCAAACTCGCTCGACGATGGCGACGAGGGCAGCTGCGAGCTGCTGAGGAGACTGAGCCAAAAGTCCGAGTCGGCGCTGAGGGACTCGGCGGTCATGGGAGGCAGGTCGATAAGCGGGGCACATTCCGATGCGGAGATTGGCAGGCCCGCGAGGAAGTCGTAGTTGGCAAAGTCGGCGCCAAAAGTCTTCTGGGGGCCCTCGGGAGGCGAGAGCGGTAGCTTGGGCTGCACCTGGAGGAGCGAGTCGGCAGGAGCCAGAGGCTTGACGTTCTTGATGTAGCACATGGAGTGTGGGAAGCGGTAGTGGTTGCTGGGAGCAAAGGGTGCGGGGGCGATGCGGGAGACTGGAAGTCAATAAACGAAGGAGGGCTCTGTGATCGCGGGTGTCTTTGGGTGATGGCGATCGGGCGGGTCGACGAGTTCAGATGGGGTCGACGGCGATGAGCTTGGCTTGGTTTGGTTTGCAGCGAAGGACTGCGATGTGATCCGCGATGATGGTGGAATGAGTCACCTTGGCCGAGGGCGGCAGCGGCGCTATTTATGAGGCCGTGCGGTGGCCGCGCTGACGCATCCGAGACGAGCCTCGGCGCGCTCTCGCTGGCCACAGCCGCTGTGCGCGGGCAGCTTGCCGTGGTGGGCGAGACGCTCTCGCGGCGGCCTCGCGGGGTCTCGCCGGTTCGAATGCACCCGAGTGCTGGCTTGGTCGGCGGCTGACGACAAAGGGTGACTCACCGTCGATCGCCCTGTGCGACGGGTGAGTCATTCTGGCTCGAGAGCGATCGCCCGGATCCACAGGCAGAAAGCCCGCGGCGGGAGGGCCGGACGGACACGGGAGAGGGATTCGGCCAGAGCCGGGGGCGGACAGCGTCCAACGAGAGAGTCGACAGCGTCCAGCGAGAGTCGACAGCGTCCAACGAGAGAGTCGACAGCATCCAACGAGAGAGTCGACAGCATCCAACGAGAGAGTCGACAGCATCCAACGAGAGAGTCGACAGCGTCCAACGAGAGAGTCGACAGCGTCCAACGAGAGAGTCGACAGCGTCCAACGAGAGCCGATGCTATCCAGCCAGGCTGTCTCAGGCACAGGCACCACAGCCACAGACCGATCCGAGTGACGGCGCTGCAGCGAACGAAAAACGGCGGCACGGCGTCGGTCGCATGCGGGTGGGTGGGAGAGTGTATGCACGGTGTCGTTGTCAGGGCGGCAACGCAAGAGGCGCTGAGCTGCATCAGGAGGATGGCGAGCAGAACGGACCAATGCAAAATTGGTTGATCGCCCGTGTCTCATGTCCAGGTGCCTGCTGTCCTTGTTGCCCATCACGCCGCTTTCCGACAGCCATGGCCCTTGGGCGGCTGGGGTGCCCTGCAGGCCGGAAATACGGCAAGGCCGATGTGTCGCTGCGACTCATTGTGATGTCATCCCGGCAAGGCCCCCGTCCCAACAATCAGATGCTGTGTTCGCGAGCCTGGTGTCCCCGTCCTGTGCAGCCTTCGTTTCGGATGCACTTCGGCCGGGGGCATGCAAATGAAGTGCCCTGGCGTGGTTCGCAGATCTCGGCGCAGACCTCGGGTGCATCGGCGACGACGACACTGCACCGGCTGCATCGGCAAGGACAGATCCGCTCGGCCCGCATTGCACTCCTGCCAGCGGCATGCATCGCAGGACAGCACAGCACAGGATCCCATGGCCAATGCAATAATGCATTCGCGAGGTCCTGCGATCTCTGATCGCATTCGGCATTTCCGGCTGATCCCCCGCACCCACATCTTTGCCTCTGCATCCTCGCACTCATATCCCTCGCCCCTCGTTCCGTCGTTCCTCTGGGCATGTCTTTGCCAGTATATTTGACCACACGGGCACGCAGATACACATGCGATCCAGAATCAACGACTCGCCGTCGCATGTCCTTCGACCTACTGGATTGCGCATGCGCTCTTGGCCTGCTCCAGCTTGGCGGCTGCAAGGGGATGGCCTTGCTCTGCGGCTCTCTTGAACCAGCCGAGGGCCTGTGTTGGATCCTTCTCGGCCTGCTGGACATCTTCGAGGAGCAGCACTCCAAGCGAGTACTGGGCCTCAGCGTGGTCTTGGCTGGCAGCCTTTTGATACCACTCGAGTGCCGAGTGGATGCTCCGATTGGTGCCGATGCCAAACTCGAAGCAGCGGGCGAGATAGTACTGTCCATTCCGGTTTCCGTCCGCTGCGAGTTGCTCGGCGAGCTTGTGGAGAGCATCTCTTGCAGGGACGTTGCCGCCGTCGACCGCAATCTCATAGCTCTGCAGCGCCAGATCGTCGTTGCGGGCCGTGCCCACGCCGTTGGCATAGCATCGTCCGACCCAGTACTGGGCATCCATCTGCAGCCCCTCTGCGGCCTTCTTGTACAGATCGAATGCTTGCCTATGGTCTTGTTCGACATCCTGTTCTTGGTGGTAGCAGTGACCGAGATACAGCATGGCATCGACATTGCCGTCCTCAACAGCTTGTTCAAATTCTTCCACAGCTCGTGCCCCGTCTCGATCGACTCCGCAGCCTTTGAGATGGCAGTATCCGAGGTAGAATCGAGCTTCGGCAACTCCGCGATTGCTCAGATCCGAGGCGAGCTGGAAGAGCGGCTCGCGCGACAGCTCCGTCTGATCTTGGCAAGCCGAGGCATCGACTACTTGACTCTCATCGGCGTCCGTGCCCTCAAGCAGAGCAAAGTCCATGTCTCCGGGCTCGTCGCTGTCGTCGAAAGGATGGAGCTCCTCGTCGGCCTTCCAGTAGTACCTGGCTGCGAGTAGCGCATCTGCAGCTGTTCCGAACCCGTGCTGGTGGCAGGCCGCCAGATAATACTGGCTCGTTGGCTGTGCATCCAGGGCCAGCTGCGTCGACAAATCAAACAGCCCCCTCTGGGCCTCGTCGTCGAACTGTCTTGCGGCCTTGAGATACAGAGCCAGCGCCCGGTCGGTGTTTCTCTCGGTGCCGTATCCGTGCTCATAGCACGCGGCGAGCTGTCGCTGTCCATGGGGATCTTGCGTCTCTGCCAGCACCCTGGCGAGTTTGAAGAGCGCCTTCTGTGCAGCGGCCGAGTAGCGGTCTGCTGCATCGCGATAGAGTCTCATTGCCGAGTCCGAGTCAGCGACGGTGTCGATGCCGCGTTCGTGGCAGTAGCCCTCAAGATAGGTGCCAAGCAGATTGCCGCTGCTGGAGCAGCGCCTCGATAGCTCAAAGAGCAGAGCTTTGGCTTCGTCATGATCGGCCGTAGCTGCCGACTTGCACCAGCGGAGGGCCTGTTCGAGGTCGGCTTCGATGCCACTGCCGCGCTCGTAGCAACGAGCGAGATGGAAGCTTGCCTCGTGGTGAAGTCGTTCGGCAGCACGGCGATACCACACAACGGCTGCCGTGGGATCCAGAGGTGTACCGAGCCCCGCTTCATGGTACTTGCCCACACTGAACTGGGCATCGACGTGGCCGCGGCGAGCCGCCTTGAGCATCCACTTGTAGGCCTCGGCTGCATTTTGAGACACTCCCACGCCGTCCTCGAAGCACAGCGCGAGTTGGTACTGGGCGCCTGCATGTTCCTTCACGGCCGCATCCGAGAAATGGTTGACGGCCTGAGATAGATCAAGATCCGTTCCAATCGCGCGTCGGTAGCAGAGACCGAGATGGTACTGCCCATCAGTCGAGCCGTTCCTGGTGGCTTTGGTGTAAAAGTCAAAGGCACGCCGGGCATGGACGGGCGAGTTCGCAGCGGCAGCATTGAAGTGTCCCACGATCAGCTCAGAGGCACCGCCGGTTGTGTGCAGGGGCTGTTACCAACACGACGCGGTGTGTGGAATGATTGTGAGCATGGAATGTTGGAATGTAACGATGAGGACGGGGACAACAGCGTCAGAAACCTTCGCCTCGTCAAGATGCAGCACAGCAGAGTCCTTCGACATATCCACAAGCGAAACCGCCGATCGTCTGAGCGCCTTATCGGCCGATTTCGGCCAGATCCTCGCGCATGCACACTCACATGAATCACAATCGGAAACTGCGGCGCATTTGGGGTCCACATTCGCAGAGCGTCGACTGCCTCGGGCATGCGGCTGTCCCAGGCAAACAGCGCATGCGGCATTTTGAAGGAGCGGCTGCCGCACTGAACCCACTGCTTTGCCATTGCATTCCCGACGAGTCTCCACGGCTCTGGCTCGGATTTCTTTGCTGTCGCAGGGGCCTGACTCTGTGCCGTGCGATCGGATTTCACAAACTGCTCGTTCTTCAGGATCCACACGAGATTCTCGTCGTAGTAGCCGCTCGAGAACAGCCGGCGGCCATCCGGGGAGAAAGATAGTCCCCGAATGACGTTTTTGTGGCCCGTCAGGGTTTGCAGCAGGTCTCCGGTTCCGGCGCTCCATAGCTTGATGGTTTTGTCGTCGGCCCCAGACACCACCAGCAGCGAGTCGGGTGAGATGGCGAGGGCGTGGATGGCACCGGTATGGTCGTCGAGGATATGCTTGGGCCGGCCGCTGGCAATGTCGTAGACCTGGATGGTATGGTCGCCGAATCCAGCCGCCATGACTCTCCCTTCGCGGGAAACTGCAATCGCGCCGAGCTCTTCGGGCTGATTCTCGAATACGAACCGGGGCTGTCCCGTCAAGGCGTCCCACACGGTGATTGTTCTGTCGCTTGAGCCGGAGACAATCACGCCACCGTCGACAGAGATGGCTGTGTGTGTGATGCCTTGCTTGCTATCGTTGGCACTCTCTGTTGTCTTGGCATCGATCGTGCTGTCCCAGACTTGGACCGTATAGTCCCACGATCCAGATACGATGAGCTGTCCGTCGGCGGAAAACGCCACGGCTTCGATGCTGTTGGTGTGTCCGGCGAGGGTGCGCTTCAGCCGGCCCGTGGACATATCCCAGACCTTGATCATCTTATCCCACGACCCCGATATGATTGTGCTGCTATCGGGAGACACAGCAACAGAGCAGATGTTCCAGGTATGAGCCTCGAGCTTGTGCCGAACCGCCCCAGAGGAGGCGTCCCAGATCATGATGGTCATGTCGGTCGAGCCGGAGACGATGGCGGCGCCGTCGGGCGAGACAGCGACGGAGCTGACGCTCTGGGTGTGCCCCTTGAGTTTCTTTATGACTCGGTCGGTCGCAACCTCCCAGATCCGCACCGTTTTGTCGTCGGATCCAGATACGATCCTAGTACCGTCGGGAGAAAAGACAGCGGCGAGAACGGCACTCTCGTGGCCAATGAGGACCTTCATCGACTCCCCCGAGGCCGTATTCCATACCTTGATGGTTTTGTCACTCGAGCCCGACAGGATCAAGCGACCGTCATGCGAGCACGCAACCGAGCAAATTGCGTCAGTGTGACCCTCGAGCGTCAGCTTCATCTGACCCGTAATGGCATCCCATATCTTGATGGTGTTGTCGCTCGACCCCGACACAGCCGTCCTGTTGTCGGGCAAGATCGCGACGCTGTTGATGACACCCGAGTGGCCGGTGAGGGTCTGCTTCAGCTGCCCGGTGATCGCGTCCCAGACCATGACCGATTCGTCGCTCGAGCCCGAGAGAATGATTCTGCCGTTGGACGAGATGGCAATCGAGTTGACGACCTTTGTATGTGCGTTCATTTCCATGATGCGAGGATTCCAGTTGGGCGAGGGGCCGGAAGTCACCAGGAATGGAATGCTGCCCTCGAGCTGCGAGGCATATGTCTGATAGATTGCCGTTTCCTTCGGTGTGAATGCATACCCCGAGTTGTACACCTGGGGAGCACTCTTGATGATCGGATCGGCAAACTCGCGGATGAATCGATACGTGTCTGACACCAAGGCCTTGGTTGTTTCATCGACGAGGGCAGGCGGTGCCTTGGCGATCACTCCGCGTAGAGTGGCCAGCTGCTCGACGATCGGCTTGATGACCCGCACTAGAGATCCACACTCGAGCCAGAAGAATACGTGGCTCGACATGAACCGAGTCAGCAGGGCGGGCTTTGCGTTGGCGTTGATGGGGCTGCTGTCGCTAGCAGTTCGGTGGGTGCCGGCAACAGGGCCGCTGAAGCCAGGTCCAATGAGTCTGCGCGACTGGTACTGGGTCCACACCTGCCGAAGGGGACTCGACGTCTTGGCTGCCTCCTCCAGACACCATGTAAAGTGCGTGGCCCAGTGGGCGACGCTGTATCGGAGCGAGGGTGTGATCTTGGCGGCAACTTTGTCCTCGATTTCAGCAGCCTTGTCGTGGAACTCACGAATATTGCAGATGTTAATCACGGGCTCATGAGAGAGGATCACTTCGAGACATCCCTTGGCAAGCGTCATGTGAAATTCACTCGGGACATGGAAGGGCTCGCCCCGGGTGTCTTTGCCGCGCAGGTAGTCGGCCACCGACTTGTGGTTGAATTTGACCTCGGTGTCGTCGGTGCATCCGTTGGAGCCTGGATCAAGAACGAGGAAGAGACTTGCAATACATTCATGGATGATGTTCAGGGCCGTGTCAAGACTGCGGTCGGCAAAGAGGAGCTCGGCAATCATCGTGGGTGTCAGGATAGACTGGGCCGTGGCGATCGCCGAGATCACAGTCAAAAGGTCGGACGGGTGGCACGACTGCGAGTACATCTTGGCAAAGGTCTTTTGGTACAGTCCTTTGAGATCGACGGATAAGGCATTGACCTCCTGGATCATCTCCAGGGTCAGTTGCTTGCCTCGAGCCTCGTACTCGAGCGTGTTGAGAAGGAGGTTGATCCACACAAAGGTCTTGGATCGCTCGTCCGTGCTGGGCTTGCTAGCCCCGGCGACCTCGGCAGCTCCGGAAACACCATTGGCTCTGTTGATCTCATCGATGGCGGTGGCCTCGGTATCTTCGATATAGTCATCAAACTCGATGGTATCGGCAATCTCGAAGGTGTCGCCATGGCCTTCGGGAGGGCGCAGGAGCAGCTCGACAGCCTGGTTTCTGTCCGTATCCGAGAGACTTGGATGCTTGGAGAGCCTGTGCTTGATATAGACCTTTAGATCCGAGATGTTCTCCTCGCTCGATGGCTCAATCGGCTTGGTCGGCACGCCCTTGAAGGCCTCGCTGAGATCGACCTCGGGCCGCGACGTCAGCAGCAGCCTTATGTTGGCTTCGTCCTTCAGCTGAGCGAGTCGCCATGCCAGGAGCGATAGAATTTCGTCTCGGGGATGGCACTCGTCCAGTCCATCGACTACCACGACGATCGCGCCCTTGGGCCGGTACTGGCCAAGCTCAATGAGCGGGTCCTCGATCGTGGTCTTGAACAGTTCCGGGATGCTCATATTGTCAAGGTCCTCCTTGGTGATGGGCCTTGGATTCTGCGACTTGGTCGTGGTGGCAAGTAGACGGCGCCCGATTGGAGCATACCATCGACACAGGCCGTACGCAATCGTGGTCAGAAGGATGCGGGGATTGTTCTTGCGGGTATCGTTGTACTTTAGAAAAAGCGATGTCACCAGTTGATCCTTGCCCAGGAGGATGCTGGCGATCTGGGCAGCAGCAACAGACTTGCCGACACCGGCAATGGCCTTGACCCACAGCACCCTCTCTTTGTGGTCGCCGTTGACCCAGTCGATGGTTTGATCAAACAACCACACTCGTGTACCCTTTACATAGAGACTCTCGAGGGCTTTCTTGTCCTGGTCAAAGTCGATGGGATCGAGGAGAGCACGGAGCTGCGAGTCTTCGTCGGCGGCGAGAAAAATCCGGCCACGGACGTCATACTGTGACTCTTCGCTCGATGCTATCTCGACTCTTGAGACTTGCTGTAGAATCTGTGGGGCGAGTCTGGTCAGTGCCTCCCCATTAACGGCCGACGGAGCCTGGATCCTGAGAATCTCGTCCATGATCTGTCTGATCGTCATGGGCGGATCAATCTCGCCCGTTCTCGAAGGGCTGGCTGTGTGGCAGTGAATCTCTGTCGGAAAGTCTTCGAGATTGGGAAAGTAGTGCCAGTGATGGCTTGGATTGTTCGCGTCCCGGGACCAGAGAAGAATTGGCAACACGGTAACAGGGCGTTTGCTTCCGTAAGACTCGCGGAGACGCATCAGGGCCAGTTCAATCTGTTGACGACGTCGCCCGGGATGGATCGAGTAAGTGTATAAATCCCCGGTCGCGGGATATTGGCATGTCGAAATATCAGAGTGGCAAAAGGGCAGGACGGGCATATAGGCTTATGGAATGCTGCAAGCCCGGGTCTCGGTCCGGCTGTGCAAACAAAAATGTAGCCAGAGGATGCATGCACTCGCCTCGAGGAATTGGTTGTCGGGCTTCTTGTGGGCCTCCTTGGTTCGCTGAAGACCGTTCTCGGACAAGAGCAGGACAATCACTTGCGAGTTAACGAGCCCGTTGCGGAACCCTTGCTCCCAGCTCTTGCCATCGATCAAGCAGCGCTTGTCAAGGTAGGTGTGGATCAAGCGACCGCCGGCGTACTTGAGGACGGGCAAGGATAGACATTGGCAGTCTTGATCATCCTCATTCTTGACAACACTGAGGGTGGAGTGCAGCTCGGTTGCCGCTTCGGACTCGCTGGCCACACGGTAGCTGGGGAGGATTGAAGCAGGGGAATCAGCTTAAAACGAGCCAAGGACAGGGCCACGAGAACGAGAGCGAGAGTACCTGATAAATATATGGTGGGTCTTGAACCCGGCCGCGCATTTCCAGTCGGGGATCACCCAGGGGCTATTACACTTGTGCTCGCCGGTAGCTGTGCCAGGCGGGGTGCAAGTTGCATTTGCGTGTTTGTTGTGGGCTTTGCGGACCCTCTCGATGGCTGAGTCGTCCAGGCCGATGGCCTTGAGTCGATCGTCAGGGAGACCCAGAAGCTGGGGCCGGACCGTCGTCAGCGATGGCAGCAGCAGCGCAAACAGAGAACAGGGAACAGAGAGCAGAGATCGTAGAAGCGACAACCCACCGATTCGATTGTCCGGATGCCCGCTTGTTGCAGCAGCGGACGGTACTGACTGAGGTCATACCGGTCCAAGCGAGCGTCGAGGCTCGGGTCTGCTCCGACAGAGCCAATGTCAGAACAGCGCGTCCATCAAGTGGTGGCCCTGGGCGATGCGCCATGGGCGACGCTTGCGAACCCACCTTGTTCCATGATGCCAGCTACGTATGCTGCACCGGCGCTTGTTGGTCGGCTTGTTTGCTGATCGCGGCTGATGTTGGGCTCAAGGTGGTCTGGCCCAGACTCGCTCGCGCAGGGGGCGTCGTCTCCTGGCGGGCTGGTGGCCCTGAAAGGAAACAGCACGCGTCTGGCGGGTCGATCCTGGATCGAGCGGATCGAGCCGGCGCCGTGCCATTGGCTGGCGGCGGTGATACGTGTGACACGGAGTGGCTGTGCAACCGCCGGTTTGTTGGGTCGACGATTGCGGTGCGGTGCAATTGGAGTGCAATTGGAGTGCAATTGGAGTGCGATGGATTGAATTGAATGCGATCCGGTGGAATGAAATGCCATCGGGTGCAGGACAACGTGATGCGATGTGGCGAGATGCGATGCAATGCAGTGCTTGCCCTGGTGTTGGAATCAACCTCAGCAACAACCTCAGCAACAACTCAGTAACAACCTCAGTAACAACCTCAGTATCAACCTCAGTAACAACCTCAGTATCAACACAGGTATCAACACAGGTATCACAGGTATCAGCATTTGCACCCCAGTTGCTGGTCCTGGCCGGACGACTCGGCAGATAACATCAACCCAGCTGAGCGTATCTCGCGGCCGCCTTTCTATTTCTGGCCCGCTCCAAATACACCTTCCTTCTTGCCCCCCGCTCGCACACGACAGCCGCCCCGCGGTCGTGCCAAACACAGACCGGCGCTGCCGTTCATGGCCATAAATACCTGTGCCCTCCCGTCTGTCTTTCCATCGACCCATCTTGCTCGTCTTTCCAGCGACCGTCTGGATCGACTCTCCATCGACCGGCCTGCCGCTCTACAACCTGCTCGGGCCCTCCATCGACTCCTCCCACCGCTCTGGACAGCACCCCTTCGCAACCCCTTCCGCCCCTCTCTACCGCCGCCGCTGCTGCTGCTGACCGACCCGCCTGTCCGTTTGTCCAGCAATCTCAATCAGCCCAGCATGGTTGCATCTTCCAGAGCATCGTCGTCTCCCAGAGCTGCATCGTCCTCCTCTCCATCCTCCAGACGCACCTTGGCTGTGTCGACGCTGTCGGCCTCGCCCCGGACGCCCAGATCCTCCTCCGTCTCCTCCATCTCCTCCATCTCCTCCATCTCCTCCATCTCCTCCAGCCCGGTGTCGTCGTCGTTCCGCTACCAGTCCGCCGTCCAGACAGCCCGGCAAGCCCGTCTCGGCAACGCCGTACTCGCTTGGCGCTGCGACCAAGAAGCCCTGGGCCAGACCATCTCCAAAAGCCTCCTCCAAGTCTGCCGTTGGCTCGGTGACCAAGGTCCGCCAGACCGTCGTCCTGCCCAAGAAACCCGCTACAGTCCCCGTCTTTCCAAACGAGATCTTTCTTGCAGTCCTCGAGTTCCTGCCCAATGAGCGTCTCTTGGTCCTGCGCTGCATCTCCAAACGCTTCCAGGCCCTCGTCGACCTGATCCTGGCCTACCGTCTCGAGCGCAATCTGATTGACCTCAAGCTTCGTCGGGGCTTGGCCCAGAACCGCTATACCCAGAGCGAGGTCTCCAAGCGCCCGCATCTGCGGCACTACGGCACCTTTCTTCGCAACGTCAACCCGCACAGCATCATCGAGGCCTCGTGGTACACCATGCCGCCTGCCGAGCTCAAGACCATCTGCGAGTGCCTCGTTATCCTGAAGGAGGGCACCGCCCCCGACAACGAGGACCTCACCTCGGTGTCCTGGACAACCACCAAGCGAATCATGGGCCGGTATTCCTTCAAGGCCTGGCTCACCAACATCCGCCTCAACGTCAACCACATTGCCTTTGAGAACGTCAAGCGGGTCGAGCGCATCATCATGCTTGACCCCAACATCACCTACGAGCGGGTCCGCGGTGTCTCCACCACGGGCTACAACCTGCTCATCATCGTCGCCGCCTGTCTCCAGTATTGCTCCATCGCCAAGGATCTCAAGGACCTCGAGAAGGTCATCCAGCGCCTCGATCTCTCGATCGAAAATGCCCGCAGCTTCCTGCGCTGCCTCTACAAGGACAAGCAGCCGAGCTTGGAGTTGCCGCGCTGCGACTCGGCTGCCACGATCGTCGCTCTGGAGGAATCGCAGTAAGCCCAACCATTCGGCCACAAACCATGCCCTTTCAACACCCGTCGAAGCATCGTCATGGTGCTGCCGTGCTGGTGCTGGTGCTGCTCTGCCGATGACTTTGGAGGGATATCACCGCGGCCGAGTTGTTTCTCATGCAGACACTTCCGCGGGAACTGCTGCTGCGTAAGCTCATAGCCAACATCACATCCGAGCCGCTCCCACTTCTCCAAGCCCTCCCATACACCCCTCTCGATCCAGCCCACCCCACTCCTTCCACTGGTCGATCGACCGAATCTCTTTTCGATCCGGTTCTCCGGAACTGCTCCTGCGCAAGTCAATGCGCCACCTTTAAAGTGTCGTTTTCGCCTGTCCGTACCTTTGTATCTATCCATGCCACTGTCGCCCATCTCTAATATGACCGTTCCTGCGTCGGAACATGGTCTCGCCCTCCTCTCGTTTTCATCAGTTTATTCATTCCATCATGATCCTTTCTCTCTCTCCCTTTTCTCCCCTTCCTCTCCTTTTTTTGGTTGATCATCATCTGTCGTCCTCGGTCGGCGACAAGTTCCAATACACCCATTCATATTGAGTGCAGCTTCCTCTCTCGAGGCAACCACGCCAATATATTGTCGATTTTGGACAGCTCCGTCTCAAATGCGGGCATATGACTTTGATAGCGCCGCTGGTGCGATGGCCAGGATAGGTCTTCTCCCCGTTGTCGCCGTTCAGCCCCAGTGAAGCGCCAGCAGCCATCCCGCAAGAATGCCGCCGACATGGCCACCCAGGTCCACATGGCCCTGCTGCACCACAGCATCCCAAAAGATCTGTGCCAAGAGGAAGCCCATCGACTCTTCCTCGCCGAGAGGACTGGCGTGAAATGCCAGCAGAAAGGTTTCCAGGGCCAGGACACATCCGCTGGCTCCGAGAGAGCAGCTCACCGAGCGCGAATATCCTGCTGTCTGATGTCGCAGATGCGTTCGGTAAATCCAGCTGCCGAGCGACGAGAGCACGCAAGCCGCCAGGAACAGGACCCCGAACCGGGACTCGCCGACCATGGAATACACCACCGGGGCGACGTAGACGAACCCGCGCATGTTGTTTGCGAGATGGAATACGTTGCGGTGACTGTAGTTGGACGTCAGCCAGGTGTGCAGGCTGAACGAGTTGGGCGGCGCCGGCACCTGATGGGTAAAGTGGGCCCTCATCCAGGCCTCTGGGCAGAGCTGCCACATGGCAAAGACGACCAAGTTGACCGCCAGGATAACATCGAGGAGTCCGATCCGGCGCAGAAGCGCTGGAATCCATTCGCTTGGAAACCGGATGCGCTCCAGGGCTGCCGAGATCGGCCGGAAGGCATGGATTCGCCATTGGCACCGTGAGCCATGATAGCTCGGCAAGCAAGCACACAAACTGTCCCAGAGTCGGAAGCCTGAGATATTTCCCCGAGGATGTCCGGGGTGGCCGAGAATCAGTTGCTGGTTAGCAGAAGCCTGGGCGACTGATCTGCAGATGCGAGGGGGGGGGGCAGCCAAGCAATCCATCAATATCAGAGCCCTCATCAAGCCTCACCGTTGTAATAGCAGAAGCTTGACATGACATGCACGTCCTGCGGCATCCATTCCACAGACCAGTCCCAGGGCGCCTCGACCGATAAATCGCCCATGCTGAAGGATTCCGGGATCGGGATCCAAAAGCCTAGCAGCCCGAGATACCATCGGGCATCGGTTGCGATCCAGTCGGGCCTGCTGCCGGGATTCGTCAGTTGCTCATCGTCGCCATCGGACGAAGCCAGCCCCAGACGGCCCAGGAATGACGACCAGTGACCCCGCAGGGTATGGAGGGAAGCGATGCGTCTGGTTCGGTAGACGATGCCGACAGCAAAGACACCGTAGTCTTGATAGTCGGTGTGGATGTGGGTCGGCTCGGTCGAGGGCAGCGTCCAGCCGCCGAAGCGCTCCCGCAGCCCGCCGATAAAGTCGAATCCGAGGGCACTGAGATGGGCCTGCATCTCGTCCAGGGATGGGTCTTGGTTCAGAATGCTGGGCTCTGGGCTCTCCTGCGCCTTTTCAGCCAAGGAGGATGGCGACGGCGTCGTAATGTAGGCTACAGCCAGCAGCCCAACGATCAGCAACACGATGTGTCGCCAGGTCCATGCGGGCCGATGGGCAGCTGGAGTTGAGGGGACTGGCATCGGAGGCCACAGTCGGTCCGGTGGTATGGAGTGGGGAGCGATGTGGGCGATCAGATCAATGCAAACCTGGCCAGAGAAGCACGGCGACGGCCGCCCATCCAAAGAGCGGACCATCCGACCGACCCAATCATGCAAGACCAAGGCTGTTTCGCCGAGGTCAATGGTGGCGAGCCGGCGAATATATCACTGCCCTAAGCAACTGCATGGCATGCAGCGATGGCTCCAGGCCTCAGGACATCACAATCGCGGTTCATGAGCGAGCTCTGTTCCAACAGCGCGAGCGTCACAGCAGAGCGAACAGACGGCGCCATGAAACTGAACAACACCAAACAAGCACCATGCCAGGTCGGGCAATGTGGCATGCAGCGTTGGGACGTACTGATCCCAAATGCAATTCGGGGTCGACGCCTGGTGCACCAGCAGCGGGCTCGTTTCCTGAACCCCCGACATGCACTCCCGTCCCGTCGCTCAGCGCTTGCCGACCTTCTTCTTGGCCTTGTCTTTGTCCTGCATGGCCATATCGTCTCCGCCAGCCTCGGCAATCAGCTCTGCCGCCCGTTGTGCCTCGAGGGCCAGCTTGCGAGCCATCGCATCCTCCATCTCCTTGATGATCCGCTGGCGATAGCTGTCCCTGCGCTTGACATCGAGGTCTCTGTAGTAGTCGACCTCCTTCTGCTTCTCGTCCACTTTGTCGATCTGCAGCTGTTTCCACCGGGCCCGGTACTCCTTGCCCTCGGCTCGCTGCCGACGGACTTCGTCGTGTATCTTCTCAAAGGCGCTCCACTTCTGCTGCCGCGCCTGCTCCCGCTGCTCCAAATCCTCGGGCGTGAGAACGTGCACCGGGGTTGCTGTTGCTGGCAGCGTTGACAGTCCTGTCCATCCGCTCTCGGCTGTTATCAGTCGTCCGACGCCCAGAGTTCCGGCTGTTCCGATGGACTCGTCGGCGGTTTCCTCGGTGAAGGACTGAATGGTCAGCGGACGACCGGTCGGCGTCGACTTTGTCGTCGTGGACTTGTTGGACTTGAAGACGCTCATGCCCCGGCTCAGGGTCTCGGTCGATTTGAGATAGGATTCGCGGGCCTCGCGGGCCTTGGCGGCTCGTCCGGGCTGGGCAGCTTCCCACGAGTCCTTGATGGCTTTGTACCGGTCCTCCTTCTCGGTATCCTTGACGACAACGAGCGAGCCTGGATCGGCGGTGATCAGCCGCAGCTTCCAGGCCGGCTCATTGGTCTGCGGTTTGTCCTCGACCACTGTTGTGGTCGCAGCCGTTGCGCTGGCCGGGGTGGTGGACTTTTTCTTCTTGGCGCTGGCAACTTTGGCCCCCCGAGACGGCGGCCGGTTAGCATCTCCTGGTACGGTCGAGGCCACCGATACAAATTTGGTAAACTCCATCTGCTCGACGCTGCCCTGCACAATGTACTTTGGCTTTTTGGACTGCGTGGGGGTGTTCCGATCAAGGGAGATACGCCGTTGCGCATGCATTGGGCGTGGTTGGTGACGGCAGGATGATGAAGGTGAGGATGCGTGACGGTGAGCCGAGGAGGAATATGCGCGGAGGAATATGCGCCGATGCACCAGTAGACTCCACTGGTTCATGCGGGGGCAGTCGCCTGGGTCCATCACTCCTCAACTGCTTGTGTCCTGCTCGTGGTTCCCTCCTCGGCACTCTTGGGCAGCTCATGGGATTCACACACACAGGTGATCATGTCTACAAGCACATGTCGCCCGCTCCATCTGAACTAAACCCAATACTGACAACTCCCCTTGCTCTCCATCAAGACCCCACCATCATCCTCCCTCCCCGCAGCTCACCTGAGACGAAGCTGAGCCCGGGGCTGACTTGGATTCTTTCGAGGCCGAGTCCGGAGGCCCCTGGACCATATTGATCGCATAGACGGTCGTGATGCCTCGTCCCTTGGACGACTGGATCTCGACGTCGTTCTCAAAGATCTGAAGTTTGATCCACACCAGCGGAAAGGCGAATGTGAGCTGCATAGAGACGCAGTTCTCAGGGCAGTCCTTGACCTTGACGACAAACCTGGGTGTCGCACCGAGTCAGAGCAAGAACGAGGCCGTGGTCTGTCGATGAGTGTCGCTGCAGCCTGGAGCATCGGGACCTTGTCGCATCGATACCCCGCTGTTCCTCAACAATCGACCAAATCGCCCTCACCGTCATCACGCTCACGAAAGTCCCCGAGCTGCTTGTACTCCTCACCGGAACAGAATATTGTGCTTGTTTGGCACGTAAATGTCATCGAAATCCTGGATGCTTGGCTTGGTAAAGATCTCGAGCGGCTTCTCGGGTGAGAACAGCGTGTTGGGTTCAAACACGAGCCGCAGCTTCCACTTTCCGGCCGGGCGTGCTACAGGCGTGCGGCAATCAGCCAGAAGTGTGTATCCGGACTAAAGTTGCGGACATGGTGAAGGGTACGCAGAGTGTTAAAGAGCACGCACCGAGATCGCCTCTGGGTCGGCTCGCAGTCACAGAGACACCTCGTCCCCTCCTCAGTTGCCCATGGCTGTCGTCGACTATAGTAGCGGGGGGGGGCACAAGAACACCACATCAAAGTGCGGTGATGCAGGCGAGTCGGACGGGCACCTTGTTTGGTGTGTAGATTCTTGGGTGCAGGTTGTAGAAAATTTCTGGAATCAGCTTCCCGGTGTCATTGTCAAACATGCGCAGGGATGTGAGGGATTGTATCGAGTCTGGAGTGTAGATGTTGGCCGCCAGATAGGTTGGTTCGTTGAAGTGCAGTGCTTGTCTAGATATTGAAAGCAGACGATAAATCAGTACCGCAAGCCCGGTAAGTCGGCGGGTGGACTGTGATACGCCGTAGTCTCGCCGAGGACAGTCAGAGATCGGAAGTGGCAGCGCAGCTGATGTGGCTTACTTGAAGAGCAGGAACCACGATCCCACACCCTGCGCCGCGAACTGATCATCGACATCCTTGACCGACAGATTCAGCCGCTCCGTGAGGTACTTTGCTTCGTCTTCCAGAGAAAAGTCCTCTCGCGACAGGAACGATATGAAGAAGGTGGTCGGGCAGTCGACAACAAAGCGGTATGCAGTTATGCTGGAGATGTGGAGACGCTGGTAAGCGTGTGATCCATAAGACTCGGCGGTGCTGCTGTGTGCACGAGGTCCGTGGATGCAGGGCATGCTCAGACGCCCGCAAGCAAACGGGCCGCCTCCCCATGACCAGTGTGCGGACATGCCCAGATGAGTCAGGCTCGCTCAATGCTCTCGAACATCACGGCTTCATCGGTCACAGGCAGTCTTTGGCTCAATGCCGTCAATGCCGCTGTGCCCGTCTACCTTACTGCCTCTGAGACAACTCGGCACACTCAAGACTACCTCGCCGTCCTGGCAAACCTACTCTGCTGGCAGTCGAACATATGTCGCCAAGCAGGCGTTTGTAGACAGTCTCACGGTTGGCTTCTTTCTGTCCGATAGCTTCCAGTCATACTGCTCGAGGGTGATGCTCGATCCCGACGGCATGCTCTCGTTCTTGATCTTGCCGTACGTCGAGATGCACATGTACACCGCGGCTTCTCGGCTGGGATCCGGAAGATCTGCAGAGACATGAAGAACGCATGGGCCAGGATGTGTGGTTGGCGAGTAGGCCGCGCCCGATTAGGAGTGGACAACAGTACCGATGATGGGACCACAAGGCGTTGCAATGTTGGGAAGATGGCGGCGAGCGATTGGGGAGTGAAGAGATAAGCAAGTGATTGGATTACATAGTATTGGAGGGATGCGCAGGTTTTCGTTGGCCTTGCTTGCATCGGGGATCGAGTGCCAGGTCCGGACACACTTGAAAGTCGCTTGGTTGTGGTAGATGGTCACGCATCTGGAGCCGGTATAAGAGGCAGGACAGAGATGCTGGTCAGCTTCCGCTGTTGAGGCGTGCGCCGGAACAGATCGGGGGTGTTTGCAGCCTGCATACCGAAATATCCTTATAAAGTCTGTGCCGGTCATCCAGCAATCGTTGTTGTCAGACCAGCCGCTTTCTTCCTCGTTGCCGGGCTTGCTCTTGAGCTCCATAGTTCTCCCGCGCAGTCTCGGGCATCTGGATGCTCAAGGCCATGGCGAAGAGTGGCAGTGTGCGGCAGTAGAGTACAGCGGCGGCGCAGGCGTTGTAAGTCGGAGAGAGGGGGACGGACGACAAGCCTCGAGCCTGCCGAGACCAAGGCATATTGGTATGCAGCGACACCTTACCCGCAAGAAAAGTAGCCTCGCACTCGCACAATCTTGGTGGACTGCAGGAGATCGACCGATTCTTTCCCAGTGACGGCGATCGGTGTGGTCTCGCGCAGCTCCATGACCCGAAAACTAAACGCGATTGTGTTGATGTCGATTTTGTCGGTGGGCTCCTGGAAGAATCGGCGCAGTCGATTTCAGTGCATGTGCGAAGCCTTGACGACTGCTATGCATGTCACACCACGGATGCAGGTTTGATCCAGCATCCACAGCTCACGCACCTCGCCGTCTCGATAGGCCATGATGACCGAATAGGGAACTTGGCGCGGCGTGTTGGCTCTTGCATTGGCCGAGGCGATGGCGCTCCGATCGGCGGCCTTCTCCTTCTGTGCCGCGGGTTGCATCGCAGTGGCTCCGGCGCCAGGCTTGCCGGCGGTCGAGACGGGACCGTTGCCCTGCATCGATTTTGTGTTCAGGTTCAGGAGCGAAGTCCAGAACCCGGCAGACTTTTGCTGGCTGACAAGGCGCTCCGGAATCCATCCCTTGAGGGTGTAGAAGATGTCAAAGTCGCCGCACTCGGGCTCACCGTCGATCTCTTTGTAGCTGGAGCAGAGACAAGAGGCAGCCGCTCCGATTCAGTCGCTCCGATTCAGTCGCTCTGATTCAGTCTCGTGAGCGTTGAACCCCTCTCGGCACCGGGACTCATGCTCCCACCAACACCGGCGCGTTTCCCACGAACCTGAGAGCGGCCACCTTGACGACCGCCTTCGAGAGCAGCAGCGGCCACAGCTCGTTCACCGCTGGACTCGACATCAGAAGCGGGCGGCCATCCGAGTCCAGCGGAATTCGATCATCGACCGTGATCTTGCGCCACGAGCCCAGCCAGAAGAGCTTGACGATGTACTTGCCCGATGCGTTATACACCGGGAGGCCGTCTTTGCCCTTGGGGAAGATCTGTTCCCAGGGCGCGAACTCATCCGGGAGCGAGGCGGCCTTGAAGGACTTGCTCTGGTCGAAGAGGTAGTGGATGGTGGCCACCATCTGCCGCATCAGCTCGGAGGACATCAGATGCCGGTTTGCCTGGAATAGCTTGCTGGTTCCGGAAAGGTTCTCCTGCTCGGGCGAGAACTCGGTGGGCAAGGCTTCGTCTTCGGGCGGCAGCGCCTCTTCGGTCGAGACGACGGGCGAGGGCTGCAACGGCGATGTGATCGAGTCGGAGCGGTTGGCAACGAGGGTGCTCTGCGGGTCCGAGTTGGTGGTGGAAAGATCGGTCGGGTTGGGCGCCCCCTCTTCGAGTGCCTCGGGACCATCGCCTTCGAGGGCCTCCACGCCGCTGTCCTGCGACGACGGCTGCTCAGAGTCGGTCGGCATCGAGCCATCTTCGCGTGCTGTTCGCTCGCGAGCGCTGGCGATCCTCTGGGGACGGACCTGGCTGATGCCACTCAGACCATTGCTGCCCTGGCTGTTTGGCGTCATGGACATGAATATGTCCTCGAGCATGGCGGTGGGCTGGATGGCGATGGGCGCAAGGCCGTCGCCGATGAACTCGATCGGCCGCTTGTAAGAATCCAAGAGTGGGCGCAGACTCCGGGGCAGGCAGAGCAGGCCCTCAGGGTCTTCAAAGACGTGTTTGGTACTCCACTTTTCCGAGTTTACCTCGCTATCGGACCACTCTGGCCAGATCACGACGGGCGGCTCGACTTCCTCGACGGCGCCACCGGCATTGGCCGCGGCCGCTCCCTGCGGCTGGGTTGTCTGGCCAGCGGGGGGATTGACGGACGGCGCCCGTTTCTTGCTGCCGGATTTCTCAAGGCGGTCCTTGGAGTTGGAGCCGGCCTTTTTCATGACGGAGACTCAGGCCCAAGTATCTGAGGGAGGGAGGGGAGGAGGAGCGGGCGAGTGCTGATGGAGGTTGATTGCGAACGATGATGGACAAAATTGCGGCGATTGATCGGCGGATGAGACTGGGATGTGCGTGCGATTGGAGGCGGCAGGAGTACTGCTGGCCTTTGCGAGCCGATTGGCAAAAGTTCGCGCCAGATTCCGATATTGATTCCCGGCTCTGCGCGCACCAGGCGGCGACTTTCCCACATTGAAACGGGGCACCTCAGCCATGGATGCCTTGCGGATTGTGTAGATTGAATAATGCCGATCGATTTGACCCTGCCGCGTGAATGGACGGGGATACTGTGAAGCGCATCGAATGACATGATAGGACATGGTGAGCAAGATAGAGTGTGATATGGTGTGTGATATGATAGGACATGGTGTGAATGATAGGACATGGTGTGATATGATAGGACATGGTGTGATATGGCATGGCCTGCAATTCGATATGACCAGCCACGGCATGCCACCCGCCCGCTGGCGCAGTGCTTGTTCGCACTGAATTGTATTCCATAGCATTCCATAGCACTCCATAGCACCGAAGTGCACCCCACTCCATTGGCAATCCTCGGCGCCCGCGTCCGTCCTGGCTTCGTACTGTGTTTGCAAACAAATCCCTGCCATCCCGCGGCTGCTCTGTCTTTGATCTCGCAACGACGACAACGACGACGACAACGAACAACAACAGCAACGATAGCAAGCATCCGCAACAAGCATCCGCAACAAGCATCCGCAACAAGCATCCGCAACAAGCGTCCGCGGCAAATATCGCCATTCCGCTGCAGCGCATCTCCCCGACAAGTCCTCTTCGGCTCCAGCGCCCCGTCCTGTGTCCTTATCCTCGGCGCTTTCGGTCCTTTGGCCGTTCGTCGCAGCCAAGGTCCTTGCTCATTCTGCCCGGACCCGGCCCAGTGCCATCTCGCTGCCCCGTTGGCCATATTTTGTTTTTTCGCCCCCCCCCGGCCCTCTTCGTCACCGAGTCTCTCCCTCCTTTCCGCACACCCCCCGGGCTTGCTCGCTCGGCTCGTCGTCCGCTCATTCGGTTCTTTCCAGGCTTGTGTCGATAGACGTTTGTTCCTGTCTCTGCCTTCCGTCCCTGCATTCTTGCGCTTTGCCCTTCTCCGTCTCTGCTCTCCATGATTGCTCTTCCCTCAGACCAGCCACGGGACTCCCTGTCGATCGAGCCGTCTTACAGCCGGGTCGCCGTCTTGGTGATTCCCGACCTGGTGACCGCCCATATCTATGAGCATCTCCAGGCCTTCTTGGCCTTGGTCCCCGGCGCCTCGGAGCTGGCGGTCTTGCTGGCGGCCTTTGCTGTCTTTCTCAAGCGATACAGCAGCCAGAGCACCCTCTCGATCGGCACCATCTTCCGCGACAAGTTCCAGTCCGACCCTGCCAAGCGGCAGTCTCCCTTTGACTTGCTGCTACAGGTCAATCCCTCCGACACCCTCACCGACCTCTCGCTCGAAACCCAAAAGGCCATCGATGCCGCCGAAGACTCGCTCAAGTACCAGACCGCCTTTGTCAACCACACCCCAACCCAGGTGATGCTGTGGCTCGAGGACCCCGACGAGACCGTCACCAACGGCGTCCCTGGCATCCCTCCGATCTCGATCGCCTTTCCGCCTTGCGAGATCTTGCTCCAGGTCAATCCTGCTGCCGGCCGCGCCATCGTGCTCTACGACATGTGGCTCTACAAGGAAACCACCGTCTCGCGCATGATGGCCCACTTCCGCAACGTTCTCGACCACTGCCTGCGATTTCCGGTCGATACCCTCCTGGCACGCATCCCCATGCTCTCCGACGAGGAGCACCAGCAGCAGATTATCGAATGGAACACCCGTTCCATCGACCCGTCTCTGCCCCTGAACAAGTGTCTGCACACCCTCTTTGAGGAGACGGCTCGACAATATGCCCAGGAGACTGCCCTGGTCGATCCCCGGGGAATCCGCACCAGCTACGCTGGCCTCAACCAGGCATCCAACCGGCTGGCTCGGTATCTGCGACAGCTTGGCGTCCGGCCGGGCGGCGCCGTCATCGTCTCGGTTCCACGTTCGGCCAACTTTGTGGGTGCCATCCTGGCCGTCCTCAAGGCCGGGGCCTCGTACATCCCCGTCGACGATGGCCAGCTCCGCACCTCGCTGGACTACTTGCGGCTGCTCACCAAGGACGCCTCGCCAGCCGCCGTCATTGCCGACCCAGCCACCTCTCGGCTGTGGCTATCCTTGAACCTGGGCTGCCCCTTGGTTACCATTGAATCGCTTGCCTCGTCTCTGTGGCAAGAGTTCGACGACAGCAACCTGAACCTCACGCTGCCGTCCTCTGGTCGTGCCTACGAGGTGTATTCCTCCTATGGCGACGTCAAGGCCTCGTCCATCACGCACGCCAACATCGGCAACATGGCCTTCTGGCATCGTTCGCTCACCTCGCTGACGCGCAGCGACCGTGTGGCCTTTCTCAACTCGGTCTCCTCGAGCCTGAGCGTCAGCGCCATCTGGTGCACCATCCTGTTTGGTGCCACCCTCGTCTGCTTTGACGAGGCCTCCAAAATCTCGGTCGACAGCATCATCGGGATGTGTGTGCGCGAAAAGGTCACCATCATGCACATCTCCACGCCGCTCTGGCGCAATTACAGCCACGGCGACTGGTCCAAGACCAGCCTCCGGTTTACTCTCGTCAATGGCGATCTCCTCAAGATCGGCCCCTCCAAGCGATTCTCGGGCCGCCTCGTCAACACCTTTGGCCCGAGCGAGGTTTCGGTCTTTTCGCTTTACCACGTCGTTGGACCCGAGGAGGAGCGACCTCCGCTCGGCCGGCCGATCACCAACACCGCGGCCTTCATCCTCGACGACGATCTCGAGCCGGTGCCGATCGGGGCCCCGGGTGAGCTCTATCTCAGTGGCATGAACGTTGGCCTGGGCTACCGCAACCGACCTTCGCTCACTGCAGCGCGGTTCATTCGCAATCCATTCACCGTCGTGGGCAGTGCACAGATGTTCCGCACGGGCATCATTGCCAGCTACAGCTCGCTCGGCGAGATCCAATACATCGAGAACAGCAAGCGGCGCTCCACAAGCAGCCACCTCCGCATCAAACCCGAGGAGATTTCCAGCTGCATCAAGGCCCTCCCCGGCGTCCAGGACTGCCTGGTTCAATTCGAGCGACTGCGGGGACTCGGCCACGAGTTGTGTGCCTATGTGGCTATCCCCGACAACCAGTTTGGTGAAGAGCGTGTGCGCCAGTACCTGTCGCAACGGCTCCCGAGCTTCAAGATCCCTGCCAAGATCTTCTGCTCGCTTGAGATCCCGTATGCGATCCGCGACCGTGCCGACCCGATCGAAGTGCCCTCCGATTCGGACTCTGCCGGCCCGTCGCCACTGCAAATCACCAGCAACCCGGGTTTGCTTGCCGGCGGCGACCGTCGAGTGCCTGGCCAGGAGGCCACAGAGCCCTTCCGCCGCACCTCGTCGCTGGAGCACTTTGTCGGTCGTGGCGGCGATCGCTCCTCGGGTCCCGGCATCTCACGCAACCTGCACCAGGCCCAGGAGCCTCGAGCGGCCGAACAGCGCGAGCGGCTCTCGTTGCAGAGCAACTCCACAGTGTCGTCATCTTCGCCTTCATTCTCGGGAATCTTTTCGGCTCCCCGGAAGCGAGTGGTCTCGGAGCCATCGTTTGGAAGCCTCCTCCAGCCGGCTTACGATTCATCGGATCCGCAGCGCTCGTACCCATGCTCCCGATCCCAATCGGAGCTGGCCGCCTGGCAGATTCAGCACAAGCATGCTTCCGTCGGCAACTTCCCCGTTGCGATCGAGGTTGAGGGCAAGCTGGACGAGCGTGCCCTTGCCCTGAGCATCGATCTGATCAGCCGCCGGCACTTGATCCTTCGCACCCTGTATGGACTCCAAGCCAATGGTGCGACATCTGTGAGTCAGCGGGTGCAGAATGATGGCGTCATTCCGCTGGATCACCTCACACTGCCTTCCAGTGCCGCATTCGAAGATCTGTCAGCCAACGAGACCGTGGGCCCCAGAATGTGGCAGCCGTTTGACCTCGAGCGCGAGTTCCCGATCCGATTGAGCGTAATCGAGTTTGAGGGCAATGCAACACAGCGGCTCTTGTTGATTGTGACCCATCGGGTGGTTACAGGTTCGTCGTCGGCGATGTTTTGTCCGAAGAGATGCGCAGAGACGATGATGTTCAGGGCGTTTGGTGGCTGAGCGAATCGGAGCTGTGTTTTCGCCTTGTTGGGAAGTGTCGTCGTTGTGTTTGCTAACCAGAGCTGTTATTCAATTGGCCACTGGCGATTCCTTGGTGAATACTCCCCTTGACCAATGGGTCGTTGTCCATGCAACCGGCAATCTCCGACACCACTCGACACCACCCGACACCACTCGACACTTCACGACACGCAACACTCGACTCATCCGCGATGCGTATACTCCCAACCCAACGCCCAGACAAATGGTCGGTTCGTCTGCTGATGGAGGAGCTCTTTGAGTGCTACATCGAAGTCTCCAAGAACCCCGCCTTCTCTCCGCCCTCACCCGAGTGCCAATACATCGATATGGCTGTCTGGGAGCAGCAGTTCCTGGAGACCCCCGAGGCCCACAAGCAGCTGTCGTTTTGGCACGATCGACTCAAGAATATTCACAGTCGCATGGATATCCCGACGGACTTTGCTCGGTATGTGTCTCCCCCCCCCCACTGATTCGTCGGCCTCTCTGTTAGCAAAGCTCTGCAGGCCGCTGTGGCGAGCCAAGAACTCGCACTGGTGGTGAAGCGGCGGGGAGGGGGAAGGCTTTCTGTCCCCTGACAGCCTTGCTCGCTCACACCTCTGCCCTGCCTCGCGCAATTTGAACGCTACCCTCGCCTGCAACCCGTAGACCCGCGAAGCCCTCGTACAAGACCGCCACGCACTGGTTCGAGCTCGAGTACACCTTGGTCGAGTCCGTGCGTGCCTTCTCGCGCGACTGGAACGTCAGCGTCGAGCAGATCTGCTTCACGGCGATCTGCTGTCTCCTGCATCTATGGACGGGCGGTCGTTCGGACGTCGTGGTGACGCGCGAAGTGACGAACCGCCGCATTCTCAAATTCTCCGGGGCCATAGGACGCTTTGCAAACTATGTGAGTTGAGGCGACCCGAGCTACCGCAGAGGCACGAGGGTCAGGTCTTGGACAGAGGACTTGACAGTGACAGAGTACAGAGTTCGGAGTGCTGAGTCGTTCCGCTGCAGGTTCTCGACGTCGTCAACTTCAACAGCCAGTCGACCTTCAACAGCGTCCTGGATTTCGTTCGCAATCTATACCTCGAAGATGCGGTTCACCAGGAAGTGCCTCTTCCTGCGACTCTGGACCATATCCGCAAAAACGGGAACGCCGAGCCGCCTGTCCCGCAGATTCTGTTTACTTACATCGTAAGTACAGCCGTGGCTGCTCTCGATTGCACGCCTCTGCTCAGTTTGCAAATGCGGCTGTAGTAGGCACATCTGTGGTGACCATGGCGACACGTCCTTGCATGTGACTGACTGCCGCTGCCTCTGTTCTTGTTTTTTTGGCTCGGGGTTTCCTCCCCTTCCTCATCAGAACTCTCGTCGATACGAAGCCCAGCGCATTGGTGGCAGTGGTGGTGTATCCGAGCTCGGTATTCGCCGCCTGCCGATCCGCGAAACAGTCGAGTCCATGTTTGACCTGGCATTCTTGTTCGAGAAGGGCCACGAAGGCAAGCTCATTGGCTCGATCGAGTACCAAGTCGAGCTCTGGGACGCCTCCACGATCCGCGATCTGGTGCAAGACTTGGCTCTGGTTCTGGAGACCACGGTGATGGAGCCGATTGTACGAGTCAACGCGCTGCCAATGTCGCTCGTCGACAGCCGCATCAGCGCTGGCGACAACGAAGAAAGCGGCGCCGCTGCGTCCACGGACGATCGACCCGGGCAGTTGGATTCAGAGATTAGCATCGGCATGGCCAGGCTCGGGCTGTCGAAGCGGGCAGCAGGCGTCTTTGCCGAGCCACACCGCAGCCGCTCCGTTCGGCATAGCACCGTCCCGTTGGGCTTGGCGCCAGCGCCGGCGGTGGTGGAAGAAGTCTCGCCAAAGTCCTCGAGCGGCCAAGCTGGAGAGCGCAACTCGACGGGATCGCTCAACATTGTCGATCAAGTGATGCGCATGTCCGTGTGGTCGTTGGGCGGATACGAGTCCGTGCCGGACGACTCGAGTTTGTTCCGAGGATCAAGCCGCCACGGGCGCGATTCGATGCGGTCGCTGAGGACCGACCGGTCGCAGTCGATCAATTCTATTTTCTCGATCCGGTCCGGTGGCCGACAGAGCTTCATTCCCCCCCGCACGCTTTCACGAGTCGGATCGGAAAGCGAAAGCGGGTCGAACAACTGGCGCAGCAGCGTCGGGAACACTGGCAGCTCGAGCGACGTTGGCGCGGCATACTCGAACTCGTCGACATGGCGCAAGGACAGCGCGGCGCCAACGATCCCCGACGCCTTGGAGCTGCTGGCCCTGCTGAAGCAGGCACTCGATGAAAGCGACCTGCGTCTGCAGGACGACTTTTGGGAGAGCGGCGGCGACCTGAGCTCGGCCCGCGAGCTTTGCGACGAGGTCAAGAAGCGGTACCGGGTCCGGCTGACGGTGGACGATCTCGCGACGATGGAAAGCTGCCGCGACATTGTCCAGTTCGTACAGGCGGCGATGAAGAAGCAAGGATTCAGCAGCCGGCCCAGGTCTGGCGAAGCCAAGACGGTATCGTCCTTTTCATCGGGCTCGTCGACTCCGTCGTCGGTGTCGCCGGCCACGCCGTCGTATCTCCGGGGCTCTGGCCTGATCTCGCCTACGATTGCCGAGGAGGCCACACGAGGTCGTGCGGGCGACCCGTCGGCAGTGCTGTTTTCCAGTGCCGATCTGGATCTGACGGGGGTGCAAGCCCAGACCGGCGACGGCCCGGCGGCGGATCGCTGGAGCATCAGCGCTACCGTCTCGGAGAAGACCGAGCAGTACACCAAGTACATGAGCCAAGCGCAGGAAGTCGGGGAGGAGGAATACAACAAGCTGACGATGCCGGTGCCTGGACATCCGGAGTGGCGCAAGGTGGATCGAAACGACGGGCTGATCTACTACTTCAACATCAAGACCCACGAGACAAGCTGGGAGCCGCCCGGCGGCAGCGCTGCCCCGAGCCAAAAGCCGGCCGGCGAGAGCCCCGATGCCGACCCGCGCTCTGGCGGCCTGTCTGCACTCCGGATGACCTTTGGAACCAAGTGAGCCCACCAGCCGGTCCTGGGGGACGGCGGGTTGCAGGGCCGGTGTGGCGCCTTTTGTTGGACTGGGCTGGACTGGAGCAGGATCTCTGCACCGTCAAGTTGTTTGCTTGTCGTTTGACATGCCAGGTGTATATTTCCGCTGTACGAATAGCGAGCTGTGCTGCAGCGTTTCCAGAATGAAATGGGACACTCCCGTTTTTAACCAGGACTGTGTTTTATATGGAACCTGAATACACCCACCCACTCATCGCATTCATGGCCAAGCAAGTATGTCCAAAGAGACCGAAGTGGTGATTGCCTTTGGGAATGCCTCCTGGAAACTGGGGGAGGGATCCCATGGCTTACCCGCTGGGCCTACGGAAGTTCGGCAGGCTGCAGGCCTCTGAAGCCAGGAAGGAACTGCCCCGTTTTTTGGATAGACTGTAATAGTGGGCTGTCCACACCAAGCTGATGCCAGGGCTGATATCGGGGGGGGGCGGTGGTGCGTCCGTCCAGCCAATCGATCCAGGGCCAGGGGTCGTTCTGGGCGTGACGCGTCCAGGGGCAGGTCACGGGACAGAGGGCGGATTTGGGGTGCGCAGTCGCAGCACAAGGCCAAGCGAGGCCGCGCCGAGAGAAGCCGAGAGAAGCCGAGAAGACACGACGAGACACAGCGAGAGAGGGCGAGAGAGCCTTTGGTGCGCAGCGGCGGCGCGTGACCTGTCCGGCTGATTCGACGCATTGCGCAGCACTGCTTGCGGCTGTGTGACGCGGGCTGACGGCGCTTGCGCAATGCGTCATGCTGTTTGGGCGGCCGTGGGTTGGGGTGCGTTGGGGGGTGTGGGAAGTCGACTGGCGAGGCGAGTGCGATGGTGCGAGCGGTCGATCGTCTGATGCAATGCGATGCAATGCGATGCAATGCGATGCGATGGTGGCGGGGTTTCTGTCGTTAGCGAGGATGTCGCTTGGGTGGATGTCGCTGGTACGATTCGCGGTATCAACTCGCTGCGAGCGATATCAACTCGTTCCGCCATTGACACACCAGCGATATTCGGTGACTTTCTATTGATACTTTCTATTGATACTCGTCACTGATACTCGTCACTGATACCAGTGATACTCGCCATTGATACCAGTGATACTCGCCACTGATACTCGCCATTGATACTCGCCCGGAGCGGGACAGCAGCCGCAGCCCATGTCCGTCTGGCGCCTTGCCATGCGTGGTCATCTGCCCGCACCGTCCTGCGACTGTCTTTGCCGTCGGTATCCGCTCGCCCTCCCACCCCGCATCTCTTCCCCGCATCTCTCTCCCGCATCTTGCTCCCCGTCTTCGATCACGTCCTCTTTCGCCTGTGCTCTTCCTCGTCCAGCATTGCTTCCTGTCGATCCGACTCGTGATCCCCCCCCCCTATCGACAACTGCAACCTCCTGTCCATAGTCTCCGTTGGTTGAACTTACGGTGTGTGTCCTCGTCCTTCAGCCTTCCTATTGCAGCTTGCGCCGACTCGCTTGCATGTCGCCTCTGCTCTGTCTTTCGTCGCTGACCCTCTCCATCCCCGACTCCTGCAGCCCATCTCCCCCCATCGCATCTTCGCTCTCGCCTCCACCACCGCCCCCCATCCCCACCGGCCATGCCACCCGTGATCCAACATGTAGCCAGCGCAAAGCACCATTCTGTTCACTCTGTCTCCTCTTCCCGCCCCATCGCGGATCCATCGCCTGGGCTGCAGCCCAATCTCCAGTCCTCGCGCAAGAAGCGTTCTGCCCAGGTTCTCTCCAGCGGCCTGGAGAGCGCCGTCGCCCACCTCAGCCTTGCCGAGCCGACCCCTGCCTGGCCTGACCGTGGCGATCATAACGGCCACGCATTGGCTCCACCCGCCGCACATGTCCCTGTCTCAAGCCCCGCCGATTCTCCAGAGCGGGGTGCTGTGCCTTCCAAAGAGTCTCCTCCCCACAAGCGCTATCGCCGCGACACATCGCCAAAGGCCGCCGTCTGGGTCTCGATCCCGAGCGCAACTAACCTGCGCCTGACCGACTCCAGGCCCGAGACCATTCAGGAGATGTGCTCTCACTTGGACAAGTGGATGAAGAAGCTCGAGAAGTGCCTCAAAGACGGTGGGTGTCGTTCATGTGCTGCGTGCGCGGGGTCATGGCGCCACGCGAGCGATGCGGATCGGCCCTGCTGGGGACTGCATTGGCTGGGACCTGTCGACCGGCTTTGATGCCTCGATGCCGCTGGCTCCTCCGCATGTCGGGTCGCCGCATTCCCCGCTCGTTCTTGCGATGTGAATCGTGGAGGCTATACTCTCCAGCCACGCTGCTGTTATCGACCACTCTAACTCCGTCGCAATCCTCTCTTCGTTCTCTCTGCCGCACATGCCGCCTCCTCCTCCGATACCCGACAACTGGTATGCCATCTTACCCTGCCTTAATGTCCATGCGGGTTTGTCCCTCTCCCCTCGATTTGATACGAACCCTGTGTCGCTCGGCTGTGTGTGTTGTGCCTGTTTTCTTTGGCGGTGTCGTCGCCCTCCTTGCCACAATGCACCCCTTACTGCCATCTCCATATCCACAACATCGCCTGTGCTCTGTCCCTCGCAACCGTGCGCTTGGATGGTGGCAATGTATGCCCAACAAACTGCCATTGCGTTCCGTGCCAGGCGACTGCCCGTCCGCTGTCCTGTTCCTCAGGGCTCTGACCGACGGCATCCTCGTCCAGGCTCCCCTGCTGCTTCCCTGTCTTTCGTCCCAGGTTATCGAGGAGATTCAGGACTCGTGGGACCACTCCACCCTGGTATACTGGCGCAACAGACCTCTCAAGGTCTCGCAAATCAAAACGCTGCGGTCCTGGGTGGCCGACTGGATGCAGACACCCGGCTACCACTTCATGCAGCAGTCTGGCATCTCGCTGTTCCCTGCCGACCTTCAAGAATGGCTCTACCGAAGCGAGGCTGAGCGTCTCGATCGCTTCAATGACGAGTTCGATCTCACCCAGACGAGCAACGAGATCGAGTCGTGGATGGACATGGACCACCCGGCTCTGCTCCGCGACCACCTGCGCGCATATCCCACTCCGCCAGAAAGCTCATTCCCGGCCAACCAGTACTTCGACAACATCCAATACCCTCTTGGCTACGATTCGTGCTCCGATGGCGACCTGAGCAGCGGCAGCGGCAGCTGGTCGTTCGACCGCAACGCTTTCTCTGGCAGCTTTTGTCTGTCCGGCTCCAACGACTCCCTCAACAGCCCTTCCGCCGCCGCCGAACACTGTACCGACTCGTCCGTGAGCCAAAGCAGTCGCTCATTCTCCCAGGACTCGGACCGGACCCTGATAAACAACGACGGCGACGGCTACAGCGGAAACAATGCTGATACCGAAATCAATTCGCTGTGTTCCAAGTGGTCTCTCCTCTCAATCAGCGAGCCTCCGTCCGCAGATGCTCTGTTTCCGAGCCACACGCACTGCCCGGGCAGTCTTGAGTTCCGCAACGTCTTGCGCAAGGCTATCCACAAGCTGGAGCTGTCCTTCCCCATCGTCGATGTGGGTGCAACCAGCACAACCAACACTCTGTCCGGCACTGGCCAGGACTTTGTGTCTGATCCGCTCATTGCCTCCTTCACACTGACGGTCAGCAACTCGTCAATACGCACCCAAGCCAGCTTCCATGATTGCTTTCATTCCCTGTCTGGATTCAGTTCTGGATCGTTTGGTGACGACGACAAGCGACTGCCCAGCTACCGCGCCAGGCGGTGGCAAGACATCTGGAGATACCTGGACACCCCGCGGTCGGCGCTGGCCTCGGGCTCGCTCCAGCAAGCTCGCACCACCAAGAACCGTCCTGATGCGGGGTCGATCCTCCACGACCCGAAATCCGGACAAGACTGGGTCGTTTACGAACTGGATGTCAGCTTTATTGCCGACGGCAAGGCCATGGTGAACGGCTGGCTGAAGCGTCTGGAGTTGCTCGCCAGATAGCCAGCGATGGTCGAGACGGTCGAGATGGCCGGACGCCCTGCGCCAACGTCTGTGTTGGGCCATGGTGTCCCGCTTTCCAGCGTCCATAAGCATACTTTTTTTTGGCGGATAGATGGCTTCTTTCCCATCCTCATCCTCTTGCACTGTCCCTATTTTACTGGATTTGTGTCCTTCCTTCCTTCCCTCCTTCCCGTTCTCTGTCGGTCCTGTTCTCCTTTCTGCATGAAACCTGCTGGCTGGAAGACGGCAAACACACACAAAGCGGCTCCATGATGAAGGTGCCATGTGTTTGCACAAGTCGATCTTCCCCTCCCCGCCCTCGCCTCTTGAACCTTTTCCCTCCTGCATGTTGTTGCTTTCGGGAACACAGTCTTGAATACACCCCACCCGGTCGATATCCTGTGGCGACGATCACTGGCATTGATGTCGCGATGCCAGAGCGTGATGCATTCACTCGATCCTCTGCACAGCTCCCGTAGTTTCTCGAGTCGCTTGGTCTTGGACATCACGGCGGTGCTGGTGGAAGCTGCCCAAAGTACCGGATGAGCCCGAGTCTCCGTGGGTACGATGGATATCGATCCCCTTGGCCACGCTGGTTGGTCATGGCGGACGGGGCGCGTATTCGGGATCCAGAAAAGTCAACATCTGCCTGCAGAAATGGGCTTCTCGGCTCAGTTCGGCTTGGTTCGGCTTGGTTCGGTTCGGTTTCGGGTGAACGACGGCCACATTCACACCCGCTTCCCGCGATTTCTGCTTCCCTCTAAAGGTCTTTGCGCTCCGAGGTGGGACGCCGTGACGGATTCCCAATGACGGCTCGCTCGATCGTGCACCGTGGTGTTCACTGAAGCAAATGGGGTCGGTGAGGAGCGGATATGCTATTTCTCGAAGCATTTCTCGAAACAGCTGCACGGCACAGCGACAGCAACGGCAACGAGGAGATATTGGGTGTGCGTGCAGAGGCAGAGCGATCCGGGGTGGGCGGCGGCAATCAGCAGCGCCATCCTCGGTGACCTGCAGACACATCAAACATCGATAAAGAGCGACCACAGGCCTTTCAGGTACTGCACAATCTCATCGGCACCGAGCTTGCTCTCTCCAAAGACTCGGTCAACAAAGGTGATGGGCACCTCGCCGATCGTGAAGCCCATCTGGCGGGCGCGGACCATCATCTCCATCTGGAAAACGTAGCCCTTGGACTTTGTGGCCTTGATCAGCTTGTCGAGGACATCCTTGCGATAGACACGGAAGCTTCCCGTCAGGTCGCTGACTCCAGGGTCCAGCAGCACCGACGCAAGGTAGTTGGCGACACGGGACGTGAGCTTTCTTCGCAGATCCCAGCCGTGGACACCGCCTCCGGAGACATAGCGGGTTCCGGTGACAATATCGTAGTTGTGCTGCTGCTGGAGTCGGATAAACTCGGGGATGAACTTGGGGTGGTGGGACATGTCGGCGTCCATGATGATGACATGGGTTCCGGTCGAGTGCTGGATGCCGTGGGCGTAGGCAGTGCCGAGGCCGAGCTTGCCAGCACGAGGACGGAGAAGCTGTGCCATTCAAGAAGCGAAGGCGAGGATAGAGACAGAGGCAGAGACAGAGACAGAGACAGAGACAGAGGCAGAGACAGAGACAGAGACAGAGACAGAGACAGAGGCGGATCAGAAGCCGGCCAAGGATTGATATGGACAGGATGGCGATGCGGAATAGAAGCGGTTATGCAGAATAGAAGCGGATATGCAGAATAGGAGAGGCTATGCAGAGTAGAAGAATGGCTTGGCTCCACTCGGCTTGGCTCGGTTTGGCAGGTACTCACAATGCGGTCCTCGCCATAGGTGCTCTGGAGCTGGCGTGCAACTTCGATGGTGTTGTCGGGAGAATTGTCGTCAATGATGATGATTTCGTAGTCGAGCTTGCTGGAAGGTGGTGGTGGTGGGAGTGGGCAAGAGTTGGGTTGGCGGGTTGGATCAGCGACCGGATCCAAAGCACGCACTGGCAGCGAGCAAACAGAAGGAAGGGCCCCTGGCGGGTGCGAATTGCGCAAGACGAAAAACGCCAGAGGTTCTCTAGAGATGCTATGCCGAGCGGCAGGAGAGCCAGGGCTTGTGTGGGCTGCTGGCGACACTCACGCCTCCTCCATCGAGTTGACAATCAGCCAGGTGATGATGGGCAGGTTCTCCCGCTCGTTGTAGGTGGGGAGCAGGACGGAGTACTTGGAGGACATGTCGGCAGGGAGGATGGGCACGGAAACAGAGGTCGGGGCGGGGGCGGGGGCGGAAGCAGGTCTATCGGGCGTCCAGTGCTGCTGCATGCAGGCAGAGGCGGATTGCGGTGGACAGATGGCGACAGGGACGGGGTTGGCCGTGGGCCTGGGGAAAGACGAAAAGGGCGACAAGCCGAGCGAGAACAAACGAACGAACCAGCGCGCACTCGAACCAGGCTGCACTGCTGCGCAGGCGTGCGCAGCCCGTGCGACCGCGCCCCGCCGCGATATCGCGAACCCGAGTTCGAAACGCGCCGAGATCGATGGCGGTGGGATTTGCAGCGAGGTCGATGGCGAGATCAATGGCGAGGTCGATGGCGGCGGGAATTGCAGCGAGGTCGGTGCAGACGCCGTTGTCGCCGTCGGGAACAGACGGGCCGAGACTGCGCTGCTCGGCTGCGATTCGCTTCGGTCTCGCCGAGAGCCAGAGGCCGCTCTTCCCACGGGACTAACCCAAGGCTAATCCAGGCTGGCCCAGGCCAGGCGAGTCGCCGATTCGACCATGCCCGATCCCGGGTGTCGTTCGCCGCGCCGGCTCGGTCCATTCCGGCGCTGTCGGGTCCGCCGTCTCTGCCCGCGGGGTCGTCCACAAGCCGTCTCGCCGGGTCTTCTCGCTGTCGGTTTGTCGTCTTCTGTGCTTCCCTTTGCCTCTTCGCTCGCCCGCCCCGCCCGTCTGCGCATTTAAGCACAATGATCTTTGCCTCTCTCGCCTCGTCGTCTTTCCGCCGCTGTGCTCCATCTGCTCTGGCCCAGTTCCGCACCATGTCCTCCGCCCTGAAGCACATCCAGACCGAAAACGCCCCCAAGGCTATCGGCCCTTACTCCCAAGCCATCGTCGCCAACGGCCTGGTCTACACCGCCGGCCAGATCCCCTTCGATCCTGCCACCATGCAGATCGTCGGTGAGGGCGACATCAAGGCCCAGACCCGCCAGGCCATCAAGAACCTCTCGGCTGTCCTGACTGCTGCCAATGCCTCGCTTTCCAGCGTCGTCAAGACCACCGTCTTCCTCAAGGTGAGTCCCGCGGCGAAACATCCACTATCCACCCACCTATCCACCTATCCACTATCCACCCACCTATCCACCTATCCACTATCCACCCACCTATCCACTATCCACCTATCCATCCACTATCCATCCACCTATCCAACCGCGTCCCCAGCGACCTTCCTGATTGTCAACCGGCACGATCGCGCCAGCAATGCTCCGGTTGGATATCGCCGCCACGGTGTCATGTCGGTTCCTAATTCCTTGGGGCCTCCCTTGCCGTTTCCAGAACATGAACGACTTCAACGACATGAACTCGATCTACTCCGAGCTCTTTGGCGATGCCCGTCCTGCCCGCTCTGCCGTCGAGGTTGCTCGCCTTCCCCGCGACGTTCTTGTTGAGATCGAGTGTGTTGCCGTCGTCAGCAACCACTAATGGCCCAAGAAAAGACAAGCCAGGAATGCACCGTTCCGAGCCCACAAATACACGCATGTCTATTCAGCCATCCACACCACTCCCGATCCCCTGGCTTTCATCGTATGATGTCATGGCTTGATCCACAGCGTCTCATGTCCTCGGGTGCTATATATTCCGAAATCGATGGTGCTTTGGCCACAAACCAGCCATGTGCTGGAACTGCTGGTAGTCGACAGTTGGATCCTGGTACTTTTCACGCACGTACTTGTCCAGGCAGCTCTTCTTGAACCGGTCCCAGTGGACCCGTTCCATAAACGCCATGTACTTGGCCAGCCCATGCTTCTCGTCCAAATCAAACCACTCGGTCGCCGGAATATGGTTCGCCAAGAACACCTTTGCCGTGTACGCAAACAGATACCCAATCTCGACCCGAGCCATGGACCGGATTTCGACCTTGGAGTATATGTCCCCGAGGAAGCGTGAAACGACGGGGCCCTCGCCAAAGTACTCTCCAGGCCCCAGCTTGCCAATCACATACTTCTTGGTCACGCCCTGGTGCGTCAGCGTCTTGAGGATTTCGCATGTCCCCGAGATGATGAAGCCAAGCTCGCTCACAATCGACCCCTCGGCAACTACGAGCATCCGCGGCAGGTATTCGCGGACCACCAGGAGCGTTCCCAGTGTCGAGCAAATGTTCTCGCGCTCCTTGTACGGTATGGCGTTCATGAACGGAACCTGCAGGAGAAATCGTATCTTCTGCCGTCGTACCTCTTCGTGGATGGCGCTGTGAAAGCGAGACATGTGCATGGGACGGTTCAATGAGAGTAACAGGATGGGCTGCGAAAGACGTTCGTTCAGAGATTGTTGTTTGTGTCCATCTTGCCTGTTCTTACCGGATCGATCGCTTGTATGTGACGCTGTCCACAACCACAAGTTTACAGTCGGTGCGGCTGAGAACGGACGCCATGCGCTTCTGGTTCTTCAAGATAGCGAGCTCCCCAAAGCCCTCACCCGCCTTGACCGTGCCGATTCGTCGCTCCAGCTTCTTGATGATCCGAGTTCCTTCATAGTTGCTGGACTGGGATCGGCTTCCGTCCACCATTTGCGACAGCAGGTTGCTCGAATACGGAAGAAACTCGAGGTTTGGCTCCACATTCATTGTTGCCCGAAACGACTTTGTCCGAGCCAGCGCCAGAGTCTTGATGACATCCAGTTCGCCCTCTAGAACAACGTACCAGTGGTCTCCCTGGGCTCCTTCTTTGAAGATCAGTGTTCCTGGCGGACACTCCTGGTACCGGGCCATTGCTGCCAATAACAGCAGCTGCTTCTCCGGATAGTTTTGAAAGATTGGCACAGGTTTGAGCAGCCGGGCGATCGTGTGGATGTCGGTCGATGTGCGCTCAAATGGCGATCTCTGAAGCAAGTGGGTCAGGTGCTCGAGGTCGTCCGGACTCTTCCAAAGCCATTTGTGCTGCTCTTCAGCTTCTGTAGAAGAGTTGGGCCGATGGAGCACGACGCTGATGCGTTGCTGTGATGGCTTGGATGACTCGGATGTAGATGTCTTGTGGGCATCGAGTTGGAATCGGACGAGTTTGGTCCGGGTCGATCGCTGGCCGGTGTCTACGGGTTTGGTCGAGCTTGTTGGGTGCTCGATGGCGCTGGACGGACCTTGGCTGGCTTGTATTTGTGGAAGATGGACGGGATTGTGCAATGTCGGGATTGCAGGCGGGTAAGGCACGGCCTCGTCAACGTAGCCGGCAATCTTGGGAAGCATGAGCGAGGCTTGTCTCGGCCGCTTCGCAAGGTGGGTCGGGGGTGCCGCTGATGATACACCCAGCACAGGCAACACATCCGGAGACACTTGGTGGGTCTTGTCCGCCTGGTGGCCTCTGCTCGGCTTTGGATAGGCAATACTGTTTCTGCGCGAACGACTGGGTTTGTTGGCCTCGCCGCCCTTAGTCAGGCCCCATTGGACGCAGTCTTTGATGCTGCTCATGAACCGGGAGTGGATTTCCTCATTGAGAGGCTCGTAGCAGATTGTATCGCTGTCTTCCAGATGAATGCTGACGAATGGAGCCTGGCCCGTCTCCGAGGTCGATGGCCACAGCGTCTCTGCAAGCGCATTGACACGGTCAACATCGAGTTGAATTCGACACAGGGCGCTGTCGAGGTCTTCGGCGTCGTTTGGCCTTGTGTTTTCCAACCGACTAGTTCGTCTTGATAGAGGTTGGCAGCAAGGCTGCTCTTTCGGAAGGAGTACAAACTTGTCGGTGCTCATTGCGCTGGGTGGTGGTGGTGGTGGTGGTGGTGGTGGTGGTGGTGGGAACGAGTGTCGGGCACTGCTTTCTCTCTCAGCTTGGAGGCCAATGTCCCGTTCTGCTGTTACTTGGCGACGGCTGACGCCGTGAGGTACTCCGGCAGTGATGTATTTCAGCAGATCAATCGTTGGGCATCACACACTGCTCTGCCTTTGGCACGGACGAAATAAGTAAGTTTGCAAAACGATGGTGGATGTGCTTCGACAGAGAATTTCCGTGCATTTGCCACTCTGCTGCTTGGGCTTGCTTGGGCTTGCTTGTCCATTGCGCTGCATCAATATTCGCTGTACAAAGTGCGCTGGGGGAGGGGCCAGGCTCACAATGACTTGTCGTTACCCACAGTAGCCATGACAGAAAGCAGACATGGCTGCTTGCCGATATCAACATGGCCTTGGACACATCCCGAGCCTCGCGAGCTCCGTGAGCTCGTACACTGATCCGCTGAGCACAGACCCTTCCAATCTGGTCACTCGGAGCCCATCCTCAGGAGGGCAAAGACGTCGCTTTGTGGTCGCATCCGACCGAGTATCTCAGTCTGAATGGAGGGCAGATTCCCACAGAGTAACAATCGATACAGGCGCGATCGTATTCTGGGCTGGGTTGAGATCGCGGCTTTACACCGACGAGATGAGTGTGCGTATGTGGGTGCCCTCAAAGAGTGAGCAGATCAGGAATGAAGGCCATTATTGCAGTTTATTAGGGGCGCTGAACTCTGAGCAACTCGGCGCGAGTATTGGCTGGGAGCGATCATGTACGCATGTACCGCTTTCCAGGTGCCACATCGAAACTCAGGGCTCACTGAACCGGCTGAGGATCAGACGATGGAATGGCATTTTCCAGCTCGGCTGCACCGGCCATGCTAGTCACTGGGTTCTCGTCTTCGGGATCATCCTTCGACCCAATGGCTTTTCCATAGACCGGAGGCAACACAACGCCACCCTTTACCGGCAATGCCTTGGACGGCGATGTCCATAGCCCTTGGCCGTCCGGATCGCCATCAAGCGGAGGCGACGATGCATTCATGCCCAAGTTACTTGCCCCTCCTTCAATGTCAACGAGCCGATCCTCACCCTGGTATCCGACAAACTCGCTGCTCGAGGAGCTGCGCTTGAAGCGCTGGTTCAAGCGGGGATCCATTTCCGGCCGTCGGGCATCTTCCAGGGTAACGCCATTCATCTTGGCAAACAGGAGCCGGAGGACTCGCTCTTTGTCGAACCATTTAAGATCCGTGATGTCGACTTTTTTCGGATTGCCTTCGATATCGCGGTATGCCGGGTCATCGGCCTCGTTGAGCAGAGCCGACGCAGCGGATACGGGATCGTCCGGATGACGTGTCGGGCGGAATGACTGGACTGCGGGAAAAGAAACGCCCTTGTTGCACATTACCTGCATTGTATTGGGAGAACATATTAGCATACACATGTCGTGAAAGGTGATGGATGTTGTGGTAGGGGAACGAGGATAATGGCGTTGGAGAGCCCAAGCGCAGTGACCGTGACCGAATCCGACGCCTCTGTGATGGGCCATTTAGGAACCGAAGGCCCCAGAGAGAACACTCCACAGCATCGCCTAAACGGCCTCGGCACAAGCCAGTATGGCGGTGCGGTGGCTTGGGCTCGCTCACACTCGCAGCTTACCATCCGCATCTTGCGGTTGTATTCCGCCTGCTCAAGCCTCTCTGTCTCTTGGCGCTCTCGTGCTATTTCGCTTCGCACGTGCTCCAGCGATTCCATAAAGAACCGCTCGAGGTCGGTCCGTTGGTCAAGCACATGCTGGGCGAGTCGCTGGGTGAATTGTTGGACAAGTGGTTGCGGCAGTAAGTATGATGCGAGATGGGCGCAGATATTAGCCAGCGTCGGGGGGGGGTGATGAAGCAAAATGCCGAGTGGGGTGCTGCTCAAGCAAATGCTCAAGCTCAGGACTTGCACTCAAGCGACTTGCTCTGCACACGTGTGGCCGTGCAGGAGTGGCTGCTCGAATGAATGGCCTTGCTTACATGCCTTGATGTGCTTCATCTCTTGGGTTTTTCTGGCCAAGTTTTCTTTGAGCCGCCTCGCCGATTTCTTGACTTCTTCCAGCTCTCGCCGGGCGAGCTTGCCAATGATTTCGCGCTCATGCTCGAATTCGCGCACAACGTGGGAAAGTGAGTGCTCCATGCTCTGGATCTTTTTGTTTAGTTGGAAGATCTGTATGCCAGCGACCGCAATGCAGCGCATTAATTGAACCAGTATATGAGAATCAGCAACCCAGCCCGGCTTGTGCTGTGGTTCGACGTCAGTGCGGCGGATATGATCTCATGCGGTTGTGGTAGATCCCCGAGCCAGGTCGCCGGTTTTGTCCGTGGGTATTCTAAATTATGTCGAGATATCAAGTTCAGCACGAACCTCTTCCATCTGCTGCCGTGTCTGGCTGATCTTTTCCTTGACAATAACGTTGTGCATATCTCTATCCTCGCATAGCTGGCGATTGTGCTCCTTCAGCTCGGCATTTTGCTTGGCCAGCTCCTCTCCTTCTTGCACATGGGATCGAAGCGCCGCTGCCATACGCTGGTTTTCCTTGTAAACATCCTTGGTCGTCTCTTTGAGATTTGCAACAGCTTCCTGAACACCGCGAGATGGTGCCGTTGTGGCGTGTTTGCAAGCAGAGTAAGCGATCCATCGAAAACATGCGAGCCGCAACAAAATAGTGGACGAATATGTCGCGGCTTGGGTTCTCAGTGCGAGCCAGCTGGCCATGTGACATCGGAACGGGCAGACAGCGCACTCAGCCTAGATAGTTTGACCCAGCGAGCACCCGGCTAGATCGATGCTAACACAAAATAGCTGTGCCAGTATCACCGACGATCTCTTTACCGCGCGGCACGTACATTGTGAGCTCGCGTGGCCAACTCTGATATCTTCTTATTTGCTTCCTTCTGCAGCCGGATTTTCTCTTCAAAGAACTTGCGTTCGAGTCGTGCGACAGTGTCCTTGTGGCGCTTTTCGGCATCGGAAAGCTCGACTTTTTGCAACTCCAGCTCCCTCAAGAGCTCATGCCGTTTTTTCTATCATTGGATTCGAGACAGGTTGTCAGCGCCCCTTTTCCTTTGATCCAAAGGCCATGCCATCGCCCTGCCACCGATACAGAGGCGCGCCCGATGGTTGCACGTTATTTGAAACATATCGTTCCAGCCTTGGCGAGCTTCAGCAGCGCCGATTCCATACCCGAAAGTCTTTGATGACCGAGAATTCCTGTTGCATGACCTTGAATGCGGCCTCCTTTTCGTTGACTACATTTTCCATTTCTAAAATTGCAAAGCATCGATAGAGCGGGTTGGTTTTGTGTCTGGAAGCGAAATGGTGACCGCAAAAGCACTCGCGGCGCAGTCAGTGGAATCGGAGGATCGCAAGGCAGGCTGTTTCAATCCAATCGAATATCCGAGATTTGGAGAAGTACGCATTCTTGGTTTTTGGAGATGCACCAGGGCTGGTGCCGATTGCGGCAGCAATGCCGTACAGTAGCAATCTGGTCGCCTACGAGCAATCTTGATGGTCTTTCAGCAATCAACAGCTTACCTTCCAATCTCCGCTCGCAATCAACCACGATGGCGTCCTTTTCAGCTTTTGCTTTCTCTTTCTCCAGTGCTAGGATCTGCGTTAGCTCAAGTGCTTTCAAGTGTCTTGTATCGGACTCCTTGTTCAAGGCCGATATGACTTCAAGCTAGGATCGTCAGTACCAAGCATGGAGCAGAGAAGATAAGATTAACAGGCGAATGTATATCCAAATCCACGTATTTGAGGGCAGGCGGTGCTCTGGTGGCCTTTATATGGCCATGTTATGATGTCGAGCAGGCCGGACCGAATCTGTCCGTGGAGGGGTCTCGTTTGTACATCACCGTACCGCATCGCGCTCCTGCTGCTGACACGTCTCTTGCAAATTCTCATTTGCGTTCACTCTGGCGATTTGATTCGATGGCATCAGCATGCTGTCTCTGCCCAAAGTCTTGTTGCGGATGCGTATGCTATCGGCATGGACATTGCCGACGAGGATTGTTCAATCGGCCAATTGCTTGGTACGAACTTACAATCCTTCCACTCGCTCCTTGTAAGACAGCAGCGATCGAGAGGCTGCCTCGAGTCTGAGCCATGTTTTCCAGGAGTCCAGAAATGGTTAGTGCGTTGTGTCAAGCCAAGCGCTGAGGCGGGCAGCCTTTTAAGCAATTTGGACGCGTGTGTTTGGGCCCATGAGTGCAGTTCGAGTCGTATCCCCACGCTCATATCACGAAGCAAGAATAAGCATTCTATTCTGTGCCATGCCGTGATGTGCCGCGTTATTCTGCAACATGCTGGGCTTCAATGCACTCGCGGTGCTTTGATCGACTATGCAGACTCCGACACTCCAAAATTACTCAATGCGGCCGCCGTAATAGTCTCAGGCAGCTTACTTGTGCTCCAGCAAATATTCTTTTCCCGAAACCAGCTCCCCTTTGGAATTGGTTATCTTGCTGTCATCGCTGCTCTTGGCGTGCTTCTTCTTTCCTTTCTTTTTTCCATCCTTCCCTTTCTTTTTCCCGGCACCAGCTTTGGCTTTCTTCGCCATTGCCTCTGGACTTTTAGCGAGAATGGGCCACTGCCGCCGTGATGTGGCCTTGGTTTAGTTTGGTCACTTGCGCTTGCTTTTGAGAGCTTTGGGCCGACTGCTCCTGCGGCCTCTGGGACGATGTGGCCTCTATCGCCGCTGCTGCCTTGGCGCACCCACAGATTTTGACCAAAGCGGGCTCGCCCTCAAGGCTATCCTGCACTGGCGGCGCTTCCTGCACTTCCTGCACTGACGACGCTTCCTGCACCACACGATTCGGCCAATCACGCTGCTGCGCAGCACATGTCAGCCCCTTGTCGGCGGTTCGAGCCGGGAAGCTGCGTGCGTGTGGCGAAGGAGCTCACACGTGATCTCCACATGACCGTGGTCTTGCTGTGGCGTCTTGCCGATCCGTCGCTGCCCTGCCGCTCGCCTGTTCTGTCGCCTCCGCCCCTGCAGCAAGATCGTCCAAAAGGGCCGCCTCCGTCTGTTCGCCCGAACGAGTTGCATCGCCATCGTATCTCCAAATGGCTGATCTCAAGAAACTCGAGTATCTGTCGCTGGTGTCCAAGATCACAAGCGAGCTGCTGAACCATACCGGTATCAATGACAAGGTGTTGGCCGAATATATCATCCACATCCACGACACCAGCAGCGATCTTCCTTCCTTTAAGGCTGCGCTGTCCTCCGCACAGGCCAACTTCCCCGATGCGTTCGTCACCAACGTGGATCGTCTGATTCGGACACTGCGTCCAAAGCCCGAGAAGAAAAAGAAAAGAAAGAAGGGCGAGGAAGGCAAGCCAAAGACCAACACCGAAAGCGAGCAAAGTGCCTGGGAGCCAAACCGCGAGCACGATCGAGCCGAGGAACGCACAGAGAAAATTGCGCATTTCCCTGGATTGGCTCTCCCGGACGACGAGGACCGGGCCCAGCACTTCGACAGCCTCGATAGCAAGGTCGCTGGCGAGACCCTTACCGGCCTCGAAAACCTCGTCGAGCGCCTGAAAGACAGCGATGTTGGTCGACATCGAGATAAGCGAAGGAGGAGCCCAAGCCCGGACGAATATCGTCGCCGCAGCCCGAGTCCTCGTGGGCGGTACGATGATCGCCCGCGCCACGGTGATCGCCACGGTGATCGCCACGGTGATCGCCACGGTGATCCAAGCCGGGACCGCTCGCGATATGACAGCCGTGACGGCAGTCGGTCTTTGCGGGGCTCGGCTTCCATGGACGACCACGAAGCTGTTCTATACAAGATCTACGATGGCAGGGTGACCAACGTCAAGGACTTTGGTGCATTTGTGCAGTTAGAAGGCATCCGAAAGAAAACCGAGGGGCTTGTGCATGTTGGGGCCCTCCGCGCCGGTGTCCGAGTCGACAAGGTTTCGGACGTTGTTTCGCGAAACCAACGAGTCAAGGTCAAGGTGATGAGCATCGCGGGATCGAGAGTCAGTCTGTCCATGAAGGATGTCGATCAAGTTACCGGCCAAGATTTGAGCCCTGGGCTGCGAGTTCGCACGAAGGAGGAGATCGAGGCCGAGTCTATGAGAAACCCGGAGCGACCCATCTTGACCTCCTTTGGCGATGCCCCAGTGATCGAGGATCTGACTGTGCCGACATCCAAGGTCAAGCGCATCTCATCGCCGGAGCGCTTTGAGATCAAGCAGCTCATCGCATCCGGTATTTTGCAGCCCAAGGACTACCCCGACATTGACGATGAGCAAGGCGTCCTTGCCTACGAAGATGCCGAGGAAGAGCTTGACATCGAGATCAAAGATGAGGAGCCTGCCTTTCTCAAGGGCCAAACCAAGCAAAGCATCCAGCTAAGCCCCATCAAGATCGTCAAGAACCCAGATGGAAGTCTCAATCGCGCAGCTCTCGCCGGCGCGGCGTTTGCCAAGGAGCGCCGAGAGATCCGGTCGCAACAGGCGGCTGCAGAGTTCGATACTGTGCCTCGCGACTTCAATTTGCCCTGGATGGACCCGATGGCCGACGACTCCGATAAGCATTTTGCCCAAGACCTCAAGGGATTCGGATACATGGGCGAGGAGAGCCAGCCCGAATGGAAGAAGAAAACAATCAACGCCGCAACTACCTACGGCAAAATCACGAGCCTGAGCATAAAGGAGCAGCGCGAGTCGCTCCCAATCTTCCGACTCCGCGACAACATCATTCAAGCTGTGAGCACCTCGCAAGTTCTGGTCGTCATTGGCGAAACCGGGTCTGGAAAGACAACACAGATGACGCAGTATTTGATGGAAGAGGGTTTTGCAGACATGGGGATGATTGGATGCACACAGCCGCGTCGTGTGGCTGCCATGTCGGTCGCCAAACGCGTTGCTGAAGAGGTCGGATGTCGGTTGGGCGAGGAAGTTGGCTATACCATCCGTTTCGAAGACTGCACGTCGCCACAGACACGTATCAAGTACATGACCGACGGTATGCTTTTGCGTGAGAGCTTGATCGACCCCGAGCTGAAAAAGTACTCCGTCATCCTTTTGGATGAGGCCCACGAGCGCACGATGCATACCGATGTTCTCTTTGGCCTGCTCAAGAAGACCCTGCTCAGGCGCAGCGATCTCAAGCTCATTGTCACGTCGGCCACCATGGATGCCGAAAAGTTCTCAAACTACTTTTTCAAGTGCCCCATCTTTACGATTCCAGGCCGAACTTTTCCTGTCGAAATTATGTTTGCAAAGGATCCAGAGTCCGACTACCTCGAGAGTGCCCTGATCACCGTCATGCAGATCCATCTGTCCGAACCCCCCGGTGACATTTTGCTGTTCTTGACCGGCCAGGAGGAAATCGACACCGCCGCCGAGGTTCTCTACGAGCGTATGAAGGCCCTGGGACCGATGGTGCCAGAGCTCATCATTTTACCAGTGTATTCTGCCCTGCCCTCGGAGATGCAGAGCCGAATCTTCGACCCAGCACCTCCCGGATCTCGAAAGGTCGTTTTGGCGACGAACATTGCCGAGACTTCAATCACGATCGATGGTATTTACTACGTGGTCGACCCCGGCTTCGTCAAGCAGAACACATACGATCCAAAATTAAGTATGGACGCCTTGGTTGTTGTGCCTATATCTCAGGCACAGGCGCGCCAGCGCTCCGGACGAGCCGGACGAACAGGACCTGGAAAGTAGGTGTTTCTATCGAGCTACAGTTCCAATCGATCGAGAGGAATGGTGCCAATGATAGCAACTGGATTCTTCCGCGGCAATTCAGAGCCACATCTGCACTATCCAGCGGCTGAGAATGGCGCGAATGGCGCGAATGCCTGGTGTTGGCTCGCGGAACGATCAGTGGAATCGTCCGAGCTATGATATTGACTGAGTCTCAATCTCATAGATGCTATCGCCTTTATACCGAGGCTGCCTTCCGCAACGAGATGCTTCCAAACTCCGTCCCTGAGATTCAGCGCATGAATCTCTCCAATGTCGTATTGATGCTCAAAGCCATGGGCATCAATGACCTTCTCAACTTTGACTTTATGGACCCTCCGCCGGTCCAGACCCTGATCACGGCAATGGAGCTTCTCTATCAGCTTGGCGCATTGGACAACGAGGGCTTGCTCACGCGCCTAGGCCGCCGCATGGCCGAGTTCCCGCTTGAACCGTCTCTCGCCAAAATGCTGATCCTCTCGGTCGACATTGGATGTTCTGACGAGATCCTCACGATCGTGGCTATGTTATCGGCGCAAAACATCTTCTATAGACCCAAGGAGAAACAGGCTGCAGCCGATCAGAAAAAGGCCCGGTTTCACCAGCCGGAAGGCGATCATCTGACGCTCCTCACCGTATACAATGGTTGGAAGGCCAGCAAGTTCTCGAATCCCTGGTGCTTTGAGAACTTTATCCAGGCGCGATCCATGCGCCGTGCACAGGATGTTCGAAAGCAGCTGCTAACTATCATGGATCGATATAAGCAGGACGTCATTTCCTGCGGCAAGAACTACAACAAGGTCCGGATTGCCATCTGCGGTGGATTCTTCCGCCACGCAGCCAAAAAGGACCCACAGGAGGGCTACAAGACCCTGGTCGAGGGTACCCCCGTATTTATCCATCCAAGCTCAGCCCTCTTCAACAAACAGCCCGAGTGGGTGATATACCACGAGCTGCTGCTGACAACTCGAGAATATATGCGCGAGGTCACCGCCATCGAGCCAAAATGGCTCATCGACGTTGCCCCGACATTCTTCCGCAATGCGGACCCCAACAAGATCTCCAAGCGCAAGCGCCAAGAACGCCTTGAACCGCTTTATAATAGGTATGTGCAAGACTGTGGAGGATGCAGGTGTGCCACGGATAATACCGATGGGCGGCCGCGCTACTTGGCCTCATATGCTGGCCGAAAGCTACAGAAGGGTCAGCGGGTTTTGTCTGCGTTTCCGCCTGGCCTTTGCTCGTTTCTGCGGCGCTCTGTTACTGCTCCGTATCTGATGGGACCTCGGCTGACTCGATCCCCTCGGTCCTTGTGCCAATCTCCCTTGCGTTGAATCCCCGCCCTCGACAGATACGAGAAGCCCAACGAATGGCGTATTTCGAGAGTCCAGCGGAGTCATCGGGTCAGCCAGACCTTCTAGATTGTGTGCCGATATCTCCCGCTTTGTGCCTGTATTCGTGATGAGCTATGCTTGCATAAAATCGAAAGCAAACGAGACACTCCAAGCCCCGGGGCCGAAGCGGCCTCCCTCGGCCGAGGCGCTGTCACTTGCTGACCGTTTGGACATGGTCGCTCTCGGGTACCAACTGCGATGGCGAGGGCAACGGTGATCATTCGATTGGAAAGTGCAATTGCTTCACGGTGAACGATTGTGCCACCAAGCAGCACTCCGGTGCCGTATCAATACAACCATCGTCGGCCCTGGTCCTCCACATGGTCTGGGTCCTTTGGAAACGGGCGCTATCTGACCGGCACGAGATGGTACTGCTCGTCCCCAATCCTGTCATCTCAAAGCGAGCAATCGGTAGAGGTGGACAGTAGAGCAGCGGGGCCAGCATGGTTGGGTTGGCAAGGCGATTCCCACTAGCGTCCAGCCATATGATCCCACTATTGCATTCTGCAAAGTGATGGACACAGCGTGTTGAAGAAAATGGGGCACATCGTCTCATTGGGACAATGCGGCGTAGTCGGATGATATCACGCACCCGGCCAACAACAATCGAGTGGATCAAATCATCCCCTTGGGTGTCCGTCTCAAGCGGCCAGTCCAGGAACCCAACAGTGCCGATCGATGCCGTTCAGCCAGGTGGCCGATCAGCGCCAGTCAATCCACACGCTTACAGGCAATCCAATAAAAAACGGGACACCCGGGTTTTTGACCATTCATCGAATATTTTGTTACCCAATGTTATCGCGCGCTGGCCATGACCATTCGCCACACATCCGACTTTCGCACCGCCGCATTGCGATGCTACGCCCTCATCCATAGCCTGCGTAAGGTCGCCTCCATATTCAGTGTATCCAAGAGCACCATCCATCGATGGCACCGAGGATGCAAGCTGGATGACCCATCCCGGGTCCCAGCTCGCAGATCCACTTTCTTCGAGCAGGCATGTCCAGTCATCTGCACCCTGATTGAACAGGACCCGTTCCAGACTGGTCCTGTGTTGCGATGCAAGCTCGAGTCCATCCTCCAGAGGAAAGTATCACTCTCACTCTGCCACACTGCCATCCACCGAGCAGGTCTCTCACACAAGAGGGCAACACACCTCTACAAGTCCAAGCGACTGGATGAGCGAGTGGCACAGTTCAGTGACCAGGTCCGCTCCATCGACCCGCGGCGATTCGTTTTTGTCGACGAGACAGGGATCAGACGAACCACCTTTCCGCTCTACGGATACTCACCGAAGGGCGTCCCACTCCGTCAGCGCAATCACATGAAATACAAGTCTGTCTCGGCTGCATTTGCCATCAACCACTCTGGTGTGCTGCATCGCATGTACATCCCCACATCATTCAAGACACACTCGATGGTCGAGCTCTTTGAGCGAGCGACCTTCCCAGACGACTCTGTGATTGTGATGGACAATGTCAGCATGCACAAGACAAGGGCTGTCCTGGACTGCATCGAGCGCCGAGGATGGTCAGTGATCTTCACCCCACCTGCCTCGCCCGACTACAATCCCATCGAAAACTTCTTTGGGATTGTGAAGCATCAGTACAGGAAGGCAGCAGCGCTGAATGCGTCCGAGGGGTTCAGGGTCGGGATGGTGACCCTGTTTGAGTCTGCCGTTCGGAGGGTGCTTCCAGATGTCTTCCCACGGCTGATTGAGCGATGCGCTTCTGGGGGGTTGAGTTCCCTCCAATCAAGCCGCCATTTTCACGCTCAAATCCCTGGCTTGAACCTCTCGGCGATTTTTGAACAGGGTCGCTTCCCAACCAGCCCGCAAAGACGGGCTCCTGCTCTCGGGTATAAATGCCACACCTTCGTCCTGCTGCTTTCTTCCCTCATCTCGCCTTGATCTGATCATCGCGCTATTGTACGATAAAAAAGTCTCTGCTCTGACCAGTACCACTGGCAGGCATCCAGCATCCTCTGTCCCCATGCCTCCGAAGCGCAAGGGTGCCGGTGATGGCCAGCCTCGGCCACCCAGGCCCAAGAAAGCCAAGTCACAGTCGGAGCCTGTCTCTGGTTCGTATTCTGATCCCACGCATGCTTGGTCGTCTGTTGCTCCGTCGCTCACCACCACTGCTTCTGCAGATCCAATGGATGTCGATCCCACCGAGCCTGGTCCATCTACTTCCTCGAGTACCGGCAAGCGATGTCGCCAGTGCGATGGCACCGATCACGAGCGAAGCAACACTAGCAAGTGTCCAAAATACCGGCCCCTCAAGAGTTCTGTCGTCCCACTCGTGGATGGAAGGTCATCGGCCCCTCAGTTCAGCTGCTTCAAGCAGACCATGGATGGCTGTTGTCTCAATCCCGCTCTCCGCGACAAGATCCAGGCCACCGTCGAGGCCATGACCCAGATCCAGTTCGAGGCATCCAGGCTGCTCAACCTGCACATCCTCCGGTGCATCGAGCAGGATCTTCCCGTCCCTGTCATCTCCAAGGCCACACCTGCTTTCATCCGCCAATGCTTCACGATTGTCGAGGCCGGTGCCCTCTCGCCGACCGGGGACAATGAGAAATACAACGAGCATCTGGTCGCTTCCTTTCGCGACTACCAGACCACTCGGCACGCAGACCTGCCTCCGGCCCCTCGTCTGCCTGATGGTGCTCACAGTCAGCTTCTCACCCTGGCTGTCAATGCCTATGCTACCAACTGCACCACCCACCTCGACCTGGCCTACTGGCGACTCCTTCGCCGCTTCTGTGCTGCCGTCTTCCCAGCCAACAAGCATAAGCACGAAGCCATCGAGGCCTGTCTCGAGCTCTTCGAGAAACCAGGGCAGACTCCACCCAAGGCCGATCTCGAGTTCCTCTATCCAGACTTTGGCCACATCCTGGACGAGTTTCGGTACAGTAACGACCAGGACCGCTTCCGGGCCCTCCATCGCCTCTCACACCATGTGAGAATCCTCGCCCGGGACAAGATGGTCGACAATGTCCACAAGTGGATCGACTGTGACATGCCCGCTCTCCGAGTCACCGAGTTGCAGCGCCAGGCCAAGCTGGACAGCCTCACTGCCCGAGGCATTCCCTCCGACGACAAGAGGTTCACCACGGCCAAGTCTGAGCTCGGCACCACCAAGGCCAAGATCAACAAGCTGGCATCCAGGATCAAGTGGGCCCTCAAGCAGCTCGCCGTCGACACTCCTCCGGCCGTGTGCACGATGGTCCCTCTGTGCACAGCCAAGGCCAAGTATGTCAAGATCGACACCGTCGCACTCTGGGAGCTCCTGGGTCCAAAGAAGCGCCTTGGACTCACCCGGGACAAGCTCAAGGAAGAAGGCGAGGACGGTGTCAACAACCAGGATCGTCTCTGGCGCAGTTGCTTCAAGCTGCGTAGTTCCCTCTTCCAAGAGCAAGTCAGGGACAGGAAGCTGTTCAACTACGAGATCAGTACCAATGGCATTGGATGCACCATCGGTCTCGTCAAGTTTCTGCCTCGAACCGATCACACCGAGACCATCGAGCCTCCTCCGACTGCCGAGCAGCGTATCCAGGCCCACATCGGCGACCCAGACCCCAACCGCACCACTTGGATTGGCATCGATCCTGGAGTCGGCCCCATCTTCACGGCGGTCATCCAAGCACCGGGCCACCAAGACGAGGTGGTCTCGTTCTCCAATGGCCACTACCAGCACATGTGTGGCCATACGTCCAACACCAAGTGGCACAACACCATGAAGTATCGACTCAGCATCGAGACCTGGATGTCAACCACTCCCTCGCCCAAGGTGTCGTCCTCGGAGGCCTTCAAAGTCCATCTCACCCATGTCCTGCGACCGGAGCTTCGGGTGCAGCTCGACTTCCACCTTGGCAAGAAGGCCCGTCACCATCGCTTCACGGGCCACAAGAGGCGCCAAGTGGCCGTCGACAGGATGTGCAAGGCCGTCCTGAAGCACGCCCCGATACGGACCGATGTGGTGATCGCCTTTGGCAATGCGTCATGGCGCCAAGGCAAGGGCTATGCATCCAGCCCTCGGAGGCAGCGGTTTGCTCGGTACTTTGAGCAATTCGAGCACCACCGACGCCGTCCCAATCACCATCATGGAAGCGTCAAGGTAGTCTCGACGAACGAGTTCAACACCTCGCAAGTGTGCTCCAAGTGCCTGGAGCCAGTTCGGTTGGAAGGACTCGATGCGCCCAGTGTTGCGAATTCCCACTTTGTCAGGAGCTGCAAGAATCCCAGCTGCCGGACAGTGTGGAATCGCGACGTCAATGCGGCGCGCAACATGATCACAGTGTGCAGGTCGATTGTGAAGATCGGAGAGCGACCGGCGGTCTTCACTCGGAGGCTGCCAAAGTGATCTGTTTTATTTATTGTGGCTTTGCTTGACGGAAGCACAGCACATACTACATGTTCATGGAAGCGGCTGTGGTGTCCCGTTTTTTTCTGAATAAAGTGTACTTTCGAAATGAGGCCGCGACCATTCGTGCCCCAATCACTCACTAGCAACTAGTTGATCTGCGGTCCGGCTCCATTTTTTCCTTGCTTCACCGCCGAGCATTCATCATACTCCCATCGATAATATCGCCTCCATGAACTCCTTCAAGCCTTCTCTCAAAATGAAGCCAGTCTCCAAATCTTTGGTCAAGGGCGATAAGATCACTCCAGAGTCGGTCTCCAAGTAGGTTTGCCGACGCCCCGACTTTGCAGCCATGATTACGCGTTTTCGCATCCTGCCCTTCGGTACTCCCGTGGCCGATGGCACCCTGAAGTTGTGCCTCAAATCATGCTCGGCTGTCACAGGGGTCGTCTTTGAGAGACTCCGATCTCGGTCGCGGGCATCACGCATCATTCGGTGACGTCTCCATCGCGCTTTCTGGACTTATCATGATACTCTTGCCTATTGATCTCCCATGAATCGGCCTCATCCGACACCAGACTCACGAAGCCGACTGTGGGAGTATGCTACATCGGCTGCCGCATTTACAGCCGTCGATCGCTTCCGCGATTTCTCTCGTGGCTTTATGAGTTCCTTGCTTACAGAGCCTTCTGCATACAGTTTCTCTGCCCGATATCTGCCAACCGGCACATCCAGGTGACTTGCACTGAAACCAGCTTTGTTTTCGTCCACCAGCTACCTGTGGCCGCGTTTTCGTTGACTAGTGTGGGATATGCAGCTCCTGGAAACCATTCTGACCCGTTGTTAATCTCTCACCCGACAGTTTCTCCAGTTCAATATCCGAGATGTCGCAAACGACAAGGTTAATCTCCGATTGGCAAATTCTATCGCCAATAACACACTCCCAATAACTCAGACATTCCTCTCAGGTGTATTTTGACATTGCCCGACCGGATATCCCCATCGACTGGGCCGAGCTCGACGCTGGATGGTAAGCTGCGGCATCTCGTGTGATAGTCACAACACGCTCTCGCGACGTGTCGCTGCGACTCCAATATTATACAGAGTACCGATTCGATTCTCGATTCACCTTTCAAGTGGAGATGAGATTCGAATGGTCCACTACAAATTTGACCGAGATTTTCTGAAGGCGAAGCGAATCGGAACTCGGTGAGCTAACCTGGTTATCGTTGCCCTCGGAATCGAAGTGACTCTTGCTTGATCCCGGTACTGCGAGGGAGCTGGCATGTCACTTTAGTATGCGTCTCGGCTGTGTCGACAGAATGTGTGCCTTTACAGTGCATTGCCATTGACCTCAAATATATCCACGAATTGAATCACGCTTTGGCATCGGGCTAGACTCACTTTTGCAGTTGGTCCTCAGGAGCTGAAGGGATTTCGAATGATCGAGAGACATTACTTTCGTGGCAAGCTGATCAAGTCTTTCGACTTTGATTTTGGATTCGGTGTCCGTATCCGATACTGTGCTGGATTCGCACTCGTCGTTCCGGTAGTGCACGATCGTCCGTGCCCGAAATTCATTGACATTTGATTGTTCTTAGATCCCAAATAGCGTCAATACATGGGAAAACATATATGAGGTTTGTTGACGGCCTCACCAGCAGTGCCTTGCCTCCGCTCACCGCCTCGGTATCGAACACCAAGCAGTAATGCGGCTATTGCGGATTTACGGAGCTACGCGGTTGCGCGGCATGTCCTATCCGCCTCCAGAATGATAGCCTCATCTATTCTGACTCGTGATTATCCAACACAGGTTCCTTCACTTGATGCTAGGACAAGTAAGTATGGAGTTGGTTGGGCGAAATTGCTTAGACGAATTCAAATTACTCTTCAAGCTTGTTCACAAATCACACATTCGTCGGCGCAACCTGTTCAGTTCAAGAAATGATGAAATGCCCAAATGAAACCATCTCCGATAGTTTCTACTTTGTCGACGGAAACCTCATCATGCAGAACAAAGCGTACTTTTCCTATATATGACGGACAAGAACTGAAGTCTCGGGTCGATACATGGCCGCTTGGGCGTACCGTTCAGATCGCAGACGAAGCTCTCACCTGTAGTCCATCGTTTCAGCCGTTACACATGACACATGAGCAAACGATGCACTGTCCCATTGGAACGAGCATGTAATCTGTGGTGGCCTGTGTCTAGCAAAGCCATATGCAATAAAACAGATCACTGTGGGCAGGTCGATTGCGGAGACCAGGGAGCGGCCGGAGGTCTTCACTCGGGGGCTGTCGAGGAGAACGCTTTCATTGTATAAGGCTGGGTTGAACGCGAGTTATCTCATACAGCACTTTGTTCAGGGGGGAGGAGGAATACGGAGGGATTCCCCTGGACAAAGAGTGTAAGTTTGTGTAAACCCCTCTCGGCACGCCACACCGCCAATCCGCATTCCCAAGCCGTTTCGGTGCTCTCGTTCCGGGATGTGCCGCTCCATTTGAAAGTTGCGTTTGGGCGAGGTCAAGGTGTTCTGAGCCAGATGCTCTTGCGATTCCTTTCGGTTGAATTGCACCTCCAAGCCCAGAAACATGGAAGCGAACACGGATTCGGTGCGCTCGGATATCCAGGTACGGGGGTTTGTTGGCTCCTCAAGTTCGTGTTGGCAGCGGGCTGACCGTTTTTTCGAATATCGTGGGCTCTGCGTTCCAAGAAATCGCACTTGCCAGTCTAAGCACCCTACTATCCATCGCCACCCCTTCGAAAAATAATCCACCCCTGCACAGAGATGGAGAGCCATTACCAACACCTGGAATGAAACTGGGCATCTCACCGAAAGAGTTGGGCTGATTCCCAAGAAAAGCCACAAAGTCAAAGCCACCCTCCACACCCACAGCAAAGGCACAGCGAAATCGCGGACACAGCCGCCGCGGACACTCAACACATATCTGGATCGACTGGTTGTGGCCCAGAAAAAGGATATTGACTCGCTCTCCCGCGGGCCCATGAGCGTTCGAAAAATGAACACCACATTCGATGAGGTCAAGGGCATTGATCCGCTTTCCAAAGTCGTGCCTGGGCCAAGGACCGCAACCGCATCGGCAGCCAACAGTGTTCCCTCACGCCCTCGCACTCAAACAGGCTCCGGCAGCTGCACCATCGCCCAGAAGCCTGTCTCTGGAAAATCGAGCTCTGCACGAGACTCACGAGCAGCGCCGATCAAAGCACGCTCGGCTCATTCAGAGACCTACAGTCAGGCCACAGGTCCGCCGATGCCCGATAGGCCCGATATTGCGCCGGATGATACATCGCTGATTCCAAGTGGAGATGGTATTCATCAGGTGCTTGAGCAATACGATCCCGTTAAGCTGATGGAGGCCAAGGAGAAAGCCCAGCACGAAGCACCCGCAAATGTGGAGCCGCACAAACCTCGCGATGTCACTAATGTCGCGATGGAACTGAAGAAGACTCGGCGCTTTATCCCGAGTTACCACACAAGCTTCACCAAATCGGACCAGTACCAAACACTCAAAACGATTGACGAAAAGGTCGTCGAGGGATCTTGGAAATACAGGCAGGGAAGTTTTGCCAAGGCCGATCGCCTTGCCGAGCTCCAGGACTATGTTCAAACGGTAGGCGCACACATGATCCCGGTGGGCCATGCTGCGAGGCATTGTGACCATGCAATCGGAGGAAATGCGGGCAGGATGGATTGTCGCTGAATCAGCATCTCCGCTCTTCTCCCTCGCGACTCGCTGCTGAAACTAGGAAATCAGAGCGCTAGGGTGCGACGGCTCCGGGCCAGATCTGAGGCGTCTTCAGATCTACAGTGTCTGCTTTGACCAAGTGATCGCCGAGTTTAGAACTTATGGGCCTTTGCTCGCAGAGATCAAAGTGAGGGTGCTGTCGTCGTTCTGTGCTGGCCTGCTGTCGCTGTATGCTCGCTGTCAGTCATGGGCATGTTGCGTCATTACTTATGCATGGCTCGGCGTATCCAGCGAGAATACGATAGAGTCATTGCCACATACAAGTATGATGAAAAAGAACGAGACTTTTTGCGATCAAAAGTTCAAAAGTTGCTGAGTCAAAACGAAAACAGACTGTTGCTGAAGTATGAGCGCAGGAAGTGTATCAAACTGGAGGAGGAGACGGATCGACTGGATGGTAAGACGGCGATAGCAGCCGGTGATGCTCTTAGTCGCGCGCATGGCCAACCAATAATGAAAGTTGTGCTGAAATTGCAATCTCCTGCATACATGATTTTACACAAGCCGAGAATCAATTGTGAGTGATGTCTGCACCATTCAGCACACCGAGAACTGGGCAGCTCCGGCGGCCGCTGCACGTGCTTTTCAGCCACAAGTGGTAATTGGAACGCTGGCCTTCATTTGATACACCGCCAGCCTCAAGTCCGAGCTTAAGCGCAAGCTCTCTCTCTACGCTGGATATTTGCCGGCATCGGTGTTCCAGGAGAAAAGGAAGGATGAAATACGTAAGCTTGCTCTTCACAATGCCCCATGTCGCGAATTGCTGCCCGAGAGCATACATTGCAGAGCATCATAGCAAAACATAGAGGTCTTTCAGATCGAAGATGAAAGCGATATCAAGCCAAGAACGAGGCTGCTTACTTGGTCTGCTTTCCATCCGCACTGACGATGCTGTGATACTCGAGGCAGTGCTCAAAGACTCAAGTATTCGACGTCATGCTATTGGCGAGGATCCCATCACCGTCTATGAGGGGCGCATCGCTAATCTCGAAGCAGATAACGAGGCACGATATGTCGATATCAAAGCATTAGAGCGAGCACTCGAAATGGATTATGTTCCGCGCCAGCTACATGAAAAGCTTGACGATGGGTACAGAGAAGCCGAAAGCGAACTCCGAAGAATTCGCGAGCGCGCCACCCAGCTTGAGAAAGATCTGGCACAGAAGCAGGAAGAGCTCACCAAAACAGAGGCGGCCCTGCGCGAGAAGGAAGAGCAGTATCTCTTTCTCATCAGCGAATACAAGTAAGCCGATGCCTTTGCTACTTGATATGCCTCGACCAACTATTTGGAGCATAAGCAGGACTGCAGACATCTCGCACTGTCCACAAGCTATTGCACAGTACTATTAACGCCGCCGACCTCTGTGCCGACCTTTAGTGAACTCTCGGAGGCCATGACCAAGCTGGGCAGTACCTCCAATGCCAAGGTCGGTGGTTACTATAGCCGTTCCCGAATGCGATACGTGATAGCAGTGGTGTCCTCGTTATATCCCGAAAGGCAGTCGATAGAGCGGGGCTATCGTGGGGGGCTACTGAGCTAACATCGGGATTTCATGAACGGGCAGTCGGGATCGGTCGGCAACGCAGCCCAAAATCCTTCCGGCTCAGGTATCATCAGTACCGCGGCCGGCGTGGATAAATCATCACCTGGGCTTGAAGATGCTCACGCCATCAGCGAACACCGGGAAAGTGCGGTGGCCCAACCAGATGAATGATCCAACGCCAACGAACACGTCGACAGAGAGATCCTTGTCGACTTAATGACATGCCTTATGTATGGCCCGGTGGGGAGTGTCCTGGCTGCTCCCTGTTACCCACTGCGATGGTGATGGGCAGTGAAGGAGCGGCTCGAGATAGTCGGAAAGCATCAGGCGACGAGGCGTGGAGCCATTTTCCGTGACTTGCTTCCGTGGGTGGATGATTATTGCCGTGTATTGTCGTCCCAACAAATGATCCCAACAAGGAGGATGCCCCGCCTCATTTTTGAACGCTGCAAATCTATTCATATCGATTGGCTGCAACAGTGGTAGTAGTGACACAATCGATTCGCATCAACCAGCCATCAAATGGAAGCTCTCTATGATGTAACCAAAGAGCGACTCGCGGATCCACAATCATGTCCGTGTCCTCGAGCGCACGGAGTATGGTACATTTCCTAACAAGCTTCGGGCTTGCTGCGCCGAACAGGAGGGTTCCCAGGCGATCACAGAACAAAAGCCTTGCCGGTGCAACTCCGACAGCCAGTGAAATCGCGAACATCTCCGTTGATGAGCATTCCCTTTACAACACCGTTTCGAATAGCTTCCTGGGCTCTTCTGAGCAAATCTTCGCGCTGAAGCTGCTCCTTTTCAACCATCTCGCGAGTAATAGCATGCTGTCCAGGGGACAAGGGACCACGAATGAGGTCTTGATCCTTTTCACTATGGTCCTGACTGTGATCATGGCTATGATCGTGACTGTGATCGTGAGGCTCGTAATAATGGTCGTGATCATGGCCGTGGCGGCTGTCGTGGTGGTCGTGGTGGTCGCGGTGGTCGCGGTGGTCGTGATCGTGATCGTGGTGGTGATCGTGGTGGTCGTGGACATGGTCATGGTCATGGTCGTGGCGGTCGTGGTGGCCATGGTCATTGTTGGCGGTCTGGTGAATTGCATTCGATTGTTTGTTTTCTGCTCTCTCCTTCGAATGTTGCTCCAGCGAGATCACTCGGGCAATGCTCTGAGTTGGGGTTATCAGGATCTTGGCTGGTTCTTGCTGATGCGATATCGAGGCAGGACGACCGTCAAGGCTGGCGCTCAATAAGGCACTAGGGATGGCGCTGGGATCAAGGTGGCCATCCCTTTGAATCCGAACAACAAACTTGCGCAGCTGTTGGATCAGCGCCCGTCGCTCTTGGTGATAGAGTTGGATGTAGTCGGGCAGGGCGTCGACTTCGGCTGTTAACGAGAAAATGTGGCAATTAGCTGCGACGGTAAACGTGAACGACACTGCAGTAGCGATTTCACTATATGCAGTATTAGCCTACCGGAAAGAAGGACGTTGAGTTTCCGCTCCTTATCCAACTCGCTGGACAAGACTTGATTCGTTTTAATTACTTCCCCGAGTTGGTGTTTGTACTGTTTTAGGGAGGCTTTCATGGCCGAGAGTTCGTCAGCTTCGCCAGAATCTCCTACCAGGCTACCAGATGCCTGTTTTAACTCTTGGCTTGCTGCCGATCCGTCCAATGCTTTGTCGAGGGCGGTTGCCGGGTGCTCGGAATCCAAGTCAGCGGGTGAGTCGGCAGGCAGCTGGCTAGTTATTGAAGCATTCTCGAGGAGTTTTTGGTCTCGGAGGGCTTGTAGCGACTCAAGCTCCAGAAGGTATCTGTTGGCAGAGTCACCATGAAATAGTTAGTATGAAGCGACTCGAGCTAAGAGCCGTATTCAACTGGCTTGTCTCCGATCGACAGAGATTGAGAAGGGACTTGCCGTTGGATGCGCCGCCTCTCTGTTTCTAGTTCGCTGGCAAGCGCAGCTTTCTCGTCGTTGATAGCGATATGACGCTCTCGCAGCTCGCCAAGCTGAAATACGAGGCTTTTGTTCTCTGCATAGAGCCTGGAGACCTTCTCAGTCATTTCCGTCAGCGTATCGTTCAGTTTCACCTTGGACTCCATATCTTCAAGCCAGCGTTTGCGAAGCTTGTCAAACTCAACGGAAGTGGACTCTCTCTCGGCCATGGACTGCTCAAGTTCAAGCAGTCGGACTTGCGTAGAGCCCAGCAGCTCGTGTTTGTCTTGAAGCTGTTGGGTCGTTGATGTTAATGCAAATTCCAAATCCTGAACACGCGCTTCAAGGAAGAGCTTCGCGTCGGTCTCGAGAGCGTATTTGACCCGAAGCCCTTCGTTCTCTTCCTCGACTTGGCGAAAGACTATGGCTTCGTTATCGAAACCTCGCCGAGCCGATTCGAGCTGCGCGGAACAAGCAAGATGTTAGTGTGGGCCATGGAGCCACTCGTATCAGCAAACTTGACGCACCGCACAGTCATGTTGATGTTATCCAGCCCGTTAGCATCCAGACATCGTTTCGGATTCTACATAGACGCAATTCAGTCCAGTAGCACTGTTCTTGTCGATAGCCGTACCTCTGCAATTGTGGATTCAAGGCGCTCACGCCAGACATTGGTTTCTGTCTGTGCTTTGTGCAATGCTTGCTCCAGCTCCGCAACTTGGTGCGCTATTTCTGCGCCACGACCGGGCTCCTCAGCAGAGATAGCGGTTAGGCGCTCGTCTTGTATTCGAAGCCTCTCAAGCAAGGCGAGTTTCTCAGTCTCCAGCCGAATATTGGCGGTGGCTTGGATTTTGCATTTTTCTGCGAGCTGCTGGTATTCCTGATTCAGTAAGAGAACATCTTGCTGGGCATGCTGGAGCTCCAGCTTCATGACAGAAAGATCCTGAGAATGGTCAATCTGTGGACTCTTCTCGTCCTTTAGGGTCTGCAACTCGCTTTGAATTTGCAGCAGATACTGCTCCAGGGCAATTTTTTCATTCAAGAGATGATGCTTCTCCGATATGAGGGCGTTGCTTTTTTGCTCCAGGCGCGACCGTTCCTCAATCAGCGCATTTATCGTTTGAAGATGTGACTGAGCAAGAGAAGACTGGGAAGGCTGAGCGAACTCGAGAACGGGTGCAAATGAGGGTGACGTGGTGCTTGACAGAGGGCTCCGAGATTGAAGGGAAGGCTGTAGCAAGATGCCCAGGGGCTGGTCAGCATATGAAACAGATCACGGGCTCATGCAACTGCCCCCATGAGTTGGACACAAACAACGACAAATTCCAAGACATATGGGAAAGGGAGGACACACGAGGAGACACGAGGACTGGATGAGGCAAGACGATGCTCGAGGAGGCAGTAGGATGCAGTAGGATGCACAGTTGCATTGGTGGGCAGGGATAGGGCAGGCTGATCGTGTCCGTCACGGTAAGCGAGCCAAGAAGCGAGCGGGTGTAAGGTAAGGCTCGTATAAATTTCATGGCAATTCGTGTACTCTGGCTACCTCGATGATCGAATGCGGTCTGGGCGAGCCTTCGGTGGAAGCATCAGGCTGAAATGATGCTGATGGAGGAGGGGGCTATCGAAGAAACGAGTGAGATGGCAAGCCGCGAGAACACAAGCTGCTCCAGAATTGGATCGAAAAAAATGGAAACCCTGCTTGCACAATCATGGATGTAAATTCAGGGATGCGAAAAGAAACACAGCCGGTAACGACGAACATGAGACGCAAGGCCTGGAGAGAGTGTTGGCGACTGGGCTTGGATTGCTTGAAGCTCAGCAGGCAGTGGGTCGCTCACAGGAGAGGGCGACATGACCGCGCGCTGCTTCTTCTGGAAGGACTTGAGCTTATAAAGGCAAGCGGGTATTTGTGGCGTGAGCGAAGAGCATGGTGGGCCGGCAGTGTGGTGGTGATGCTTCCACACACAAGTAGATGCACGGCGCTCTGGGTCAAGCAGGATCTCTGCACGAAGCGGCTCTGTTGGATAGCAAGCGCAGGCGAGCTGTCGCCGCAATATCGCTGGCGCCTACCATGCGCTTTGCGGCAAGCAGCTTTTCCTGGCGCTCTTGATCGGCTGTCGAAGACATGGCGGCGACGGATTTGCCGGGTGCTGGGGCAGGGGAGTCTGATGGTGGGCCACGCAGGACGCCCAGGACGAGGCGGGCACGGCTACGGGGCTGGGGCTGGCAGAGGCAGGGCAAGGGCTCGCAAGGGCTCGCAGGGCTCACGACGCAGGCCCGGATCAATATCGGCCGGATTTGGGCTCCGCGATCCCGCTCCTGACACCCACCCGCCGCCATCCTGGCCTTTGGTTTGGGCGTTGCCGACATCGACAACGGCCGCCGCATCATACCAGCCAGCTCGCCAGTGTCGACAAGAGCCATGCCTCCCCGACCTGCAGAGCCAAGTGATCCCAGAGGCGCAGCCCAGGCATCCATCAAGGCCCTGGCCTCGCATCTGCGACATACTCATCTCAAGGAGAACACGGCCGAGTACCACAGGGCAAGTTGGGTGGGATCGCCCCTGCACTTTCTCCACAGGTCGATGGATGTAGATAAACGCAAGCGGAAGCGCTCCTCCAGCAAACCCATCTACGAGGACTTTGCTTGCATCCCACTTTCCGATCTCGCGGCAAGGACACCTCCGAGCCTTCAATGTGCGCGACCGAGCACTGAGCGTATCTCATCCTGATCAACTTGCGCAGATCAACAGACTCGCGGTCGCTGCGAGTGCATCGGGTAAAGCGGCGCCGTTGCAGCAAAATCCTCACAAGGTCAATATTGCTGATGACACCCAGCCAAGTAGTCATTCAACCACGAGCGCCAAGCCCGTATCGCAACAGGCCTCACAGAGAAGAGCCGGTGCTGCTGTCCAGGCCTCTGGATACAAGTTGCCGCCAACAGCCGGACTTGCTCCATTGCATCGGCCGCTTGCGCATACGAAGAGCGCGGCAGCGTCGACAATGACCACCTCGTCGACACAGAAGACGAGCTTGCCTCAAGATGCTTCCGATCCGACCCAGGCTCTGGCCTCACAGCCCTCTATGGCCCCGACGGAGGACGCTCCCAACTCTGAAAGTGCTTCGGTGCGCCACAGTCTGAACATCTCGTCGATGGAGCGCTCATGGTCGATCGATGACTTTGACATTGGCAAGCCCCTGGGCCGCGGCAAATTTGGGCGGGTCTACCTGGCGCGAGAGAAGCAGAGCGGATATGTAGTAGCTCTGAAGATTCTGTACAAGGACGAAATCACAAAATACAAGGTCGAGAAGCAGCTGCGTCGAGAGATCGAGATTCAAACAAATCTAAGGTGAGAAGCATGACTATTTGAGGGATCTGAAGTCAAAGGTCACTGTAGGCTCGCGATTACGCTCAACGGCACGAGAATATGACGTCTCGGCCGCTAAAGCAGACCGGTTGCGCGCTTCCCCTCGACAAGACATGAGAACATCCTGAGGCTCTATGGCTATTTTTATGACTCCAAGAGGGTTTACCTGATCTTGGAATATGCATCTGGAGGCGAGCTGTTCGATGTCCTGCAAAAGCATCGTCGATTCAAAGAGCATGTTGCCGCCAAAGTAGGTACCGGCCTGCTTAGCACGAGAGCGAGGGTCTGAGACTCATAGACGGCCGGTTCCACCTTTTCGTCGGGTATCAAGCTGACTGAGATTGATTAATATTCACGCCATCATCAGTACATTGCACAGATGGCAAGTGCCCTCAAGTACCTGCACAAGAAAAATGTCATTCATCGCGACATTAAGCCAGGTAGGAGACTGCTACTTCCGGGTCCGTCGAAAGGACACAGCCCTGACCGCGCCCTTTCGTGGCTCGACCGATCTTGGCCTGCTTTACTAGAGAATATGCTCCTTGGCATTGGTGGCGAAATCAAACTTGCAGACTTTGGTTGGTCTATCCATGCGCCAAACGCCAGGTCAGGCTCCAGCGCGAGTATTGCATCTGCTTGTCCCACCGCAAACATGACTTTCTGGATCTTGCCGTGGCCCATTGAGCGGCCATATTATGGGGGCGATATCCGACTAAAAGCACGTCCGTGGTCGACCTTAGGAGGAAAACGTTCTGCGGCACTGTGGACTACCTTGCTCCCGAGCTTGTTGCTCGAAATCAGAGCCACGATGCTGGTGTCGATATCTGGGCTCTGGGTGTCCTATGCTACGAGTTTCTTGTCGGGGATGCACCTTTTGCGAACGAGAAGCAGCAGGTCACATTTCAGCGCATTCAAAACATCGACATCCTCTTCCCTGCTCATGTGTCTCCGGCGGCTCAGGATCTCATTATCGGGGTAGGCGTCGATGTTCAGTGGCCACGAGGCGTTGTCGGGTCAGCTTGGGCAACCCTACAGACGGCGCGGAGATCTAACCACTTGTGAATCGGCTCTCTTATTTTCACTCTCGGCAAGCTTCTCCAAAAGGAGCCTCATGACCGCTTGACTCTTGATCAAGTCGCACAGCATCCCTGGATTCTTGCGCATACTCAGCCTTTGGACCTCGGGTCACGGCCCCTCAGCTCCAAAGGCAGCCGAAGCAGAGTCCTTGAGAATGATGGCAAAGGGGATGAGAGTGACGAATGCAACCACTGATTCATTTGTGACGGATCAATGAAGCTTGGTGACTGCAGCCAGAGTGAGCTATCTTGCCATCAGGGACAAATTTTATACCAGTCCGGTCCCGGTCCCGGCAAATAACAGTAGACGCAGGGCCAGGAACGAATCGTAAACTGAGCGCTCACATATCATGCTTGAGAGCGATAAGCAGTGGACAGTGTTCATCAGTGGTCCCTTTGAGATGAAGGCTCATAGACTTACACTCTGCCCGCTGATGTCGTAAGCCACTGTATCCAAGTTCGTCTTTGTTGGAATGCTCACAGGCCCAACGGTGGAGTAGCTCATATGACCCACGGAATCGCATACCACGAGCTGGCTGTAGCTCTCAGAATAGACAGCTACAGTCGCCACGATAAAAAGGTCGATGCCAATCGTTTTTGAAAGACCAACAGGAAGAAACCAGCAAGCCAGCTGACTGGGCGCTTGCATTCACGAACACGCCCGATGGAGTCTGTAGAATTGTGATATATATTCAGCCAGGCTTACTCGTGTCGCAGGTCATCAAAGAACGGATCTGTGTTTTCGTCAAAAAAAATGTTGCGAATTAGGTTTTGCCGCAGCTGGACAAGCTCCTGTCTCGAACCGGGTGTTCTGCAAACCAAAAAGCCTCCTTACGCTGAAGGGCCTTCTCGGCAGATATACGCTTCTCTGGCTGGCATTCTATCAGCCTCGATAGTAAATCGATTCCATTGGCGTCGAGCTTGGGGAACAGGGCGTCAAGTTTCACCTTGGTAAAGATCGGAAAGCCCAACTGTCGAGGTGCAACCCAGTGAACGATATTCAGAAAGAGCCCTTCATCGCAGGAGCTCCGGCAAAATCGTGCGTGCTTAGATCTTAGGATGACTCCTATCGCGTTATAGATCGGCGCAAACGAGCGCTCGGCAGTTTCAAATACCTTCCAGTCTGGCAGCTCTGTGATTTTCGGCCACGTCTAAGTGTTGAAATGGGTAAGAGTTTGATGGAATTACATTCATTGATTTGCCAGTGCATCTGTTTGATCACAGGTCTCACAACGAGACAACTGGCACTCTGCGCACTGGTACCTTTTCGTCGGGTGTGCCTGTGATTTTGAATATCTTGTGGAGTTGGTCCTTTACAGATGTGCCCATGAAGAGGGGGCGGCCTGGAAGCCGAGGAAACAAAGTGAGTGATGCGCGCTCAACGGTGAGCTTGATGTGGCGGATAGAAATCAGAGTGCCACCGATGAGTGTGGCGGCAGTGTCGGGCCTTACCCGTTGCCATTTCGGCCATGATGCATCCAGCTGACCACATGTCAATTGACGTTGAATATTGTCGAGAGCCCATCAGCACATCCGGTGAGCGGTACCAGAGGGTCACGACCTCGTGAGAGTAGCTGCGCACTAAACCGCGGCCCGAGGGAAGAGTAAACGTGAGCAAGTTTGAATGGATGGCAATCTTCGATCTGCCGCGAAGGAGACCGGCAGTATTATGGGACATGCTACATGGCGGGCCGCGTATATCTGAGTGGTTGTCGATGTTGCGAGATCTGATGTCATCAGCCTAATGCACTACCTGGAATTCCAAAAGCACGGGCCAGTCCGAAATCTGCAAGCTTGAGCTCTGATCGCTTATGGATCAAAAGATTTCTAGTGGAGACGATTGCACGATCAAAATAGAGACTTGGTTCGTTATCACGACACGAGCGACGCGTCCACTATCGGAGCCAAAATCATGATGATGCGCAACACATCTGCATTCTCTGGTGACTCTCCAAGACTATTGCCGGCTTAAACTGTGCATCTGAGCCGAGTGGACATACTGAGGCTTGAGATCGCGGTGCAGAACTCGGTTTTGGTGACAGTAGTCGATTCCGCGCATCAGCTGGTACATGAGATTCTAGAGGGCCGGCAGAGCAGAGCAGAGCAGAGCAGAGCAGAGAGTATGAGAAGCGACATCGCTCCACCCGATGCCGCATTTATCCAACTAGAACCGTACCTTGATTGTGGGCACATCAATATCCCCGTTGCTCATGTCCAAGAATTTCTTCAGGTCCGAGTCCATAAACTCGAACACCAAGGTCAACTTTTTTTCCGTGTGAATGACGTCATACAGGCTGTCGTCGATAGCCGGTTAGCCGCTGGCAACAGTGCTGGTGCAAGCAGCTGTGTAGATAAGCTTGTTGCTGGCGCCTCACCGGACAATATTTGGATGCCGTAACTCCTTCAAGAGTGATATCTCCCTGATGGCTATCGGCAAAGGTGGGTTGCACAGATGTAATCAGGAATCACCAGTCTGATCGACGGCCGGAGGATTACGGTATCCCGGTATCTACCTGTGCATGGTACGCCCTGAGCATATGAATGGCACGTTAAATCAGTGTAAGCTGTTCGGCACCGAAATTTGCCAATAGAGCCATCATGCTGACTGTGGAGCGCAACTCGCCTCTTCCTCATTGTCGAGCCTTATCTACAGTAGAGTCGGTGTGGTGGAGTGGCAGGGAAAGATTATTCATATCAGAGCGTCTGGTGTACACACAGCCACACAGTGTGATGTCAAACAAGTGTGGAGCACGAACAGATATAGCGACTCAACGATAATGAGCCATGGGACTCAGGTGGCAATTGCATGAGTCCCTATCCAACAACGGTACAGATGGCCCATGATACACATGCATGGTATTCCAGAGGCTAAATAGGCGTCGTCCACCCACGCCAAACGTCGAGCGCCAATCCAAACATCCGTCTGCCGTCTCGCAATGGCATCTCAGCCAGTGTTAGCGTATTCGAACTGCCAAGGGATCTTTCCATATCTCCACAAATTCGATAGAAACTGAGCTTACTCGCTTCAGAGCCACGATGTCGCCGGTCAGCTTGTTTTGGGCCTTGTATACAATCCCATAAGTTCCTGCAGATTGATTTGTCAAACATACATGGGAAAGATCCCCAGGCCAGGGATCATGAATTAACACAAGTGCTTCAGAAAGCGTGGACCGGATAATTCATGTTCTGACACCAACTCGAGCTTCCATGGTAACCAACTTGCCTTCGCCCAGCTTGTCGATTTTCTGTGTTCCGCGAGGGGGTTGCGCAATGGTTGTGTTCGATCCGGCAACAAGAAACGGTGATGGTTATGACGAGCAACGGCAATTTCTGTTGCCGTGGTTATATCCATCTCCTACAACACAGAGCACTGCTTCTGCGAGTCCTGCGTCGCTATCAAAATCGACCCGATCCGCCATCGGGGGGGGGGAAAGCCGGCGTCGTGCCACTGCCGCTGCTGCTGCCCCTACTGCTCAAGATGGACCGCAGTGCTGCTTCTTGTCATGGGGGTGGGAGTTGGATGCGCTGCCCGGTCCCAATCGTGGAGTCGGTGCGTTGTCGGTATCGCCATCAAGCCGCCATTCCCAGATTAATGCCCCGAAACAGGCCGACGGATGGCGGTGCACCTGCATGGCGGGTATCGAAGCCGTGTCCCGAAATCAAGGACACGGCAGTCCTCGCCCCAGTCCTTCCGAGTGCTGGAGCGTGCCGACCAACCTGGTATTTGTCCATAGCGCAATATGGGCAGCGAGGGCGTTGCGGCGATCGAGCTGGACCGAAACAGACAGAGACCGCGCCGCGGGCGGTTCGGCATGAGCGAGAACAGGCGAGGGCTCTTCTCGGTCATGTGACAGCGTCAATCGCCTGCGCCACAGCCAGTCCAGCGTCCTGCAGCTGGCGATGCTGCTCCCTGGGTGTTTCGACCGGGGTGGTCGCCTCGCGTCTGTCGCCTCCTCCTGTTCTTCATCGGCCTCGCCTTGTCCTCTGCCGTCCACTCAACTCTTTCCTGGCAAGCGTTTCGCCACAACAGCCTCGCCCGACACCTCGAGCAGTCACTGGAAGCCACTAGAAGCCGACACCCACCGGCCGCCTCTACATATTGTCATTGGCTTTGGGGCGAATTGACGGAGCCTATTGTGCAGGCGCCATAGCTGCTCGCCATGGATGCGGATAGAGTAGGAAACAAAGACTGCTGCATCATTGCCAATTTGTGCGATGTGCTCACTTGAGCGCTCAAGGCTCGTATTCGACGGCTAATCTCTTTCGTTTCCTCTCCAGCTTCACAAGATCGAGGAGGAGCTTGTTACCCAGCTCAAGCTCAAAACAGGTTAGGCTGAGGCGATGACAGCGGCTCGGAGATACAGGCTCAGATCCCATCGCTCTCAATTCATGGGCAGAAGGTGGCGGCCGGTCTCTGGCTGGGGAGATTAATCAACGTCCGTTATCATCGCATCGACGGACTCATTTCTTGCTTGCCTCTCGACCATCAGCTGCCGAAAAACTCTTGGCCGCCGCCAACGATCCAAAGACTGGCGGGTCCATCAATCGTCAGGAGGTCGAGGCCCAGTACATCGCCGCCGATGCGAAATTCGATGCTCTCGCTCGGATGCTCGATGAGCATCGCCGCACCGTGTTTGAGAGGGAAAGCAAGGCACATTCTGGTCGGCCGAACCAGGCTTCCGAAACAGACTTGTCACCGCCTTCGACGACCATCAAGAAAGAGGAGAGAAAAGGTATGGCGTGTTCGGAGATTGTACTGTGGCCAGCACTCCGCGGTTCGGCCGGCTCAGTGGCGGCTCGGTATAGTCCGTTCGGTATATCCGGTTCGGTTGGCTTGCTCAGCCTGCATGTCCAGTCAATGCCCCAGTCAATGCCCAGCCAATGCCCTGGAAACCCCGTTGACAGATATGTCGCTGGTTTCGGGAATACAACGAATATCTGCCAGTGGTACTCTACAGCAGCTCGGATTTGTTGGCCAAAATCCGCGATCCTCAGCAGAAAAGGGAGGTGCGTGTTGATGCGGTCACAAGTTTGGTGAAGCTCATGAAGAAGGTCGGTGATATTGATCTCGCAACGAATTTCCCACTTGAAGAGTCTGTTCGGAGGTGAGTTGAGCTGCCTTGACCCTGCATCCACGGATACGGAGGAGCCTCACACTGGGCGCCTGTAACCAATCCAAGTTGCGTGCACATTGATGATGGCCCTTCGGCGCGATGTTTCTGGAGCCCATCTCCCGAGCTTGGCCCACCGATCTGACCTCCATTTTTACCACGTTGCATCCATGATGGTCATGGGGTGCAGCTTGAGGGCCTGTGTTTTGGATCCCTCAAAGGAGCTTCGAATGTATGGCTATCGGGCGCTGAGGCATATGACCACCGGGCTCCGCATCATCAAGCTCTTCTTCGAATACCGGCTAGATATTTTCATCGTCAGGTAATCTATGCTCGCTCCGCGGCGTGGGAGGGCGCAGTGGCGGTGAGATTGCCATGCTCATCGTCAGTGTCACGAGTACCGCGTGAGCTGTTTGTGGGGATGTGAGGCACAGTGGGAAATGCAGTCCCTTGGCGGCATAGACGCCGTCTTTCCTGAAGTTATTTTGTTCAGCACATTGGCGCTGAAGCACACTATTCTGGTCCTTAATCCGATGCCATATGCTCTCTCGGACCCACATTCAGGAGCTTGACTCGCGACATTCGGTTCGACGAGGAGCGCGTCCACGCCATCAAGTTGATTCGGTCCATCATCGATGTCCCGGAAGGCGCGGATTATATTCCGCAGAGCATCGTTCGAATTCTCGTCTCAATTGTTGGTCAAGCAGATGAGAGCTTTCGCAACGTTTGCCTTGAGACCCTGTGCGAGATAGGTGAGCCGAAGAGCCTTTGTTTTCAAGAGTCCACGGATTTGGGCGATGATTCTGGTGGAGATGTATGACAAGTTGACCAGTGTACAGCACAACCGCGCTGGAGTCGGGTTGTGTCGATGTTGCTTTGCCTAATGCGCCCCTTGGAACTCTCGGTATATCCAGCAATACGTAACGCCAAGATTGTTACATACTGCGGCGGAATGAAGGCAATATGTCTGGCACTGGCTGAAGGACCAAAACAGCTCAATGATATTGTCGTCAAAACTGTCCTCTATTTGCTGGATCGGCCGTCGACGAGAAAGTATGTTCGATTGTCCACCGAAGCCGAGGTAATATTGCAACGTGGTTGAGGATAATTGCAGCCAATATTCGACCTTTGGAAGAGGCTAATGAGGTTTACTTGTGGTCCAGGTCATCGTGTCCTGTTTTATGGATGCCTTCTCGATGGGCATCCAGACTCAAGAGGATCGATTGGCGGCCTCATCCATGTCAATCATCAAGCTTCTCAAGTCGTGGACCGGACTCATTTATCTTTGCACAAATAACAAGCTGGCGATCCGGTCGATCGTGAATGCACTACAAATGCCAATGGACGACATTCGGGTAAGGGCACGTCTCTACGAATGGAGGAGTGGAGGATCACACCCACCACAGACATTATGGGTTTCTGCACTGAAGTCAACTCACTCTTGCCTTGGTATACGCTTTCTAACTCTTGGACTTTGATTGAAATATCTGGAGATAGAAGCTGGTATTGGATATGTTGTTTGATATCTTTAGGGTCGATATTCCGCAGTGGTTTCCGGAATATGTTGCATCTCGCAAGCACCCAGGTGAGTCATGGATACGATGTCGACAGGCGGCAGCTCCTCGGTGCTTGGATGGCCATATTGGAAGTCCCATCGTGAGCGCTTACGGATCAGCAAATGTGACATGCAACTGTCATTCGAGAGTTCTGGGATCACCAGAAAACAGTATACAGAAACGTAAGGCGGCACCGCATTGTTATGTAAAGGCAAAAATTACTGACAGCTGTACGCTGGTTGTTTGCGCCCGTATGCAGGCCAGTTCCCTGTCGCTCTTGATCGACCCCCAAGGCAAGCTGAGGTCGCCGAGACGAGCCAGGATGAATCCAATCTAGTGGACATGTACATGACCATGCTCTTGACTGCTTTCATTGAAGTCGGCGTTCTAGAGGTAGAGCAGTGTGATCAAGGAGCACGTTCAAGATCGCAATGGCCGCCCTTGCCGCCATAATGGCATTTTAATCCGATCTATGATTGTAGGCGCTGATCGAAGTCATCAAGTCCTCAGCTGGAAAGGCCATCTCGACACGGGCAACGATTCTCATCGGCCAGATCCTGGCCCTCGCTCATCGGCTGTTACCAGCTTCGGTTGCAATCAGGATTCAATCCCTGTCGTCGCTCTTCCAGGTGGCCTCTGATTTTGGGGATGAGAAACAGCGATATCGTGCAACTCTGGCCCTCTCGCATATGGACAGATTTCTACAGAACAAAGACAAGTTGCTGAATATGTCTGAGGACTCGCGCAGGTAGGAGTCTACCCACGACCACGTGGCATCCGAAGAAAACTGCCCATAGCGAGTAGGATCTCGACACCTAGGCCAGTAATGACTGGGTGCGAGAAGGTCCAAAGCAGACATCCCACTCATTCAATTGCTGTCACATTAACACATGTTCCATTTTGCGGAACATCGGCTGTTCATCTACCACCGACGATGATATATGTTTGTCCTAGGAGCCACCACGAAGAATATGGCGCAGCTTCGTCACGTCAGTTGGAAGACATGCGCACAAAAATGGGTCTCTTCATGGATGATGCACACTTTCGTAATCTTTTAAACGAGTCCGAGGTATGAAGAGTGACGTTATAGAGAAAACTTCCATCCTATAGCCACGGTATTGACGGCAATCCTTACTATTCAAGGTGATTGGGACGAAAGAGTATCCTCAGTGGAACTGGGATGCAATTTCGCAGCTCATCCAAGGCCCGCTCAAGAATCTTCGCCGACTAGACGACACGATCAAAAACACAAAGTTTGTCAGAAGACTCCTTGCCTTCTTCCGTCCCAGCACACATCAATTTTCGGATATCAAAAAGAGCAAGGTAGGTCATGGTGGACGATGGCCACTCCTCTTCAACTGCGCGGCAGATAAAAAACTATCATGGTGGGGGATTAGAGGCGTAGAGCCAATCGATGCCAATGCGGCGACAGATTAGCATTGCATTTGCGAAGGAAACGGCAAGCAGCTCAGAGACAGTTGTGGCTTTGATTATTCTGGGGTTCCACGATGCGATAAGATAGTGATTGGATGACCGAGAGCTGTGGGCGACGTCGGCAACATCCATCAATTATCAGCCAAGATTCGAAAAAAGGTCACTGATCTCACCAAATGATGTTTGAATATCGATGGTGCCAGGGGTCGCAAAAGTTTTCGTCAATTGCAAGTGACGTGCTTATTTTACTCTTGCAAACAACCGAAGGACAACGAGCCTTAATGGAGTCCAGAATTCTTCAAGAGATCGTCGAGTCTGTAAGACTCCTTGATCCGGTAGGTTTTGCTCTGGAGCTTGCTTCTCATTTGAGGGCACGGCTGAGTTCAGGAATGCGCTTGTTTGGTCGGGTACACGTTGGTACACCCGATAGATGGATTGGTCGAAGCTCTTGAGGTCCATGTGGGATCAAGATGCAAATTTGATTTGTGATAGACCTATCAGAGCGTAGGCAATGGGTCTGTTCCTGGAGATTTACGATCTCATACGGTGAACAAAGTCTTGCTCTTACTAAGGTTTGGAAGCTGTCCTTATGGCTTTGTGCCTTGTACATCAATAGGGCAACGGGCAATTGTTTGCAGATTCCCTCTTTGGAAAGGATCGAATGGAAAAGTCACTCACGCCAGAGTACATCAACATGCTGGGGGTGCTGATGAAGCATTCCGGTGGCATAGGGTAAGAAATAATAGTTCTTGAAGCACTTTGCCGCGATCTTGGATTTGCTTGGAAGTGCTTGCTTGATTGTGTATATTGACGAATATGTGAATCCTCGGACCCATGGAATCAATAGACTCCTCGAACGCTTTCGAGTCTTCACGGTACTCTACAAAATCACCGAGCTCCGTGGCCGAGAAGATTTGGTCAAGCTGATGCTTAGCAATATGAACTACGATGTGTGGGTGATTCTCGAAATTGCAGGCTTGCTGTCGCAGCAACAACCCTTCCTCTCTAATCCGGTTTGCGACTGCAGCGAAGGGCATCCTCGGATCATTCTCTCAAAGGTCCTCACATCCGGAAACAAGGTGTGCCATCGAGCCTTGATTACAGTCTTCTGTCTTCTGCGAATCGAAACCCAGCTAACGCGCGGCCATCTGACCGCAGGAAATGCGACTTTATGCAACGGAGCTGCTGTGCAACCTACTACGCGACGGCGCCGAGGGATTCTCCGACTGGGGCGTCCGCTTGATGGTCCCACAGGTAGGATCATGAGGAGAGGGGTACCGCAACATCATCCATCGAAGGATCAAGAGAGAATCTGTGTCAAATGAGAGCGAGACAAGCTGGAGCAAAAACGAACATCTCCGATCTTGGATTGCAATCGCCGAATTACGCAAGGGTCAATAAGAAGCGGAACCCATGGGCGAGGATGCCGTCATCATCGCTATGTTATTAACCTTATATTATTCAATGAATTCGATCCCGGGTGCAACTGGAAGTAGATATACGATCCATCAGTCGATATTCGTGAGAAGACATCTGTGGCCCTCAAACTTGCGTGTGAACAAGCAAACAGTCTGGAGACAGTGATAGAGCTGAAGCCAAAGTTGGAGCTGTTGGAAGCCAATGCTGAGCCGATACTATTGAGGTGTGCATATCAGAGGCGAGGGGCGAATGAACAACGATCATTAATCAAAGATGTCTGTCGCAACCTTGGCCTGTACCAAGGAATGAATTGGGCAACTTGAATGAGGTGACCGACCAATCCAACTCCTCAACTGATTGCCGATCCAATATCTATCAGAGTCCTGGGTGTGTCGTCTGGCTTTAGCTACCTGCACCAGCTTGGATACGTTCAACAGAAAATTACGGAATGGTTTGAGGTCGGTCGCATTGTGCTCTGTTACCTGAATATGACCCCGTATGACGACAGTATACCGACCACAGCTTTCCAACCATACACCCGCATGTCTCCATCGTCCCAAAAAGTTCAAGAACATGAGTTATGTTGTCAGCGTGGAATTATCACTCGACCGCACGCTTCATCGCTGTCAAGTTCAAGCAGAGTCGACGAATGAAAACTCCATGGAAAATGTGTATGCTCTCGTCTTTGATGAGTTGATTGAGTGAATGGAAGAAGGGAGGGAAAGATATCAGTGCCAAAGAGTGGATCAAAGACATCAAAGCGATCAATGGTCGTTACCCTGACTTCACTCTCGATATTCTACAACAGCGATGCAAGAGCACAACTCCATTTTTATGGTCAACTCACTAAAACTGAGGAGGGAACTCGACATCTCCGAGAGACGGGACACTTTGATGTCCTTGCAAACTATGTGCGAAAATTTGGTCTTGTGCCAGATCTCGATAGCAATCATTTGATAAGGTTGAAGGCCGCTCTCTGGGCAGTGGTATGTCGAGCATATTCTCGAAAGCAACAGAGCTGGCGTGGATACCAGCTCCAACCAAGGTTGTGGGAGGGGAAGTGTGGCTGTGCTTCTTTGAAATGGTCGGAGGATAGATCTGATCGCTCGCTATTACAGGGCAACATTGGCTCGACCAAATATGGTCTTGAACTACTTCAAGAAGCTCAAATCATACAGCATATCACAAAAATAGCGGAAGAGTCGCCAATCCTGTCTTTGAAAGGGTAAATTGTCATATGTGGGCACGCTACGTTGTATCACGCCGCCTTGTGCTCATGTCGCAATGGTTTCGATGACAGAACGGCCTACTTTGTTATTGGCCTTATTTCGAAGACGGCCAACGGTGCTGAATCTCTGCTGCACTGCCAGTGGGAGACAGTCAACTCGACCTTTGGACGCATCAAATCAGAGTCATGCATCCCATCGGATCCCAGTCGGTTTCTACAGGTACTGATGACCGTCAATGCTGTGATCCAGCGACCCACAGGCTAATGTTATCGCTCGTCATTGCGGTAACTATTGGCAGATTCCAGTGGACAAATACGAAGGCTCGTGGGCAATGCATTTGGTTCAGTCGATACAGCCATCTTACGCACTGGATGACCTTGAGGAGGAGGTTATTCGGCACATTGGAAACATGAGCAACCACATTCACAGCTATGGCAGCGGAATGACATCGACCAAAGTTCTGTCACGGTAAGGGCGAGACTATACAACAATTTATTCACACGGCCATAATGCAAATGACTCGGGCACTGAGAGTCGATTCAGTCAAAGAAAAATCCGTGAGCCGATCAAGTGAGACTCATCGGCTGATTCTTGTGGCTCCAGGATGTTTGGAGAGGCCCCAGAGTATTTCCAGAAGCCGGAACTTTATCTGGAGGTATTCAAACTTCAAAGTCTGTACCACTATCGCCTCGCGCCACGGCGGTTCTTTCAGGACCTATTCGAGCGTGTTGTCTTCGAGAACGACGCACTTGACTATATAGATACGCGATTTGAAATCGAATACGACAAGCGAGAGAGTGGGGGCTACTTCAACAAAACAACATACGAAGCCGAGAAAGAAGAAGTTGAATCTGTACGTGAGCACGCTCGAATCGCCTATGCTCCGACAACAGCGACAGCATAGCAGTTCGTATGAGGACTTGGGGATGATGCATCCCTATGGAATAAACGGAAATCAGCGTCACAGGGCAAGAATTTGGTGGGTACGGGATATACCCAAGAACCCGAATCCGGATAAGGCATTGAAATTACACAATGAGAGTGCAAGGAGAGGGGAAACTGGAAACTCAACTTCAAAGACCAGAGGGCAGCAGCGCTTGGGAGATATGGATAGATATCCGGCCAGGAGTCAGGAGATAAAAGTGGGCTCTGCCCCAAACCAAAGCATGCAACCGGAAGGACATAAGAGAGAGCCCGAGGACAATACAGTGAAATGGTGTGCGAGGATTTAACCACTTCCCGCATCCATCGAGAAACCAATGAGAATGAAGTTCGGAATATAATATGACAAACATCCAATCCGAAACGGCCTGTCTGATGTGAATGGGCAAAGAAAACAGCAGGATGACTGATGAGGAGTCGTTGGGGGGAGGGCTGAATAGATGATGAGGCCGGGGGTCAGCTGGACAACTCGGGGATGTCGCAAATCCTCCCGCTGTCAAACCCACATTGGATGTGGTCTTGTTTCTTGGCCGAGGGAATACCGAGGGGAAACTCAGGGGAGTCTCAGCCAAGTCGTGAAATGAATGTCCGATCCGCCATTGAAGAAATAATCGAAGGAGGTGGTCATACAGAGAGAAAAGATGAGGTGTTCCACCTCGCTTGATTAAATATACATTACATAGTCATGATTTATTGCTTGCAGCACGGGTGATGACCCTGGACGAAGCGAAAGTAATAGTAGAAAGATCGCCAAGAAAGCTAGCAGACCGACTTATGACAGAATCACAAGCATCACCAGTAGAATATTGACCAGGAACACAACTATACTGTCCTCGAGCCGGGATTTCTGCAAAAGAGGCGGAGGGAGGGATGTGGACATTAATATATAAATGCTCAGATGGTTCGAGATGGAATGAGGAATAAGTCATGTGATGGGATAAACGGAATTCAAGGGGAAATAGATCTTGTCAGACCACGGAAGTAAAACGAGAAAAAGTGTGCGACGCACACAGTAACACAAGTGCGACAGTGCAGCCAAGCGGGCAGAGCGATCTGTGACATCCCCCCCAGAAAAATTGTGCTCAAGTCAAACCATCAATTTTTCGATCCCGAGTTGCGTTGCACTTGTGCTTGGCAAAGGTCGATCAGTGTGTCCATTTCCGGAAGGTTGCGGTTGCGGCTGAGGAAGTCGTGGATGTCTGCGAGTCCTCCATCCAAGAGTTCGGCCAGTGGTGCCCACGAGTCGTACGATGGGTCGTATCCCTGCCAGCGGAGCAGGAACTCGTGTCGATATCCAGGAAGTCGACGTCGTCGGTTGATCCTGTGTCCAATGATCGCTTCGAACACTGATTCGTCGTTGTGGTTGGGTCCGGGTTCGTCAAACACAAGTTGGTCGGTCGATGGTGTGTTGTACGGGACGAGGGCGGATGCTGGGAGTTCGGTTGTGAATCGAAGGGTCCTCGGGAGTCGAAGTCGATATCCAGTCGTCGCGATCTTCTCGATGATCTTGAAGGGTCCCAAGTACGGCATCCGCATCTTGGAGGGTGTGACGTCGTCCGTGCTGAAGTGGTACGCGGTCGTGTCGATCAGGACTTGGTCGCCAATGTCGTAGCTGATATCGCGTCGATGTCGGTTGGCGTAGTACAGGGCCCGGTCCTGGGCCTTGCCGATGTTGTCCGAGACCAAGTCCAGAGTCGCTTGCATCTCCTCGATCGACTGTGCTGCAGGGTTGGACTCGGCGATGATGTCGGTGTTGGCAGGGGTGCGAGGATGCTGACCGTGCATCAGGAAGAAGGGCGAATGTCCAGTCGATGCTGAGTTGTGTGAGTTGAGCGCGAACTGGATGTATGGCACTTGATCGATCCAGCGGGAGCCGAGGGCCAGAGTCGAACAGCGAATGGCCTCGGCGACGGTCGCCACAAAGCGTTCGACTTGTCCGGCGGCCTCGTGGTGGTGGGCAAAGGCGATCCGGAGTTCGGTCTTGAGCAGAGCGTTAAGTCCTGTCCAGAAGGCCGACCGGAAGCGTGTGTCGTGATCCGAGATGAAAGTGCCGGCGAGTCCAAAGTGCACAAAGACATCGCGGAAGTACTGGCGGGCGACGTCTTCGGCCGAGTCGGTCTTGTTGCCAGGGACCAGGACGACGTACTTGGTGAGGGAGTCGACAAAGATCGTGATCGAGTTGAAGGTGCGTCCCGAGAGTGAGTCCGTGACAGGCGGGAGTCCGAGGATGAAGTCGAGGGCGACAGTGTCCATCTTGCGGGTGGCCACAGGGATCCGAGAGAAGTGGCCGTACGCTTGTTGTCGTCGGATCTTGGCTCGCTGGCAGATGTCGCAGTGCGAGACCCACTCGGCAATGTCCTTGGACATGGCGGGCCAGTAGTAGTGGGTCGAGATGGCCTTGTAGAGCGTGTTGGTGCCGGGGTGAGCTGCACAGACAGAGTCGTGGTGGTCCTTGATGATCGAGATGCGCAGGTCCTTGCCGGGGATGCAGATGCGGGTCGAGTCGAAGTAGAGAATCCCGTGTCGAAGTGAGAAGCGGTGCAGCTGTGCCTTCATCCACGGCTTGAGTCCGTCGGTCGAGTTGTCGCGGAGGGCCGAGATCAGTGCTGACAGGATCGGGTCGGAGCTGTACTGAGTGCGGATGGTGTCCAAGAGATCGTCGGGCGAGGGTCCGAAGTTGACAATCGCGTTGATGATCGAGACTTGGACGGCCTTGGAGATGGCTGTCGGGGTGCGCGAGAGCACGTCGGCGACCTTGTTCCACGAGCCGGGGATCCACTGGATCTCGAGGTCAAAGTCCAGCATCGTGTCGATGGCTCGCTGTTGGCGCTTGTTGAGGGTCTTGGAGTCGAGGATGTGCTTGAGCGCCTTCTGGTCGGTGTGGAGGAAGACTTTGCGGCCGACGAGGTAGTTCTTGAACTTGTCGAGGTGGCGGGTGATCGACAGCAGCTCGCCGTTGTAGGGCGAGTAGTTGAGCTCGGATCCGTGCAGTTTCTGCGAGTTGAAGGCGATGGGGCGCACTGTGCCGGATCCGTCCATGTCCTGGCCGATCCATCCACCAATCGATGCGCTTGACTCGGACCAGTCGGTGAAGAGGTGAATGTCTTTGTCCGGATTGACCATGTGCAGCGACTGAGGCGAGAGCAACTTGAGCTGCTCGAAGGCGGCGATGGCGTTGTCGTCCCAGACGACGGACTTGGTCGAGTTGGCGGAGCGGGTGGTGATCAGCGTCGAGAGCGGACCGGCGAGGGCAGCGTAGCCGGGGACAAAGCTCATGATGGTGTTGGTCAAGCCGAGGAAGCTGCGGAGTTCGTGTTCGGTCGTTGGTCGCGGGTAGTTCTTGATGGCGTCAATGCGCGAGGGATGCACTTGGATGCGTCCTTCGCCGATGATGAAGCCGAGATAGGTGACGGTCGAGTTGAAGAACGAACACTTCTCGGGTCGGATCTTGAAGCCGTGTCGGTGGATCTTGTCGAGGACCAGTTCGATGTGGCGGATGTGCTGGTCCTCGTCCTCTGTCAGATCACGGGATCAAGAGGAGATCAAAAGAAAAAGATAGAGAAGGGTTTTATTGATCTTAGCGAGGCTAGGATCTAGAGTCAAGTGTGTCTGGGGTCGAAGGTGATGACCAGAAACATGAGCGGGTGAAGGCGGGCTATTTATCTGTCTGGCGGTCCCGGAGGCGAAGCCTGCCGCAGCGGGGGCGAAGCAGCGGAGGCGGCGGGACAGCAGCCAGGCAGCAACGGCTAACCGGAGAAACATGTGAAAGTCTGACAAATGCTCGGTGGCTGACAAATGCGGGTGACACAGCGTCTGACTAATGCATGGTCGATGACAAATGCAGGGAAAACAGAGCGGCGTGTGCAACATGAGAGCAAGGAAAAAGGAAAGGCGTCACAGGACAAAGGAAAAGGAAAGTGTGCGACGCAAACAGTGACACAAGTGCGACGGTGCAGCTAGGCGGGCAGAGCGATCTGTGACATCCCCCCCAGAAAAATTGTGCTCAAGTCAAACCATCAATTTTTCGATCCCGAGTTGCGTTGCACTTGTGCTTGGCAAAGGTCGATCAGTGTGTCCATTTCCGGAAGGTTGCGGTTGCGGCTGAGGAAGTCGTGGATATCTGCGAGTCCTCCATCCAAGAGTTCGGCCAGTGGTGCCCACGAGTCGTAAGATGGGTCGTATCCCTGCCAGCGGAGCAAGAACTCGTGTCGATATCCAGGAAGTCGACGTCGTCGGTTGATCCTGTGTCCAATGATCGCTTCGAACACTGATTCGTCGTTGTGGTTGGGTCCGGGTTCATCAAACACAAGTTGGTCGGTCGATGGTGTGTTGTAGGGGACGAGGGCGGAAGCGGGGAGTTCGGTTGTAAATCGGAGGGTCCTCGGGAGTCGAAGTCGATATCCAGTCGTTCCGATCTTCTCGATGATCTTGAAGGGTCCCAAGTACGGCATCCGCATCTTGGAGGGTGTGACGTCGTCCGTGCTGAAGTGATACGCGGTCGTGTCGATCAGGACTTGGTCGCCAATGTCGTAGCTGATATCGCGTCGATGTCGGTTGGCGTAGTACAGGGCCCGGTCCTGGGCCTTGCCGATGTTGTCCGAGACCAAGTCCAGAGTCGCTTGCATCTCCTCGATCGACTGTGCTGCAGGGTTGGACTCGGCGATGATGTCGGTGTTGGCAGGAGTGCGAGGATGCTGACCGTGCATCAGGAAGAAGGGCGAATGTCCAGTCGAAGCTGAGCTGTGTGAGTTGAGCGCGAACTGGATGTATGGCACTTGATCGATCCAGCGGGAGCCGAGGGCCAGAGTCGAACAGCGGATGGCCTCGGCGACGGTTGCCACAAAGCGTTCGACTTGTCCGGCGGCCTCGTGGTGGTGGGCAAAGGCGATCCGGAGTTCGGTCTTGAGCAGAGTGTTAAGTCCTGTCCAGAAGGCCGACCGGAAGCGTGTGTCGTGATCCGAGATGAAAGTGCCGGCGAGTCCAAAGTGCACAAAGACATCGCGGAAGTACTGGCGGGCGACGTCTTCGGCCGAGTCGGTCTTGTTGC